ATTTTCACCTTCTTCAGACATCGCATCTTCGTCAGATTCGATGGCAATTAGGTCGTTCGAGATGGTTTCGTAGTCCTTGGCGTTCGTAGATTCAGTAGATCCCGCTTCCGCGCTTTCATGGATTCGATGGGGCGGCGTAGAAGCCAGTCCATCCGGTGTCAAATCCGATGATTGGCGGTGCGCGTTGTATTCGTTTTCAGCGAATAGAGCCTCTTCCGGGTCCCCATTTTCAAGGAGAGGGGGCAATCCAGTCTCCTGCATCGCTTGAGGACCAGGACGAGGCGGCGTAGGCGATTGTTCCGATGGTTTCTGGCGTTTGAGGCCAATAATTGGAGTCGGAGTTGAGGGCAAAAAACTCAACATTTCTCTGGTTGGAGCCACCACCAGGTCAGTACACTCTGACTGGGGCTGCTCCGAGTAGGCTTCAGGCGGCCCGTCCCAGGACGAGCTTTCCTCTGCCATATTACTTGTTTGATTGTTGGGGCTTGTCAATAGAGAGCCGAGGTTTGCCTTCATAAGCACTGAAAACCTCGTGTTGAAACAGGGCATTCCATTCATAAAAACCGCGGTCATCGACTAGCTTATAAAGGAAGCGCAATGAACAGTCATGGTTGACATTGTCTGGCGACGAGGCTGCTTGAGTGGCTAAGCCAAGAGCGTGATTGCTGCCCTCAACTTTGGTAGCAGAGCGAAGCCAATAAATGGAGACTTTTGTGTTGGTTTCGGACAGTCTGTTGATGGCTTGATAGATAACAGTAGCTTGCCGTTGATTTGAAGCGTGCCGAGGCTTCTCCAGGCGTTTCAGGACATTAAGGGCATCTGTGAAGAAACTGATAGTTTGGTTTGACAGTCTTCGTTTTGATGTCCAAGCTGTGGCCTTCGCTAAGGCAGTTATCGCCCCAGAATACAGATCCGAATGAAAGCCCAAAAAGCCATGCTCTTCATGCGCTAAACGTCCTCCATATTCGACAGTGAAAGCCCAGCCTACACCCTTGTTCTCAGTGTTGTAAAATGATCGAGAGTAGATGTCCCAGCCTTTGGCAATGATTTCCAAAATCTCCTTTTCCGGTAGTGTCTCAAGCTTGTTGGAGATGTCCGGAACGCGCCAGGGTGGGTATTCTCTAACGTTGAACGTCTCAGTTGTCGTTTGGCGTTGAAGGAAAAGCTGATTAGTCCATAACAGATAGTCTAATCGACTCTGGAAGCGTTCCTCTTCTTCAGCCTGGTCCCATCTCGCAAAGGGAGCGACAGGAGACGTGCGAGACTCCTCCGGGTGATTGGGAAGAGCATCACATCTCGGAACCAAAGGATGAGTACTTGGGAGTGTTGCCATTCGAAGAGCATACTTTCGCATTCGTCGTCGGAGTCTAATGGCTGCTGGAGGGATCGCTGCTTCACATTCAAGCGCTGCGATTGGCGCAAGTCCAGAATGGTTACACTGGAGCAAGGCTTACGAGGACGAGCTCAATTCTCTACAAGAAAATCAAGTGTGGAGATGGAGTGAGCTACCTAGTGGGAGAAAAGCAATTACTTCCAAATGGGTTTTCAAGAAGAAATATGGCAAGGATGGCCAGCTCACAAAATACAAGGCTCGGATTGTCGCCAGAGGATTCACTCAAGAATATGGAATTGATTTTGATGAGACCTTTGCACCAGTGGTCAGATTTGAATCAATCAGGATCCTTTTGGCTCATGCTGCAATCAATGACTACCATATTCATCAGATGGACATAAAGACTGCTTTTCTCTATGGAAAATTGGAAGAGGAAATTTATTTGCAGCCTCCTCCGGGATATTTTCAGAACAGCAAAAAAGTATGGAGATTACAGCGGAGTCTTTATGGTCTGACGCAGGCACCACGATGCTGGAATGAGCTGCCGCATGATTACTTGCTACAGATCGGTTTCTCTCAGTCAAGCGATGACTATGGCATTTACAGAAGCAAGAAATCAAACCTATTGCTTGCTGTATATGTTGATGATCTGATAATTACTGGCAAGGATTTGGACTCTATCAATAAGTTCAAAGAAAACATGCGCAAAAGGTTCCAGATGACTGATATGGGTGAGGCAAGCTATTTCTTGGGGATTGGAATTACCAGAGACAGAGCCAAAGGCACTCTCACAATCTGTCAAAAGAAATATGCTGAGGAAGTCTTGAAAACCTTCAATATGCAAGACAGCAACCCTGTCACAACGCCTGTGGATTTGAGTGTTACACTCTCTCAGAAAATGAGTCCAAAGACCAAGACTGAGGAAAAGGAAATGGAGAAAATTCCCTATCAGAGTGCTGTTGGAAGCCTGAATTATTTGGCTATTGGGACGAGACCGGACATTGCAAATGCAGTGGGAGAAGTCTCCAGATTCAACTCCAATTATGGAAAGCAGCACTGGACAGCAGTCAAGCGAATTTTGCGATATATCAAAGGAACGGCATCCATGGGAATCACCTTCAGCAAACATCATGGCAACTTACTTACCGGCTACTCAAATGCAAATTATGCAACGGATATTGATGAGCGGAAATCAACCTCAGGATATGTCTTTGTCCTTGGAGGTGGAGCAGTGAGTTGGAAGTCCAAGCGCCAAAAATCAGTTGCCTTGTCAACCACAGAGGCAGAATATATGGCACTGAAGCTAGCAGCTCAGGAAGCTGTTTGGCTGAAGAGACTTTATGAATTCATGAGCCAGAATTCACAGCGGCCGATTCAAATCGCAGAAGACAATCAGGGAGCAATCAAATTGGCAAAGAATCCACAGTTCCATGAGAGAACAAAGCATGTTGATGTCAGCTATCACTTCACCAGACAAGCAATCACTGATGGCATTATCAACATTATTGGATGTGGAACCAAGGATATGGTTGCAGACCTTTTGACCAAAGGAATTGCAAGAGAGCAATTTGGAAAGCTGGGATCAATGATGGGAATGAACTGAATAATGGAAAAAGTGGGAGTGTTGAAAATAGTGTTCCATTATGCAGCAGGATCAAGGGTTTCCTTGGAGGGAACTGAAACCCTAAGGAAATTACTAGGTGAAACCAGAAGCAACTGGAAACAGCTAGAAGGGACCGGAAGCAACTGGAATCTACCAGAGGGAACTAGAAGGAGCTGGAAGGAACTGGAAGCAGCTAGAAGGAGCTGGAAAGATCAGATGACTGATCAGATGATACTTGAAGAACTTTGTATAAACTTTGTATGAACTTATTTTGTCTATATATTGACCAGCTCCCTCCCTTGTTTTGTACATCATTCAATCAACAACATATCATATTACATATCAAAGCACACTTAAGGAATATCATCATCAATGGATAACTCTGAAAACTTCAATATGTCTGGAACTTCCACTGGCAAAGACAATTCGCAACATTCTCCACTATATAATAGAACAAAATAGATCCCAAGATCGTGTCACAATAACAAATAAATCAATAACAAGTAAATCTTCAAGTCAAAAATAACACAAGAAAATTTCGCAAAATTCACTCTGACATATTTCAAATAAAAGATGAAAAATCCAAAACATTCGATAACAACTGTACAAGCTATCAACTTCCTTAAGAGCCCTCATTACTACTCATCCATATCGAAATTTGCAAGGCCCGCTCTCATATCCGCCAAAAAATTGATCCATAAGTCATCCCTCTGGCTCTGAGTGAGAGAGGTTTGCTGATGATACCAGTGACCAGTGCCAACATGGGTCTTCTGAAGATAATTGACAAGTGCAGAAAGACCTTTGTCTGCCCATAGAATGCGGTTGAGCGTGCGTTCGGCCATAGGGATACCTTCAAAGGCGTTCCTCTGTTCATCTCTCTGATTGCGACAAGAAAGAAGTACATGCTGAACTGACTGCAGTGGGATTCCACACGGACGCTTTGGAGAGGAACGAGGCTCTCTGCCATGTCTTGCAAAGTAGCTGTTGAAGAAGCCATATCCAGTGGAAGCTCACAATACAGCTGGCAACGCTGCGAGGGATATCCACAAGGGGTCTGTCAATAGAGAGTCGAGGCTTGCCCTCATATTTATAGTATTCTGATGGAGGCGTGGCTTGGAAACTGGCATCATTCCTTTAAAGCGAGGTTATCGACCAGCTTATCAAGAAAGCGCAAGGAACAGTCATGATTGGCGCGGTCTGGCGTCGAGGCTGCTTGGGTTGCTGAGGCCAGGGCGCGAATGCTGCCTTTAACTTTGGTAGCAGAGCGCAGCCAATAAACAGAGAAGTTGGTGCTGATTTCAGACAGTCGATCGATGGCTTGATAGATCACAGTAGCTTGTCGTTGATTTGAGGTTGATTTGAGGCGTGCCGAGGCTCCTCCAGGCGTTTCAAGACAGCAAGGACATCAATGAAGAAGTGGATGGCCTCGTTTGGCGGTCTTTGTTTTGTTGCCCAAATCGTAGGCTTCGCTAAGGTGGCTACCGCCGCTGAGTAAAGATCAGATTGGAAGCCCAAGAAGCCAAACTCATCATGCTTTAAGTGCCCTCCATATTCGACAGTAAACGCCAATCCAACAGCGTTGTTCTTAACGTTGCGAAACGAGCGAGTATAAATATTGTAGCCCTTGCCACTGATTTCCAAGATCTCCTTTTCCGGAAGTGTCCGAAGCTTGCCGGAGATGTCCGGAACGCACCAGGTCTTCAAAGGATTCACGCCTTACTTTCAGTGGCTTTCTAAATTTGTTACCAAACGTACCTACAGGATCATCTTTTTGATCTGGAGAAGGGTCAGTCTGCCATATGACTTTTGTGAATGTCATTTTCTGGCTTGTAGAGGTTTCCACAAAAGAAATCATTTATTTATTATGACCACGCGATTTTTGCTCCGATTTTGCTCTGCTTTTATATTATTCTTGGTGGGAAAAGGAGGATACAGTCCATCATACCCTAGGTGCTGCCACATAAATTATAGAAGATAGTTATTATCATCTCAGCATCCTGCTGGATGGCCTTTGCCCCCACTGCAGGCTGGCATACTTTAATACTGAACTGGACACGAACAAGGAAATTCAGGCTGAATTTGAAACCGGGCAATAGAATTTTGGTACCGGGCAATAAAGAACGCCGACGACAAAGAGCTGGAGATAGTATGTCATAACTTATTATTGCATCTATATAGAACAACCAACCTGCGATCATCAATATCACCCGACAGAGAAGCAGCAGAGTGAGTATTTTGCAAAAAGAGGCCGGCATCACAATGGAAGAAGCGAAAAGTGAATGCTGACCAGAAAGGGGCAATTAAGGAGCGCCAAAAGATAATGGCGTAGACAAAGACGGAACAGGAGAGCAGGAGAGCACGGAGGCGACAAACAGTGCGAAGATGGCAAAAATTCCGGCAAAACTCCGGCAGAAAGAGCTTGGAACCGATCAAACAGCAATAGAGGTAGTACCAGATTTGAAATATGTATATGAAATATGTATATGAAATAACAGATGCAGAGAGCGTTAGCCGAACTGTCAAGTGAAGATCGTCGAGAAACGGACAAGCTAATTCGAAGAAACAAACTTGGTTGGCTAATTAATTTCCAACCGATTGGTACGAGAATTAAAGAGACGGTATGCTTTTGAGACCGTAGCTTTAAAGAAGAAAAGGCGGCGCTAACCTGAAGCGAGATTGTCATCGCGAAGAGAAGACAGAACAAAAGCAAGAAGCAGCACATCCAAACATGCGGAGAAAGAGGAGATCCGGAACTGATAAGTTGAGAACGGTGATTCGTGAAGCACCCAGTTCAAAATCTGCTGGGCCAAACCCCTTGAATATGAAAAAATGCTGATCTCAGCGGGAAAGCAACGCTGCACAGACATCTCGAAATGCTCCACAAGGGTCGTGATGCAATTCAAGCAATTACCCTTGGCAGACCAACCACAAAAACCAAGCTCGCATAACCCAAGGTACCGTGGTGATTTGAAATAAGCTTGAGGCACCACGATGAGACTCGCGATGCTGACACGAGAGAGAAGAAGTTAGATTTCAGGAATAGATGATCAGACCGGGAACCAAAGCGCATCAAGTGTCGAGATTCTAGAGAAGAGCCTGGCCCTATACGCTCGAGCATAGGACAAAGACAAAGAAAAGAAGGACGTCAGAAGATTAATGCTGCTGGAGTGCTGGAGAGTGGCACAATCTTGTTGAGAATGAACCCCGAGGCAAGAGTCTCAGAGTCACTATTTGGCACACACAAGACGGATATACCAGGCCACAGATTCGCAGGACTGAAGCGTTGCCGCTAATAGAACGAGAGAGGTAGAAGCTGGCTGCAAAGACTTCATAACCCGTTGAATGGTATTGACCATTGCAGTAGCCCTCAAAGCAGTAGCTCCTCGCCACCTGTATCCGTGGTAATTGCATTCGTAGTGTTGAATACAGGAAACATGTGCAGACGCCGTCCGAACGCGTCTCCGCTGGAATTTATACTGCTCGTCAATAATTGACGCTGCAGCACGTAGATCGTAAAATGACGTACACGAGAGTTTAAAATAGAACCTTAAATTCGATTGTTCGCTTCGCCTCTTGAGTATTGCAAACTGGGTTTACCTCGGCACAGCCATTGCGAAAGGCGGGGAGTTGGCGTCGTGAATCTGCGCTATTATGGTTAAATGCTGCTCGATATCATTGATCCCTCCTTCTTATACTACCTGCAATTTTTAAGCAATTAGCAATAATCTCACTGATCAAAAATTATGGCTAACGTATACGCGTCGTCGGTCTTCAAGCCTGGTATCTTCCAGAGCAAAGTGGTTTTCTGCACTGGAGGTGCTGTAAGTTTGAGAGAGACTTGAAGCAGAGAGACTGATCTTATAGCTAACTGGCCATGATGCGTTCATAATATGTAGGGAACCATTTGCCGCAGACAGACAGAAGCTCTTGTTTCATTGGGCGCCAATGCTGCCATTTTGGGCCGCAAGAAAGAGGTTACTGAAAAGGCAGCAGCAGAAATCCAAAGTCTAAGAAAGGGAAGCAAGGTTATAGGTATCAGTGCGGATGTACGTGATCTGAAGTCTTTGCAGGATGCGGTCGCACTTTCTGTTAAAGAGTTGGGGAGAATCGATTTTGTTATTTGTGGAGCTGCCGGGAATTTCATAGCCGACTTTCGACACCTTTCTGCGAATGCATTTAAAACAGTCGTCGATATAGATCTGATAGGAAGGTATTTGATCGCTTTCGAGGGTTTCGCTTGGTGTACTGTTACTGACGGTCAGATTAGTTTCAATACCGTAAAGGCGGCCTCATCTGAATTGATCAAGAACAAGGGATCAGTGATATTTGTATCTGCTACCCTCCATTACTACGGTATGATCGTCAAAGGTTGATTTAGACTTTCTGGTATCTAACAATCTGGAATATAGGTGTACAATTTCAGAGTCATGTCGGTGCTGCAAAGGCAGGTATTGACGCTCTATCCAACGCGCTAGCGGTCGAGTTGGGTCCTTTCGGTGTTCGATTCAATTGTATAGCACCAGGTAAAGCCCTCAAATGATGAACATTATACCAAACACCGCACCAAAGTCTGCTCTCAGTGACTAATTTTTTTAGGTCCCATTGACGGAACTGAGGGGCTGGCGAGACTGCTGCCAGATGGTGCCCGCGAGCAGGCGATAAAAGCTGTACCCCTGCAGCGACTTGGATCTATAAATGACATAGCTGATGCTACAGGTAAAGAGAACTGTTTGATAAAAATCTGCGCAGGAGCACTCGCTTATTAATTTTTGCTATTATATAGTGTTCCTGTTTTCAGACGCTGCATCTTTCATCACGGGAACCGTATCGGTGGTGGATGGAGGGGCATGGCAAACTGGTCAAATGCAAGCTCTTGCATATCCAGATAGTAAGTAGCGCCTTTCCTAGTATATGTGAAATCTTGCTGACTTTATACTAGCCGTTCTCAACAGCGACAAACTCTGGAATAAGATGAAGAAAGCTAAGCTATGAGAACTTGTAGCCGTTCTCAACAAGGACAAATTCGGGAATCAGATGAAGAAAGCTAAGCTATGAGAACTTGTTCCCCGTGATTCTCTTAGGATCTTTGTTGTGAATAAACACAAAGCAAGATATATTGGCTTTTTGATGATTCGGCAGCTGCATTGCTGCTATGTTAATGAGATTTATTGTTTAAGCGTTATGGACGTTGTCATTTAACAGTTGTCTTGATTGTTTTACTACTCCGCAAAAATCAAATAAGAAAAAATACCATTCATACGCCGAGTATCCTATGTTTACAACCCTAATACAAAAACGCTACATCATAGCATGAGTAAGTAAATCTCAGACTTTCCTCTTGTAAAATCCTCTGGCGAAAAATCCATAAATTGCTAGTCTTTGTTATTGCCGAATTTGAAATTGAATTTGCCCGTGGCCTTCGCAAACAGACCTTTTTTGCCGCTGTTTGAAGTTCCGTTCACAATACCTTTGCTCAGATTCTTTGAAAGAGGTGCTCCCTTCTTGCGCTTCAAAGCGAGCTTCACAATCTCGTCGTCTTCTTCAAGTTTCTCCTCATGTCGGCGTCGTTTTTCGCCCAATGGAGTTAGTGGAGGAACTTCGGAAGTCGTGTCTGATATATCATCCGCTGCATCCTCGGTGGACGTACTAGGAGGTGATCTGGCTTGTTCAGTCTCGGTAGTAGCGGCACCGGCAAGTGGCTCGGCAGAGCCTAAGCAGCTTTCGCTAACCTCACCGATCTGCGTAGCATCCAAGCTAGATTCGGAGTCGGATATAGGGCTCTGAGTCAAAATCTCGCTGTCTTGGTCCAGCTCTTCAAGTTTCCGTTTCGTAGAGATCGTACCACTTTCTCGTAAATCATCGTCCACTCTAGTTTCATCGTCCGAAGTATTGAAGTATTCGTCCTCGTCTAACTCCGAATCTCGTAGATTTCCCCATCGGCCTCTGTTTGATGTTCTGCGAAATAGTTAGTATCGTGATACAAACACAAACAGACGCGGCCACGTACCCTTTCATGTCTCCAGCAGTTTCTGCGGCAGCTCTGTTGTTTTCGTCCTCGATCGCATCGGAGCGAGCAATCAGTAAGCTAATTGTGTCCAATGAGCGCATATTTTCGAGATCGTCTCGGTATGAGTTGACCACATGTGTTACTACTGATTTCATGTTCCGTTGGAGCTCGGACTTTTGGCTCCCCTGTACCATTGTAGTCAGCAAGGTGATGGATGTACCGTGAGAAGTGATGATATCCTTACCGATCTAATGAACTCAAAAAACTCCAGACAAGCTGAGCTCAAGAGATTGTTTTTATCGCCGAGGTCTGCCAACAATTCCACCACGGGACCAAACAGTTTGTTCTTCACTAAGAACCGAAAATAGAACTCATCGTTTGTCCCGAGACATTGCCTAAAGCACCGAAGAGCAACTTGAAGAAAGTTAGTTTGGAACAAATCGTAAGGGTGTTAAAGAATTCTGGAACCTACCCAATCTCAAGGATTTGTGCGAACTACTGAACAGCTTCCCAATATTCAGTAGCACGTTAGATTCTATCAGAAACGTTCGACTTCTGTAGCCATGTAGACGGATAAACGCAGAAACTAATTCGCAAAGACAGCTAAAAAATGACGCCCTAGCAACCGATATGGTGGGGATATCTTCCGGCTGAAGATCAGAGAGTTTCCGGAATAAACGCTCAACTGGTGGCCCATAAAATGAGTCCAAGAACATCTCTATCTCCGGATCATCCGCTCTCTGACGGACCATAAAATCGCTAGTCTTCCGAAACACGTCATAAGGCTGGCCAGATGTAGGATCTAGAAGTATCTGGAGAGCTTCAGCAACCTGAGAAGTAATCCCAAAGTCAGGTTCAGATAGCAGAATATCGATTAGAGTGTCGACAATTGCAGTTTGTTTTTGGTTATCATTCTCCAAAACAACATTGCGAACTAGAGAGGGATCATGGTCGATGAGAGCAAGAATCAACTCAGTCCCGGAACTTCGAATACTGGGCGAGCTATCGCGAAGGGCAAAATCTATGACGGCAAACAGGCGCTTTTTGATAAAATTCGAATAAAGCGAGGCCCTTTGGCTAGCCTGCAGATTTTTCGCGGTTAGGCAAAATTGGTGAATAAATCTGACAGCGTCACGTTTTTTGCTAATTCTGGGATCGGCATTTGCAGCATTGCTTGCATTTGTAAGGGCCGAAGATTCGTCGCCAGTCTCCTGTAGTTTCTCGACTGTCGTACCATGAGACGGTGCTTCGATTACGGGAGTCTGCGAGTTACCCGATATTTGTGATGCATTATTCAGGTCGTCGTCAAAAATATTGAATAGCGCATTGATGAACTCCTCATTGTGCTGTAAGTTGTTGAGAATGGCAACTTGGTGAAAGAAGATCATCGAACTGAGCATAGAGAAAGTGGGATCATCTAATAACCGAGCAAGCACGACATCCTTCAAGTATTGCAATCGAAAGGTGTACTTGATTTTATTCCGCACCTCTTCATCGGATATGGGAACGACCTCTTTGAACCTCGACTCGTCAGAGATATAGTCGCGATGGTTGGCCTTGAAGGAAGGAAATTCAGGATCGTCTAGATTCGATGTCAGCAATCAATTTGTTAAAAAAATGGAAAATTTTTCATCTCACATTCTAGAATTCCGACCACACCGACTATATATTCCTCTAGGACAATCTGTTCCATAATTGTGTTGTCATTCATCAGAACTAGACGAAAGAGTTAGATTCGCGTAAAATCATATATGGGGTGTACGAAGAGAACTGGAGTTGTGACGCGTACTGATCAATTTCATAATACGGCATAGAGCGTGAAGATCTGTTATGCTCTCCAGATCCTCAGCCATCGCTAGTAAAGGAACCAATTTTCCGATATAATCCTACTCAAGTCAGCTATTTAAAATGATAACAGGGAGAAGATGCCGTGGGACAAGAGATACTTACATATTCGATAAGATCTCTGAGAACTGGCCCACGTCCATATTGGCAGTGAGAAGCGATTGTCAGGCATTTTTCCACTTCGCTCAGATTCGTGAGGGTTGGCTCAGCTGGAAGTGCTATTGACCCTGAGCCAAAATTGTCATTTATGTCATCCGATGCAATATCGTCCAGCCCAAGATTCCGTTGGACGTCAGTTATAAATTCCCAGACAGCTGTACAGCCATCGCTTTCTTGGAAGCTGAGTGCTAGATCGGTTTCATCCGGATCAGTCCAGACGATCAAAGTGTCTGCGGCGTCATTTCATCAGCAATCAGACCATCAGCCATCAGACGCGTAAAATAACATACCCTGTTGTTTTTGATATTGCACGTCTTTGAATATTTTGGTCTCCAGCAGGTATTTTTCCTCGTCATCTTCGCCCTTGACGAGAATGTATGCGTCATCCTGATATTATGGAAAACATGTTAGATGCTTCCGATAAACAGCTCAAGAACCAGGGTTACTCACAGAGATGATGTCGCCTACGCAGAATCCGGTGCCGCGATCATGCCAGCTCTCGTTTAAAAGCTCGTAGACCTTCACCCGACGGGGAATTGCTGGTACCTCAAATGACATAACGAAGAGACGCAAGGGTCGAAGATAGAAACGCGACGGCTGTCTGTAAGCAGGAGCACGGTTAGCTTCAGGAGCATATTTGATTAGAGGAGGGCGGGTAAGGGCTTTTTTACCGATCACGTGAGACGCATACTATTTTCAGAAGTCTGGGTATTGGTTTTTCACATGCTAGTGCTACAAATGTCAAAGTCGCGCCACTCAGTGCGGCGCACGCACTTTGTGGTGAAATAAGAAGTCTGACGCGCTATTTGACTGCGAACAGGCACTAAAATTTGTGGAAAATTAGATGAAGGGTTCGGGTGCCCGTCTGTCCGTCCCCCGGGCCACCAAAAGCTATAACCTCACTTGCCCCCCAGCTGCTTTCAGACGCAACCGCAGTTGTTTTTATATCACTTACAATGGGCTCTCTGCTCGCTGATGCTCCTTCCATCAAATATGACGCGATAATTGTGGGTGCTGGTGTGGTCGGCTCTACTCTCGGTGCTACCTGGGGCCGTCAGGGTAGACGCGTTCTTGTTATTGGTAAGTCCGTCTGTCTAGAGTCTGCTTCCTTATTCTCATTTACTGACATAGACTACAGAACGGGACTGGTCGGAGCCTGACCGTATAGTAGGGGAGCTTCTTCAGCCTGGTGGTGTCAATGCGCTCAATAAGCTTGACTTAGTTGACTGTTTGTCGGGCATCGATGCTATACCAGCTATTGGTTACACCGTCATCTATAAGGGGGAGAACGTTCATCTGCCTTACAGTGACAACCCCACGAAGCCCGGAACGAAACTGGAAGGCCGGTCTTTTCACCACGGTCGATTTATATCACGGCTGCGAGAGGCTGCCAAAGCGGCGCCCAAGTAAGTAGTTTCTCATATATGGTTGCTGAACGGTTGTACCAGCATACTAACATCTGCGCGTTGCAGCGTAACTTGCCTGGAAGCCACCGTGAACGAGATAATAACCGACAAGCAAAGTGGTGTCGTCGTCGGAGTTAGATGTACCAACAAGTCCACGGAGAAATCTGAAGTGGTTAGTCTCTGTTCGGCGACGGTTCAGTTTGGTCGTGCGATACTGACTCCGTAATCTAAAGTATAGGGCATCCTTGACGGTAGTAGCCGATGGAACTTTTTCAAAGTTTAGACGGGAATTCATTACTACTCCCGTGAAAATTCGATCCCATTTTGTCGGCTTGGTACTAAAGGATGCTGTGCTACCCTCCAAGAACCATGGACATGTTATTCTGGGAGATCACCCTCCTATCCTAGTCTATCAGATTGGCACACATGAGACCAGAATGCTGGTGGATGTGCAAGGGAAGCTTCCCTCAGTCGGTAACGGTGATCTGAAACGGTATCTGGATAAAATTGTGAGTAGCTCGGTTCCGGAGTGCCTGTTACCGTCTTTCAAAACCGCGTTGGAGACCGAGAGACTACGATCTATGCCCAACTCATATCTTCCTCCGTCTTCGGGTCATACACCGGGGGTCATGTTTCTGGGTGATTCTTTCAACATGCGCCATCCTCTCACGGGTGGTGGAATGACTGTTGCGCTTAATGATGTTGTTCTGATTTCAGATTTGCTTTCACCTTCAAACGTCCCTAGTTTTGATGATACTGATCGCGTCATCGCTCAATTGAATGAGTTTTATTGGCAGCGGAAAGGTCTCAGTTCTGTTATCAATATGCTGGCTCAGGCGCTATACTCTTTGTTTTCAGCTAGCGATAAGAAACTAGCACGCCTTCAGCACGGCTGCTTTCGCTATTTCGAACGTGGCGGGACATGTGTTTCAGAGCCAATTGGGCTGCTATCTGGGTGAGTGAAAGTCTACTACCAAAATCAATGTATCCTTCTCTTGAGATCAGTTACTAATAGTTCTTTAGAATTATCCCTGTCCCTTTCATTCTCATCTATCATTTCATTTTGGTTGGTATATATAGCATCATGGTAATGTTTAGAGAGGCGACAGCAATTCAGTACCCTGCTGTTTTCCTTGAGAGCCTGGGTGTTGCTTGGAAAGCCTGTGAAGTCTCAGTTCCTGTTCTTTGGTCAGAGAGCAAATAGTACGCTGATTAACTTTTGATCATCCGCTTGCAATCAGCTCACGGCTCATACCATATAGATACAATGGGCAATTGCAGAGTTTCGAATTATATTTACTTTGCTGTATTATTATGTTTTTCATTGTTTTTACACTGCCTTACATCGCCTTTGAATGGGGAGCTAATTTGTAATTTTGATTTCGACGTAACCTGTATACATAATGAGGTGGACGCCGCTGCATTCTAATTTTTTTTCCATGTACATTATCATATAATGGACTTGCAGATCTATCGCATGCAATACAAATAAGAAGCAAATGCTATCATGGACAAGCTTGAGCTTGGTACCAGGCCTTTCACCTTTGTACAATAAGCGCAGGATATTAAACCGGACACATCTCCCTGCGCAGTTGAATTTGGCAGTTTTGGAATGAATATTTCATTGGCTAGAGATCACTGAGAAACAAATCTGCAACACCTCCGATTCACATCGGTGGCACTTAGTCGTATCAAATGTCAGGAAGTCAGACTTATAGTCATTGATTTCCATACGCTGCCCCCTCCAGTTTGCCAGCTCCGATCAGAAATTTGAACGTCAATACTGATAGTCGTCGGCTCACCTTCGTGAGTTGAGATAGATAATTGTGACCACCGCAGCCATATGTCTATGCCTGCAGTAACACCACCACCTTTTTCTGTGGGCTCCATGTAGGCTTCAATCAGCTCGGAAGCCGTTGTAGCATGGGTCAATCCTTTAAATGGTAAAAGAGTTGACGCAACCGCTTTATATTTTCGATCAGTGTTATAAATCTCAATTGACTCCAAAAGCGCCTTTCCTATTCAGTACGAAATACAGTCAGTAATGTTTCTGGCAAATCCTCCTCTTTGTGATGATCTCATCCAAGCTTGAAGAGCTGATGCTCTTAGGAAACAGGTGGAGTTTGTCTTACCACTAGAGACGCGTTGAAAGCACAATGCCAGCCCAGCTTCATAATATACGATGTAGGTTATTTTAGTTCCGTATTTTTGTATGATTCCTTTGATCTCTTTGTCGCCATGAGGAGAGCTGAAATCGGTCTGTAATCCATGAGAAGCCAGAAATCCTGCTAGTTTATTGTCGTCACAGATCAATGCGGGCTCTCCTTCCTTATTGCTAATCACCACTCCCAGTAGTGACACCAACTCCGTGGGGACCAGTAATGCATTGGTTCCCATTTGTCATCAATTGAAAAATAATTCCATTAGATGATTGACCGGCATTGAATCTTGCGAAACGATGGTGCAAATGGGGGGGGGGGTAACTATCAAATTTCCTGAACTCTCTTCTGGTTAGGTGTTTACTGGACTGGCTCTGACATCACCGCCAATTTTTAGCCGCCAAAACATATCCTGATAAACCAACTTCTTGCACCACAACCGCATCGATCCATTCCCTAGCCTCAACAATGGACTCAGAAGAGAAGGGACAGCTGCTGCTATGGGCAAAGCTGCATGATATAACGGTTTCCGGCTCATTGCAGATTCGATCTGCTCCAGAGGCTGGTCTAGGACTTTTCTACACTGACGCAAATCAACCAAAGCTGCCCCCAATCCTACTAGAGGTCCCGAATTCGATGCTGCTGACGGCTGATAATATTCAGACCTTTGCTCTATCACAAAAAGACACATTGCTACCATTGCTTCGATCGGACACACCTCTTCCTCCGCGGGAGACAATATTGCGATTCTTATTGTTCTCACTGCATAAGTTCAATTCGGCTCTCAAGATTCCGCATAATTTTTACGATCCATACCTGTCTCATTTGCCTGATATAAAGCCTGACTCATCCAAGTCTTCGCTTCCCCCGATTTTTTGGGACGATGATTTGTGCGAACGGGTAGCTGGCACTTCCTTGTATTATCCGCTACAAGCAAAAAGACGCAAACTGCAATCAGAATATGAGACTTTTAGTAGTTTATGGGCTATTGTCTTTCGGGATGAGTCAATCACTTATGAAGAATACCTTCGAGCTGAATGGCTGGTGGTGTCGCGGGTGTTGGAACTGCATGTGAACGGCGCGGATGAGATCGCCATTGTGCCTATACTCGACTTCGCGAACCATGGTCGACAGTTCAATGCACGGTATGAGATAACGACAGACGCAGTACAGCTTGTTCCCGTCTCGGAAGAGATCAAGGTGCAAGACGGCGCGGAGATACTTATTTCTTATGGCCCTGATAAAGGGTCATCGGAGTTGTTGTTCACATATGGCTTCCTCCCCTCGGCGGATGACTACACTGGAGAGGAATTTGTGAAGATGCCAGTGACAGAAGGAGGACCTGCTCTTCGATATCTTTACGGGAAGATACCTCTCGTCGAGCTGCACGTGGACAGTGAAGGAGAATTGGAATGGAAGAGCGAGTATCTCTGGCTGTTGAGCGTAGGCCCGGACGAGGGTTTCGATGTGTCGGTCGTTTCTACGCGCGACGGCGACGAGGAGATTTTGGCAAGTGTACAAGGGCAAGTCCTGGACGGCGTGCGCGGGGACGCAATTGCGGCAGCGATCCAGGAGAAGATCGGGAAGGGCACGATGGCCGCTGTGCTCGAGTTGAGACGCGTGCTGATTCTCGAGCGCATGGCCACGGGATGGCTGAACGAGCTAGGTCAGAGCGAGTGGGAGTCTGAGGGAGAGAAGGAGGCCGATGCGCCCGAGATCCTGCGACAGCGGGAGGAGCGGGTGCTGTGCATGCTGCTCGATGACCTTGACGAGCGGAAGAAGCAGCTTGCAGAGTCGCCGGATGTGCTCAGCTTCCTCGCGCGGGCCCAGGAAGACCCGAAGGCGGAGTCCGAAGAGGATCTCTCGTAGTTCTTCGGAGTTGAGAGCCAAAAGTGGTTGTTTTGTTAATTTTCATTTTTATTTTCTTGTTACTTTTATCTCTATTTTCTGGTACCCCGCGCGCATTGAAGTCCGAACGACGAACATTCGGGACGGCGTGGCTGTGGCGTACGCGCGGACCAGCGGAGCTCTCCGAATTACGGCCGATCCAGCGTCTCAGGGTGGGCAGCGCCACATCCACCATACCCCCAATTCCGTGTAAGCACGTGCGCCACAAGGCCATCTCCATCAACTCTGCTCTCCTACCCCGGATTCTCTGACCACCTCTTCTCCACAGTTTTATCTCATCTGTTCCCCGTATTACCAACCCCCCCCGTCTCTATTCGCCTTCACGACCAGACCTCCATCGTCATGCCTGACGGAAGTCAATCATGGTACGCACCTGCTCTGCCATCATCTTGCAATTCACCGTTTCCACTATCTAACCTTCGCTTTCTCGATGCAGGAAAATGATCAAGCCGCCTGGTACGCAGGCCGGCCGCATCGCCCAAGCTTGTGATAGGTATGTTTCTTCCAGCTTCCCCAGCACTATTTCAGCATTTGTCTTGTGCTATCTGGTTCTGTCGTCATGACACGGATTAAATGTTCTGCTGGTAGCCTTGTGGTGTTTGGACGCTTGAAGCGCTCATTTGTCCGCTGCTTCCGATAATATCACGCATCCGCCATGATTGGCTGCCGTCCTATTGACCTATGCTAACCACCCCTTTCTTCCCATTTTGCTTAGGTGCCGAAGTAAAAAGGTATGTGGTCATTACTCCGCATAAACCATCTCGCGTGAAAATAATGCTCACCTTTATGTTTTGTTCCAGATACGCTGCGACGGCAAACGGCCATCGTGCACCCAATGCACCAACGTGGGATTTGAATGTCGCACATCAGATAAGCTCTCTCGCCGAGCGTTTCCTCGGGGGTACACTGAATCACTTGAAGATCATATTCGGCAGTTGGAGACCGAAAATCGAAATCTGAAACAAATGATGGACAATTGGGACGACCGAATGGAGCTGGTATCGCGGGTCGAGTCGCTTTCTCCTTCAGCAAAACAGGGACGGAAGAAGACAGAAACGGTTTCTTCATCTTCAGAGTCTGATGCTGACGAATTGCTGGAGTCATTCTGCATGCATGAACTGCAAAGTCTGACGATGGACGGCACTTACCAGGGCAGCTCGTCTGGGTTTGCTTTTGCCGATATTCTTCGAAACCGACTAAAAAACCTTGAGTCTTCAACATGTCTGGGGCACATGTCTTCTCTCTTTAAAACGATTGATTTATCGTCCACGTTGCCTCGTTATGTCAGCGACAGTACATCTCCCGTGGTTCCTTCGCTTCCTCCACGGGTGCTTGCGGACCAACTGGTCGATTCATTCTTCCGAGATTGGCATCCGTTGTTTCCGATCTTGCATATTCCCACTTTCCGGTCTGACTTTCAAAGACTCTACAGCTCTTCGACGCTTCTTGGTAAAGAGGAGTTTCTGGTACAGCTATATCTGGTTTTTGCTATTTCTGCCCGGCAGACGTCTTCAGCGGTTCCTGAATCTGCCGACCTCTATGAACGACAATGGAGGAAGTTGCTCTGCACTATCGAGCACAAGAATTCTCTGAAAACTCTTCAGACTCTCATTCTCGCTCAAATTTATACTTGTCTTATGGGTCAGGACTCTGATCTTTGGCAATTCAAAATGAAGGCAATCGGCATGGCTCTGCGACTTGGACTCAACCGACCCAAAGAGCAGTTCAGTAGCCATCGCCTGTCGCCATTAGAATTGGAGCTACGCCTAAGAGCCTTTTGGTCGGCATTTTCGCTGGATGCGTTTTCCAGTGCAGCTTTAGGCATGCCTCCGATCCTCAGACTGGATGACATTGCTTGCGAATATCCTACTGATATCGATGATGAATTCATGAGCGACAAAACTGAGCACTGCACCCCTCTTCCGAATAAGGAAACCAAGGTCTCTGCAGCGATTGAATTAGCTCGGTTTTCGCGTGTGCTTTCGCGGATACTGACATCATTATACTACTCTCCTTCGAACTCCACGCGGTCATATAACAAAATTCTTGCGCTTGACAAGGAGCTCAATGATTGGCGAGACAGAGTCGTACCTCATCTGAAGTTTGAGATCAAGTCTCCAGTACCATCTAGTGAGCTCAGGCAGCATCCCCGTGCACCCTGCCTAGCAATCGCATATCACTATGCGCGCATTCTCATTCACAGACCTACTGTCACCCTCCCTGAATCCTCCGATCTGCGCAAGAGCTCAATTTTGGCCATGACTGAGTCTGCTACAGCGATTATTGGCATCACGTCGCATCTTCGACTACGTGATCTCAAGTTCACACTTTGTGTCAATCAGGCTAAGCTCCTCGTATCATGTGGACTTATCGTGTTATACTCGACTATCGATGTTCATGAAGACAGGAAGGTTGTAGGAGAAACGCGGAAAGTGATGTGCAAGTGTTTGGCAGGCATATGTGACAATCCGGGAGTGTCAAACGTGGAATACAGGGCATTTGAGAATCTTTCCGACGCCATTCTTGGGACCCCTGCCGCAGAGATCACTTCACCACTCCCGACATTTGCCAAATCAGAGAAACTCCATGGCCTAGTGAATTCCAACGACGACTTGGAGCGAATCCGAGCTTCAGATGGCCACATAGCTTCGATAACCATTTCTAGGACACCGGAAAGCGATGATGGAGTTTTGTTTCACATGGGCAATGAAGTTGACAGTACCAATACTTTGTCAATTCTGCAGAGGATTGATGGCGGGCGAAAGAGGTCAGCCATTCCGCAAGATGGGAACTCTAATCAGCAATTTGACGAGTACAATCGCTCTGCGATCCGAATAGTTGCAGCTAATGAGGATGTCAAGGACGAGACGGTGAATGATACAGAGATTGAGAGTTTGTTTGCGATGATGGATGGAATGACACGGGAGTCCGGTTGCCTGCCTTCAAAGAGAGTGAAGGAAACCGCAAGCGCGCTTCGGTGTCGTAGCAGCATGAGATCCTCATCGCGCCGCCGATCATCACAGTCTACGTCAACCAGCTCATCGTCCGGCACATCAAGATCTGCAGATTTTCCCTCGACTTCTGCAAGTCTGACAGAGTCCTCTATGTTTAGTACGGTAGGGACAGACGAGATCAATCGTGCCTTGTCGGTAGAGGGGTCAACGAGACGAAGGTCTTCTTCTTCTCTGGCATCCTCGTCAAAGGTTCTACGACGGAAGCACAAAATCAGAACACGACACAACTCTATGTCTTCTGTGGGCCCAACACCGTCGGCGGTCGACTCGACGCCTCCGCTTCCTCGTTCAAGGCCTGATCCTGCGGCTATTGCTGCAGTTGCTTCTGCCGCAGTAGATGGGACTGAGTGGAATATGTGGTGGGATAACTTGTTCACTATGAGCAACCGATCTACTCCTTTCGCTTATGGTTCGACAGCTACATCGCAGATATTAACGGAAAGCGAGTCTTCTTTCAAAATGGACTCTGGAGGAAGCACAGCTCCATCCAGCGCTCCGCCAAGCGTGGATCTCGAAAAAGAGCAAGCATACGTGTGTTCCCCAAGCAAAGTGTTAGAGGAAGAAGGGGAGCCGGAGTCTCCAAAGGGAACTCTTGCGAGCAGCAAAATGGACGTTGTGTCAAATATGAAAGACGGGTGGGGTGGGCTAGGCTGGATCGGTAGCTCACCTGGAGCGTCCATGGGTATCTGTACTTCCAAATGAGTGCATGTGTTATGTCTAAGTCTTGACGGCTTAAAACAGTTATCAGTAGCGTTTCTTTTTGATTATTGAGGGATTGGCGCGGGATATGGTTGCTGCGTTTTGTTTCTTTTGCGTTTTGACTTTCGTTTTTGTATAATTTACTGGCTTCCAATGGTTTTACTGGCTTCAAATGGTAATTTGGTTTTCTCGGAGTTCACTACAAATGTATTCCCTTCTTTTTTCTCTCCGAATGCCCACTTTGCATTTGTGATAGAGCGTAGACATCTCAGAGGATCAATAGTAGATGAGTCCCAGGTTAGGGCGTAAGACAGGTGTGGGCTACGCACGGTGACGCGGATATGAATCAAAACAAACCACGGAATTGTGGAATTTGCGCCGTTTACAACTTAGTATGAGGCTCCACTTCTTGTGTGTATTTGAAGATTCCATTTTCATGATTATCCTCTTATCGTCGACAGTACGGCTTCGAGAAAACAGGAAGGTATAGCAACGCGTTAACCTTAGTTCTTTTAGATAAAGTACAGGAGTAGTTATGCAGAGCTTAACAATGCTATAGTTTGGGCCTTGTTTACCTATCTTTTTGAGATTACAGGCCACGTCCACTCAGCGCATCGACGCTATTACCAAATAAGCGTGATAAGTGGAAAGCTCGACCCGCTCGGAGAAGCAACACGAAGAATGCGTAGAATGACATTCATCGGTTTGGATTTTCCGTCCAGCCAAACAAAGTCCAGTCCCGATATGTTTTGACGTCCGAATTCCCCAGAGCGCGTTTTTGCTTTGCAGCATTTCATTCAGTCTTTCATTCCTCACGCGCTCCAATCGCCATCCTGCGCTCCACTGCGCCTGCAGATTCGAAGAATGGAGTCAAATCTCGGCGCGTGCCGTATTGTACTGAAAGGGACTGGCCCGATGACATCAGAGGCGCCTAACCCACGTGTCGAGATCTAAATAGATAAATAGTGCTGCAAAGAGAATCCTTAGGCATGCCGCCGCACACGGCACGCGGTTGTCAGGACAGCCGCATAACCGCACAGCGCAACACAACTTATGCCAGTTCCGTCCGAACGCGCATCTCAAGTAGTCACTGGTCTAAGCCCAATTTGGCGTGTTCAATACATTTCCGCAGAGATCTCTCCCATCGAGGTCGTCCCTTCAAGACCTACCACTTCGCGCAATCTTCAACTCCGGCTCACGAACTCGACCATGGACCGCTCCTCGCCGCTGGCTGCGATGCCTCCGCCGTCTGCCTTTGGCGCGCTATTCCGTGCACGCACTCACACTCACCAGGTTTCTTTGCCCTCGGTGCGCGACTTCGACTCTCCAACGTCCACTCTTGCGGCAGATCTTTCTCAAAATTTCCACATCAACCGCTCCTCCCCGGTGACCGCCACTCCCCGCCGCTCTCTGATGCAGTCCTTTTCTTTCGGAAAGGCTGCTTGCGACAAAACACCGCCTGTGAATCTGCATTCGTCGCCGTCTGCTGATGGTAGCGATCTTTCGCCGCTGCCTCATAAACCTCTCACCAGACCTCCGTAGGTGTTTCTTCCGCTGTCTCTCCTGGCTTGAAAGGCTTTTGACTGATTATTTTAGCATCCAAAGGCAAGCCTCCCGCGGGCATAATGGCTCCGGAGCATTCACCAATCCTCTTGCAGACGATCTTGATCGAGCCTTTGACGATAGCCCCTACGCTTCTCGTACGGTTGCGCTGGGGCTTGATGCGCCTAGGGCCCCTGCAGTCTCTTCACTTAATGGGGGATTTCGGCCAGCATTCCGGCAGTCTGCTTCTGCAGACTCGGATTCACCACTCTCTGGTCTTGCGACGCGTCCTGCTCATCGTCCTAATCGGAAAATGCGTCGCACTCAGAGCATGTTTCAGAAACCGGAGGAGTTCGTGGCTGCGGTGTCGCCTCACTACGAGCCCGACTACGGAAATGTCAATCTTCCCTCACTTCCCGCTAAAGATGCCGCTCCCTTTCGTTATATTACTCCAAACACCATGATTGATGTCTTAGAAGGAAAGTACGCAAACAGTTACGATCGTCTTGTTGTGATCGACTGTCGCTTTGAGTACGAGTATCAAGGGGGCCACATCGATGGTGCAATCAACCTCAACGGTGCTCAAGAACTTGAAGAGCACTTTCTGAGCAAAAGGCATGAGGGACGCTATCTACTTATCTTTCACTGTGAATACTCTCATGAGCGCGCTCCCCGAATGTAAGAATACTCGGTATACTGTGGTGTGTTGTCATCGCTTTGTCTAACTTCTATTAGGGCTTGTCATCTACGCGCGTGTGATCGCCAAAAGAATCTGAATGCTTATCCCAAGCTTGACTTCCCTGACGTCTATATCCTCGAGGGAGGATATCAAAATTTCTTTGCAACTTATCGCAGTCGATGCAAACCGCAGCAATACGTGAAGATGAGCAATGAGCGTTTCTCGCATGAATGTGAGCGCGAGATGAATCGCTTCCGCAAAAGTATGAAGCGAACGGCGACGTTCGCTGGTTCAACCGCTGGCACTTCTCTTTTCTCCGGGGCATCTCAGTCTTCATCATTCAGTTTTCCTCTTCCTAGAGCATCGAGCTATTCTTTCCAGGCCCCTACAACAAACTATTTCAGTCCTTCGAATGCCTTCACACCCGCGCGTGACATCGAGATGAACGACAATGATGATGTCAACGCATATGCCAAGTCGCCTCTATAACTTATCTGATATGTCTTCTCCAGGAAGGTTGTTTTGGAGCAATCGGGTTTTGGCGTTCAGCGTGTTTCATGTGAAGGATTTTATCAAAATTTACAGTTGGGTTCCCACAAGGCGAAAGCAATACCCATAGTGCTGGTATCCCCAGCATGAGGATCTATCTACTCCTATCCATATTTCCACTGCATTTATCAGCAGACTAACAGCATTTCAGCATCGTCTTCAGATATCTCCATCTATTTCATTTTAGTTTCATCTGAAAAATCTCATGACTTTTATAGTTACATATCTTTCTATCACATCTTTTTTTTGTTTTCCGGCTCATTTTGCGCATATTTAATCGAACATTGTGTGGGAGTTTTTTGTTTTTATCTGTCAGTACGGTCGATGCTTGTGGCCGCTTTAGCGCCTAACTTATTTATCTCGTCTACTTATCATCCTTTTTATGGTGGAAAATGTGAAGATTGTGTATACAGTTTAGCGGCCGGAATAAGTTGTGGTCGTGGGATCCATGACTATTGTATTCTGGCGCGCCGATATACTTTGAAGAAGCCATTCTATCTTGTCTTCCTCGCTATGAGGAAGATCTGTTGCGGCTAGTTCTTGACAGTTTGTGAATTTAATTCGGGCATTTAGTTATAATTTGTTATCGTTGCTATATATTTAGGACGCTGATATGAATACAAAAAAATATGAACTGAGATATTGGAGACGACTGGAATAGTGCGTACGGCGAAACTAAATATAGAACAAGCATGTGCTGTCAGCTCTACGCGCCCGCTATCGGATCGTACGCAAGTTTGTTCGAATGAGCTTGAGGATGAATGTGAAGAAGCTTCCGCGATTTGATTCCGTGGAATCAGTGTGTGTGCAGTGTTCTGTGACGTAAAGCTAGACGCGTGCCAAGATCCAAGAGGACGGGACGCGTCAAACGGCTCTTTTGTTGGTTGGTATGTAAGCACTGCGGGGCTTGTGGTTTACCGAGACCTTTTTGATTATTGAGTGTGAGAATGTCTATGTCTCGCCATGGGCTGATTCCGATTGTTAAGGTAAGTTCATTAATTTCATCCAATTCACTATTGTTCATTACTAGTAGACTACACGAAGCATGCAGTCCTGAGACAACAGTTTATGCTCTGCTTTCCAAAACCAGACGACGAGAGCGCTGATTCCAACCCTAAAAAAATACAAAAGATCACCAACTATAGACAGAAAAACAACGGGAACCCAAAATAAACAAAAAAGAGAATGATGTATTGAAATGTAGTGAGTGAACTACCCAATTGTTATCTATTCGTAGAAACGCGTCGACGGTACATAGACATCTCAAACCATCGCCCATGGGTAATGAAGAAACAAAAAGCGGTACAACAATGACAATCATCAGAAAGGAACTCCACTATTGAACTGGTTCGGATCAATGTTAACGACCGTACTCGTAAGCCTTCGCTCTATCCTGCTCATTCGCTTTTGTGCAGACACAACAGCCTGTGCACTCATAGGCAAGCCTTTCGACACGAATGCTCGCGCCCGTAGTTTGTTGTATGTTTGGATAGCGTGGACTTCGCACATGAATTCACCTCGTTGCATCTCATAGTATGACTTGTTCAGAATGATAGAGCATTCGCTGCATTTGAAGCAGTCGGTATGAGACTTGCGAGTGAAATACTGCTCGTCATCGTCCTCTTCAACCAGCACGCAAGGACCTTCAACGCCAGAACCGCAGATGCAGCAGAGACTGCCGTTTCGCGTGTGGTAGCAGGCGCCACAGAAAGGCATCCGTGTATCGGAAGAAAGGTAGCACTCAAGTCCGTCAAAAGGCGCCTGGCACACCGTACACCTGAAGCACTCTTTATGCCAGCGGTGCTTGGATCGTGGAGCAGAACCATCGCGAGGAGCGCGTATTGATCGGCCTTCGATGAGCTTGTTGCATGCTGTGCAGGTATGCTTTTTCTTTGATTTCCTGGAAGGTTTTGACTCGTCTGCCTGTAGCTCTCTGTCGTCTCCCCATGGCCGCCGGCTGGAGATATTCAGAGCTGGTGTGCTGGGGATGTCCTCGTCGCTCACATCAGATAGTGCGCCTGCGTTGTCGGGTTCGTCGGGGATAGTAGAGAGAGTGTGGTGCGGGAATTCGGGGTTTGAGGGCGTGAGAGTCATCTGAAGCTGAGACAGAATTCTGACTTTGGAGGAGAAATGCATTTCCTCGTCAGACGATGAGTAACCTCCGTCCACATCCATGGGAGAAGGCGAGCAGGCTTCGTATTCATCCATCGGTGATTCATTGATCGTGAGAGGAGGTATACTGCTCTGCGCTTGATATGAAGGGCTCTCGATGGAAGAAGAGGTGCTGGTTGTTGATCCTCGTGCTGAGAAGGAGTCTTTGGAGCTGGAGCTGGAAGTGCTGGCAGTACTTCCTAACCTTTGAGCCAAAGCAGAAGCAGACTCGCTTTCTTGTGGTTTTGACTCTGAGTACTGGGGTTGAGATTGGGAGCTTGCTTGGCTTTGGTTGTTGTGTTGATAGTCGTTGACCGGAGAATGTGTGACGAGTGGTCGCTGCTGCTGCTGCTGCTGCTGCTGCTGCTGCGGTCTTTGCCAATAGGGCTGCTGCGGCGATTGTTGCGGAGATTCCTCCTCGGTGCCAATTTGGGCTTGCGTGGAAATGTTTGCCAGTCTGTAGAGCGATCTGGAAGGTTGCAGACCTTCAGAGCCGGATGCGTCGACACTTGGCTGTCTGGAAACAGATGGCAGACGATTAGGGACCGAGTGATCGCGGTCGGAGGTGTAGATAGGCACTCGCTGTTCGTAGTTGTAGCTGTGGGAGTTCACATCGAAGCCGGCAAGTTTGTAAACATTGAGAACTTTGACACCACCCTCGCGGTCGGGAAACGGAGGGAAGGCACTGTCGATGTTTGAGCGCGGCATATATGAGGGCACTCGTCTGGAAGTCGGGGAAGAAGCTAGGGGAGAGGAAACTTGTGGATTGTATTTGTGGAAGAGAGGCGAAGATGAGGATGCTGGAGAAGACGCAAAATTGGAGGAATAAGAGGAAGATGGGGAAGACGAGGGAGCGTGCTGCATGCCTGAAAGAAGAGGTCAGTAAATAGAAGGATGCAGCAAAGAGTGATAGCGTGAGATTCGGCATACTGGCGGCAGCGGTATCAATTCGCAGAGGCAAACGCGTGTCTTCCCTCGACGAGGACCTTGGCAGCTGGCTGGAAGGGTAGTTTTGGTATACTGGTGGCATAGGATAGAGTAGGCGAGGATGTCGACGGAGGGGTGAGAGGGAGAGAAGCAAAAGAACAAACAAAAGAACGAGTGCAGATGGGGAAGAATAAAAACGTTGGCTCGCGAGAATCGGTGGAGAATGAGTGACTGTCGAGGAAAGGGGCTAATTGAGTTTGGGAGGCGCGTCAAAATAAAGTTTTACTAGTGTTTGTTTACAGGGTTTTTTTTGGCTGCCGCGTCGTCGTCAGTGGTGGTTCGGCAAGAATGGCAACGAGCACGGAAAAACACGGTCTTAGAGTGCGTAAAGTGCGCTTCGAATTGCAAGTTCTACGCTGACTCGGCAGTTCTTGGAAAGATATTGGATTCACCGCCCCTAACCAGTCTGGCACAGCAGAACGACGACTTTTAGGGAAACGGGAGCGACCATGCGCGTGCCAAACGCGACCAGTCTAGTAAACGTGCATTTTGCAGACCAGGCCGAATACAACGACGAAAAATGACGCCTCTGCCAGATAGATGGAGACAAGTGTATTGTTAGCGGCTGGACAATCCGCCGGCTCCATGAGAATGTGTAGATTGTGCTCAACGGCGGCACCAAACTGCTCAAAGTAGATGCTGAAATGTCGTGGATAGCTAGTCGTACCCGTAACGGTTCCCAAGTTTGGACGCAAGTCTGGCTGGCGTAGCTGCGGGCTGGTGTTAGTTTGGTTAGCCTGAGTTTTCGGCTTGCCGCTTAGAGGATCTGGAGCTTCCAAGATGAGGATGAGCAGGTCCGAGCAAACAGTCTTGCGAGACACCGCTTCGGCTAAACAGATTTCATGAGCCTGCTCAACGTGGCCGGTGTTTACGAATTGACACCTATGCCATGACATAGAATTAATGCCTTTTATAAAATATAAGAAGGCACGCTCTACAGCTATTTCCACGATATTTTTCAATTGCGGGCGTTGCACGCTGGGCCCGGAACATCCGTCAGTCCAGATTTGGATGGCGCGGACCAGATTTGGGCCGTTGGAGCATTCCTGAGGATCCCAACCGGGGAGGCGAGCAAAGGCTAGCAAAGACTACCGGGACGCTATCTTTTATGATATCTTCACAATCAGGCCATCGTAGAGGCTTGCATCAACTACAGCGTTGTCGCATAGGCTAATAAGAAATGATAATGTCTGGCTGTTTGCAGACGGAGAAGCAGCACTTGCCGCGTCTCGTGAAGGCAATGAGTGACTGTGTCTCGGAGCGGAGAGCTGCAGGCACGCTCTTCTATCCCAGATCTCGCCGACAGTGCATCGCATGCTGCAGAAAACAAAGACCAGGAAGACCAGGTTCGGACGCGATGAGTCAAGAAGGGCACAAAAGTGTGGAGGCGAGCGTCTGCTGGTCTGAACCACAGAATGTGTGATTTGTCGAGTGTCGCTGCAGCGCGTCTGCATTAGCGGGCGACTGAGCCGCGAGCGATGTGATACGAGTTGTTGTAGGGTTTCTGCTTATGTAACATCAAAACAACGGCAACCGGCCAAACCAAACCGGAGCCAAGAAACCGTTCGCCCGCTGCTGCTGCGTTAAGACACCGAAAAACAGGCAATTATATCCTTCTCTATTTAATTACTAATCCTTCTTTATTAGTTATTTACCACGATAAGAAGACTCAATCTATTATATAATTTAGAACTGATAAAAAACGCCCAGGAACAGCTCCAGCAGGCTGCCGAACACACAGATGCTCACAGAAGCTCAGATTAATCTCGGCTTCATTTCGTGAACTTTTCTCTTCATTTCGTCATTCGTTTGTAAGCCAGCGCTCTGCTGTTCTTGTGCAGCGACGACGGACAAGTGCGTGGACGAACAGTCGCGCGAACAGGCGCACATCAGAGGCCGAGTTTCCCCGTAGGGCTTCCCATTGTTCGTCCAATCTCTCCGCCCCCGTCTCAGCGTGTCTGTTGGGCTGACACCTCAACAAACAGCACAGCCTCCGGCCCTCAACTGTCCGCACTCTGATAAGCTCGAGCGGCCTGGAGTGCGTCGAAGCTCTTGGAAGTAGGTCTGTGTGCCAGCTCGGGGTGGAAGTAAAGCGTAACCCCAGCAAATAGCGTGCTAACTGCGCAGAAGACTGTTGCTTTAAAGCCGCATAGCAGCAATGTAAAGTGCACTTGCGCCGCCCACAAACCCCGCAATCTCCCCAATTTCCCCAAATGGATTACTATAAATCTCCCCCTTCCGCTGTCTCGCTCTCTTTCTCTCCTCTCCTTCCTACCTTCACCATCTTCCTTCTCTCCCATCCACTCAATTCTTGCTGGCAAGGCACCCTACCTTCCCGGCATCTCATCTCAGTCACCACGTTTTCGAACTTACTCGGTTCTGCTCACCACTCGTTCCAACACTCTCATTCCACTGCTGCTGCGGGTGGGAGCAATAGGTTCTATCATTAAGAAGAATCCTCAATCGACTACACTAGTCTAATCGTTTTTTCAATCTCTACTACTCTCTACTCTCTCGCAATGGCTCCTCACGCAATTGGCGAGTCCTCTCACTCAACCGCTGTCCCCGACGTGCTCTCCGGATACACAACCGTCAATGTGTTGTCCGACAAAGCTCGCGTCGTCGACAACTCTCTTGTCTCCGACTACACCTACGAGAACGCTACCGTCAAGCGTCTTCCGGGTGGAAAGCTTGAAGTCACCCCCAGCAAGGTTGACTACAACTTCAAGGTCGACCTCAAGGTCCCCAAGACTGGCTTGATGATGGTCGGTCTTGGCGGAAACAACGGCTCCACTCTTACCGCTACTATCCTCGCCAACCGTTACGGCATCAACTTCCGCAGCAAGCAGGGTCTTCAGAAGCCCAACTACTACGGCTCTGTCACCCAGGCTTCCACTCTCAAGTTGGGTGTTGATGAGGACGGCAATGACGCTTACGCTCCCTTCAACCAGATCTTGCCCATGCTTCACCCCAACGACATTGTCATCGGAGGCTGGGATATCAACTCTGCCAACTTGGCTGAGGCTATGGAGCGCTCCAAGGTTCTCGACTATGACTTGCAGCGTCAGGTTGCCAAGTACATGGCCCAGATCAAGCCCCTTCCTTCTATCTACTATCCTGATTTCATTGCCGCCAACCAGAACGATCGTGCCGATAACCTGATTGACGGTGATTCGAAGTGGGATCATGTCATGCGCCTCCGTCAGGATATTGCTGACTTCAAGCAGAAGAATGAGCTTGAGAAGGTCATTGTTGTCTGGACCGCCAACACTGAGCGTTACGCTGAAATCATTCCCGGAGTGAACGATACCGCCGAGAACTTGATCAAGTCGATCAAGGAGTCGCACGAGGAGATTGCTCCTTCGACTATCTTTGCTGTGGCCTGTATCCTCGATGGTGTCTCTTTCATCAACGGATCTCCCCAGAACACTTTTGTTCCTGGCTGCATTGAGTTGGCTGAGAAGCACAAGTCTTTTATCGGTGGAGATGACTTCAAGTCTGGCCAGACTAAGATCAAGTCTGTTTTGGCCCAGTTCCTTGTTGATGCTGGTATCCGCCCGGTGTCGATTGCTTCGTACAACCATCTTGGAAACAACGATGGCTTCAACCTTTCGGCGCCCCAGCAGTTCCGCTCGAAGGAGATCTCGAAGAAGTCTGTTGTCGATGACATGATTGCTTCCAACCAGATCTTGTACAACAAGGAGAAGGGAGATCATATTGATCACTGCATTGTCATCAAGTACGTTCCTGCGGTTGGCGACTCCAAGGTTGCTATGGACGAGTACCACTCTGAGTTGATGATGGGTGGTCATAACACCATTTCTATCCACAATGTGTGCGAGGATTCTCTTTTGGCGTCTCCTCTTATCATTGATCTTGTTGTTGTGTGCGAGTTCTTTTCTCGTGTCAGCTACAAGCTTGCGGCTGATGAGGATGCCAAGTTTGAGCAGTTCTACCCTGTGTTGTCGGTCTTGTCTTACTGGCTGAAGGCGCCCCTTGCTCGCCCTGGTACTATGGCTGTGAACGGTCTCAACAAGCAGCGTGCTTGCTTGGAGAACTTGTTGCGCGCTTTTGTTGGCCTTGGTACTCAGAACGAGCTGAAGCTTGAGGAGCGCTTGTGGTAAATCGCACTTTGAACGTGTGGTTTAGCAAGTGTCTTGTGAATTTTTATTCTTCTTCTTCTTCTTTATGGGTTATATCGCGTCCGATGCAGGTTTTAATAAGAACTACAAATACTTGGGGATGACTTTTACTTCTGTGGACACATCGGCCGATCGACAGGGGCTGGTAGTAGTAATACTGCCGGTCTCTTATTCTTTTCGAAGTTGCAGGGCCGATATTTTTTCTTGTGCAGAGATTTAGGGATTCTGAGAAGGAGGCATATGACGGATGATATCTTTGTGATGGATCTGGGTAGTATGGCTGCAATTTTTGACGGAATTGGACAGGGCTCGCTGGCTAGGACAGCTGCAAGGATATTTTTATGTTTTCTTTTCGAGTATTTTTATGCATCTCTGTATGAGAACTGATTGTCTGAGTTGCTTCTGCTTATCAAATAAAATTCTTTTCCTCGGAATAGTACCAGTAACTACAGCACCTAGCAAGATAGGACGTAGAGATATCGAGAAGAGAGATGAGAAGGGTGGTAAACACAGGGTAGGGGTTGGTGGGGGTGGGGGAGAAGCAGGGTGGAGTCGGGATGGCTGAGAGGGCAGGAGGCCAACGTTCTGATATTGGTTCATTTGAGACCGTAGTCATATGATACCCTGAGACTTACAAGAGTGGAGCTTGCTGAGAATTACGGTGATTAATTGTAGATGTTCAGCGTCTGGAAGTGCACGATATCGAGCTGGGAGAAGTAGTGTAGCTCCACCAATCAGAGCAGATCCCGCGTGGAAGCAGGCGACTGGATTAGTGAACCTCGCGAGTGCTGCTGCGACGAACACTCAGACTACTTCGGATCCCTACTACAAACACAGGCATTGTTGCTGCTACAGGCTCAGAAGCAGCCAGGGTCAGGCACGGAGGCCTGGTGCGGGATGGCAGACACCCGGCCGCGTGGGGATGCCTCGATGGTTAAGGGTTGCCGCCGTTTCCGCGATTCGTCGGAGCTCTTCTTTCTCTTCTCTCCTCGCTCTTTTCTCTTTACCTCGCTCTCGTCCATCTTCGCCATCCACCCTTCTCCTCCAATCGCTTGATTCAAATCTCGGATTCAATGTCTGCTACGTCCGTTGCTCGGATGGCCTCGGCGGCTGCGTTCCGTCGTGCTGGCGTCAAGTATGCGCTTCTTCCTTCTTCTGAGCTGGCTCTTCGCCGAAATTGATACTAACCCATATCTCTGCTCTAGATTTGCGCATGCCAATCAATCGAGGCTGGCCCTCCCTACCTTCATCCGTCTTTATGCTTCAAAGTGTGAGTGCAACCTGCTGTGTTTTCACCGGTTTATTTGGGTGCTCGGAGAAGAATTGCGGCTGCATTGTGAATCAACCAGATGAGACCCGGGCCGAGAGTCTCCGCCCTCACGTCGACCAGTGAACAATTACAATAAAGAACGAGCAAGCAGAGAATTGGGTGCTAACAAACATCTCTAGCGTTCCCCAAGCACACCGTCATCGACATGCCTGCATTGTCGCCAACCATGACCATGGGCAACGTTGGAACGTGGGCAAAGGCTGTCGGCGACTCGCTGGCTCCCGGTGATGTCCTTGTCGAGATTGAGACCGATAAGGCCCAGATGGACTTTGAGTTCCAGGACGATGGTTATTTGGCGAAGATTCTGCTCGAGGAGGGTGCTAAGGAGGTTCCCGTTGGAAAGGTTAGTGGAGATCTTTCTTTTTAATAAATTTTGATGTTGAGCTAACAATCGACTATTTAGCCCATTGGTGTCTACGTTACCGACGAAGCCGATGTTGCTGCCTTTGCCGACTTCACTATGGCGGATGCTCTCACCGAGGAGGGCAAGAGTGCGCCTGCGCCTGCCGCTGAGGCGCCTGCCCCGGCTGCTGCTCCTTCCACTCCCGCTCCCGCCGCTGCTCCTGCTGCTCCTGCCACCGAGGAGTCCGAGCCCGTTCACCCCGGCCGCATCCTTGCCTCTCCCATTGCCAAGATGATTGCGCTCGAGAAGGGTATTCCCCTCAAGGACATCAAGGGATCCGGCCCTGGCGGTCGTATCATCAAGAAGGACGTCGAGGCCTACCAGCCGCCTGCTCCTGCTGCCTCGAAGCCCGCCGCTGCTCCTGCCGCTGCTGCCTCTGCTGCTGGAACATACGAGGACATCCCCATCTCGTCCATGCGTAAGACTATCGCGAGCCGTCTGACTTCGTCGGTGCAGACCTCGCCGCATTACTTCGTTTCCTCGACCGTCACCGTTTCCAAATTGCTCAAGCTCCGCGAGGCGCTCAACTCGACCGCTGACGGACGATACCGGTTGTCGGTGAACGATTTCCTTGTGAAGGCAATGGCGCTGGCGTCGCTGCGTGTTCCTACCGCCAACTCTGCTTGGCTCGAGGCCGAGGGTGTCATCAGACAGTACAGCGTCGTCGATGTCTCTGTCGCGGTCTCGACCCCGACCGGCTTGATCACTCCTATTGTGAAGAACGCCCATGCTAAGGGTCTGGCGACTATCTCGAAGGAGATCAAGGATCTCGGAAAGCGTGCTCGCGACGGCAAGTTGAAGCCTGAGGAGTACACCGGCGGCACCATCACGATCTCCAACATGGGCATGAACAGTGCTGTCACATCCTTCACCTCGATCATCAACCCTCCCCAGAGCAGCATTCTCGCTGTCGGCACCACCGAGCGCCGCGCGGTCGAGGACGCTGACGGAGACATCAAGTTCGAGGACGTCATCACAGTCACTGGCTCGTTCGACCATCGCGTTGTCGACGGCGCCGTCGGCGGAGAATGGATCAAGGCGTTCAAGACGATTATCGAGAACCCGTTGGAGCTGTTGTTGTAAAGCATAGCTACTAGTTGAATTATGCATATAGAGAAGATTAAAATAGTTTGTATAAGAAACAATGAAGCGTGCAGGTTTGCGCTTAAACCATAATCAATGACTTTTCTTTTTTATCGTGCCGTGTATTTTCTTTTAATATTTTGTCTACCTTGTTCCTCCTCTTTTTGAGACTGAATGTACAGCTTTCCTCGATTGAGAATTCTTAAAATACGTAGGAATTATTGTAAAGTAAGATACTGCGAATGAGTCACGGTGTATTATTGTACAATTCAAAAATGCCGGATGCCGTCACGTATCTATGAGGCATATGTAGACTAGAAACAACAACGATACCAAACACTAAAAAGACTTTATATAGACTAGAATCTGAAATGAAACAATATTATAAATTAGGACAAAAGAACAGATCAAGTACGATAACACCAGATTTGCAATGAGACAAGATACACAACATATAAATTACAATACCCCACCGGGTGTTCCCGTCACGATCGCGCCCTGCTCGTGTTTCCATCCCTGGATAGGCCGCAGCATAAAGACCGGCTGCTTGCCCTGATCCTGCAGTTCCTTGAGCACGCTCAGTGGTTTCTCGTCGAGCCCGAGCAAGCGCTCTTGATCGCCGAAGCAGACGAGGAGGGCGTATTGGCGCCAGTCGTCGTTGATGCGGTGGCCTTTGAGGACCGCGGGGAGGACTTTGTAGCACGGATCGTCTTGTTTGAATTTGAAGCGTTTGAAGGCTTCGGAGAGGGCGAGGGAGGAGACGGAGGAGTTGCTCGTGAAGGGGAGGGTGCCCATTAGTTGTTGGGATTGTTGGGATTGTTGTTGGAATTGCTGCTGCTGTTGTTGCTGTTGCTGTTGTTGTTGCAGTGATGGCGCGGACTGCTGTGTGGGGGACAAGACTGCTGGCGGTGGTGGAGAGGACAAGCTCACTCTGCGATGCGCCTGATTTGTGAACGGCGGGTTCTGGAGCTGCCAACCAGCCGGGAGGGACGTAGAGGAGACATACATCGAGTGCGTGTTGTCGGTCATCGGCTGTTGTGAATCAGGCGCGTCTGGAGATGGTTGCTGCTGCGGCGTCGGCAGCTTAGTCGGGGGGTGTACAGGTGAAGTCACGGAAGGGGCGATCGGCTGCTGCGCTGTGCCATTGAGGAACGATTGACGCGCCGAGGGGGATGAGTTTGGTGGGGGGATGAGGGACTGGTCGAGCCAGTCTGGGACATGAGTCGGCGATTTGTTGTTTGAACTGCTGCTGCCGCTGCCGCTGCCGCCGCTGCTGTTGTTGTTGTTGTTCGTGGACGGTTTTCGAAAAAGATTGGATCCCATATGCTGCTGGAACCCGTGCGGATTCGAAAACGAAGGCTGTGAGGAAGGAATGAACATTGAGTGGCGCGAGGTCGCTTGCGGAGGAGGTTGAGGAAACTCCGGGGTCGGCAGGGGCTTTGTCTCTTTGACGAGCTTGAAGAGCGGGAGCAGGTCCTCTCGCAGACGGGCGTAGGAATCCAAGAGCCGTTTAATCTCGAGCTCGGCGGCCTGGATCCGCCGGTCGCGGATCTCGAGACTTCGGACGAGCCGGTCGATGTCGACAAAGTCGCGGTCGGGCGCTTCCTCCGAAAGCGGCACGAACTGGCCTGGCTCGATGGGAATATCCTGCGCCCGTTTAATCTGGTAGACGGCTTTCAAGATAGCGAGCCGGTGGCCGACAGCAGCCACGCCGAGCTCCTTGAGAAAGTCGTGGTCGAGGTGGATGAGCACGTCGCCGGTGATTTCGTTGTCCGCGAAGCCGGCTTTGTACACGCCCAGCCCGAGCCGGTCGAGCCATTCCCCCACCTCTTCGACGTCCCAGGAGACTATGAGCGGCAGATCTTGCGGCACGGCGTGCGGTGTAGCCGGCGAGGCCGCGCCGGACGAGGGCGTCGACATTTCCGTTCTGGACTTTGCTGCCGGATGCTGGTTGTATGCGAGCGCAGAGCAGCGGAGGAGGAGGAGGAGGAAAAGAGCAGAAGCAACGGTCGGGCTTCGAGCCTGAGATGAAGCCCGTTTGAGTGATGGACGATGGATTTGCGCAGCCACCACCGCCACTCTGGCTTCGTCGCTCCAGCCTCATCGGTGTCCCAATCGGGCAATTGTATTGTTATTACTCGTATTGTATTGACATTACCTTTGTATTGTATTTATTCATTGTTGTCTCTCAGACTTTTACTTCTCTACACGCTTATGCTCTTCCACACACTCATCCCATCTCCACCCGTGCTCATCAGCATTCCCGGGATCTGCCGGTGCCAATGCACCTCCTTCACGTCTCTCTGCCAATGCACAAACAACAGCTGCGCAGGGATATCATCCAGCTCTCCCGCGCTATCCTCTCTCTTCTGCGCCGCGATCTCCTCGTCGTCGGCTTCAACGGACAGATCCCAGAGCATGACCGTGTTGTCGGCCGACGAGACAGCGACAATAGACTCCTCCGTCGGATGGAACTCGATCGCGGTAATCGGCGCCTTGTTGAAGTTGAACGCCGCCGCGGGCTCGGGCTGCTCGCCGGCCTTGAAGCTGCGCAGGTCCCAGATACCCCAAGAACCGTCGTCGTGGCCGCTCGCAAGCAGATAGCTCACGGTGCTGCTCCACGACATGACGTTCACGTCGGTCGCGCTAGCTTTGATGCTCAACGCGGGCTTGTGCTTCTTACTCCGTATATCCCAGACGCGGATATATCCATCGCTCCCGCCGCTCGCAAACACAGACTTCTCGCTCCGACTCCACTGTAGCTCCTCCACGCTCGCACCAGACTCGTGGCCCACAAAAGGCGTCTTGTCTGTCGTCCACGAGCTCGTTCCGCGCGTAGACAGATGGATGCGGCCGGTGACGTCGCCGGTGAGCAGCTGGCCGCTGACGACGTGCGGCGACCAGTCGACCGCGTATCCCTCGACGCCGCCGTGCGCGCGGATCGTGTGCACCGGTCTGTTTTGCGCCTTTGTGACTGTCGCGCCGGGGGTGTCGAAGGCGGTCATGTGCGGCGACAGGTCCCAGATGTAGACGTCGCCGGACTCGGAGAGCGAGGCGGTGAGGTACTCGCCCGTCGCGGCGGCGTGTGGCGAGACTCTGATGCGGTTCGTGGTGTCTGCCGTCGGCAGCGAGCGGGACTCGAGGATCGGATCCGCGTCGACGTCGTCGTCGTCGTCTTCCTCCTCCTCGTCGTCTTCGTCGCGCTCGAGCGTCTTCGACAGATCAGAGAGCTTGATCACCGTGATCTCGTTCTCTTTCTTGCGCGCGGCCTGTGTGCTCGCGACAAAGTACGTCGTCTTCGGGTACCCTCTTCGCTCGTCGCCGAGGGTGTCGGGAAGAATGTCAAACGAAAGACACGGCCAGTTGAGGTTGATCCGGTGGAGCATGTCGTACACCGTCGGATCAGGCTCCAGAGTCTCGTCTTTGCCGAGCTGGTTCAGCTGCGGGAGGTATAGTCGCGGTTGTTCTATGCGTTGTTAGTTGCTGCCCAAATCATCAGCAAGAAATATCTTCTTGTAGCTTACCTTTCTTTTGCTTCTTCTCAACCGCCATAGCACTATCAAGATCCTCCTCCAAAGCCTCAGCATCAACCTCCTCATCCTCCTCATCCTCCTCATCATTCAACTCGATAATCTCATCCTCGCTCTCGAAATCATCGCCATACGGATCCTCAAACTCCCCCATCTCATTCTCCTTCTCGTTCTCCGCCTCTCGCCCGTCAACCGCACTCGCGCCCTCCGCAACAGCCCGGCTCTTCACTAACTCCTCCTCCGCAATCTCCTCCTCGGTCGCTCTTCTTTTGGACATCGCTTGGTTCTGCAGAAGTCTGTACTGAGTACGATGGAGAGAAGAGTTGGCTGGTTGGGAGATTGATTTTTTTTTTGTTCTTGCCGGGTTAAGGTTTGAATAACTCTCAGATGTGATTAGTCATCGCTTATGTCATATGCCATTTCCACCTGACGTCTGCTTTGTTGCTGCGTCGACGGGATATGCACGCCAGCACCTCCGCAGCCATTCTACGAGCGACAAAACAAAAGCCCAAAAAGACTGTGACGTGGCCGCAGCAGCAGCAGCGGCGGCGGCGCAGACTCAACGCGACGACGACGGTGACGAGACGAGTCGACCGAAAGACTTACGAGGCCTTTCCGGTTTGGGCCGGGTGATGACGCACTTCTACCTTCATTTCTCGCGACCTTTTCTCAATCGCGACAAAGACAAACGCCAGCAAAGAGTGAAAGTGTTGGTGTTGATTTGAAACAAGAAGCGTTTGATTATTCCCTCTTTTTTGTGTCGTTTTTCTCTAATCCCCTCGCCTGCTTTTCAAACAATGATAAAAAAAGAAACAAATGCATGCATGCTCACTTACAAGCAACCCAAAATGCCATCGTAACAAGTATTCATAAATGAAAAATGTAACGCCGGAACAACAAACAACAAACAACAAAACAATAACAAAACTAAATCAAAAACATATAGCAAACAATACAACACTAACCAGAACCAACCACCTCCCACCGTATCCAACTTCAATTTACACTCAAACACCCTTAAGCTCTCGGACCCCATCCTCCCGGGACTGGACCCTGCTGCGGCCGCCTCTGCTGATCCGCGGACGTCATCGACTGCGGCACCGCGTACACAGGCACACGCGCCACCTTGTGTCTCTGAGGAGAAGGCGGTTGCTGCTGCTGCTGCTGCTGCTGCTGCTGCTGAGGCGGCTGCTGCTGCTGCTGCTGCTGAGGCGGCTGTTGGCGATAGTACCGCGGTTGCTCTTCAAACTGGACGGTCGCGTACAATCGCTCTCGCGCGGACTGCGGCTGTTCTTCCGGCTGCAGATGTTGGTTCAATTGCTGGCCAGAAGGACTGCGCGGCAGCGGCTGCTGCGGGCGGGAATCAAAAGGCTGCGCAGTCTGGGCGTGGTATTGGTTCTGAGCAGCGCCTGGTCGGCTGGGAAACGGCTGGCGCTGATCGTAGGCAGGTCTCTGCTGGTAAGGCGATGGCCCGCGGTGGCTATCAAACGACGGCCTTGACTCGTACGGCGACGGTCCACGATTCTCATAAGGCGATCGAGATCTCGTGCTAGAGTTGTCTGCAGCCAACAGCGCATCCGGCTCGACGTAGTATTGGCGCAGCAGCTCTTTGCTTGCCGAACTGCCCGCTCGATCTCTAGCCAGGGTGTTGGCATCGGGTTCGTCGACGGCGGCGTCGTCATCGTAGCCATCAATGATGTTGTCGCTGTAATCCTCGTCGTCAATTCTGCCGGGCGACGCTTCCATCTCTGCAGCAGCCGCCGCCGCCGAGACAGGAGCGACGGGTGAAGGGAGGGCGTCTTCATAGTCTGAAGAAGCACGACCAGCTGCAAGGTTGACGGGAGGCAATAGCTCAGCAGGCGGTTCTCGCGTGGGCTTTTGCGGGGACGGCCGCCGGATAGAGAGAGAGTTCATTTGCTCGCTCAAGCTCTTGTTGATCATCTCTCCCTGCGGGATCGGAGGCGTCGAGTGCGCAGGCTCGGAAGGAAGAGTGCGGTGCACGTTTCTCGTTCCATTCTGCATCTTGCTGACGATGATCTTTTTAAGCTCAGCGCGCCAAGCATCGTCGCGCCAGCTCTCGTCCATCGCACGCTTGAGGCAAACATCGTGCACATCCGCGAGATCGAGATATCGAGTGTTGGGCGGGTCAGGGAGACCAAACATGATACTTCTCATATCGTTCTTGTCCGCGTTGAAGCGCTGAGGACGGCCGTAGAGGCCGAAAGAGTCCAGGGTGGGGATGAGGAATCGGATGAGGGTCTCGAATCCGTAAACACCATGGTGGAGCTCGGGCATGATGAAGATGAAGCCATCGCGAGGGGTTCCCTTTGATGCCTCGTCGTGGACGGCGATGGTGCCTTCGATTTTGAACAAGGTGGACTGGTTGATGAGAAGGCTGGACTCGGGGTAGACTGCATAGCAGGCCTTGGCGGCAGTGACGGTAGCCAAGGGCTTGTGTTTTTTCTGCTTGGCCTTCTGCGACTCGTAGAAATCAATGCGCCCGGTTTTGTTTGCCTTTCTCTTTTTGTAGCCCGCGGGGGTGACGACGGCCCAGCAGCGGGTCCAGGGCATGCCGACGCCGAAGCGGACGACGGCAAAGTCCTGGTGCTTGAACTTTGTCTCTTGGAGGAGATGGCGGATGCCGTTCATGCGAGAGCCACGGGCGGCGAGAAGAGCGCCGGTGTAGGCTTCCTGAAGAGCGACGGACTCAAAGAGGGAGAGGCGGAGGGCAGCGGTCCAGAGAAGCATGGTGCTCTTGGAGGAGAACTGGAGGAGGAAGCGGTTCTTGAAGGTGGTGGAGAGGGCGATGACGTTTTTGATGGAGGGAGAGCCGTTGGAGGAGGGGATGGAGTCGATGAGGCGGAAGGAGGCATCGGAGATGTTGATGTAGGTGGGTTTGACGGCGGCGCGGTTGCCGGAGCCGTCGAGCTCGCGGGAGTCGAAGATGGAGAGGACGGTGCCGACGAGCTGGCCGTAGACGTCCTGCCAGATGCGGTTTGCGGGGGGTTTTCCGTCGTTGTCGAGGTCGCGGAGGAAGACGAAGCGGCCTTCGTAGTAGCAGCGGGACTGGTGGGCGGAGGAGAGGGCGATGATGGCGGCGAGCTCGGGGGGGATCACTTTTGGGTCGAAGTCGGCGGCGACGTCGGAAGCCTTCTGGATGTCGGAGATGTCGTCGTCGGATTGGGTGGAGTAGGAGGAGAGGCCGGAGACGGCGCGCTGGCGGCCGGAGGCGAGGGCTTTGAGGCGGGAGTCGGAGACGGGGTCGGATTGGGGGGAGGAGGAGGAGTGTGGGAGGGGAGCGGTGGGGAGGACGGGGGGGGAGGCGGAGTGGTCTTTTGAAAAGAGGGAGGATGCGCGTTTGCGGTAGCCCATGGTGGAGTGTATGAGGAGGAGGTGATGAGGAGGAGTGGAGAGTAGGGATATAGAGAAGAGGAAGAGGAAGAGGAGGGTAGAAGAGGAGGAGGAGAGGAGGATCAGGAAGTGAAAACAAACAACGACGGCAACTTTGGGCTCTCGACGTGGCCCCGGCAAATTAGGGTTTCTTTTGGTCGAGTCCTATTTTTAACTGCGGGTGCTTCTGATAGTGTTGTAGTATGTGTATTGTATTGTAGTTATATGATAGTAGTGGTATATAATAGTAGTAGAATAGAATAGAATACTAATAGTATCAACAACAACAACATCAGTTCTTGCATTATGTATTCTACTCATCAACATCTGTGTCGCTTCCACCGCCACCACTCGTCTCGACTCGCCGCGACTCGTTTCTGCACAGAGTCACCTCTTCGTAATGGATTATGTAATGTTGATTAGTAATAATACAGTAATACTTCTACCCTCTACTAACCTCCTCCATAGATCTCTCTGATCTCAATACATTCAATACATTCACCCCTCCAACTCCGCCGTAGCCCGCGCCCGTAGCCTCTCCACCTCCTGCCGCGCCTGCTCCTGCTGCGCCGGCACCTTCTCCAGTCGCACCCGTATCTTGTCGTTCTGCACCATCTCCGCCGCCGTCTGGAACATGATCTGGGGCCACCCTTCCTTCAGCGCATTCGCCTCTCCAGCGCACTCCATCACCTCCGCGTCCATAATCTTCTCTGCTGCTAGAAACCGCGTCCATAGCTCATCGCCCACCGCGCCTCGTTGGTGTAGCTCCGCCAGCGCGGGCTTGCTCTCCTGTAGCGAGACAATCCTCCGCACGTTCTCTGCCGCCCTCCGCAGCAGCGCCGCCTTCAGCATCTTCTCCGGCACCTTGGGTTCGCTCTGGGTCTTGAGTGTGTAGTAGATATCGCGCTCGACATGCTGTCCGAACCACGGCTCCAGATTCACCAGCCTGTGCACCTTCCTCCGTCTGTACACCGTCGAAAACAATGCCAGCGCCGTCACCAGCAGCACCAAATACGCCAATGGCGTATACACCGACACCTTTGCCATTTCTTCTAGTCTGTGTGATTGACCTGATGTCCTAAGAGTGCAAAGTGTACTGTTGTTGCTGTTATTGTCGCGATGTTAGAAATCTGGAGACGCGACGTACTTCGTTTCTTAGTCGACGCACAAACTCCTCTGCATTTGTGCCGCTTCTTCTTCCACGCTCTCCATCGCTTCCATCGCCTGAGATCACCAACCGCTGTTCCCCATCTCCTCACAATGGTACCAACTCCCTCTTCTTCTTCTCATAACCTACCTCTCTAACTTCTTTCTACAGATCGTTCGATTCCGCAGCAAGGACGGCAACTATAGAGTCCAGGCTGAGCCCTCAGACGACTTCTCCGTCCTATCTGACCGTCTAGTATCTCAGCTCCCACCCGACTCTGACCCAAACACAATCACCGTCTCCGATCAGCCCAATTCAAAAGAATCTGCAAAGTTCCTGTATGAGCTTTTTGGAAGGACTCTTGCTGACCTCCAGATCAAGTGTGTCTCCCGCCTTAACCTTCCTTACCACTCTTTTATCATCATCATCATCATTGCTAATCAATCTACAGACATGGCGATCTGCTCTTTCTATCCTACGACTCGGCTCCCTCCGCCCCCGTTGCCCCCTCCTCTGCTCCCTCACCCGCTGTAACCGCCGTCCGTCTCAACGGCAAACCCGTCTCCGAGGCCGACGCCCACATGCTTCCCCGCCCCTCATTCCCCAACTCCTCCTCCTCCGGCACCTCGCTCTGGGAAACCGTCGTCCAGGATCCCGTCGACGATCTCCTCGACTCCCTCGACGGCAAGATCTCCCGCAGGCGTGACCCCAAAATGTGCAAGCACTCCGAAAAAGGCATGTGCGATTACTGCATGCCCCTCGAGCCCTTTGATCCCGAGTACCTCAAAGCCCAAGGCATCAAGTTCGCCTCCTTCCACTCTCACATAAAAAAGCTAAACTCCACCGGCTCAAACGCAAACGCAAACACCTCCGCTGCTTCTTCTTTCGTTCCCCCGCTCTCCGAGTTTGATTTCAAGGTCAAAGCAAAATGTCCATCCGGTCACGCGCCCTGGCCGGCCGGTATCTGCTCAAAGTGTCAGCCATCCGCAATCACCCTGCAAGCCCAGCAGTTTCGTCTCGTCGACCACGTCGAGTTTGCTTCCTCCACCATCGTCAACGATTTTATCGACAACTGGCGTCGCTCCGCAAACCAAGCTATTGGCTACATGTACGGCACCTACGAATCCTACGCCGACACCGTCCCGCTCGGAATCAAGGCTGTCGTCAAGAGCATCGTCGTGCCTCCACAGGTCTGCGCCATAGACGGCGTCTCTCTGCAACTTCCATGGAAAGAAGAGAAAGAAGTCGAAGCGGCTGCTGCCGCCGAGGGTCTGCGTCCCGTCGGCGTCATCTTCACAGACCTCACCGACTCCGGCAAAGGCGACGGCTCTGTAGTCTGCAAGCGCCACGCCGACTCCTACTTTCTCTCCTCTCTCGAGATCACATTCGCGGCCGAACTGCAGCGACGGCATCCAAACCCGACCCGCTGGAGCGAGACCGGCAAGTACTCGTCCAAGTTTGTGACCTGCGTCATCTCCGGCAACGCCAAAGGCGAGATCGAAATCTCAGCCTACCAGGTCTCGCACACTGCCGAGGCGATGGTCGAGGCCGACATCATCGAGCCCTCGGTGTCGCCTAGCTTGATGCTCGTCAAGGAACCAACTGATAACAGATACGTGCCGGATGTCTTTTTCAGGCGTATAAACGAGTACAAGGTTGCCGTGCAGGAGAACGCGAAACCTGTCTTTCCCGTAGAGTATTTACTAGTCACGCTTTCGCATGGGTTTCCCACAACATAGTGTATCATAGCAATAGCATAGTATTTTTATCATATTTCTTTACTCCACCTAAGTCTATAGTATCTGCTAGTCACCTCTTCAATAGTGTATCATAGCAATAGTATATATAGTCATCTACTTCCCCCCAAATCCACCAGTCGATCCGAATCCGCCCTCGCCCCGAACCGTCTCCGGCAGCTCATCCACCAACTTCGTCTCCGGCATCATTATCCTCTCAACCACCATCTGCGCCACCCGATCCCCCTCGTTCACCACAAAATCGACATCCGAGTGATTAAACAGCAAAATCTTCAGCGGCCCCCGGTAATCGCAATCAATCACGCCCGCACCAGTCTGAATCCCGTGCTTCGTCGCCAACCCCGACCGCGGCGCAACACGGCCGTACGTGCCCACCGGCAGCGCGATCGCAATGTCGGTCGCGACCATCACGCGGCCGTGCGCGGGGATCGTCGCGGTCTCGGTCGTGTAGAGGTCGTAGCCGGCTGCGTGCTCGGAGCCGCGCGTGGGCATCTTTGCTTTCGGACCGAGGAACTTGACCAGCATTGGTGGTGCGTCGGCGATGATGTCGTCGTCGGTCTTGATCTTTTTAGTGCTGGGTTCGGTGGAGATCGTCATGGTGGAGAATGAGTTGTGTTGTCGTCGGATGTGGATGGGCAGCAGCGAGCGGGAGAGCGAAAGACGCGCGAGCATCTGTTTATAAAGGCTCGAGAGGGAAGGGGCCGCGGCCGGGTGGCGGCTTGTTGACGCGCGCGGGACGCGTTCAAATTACTTCACGCCTAACCCTACAATTACCATAATAGGAATTGATAAAGACTGCTATTAACAACCACAACATAAAATACAATATAAACAAATCAGAAATAAACACAATTAAAACCCATAAAACACCTCCTTGACAACGCCCAGCCCCCGCGTGCGCCCCTCCCGAAACAGAATCTTCTGCCCAGCTTTGATATACTCCGGCCGCAGCATGAACCTAAACCGCACCATCGCGCGATCGCCGGTCCTGATATACGGCCGGTCGAGTCCGACGATAGCGCACGTCTGCGCGACCGCGCCCACATGCAGCATCGCCTGGTACCGCGTCTTGATTGTCGTCGCGTGCTGCAAGATCAACACCTCTGCCAAGAACTCGCGCACGCACTGCGGTCCCGGCGCGTCCTTGACCGCGGCCAAGACTACCATCCCCTTGCGCACGTCGCGGCGCCGGATCTTCTTCATCGCAAACGAGACAGATTGGCCTGCGTGCGCGACGTCGACCGGCTGTCGCTTGCGCTCGATCGACCGGATCGCCGAGAGCGCGAACTGGCCGAGCGAGTCGGGGCCGATGTAGACGTTGTCGCCGGCCTTGACGCTCCCGCTCGTCACGACGCCCGAGACGACGGTGCCGACGAAGGGCACGGAGAAGGTGTCGTTGATTTCAAACTCGAACGGGCCGGTGGTGTCGAATTGGCCGTGGAAGGGCAGGAGATTGAGAAACATGCGGACGAGGTCGAGGCCGTCGCCTGACACGCTCGAGATTTGAAAGATCGGGCACACGCGGTGCGAGACGAACGTCATCGAGGCTTCGGCGACGTCTTGGAATGAGTTGATTAGCAGTGGTATTTTGCGGCATCCTGCGGATCTGAGGATCTTGGACAGCTGTGTCAGGGTTTCTTGTAGAATGTTTGGTGGGCACTGTGAAAAGTTGGCTGTTAGTAGGTTGCAAGACATTGTTTGGAAGCAAGAATGCTGCTCACCATATCGATTTTGGTCACGCAGATGAAAACAGGGACGTTGAGAGCCAAGGCTACACCTAAATGCTCGCGCGCCATGCCTATCATTCCTGCATTCGCTCCAACCATGAGCATAACATAGTCTTCCAAGAGTTAGCATCTTCAAAGCCTGCAGGAGGAAATGAACATACCAGGGGATCCACCCATCAATCCAAAAACTGTAGTTTTCAGATACTTTTCGTGGCCCGCTAAATCGATAAACGTAATCACTTTCCTACTTCCACCCACAATCTCTTTCCACGACGCTTTCCGGGTCCCGTCATTCGCGCCAACGACTTTGCCTTCCTCGTCAAACCCCATGATTTCCATCCCCACACTCGAGGTTCTACCCGACTCGATCTCATGCTTGTGTCGAAAGAGATTAACCCGCGCTTTACCGCGGCCGTCGTCGAGCCCGCCTTTTGTAAGCACGCCGAGTAAGGTAGACTTCCCCGCGTCGACGTTACCCACGACAGCCACCCTAATCTCCAACAAATCCGACACCGACACATTCCTCTCCCGCACCAACACCTGGCCCTTCTTCAGCCCGGTCTTCGGATCCTCTGCCTCGTACAGATCCGTGACCACGCACTCGAGCTGCGGCCGCGCGCAGAGCGCCTTCAGATTCGTCACGGCTTTCGCAAACTCGGCGGCGGTCAGCTGGACTTTTATGCTCGGATCCTCGGGGTCCTGGTCGAATCTGAGGACGCACTCGCCTCGGCCGTCGAGTATGAGGTCTTTGAGTGTCGCAGTCACTTGCTCTGCGTTGGCGGCGTTGGTGTCGGCGGAGAGAAGACAGGTCATGAATGATAATCGCGGGGCGGCGTCGGTTGCGCCGGTCGCCGGCTCGGACAAGGTCAGCGAGGAAAAGACGTCAAGCTCAGATTGTATCGATGCCGATGGCTTTTGTCCCGATTTAGCTCCTGAAGCTGATTTCCCTGTCGTATTTGATCCTGTTGTTGCTGCTGCTGCTGTGCTGCTCGCGCCCGACGCCGCCGATTCGGCGGAGATCTTGTGCACGTAGTCCGAGAACTCACTCAGGGATGTCATCTTCCAAAAGCGCGCTTGGCAATTGATCTGCACATGTATCGTATACTGCGGATTTTATGTACAGCGTCGGAACCAGCGAGGTCTGACTCATACTCTGGAGGAGATGCTTGGACATGACTGATTGCTATCGATGGCGACGGAGGTTTAGGTGGATGGGCCGCGGAGGATTTGCAGTGTTGGGTTTGATAGTACGGGATGGATGCTGTGTAGATTCTGTGTTATTGGCACCTGGATAATTGGGAGAAGTCCGCGTAAACCACAACTGCTATGATTATCGAGGTACGACGAAATGTACTCTCAACTGGTTTTTGGTTGATTATGACGTTGATTGTTTGATCCAGTGAGCTGGTTTACAGATTGTTTATGAGCTTAGTAGATGTAGAGGACGGTGGCTGAATGGGGCGTCTGCAATGGAGGTAGACGTCACTATCATGAATACAAGATACGTTTCGTAGCAGCTATTCCATAAACCAATGATGATCTCATCAAAGTATGCCCGAATGACTCATTCATTGCGCCTTGGTTATATCCATACTCCTAGCTAGTGTCAATCCGCTACTATGACGTGCATGGCATTTGTATTATTATTGTACAGTAGATATCCCCGCGGCCCTCTCGTTCCTTCAATCAGTCATACACCCGCCCGTCATGTTCTTTGCGGTGGGCTGATGAGCACGACCGCATCGCCTCGGACAAAAAGCATCTCGCTCTGCTTCACGACGGTCTGGTGGGGGGTTGTTAGTCAGAGAGGTGTGTGGCAGTATAGCTTTCTTCGTGTGGTGGTGACGTACCTTCAGCTCCTCGGTTTCCGGATCGAGCGAGTAGATTGTTTCTTCGACGTCAGACAGCACCAGGTTACAATGCAAATCATATCCCTATTGGAAATCGTTAATCCCACTCAACCAACAAAAACCGATCCCGAGCACAGAAAAAAGGTAGGATGGAAAGTCAGACATACATGTAGTCTACCGCGCAGCTCGCGATCGCCTTTTAGCTTGACAAAAACACGCTCGCTGAGTGACAGTCTGACCAGGTCCAGAGGCTCGGAGACGACGGTGTCGTCGAGTTGGTCGGCTGTTGCGACGTCGGCCATTATGTATGTTTTGTAGAGGGATAGACTGTGTCTGAGGGAACGAAGGAGGATTAGTACCGGGTCGACTGGCTATGATCTCAAATTGATCGTTTATAACAGCAGAGCTCACACTTTTATCAAATAAACCAGACGTAGTTAAGCAACTGATGCAGTTGTCTTGAATGAACAGTTTCAGCGGTTGTGGTGAGAAGACTGAGCGAACGTGAAAACAGGAAGAGATCAGGTTAGGGCTCCGAGCTTCTCCTCGAATATTCATCTTCTTCAGCTTCTGCCTTTCCTTTCCACTTCAGCGATAGACGATTTACAATTAGATTGTGTTCAGACGATCAATCTGTCTGAGCTGTGATTGAGGGCATTGATGACTTCAGTCAACTATGGGGACGACAACGTCATTGTTGTTTTACTGCAAGTCAGCAACGCTGATCTGCTCGAAAACGATTCTCATGTGAACCTGATCCTGAGCGCGTACGGCACAGTCCTCTACAGCTCCTTCCTGGTCTCGCGCGGCAAGCAGCAAGAAGCCGGTCGTAAGCGCGACATGCAGGTCATGCTCGCGCTCTCGGCCTCGCGACAACTGCCGCCGCGGGTGGTCAACGTTCGCTGCGGCGATAGTCTCGTCGACTGCACTATCGACGTGGTCTCGTCGCCGAGATGGTGCAGGTATTGCAGAAAGGTCGGGCATAGAAGGCTGGATTGTCCTGAGGCGCCGGAGTGTGTGCATTGTTTGTCGAAGGGGCATAATCATCGTCGGTGTCCGACTCTTTTCGAGCCAATCTCTGCAGAATCTGCGGCTATCCATAACGAGTGAGTTGACTTCATGAGATATAGTAGATTGCTGAACAGCTCGTCTAACTTCTTATTCTGTTTCTGTTGATAGATCGCTGTACTCATGATACCAGTCCACTGCTCGCTCTCAGTCATCATCGATCAACCAGGAGCTGAAAGATTCGCGCGGCAACCCGACTCTCCCGTCCTAACAATCGCCCACCGATTGCTATCCGCATCATATAAGAAGTGTCTGCGACGCTTCTCGAGTGATGCATGGCTGGTGCATCTAGCGGAATCTACGGCCTCGAACACTCAGATCCCTTCGGACGACGAAGCGGTCTGTAGAGAAGGAGTTTCACGTCTGCAGCTGTAGCTGTGTGATTTCCGCATCAATTCGCGAAGAGAACTGCTGCTCTTTTATACGAGGCCTTTCTTTTAGGAGGTCGTCACGATATATTCCGTGGTATATCTTGTAAATATCAAAGAGCTGTTCAGTGCTCGCCGAGTGTGTAATCAACACCACAGAGAATCCTGCTCGGGTCTTTTTGGAAAGATTATAATTTTATTGGAAAGAGAGCGGTTATAGAAAAATTCTCATTTGTATAAATAAATCAAATACATAGAATAGAATAGAGAAACTTGTGTCTTTTGATTGACCTGATTAAACTGGTTTTCAATGGATTTTTCTTTGATATTTGTGTTTCAGGGGTATTTTATCGCAAGCTTATCATCGCATCACTCTTCATATTTCTCGTTCTCTTCTACTCTGATTTCTCTCCAGCTTTTTCGCATTCTCTACATTCGAGTACGGAATAATCACAATAAAACATATGATGGACGTTCTTTGGCAGAGTATAACCGAGGTTGCACCACCCACCCCACAATTCACGGACGAGCATGTTTCTGATCTCGAGGGAAAGGTAATTCACGCTGTCTCGTAATACATCTACCAACTTTTCGCTAACGACTTTGGTCAAGACATACTTGGTCACCGGTGGATCATACGGAGTCGGACGAGAGCTTGCAAAAGTTCTCTACTCCAAGAACGCGATAGTCTACCTCGGCACACGGTCAGAGACGCGATTCAATGACGCGGTGGAATACATCGCAGCCGATGCCGCTTCCAGTAAAGGCGAACTCCGTCTTCTGCAGATGGATCAAATGGATCTGCCTACGGTTGTACGTGCTGCGCAAAAGATCATTTCAGAAGTCAAACGCCTGGATTCGGTGTGGTATAACGCCGGAGTGATGGGCCACCCTACATTGACGCACACAGTCCAGGGATTCGAGCTGCACTGGGGCACAAACGTCGTCGCTCATTTCCTGCTAAACGCCTTACTTACAGACTTGCTGCTTAAGAGTGCGCGCGAGTCAAATGGTGAAGAGAGCGGCGAGTGGGGAAAAGTTAGGGCGATCTGGGTTGCGTCGGATGCTAGCTTGTTCAGCCCTGGTGCTGATGGGATTAACTGGGATGACATTAATTATGAGAATTCAGCGGCTAGTCAGATGACGCTGTACGGACAGAGTAAAGCTGCGGCTATTATAATGGCTAATGAATTTGCTAAGCGGCATGGAGATGATATCGTCAGTCTGGTATGTCATATTGATTTCCTCTTTTGTTTTGGCGTATAGCGACGTCTTTCTGAAACGGTTTTGGCGTGCATTACTAACAACAAGACATGATAGTCACTCAATCCCGGACATCTGGTGACAGGCATGCAAGAAAACCGGCCGAAATGGCTACAAAAGCTGGGGGTACGTCTTCTACATATCCGATCTCATCGCCCTGATTCTCAATTCTCCATGCTTGCTAACACTCCCATTATCACTCAGAACCTCTTCTCCTACCATCCGAAATACGGCGCATACACCGAGCTCTTTGCAGGATTTTCAAAAGTGGATAAAAGCCAGAACGGGTCATATGTGGTGCCGTGGGGAAGATTTGGCACGCCAAAGACTACTCTTCGCGAAGGGCTGCGAGCACGGGATATTGGTGCACGGCTATGGGATCTGCTTGAGCAGGAGATTAAGCCTTATGTTTAGTGAATGAATAGAGCGTCTAGTTTGGTAGTGGTAGTGTACTGAGTTGGAAGCTGGCACTGACCAGACTGAGAAGCGTAGCGCCTGTAAATCTAGGTGTATCTGGTTTTCGCAGCTACAGTATCAAGCAGTTCAACTCTACCGGAAGTCAGCCATAGACCATTAATACCGAATACCTCACCAGTCAACTACAAATAATCCAAAAAGAGCAATAACTAGATGTTAAAGCCTCCCAGTATTTTGTGACTGAGCACTCAACCGAGGGTTTGGTGTCGAAAGTTCAACGCGTCGACGCGCCCGACGCGCTCGAGAAGTCTGCAAGTCTACCTGCTCCACCCTCTTTTCAAGCACCGACCGGCGTGTCAGCACATTCAAAGCCTGACTTGTACTCTGAGCTGTGCTCCTGCAATCTGGCTGCTCCAGCCTGGCTTGCTTGTCAGTGGTCTCAACACTAGGCGGCCTCGGTGACGATTCCTGTTAACCGTGTGCTGGTGGCTATTGTTTGCGATTTCGGCTCGTGCCACGTACGATGAGCTCAGGCAGCGACTCTGGTGGCGGCGAGAGACCGAGGCGGTCTGAGAAGCTGCAGCAGGGCATTGGGATGTTTATCGAGGGGTTCGGACCGGCTGCTGTCTCGTCGTCGCCTCTGACGTTGCAGAAGAAGGACACGCCCAGCTCGCGACGGAAGCAGCGTGCTATTATCCCCGGCGACGCATTTCAGGCAACTAGCAAAACTCAGCTGCCGACAACTAGTCCAATATTTGAGAGATCGAACGCTTTTGATATTGTTGAGAGACAGTCTGAGCAACACCTTGATTCGTCACCGCAGTCGGAGGCCGTCGCAGAGAGGGATAGCAGCAACGCATTCGCCTCTGCTGATTTGCGCACTGCACAGTCTCGCTCGTTGATCGTGAAGCTTCCCATTCGATTGACGCAGGACAACGAAAACTTGATTCCTTCAGAATTATCGGATGATCCGGTTTCGTCCGCGTCGGAGGACGGGTCAGATCTCGACGAGGTGAAGGTCAAATCCGCCGATTCCACTCAGGATCGGAAACGCAGCAAGAACGAGAACCCAAACAGACCGCGAAAGGTTCAGCATAAGAGAAGGAATATAACGAAGAGCAAGGCAGATGGAGAGAAACCGTCTTTGGCAGAGAAAAAATCGAGACAGGCTAACGCTGGTGTTTCGGGAAATACCCTGTTCAAGATGTGGAAGCGAGAGAAAGCCGACTCTGAGGATGATCAAGGCACAAAGGTCGTCAACTCCAGCGATCTGACATTGTCTGCCGAAGCCACACTAGGCGAACCGGACATGGCTGGCCGATCCATCGTCAAACTCAAGGTTGACCCGCGATTACTGCGGCGGTTCCAGACGAACGAACTCGAGCCGGCTTCATCATCTTCTTCACTTGACTCCACCCTTCTTCCGTGCGAGCCTTCTACTGCGAAACAAATCTACACACCACCAGCGACAGATGAGAGCGTTTCACCCCCTACTCCGCCGAACTCCGACGAAGACAGCAGTAAGCAGGTCTTGTCACCTATCGTTGCCAATCAACCGCCTTCCAAGAAGGTCGAAAATACAAAAAAGCCTATCTACCCTTTCTTCATGAAGAAGAAAAAGATGGACACTCAGGCGACTACGGAGTTAGAATCACCAGGCGAGCAGATGTGCTCGGAATCTGTACCTCTGTCTCGCTCTACGTCTGCATCAACCGTGATCGACCTGGATCGCACGCCGGATACCTCAGATCGCCCTAGAAAACCCGCATATCCTTTTTTCAACTGTGAGTCCTGCTCTGAAGAGACTATAGAGGAACGTACTAATACTGCTCTAATAGCACAATCAAAATCAGCAAACCTTGGCTCTACCCCGGGCTCTCCATCTCCAGCCTCCGGATTCGCATCGTTTCCAACGGCTAAAAAGAGGATACCGACAGGCCAGTTACCGGCCTGGCCAAAGTTTGATAATCGCCATGTTAAAGATGCCGAAGAACTATCAAAGAGGGAGTACACAGCATCTGAAGTAGCGCTCAATCTCACTACTCGTCTACCCACCCGGAAAGGCAAAAATCGTCAGTTACAGGTGCCTCTTGATGAAAGCATTCTTCGAAACGTCGATATCTCTTTGAATCTCAGCGCTGATGAGGCTCTCCATGTTCCCACCAGACACGTCGTTCCCTTCGAAGATGTTCTCACTCTCGCGAGGAAGCATGTCGACTTTGACAGCCATCCTTATCTGCAGTATCTATACGACAAGCGGTTACCGCACCCGACTGCTTTCGACAGAGCTCAATACGAAGATCAGCTGTGGAGTAGCAGCTACGCCCCGCAGCGCGCTGAACACGTTCCCGTGCGCGACGATAGCGCAGTGCTGCTGCGGAAATGGCTGCAGACGAGAATCTTGACGACAGATCGAAGTAAAACGTTGACGATAAGCAAAATGAAGAAAGCTGAGAAGGAGAAAAGTCGGCAGAATGATCTGGAGGGGTTTATCTGTTATTCTGATGAAGAGGAAGGTTCGTTTACGCAAGATCTGGATCCGATCTCATCGGACGATGATGATTACTCTGGATTCAGAAACTTTGATGGGAACTCTTCTTCGATCGACAACTCATCCCCCGCAAACGACAAGTCAGTTAGTGACGATACCGAGGAAGACACAGAAGTTACATACATGATCGGCGGCTACCAACGTCGCAAAAAACGAAGATCAAGACGGACAGCCAGGGACTCGGGGCGAAAATCGAAGCGGTGCTCTAGACTGCGGGCTAGAGAAGAGCGGCCGAGTCGTCATTCGAACGTTGTCATTCTGTGCGGTCCGCCGTCAAGTTTCAAAACTGCGGCTGTCTATGCTGCGGCCAAAGAGCTCGGCATATTTGTGTTTGAAATTAATGCTGGGCAAAAAAGGAATGGAAAGGATATTCTTGATCAGGTTGGCGAAATGAGCCAGTCGAATCTGGTGCATCACAAGGTATCAGGGGACAAAGACACGCGTTATGAGAATGAATGCGCTCAAAGATCTACATCGTCGTCTTCTGAGAGCGCATCGCAGCCTGTATTCCGCCAGCAAAGTATGCTGTTGATCGAGGACGTCGATATAGTCTTTGAGAGCGACAAATCGTTTTGGTCTACGCTGAGCAAGTTTATCGAAACCTCGAAACGGCCTGTTGTTTTGACCTGTACGGACGAACAGTATCTCCCGCCTGATTTGCTGGAGGCAAATCCCGGTAGCTTGATATATTTCGACCACACGAATTCCGAGGTTTTGACTGACGTAGCTTGGTCAATTGCCTTATCCGAGGGACATTTACTAAACAAGCTCGATGTCAGAAAAGTGCTCGAGCACACAAACTTCGATTTTCGCAGAACATTGGTGACCCTTCAATTCTGGTGTCAGATGGCGGTTGGAGATCAGCAGAAAGGGATGAGTTGGTTCCTGGAGCACTCGAGCTCTGACGTGGCCTCTGAATCGAATAAGAGAAGGGTGATTAGTGAAAACACGTTCACGAAAAATCACTTGGAGCTCTGTTTTCCTAACGATGGTGCGGAAGGAGTGGAGGGATCAGACAAGATGGGTATTGCATCAGAGGAACAGTCTACAAGCAAGAAGTCAGATCTTGCATTGTTATCGGCTGGTTACGACTTGATGTCTGCCGTCGATATTTGGAAGCATCACAGCCATACTCTCCTGGAAGTTCCAGCTGTAAGTACTTCTTCGCTGTAACAGTTTATTATGACCCACTTGCTAACATATATTTTAGTTTCTTGAGAGCGACGAAGATTCAGCAAGCTCTAGGCCTGCTGTGCCTGATGGTGAAGCAATGGTCGGTTTCCCAATTGTATCGCACAAGCTACAAAATGCGACCGCGCCAATTGCGTTCGAGTTGGAGATGATAGAGCCATCCAGGGTTTTATGGAAAGAGACGTTAGTCAGGAACGGACTCGGTGTACATTATTACGGGTAGATACAATAAAATAATGCTGGATAATGCATATGATAACATGCCGGATTTGAAACTCCTACTAGTATTTACAAATCACCTGAACTACTCCCCATGTGACATTTCCTGCTCGAAGTCCCTCAAAATCGTAATCCAAATCCAACTCCAATCTCCGGAGCACTACTATCATGCCCATCTAAGACTCCTGAAACAAATCGATCGAATAACATATAAAAAAAGTATGTGACATTACAGTGAGGCAAAATCATAACGGAGGCAGCGGGTTTCTGCACGTCGGGCACTGTAGCTTGAATCTCATCCACGACTCCAAGCATTGCGTGTGGAAGATATGACGGCAAGGAGTGACCATATAATTTCGCCTCGCGAGGAGCGCGCTCGCCGAGGAACTGGACGTGGCAGCTCCCGATCTATTGTGATCGTGCTGCACAAACAACTCGCTTGGCAATTCTATGGGCTGCATGCAGATAGCGCAGTCAGTAGGCCCCATCACAACAACTCCACCTTGGCTGTCCGTTGAGATCGTGGGTAGATCGTCACCTAATGCCGCCCTGCTTTCCAGATCTGGGATCGATAGAGGCGGATGATAATCATAAGACGGAGGAAGAAAGTTTCCAGGTACAAAGAATCTGGGCCCAAGAATCTCCTGGGCGGCTAAGACGCAGATTTGCAGCCATACCCAGCAGGAGATGATCATCGCCCAAACGGGTTCGACCTCTTGGAATATGATGTTGTTCTCGTAAAGATATAGATAGAGCATGGGAATAAGCCGAATCACACTCATCCCCAGCACAAACTCCCATTTGAAAGCTCGGCGACATCCACGCATGACGTTGCGGTAGATCTGCGGCACCCAGTATGAATTCACAGACAGAAACAAAAAATGCTGAAATGCTCGTCGATACACTTTAGGCCACGTAGAAGCGTTTAGTGTGAGGAATATGAATGCAAGAAGAATGAAATAAAATCGGGAATAAATCAGGCTCACGTCACTCCGGCCATCATCATCAGGAGTGGCGCCGCTGCCCATGTTTGCTTGCTCGGTCTGGGGCGTTGCTGTTGCCGGAAGAGGTAGACCGCCGTCATTGTTTGCAGTAGTTGCTGCTGTTTGAGCTGCTGCTGCGGCTTGCTGACGACGGTTTTCCGGTCGCTGGATCCGGTAGATCAATATCAAATATCTCATACCAAACACCGAGACTAGTAAAAACGTCAAAAATGCAACAGTCATGAACGGCAAAAATGTTGACTCCATGAAGACCGCAGCGGCAAGATACCCCATGCATAGATAACCATCTACTAACGACATCAGCTCGATTGTCCAAAAGCTCAGCTTGGAAACAGTCGAAGGCGTATTTGTATCGTTCATTTGCCTTATAAGCAGCCAGATCTGGATAACAGTCAAACAGCCAGCTACCAACGCGGCATGACTGGCCTGGCTCCAGAATTGCTCGATCTTGTCACCAACGCTCAGCCTGCTTTCCAGAACTATACCGCAGTTGGGTGAGTAAACCAGAGACGAGATCTCAATCTTTGGAATATCCTCATGCGGCTGTCCCTTTGGAAATCGCAATTCGTCCTCTACCACACTCATCTCCTCAGGCGACAATGGACTGGAATGAATCTGCAGATACACAATATACTCGCAACTTTCTGAAGCACTTGAGGAACTGCTGACAGCGGGATTGATATCTCGCCTATATATAGCTTCCAGCTCTGATATTGTTCGGTTTATTTCTGTCATGAAAGGGGTATATGACTGGTTGAATCGCTCTTCCGTTAGAGTCAGGAACGGAAGACTATAAAGGCCAGCAAATCTAGAAATTAAAATTAGCTAACCATGTTGTCAAAACACAGGTTGGAAAACATACTTTCTGCTAGTAGTGGCCATCACTATGTTTCCAGTGTCAACAAAATGTATACCCCTGAGAGGTATATCGTGACCATTCTTTCCTTGTTTATCTTGTATGTTCAAATTGGCCTGGTGGTCTGTTAGCTCACCTCACCATACAACTCGCATAACAATCAACTTACCTCTATCATTTGCACCGGACCTGGACGTGTCTCGCCAATATCGAGGGTCATGATACCTTCCCGATCAGTGATGTTGCGATTGTCTCCTGATGACTCCCACATAACAGCCCCAGTAACATTATTCAGTCGCGGGGTCTTGAGCACATACTCGCTCGAATGAGACAGCTCCATCGGGTCAACGTTCAGGTCGCTTATCTCCCATTCCCCACGCACGAGACCTGTAATGTTGTGATAAAATGAATAGCTATCGGCGCCGTCAGACGTAGTGGGTTGCTGAGACTCCCAGAGATCAGAAGCCATGGATTGCAGCTCGTATGGAAGTACCGGATTGCTGATTCCTTCTAGATCGACCGGTCCTTCCTCGAATGTAGCATTCAGCAAAACATCTCGTCTATGTCTTTGCGCTTTGAGAAACTCCTGAAAAGCCGATCTTTGCGACGGCGATGCAGATTCAGGCGTGAGAAGCATAATAATCAGCAAGAACACGAGCAGCCCTGCCCGGTTAGGATCTATGGGCGGCATCGTGTGAGTACTTTGCAAGTGAAATGCTCCCCCCGGCTAGATTTCCCCGGCAATCAATTTCACTGAGGCAAATAAAAGACTGATTCTCCTCTGATCTTCTTAACAATCAAACGATTGTCGAATTACTTCATATCTGTCAAAGACGGGGGAAGCTTGCCACGACCAGTGCGAACTAAATCCTAAGCGGCGATGTGGCAGAGCCGCAGCAGGGCAAGGGTGAGGATGCGCTGATAAAGTCTGATATTAAATGAAAAGACATCAGATGCGCCCAATATTGTCTTCAATTGTCTTCACTACCTCGTCGTTGTCTAAAAGTTGGCGCGGGTCGGAATACTGATCTGGTTTGTGGGTTGATCTACTTCTTACTACCTTTCTTTTGTCCTTCTTCTCGCGGCACGTGGGCACTCTTTGCTGCTAAACGCTCCGCGTCGGGAGCCAGGCTGCCTCCTTAGAATGTCATTCTGGGGCATCTGGAAACGAAGCTCTGCAAAGGAGTCAGTCGATAAGGGGCCGTTGGCTCTCATCGAGAAAGCGTGGATTGAGCTAATTGTGTGTATTTTATCATTCGTCAATATCAAAGGAATCGTAACTAACTTTTGATCTGAAGCGCGATGAGCGGCTCCTGCAAGATTTCGAGGGTTCCAAAGCTCCGTCCAAGATCGCACGCGATATCTTGAATATCTCTGACATTATCAGCACCGAAGAGCGCAGCGGGAACAGACGTGTGTGTTTACAGTTTGCGCTGGATCATGGCTTATTCACCAAAATCGCGGAAATTACTCACTTGTGTGGGCTTTCGATCATACAGGAGTCAGTCGCCGCATTTTCTGTTCTGATCAAGAGCGGCGAAGAAGATTTGATGAGCAATGATCAAGTGATACAGAGCATAAACGTGTTCTTGTGTGAGTTGTACAAAGCGAAAGGCGACAGAATATTAGAAGATGAATTCAGCGAAATGCTGTTCTCTGTTGCATCTCGCTTGCGAGCCGAACCTCAGAGTATAATCAAGTGGATCCGTATGCCTGAGAACAGTGGGGAAAACACTCCCATTGACAGTCATGGTGTCGGAAGCAGGCACTCGACTTATCTTGCACCCGTGAACGAGAGGGGTAACAATGCGGACGATGAAGATCTTCCGGAGCTCATATATGAACTTCCCAACGACAGCAGCGACGAAATAAGCGTCCAAGATGAGGGATCGAACACGGAGGAGGCTGATCATGGTGGCCAGACAGATACCCAGACGACTCCGAAAGCCAGCAGAATCAATAATCAGGACGCGTACTTTGCACCCATCGATGAGAACGGCAGTGATGATCTCCCATCCACTCCGAAAGCCCCGAACGGAGACACTGTCAACGACGAGACCGGTAATAACGGTCAGGCTCCAGTGAAGAGCACGGAAGTATCAAGTAGATCATCAGTTCAGCAAGAACAATATGCCACACCGGAGGGAAGCCCGCAAACAAACAACACACCGGATACACCACATGATGCGAACAATAATGACTCAAATGAATCATCACAAAATCAAGAGGATGACGTGGAACACAATATCAACGAGGCCTCACTGGCAATCGACAGCCTTCTCACTGACCTACAAATCGACCAGCGAAGGGTACGCTTCCATTTAATGGGACATAGCAGCAAAGAGAGATACTAACACTATAATGATGATTTAGAATGATTTCCCTTTGTTTCACTTTCTACTGGACTTCATCTACCACGATGGTAAATCAGGGGAATTCTCGCGAACTGGAATTATTTTTATCGTTGAATCAGCTCATCCGGGATCGTCGCTAGAAAGATGGATTCTTGACAGCGATTTCGGAACATTGATGGCTTCAGGCCTGGGCGCATTATACAGCCAGCTGAGTCGGTATGCTATGCCGCGGATCATTATTTATCAAAAGAGTATGATGCTAACAGTTTTATGATAAGACGCCTTTTTCGAGCTTTTCAGTCTGCTCAAGAGCCAAAGATTGTTGCAGTTGCCAAAGAATCAGAGCGAAAATATATCGGAAGCTCCAACGACGATACTGCGATTGGACCCGAAACCGCTGAAGAACTTGAACGCAACAAAATCAATCTCGAGATTTTTCTTTCTTATCTAGAGTTTTGGCAAGACACGTTGAGTCACTGCAAATCTGCTTTGATCCGAGCTAATCTTTTGGAGAAATTCGATACGTTGTTTTTGAGACAGCTGCTTTTGCCTTCGTTGGTTGAAACTATGGACGTCAATAATAGCGATTTGAGCGTCGCGGTGATGACCTATCTCCGTGCTATTTTTGACACTCTTCAGCAGAAAGATATTGTTGAAATCATCTTGTCTTGTTTGATCACCAGCGATAGATCTGAGACTACCAATGGCGACAAGGAAGACAAATCCACATCACAGTTCAATATGGTTCGGATGATAATCGACGGTCTAGATACCCGATCTCAACAAACAGTGGGATCTTCTTTACGACTCATATCCTCTCTGGTGCGAAGACACTATCCCTACGTTCTCAACACCATCTTCTCCGTCAAGTCACTTTCTGAGTCCTTCCAACCTACCGTCACTCCGTTCAATGTGTATGCTAAAGAACTGGAGTTTCTTCTAGATCTTCTTCCCGAAGGTGAGGAAACTAGCGAGATCGAGAGCCAGGCATACGACAATTACTTGAAGGAAAGCCGGAGAATTATAGAGTCTCACGCATATCTCCCGAAAAGTCTTTTATCCGCAGAAATGTCTCTGTCGCGAGAGGCCTCGGATCAGAGCCGGCTTTTCAAGCATTCAATGAACACTGATGACCAGACATGGACGCGGCTTCTGCGCCTACTATCGCAGTTTTTTGCAAACAGCGTGGAATTAAATTTGATTCTCACTAGAGTGTTTATCGATTTGGCTAGCTGCGGGTGGATGTCACTTCGTGGATGGATGCTTGTCGATCTCGAAAATGTGAAAAGCTCTTGCGAGAGACCTAGGAGGCGGCGAGGACCGGAGACGAGGAGTTTTGGTGAGACGCTTAATGAGACGACGGCAGCATCTTCAGAATTGGAAGATGATGTTGAGAAGGATATTGATCTCAAATTGCTTGCTGAATATGCATCGGACATGTCTTACTCATCCTCTGATGATGATTATGATGAGTACTGGGGAATGAATTCAAATGACAGATTTGAGACAACCTCGTTTACTGAAATCTCTCCCATGATGGAGGTTCTTTCGGCTCTGTCAAAGAAGATTGAAAGTTTTGAGACCAAAATACCAAACTTCTACGACCGTCTGGCCGAGCATCGCGAATTAATCAGAGACGCAGAGGATGTGATTCCTGATGTGGATGTCTCTGCTTATTCGAGTCCGGTGGTGCGCCAGAAGGACATAGTGCAGAGGGTTGAGACCAGAACATTTTCTCTGTCTCCGGTGGATACTCAAAGGCGTGCCGAGGAATTGTGGTATTCCTCATCGTCTCTCCCATCTTCGCCAGCTCCTATGCGTTTCTCAAGTGTTCCAAGTCCATTAACAGGAGAGCTTAGAACAGGAGTGCTGTCTCGATCCAATACAGTTCAGCGGCAGCAAAGGATACCATCTTTACCCCCTCATTTTTCTTCGTCCCCTTTGACTCTGCCGAAAAGGGGGCACGTGAACGCCATCTACGTACAGAGTCATTGGCCGGAGACTTTTTCAGCCGGTCGATCGAGACTCTGCCATATGCCGCTGCCCGAGTGCAAACTCATCGCAGAGTGCAAAGCAGTGCGTTGTCGATCCGAACCTCTCTTGGAGACCGTACGAGCTATTCGTCGCCTGTCCGTTCGCGTAACAATACCAACCGCGATGAATCTGACAATACTCCAACCAGACTTCCAAAGCTGCGGAAGGCTGGATCGCAAGGGTCTTTGGAAGCGTTTGAGTCGCTCATGTCGTCTCCTCCAGAACGTACTGATCCAGGCCCGAGAGCTTATACTGCAGCTGCGACGACGAGCGGCGCACTGTCGATACCTGCTGGCTCGCAGTCGCCGTTTACTACGCCTCGCATTTTACCGCTGAGTACATCACCCGTTTTGCAGAGAACACTAAGCGAAGGCGACAATGCTCTATCCAAGCAAATGAGCCCTGTGCAACTAAGCGAGGAGATTAGAGACATTTTCAATAACAGTGTGTCAGAGTCGGACGACGAGGATCTCGAGAGTATTGTGAGCGAGACAAGCCCTGAGGCAGACGAAGAGCCATCCGGGACTAACCGTCGTGGGTCGTCTACCAGTCGATCTCGGTCGCATAGTCAAGCTGCTCCTCGGAAGACTGGTATCGAAATGAATGAGATAGCGACGGATTCGGACTACGTGCCTACGATTATTCAAGTCATGGGGCCCGAGACGGGGAAAAGCCGATATGTCAGTCTTGCGCACTTGCTGGGGAACGTGATTGTGTATCAGGAATTCGTAAAGGAGTTGACGGCTTTGATACAGGTGCGAAGCACTTTAGTTGATCAGGTTGACTACGGGTGGCAGAAGAGGTCGAATAATAGAAGGAGGCGATAGAGCATGTACTGATATGTTCTGTGTATATATAATTCGAGTGTCGAACATAGTAATAGTGAATTCTAAACTCGTCGGGCAGAGCTCGACCCATCCCCTGATGAACTTCCATACAAGTCACATACGTTGGGATGCCTCCACGTATCCTCATATGCCCTCAAGCTGAATACTGAGACTACCAAAGCTCTGCTTATATCCAAAGCATACGATAAAGTAGTGTAAAGACGAATCATACGTCTGCTATAGAGTATTGCGTGAAGTGGCTGCGGTATCAGGTTAGGGCAAGCATGGGTTTAGGGCGCACGGTTCCGGAAGACCGGCATCCGACGCAACGTGGACGGATTCGACTGTTTTCGGGGGATCGAGCAGGAAAGAGCGCTCGAGTGGATTGGGCCCCGGAGAGAATAGTTTGAGGATGGGCCGCGAGCAGACCGAATTGCTTTGGAGGAAGCAGATTGCGTGGTTTTAGACGGCGAGAGCACGGTCAGGCGGAGAGACCTGGTTCCTTTGCTGAGTTGGGGTTGAAGCCCTAACTGAGTAAGTGTATGTGACAGATAAGGCTTTAAAGTTGTCGACGCTGGACTATGGCTCATCGAGTCTGCAGAAATATTCTTCGTCTTCTTCTGCTACAGCCTAGTCATCATCATCGACCCGTTGCAGAAGATAACTTCTACTACTACCCGGAATATTGACGAGACCCGTCCGAAGTACTTTCAATGTCCGCTATAACGCGTCGAGCAGCCACGTCCAGCGCTCTGCTGGGACGCTACAGCCGAAGCAGGGCCTTTGCTCCCTCGCCGCAGGCTATGCTGATGCTGATGCGAGCCTACTCGACCGAGCCTACACCGCACTCGAGTCCGTCTGGTCCTCCAGTCGATGTGTTGTCGTCGATGGGCAAGTCTGCTTCCTCGCGCACGATCGTCCAGCCGAAGCGAACGCCGGTGTCCGATCCCGCGAAAGCCGGCAAGAAGACTGAAGTCGATGCTGAGTTTGAGGAGGTGGATGCTGCGAAGGCGGTCGCGGAGAAGAGTGCCGACAAGGCGACCGAAAACATTTTGGGTAAAGAAACAGAAGTTCCGGATCTCCCGACGGTCGCTGCTGATAGCGCCTCGACTACCCCTGCCACGGCAGAGAAGCCCAAGAGCAGTTTATGGCAGAAGGTCAAGGATGGCGTGCGCCACACCTGGGACAGCACAAAACTGCTCGGAGTTGAGATCAAGATCTCGACTAAGCTTGCGCTGAAAATGGTTGCCGGATACGAATTGACCCGTCGTGAGAGCCGTCAGCTCCAGCGCACGACCCAGGATCTCATCCGTCTCGTTCCGTTCTCTGTCTTTTTGATCGTTCCCTTTGCCGAGCTGCTTTTGCCGATAGCGCTGAAGCTGTTCCCTGGACTTTTGCCTTCCACTTTTGAGGCTCCTTCGACGAAGGAGAAGCGTGTCAAGAGCCTTCGTAACACCCGGAAAGAAGTGTCAAAGTTTCTCCGCAGCACGGTCAAGGAGACCGGACTTGCTCTTCCGCAGACCCACAACAACGCCCAGCGTGAGCTGTTCGCCGATTTCTTCCGCAAGATCAGAACCTCTGGTGAATCTCCGTCTCGTGAAGAACTTCTCAGCGTTTGCCGATTGTTTAAAGATGACATGATTCTCGACAACTTGTCGCGTCCCCAGCTGGTCGCTATGTCAAAGTACATGAACCTGCAGACTTTCGGTACCGATATGATGCTCAGATACCAGATCCGTCGTCGGATGCGTCAGACGAAGCGTGACGACCGTGCTATTGACTACGAGGGCGTCGAGTCGCTGTCGGTCCGAGAACTCCAGGGTGCCTGCCAGGTGCGAGGAATCAAGTCTCATGGCGTCTCTCCGGCTAGACTGCGCGAGGATCTTCAGACATGGCTGGATCTGACTCTGCGACAGCATGTTCCGAGTACGCTACTTGTCTTGTCGGCTGCGTACACTTACGGATCTCCCGAGTCGGTTGATTCGCACTACGATGCCTTGCTTTCTACTCTCAGTTCAATCCCCGACCAGCTTTACCATGAGGCTGAGTTGGAGGTCAACCACCTCGAGGGAACTGCTACCAACAAGCAGCGTCTCGAGGTTCTCAAGGAGCAGGAGCAGCTTATCAACAACGAGAACGAACAAGTGAGCATGTCTGGAACTGTCGTCAAGGATCACGAGTCCATTGATGAGAGCGAGGTTGCTGAGGGCGAGGCCGACAAGGAGGAGCTGCCCGAGAATGCTGAGGCTAAAGAGGCCGCAGAGGCTGAACAGTTGGAGGAGCCTAAGCTGGAGAAGCTGGAAGAGCCCAAGGCTGAACAGGTGGAAACACCTGAGCCTGTCGCTGCAAAGGCACAAACTGGTGAGGTGAAGAACTAGATCACCGCCAGCTCTTCCGTCCAACAAAATTGAATTGTTGACTGGAGTCGGGCCCAAAAAAATATCAACTATCGGAGTTACGATCGTATCTTTGTTTATTGTCGTATGTACCTAGCAATAGAGGTACTCCGCTCTTTTACTGTCTTTCTCTCTGCATGCTATATAAACACGGCGCAGAAAACATTCGTTTATCCAACTTCTTGTCTTACCATTCTTTTGTCTATATTACATCAGTTTTCATTTTATCTTTGTATCTAGTTGGTAGGTAGCGGAGTGAGCAAAAAATTGTATTTAATAGAATAACAAAGATTATACACCGATAATGAGGAGTTGATATGATCAAATAGACAGACATGTCTCGTCGGTTATAGAGCCGTCCGATACATGGCATCGGGATATAGAGATCATGATACTTTTGGATGCAAGCGAAGAGAGTATATAGGATGCAACAAGACGGATAACTTTTGATCATGGTTGCTGCTGCGTAGCTGTATGTGCCTGACAGCGATGCACCACCCCCGCAGCTGGCATATGTGCCCCGAGCCATCGCTCAACATCATTCTGTACGAGCCAACCCGCACCCTCAGATCGTGTTGCAAAGGTAGAGGCGGTTCGTGATAAATGCCGACTCATTTGAATGCAAGTGATGATTTTATCGCCAGAGTAAATGAATATCAAGCTGATCGATTCATCAGGTGTAATCGTGCCTCGATACCAACGAGCATGGTATGATAATCAAAAGTTGATTAGGCTCCGCTGATCCCAGCCTGCCTCATTCTCTCTAATAGAGCCTGAACATCTCTCTGAACGGCAGCAACTTTCTCCTCAACCTCATCCTTCGGCAACACAGCGCCATTATTAGTAGGCACAACCGGCAAGCTGCTCCCCACCACCCCTGCAGCACTCCGCGCTATCCCATTGACAATCGACGCCGGCAGCGGACTTGTACTGCGAGCCATCGAGGCGGAAGTCTGGGCGGTAGGAAGTAGTGATTGGGCTTTTGATTCGAGTACGGAGGAGAGGGATAGTGCCTGGCGGGCTTTGTCGAGGAACTCGTCGTCGCTGTCGGTGTTTGGCTCTGCGGCCATAGGGGGGTTCGAGGAGGAGGACGCAAAGATGGAGGAAAAGTCTGAGATGGCCTCAGCGGTGGTGATGGACGGCGGTGTCATTGCTGCTGTAGGTTGAATATGAGATAGATGTTGACTGAGTAGAAAGAAAGGGCGTGGGGCTCGAGGTGAAGTAAAGGCTCTGCGGCGGGCGAGCGAGCTCTGCGCGGATTTTGTATGATCTCGAGCTCAGTACAGCACAGCACAGCCAGCCAGCTTTCTGCTCTCAACTCAATGACGATAGAATACCGCGCATACAGACCACCGGCGGCGTCTGACGACCCGACACAAAAGTCCGAGGAGAAGGACTTGACGGCGATCCAGAATCTGATAGACCAAGTCCTGCAAGAGCCCTACGGGATTTACGTCTACCGCTACTTCATATACCAATGGCCACATCTCTGCTTTCTCGCTCTAGAGGACGGCAATGTGATTGGCGTTATTGTATGCAAGCTTGATCCACATCGGGCAGTCAGGATGAGAGGCTACATAGCGATGATTGCGGTCGTGACAAGACTACGCGGGAAAGGGATCGCGAGCCAGCTGCTTTCGCTGGCGGTGTCAAAGATGATTGAGCTCAAGGCGGACGAGATCGTGCTGGAGACAAGGACAGATAACGAGGCTGCGCTGCGGTTGTATGAGCGGCTGGGATTCGTGAGGAGTAAGCGCATGCATCGGTATTATCTGGACTCGAGCGATGCGTATAGACTTATCCTGCCGCTGACGGAGGAGAGTACGATACGATCTTGTGTGCTCGCTAGTGAGGGAGCGAGTGCGCCGAATGAGCAGGACAATGGGATGTATGTCTAAATGTGTATCGAGAGCCGGATAGTAGGATAGACTAGAAATGGGTTTGGTTTACGGTGTACAGCAGGGCTACAGATCATGATAACGATATAATTACATTCAGCATACTAAACGGAACGACATAAGAGAAAGTAAAACTAAATAACCGCGCATAAACACCTAAAATCCCATCTTAACGCACACTCTGTATACTATTTAATCATCGAGCTTCGGGGCGAGGTAGAACCGCAGATGTCCGCTCGACAGAGGGTACTCGACCAGGACCGGGTTCTCGTCGGCCATCTTGAGAGTGACGGTGTCAGAGAGACCGGTGGCTTTGCAAAAGTTGAGCAGGTACTTGGTCGACAAAGTCAGGCTGACGGGCTCCGACAGCTCGATCTTGGTCGCGTGCTCGGGCTTGTCGGCCGAGGCCGAGGGCTTAAGGGTCACGCTGCCGTTGCCGATGTCTCCCTCGCACGAGAACTTGACGCCGGCTTTTGTGCACTCGATAGTGATGCTCTCGGAGATGGCGTACATATCTCTGCAGATTCTCTGGAACTCGGTCGAGGGCATGGTGACGGTGGCAGCGTACTCAGTCTCGGGGATTCCAAGGTGCTCCTGGTCAATGTCCATCAGCTTGAGAGCGTACTCAGACATGCGGTCCTGCTGAGTGTTCTCAAATCTGATGATGAGCGAGTCAGGCTTCTCCTGAGCCTCGAGAGTCAGCATATCCTCGTTGTTACCGCATCGCAAGATCTTGGTAAGCGATGTCAGGTTGAGGCCGAGAGTGATGTTACGATCGCATCGGTATTCAGAGAAACCATCGGCGTTCAGCTCAAGAGAAATAAGCGAAACGTGCGAAGTGTCCATGGCCTCGAGAGCGATGCCGGTCTCGGAGCAATCAAAGTTGCAGTCCTGGACCAGCTCCTTCGCGGCGTCGACGAGCTATGAGAGGTTAGTGAGTGCGATTGATAATAACAGAGACATGAATAACTCACCTTCTTGAAAAGAGAAGCCTGCTCTAGTTTACCTTCCAGCATTGTGTGACTATAGCTCGTGTTAGCAACCAATCGCGCTATATGCCAGCGCTCGACGAGATCCAAGTCGCAGAGCGATGTCAGTGCCCTCAGATACTATCTAGCGATATTCTTTACGGAAAATAAAATCATGTAATAATCATTTATATATAAAAGTATCCAGTAAAGTTTCGTCATGGGGCAGGCCGGTGTCTTTTGCGAGATGCATGGAAGCAAGACGCGTTAAGGACAGAGGCAGGTAGGCGATCGCGACGATCAGAAGAGCGCACGGCATGAGGCCGGGTAGAGTAGGAAAGGAAGAGCAGGTACTTACTATAAGATAGACGAAGAACTGTTTGAACGAGATGTGAACAAGAGAGAGAAGCAGTGAGAGAGCAGGAAGCAGGGCGCGTGGAGGAGAGAAAAAGAGAAAGAGGAAGAAACGAGGCGAGGAAGGAAGGAAGGGGCAATCAATCTGTTACCCGGACTAAAAAAACACGCGCCGCCGACGCGTTCGATGCACAAAACACGTGTGCATTTGTGCCACGTGACTGATTACCTTATTGATTATGTAACAGGGGGATTTAATCAATTCCCAAAGTCTGAGCCTTTAACTCAGCCAATCTTGGATCCGCGCTTTGTTTCATTTCCATCTGCTTTGGCCGCGCAATTTGTCACCGACAACCAGCCACTAAATCTGCTTGGCCATTGTTGTATTCTGGTCCCTTTTCAGGCCCTGCGTCCTGCTCTGACTGACCCCGGTCCGCCGTCTGATCGCCGCGCATATCCGGCTGATCCAGCTGTGTGCGGCCTCGTCGAGCTGCGCGAGAGTCCGCGCAGCTGCGCTTCGTCATGCTCTGGTCAATTGCCACTCTCAGCTGATCTTCTCCACCAACTTCCTCATTATTCCCAAAATACCCTCAGAATGACGTTCTCCGGGAGGCTGGGAGCAGTTCCTGCATGGCTGGCTCATCGCTCCACTGCCACCGACCGACTGCCCAGCCATGCGCATCGGCAGTGAATACGCTAACCTTATACGGAAATTTACTAGCTATATTAGGCAACTACATGAGCCGCATTACACCCTGAGCCGCACGAGAGTCTCATCTGAAATGAATTCGCCAGCCTCCTCGAGCAAAAGAATGGTAACGGCCCCAGCCCGCGCAGGGTGTATAAGAAGGCCCTCTGCAGGCCTGGGGCTCTTCTCTCTCTTGTATTTGTTTGCTTACTATTTTCATTTTTATCCGCATCGCCTACTCACTCTACAATGGTCCGTCTATCGCTACGCTCGGTAGGCCTTCTCGCCTTACTCTACTCCGCTTCGAGCGCCGTCGCCGCTCCTGCTGCCGAGTCCTCGTCTTATCCCGTCGTTGACATTGACGGTGGTGATAGTATGTTTTTACTTTGAGTAATTGATCTACTCTTTAAGCAATCACTAACACAGCATCTCAACAGCTAGCGCATCCTGCAGTCAAGAAACCGTGACCTTGACCGTCACCGACCAGCCCACCATCACAGAGACCGTATACGCCACGGATGTGTCCACCGCTGCCGTCACAGAGACTGTCACTGCAAAGACTACCGCCTACGAGACGATCTACTCTACCCTCACCGTCAGCAATACCGACACTGCTCTGACCGTGAGCAGCGCCGCAACGCCTACTTATGTCACCGTGACCGAGACTGCCACCGTCACTCCTACCTTGACTGCTACCGACATTGAGACAAAGACATCAGTGATCAAGGTCTATCAGACTTCTACGCTTGTTGAGACCTCGACTAGCTACGAAACCTCAACTGTCGTCGCCGGTCAGACTGCTTCCGACGAACCCACATACGTTACTGTCGAGGTAACCAAGACTGTTACTCCCACCGACACCGTCACCGTCGTCAACACCGCTACATCCGTTGCTTCTGTTTACGAGACTATCACGCGTTACCAGACGCTTACCGCCTACGAGACCTCGACCAAGACCGAGGGCAGCACTGCTTCGGCCTCTGCGGTCTCCTCTTCGGAGCCAGTCACTTACGTCACTGTCACCGCTTACACCACCGTGTCCCCCACTGATGTTGTCACGGTCACAAACACCGCTTCGTCGGTTATCTACCGTGACTCGACTAAGACTGTCGTCAGCACTGCTACTAAGACGTCTTACGTGACAATTCCCACTGTCACTTCGACGTCCTCTGGAAGCTCAAGCGCTGGCTCATCTTCCGGAAGCGCAGGATCTACTTCATCGTCCGCATCCAGCAGTGATACCATTCAGTACGTCACCGTGACACAGCTCTCGACCTTGAGCCCAACCGCGACTGTCACCGTCTCGAACACTGAGTACACGACCTACCTGGTCAGCCAGTCTTCCACCTTGACCAAGACCGCGACCGCTAGCTCAACCGTGACGATCCCGGTGACTGCTTCCTCCAGCTCCGAGGCCATCACCTATGTCACTGTCACCGCTTACACTACGGTTGCCCCGACCGGCACTGTTGATGTTACAAACACCCTGACGTCAACTGCTACCGTCTCCAAGACATCATCCGTCAGCGAGACCGTGACCGAGTCTGATCAGGTATCAAAGACCGTGACCGCGACGCCTTCTTCGTCGATCAGCGAAGACTACGTTACTAAGACTATCACGGAGAGCGGAAGCATCTACACCGTCATTGTCTCCGGCACAAAGACCGTGACCGGTTACGAGACGCTGTACTCGACTGCTACCTCGACCTCGACCGTCACCAACCTTTCCACCACCTACACGACCGCCTACACGACACCGATCGCTCTGACGACCTCAACCTCAACAAGGACACCGGCCGCGACTACAATCACCTTGACTGAAAGCAGCGCCGAGGCTTCGTCCACGTCTTCTTCAAAGTCGTCGTCGCAGAGCATTCCTGTTCTAACCCCTCACTGGAGCAACACCACGATGACTACGAGAACCAGAACAGCTTCGTCGAGCTAAAATCGAAAAAAACATTGAAAAACATACATTTTCAAAAAAAGAAGCATGACAAGATTAATCTAAAGTCTGTGCTATCTATCGACACTCCTTCTTTTCAGTCATTCATTATCACTATTCGGTATTACACGGCGTTTTCATTTGTTTTGTGTTGTCTTTAATGCTTTGGCTGCTATCTCAGCCCCCCACACTCCTTTTTTTCATTCAGAGATCTGCTTTTTTGGTCGCGTGAGTGATATTTTCTGGTCGAGAGAGATGAACCAGAAATTGTACATTAGATGAAGTATTTGTTTGACGAGAGATCAATATAATTACATTACTTATAACTGTCAGTTTCCGCTTTTCGGTGCTAAAACATATATCATTTTGTAGGCTCGGCAATCTTCAATTAGTGCCCGACTTGAAGTGATATAATCCAAAAAAGATGTTCTGTAGAAATGAGGTTCATAATAGTTTCGCGCACCTACTGTCAACGCCAAGGCAGCTGAAGATAATTATATAAGACCTTACATAATATGTGGAATGCCGCGCTTCATGCGGATGAATGCTTCGAAGCAGCCAATATTCTCCTCAGCTCTATCAACTCGCCCCCAGAATTCAGACACCTTCTACTGAACCACTCAATTCCCTTCGACGATCAGTGACAGACAAACGCACTTGTGGCTACGTATGCGATCCGACTGCTAATAAATAAGCTCACTAAGCTCTCTCTCCCCTCGACTTACCTCGATTCATCCAGTCATCTGTGGGTTGTTCAGCAAGAATGCCAGACACCACAGACGACGAGAAAGCGGGCTTGTATCTATATTCAGTGCCGCCACCCTACGCTGATGACGAAGATGAAGCCGGCCCCTCGTCTATGGGATCATCGGCATCTTCAAATATCAATGCGCCTTCAACCGCCGCCGAACGACAGAGCTTCCTCCCGCGCGGACTTGTCCGCCACGAGCCAGATTCAACAGACGGAAATGGAAACACGTCGATAGATCTCTCTACGCCGAGATCATCCACCGAATCCGCGGCCGCTCTGCAGCGCGAGATCGTGCAGATGGATCAGATGGACATCATCGAGCCGCCACAGTTGAATCTGCTGCGCCCCAGCATCTCCTCACGCGTTGTGACCTCGATACAGAAACGGCTGTCGTCAATGGGCCGGTTCAGGCCACGAATGCCGCGGATAAAATTCCCAAGAATAACATTGTTTGACGGGATGTCGCAGCGGTTCACCTTCTTGGCGGCAATTTTCTACTCGATCTCGCTAAACTACCATACCATCACCAGCACTGTCTCGAATGCTTTCAACAAACGGCTTGAGTCACTGGGAAACCCACTACTGATAAAACGCCTCTCGATCGTGTTTTTGCTGACGGTTGGGATGTGGGCTATCGTTGCCTCTGATCTAATCCCGCTGAACGGGACGGGTCCAGGATACTCTCTTCCGCCACGGCAGTACGGTATCAACGATATGCGGCGGTTCTTTTTCCAGTCGGTTGAAGTTGAGTTGCTATCGGAGCAGCTGCACAGTTTGGCAAAGATTCCACATCTGGCAGGAACGAGCGGCGACGTGGCGGTGGCGGTCCAGATCCAAAAGTATCTGTTGGATATGAAGACATTTGATGAGGTCGAGATGACGCAGTATGAAGTGTACTCTACTTTCCCTGACGCGAGTAACACTGCGTTGCAGCTGCTATCTCGAAATGGTAAACGGGATGGTGCGGCTACGTTTGAAGTATCGTTTGAAGCGAACTTGACCGAGCCAGAGGCGGTGCCGGGAATGGGCTCTCAGGAGCCGTTTGCATTTCATGCCTTGTCGGCCGCAGGCGATGTGACTGGCCACATCGTATACGCAAACTATTGTACGCGGAAGGATATGGCGCAGCTGAAAGAATACAGTGTCAAACTGAATGACTCGATTGTGTTTTGCCGGTACGGGCTTGTCCACGAGTCGCTGAAGATCAAGCTCGCCGAGCTCTACGGCGCTGCAGGGGTGGTCTTATTTCGAGACAAGGCGTCGAGCGATATGGTTTCGTACCCTAATGGAACCGCTATTCCGGAAGATGCAGTGCAGCGCGGTAGTGCAGGGCTCAGGAACTGGGCACCGGGCGATCCTCTTAGCGAAGGGTTTCCGTCCACTCCGGTCTCGGCTCGGAATTCAAAAGAGAACTCTACGGCGCTTGTACATATCGCGAGTATTCCAATCTCATGGAGTAACGCGAAGCAGTTTCTGGCGGCCTTGGATGGATACGGAACAAAAGTACCTTCCTGGAAAACAAATTTCGACGGCGTTGATGCGTGGTATACAGGCTCAGAGGACGGTCCACGAGCACATCTAGTGAGCTCGCCGGTGGAAAAAGAGCGGCATCCGATATATAACGTGGTCGCAAAGATAGAAGGCATGGAGCAGGCGGACCAGATTGTGATTATCGGCGCCCATCGCGATTCGTTCTGTTACGGTGCTTCGGACGCGATGTCGGGTACTTCGGTGATGCTGGAAGTTGCTAGGATATTGGGGTACCTCAAGTCCGGGTATAGCTGGCGTCCTCGGCGCACAATCTATTTCATCTCGTGGGATGGTACAGAGGAGAATCTGATGGGCTCTACGGAGTGGGTCGAGGATAACATTGAAAAACTGAGAAGAGGAGGAGCAGCATATATTAATCTCGACCAGGCAATCAGTGGATCAGTGCTGCGTGCGACTGGAGATCCCTTGCTTGAGTCTATTTTTTTGAGATCGCTCAACTATCTCACTGATCCGTTTCACAATGCGACCTTGAGACATCTGTGGGGCAAGAAGCAGGTTTCGTATCCTGAAGGAGGTTTGTTTTCAACGACTGTTTTGAATCTAAAAGTACAGTGACTAACAATATAACTGCAACTAGACCGAGATACTTTGCCTTTCCAGAGCTATGCAGGAATCGCATCAATCGATCTCGGCTTCGCGTCTCCCGGTGGCTTTCCCACACGTACCTGTTTCGACAACCTGGAATGGATGAACTCGTTCGGCGATCCATCCGAGGTCCAGGTCGGCTCGAAACTCGTCGAGCTCGAGGGTCATTTTTCGAAAGCCTCGGATGGTAATCCGTACGTCTACCACAAGCTGTTGACGCAGCTCGTGGGCTCGATGACAATTACTTTGTGCGATGAGATGAATCTTCCGTTTGATTTCGCGGCGTACGCTCGAGCAGTCATATACTTTGCCAACGATCTGCAATCCTACGCGGGCCAGGTGCATCTCGACATCAGCAAGATCCGCGAGGCGGCGGCGGAGCTGCAAAAGAGCGCGGTGGCGATGGACAAGTGGATCAAAGAATGGATGGACGAGTGGGTGATTATGGCGCCGACCGAGACGGCGGCGATGGCGCAGCATCGGTTTAGTCGGAATTCGAGAATGATTAATTTCGAAAAGCATCTGTTGGATCTCGACGGCGTGCCGGGCCGCTCGTGGTTCAAGCACGGTAAGTCCCCTAATCAATTTCCCAACTCTTGAATTTGCAGTGAAAGCTAACGAAACCTCTGCAGTCCTCTTTGCCCCGCAGCAATGGCCGCCAGCGGACCCAGAGTCCCACAAATTTTTCGCAACCGGCACGTTAGCAGCTGTCCGAGACGCGATAGAACAAGGAGACAAGGAGGAAGCGCAGAAGCAGCTTGATGAGATTTCCGCTGTTCTCCTTGCCGCGTCCAAGAAGTTGGTCAATTAGCAGCTTTTTAAACACTTTAGCATTTTTGTTCTGTCATATTTGGAGTTTATAGTTTATGTTCTTTTGTCTTTGGTGTCCTTTGTTCATTCTCTGTGCTTGGCGTTTCTTTACTTCTGAATAACTTGTTCAAAAAATCTGTAGTTATTTGTTCTATCAAGATCCAGCCTAGCTCAACGCCCATAAATTCCCCTTTGTAGCATAAAACTTCGCCACGAGCGTCATGAGCGCTCCAAAGATCATGACGACGGCAGTGAATATCGCGGCGCCGAAATATCGATCACCGTTTGCGGAGATGATTGCGCCCGCGACAGGACCGCCTGCTAAGGCCGCGAAGGCCATGACGGCCGAGATCGTGCCGAGCCGAGCGCCGATTTCGGGACTGGGCGTGATGTCTGCGACGCAGGCTTGGAAAAGGGAGACGGATGCGCCGGAGAAGAAGCCAAAGAGGACGGAGTAGAGGATGATTGCGGGTCTGTTTTCGGCGGGGATCCAGAGTGCGAGGGTGAAGAGGCCGGCGAGGAAGGAGCAGACGGCGTAGGTGTTGAAGCGGCCGAGGCGGTCTGCGGTTATTCCCGGGATGATGCGGCCGAGGATGGAGACGGCGTTGAAGATGGTGATGAGGTAGGATGCAGATTCGCGGGAGAAGCCGCGGGAGACGGCGTGGGAGGGGATGAAGGCGACGGGGATGAAGGCGCCAAAGAAGACGAAGAAGACGGCGATGGTGAGCAGGAGGAACGGTTTTTGCGAGAATGGGCGGATGTATGTTTTCGTAAAGTCGATCTTTTGGAACCCAGGCGGCGGGACGCGTGACTTGGTGAAGACGCAGCAGATGAGCGAGAGTCCAAACATGAAGAACCCGATTCCGCGAACGGCCCAGCCGAAGCCGAACTTGGGCTCGATGCCGTTGAAGATGACGGGCATGATTGCGCCGCCGAGGGCCGAGCCCGCGTGGCCGATGCCGAACGCTGTCGCGCGGTATTTCACAAACCAGGAGGAAGTAGCTGGCGCGGCGGCGTGGAAGACGAGCGCGGAGCCGATGGGGGTCAGGATGCCTTGCGTGAGGATGAATTGGTAGTATTGCGTGCTGATGGAGGTGAGCATGACGCCGAGGGTCATGATGATTGTGCCGGGAATGATGAGTGGTCGCGGGCCCACGACGTCGTAGATGGGACCGACGATGACGGCGAGGAAGATGGTGAGGAAGATGTCGAGCGAGTTGATCCAGGAGATTTGGGAGGGGGAGTAGTCTCGTAGCTGGTTGTTTTGGTAGTAGTCCTGGAAGATGCCTGGGTTCTGTTAGCCTTGAACGAGTCGCGACGGTGAAGAAATGTGTAGATCTCCTACCGATTGCTACCAGATAGCCAAAGGTCGGGAGCATCCCGCAAGTGGCTCCAAAGAGCGTAAGCCATGGGCGATACCCGACGTCGACAGGGTAGAGATGCGGCGAGTCGGGTTCATCAGTTGATCTGTCGATGAGCGAGGTGCATTCATTCACAGACTGTGCTTTCTCAACCGAAATCATCGTGCTGCTGTCGAAAGAGGAGTCTTCCTGGTCATGTTTACTGATAAAAGTCATCGCAGGTCGTCGAGGTTACTACCAGAAAAGGAAATACAGAAGAGAAAGAAGGCAGATCACGCCAGAGAAGAATAAGAAAGCGGGCAAAAAACACCGCGTTGACAGCCTTGCCTCCTCGCTCTCATGAGTTGACACTGAAAAACTGCTTAAATGGCGTGAGAGAAAAGTCTTTGACGGAGGCAGCGAACGTGCGTCTGCTTAAAAAAAGGCAGCCGAGAGATAGTCGAACGCGGGGCGCCGTCGGAACACCCGCAAGTGGCGTCTGAGTCCAACCGCTCTCGAGCTCCCGCACATACGTCGAGCTTCAGCCGTGGTTCTGTTTCTCTATTTCTGTATTCTGGCTGTGTTTTCTTTATTTGCATAACTCTGTTTATCTGTGTGGATTTCAGTCCAGATCTCGGTACACAGTATCGAAACATGCCGCTATCAGCAACAGAGCTTATCGCATCCGTCTTTCTTTCCTGGTGCTCGGGCCCCGACGCCGCCCCGCCGGAGGCCTTCTCTTCCAAGCACTCTCGAAACTCTCGTCCCAGCGACAACTCCAGCAGCAGACAACTCCTTGAGTAGGTGTTTTCAGCTACGCCTGGAGTCGTAGAGAGGCGTAGTGGGGTTTGAAGGCTGCTGAAATAGACTATGGCTTTTGGGCGCATGCGTGAGTCATGTCGACGTACAGGTTGATGTGTGCTGATGAGAGGATGAGATGATGGTAATGGCGTTATGTAAGTTATGACTATCGACGTCCTCGTAGACCTCAACTGCTCAGACTATATAGTAAATAGTACTAACTGTTTAGTATTTCGTAGAAGATTCTCATCTGAGGTGGTTGTTTAGCGCCTGAGTTCAGTCCCGAGTCTGAATATGCATTTCGAGCAGTGAATGTCCAAAGATCATATTCGTAGCACCGTTCAATTTTCTCTTCTCTATACTGTACAAATACGCTCTTCTCCGCCTGATATCATACAACATTAATCATACACTCTTCGTAGCCTACCCCCACAGAATACCTCAGATCAGAACCAAAGATCGGCTCAAGCCCTCATATCGTCGCACCCTCCGCGCTCGCCCGTTCCCAGTCCAAAACATATCTCATCGTCCCGCGGACGCCTAGACTTGAATCCCGCATTCGAGGGAGATTTGACGTCTGATCTGAGCTGTCGTTGCTGTAGTCCCTTGCTGATGGGTTTCGATACTCGTCGTTCGCGGGGTCGTTCAGTCGTTTGTTGACGTCGATGCGCATGGTCATGAAGCGTCCGATGTCTGGGAAGCGGGTTGCGAGACTTGTTTGTGGGAGCCAGTCGATGTATAGTTCTAAGAGCTCAAGGATTATATCTTCAGACGTCGTTAGCATTGCATACACAGCATACAGAGAAAGAAATAGCGTACTCTCGCAATCGTTCGGATCGATCATCAACGTTCGCGCCTGTTCTTTATGGTTCGGGATGTCGCCTTCAAGTAAAGCGGTAGCAATATATATACTAGCCAGGGCGATCGCGTGTGGTGTATGTTTGAGTGGAGCCAGTGTCTTGTATGAATCGAAGCAGACGAACCAGGCTAGCTGAGCCTGCTCCGTATTAACTATAAAAATCGTTAAGTATGTGATAAAAAGTATTGGTTTTCAAAATAGGCTTTGCAACGTACGTTTTAGATGTTTGGAGAACTTCACAATGTATGGGTGAGGATGTCTCATGCGGAAATCAAATGACATAGTCTCAAGCACATGCTGTTCCAGCAACAAAGACTTCCGTCGTTGATCTTCAATGATCTACACCACAAAAAGATCAGCTTCACGCATCACACTTTTCTCTCACAAATTATATCATACCGGCGAGTCCATGCTGATCTCTGGCCCGTTTGGATATCGGACGTTGTACGCGGCAATCACGATATCCTTCATCTTCTTGAGCGTGTCCTCCTTTTTCGACGCGACGAATAAGCACGCGAGCGCGGTGTCGGTGACGTATGGGAAGTCCTGTAGTGAATTAAATAAGTAGAAGCGTTGGAAGAGGATCATTGCGCTTCCGATAGTTCGAATGGGACTGTAGGTTAGATGTTAGACTTGCAGTCGGAAAAAAATGCGTTAGAAAACGATGAGGTTCGTACAATCTCAGTTGCTCTCCTGTGTTTATAATCAGCTGAAACGCATGAAATCGCGACTGATTGTCTCGGGCTCCATCCGTATTGTTCGTCTGCCGCGCGAGATGCGCGATTTGACTGGCAGTAAGGTATGGTCGCGAGAGCTGGATGAGCGTTGGATGCGTAACCGACGAAGACGCGGAGGTCGAGTGCTCCAGCGGCGTCGACCCGGACGAATGAGCTCCTCCGCCAGAACCAAAACCTGCCGGAGACCCGGATTTCGGAGTCGAGCGAGCGTTCATGCTTGGTTCATCAAGAAGACCGATGCTCCATTGATGATTTAGATGCTGTTCACAGGCAATTCGAAATAATTGTATATCACGTGATTGGTCCTGTGACAGTCGTGGCGATCTTTAGTTCTTATCTGCAGATTGCGGCTGCGTTCACGCTTTTCCTCGCAGGTGCTTGAGCCAACGAGCGTTGCAGACCGAGTGTTCAAAGTAAAAACGAAACGAAAAAAATGGTTCATTTAGGCGCAGTGCTGCTGGCGCTTGGCTGTCTGCTGGCGACGGCGGCGGCGGAGAGTGCGGTGCGCCCGGTTGTTATGTGGCACGGTCTCGGCGACGACTACAAGTCGGGAGGGATGCAGCGCGTTGAGAGTCTGATTAAGGATATGTATCCCGGGATATTTGTGCATAGCGTGTATTTGGATGAGGACCCGGAGAAGGATAGCAAAGCGTCGTTGTTTGGCAGCTTGAATGAGCAGGTATGTATACGAGGTGTTTGTCTGCTTGCTGCACGAGTTCTAATATCTACATCGCAGATCCAATTTGTCTGCGACCAACTAGCCTCGATTCCCGAGCTCGCAAACGGCTTCGACGGCCTAGGATTCTCGCAAGGCGGTCTTTTCCTGCGCGGCTACGTCGAGCGCTGCAACGCGCCCAAGGTGCATAATCTGCTGACGTTCGGGTCGCCGCAGAACGGCGTGGAGGACATGCCTCCGTGCGAGAACCCGAGGGATTTCGTGTGTCGTCGGCGGAACGCGGTGCTCAAGACACAGGCGTATGCTGCGTATGCGCAGAACTCGGTCACTGTGGCTCAGTACTATAGAGTAAGGATGTTGTTTGGGAAGGGATGGTGCGTGGAAGGCTGCTAACATGCTGTCTAGGATTTGGATCGGTATGACAAGTATCTGGAGTTCTCTGCGTATCTTGCCGATGTGAACAATGAGAGAAGCACGAAGAATATTACATATGCGGACAATATCAAGTCGCTCGAGAACCTTGTGCTGTATCTGTTTACGGAGGATCAGACCGTTGTTCCGAAGGAGAGTGCTGTAAGTGCTGTGATACTATTTACTGAGATTTTATTTAGAAGCACGAGTGTCTAACAAGGTTGATTATTCTGCAGTGGTTTGGTCAGACCGACAAGTCAAACGGCGCACAGATGAGTCTCGAAGACCGTGCGCTGTTCCAAGAAGACTGGATCGGCCTAAAGTCGCTCTACCAGGACGGCAAGCTCAAGCGCGAGATCCTAGAAGGCCGCCACATGAACATCACGAACGCGACGGTGCTGGACTTTGCGGCAAAGTACCTCGGCTCGAGCGGCCAGTTCGAGCCGATGGTCGCGATGTCGGCGCCGGACGCGGTGCAGGAGGCGATGGTCAGGTTCGGACAGTCGTTTCATGATCGGCTGCAGGTGGTTTTGTCGGCGATGGCGGGGATGGCGTATATGTGAATAGTGGTTGATGTGGTTTGGATGGCAATGCTTTGGCGAGGGTGAGGTGAGGGTGAGGAGGTTGAGGTTTCAGGGGTTGAGTAGAGGATGCGATGCAGCTGTCGCTGTCGCTGTTTCTTTTTTCTTTTTCTTCATTTTTCATGTTTTCTTTTTGGTACGGTTCACGGTTTAGGATATTGGGAATAGAAATACTATCGCTTGCAGAAGTACTTCTACAGCAAGAACCATTTCCCACAGCATCCTGCTGTTTAGAGTAGGAATGGTCAGGAGGGATGCGGTTAGGGCAGCAGCCCGAGCAAAGTCAAAGGTAAGCGGGCAGCCCCTGGAACTTCCCCCTGACTGAGTCCCATCGACTGCCCAAAACCCTGCGCGAAGACCCGCTGCTGTCTGCAGAGAGCTGGATTCGTGTATTCCGACCTCGCAGCAGCGTCTTCTTCTTATACCTCACAACCACCCCCCTCAGATCACCGCAGCCCGCTGCCAGCCGGGTGTTGACACCAGGGCTAGGTGTGTTGGGTATATGAGGGCAAGGGTACTCCTGAGTGCAGAGGTACGCCGCAAAGCGCGGTGTGTTGCGGTACCCGGCCTTGTGCGCGCCCAGCCAACAGCCCGCTGCCCCTGCCTCTGTGCCGTCTTCGTCCACGCCTGCCTCCTACTTCCCTGAGCAGACCCATCGCCGCGAGAATCCTGCCACCTGTGCGCACCGCCACGCATACTTGATCCTCCTGCGCTGATGGCAGAGTTCGATGCTGCAATTGCCCTCCTCGGCCTTGTCGATCAGGACGAGAAGTCGGGTGAATCTGACTCCGCAAGCGAAGTACGTCAAAAAAAGGCCCTGCACCCCTGTTTCCTGCACCCACCCATCCCCCACTCCACTCCACTCCACACCACTAACATTCCCTCATCATCTCTATAGACGTCTGCTGCCGACAAGACTAGTCTGAAGCAAAAGTCAGCTAAACGGGCAAAGAAAAGCAATGGCGTGAAAGACGCTGGAGCGGGCTCGCGACGGCCCTCGGTCGCCTCGGCTGACGCGGGGGGGTCGCCAAAGTCGTCGAAAACAACAGAGATACCGCAGAAACCGGCGACGAGGTCGGCGGCAGAGAAAATGAAACAAGAGGGCGCCGGCGAGTCGGAGGCGGAGAAGGAGAGTCCAAGTCGAGCGAACGAGGGACCGCCGAGCGACAACAATGCGTCGCCGGGCAAACAACAGCAACAACAGCCTACTCCCTCATCACAGTCCACGTCGCGACGCGAATCGGCGGTTTTGTCAGAGAAAACCACGGGCGAAGGGAAGGAGGCGGTCGAGAACCTGTCAGAGTCCGTGAAGCAGGGCCAGCAGACGATGCGCGAGCATGAACGGCAGCAGCTGATGATGCTGCAGGAGCAGCAGCAGGCGCTCATCCAGCAGCGTCTTGAGCAGCAGCATCAAATGGACCAGAACGGACGGGTGCGGTCGCAGTCTGTGCATTCGGCTGATTTGCAGGGCGGGAGTCCTGTCGGCTTAGCAGCAGCGCAGGCGCAGCCTTCGTTCCAGCCGGAAGCAAACTCACAGCAGCAGCAACAGCAGCAGGCGTATCCGCCTTACTACCGGCAACAGCCAGGACAGGCGGGTGGTGGTCAAGCATACTATCCGCAACGATCTTACCCGCAGCAGACCCCGGGCCAGCAGATGTACGCGCAGGGCAACTACCCACAACCCGCGAGCCAGCAGCAGTTTGCATACCCTCCTCAGCAGCAGGCATCGCAGGGCTCCTACCTCTCACCTCAGACGCAGAGCGCGCAGGGACTGTACGCGCCGGGTGTGTCGCAGCCGTCGCAGCAGTTTGTCGCGCAGCAGCCAGCTGGAGGGTTCCAGCCGTCGCCGTCGCAGCAACACGCGCAACCCGCGCCCTATAACGCACAACCTCAGACATACCCGCCACCACAGTCTCAAACCCCCGCAAGTCAGAAATCAAAGTCCAAGACGACAAAGCTGAAACAAAAGAAGCAGTCGTCCTCGCCGCGGGAACAACAACAGTCCTCATCACAGCAACAGCCGTCGCCGGCCGAGCAACAGGCGCCGCCGCGGCTGCCGCCGATCTCGCAGCTTTCGCAGCCGCCGGCGCCGATGGCGCAGTATGCGCAGCAAGAACAACAGATGCCAGCGCGGCCTGCGGACCAGGGCGTGCAGGCGGCGCAGCAGTATGCAGCGGCGTACCACCAGCCCGCGGGGGTGGGTCAAGAGCAGCAGGGGATGATGCAGCAGTATGCGACGCAGCCGATGACGCAGCATCCGATATACGCGCCTGCAGCACAGCAGAGCCAGGCGGGGTATTATACGACGTACCGGGATTCGAATGAGCAGTATGGAGCAGCTGTTGCTGGGACGCAGGCGACAGGGTATCAGCCTTTTATCGATCCTGCTCTGGGCGGTGTTCGACAGGGCCAGCAGGCGCAGCAACTGAGATGTGCGTGTCTTTCCTTTTTCTGTATTGTTTAGAGCTACCTGCTAACAGTTCCAGACTTCCAACAACCAATACAACCCAACAGCGCGCCTCCGATGGTCCCAACTGACAGCCAAGTCCAAGCGCTTGCGCGCACGCCGCGGACGCGCAAGCGACAAGTGAACGGAGCCGAGATGGCGGTAGTTGCGCCGGTGATTGTGCAGCCTGTGCCGACGGGGGCGGCGATCGCGATGGCGGCGGCGGACGCGGTGAGTCCGTTGGAGAACGCGCTGGATGACAAGCGGTTTGAGTGTAGCGAGTGCGGGCGCAAGTTTCGGCGGCGGGAGCATTTGAAGAGGCATATTAGTACTCTTCACCAGCGCGACAAGCGTGAGTGTTTTTCTTTCCCCCTTTTTATTCTAGATGAGGGTATCTGACAATATTGTTGATGGACAGCATATGCGTGCGAGTTCTGCAGCCGACGGTTCTCACGGGGCGATAATTTACTGCAGCATTCGCGGATGCGGCACAGGTACGGACTCGATCTGCGCGATAAAGCACGCTTTGTTGGAGACTGATTTGCTTACCGAGAAGCGTAGGTTGACGGCGACTACGAGGAGTTGAGATGTGACGGTGTACGATAGTGAGTGAGGGAGGAAGGGAGTGAGGAGGGGAGGTGAGGTGAGGGAGGAAGAGGAAGGGTGGATGTAATTGTTGGAATGCAGAGAGTTGTTTTGTTATGTTTTTGTGTTTGTGTTTTACTTGATTGAGTTAAGTGTAATATAGGATTCTCTCTTATTCTCCCTGGGACTAGTATCAAGATTAGATCGCAGGTGTACTAAACCTGCGCATGGACAGATTAAACAGATTAAACAGATGAAGGTCAAAGCGGTCGAAGGAGCAGTCTGCGGGCAAGGGTTATCAAAGCGCGGAGGCCAGGCAAGGTTAATGCAGGAGCGAAGAGATAATGTAAGGCCCGTTTTAAACAGCTGAGAACGCGCCAAAGATATATGTCAGGGAATAGAGGTAGTTTGATGGGGAGGATGGTGAAGCGGCTGAGATGGTGGTGGAGGAGATGAGAGCAGAGGAGAGGAGATAAGGAGATAGAAGACAGGAGAGGAAACGGGTAGAGAAGAGATGAGGAAGGAAGGATACGGGAAATGAAAAGAAATACTCAGGATGCTAGCTTGCGGTGGCCAGCCGTCGAGGTATTCAGAAGCGTTGGGGAGGGTCGGGAAGAGTTATCTGATGTTGTCTAGATGTTTTATGAAGTTGTCTGGTCTATTTATTGCTATAGTTACTGTTTCTCATCACTATCAAACAGATGAAAGTGCCTACAATCAATAAGTTAACAGTCAACTCGGCTCCTTCTCCGTCCGCTTCACTTTCGGTCCACCACAGACCTACTCACCACCATCCCAGCCGTTAGCCGGCACCGACACTCACCGACACTCGCCGTTGCCAGCGGTCTCATCCTGTCTTCCTATTCACACCCTATACTCGTTAATGCACGCCTGTCTCTCTTCTCTTCTAACCCGATCGCAGCTGCATCCGAACAGTACGCATACGCGACTCTTATCAGCCCTGCCACGCGGTGTGTGCATGTGGCCCATCGCCGTTAGAGTTTCAGTCTAATTGGAGGTACTTTCCCTTTCGAGATTAGATGAAAATCAGTAGATTCTTCTTCTTCCTGCTGTTTTGCAATTAAAGCGTACGTGTTGGTAGCTGGTTAGTGCTGGTTAGAAAAATGCTGTTTAGTACACTCACTGCTCCTTTCTTCCTTTGCTCTGCGCTCGGCTCCTGCGCTGCTCTCTCAGATGCCTGTTTTGGCGGTGAATGAGCCCACCGTATTTCCAGCCGCACTCTTACTATTCTCTGCTCTATGTCGGCCTACTGCGCCTTCTTCTTTGCTTCACTAATCATATTCTTATTCTATTCATTCGTATCTACTCATCGTCCACGCCCTCCAACCGCCCCTCCCACCTCCGTCTTGCTATCCCGTCTCACAGGCTTCCCCCTCCCCCGCTTCCCGCTCTCCAACCGCTTTCTCTCCCGCGCCTCCTCCTCCCGCCGCTTCTTATCAATCTTCCGGTTCAACCGCGAGTCCGGCTTCTGGTGCACAAGCTTAATATGCCGGTTCTGCGAGTCCTTCCGATGGAACTTCTTCGTGCACCACGCATAGCTGCAGCTGAACCCGCGCGCCTGCTCGTGCTGGTGCCGGATGTGCCGCGAACACTCGTTCCGGTTCGGGAACCCGACCAGCGACCACGGACATGACTTCTTTGTGCACTTGAACGGCCGCGGCAGCTTCTCCTGCTCAATGTGCTCCCAAAACAAGTACATCGTCGCGTACTTGCGCGAGCAGTGCGAGCATCGGTACATGCCCTTCTTGGTCTGTGCCATCTTCGTCTCAATCGGTATCGAGTCGTCGTCCTCGTCCTCATCCAGACTGTCCTCGTTCTTCTCTTCCGCGTACTCCACCTTCGCCGGCTCCGCATTCGCCTCCACCCCGCTCCACGATTTGCTGCCCTCGCTCTTGATATAGCTCGCGCCGGCCATGTGTCCGTAGTTTGTAGTCTCCGGCATCTGGTAGAACGTACCAAACGCAACCTTAAACCCCAGCTGCGCGGGATCCTCAATGTTCATATTGCGCAGACTCCGTCGGCGCGGCTGCGCCATCAGCATCGGCTCGCTGTGGTGGTGGTGCGCATGGTGCTGGTGTACCTCCGCGGTCGCGTTCTGGAAGTACCCCGTAAACGAAAACGAATGCGCCGGCTGACTGTGGTGCTCGTGCGTCTGCGCCGTCGACGCCTCCGTCAGCTCAGAGCTGCTGTCTCCCTCTTTCTCCTCATCGTCCTCGTCCTCATCGTCCTCGTCCTCATTCTCTTCCGTCTCCGAGGTCTCCCACGACGTCGGACTGCGCGGGTAGAGATAGTTGGGAGCGCCCGGGATGGTCGCAGAGTACGCGAGCTCGCTCTCGTAGGCCGGCATCGAGTGCGGCGACGACAGCGTCGCCGGCGACGTCGCCTTTTCGTACTCGGCCGGCGGGAACTCGGTCGGCGAGTAGTGGTGCTGCGGGCCGTCGGGCGAAGAGGCCGACGCGGCGCTGCCAGAGTTGATCGAGAAGGTCGCCCACTTTGCGCTGTAGTGCCGCGGCGTCTGGCTTGAGAGCTCGGAGTCGTCCTCGAGCGAGGAGATGTACTTTGGCAGAATCTCGACCGGGTCGAGCGAGTGCGAGGACTCGTAGGAGGAGGACGGCATGGGTTGGTAGGTGAGGTGGTCGACTGCGACCTGGAAGTGCTGGTGTTGTTGCTGCTGCTGCTGCTGCTGCTGGGGTAGTTGCTGCATGGTGAGGAGGCTGAAGTAGAAGAGGTCTGAGCGACGGCGCTCGGTAATCAGCTCAGAGGGAATAAGAGGATAATCAGCAGGGATGGGCGCGGAAGTGTTTTCCAGAGCAGACGCAGCAGACCAGGCGAGGTCGAAGAGCGAAGAGCGGCGGCGGGTGGTGATCATGTTTATATTCCTGAATTGTGCGTAAGCGCTGGGGTCCAAAACGAGTGCAGAGACAGCGTCGCAGGCAGGTTCGGGCTGCTTTGTTTGTGCCGGCGAGAAGAAAGCGCGACCCGAGAGCCTTTTTGTAGCGCTTGCGGAGAGGGCACGATAGCGATGCTGAACTCAATTTGCCACGTGGGCCCCAAGGTTTGCCCCTTTGCCTAGTTTGCTAACCTAGTTTGGTCTAGCGCGCTCAGCAAGCGGACGCATGGGCGACCACGCGGTCGCCGCAGACTCGCTACAGAGCGCAGCAGGGTTGGTTTTTTGCTTCCTCCCACTCAACTGTTAGGGCACACACGCAAGGGCCCCGCTCTCGCCGAGCCCGCTCTTATCTCGGCCACCGGCCTGGCTCGAGCAGGGCCACGGCTGAGCACGGCGATCAAGATGCGGTGGGGAAGAAGAACTCTGTAGCAGCCAGATATGACAACAACAAATAATAATAATTTATTATTATAGTAAACAGCGCTATAGACCGCCTGTGCGATGTCGCTGGCAAGAGCGCGGGCGTCTATGCAGAGTCGGTGACATTGGGTCGCCCAGCCCACCCGCAGTCATCCGACTTCAGCCTGGGCGCCCGACCGGCGATGGTCCCCCTCCGCGACCAGCCAGAGACGAGAGCGGGCGAGGACCTGTGCGTATGTGGAGATCCACAGATTGCCTCAAATGAAGTCGGACGCAAGCTCGAGCTCGAGGACGGTCGGCTACGGACCAGCTGCCAGCGCGGGATTAAACTCTGTCGGCGTGCACAGACTGCATATTCTGGGGAAGACTGCGGTTCGGCCGACGCCCCTGCTCCTGCTCCCTGCTCCCTGCTGCTGCGTCTGCTGCGTCTGCTGCGTCTAATGCTTAGCGGCTGTTGCTGGTGCGGAGAACGTCTGCGCTTTTGCCACCGAATGAAAGGCTGTTCGATCGTCGCGCTGGCTGCTGAGTCCCGGAGCAGGTGATTAGAGAGCGCGCGGTAGCACGTAGCAAGCAGCGACTACTATTAGCAGTCATGCTGTATTACAGAATACAGCATAAGAACAGCAGCATCGCTTCCTGTCAGACCTCGACCTCGCTCAGGGCACTCAGGGCACTCAGGGCACTCAGGGCACTCCTGTCACGTCAACGCGCAAGCTGTGGAGATTAATCTGCAAACGTCTAATTGATTGTTCGTTTCTGGAATGCCGGGCGCAGAGGCGAGAAAGGCTGAGACTTTTTACCTTTTCTCTTTGTCGCTCTCGGAGCGAGCGCAGTGCTTGTTTTGGGTGTGGGCGGTGCCGATTTGGGGCCGGCCGGCGAGCGGGAGAAGAGACCTAAGACGGCGGCGGAAGTCGTCCTGTTTTGATTGTAATCTGCTGTAAATTGCTGTTCTGCAACACAAATTGAGAAACAACACAGAATAAGTAAACAATCTAACGCAGACAGGTACCAAATACAACAAACACTTGCAGCAAATGCAGACAGACCCCAGACCTGCACCCGGCGCTCTTTGGGTGCAGTACGCCAATCTACAAATCTTAATTCGGCTACGCGCGCGCGGAGAATACTTTCTCCTTCCTGCTTAGCGCGTTTGGTCTTCTTCTACTCTGCTGGTCCTGTTTGTAATTGTTCTTTCATATTCAGCCTGCTTTCGTCGCTGTGCTGTGCTGCCTTTTCTCCAAACAGCCAGCCATCTCATGAACACCTCGTATCTGCTAGCAAACGACCGCTACTACACCATCTCACTAATCCGGCCCACGTTGCCTCTTGTTCCCGTGCGGATTGCCGTCGTTCTGCCATCCTCCCTGGCCGCCGTCCTGGCCCGGGAAAAAGGCAGGATTAAAGTGTGGCTGGGGAAATCCTTGCGGTGCTATAGAATAGTCGTCGTCGTCAGCACATCTCAAAGTTGTGATTCTAAAACATCAGAAGGTCAGGAGGTTTCTTACGGAATCCGCCAAAGCCGCCGCCCATCATCTGATTGTAGCCTCCGCCTTCCATCCCGCCCCGGCCCCGACCATTGCCCATCCCGCCGCGCATGTTGTTCATCTGCATACCTCCGCGCCCGCCCTGGAATCCAAACACGTTCATCGGCATGCCGTTGAACCCCATGTTCATGTTCGGATTGTACATCCCCGGCATCCCGCCCGGTCCGCCGCCGCCGCCGCCGCCACGGTTGTTGTTGTACCCGCCCCGGTTGTTCATGTATCCGCCGCGGCCGCGCATGCCCATGCCCCCGCGCATGTTGTTGTTCATGCCGCCGCCCATCTGCTGGTGGTTCATGCCTCCGTTCATCTCCCGGCGCGGGCCAGAGTCCTTGTGCACCATCTTGAACGGGTTGCTGTTGGGGTTGTGGTAGGTTACCGTGAATCGCTGCAGCTCTGGAGCGCCGCCCAGGAATGTTTTGACTGCAGTCGCGGCCTGCGGGCTGATGAATTCCATATACACAGCTCTGCGTAAACACCGTCAGCATTGCTTCAGATCAAAACCAAACACAAGCAAACTCACCCTCTCGACTTTCCGTTCGCCTTGTGCTCATTGAACGTAATGTCCTTCAACTCATACTCCACGTTCGCCTGCGCCGACCACCCACGCACATCCTCCTCCGACGTCCACCAGTCGAGATCGGCGATCACCAACGAAGAGGTCGCATACTGATCCACAGGCCGGTTATCAGGCTGCGGGTGGGGTACCGTCACATGCCACTTTCCGCCGCTCGGCTGCTGCACTTGTTGCTTCGATTCTGGATCTCGTTAGACAAAGACACAGCTAGTGATGATCGGCAAACATACCATCGCCAAAGGCCGCGTCTATCTCGACGTCGTCGTCGTGTCCGGCCGTCGTGTTTGCGCTGGTTTGCGGTGCTGACGAGGTATCGTTTTCATCGTCATAGATGTCGATCTCGTAGTTGTAGTCATCAGCCATTTTTAGTAGTTTGTATTTTTGTCAATTGTGTTTGCTGAGGTTTTGAGTGTCCGATTAGACAAGGTGAATGTAGTATATTCTTCAATGAAGTACATGTCAGTGTCCGAGTACCAAGACCATTAAACAAGCGATGAAATATAACAGCAAGCCCTTTCAAAACAGCGGCTTTATACGTAACAGAAAGTAATGGAAAAGAGACCCAGGGATACGTACAGAGTAGGCGCAACAACAAAGAGAACGAACGAGTTTCTTGCTAGGTACAAAGAATAGCAAAGAATCTGCGTTGACAAATAGACGTCCTGTAGAGCGATCGAGTGTCAATGACGACTGAATATATAGGCAGTAACAAGAGATTTCTTCTGATGCCAGAGCATCCAACACAGAACGAGCAGCGGTATTACCTATGCAGATCAATACATTGCGTCAACATAAGCACTCTCATCTTCATCCAAAAATCATAACGGAAGCAACTCCAGTTTGTCACAAATATACCTTAGAAGATCAATTCTCACACTTGCAATAGATACAGTACGTCTTGTTCAAAAACAGTATGTGCTTCTCGAAAAGCAATTCAAGGAATAAAAAGGAAAAAAATTCAATTGATAAGGGTCACAGAACACACTCTGCGCCAGACAACGGATCAGATCAATAGAGATCAATATATAGTCCAGTCAAAGGACGTGCAATCTCAATGCACTCGGTCGGTCTTGTTTGGTCCGGGGTTGGGCTCTGCAAGAACGCGGGTTTTCAAATGGTGATATGATTTAGCGGTGGGCGCGAGGTTTTGAGGGGTGAGGCAGGTGCAGCCAGAGTATATTTGAGAACTACGAATATTACAGTCTACATCACGTGATACAAGTATGCTAGGGAAGTGTAGTGCAGTGATCCTCACGGCTTCGGTCTCGGTGCACGCGAGCGTCGCGGTAGAAGCGCAGAGGTCAGCTGTAGCTGTTTGCAGAAGTAGTGCGTGCTGGATATCTGCATTCTGTGAGGTGGTGATGGCAGAATGCTGAGGAAGTAGGCAGTGGGTGAACTGCGATGACGACGTAAGCATCGGCTAGCTGTCTCCGACTGTTGTTTGCATAGCTCACTCTTCACTCTGCACGACAGCCATACTTTTCCGTCTTTTGCCATCATCTTTTTCTATTTTTCCTTTCTAAAAACGTTTTTTGAACTGCCTCATCGCTTCTGCAAGATGGTCTGATGTTTTATATCCACCACTTCTGTATGAAAATGCTGGATATTACATAATATCATCCACCATGATGACTACCCCGCGATCGCGTGCCAGCCATGCCACCGCCCGAAGCGGCAAATGGCCCCACCGATCCAGGCACCTGCCCGAATCAGCCACCCAAAAAACACAGACATCATCCAGAGACAAGCCAAGCTGGCTGGGGATCCTGCTTGTTCTGAAAATTCTAATCCAGACGAAAAAAGCGAGTGCGTTCGATCATGTGCACCTCCTCGCCGCCGCCACCACGCGCACGCGCGCGCGGGCAGCAGCCTGGGCTGAGTTGAATTGAGTTGAGTTGAGTCTGAGCTCGCATTTGCGCGCGATGGGCTTTGGTCTGTGCTGGGCGAGAAAAAGGGACTCTGCTCGGGGGCTCGGAGCTATGCTATGTGCAGTGCAGCGGGTGCAGCGTAATCTCCCGGATCACCGTAATCAGCCATCATCACACGCAGCATTCTTTCTTCCCCAGTATGTAAACAGACAACAGCAAGCAGCAGAAGAATAAGCAGCAGCAGAATACAAAGCTCCACTATCCGCGTGGTCGTCGTCACATAGCGAAGCAATGCTAATTTCCTCGTGGCAGCTGCAAAATCTTCGTCATCCGCTCGACCTGGCCCTTGACCATGATTGAACAGGTGAGTTGAACAATTCGAATACAGAAAATCAGTTTCTATATTTGCTGGAATCGCCACTCCAGTTCAGCTACTTCATACAACAGCATTCAATCGTACAGAATGTGCACACAGTAAGTGCCATCTTATCTGAAATTGCAGACATAAACTTCAATAACTCTCTTCATTCACCTTGTGACGGCCCTCGCTTCCACGCGCAGCAGTAATTTCAGCTCTTTTCTCTCGCTCGCCTAGTTAGACCTAGGGCTATTCTGAAAGCTTACTCGGCCACCGCCCAACCCCACGCTCTCTTCCAATTTTTTCCTCTCTCTACCGCAATAAGAATAAAGAACTTATGTGACAAGCATACACCCTCGTGGTTTCCTGATCTCGCTCGTGGCAGTGGCCAGACCTGCGCGAAAAAAAAAAACTACGTCAAGCAAAAAAAGATGGAGAACGCGTCGTCGACTGTGATGAGATCTCCGCGTTCGCGCCGTAATTGGCAAGACTGGCTGCTCGAATGAGCCACCACGCGCTCGAGATGCGATTTTAAGCATCAGTCAACGGCGGCCGCGTGCCTGTTTTTTCTGTTTTCTTCGCTGTAGGAAAAATATCGCCTTCGAAAAGAGCTCGGGGTATAAGTATCCACGACTGTAAACTTGCTCCCTCCGTTCGCATATCCTTTATTTCAAGCGACCAAGTCAACGGTGTTCCCGCCCATCTGGAACCGTCAGCCCGTCTACTTCCGTCTCATCCTCGTCGTCTCTTTTTCAATTTTGTGTTTCGCCGAGCCGGTCGCCTGATCGCTTTGAGTTACAGCAAGGTAATTTTAATATTTCATTCCCCAGAGTGTTGGACCCTGACAAGAGCCACCCGCAGCATTCTCTCTCGCTCTGGATTGTCTTTTGAGACCGGACCGGCACGGAAGAGAAATTCCGGGTGCCTGTCAATCTTGTTGTGGAATCCGTCGCTAACCAGACCAATGCAGCTCAAACATATATATACTTTGACCAGGTCCTCATCTGCCTAGTCTTCTTTTTTTCGATCCTTCTGTTCTGGCTTTGGAATATCTCTGGATCAGCATGGAGTTCTCTCCTAAATACACGGAGAATATCAGGACGTTGGACTTGACTTCGCTCCAGGATGTGTTTGATGAAGTGCAGAGAGATTATCTCGAGAAATCAAAGGCCGGCCAAATAACCGGGCCTTGCTATCACAGTCTCAAGTCGTTTTTGTTTGGTATATCCTCTTCTGACATTACACACACATATATATTCCTTATTCTAACAGATGTGGTTCAAGATCGAAAAGTCCCATTCACAGACTGCTGTCCCAACACAGAGCACCTGATCATAGCCGGCGAGGTGATGGACAGCCAAGCCACGATGCTGACCTGTCTGCGCTCGCTCTGCCGTCTCAAACACCTCGAATGCCGGAGCGCGAGCGTCGCGCTCGGCAGCTTCTCCGGCATCGCCGCCCGAGCAAACTGTCCCAAGCTCAACCGGCTCACAATCAACTGCAGCGGCGCGGTGTGCCATGAAAACGTCCACATTGCGAATTTCCTCAAATACCTCCGTCCGTCGTCGCTGAGCCATATCTCAATCACCGGCATCTGCCAGACTGATTCGCTGCAAAAGATCTTTGACGGCATCAGCCACCACGCCTGCTCGCTCAAATCACTCGAACTGTCAGGCGTCTCCCAGCGCATCGTCGGCCTGCTTCCCTCGATCGGCCTCTGCCCGATCCTTCAAGACCTCATCGTGACCACATGCAGCAGCTCCACGCTCTCGTCCGAGCGCCAGGACAAGTTCATGAACTGGCTGGCGTACTACATGCCCGCGGTCGAGAACATCAAGCTGCAATGCTGCGACGCAGAGTACCTCACGCACAAGCTTCTCGCCTGCGCGAGCAACTCCGTCCACACCCTCGAGCTCGGCATCACGCGGCAGAAAGCCGCGCCGGGGTATTACCACGACCTGTTTTTCCGAGCGCTCGCGACGTCGGCGGAACTAAAAGAGGTCTCGATAGTCGACTACTCCACCCCCTGGATCAAGAGCACAATCGCCCGCTTCTGCGACGCAATCGCATACCTCGACGGTCTGAAAAAGCTGAATATAGACGTCATGGGTCTATCCGAGTCCGACTGCATCGCGATCCTGCCGCAGCTGCCGTCGCTCGAAGACCTCAGCGCCCGCTCCAGCTTCTCCGACAACATCCTGCGCGCGGCGTCCCGGCACGCATATCTCCAGCGCCTCAGCAGCACCGCGTATCCGTCGTGCATCTCCGCCGACAGTCTACAGCACCTCTTCGCCGTGCGCGACCAAGACGACGCACTACCCATAACGATCTGCTTCGAAGCCGGCACGCGCGTCGTCAGACAAGCCGCTGACTCGCTCTACACCTCCCAAACCACAGACTCGTGCACGTACTGGGACAAAGGCCCCTCGAGCGCCGTCGTCGCCCTGAGCGAGCACTCGCCCGACTACGCGCCCGAGCTCTGGTTCAACCGGCGCACGACAACATCCTCGTACCCCGACCGCGCGCCGAGCCTCGACTCTGTGACCAGCAGCGACTCGGACGATAGCGAGAGGTGGGCGATGCCGCTTAGTCCGCTGGCGCTGCAGCCTGCGGTGTTTGGCAGCGGAGGGGGGAAAGCGGGGGGGATGGTGTTTGTGAATGATGTGGATTCGGAGGATGAAGCGGCGGAGGGGGGTTTTGAGTACGATATGATTGCATAGGTTTTGGTGCTAATAATTTTTGTGTTGTGTTGTGTATAAATCTGTACTATTTTTGTAACAGTAACTAAAATATCTAAACTAATTATTCATACAATTCTACTCCGTAGTCGTCTCCTCTGCGGCGCTTAAATAATTTCGGCGCTTCGTCTCGACATCGATATTGAACGCAATGAAAACTTCGAACCCTCGTGTGATTACTCCTGGCAGTGCATTATAAAAAATAGACAGTTATACTTGGCGCAATATGGTCTAATCCTTCTATCTTTTGTCTCCCGAGTCCGAAAGTTGAAAAGTTACGTCATCTTGATCCCTGATCTGAGTCGCGCTCCAGAGTCTCGTCGAGGAACCCGCAAACCTTGCTCAGATAGGAAGTTTCTACGACATAGTTATCTTAAACATATCAGGATTATTACTAATATTTGCTTAACTGGCTGATCCACTCTCCAAAACCAAGGCCGCCCCAGTCGACTTCTTCAACCGTTTTTTTTCCGATTTTGAGGCTTATAGATTACAAGGTAACTAGACTACTCTCATCACACAGGAATTATCAAAAGACGGATCTCAACAACAAAAAAACAATACAAAAATTTACTAAACACACACAGAAAACAATTTACCTCCTACTATACACTACCCTATCCTACCTTCCTCATCCTCCACACCCGCACTCTCCCCTTGCGTCAATCTCAGGCATCCGGCAAATAGACCGCGTCAAGGTCATCGGCCTCACCGCTCTCGCGACGCTCGTCTTCTCGTTCCTTCTCGGCTTCCGCGCGCTCTTTGTAGTCCTGCGTCACGCTCACTTTGTCCATCCAGTACGGCACTCTCGATCCCGCTCTATGAAACATCGTTAAGTCATGCGTCGGTAGGAAGCGGTTGGTTATGGGGGACTTACTTGAGAAGAGCTTGTTTCATGTTTCTCGCTTTGTCCTTGAGCATGATTTGATTCTGCCCTTCGAGGAGCGCGAGTTCTGGTATCGCCCTGGGTCCATATATCTTCACAGCGCGAGCCTGGTCGTCAATCACAGCCTGAACAGCCTATTCCCAATACATACACGTTAGTCTCTGACCACCACAGATTCCTCTGACGCGGCTACTTACATGCTCGATCTCGACCCAGTGACAGTTGAAATTCATCATCGCCCCCATAAACACATGCTGCATCTCCATGGTCCACCTCGTGCGTCTGCCCTTGGGTGCCCGAATGAGCCGCGGCCCATCCAGATGCTTGCGCGGCCGCCCGATCTTCCCAGGACTCTTGCTAGCGCTCTTCCCAGGTGTTGGCTCTGGCAGATCAGCAGAAGGCGACGCAGTTGCCTTGGGCGTGCTTTGCGTGGACTCCGGCACGGGAGTGGACGCGACGCTGACGTCTGCAATGGGTTCTTCCACAGCCGCTCCCCGTCCTCTCAAAGTTCTAGTGGACCTGGGTTGAGCGGGTGTATTCTTCGCCGCGGCCTTGGCCCTTTTAGCCGGCGTCTTGGGCTTGGGAGTGACCACCGCCTCTTCCACAGGCGAACCAGCGTCCGGCTCCGGGTTTTCGATGTACTCAGCCTCCGGGGTCTCAGGATGCTCTATCCGCCTCTTCCTTCCCCTTCTCGCGGGCGTCGGTTTCGCAGGCTCTTTTTCCTGCGCGTCGTCTGCCGCTTGAGAGTCAAAGTCGACTTTGTCCCTGCCAGGCTGAGGGTCTGTGAACCGAGACTTTGCATTCTTGGCCTTTGCGCGTGAGTTCGCCGTCCTCGACCTCACTCTTGAAGAAAGAGGGCTGTTGTCGATTTCTGGATCTGCGCTGCTTTCCACAACGCTCTGGACGGCTGCAGCACTGAGGCGACTTTCATAAACTTGTTAGCAGGTGCGTTTCTATATCAGATTTGAGAATCATGTGACTTACGTGTCGACTATGGCCTTAGCCCATTCGGCAAGCAAACCGATGAATTTGGCCCAGGAGTACTTCTCGGTCTCGAGATCCTCAATCAGCTCGAACTTGTTTTTGGCACGGCCGATGATGTCTTTAACCTCGATGTAGTCCTCCAAGGTATAACAATCCTCATTCGCGAGAAGTTTATTAAATTCCTCGATCGCGTTATCGTATTTCTTCAAAAACGTCTGCTTCTCGTCTTTCAACGCGGCCAAAAAAGTCTGGATCGTCAAGTGTAGATAGACCGGTCTACTCTGCTCATCAAGCTCCAGACCAAGGCATTTCGGAAACGCCTTTTGGATCGTAGCTATACTTGACGCGGCCGAGCCGAGATCTTCGCTGTCGACTTTGATCAGGTAGTAGCACAGTTCCGCAAAGTTGGCCCGGTACACGTCCTTTGTGTACTTTTCGCTTACTTCTTTTTCTTTGAATGCGCGCTCGATGAGTTCGGCGTCGACGAAGGTCGTGTCTGGCAAGTTTTTATCGACTCCGAAATACACCTTGCGCGCTGTATGCGGTAAGATAGGGCGTTAGTCGAATGCGATAGCACAGCATAGATAGAGCGAGTAACTTACCCTTGATGGTATCATGATCAACGCCAATATCACGTAGGATATTAGCATCAATCTTCCCCCCAGCCATCTTTGCCATGAAGCCCTGCGAAATAGCACGATCCAGCTGACGATCAGACGACTGGCGCCAGGTATCCAAGCTATCGATAACTCCCTCCTTGTCAACTCTGGTCTCGAGCGCCGACGGCGAGCCATTGTCGGCCTTGGACCTGAACGGACTGGTTATGGCGGCCAGCTTACTGAAACCGAAAAAGCGCGACATTTTTCGATTATTTTTTTTTCCTATCTCTTTCGGTGGCTCTGTATCGCTTGCGGTTTGGATCCGGGAATCTTGCGCTGTCGCCCTACAATCACACGGGCCGCGTCTGTCGCGTTCTCGTTCTCGTTCTCAAAAATCAGAAAATATAGAAACTGCACGCGCAGCAGTCAGACTTCAGTCCCTAGAAGTTATCAGTAACCAAATCGGAAATGCAGACGCATATGCAGATACAGATATCTGTAGAAACCCTGTGATTATTGTTGTGGTTTCCCCTCTCTTCAGATGTGGCGGGCCAAACATTTATTAGGGTTTCTGCAATAGGGTTTAGCTGGATCGAGTAGGGTAGTAGAGTAACGGATATAAACATAAACCATAAGGGTTTCTGATCTCAGCGAGCAGTAAGAAATGAGAAGAGTGATTAACTATACATTAACTATACAATATAGAGTACGCAGCTAGTTTTGGTTGCTGGAGTGTCTAATAATAAATCATGAAAAAGCGCAAATGTAAGTACAAATGTAGATGTAGAAAAAACGCAAGCATGTATGAGATCTGATGGAAACAAGACGCGAAAATGATACATAAGCAAGCAATGCAGACAAATCAATCAGATCTACCCCTCATTCACAAGTATACAGTCTAACAGATCTCTAGCGGTGACATGCAAGAAACCAGCCTCGGCGTCGTTGATGCCAAAGTTGATCATGAGGACGTCGTTGAGCCAGCCGTGGTAGTATGGGTTGACGAACGGGTTTTGAACGAGAGCGGGCTGTGGTTGTTCTTTCTTGGCTGGCGTGGTGGAGGGGGTAGTTGTTGCTTTTGGTATGTCGGTGGAAGGCGTGGTGGTGGTGACGAGTGTGGTGAGCGTGTTGGGAACTTCGCGCTTTTTGATGGTCGCTTTGGCGTCTGCGGTCTGAGACGTTGTAGTAGACAGCACAGGAGCCTGAGTCTTTGTAGAAATAGCAGTAGTACTGGACACGCTGTCTTCAGAAGCAAAGGCTTGGAAGAAGTTTGCCCCATTGCCGAATCTGACCTGCAATTCCGCCAGCTTTTCAATTCCACTTCTCATTCTTCTTGCCCAGGAGCCAGAGTCCTCATCAGCTTCAGCCTTGTCGTCCGCTTTCTTGCTCGCCGCGCGTTCAGACTCAAGCTCATCTTCCTCTTGCTTGACCATATGAGTGCGCTCGGACTGCAACCGCTCCTGCTCGACCGTTTCGTCAGCCTGCTTTTCGCGCATGAGCTGCTTCCGCTTCTCTTCCTTCTCCTGCTTCAGTCTCCGATCGCGGTCTTCCATTTTCTTTTGCCATTTCTCGTCGTTGATGCGGTCCCGCTCGTTGAGAACCCGCCACACCTCTTGTCCGCCGTGTTTTTTCTCGTCCCAGGGCTCGTGGCGCGCGTAGTGCTGGCTGTCCCAGATCATGGAGACGGTGTACACCATTGTCTTCTCGTCCACGCCGGCATAGTGCAGGCTTCCGGTGCGGCCGATGATGTCGAACGGAGCGGTAGCGTTCATGATGACTGCGAAGCGTCGATAGAAGAGCTCGTAGAAGTTTTTGTACTTGACATGCAGAATCTCGACGATAACGGTGTTGTGGATAGTTGGGATGCAGGGGAAGTCGCAGAGCGTGACGCGGAGAGTGTTGGATGCCTGGTGGAGATCGTTGGCCGAAGTTCGCTTGTCCTTGAAGGTCTGGATCAGAGAAGTGACAACCTTGGGGGTTTTGTTGCCAATATTGACGACTTCCGGTAGAGCGCCCTTCTTCTTTGCCGGCGGGGGGTCGAGAAGCGAGACGGTGCGTCGGTTGGTGTCGTGCTGGATCCATCCGACGTTCTTCTCGTCGTACATGACGAACCAGTTCTTTTCGACCTCAGATAACACCGGCCGCGTGAGCTCGGTCAGCTTTTTGTACCGCACCGGCACATTCTCGAGCTTCATTTTGGCGCCCAGGTCTGGGATCACCGCACGCAGATCGATGACGTACTGATGCAGACAGTTGTGCCGTCCGTTCGTGCCGACGACCATCAGCGGCTCTCCGCGCGGCGAGAAAAAGACTCGCGGATCGGTATGGCCCTGCATGAGGGACAGGAACGGGATCGTCTTGCAGAGCCCGGGCGGAGTAGGCCATTCCTTCTCAAACTGGATGGTCTTTGCCCGCCCGTCGCACTCGAGCATTGTGCGTCCGATTGTTCGCGACTGGATCCATTTGAGGTCGCACCAAACTAGCTCGTGGTGGTACAACGATCTGAGCGGACTGATGCGCGCGATCCCGAGGTAAGGCAACTTTGATCCGGGGGGGTATGGCAGGATGTTGGGGTTGTAGCGGGGAGTGCGGTCGCCCCAGAGGAACTCGACGCGCGCCATGGTGCCTTCGTCGGTGACGGCGTTGGTGAGGAAGTTGCTGTGCACGCCGGGCTTTTTCTGCTTGCTGGAGCAGTACGCGAGCTGCTTCAGAGGATTGGGGTCGAAGTGCAGTTCGCGATTGCGTCGGTACTGCGCGGCAAAGTTTTCCCATCTGGCCTTTTTCTCGTTGATCTTGCGCTGCTCCTCCTTGGAGATCACGACCGGCGTGGGGGAGGGTACGAGGGAGGAGGAGGTGGTGGTTAGGGACGCGTCGGCTGGCTTGTCGCAGCCCAGGATCTGGTGGCAGGAGCGTTGCAGGTGAGCGGAGACTTTGTTGGAGAAGGCATAGAGGTTGCTGGCGTAGGTGCCGTCGCGCGGGCCGGCGGGGGAAGAGTTAATGGTGCGGTTTTGAAGGAAGAGTGTCAAGACAACGGCTGTCACTAGGAAGTAGGACAGCAAACGGCGGCGGCGGAGGCGGGCGCGGCGAGTCAGGATCCAGATGACAGTCATTGTCTGTGGATGCAGGACGGGATACCATGAAACAGAAGAAGATGATGATGAGGAGGAGGGAAACAGAACAGGAGAGGCAGAACAGGAGAGGCGGACTGAGAAAAGGAGGAGGGTGGTAGGAAGCCGCATGGAGGCCGAGTGCTGCAGCATCGGCTTTGAGCCAGGCGGGTGCTAATAAGCTGCTGGCAGATATACGAGCCGAAGGTACAGAGCAGGTGGGGTATTTGGGTACCGGAGCAGAAGGTTTGCGAGTCGCTTGCTCAGCTAAGAGCTTAGACGACGTGCAGATATGCAGTCAAGAGATGCGGTTAATACAGCAAGCAGCAGATGAGCTGCAATGGCGATGAACTGCGCATTGCGGCGGGGTGAATGTAGTTTCTTGCACGCGCCCAGTACGCCTGGCTGGATATCACAGCACCAATTGCAGGCACGCGCAGGGCGTAGAAGAGAAATGGCAACGGCTCTGCAGAGCTGTAGAGAACGAGCAGCGACCGGGCAGCGTTCTGAGCAGTGAGCTAGCAACGGGTACGTACAGGAGAGCATTAAGCAATCGTCTCTAAGCAGGAAACGGTAGAGTTCAGGCCGTGCATGCGTATCCTGAGCGTGTCTCGGCGGCGAACTTCGCATCAGCGCACTTCGCTGTCGGCAGTTCTCTCGAGAAACGCTTCTGCGGGTGTTTTCCCCGGACGAACAGTGATGATGATGGTGATGCTACTGCTACTTCTACTTCTACTACTTCTACAGTTACTGCTACTGTTACTGTTACTGCTACTACTGCTAGCACCCTCGCCACCTTCCGACAGCCACTTCCATCTCGAACTCTATCTGCCGCACGCTCCCCGCGCCTGCCAAAGCAGATTGCTGCCTGCGTACTAATACCTTCACGTGACTTAATACTCCAACTGAAGCTGACGGTGACATAACCTTCTGCTCGAGGCCTGTACGTACGCATATCGCAGGCCGGCGCGCAGACACAGACACTGCGCTGGCCGGCGTGGACTGCCGGTCGGCGGTCGCCACACCGACGTCGTCGCGTCGTCGTCGACGTTGTCTTGGGCTCCGACGAGCTGACGTTGGTTTGTTTCGGGAATAAATTGGGGCGACCCTGGTAACTGGGCTGTCATCCGGCGGCGAGAGCGTACACTGTTCGGCGAGAGTTAGTCGGCGGTACGGACGAGGGAAGATAAATACACGTCTATCATTCACTCGTCTTGTTTTTATCTTCTTCTCGTCATTTGCCAGTCTTCTCTGCTCCCTGCTCGTAAGTCATATGCGTTAAGAAACCGTTAGCTTAAGGCTTAGCGCTGCACCCTATTGCAGACTAGTCCTCCACCGGCCACCGTGTTTTCGCGCAATAATTTCCGGTATCACTGCTGAGTCAACGACGTACCCGCTTCACTGCGGAATTAGTCGTCCACCAGTATCCAGCCTCTCGCGGGCTTATGCGGACCTAAAGCGCGTACCGTTCTACATAGCGAAGCAGTGAGTGATACCTGTAGATCATATATCGTGTATTAGACTGGCAGACGCGAAATACGGGCGCAACTACGGGGGAAGCAGCATCCAGATGTGACCATCCGGATTATTCTTCCATATCCCCTCTCAGCTGCATTCCTCTCCCTCCTCATATCACGGACTTATCACGGACCGACGCCAGCAGAATTTTTCATTAACCGCTCGCATCACAGATTTATCATCATCAAAGCGGATCCGTGATTAAACCCTTAACCACAGGACACCAGACGTCGGCGCACGGCCCTTAATGTAAACAAAGCATCTAATTCTTGCTTCTCGGATCTTGCTGCAACACCTGCACTGCACGCGCTTCTTTGTTAATTATGACTCGCGTATATGATCTACAAAACCTATGATGTCTGGTATTGACGAGCATGCCAAAAATGCGTCAGTAGATCAACAACTGCCAATCTTCCGAGTGCAGCTGAATTGTCTCGACACCTACCAGTCGCCTGCAACCTCTTATGATCGAGACGCGAGTCCTCTGAAAGACCTGGCCGACCAGAAGTTCCGCACTGTACCAGTTATACGTGTTTTTGGAAATGCAGACACTGGCCAGAAAGTGTGCGCGCACATACATGGTGTATATCCGTATTTGTTTATCGAGTACCGCGGTCCACTCGACAGATCAGCGGGTGAGTCTTACCAAACTGATCGTGCTATTTCTATTCAGCTAACAGTCTCTCAAATCTTCCAGTTGACGACTATATAAAAACCCTCACTGCGGGTATCAATTCCGCCTTTTGCGTCTCGCTGAACAATCGCCGCTCCAAAAACACATTCGTCGCAAACATCATTCTCTGCAAAGCCGTGCCTTTCTACGGTTTCCATGTCGGCTGGAGCTATTACCTCAAGATCTACATTCTCGATCCAGGTCTGATGAACCGCCTGGCTGACCTTCTGCGCAATGGTGCTGTACTTGGATCCCCCTTCGACGTCTATGAGGCCCATATTCCATATCTCTTGCAGTTTTTCATCGACTTTAATCTCTACGGATGTGCATGGATGAACCTTTCCGACGTGCGCTTCAGATCCCCTGTTCCCGCATCAAGCCCTTTTGGCGCCGTCAAACATTTCGAATGGGACAGTCATTCAATCTCGCCCACCTTGCTCTCCGATCCCTCTGAGTTTCAGAGAGCGTCCTACTGCGAGCTTGAAGTTGATATACAGGCGCAGGATATATTGAACAGATACGAGATCAAAGAACGAAACCTCCATCAGGACTTCATCGAGCTCAGAAATCCCCTGCCTGATGATTATAAATATATGACCAGCACGGCTGAACTGTGGAAAGATGAACGGTCGCGTCGGAAGTTATTGAATATCTATAAGCAGGTTGACACACTTACACCTGAAGCAAAACGTGGAGCAGATATACACTGGAGAGAGGATAGCCGGTTCTGGAAGAGGCTGAATTTAGCAATCAATGCCGATGCAGAGGCTGTCAGACAGCAAGGACCTTTCCGTCTATCGAGCTCAGATCAGGGTATCATGACTGCCTTCAATCTAGTTGACAATATGTTTCTCCGTCCGTCGGAAAAACAAAACACGTTCTCCGCGGATTCAACGTACGAAGACAGCTTCTGGGACGGGCTGGACCCCGAAGAGTTAGCTGCTATCGACGACCAGAAATCAGACGCAAAACCTCTGACGAGCGATGACACAGAAACTCATTTTGCCATGGGTCAAACGAAGCTGAAGCGCAAGGTTGGTAGATTGTCTAGTGCATTTACATTGTCATGTTCTAACTGTTTCGTAGGCGCTCGCAAATAGCTCGACCTCTGAATCTTTGTCAAACATAACGACTTCTCCTGAAGTTCTTGCGTCTGACGCTTCGCCTAGTGACTTGAGAAAAACGCATAGCATGACAGCTAAAAGAGCAGATCGAACGCAGCTATCTATAACCGAACTCGGGGAAATCACAAAATTAGTACACAGTCAGTCACAAGGTTCAAAGAAATCCTCGCAGAGTCTGTCTCTTGCACCGAAACGGCGGAAGTCGCAGCATTCATTTACTTTTTCGAGGTTGTCTATGCATTCCGCAGTTAGTGCAACTCCAGGTACGACTTCTCTTTACTATCAGCAGACTCTAGTTTTCATAACTCTAACTAGACAAATCTAGAAACGGCACTCGCCAAGCTCGAGGCAGATATTCGTCGCAGCTTTGGTATTACTTCAGAGTTGGCGGCCAATCCTGAACTTCCTCCTAAGCCGTCGATGATTATGAAAACACTGCCCGAGCCAAAAAGTTTGTACCAGCAAGCGTACTACGGAAACGACGACGACGTTCCGTCTTTTGCGCGTGAATACGGTGGTCGCGAGTTCAAGCTGGAGGGTAAATCGGTTCGGTATCTGCCTGATTTCAATGCAGGTGTTAGGTCTGAGTCTGGTTTGCGGGACAATAAAGACTGCAGGTGGCGGGTTTGGCAGTATGCTGATCTGCCACCTTCGAGGGTTGCTGTTCAAAAGTGGCTGTGTGAGTCCAAGGATACGCAAGTGAAACCCGCTTCGCGAGCTGCTACGCGGTGTCAGGTATGATCAATATTGTTGTGTAATATGTTTCGCTGTACTGACAGAATTCAGATCACCGGTCCTACACAGATATCTCCCGATCGAGCGCGGCGCCGTGAGTCTCTGAGTTTTAAATATTCCTCGACAGCGATGTCGGTTATGAGCTTGGAACTTCATGTCAACTCGCGGGGCAAGCTTCTGCCAGACCCGAAACTCGACCCTGTAACGTTCGTCGTCTGGATATTTCAGCCTTCGAGCAAGCAGGATTACGAGACATCTACCGACGATCTGGTCAGGGGAATGATTGCGGTCTCAGACGACGCTGAGGAGCAGGCTATTTTGTCAAAGTTGTCGGGATTTGATGATTTTGTCGTTGTGTCTACAGAATTGGAGCTGCTGAACACTCTTACTGACAAGATTCGCGAGCATGATCCTGACATTCTTGCTGGCTTTGAGATTCACAACTCGTCGTGGGGTTATCTGGTCGACCGTTCTAGAGCAAAGTACGAATACGACATCAGCGAAGATTTCTCAAGACTCATCATTCCCAAAGAAAGTCGCAGCAACGCAGACCGCTGGGGCGCAACGCATGCGTCGTCGATCCATACCACTGGCCGACATGTGCTTAATTTATGGCGATTACTGAAGGGCTCTGCGGATTTGCTGCGGTACACGCTGCAGAATTGCGCGTTTCACTTTCTGAAGAAACGGATCCCGTTTTACGACAGCGAACGGCTTTCGGAATGGTACCAGTCGAAAACCGCGGGCAAAATGCAGAGAGTTATCCGCAGCTGTGTCACGCGCGCGCAGCTGAACCTCGAGTTCCTCGACACTTTAGAGATCATCGACCGCACGAGCGAGCAAGCGCGCGTTCTCGGCGTCGATTTCTACTCCGTCATCTCCCGCGGCTCGCAGTATAAAGTGGAATCGCTCATGTTTCGGATCGCAAAGGCGGAGAACTTTATGCTTGTCTCGCCGAGTCGGGCGCAGGTGGGGCGGCAGAACGCGCTGGTTGCGTTGCCGATTGTTATGGAGCCGGATAGTAATTTTTTCACGAGCCCCGTTGTCATTTTGGATTTCCAGTCTTTGTATCCTTCGATTATTACTGCGTTTAATTATTGGTATGTGCTTCTCCTGTTTTTTTAGTACGGATTAGAGGTTAACGGTGGTAGTTACTCTACATGTCTGGGGCGCGTCGAACAGTGGAATGGACGGAATAAACTAGGGTTTGTGAACGACCTCGCGATCCCTACAGGTCTTTTGTCATATTTGAAGGACTATATAAATAGTGAGTGGTTTTGAGATCGAAGTTCACTGGACGGGAGTGCTGATTGTCATATAGTATCACCCAACGGCCTGGTCTTTTTGAAAAAATCAGTGCGAAGGTCACTGCTGTCAAAGATGCTTTCCGAGGTGCTTGATACCCGCGTGATGGTCAAGAACGAGATGAAGCGCACGGAGAACGGGTCGCTCAGACGACTGCTCGGCAACAGGCAGCAAGCGCTCAAGTTCATCTCGGTCGTGACGTACGGGTACACGTCCGCCTCGTTTTCCGGGCGGATGCCGTGCGCAGAGCTCGCGGACGCGATCGTCGAGACGGGAAGGGAGATGCTTGAGCGCGCGATCGAGATGATAAACACGGACCGCAAGTGGGGTGCGCGGGTGGTCTATGGCGATACGGATAGTATGTTTGTGCATATCCCCGGGCGGACCAAGGACGAGGCGTTTGATATCGGCAAGGAGATTGCGGACCGCGTGACGGCGATGTATCCCCAGCCGGTGAAGCTCAAGTTGGAGAAAGTGTATTTGCCGTGCATATTGATGGCGAAGAAGAGGTATGTGGGGTTTATGTACGAGACGAAGGGGCAGAAGGAGCCGGTGTTTGATGCGAAGGGGATCGAGACTGTGAGGCGGGATGGCACTCCTGCTGAGCAGAAGATTGAGGAAAAGGCGTTGAGGTGAGTTTTTCTGTTAATTTTCAGACTATGCATGTCGAAAGCTAACAGGTTACAGGATCCTATTCCGCACATCAGATTTATCAGCAGTGAAAGCATACTTCACAGAGCAATGCACCAAGATAATGAGCGGCGACGTCTCGATCCAGGATTTCTGCTTCTCCAAAGCCGTCAAACTGGGAACCTACAGCGGTCCCACTCTACCCCCCAGCGCCGCGATTTCTGTCAAGAAAATGCACGAAGACGCTCGCGCCGAGCCGCAGTACGGCGAACGAGTCCCGTACGTGGTCGTCTCTGGCGCGCCTGGGTCGCGACTAGTCGACCGCTGCGTGGCGCCGGAGATGCTGCTGAACGGTAGCGGGCAGCTATTTCTGGACGCGGAGTACTACATCACAAAGAACCTGATTCCGCCGCTCGAGCGGATTTTCAATCTGGTGGGTGCGAATGTGCGGCAGTGGTATGAGACGATGCCGAAGGTTGTGCAGTTTTCGGGGTCGGCGTCTGCGGTTTTGGAGGGCGCGGCGGGGGCGGGGAGGAAGGGGAAAGGGATGACGTTGCATTCGTATATGAAGACGAGTGGGTGTGTTGTTTGTGGGCGGGTTGCGTCCTCGGAGGGAGGTATGTTAATATCTTACTACTTGGGCTGGTATATGAGTTTTTCTGACCTTTGATATTATAGACATGTGTGAGTCCTGCAGCACCAACCTCCCCAGCAGCATCTACACCGTCCGAACCCGCGAACGCGAGCACGAGCGTAACACGCGCAAGCTCGAGGCGCTCTGTCGCGCATGCACGGGTGCGCCGAACGGGTTCGAGATCGGCTGCGTGTCGCAGGACTGCGCGGTGTATTACTCGCGGGTGCGGGAGCTGGCGAAGTTGCAGCGGGCGAGGAGGGTTAGTGGGGTTGTTATGGGTGTTGATCGGAGGGAGTTGGAGTGGTGATGGTGAGTGTTTTTGTAGGGCTGGGTTTTTATAGGGTCTGGAGTTTTGGGTGTATATATGTATTATGTACTATAATGACAACATGTGTATGAATAAGAATAAAAAAGGACATCACGGTCATGAATCATGGCACTAATGATACAAACGCTCCAAAGAATATAAGAAAATGAAGAAACCATTAAACTCCTCCGGTCGTAGAATAATAAAAATGCAATGTAGAAGAAAGAAAGAAAGAAAGAATTTGATCTCATAAATTCAAGAAGTGTACCCGGAAATGTAGGCATTGTGTACATAGATGGATATACAAGGCTCTCGAGGGCATACAGAGATGCAGAGATTTCAGCAAGATGACACTTTTGTGCTCTTTTTCGAATGTCACATTTGTAGAGCGTTCGTTGTACGGGTGTCGAGCAGCCGCGATGACGAAGATGTCAAACGAGTGTGTTGTCTTGCAAGAGAGCAAGAGAGCTGATGCAGAAGATGAAGAAACAGAGGCGCGCTTCATATGAGAGAAAAGTGATTTCTCACTCGCGCAGATATCGCCTCTTCTCATCTCTAGCAGCAAAAACAGCAGCAACACTCCGGCTCAGAATGCACATGTCTAACATACCCCGGCGCATACACCGGCGCAACCGAGCCATACGCATACCCGCCGACCGGGTACGCGGGACCGATGTACGGCCGCGGAGCGACCACGATCGTGGGGCCGAAGCGCGCGTGGTGGTGGCCGTGGTGGTGGCCGAAACCGCCGCCGAAATGGCCGCCGCCGCCAAAGTGGCCGTGGCCGCCGTGGAAACCGCCGCCGCCGCCGAAGTGGCCGTGCTGTTGTAGAGTGTTAGTGTGTGTGTGGAAGGGGAAGTGGTGAGGGTGGGAATGTGAGGGGGTGCTTACTCCTCCGTGTCCGTGACCCATGTTGATGTAGGTGGTGGGTAGTGAGTGTAGGTAAAAGACGATGAAAGTGTAGTTGATTAGACCACGAATATGCAGACAGAAGTATTTATACAACAATCAGCTGCAACAACAACAAAGAATCTGATCCAGACCCGAGCTCGAAACAGGATCCGAGCATCAACTTATATCCTCCGTCCAGAACATACGCACGGCTATCTCCCTACGCGTAAGCCCGGCCCGCTGACGTAACATTTCACAATGAGCTTACTAACGCACTGCATATCAGGTCAGCAGACGCGCGGGTTATGCGGCCGGCACGCGAATACGAAGGTGCGCCTCCGCCGGCGGCCGGAGTTGAGCGTCACGCAGGGGTATGACGTAGGTGGGAGTGGTTTGTAAGCTGGGTGTGTGCTGATGGTGCGGATGCGCAGGGCACGAGGGGGGAGGGAGTTGAGAGGCGGGATTGGGAGTAGGTCAGCTTGGTGATGTGAGTCAGAGGACGGTGGATGGAGGTCGGCGATGGGTGTGGAGGTTGGTAGGGAGTGAGTTTAGGAGACCAAGAGGGAAGGTCTGATGGAGGGCGAGTTAGAGATTCTGAAGCTGAACACCGTGAACTAGAAGACGAACTGGGCAGCGTCTCTCGACTCTGAACGTCTGATGTAAAGAGATCTGAGAAACGGCGGGGATGAGTGGCGGGGTGAGCCGTGAACTGCAAACTGATCGAAGAGCCAGATTATCATTGACCGCTTTTGATCTCGTAGAAGCACTATTCTCAATTCTTATCAATCGTTTGAATCACAGAAGCTGCAGTCGATATCCCGCCCGAGTATGTCAGTGTACTCTTCGCGCAATAGTTCGCGCGGTCAGGTACTGGTGGGTGAGAGAAGTTGGTGAAGTAGGAGGAGTCTGATGGTTAGTATTGCAGGACTATCGCGACCATCCTAGCATCCGAAGCATCTCAAGAACGCCTTCTCTCTGAACCTCTACTGAACACCTCCACTAAGCACCTCCACCTCCACTGCCAAACTACTCTAAAAACAAGAACCATCCTCACAAACCCCATCATCATCATCGCTGATATAAAACACAACTCACTTAAGAAACCACAGAACCCCCTGAAAAACAAACTTTCTTCTCGCATCCCACCCTACACCCTCCCCCTCCCCCTCGACGCGTATATCGAGATCGCCCAAACCCATCCGCGCCCTCTCAATCCGCATTCTGCTCGTTGCTTCGTTGCTGCTTGCTTGCTGTTGCTTGGTGCTGCTTGGTGCAGGGGTCGATGATCATATGGCGACGATGCAGGCTATATTGTACGACAAGAAAAAGAACGGAGTCGCGCTTCTTAAACGGCGGACGAGGGAAGGGACGGTTGTTGTTCGGTATGTGGTTTATTTTGCCTTTGATGACATAAGAGGGGTTTTCTGTGCGTGTGCTAATTTTCTGTGAGTAAAGGACAAAAGCGGTGAGAGTGGAGAATGATAGAGCGTCTTCGAAAGGAGCATCAGAAGCGCAATCCAATGTCAGTGGCCAAAAAATCCTTATTTCAATTACAAGACCTGATTCTGACGATATACATCCCCCCGCAGCTCCGTCTCGTCAAAGACGGCAAAGACGACAACCCCGAGCGCAAGACGTTCCTGAAACGCGTCAACATCGACAACCCGCACGCGCCCATCACGGTCTACAACGACGTCGACGACGAGCCCTGTCCGCCGATCAAGAAGCACTTCAAGTTTGTCGGCTCGCTGTACTACCACCCGACCGTGGTCCCGCCGGACCCGAGCCTCTATGTCGGCTGCAGCTGTCCCGGGGGCGTGTGCGTGGAGAATGAGTGCGAGTGCGCGGTGCCGGGACAGGGGTTTTCGTATCTTGAGGGGGGGATTTTGCAGTATTCGGGAGACGAGGTGTATGAGTGTAACGATAACTGTGCGTGCGGGAGTAATTGTCCAAACCGGGTCGTGCAGCGAGGGCGGCAAGTCCGTCTACAGATCTTCAAGACGGCAAAGAAAGGATGGGGTGAGCATTTACCTCGTTATCTTCCTCTTCGAGCTCATCTGACGTTTTCTAGGCCTCCGATCCCCGGAATTCATACAAGCAGGCCAATTTGTCATCGCATACTACGGCGAGCTGATCACGCTCGCATCAGCCGAAGACCGCTCGTTTGTGTACGAGAATCTCTCGCGAGGAAGTATGTCGTACGTCATGGACCTAGATTTCTTCTTTGACAGCGAGGACGACGAGGGCGGCGCAGACTCGCTGCCGCCGCCCGAGAAAAAACATTCGTCCAGCAAGAAGACGACCAACGGCGCAAAGAAACCAGATAAGGGCTACAACCGCGAATTCTACAGCATCGACGCAACAACCTACGGCAACGTCGCCCGCTTCGCAAACCACTCGTGCGATCCCAACCTCGTAATCGTCTCCGTCTTCAAGAGCAAGAACGTGACGAACCTGTACGATGCCGCGTTCTTCGCGGTCAAGGACATCGAGCCGCTGACCGAGCTCACGTTTGATTACATCGCCGGGAATTCGATGGAGGACGAGGAAGGTGGTCGCGCGGGGGGCGGGGCAGGCGGGGAGGGGGTCTCGCGGTCGGCGTTGCAGTTGCAGGAGTGTTTTTGCGGGGCGGAGCGGTGTCGCGGGAAGGTGTGGCTTAAGAAGTGATTTTTGCTTTCTCGTTGCTTTCTACGTGTATTTGTTTTACGTGTATGGTATCTGGATGTGCTGTGATGATATTCCACGTCGGCGTTTGTTCTTTCTCTAGGTTCTCCAACATCTGTATATATACAATCTTCATAACCCATCACCACGTCTCCTCCAAATACCGCCCACTCCGATCCAATTCCGCAACAAACCCCTCGCCATTCCCACCCGTCGCCCCATCCAGCGCCTCCACCAGCGCCGTCCGCACCGCCCGCGGCATCTTGCCTTTACTCCCGCACACCCAGACGTAGCCGCCGCGGTTCACAAGCATGTCTGCGACATGCGCAGCGATGGCCGGGCGCGAGAGTACGTTTTGTACGTACCGCAGCTTATTCCCGTCGCGCGAGAAGCAGGCGTAGACCGTAGCTGGACTGCTGCTGGTGCCGTTGCTGCTTGAGATCGTGACGATGCCGGCGTCGTCTACTTCCTCGGCGGGAGAGATGGCAGTGTGCCAGTCTTCGAGGTAGTAGAAATCCGCCGCCCGCGACCGATTCCCAAACACGAGCACCGACTCTGCACTTCCACCCGCGCCCTCTATCTCCCCCTTAGCCGCGTCTGCATCAGCGCCCGCAACGGCGCCACGCCCGTCCCCGGCCCGACTAAAACCACAGGCTTATCCGCCGGCGGCGGCGTAGTTTGCGGCGCGCTGATCTCGTACAGAAAACTGGCGCCGGGAGAGAGGTCTGCTATGTATGTCGAGCACACGCCTTTTCGGACGCGTCGGAGTACGGTTTGGTATCTTACTATCGCAATCAGGAGTTCGATCTCGGGAGAGGAAGAGGAGGAGGGTGTCCAGCCTGCGATAGAGTATTGCCGAGGGCGTAGCTGGCTGAACACGTCGAGGACGTATTCAACCGGTACTTTAACCGAATCAAACTCCGTCAAGCATTCGAGCGCCGACCGCCGCGGCCGATCGGCGTAGTCATATCTGTCCTGTGTGAACTCCTCGTTTCCCGCGTCGCCAAACTCTTTCAGCTTTATCCGCTGCTGCTCGTTTCCGCGCGAGAAGAAGCTGAGGGTGTCGAAGAACGTCGCGCGCGGGACGGCCGTGATGTCGAGGTGGTACGTGAGTAAGCTGCGGAGCGTGAGCGGCGTCGTGGTAGCCCATTTGCGGACCGCGGGCGGGACCGAAAGGTGCTTGTCGGCCACGGGTGTCCAGTTCTGGGACTCGATCAGGGATGAGACGTCGGCGTCGTTGTTTCGGGAGTAGATTAAGAGGGTTGCGCCTGGAGTGAGTGCGGGGAAGGTGTGGGTTGGGTCTGGGGATAGTTTGAAGATGCGCGTGTCTTGGAAATGGGTCGAGGGCGTTATGCGTTGATTGCACGTCACGGTACCGACTCTTGAAGCCGCTGTCGTTCGCGATTGAAGAATAGAATATTCATCCACAACAGCCACCTCGTCATCCAAAACAGACACCGGCATAAGAGGAGACAACACCACGTCCTCCGGAATCGGCACACTCCCGCCCGCCAACGGAAACCTCCTACTCAACTCCTCACAAAAACTACTCGCCCACGCCGAATACGCCGCCTCAATCCCCCCCGTCGCGGCCTCGTCGCCCTCGGCGCGCGTGCAAAACTCAGACGCGCCTAACTGCAACATCCGCTTGTGCAGCTTCTTCGCCGTCCAGTTGAACCGCGCGTAGGCAGAGTCGCCGAGGCCAAAGGTGGTGAATTGAATGCCCGCGCAGGCGGCGCTGGTTAGTTTCCGCCGCAGCAGGGCGCGCCAGAGACGGCGCGCGTGGCGGGGGACTTCGCCGTTGCCGGTGGTTGAGCAGACAAAGATCACAATCGGGACAGAGTCAGTGTCATCATCAGCGGCGGCGGCAGGACGGGGCGTGAGTAAGAGCCTATACACGCGCTCGACGTCGTCGGCGTCGAGGACAGAGGCGCGGAACCGCAGGCGCAGGACGCGTTTGCATAGGTTCTCGGCTAGCGATTGCGCGGTGCCGGTTTCAGAGAAATACACGATCGCCACAGACGGGCCATGCTCGGCCGTCATTCTCCTGTAACTTATCTATAAATGTTGGTGCAGGTGGTGGAGTTGATACCTCGAGTAATAAATTCATTTGGTGGATGAGTGCACGTGACTTAATTCTCAGGGGTTTTCCTCATTCGAATCAGGTCGATCAGCTCATCAGCTCACTCCGAGGCAGCGGGTATCTCGAGAACAGACAACATCTACGCAGCTATGATTCGCAGTCTGTCGACAAAGTCCTGCAGCAGGAGAGTGGCTGCAGCATTGAGCAGCAGCTGCAGCGGCAAACGATTCAATTCGGCCTCTACTACTCCTACTCCCGCACCGATACCAGCAGCAGGCGACCGCAAACTCCCGCCTCTGTCCCCACGCACGCGGGACTTTCTCGCGCGTCTGATCCGCGTCGACCAAGCGGGCGAGTTGGGCGCAGACCTGATCTACTCAGGCCAACACGCGGTCTTCAAGCGCACCCGACCGGATCTGGAGCCGCTGATTGCGCACATGTGGGATCAAGAAGTTTACCACCACAAGACCTTTGACGCGCTGCAGACCACGCACCGCGTGCGCCCGTCTGTGTTTTCGCCGCTGTGGACGGTGGCGGCGTATGGTCTCGGCGTCGGGACCGCGGTGATGGGCAAAGAAGCCGCGATGGCGTGCACGCTCGCGGTCGAGACTGTGATTGGAGGGCATTATAACGATCAGCTGCGGGAGCTTGTGGCGCTGATCGAGAGCGAGGCGGCGGTGGCGGAGGATGGAAGGGCGAGCGAGGAGCTGAGGGAGTTGGCGAAGATGGTTAGTCGGTTTAGGGATGATGAACTTGAGCATTTGGAGACGGCGGTCGAGCATGATGCTGAGAAGGCGAGGCCGTATATATTGCTGACGGAGACTATCAAAGCTGGATGTCGGGCAGCTGTCTGGACCGCTGAGAGATTCTAAGAGATCATAAAGAATATATTTTTGTACATAAACACAGACTTTTACTATGCAGATGCAGACGTACATTACGAAGTAGAATCCATAACCTCAACCGCAGGAACATCAGAATCATTAGTACCCCAAGTCCCACTCATCTTCGCCTCGCGAATCCTGCCCGCCCAATAAGGCCCAATCAACTCCTCGCTAACCTCATACAGCGCGTCGACGACATCGCCGCGCAGCCGCATGAGCTCGTAGCCCATCTTGCCGCTCTTGGAGAGAACTACGTCCATGACGCCCGGCATCGAGACTAGGATCTGTGCGCCGCTGTTGCTGCTGCTGCTGCCGTCGCCGCTGGACGCGGACGCAAGTTCTTTGCATACGCGGAGGAGGTCTGGGACGGGTAGCCGGAGGAGGTTTTGCGAGGTAAGCGAGGAGGAGAGAAGGCTGCGCGCAAGAGCCGAGCGCATGAGGTTACAAGTGATGTCGACGAGCGAGGCGCTGGTGATTGGATATCCGCGCAGCAGGGCGGGATTGTGCTCGGCCAGATAGTCTCCCGGAACCAGGGTAAGAATCGCGCGGTCCGAGTCGTCGCGGAGGGTGAGGTTTTTGGTGATGTGTAGGGATGCGTCGATGTCGGCAAAGATCTCGGACCGCGTCTGCGCGAGCCTGCCTAGCGCGCGAGCGGCGGCGGTGCGTTCGAGGCCGATGGCGGAGGAGGAGGTGTATATGTCTGCGATCTCGAGGTATGCAGGTTTTGTAGAGTAGAAGATCGACGGCGGGAGAAAGAGTTCGAGCAGGGATTCGTAGAACTGGATCGTGACGAGCTCGGCGAGGATATCATCCGACGCGACGGCGAAGCAGATCAGGTTCTCGGGGACATCGTCGACGCCGGCCGAGCTGTGCCGCAGGATGATCAGACTGAGACCCTGGATGCGCGAGGCCACGACGGCAGAGCTGCCAAACTGCAGCCGGATCTCGCTCAGCTGTCTGATGACGAGCGGGCGCACGGAGGAGGAGGTGGGGTGCGTGAGGAACTTGTCGACTGCTTTCTCTATGCGCGCGACGACGCCTTCCGAGAGCTTTTCGCGCGTGATGAGCGCAAGGAGGCCAGCAAGCACATGCTCGCTCTCGTCCTCTGCCGCCGTCGCAAAGTCAAAACAGGAAAGAAAACCAACGGCAGCCTGTCTGATTTTATCGTGCGTATCCGCCGCAACAGTCCCAATCAAGACATCAGCCGATCCCGCGACCGCGCATACCTCAGTCCAAGAAAGTGAGCCAGAGGCCACGATCGGATCAATCACGTCGTCGACGAGCACGGCCGCGGTCTCGGAGGGCAGGGATCTGAACTGCAGCACGCGCGCGATGCCAGGCCAGACGGCGGTCAGCGCGCCGGGGTGGGGTGTTCCTGCGAGACGCAGCGCGGAGATGTAGAGCTGGCATGCTTGTGCGGAGGGTATTTTTGCGTCTGACGAGGCCGCGAGGAAGGCAGCCAGGGCGGCGTACGGATCGTCGGCCATTGTCGATGCTGTGCTGTCTACGCTGTCTACGACTACGAGATGGGATCAGAGATGATGACGGTGCGGCTCATTAAGTAATCTATTCTTGTTATGTAATCTATGACAAATCACACAAAGACAAAGAGGAAGCTCGCTACGAGGTGGCGGGAGGAGGGCAGGGACAGGACAGGGATGGAAAGGCCAGAGAAAGGCGAAGGCGGCTCCGGCGGCGAACGGGACGACAGGCGAACAGAGGCGGTGAGTCAGGCGAGCGAGCGACAAGGGGAAGGCCCGATCCGGCGATAGAAGAAGCCAGCGATCAGTGGTGCACTGCCGCAATCAAAGAATTGTAAATGTGAGGAGGAAGAAGAGGAGGTGGTGATGGTGGTGGAGGAGGAGGGTTAAGGCTATCGGAGTTTGAGATAGGCTCACGGATGCGGCAGTGATGAAGCGATTAGGAGAATATGATTACGAGTCGGAGGCAGACGTGTGGCAATATAATTACGATTAGGAGAACATAAAGGAGACTATCGAAGAATAAAGAAGAAGGCGAAGAAGAAAACAAAGACAGAAGACAAATAAACGCCCACAATGTAGAATAATAAAGGAGAAAGCAAGAAGAGAAGCCATACAGCTCGAAAGGAGATGGCACGACAAATGTATGCAGCACCGAGCAAGTATATCCGTACACCACGCCATAAAGATCTATCATGTTCATTGACCGTATCCAAGAAAAAGAGAATAAAAAGTAGAAGAAGAAAAGTAGAAGAAAAAGAAGAAAGATTAAAGCGCTCGCAGCCTCATGTAAGAGGAAATAATATAACCATTAGACGCCAGAAAGGGAAATTGTAGAATGAATCGTGTATATGCGCTGAATGTCAACTCTGATGATGTCGAGCATCAGGAAAAGATCAGGAAGTAGAGTGATTAGAAGGTACTCCAGTTCCAATCCGTGGGCACGTAGCTGCCGGTGCGATCAGAGGGCGTGGCCGCGACGTGGGCTCCGTAGCTAGCCGGTGATCCCTGGTGCGGGATCGCGAGCCCGCCGAGCTGCTGCTGCACACGCATCTGGATCTGGCGCGAAAGCGCAGCAGCTTTAGAGTCGGCCATGAACTGGCTCGAGTCGCTGCTGGAGGACCGCGAGGCGTCGAGGCCGTCGATGACCTCGGGCGTGGCCGAGCGGGAGGAGAAGTAGGAAGGCGTAGCGGCGGCGGCGGCGGTAGATGCTGCGGTCGGGGTTGTGACGGCGGAAGAGTGCTCGTCGTCAGAGAGATCGAGGTTCGCGCCGCCGTAGGAGGAGGAGTTGTTTGCGTGGTCGTTGCTGTTGCGGACCATGGAGGTGATGTAGTTGATGTTTGAGAGCGAGGCGTCCTGCGAGTTGAGGGCCTCGATGACTGTGCGGTTGAAGTCGTTTGCGCAGGAGTCGCAGGTGCGGGAGAGGGTGCCGGACGGATGGAAGTCGTTCTTCTGGTCGAGTCTGAGGATGTGGGAGGAGTGGGCGGCGCAGAAGATCTGGCCACAGCGGCGGCAGTGATGCCGGCGCTCCCAGAAGGTGAAGGCCTTGGGGCACTGCTTGCAGGAGGAGACGGAGTCGTCGGGGACCCAGTGGGCGCGGGAAGGCGGGCCGGTGACGGGCGGGAGGGTGCCCCAGAAGAGCTGCTGGGACCAGTCGACGTCGTTGACTTTGAGGGAGGTACCGTAGCGGAGGACGGCGGGGCGGTAGAGCGGCTTCTTGAGCGAGCGCAGGTGGGGCGGCGGAGGGGGGGCGGGGTGATGAAGGCCGAGCGGGCGGAGGTGGGAGAGGAGCCGGTGAGGACGGGCGGGCTGTTGATGATTGAGGAGGTCGAGGAGGAGGAGGCGGTCGAGGAGGCGGAGGAGGATGGGGAGACGAGGGAGGGATGGGAGGCGGAGGAGAGCTTAGGGTGGGACTGCATGGTGGAGTACATGGGAGAGGAGGAGAGAGGAGGAGGAAAAGAAGAGAAGAAGAAGAGGAGGAGAAGAAGAGGAGGAGAAGAAGATGATGATGATGAGAATAAGAAGAAGAGAACAACGACGAGAAGCAGAACAGAAGAACGAAAGCAATCACCAACCGGTGGTGAAGAGGACGAGGACCGAGACAGAAGCTTTTCGAGATAGACGAAGGCGCTGCACCCGCCACAGCCGCCGACCGAGCCACGTGAGGCGGTGCAGAGATGGGCTCGCGTGAAGCCGCTCGGCCAATCCGCGCGCGCTGATTTCGCTGTTGTCGGTCTAGTCCGAGGGCGGAAGATGCTGTTGTTAAGAGGAAGGAGTTGCTGTTATTGTATTGTAATAGTATCAGAATACACAATAACAATACTAATACACATAAACACACACAATCACTGCACACACACTCTACTTTCACTATCGGCGCCTATCGCCTGTGGCGGTTTGGCGCTAGTCTCAATCAGGAAGCTGCCTCTTTCGGTCCTTTTTCCCGCGCTTTTGTTTACTCGGCCTGACTCGTCCTCGCCCTCGTCTTATCGCGCACAGCCGTCATCTGATCACGATCTGCTATCGCTCCACATGATCTGCCCTATCCACTCCCGTACTGGCCCGGGTACGTCCCGTGCTGCTGCTGCTGCTGCTGGTGCTGCTGCGAAACATGCGCCAGTGCCTCCGCCCCCATCAGCGCGGGATCAATCTGCTGGCTCTGCTGCTGCATGTGCTGCTGCACCGCCAGCAGGCCGTGTGTCTGCTGCGTAGGGTGGTGATGGTGCTGCTGCTGCTGTTGTAGATGGTGTAGCTGCGGCGTCGGCAGATGCTGGTGCTGTGCCTGCTGCTGATGCTGCTGTAACTGCGACGAAACCGTTGGGCCTGCTGTCGGCGCCGGTGGCTGCTGCTGCGGAGTGGTCTTCGTTTGAATCGGTAGTCCCTCCTCCGTAACCGTACTCCTCTCCTTCTTCTCGTGGATCTTGGGCGTCTCCGGATGCGACCGATGCGCATACGCCAACGTGATCCACGAATTCGTCCTCGAAAAACACATCATCACCCGCCCTTCGCACTTGAAAAACTCCCTCGTCTTTGTCCGCCGCTGTCGCACGCCGCCGCCCTCCCGCATCCGCTTCGTCCGGTCATACGCGCCCTTGCGCTCCTCCGCCCGCGAGCAGCTGAAATTGTACTTTCCGCCGTCCGGGTGCGGCCGTCCGCCCTTTCGCAGCTGGAAAAAATACCCCGTCGCATCATACAGCGCGTCGCGGATCATCAGCGCCGCCAACTTCTGGCTCTCGTGCGTGTCGCGCGTCACCGCGTCCACCGTCCGCGCAGGACACGTCTCCGTCCTCGGCAGCACCGTCTCGCTCATCAGCGTGATCCGGAACCGCGCCGCGGGCTGGTTGATGTCGAATTCCCCATGCTGGTCGTGCGTCACCATAAACTCCTGCAGCGAGCTCAGAAACTCCTCGTATGTCGTGCACCGGCTCAGGTAGTCCACCGTCCCGCCGTGCTGCCGCTCCTCGTCGTCCTCGTCGTCCTCGCCGGGGTTGCTGCTTCCTGGACCTCCTGCCGCTGCCGCCGCCGCTGCTGCTTTATACTGCTGCGTAGCCGACGCCACTGCCTCTGCGATCTGCACCGGATCCATATCTCCTCCCGAACTGGCTGCCGCGGCAGCAGCAGCAGCGGCCGCGACCGCCTGCGCGGTCTGCTGCTCGCTGAGTTCCTCGCGGCGGCGCTTGCGGTTCTGGATGCCCTTTGCGCGGCAACGGTGACAGGAGCGCATGAACTGGCCGTCCGAGACCGAGGTGAAGGCGGCGAGCAGCTCTTCGCGCGAGTTGCGCACGACGCGCGATTTGCAGCCGGAGCAGGGGTAGATGTACTGCGTCACGGGGTGGACCGAGTCTGGCTGCGTGTGGGTTTGTATTTGGAGTTTTGTTTCGTCCATGTGTGTAGTGTAGTAGCTGTGTTGTGTAGTTGTAGCTGTGTTGTGTAGTTGTAGTTGTAGTTGTAGTATCTTGATAGTCCTACTCCTCAATGTTTTGATCCTCGACGCGTCAAGCTAAGACCGTGCGCGTTGTTGTTATTGCGGAGCAGGCAGCGGGAAAACTGGTGATCGGGGCGCGGGAAGTGTGATTGCGGCAGGTTTCGGACCGGCGGCGTAGGGCTCCGGACGGGTGTTTTGGGGCCCAGAACAAGAACTGCGGATCCAGGATTAGACTGAGATTCGCTTAGGCCTGGACTTCGACTCTGATTCTGTGTAGAAGTATTTGGTGATTATCAAAGAGACAGAAGAAAGGGAATGAAGATATAGTCACTGTATAGTCTTGTCAGTTCCTGCGCTTTCATTCAGTGCATCGCGAGCTGTGCATAGTGCTCCGGCTCAAATTCTCACTCTTTGTCGCTCCACTCTACCTCATCTCTGATCTCTCTGGTCCCCTGAGCTATGGCTGGTGCGGATCCCTGGGACGATAACTGGACCGCGTCTGTATGTTTCTTCTGTTTGTTGGATGTGTTGCGTTGAGTTGATTGTGTCTCTATACTCTCATACTCTCACTCCCACTCTCACTCCCACTCTCACTCTCACTCTCACTCTCACTCTCACTCTCACTCTCACTCTCATCGCAATCCTCAAGATCAGAGCACAGCTAACCAGAGCTACCTCGCAGAGCCCCTCCTCAACCCAGCAGCAGTCCACCGCCCCCGGCGTCATCGTCGTCGAATCAAACGACCAAGTCCGCAAACTATTCTCTCCCCCGCGCGACTCGCCCGCCGCCGACGACGACAGCGCCCGTTCTGCCCAACCACCTATGTACGTCTTCACCTCCTTCTCTGTCTCGTTTGTCCTTTATCTACTAATCACTCTTTTTATATAACAGCAAATATGAGGTCCAGACATCAACCCCCGGCTCCCACTACAAACCCCAACTCCGCATCCTAAAGCGCGCACAAGATCACCCTCCATCACCAACCACCGCTGTCGGCAGCAGCAGCAGCAGCAGCAGTAGACAACCAGGCGAGACCGAGACCGAGCGGCTTGAGCGCGTACGCAGGGAGAAAGAGGCAAAGTATCGCGCTGCAAGAGAACGCGTGTTTGGAAGTTCCGCAGAGAGCGGCGGGAGTGGTGGGAAGAGCGGCGGCCATTCGCATGCGAGTCCTGCGAGTGGGTCGTCGGCAAGGTCGTCGAATAGTACTACGACTTCTCGTCACCATGCAAGTAGTGCTAACGCAGGTACTAGCAACAACAACAACAACAACAACAACAGCAGCAGGAGAAATAACAATAATCCGTCTGGTGGACCGCAGCCGTTGTGGCCTTCACGGGCGCCGCGAGGGCCAGATGAGAGCGGAGCCGGGTTTGGTTCGCGCAGGGGACAGAATCATCCCCGGCAGTCTAGCTAGGGGGTTATAGTGATGCGTGTCTGTAGATTGTGGTTTTGTGTTTGAAATATTTAGGAAATAATTTGATGGCTTTTTTGTGTCTTGGTTGGTATGGCAGGATAGTCTGTCTATTACTGAAGCCCTACTAATAACTTGAAAACTTCAACCACCCTCACCACAAGAGTCAACAACAACAACAACAACAATCTCATGACTCACCAGATTACAATCGTCGACCTCCAACTGGCCAAAACCAACACTAAGTCAACCACCACAGCCGTCGACGCACAACCTGGTGGTATTCTCGCTACAACCTCGCTCCGGTATCGGACCACCTTCCGCCGATATCGGCCCCATCCATCCACTCACCTCCACCCCCCAGCCTCCCTGGTCTCTTCGACTGCAAATAGAAGGCTCAATTGGTGCATGGTCTGAATGCGCTGGTGGGGGCACTGTAGACTCATTTTTCAAGGCGAGCGATATCGGGCGACGAGCGGGAATAAAATCTGCCCTGCATCTCTGTTTTTCGAGTCCTGATATCAATCTCCATCATCCACCGCAGCACCATGACTTCCACTACCGGCACCAAACAAACAGACCAATGGTCTCCAACCGACTACGTCGCGCACGCATCCTTCGTCCCCGCGCTCGCCACGCGCGTCGTCACGCTGCTCGATCCGCAGGAATCAGACACCATCCTCGATCTCGGCTGCGGCGACGGCGTGCTCAGTCTTGAGCTTGCGGCCCGGTGCGCACACGTGCACGCCACCGACTCGTCCGAGAAGATGGTCGCCTACGCGGGCGCGAGAGCAGCTGCGAAGGACGACGGGAAAATGAGGGTGCAGGTTATCGATGCTGCGACAGAGGTTGCGCAGCTCGTGCCGGCGGGGACGTACAACAAGGTCTTTTCGAGCGCGACGTATCACTGGGTCTTTGGCTCTGTCCGCACCACCGCCGAGCGACAGCGCGCGATCAAGGACGTCTACGAGATCTTACCCTCCGGCGGCGTGTTTGTAGTCGAATGCGGCGGGCAGGGAAATATCGCCGAGATCCTTGTCGCGCTTACGAGCTGTGTGATCAACGCGTGGGCGCGCAAGGGCGTCGTGCGCACGGCGGAGGAGATCAGGCAGACGCTGTGGCCGTGGTATTTTGTGTCGGACGCAGAGATGCGCGAGTGGTTGACGAGCGCGGGGTTTACGATCGACGTGCTCGAGAGCGAGTATCGGCCGACGACGCTGAACGGGAGCGACGAGGGCATGAAAGGGTGGTTGCAGACCTTTGGGTTTACGTTCTGGGCGGGCTTGAGCGAGAGTGAGAAGTGGGCTGCGATCGATGAGGCGGTGGAGATGCTTAGAGGGGCGGACTGGGTTGAGTATTCAAAGAGTTGGGTTGCTGGGTATGTTAGATGCAGGTTTAGAGCTGTGAAGAAGTAGTGATAGAAGAGGATAGAGTTATTAGTTAAATCGATCGATTGCATGTCTTGAACACAAAAGAGAAAATGAAAGAAAGAAAGAGATCGAAAGAAGAAAACAAATCAGCTCGCAAAAGCTTAGAACTTTTCCTCCTTGAGACCGTGCTTCCAGAACACAATATAAGGAGTGACACCGTCCTCGCGGTAGTTGAGGAGAGCGACCCTAGAATGCTGTTAGTATTTGCTTCTTCGTTGTATAAATGTGGAGTAGGATACGTACATTCCCTCGGGGTCCATGGACTCGCCGGTGAAGAACTCCCAGTCCTTGAAGCTGGCGACCACCTTCTTGATGTAGGTCTGCGCGCCCTTCTCGAAAGCGGAAACCTGGTCGGGGGCGGTCTCGGCGAGCTTGGCCTTGACAGCCTTCATGTATCCCTGTATAGCAAAGTCATAATCAGCACCCTGTCTCAAGCAACCTGGACGCTATCATTACACACCTTAACGTAGGTCAAGAACATCTTCTTGTCGAACTGGGTCGACTGCAATCGGAAAGAGTAGACGATGTTGTTGACGGTCTCGACACCCTCCTCGAGCGCATCGTCGCCATCCTCGGCAGAGGGGTTGGCACCGATATCGACGTCGCCGCCCTGCTTGACCTGGATCATCTGGCAGTCGACTTCGTAGACGGCTCCGTCGACCTCCTTGAGCGCGTAGGCGTCCGAGATCATCTGCTAGGTATTAGTGGTGTGAAGAATAGCATAGGTTAGCAATGATTTGATAAGTACCTCGTCGCCAGAGATAGTGTCCTGTATTGTCTGTTAGCCATCTTTCTCTTATGCACACAACTGAGCAAGCAGAACACAAAGAACAAATACACACCTTGTAAAGCAGCATTTTGGTAGTTATTAGTAGAGAGTAGAGTAGTTCAAGAGAAGTGTTCTAAAGACAAGAAGAAGGCGACAGGAAAAAAATCACAAAAAAACTCCAAAATTTGAGGTTTTAGGTTTCTGCCTTTGCCACGTTTATTTAACTTTTAATCTTTGCTTATGTCATTTTTTATATAATCCTACTAACCCCAGCACCAACGTCAGCACAGCGCTGCTGCAAACCCGCCGCCTTTTGTCGCCTCGCCGCCGTTCGTCGCTGCTTCCAGCTCCCCTTCGCCTTCCTCTCCGTGCTGCCTCTTCCCCGGTCCCCGTCGTGTTCTTCTTCTTCGCAAGGACCTCTCTCTCCGCTTCTACGCAATGGCCAGCTCAAGAAACTACGATATCCTCATTAAGCTGCTGCTTATCGGTGACTCGGGTACGTCGCCTTCCTCCCCCTTCCTGCCTCCACTCCCTTCCGTGTCTCGCGCGCTCGCGCCTGGGCTCTCTCTGCCGCCGGCTGTGTTCTGTCGATCGCCCGCGGAACAGCTCTGTCGATTTGTGTGTTATACCGCTATACCCTCGTCCATCTTCTTTCGCCCGCTGCGGCCTCAGTTCCACATGCCGTGTAAGTGCCGGCGGACAATCCCGTGCTCATCAAGTCATCAATACCACGCACAGATCGTCATTCATCGCCGGCTCAGCTCCCGCCGTGCACTGTATGGCTCGGTTGCTTGATCTAGCTTTGAGTGAACTGTCGCGGATTGCGCGGTGCAGACTGGGTTCTTTGCAGCGCTGATCACTGCCGGTGAAGATCTAGATGTGGTGTCATCGTGTATGTCACTTGTGCTGCTGCATATGGCTGGGCTGTACAGTGCACGTCTTTGAAATTATAACAGTGCAGAAAAACATATTCAGCTTTCAGACTTGATTCGACTTTTTATACATATGTGCTGTGCGACGATCTATATTTGTCTATATGGCATCATGTGATACCCGATACCCACCATCCAAAGCCATCAGAGCTTTGAGCCTAGAGCAAGCAGCAGAGAGAAGGACAAACGGAAGATGTGAAAGATTATAAACCCCCGCTAACCCCATCCTAGGCGTCGGAAAGTCATGTCTGCTGCTCCGCTTCAGTGAAGACTCGTTCACGCCGTCGTTCATCACCACAATCGGCATAGACTTCAAGATCCGAACGATCGACCTCGACGGCAAGCGCATCAAAATGCAAATCTGGGACACGGCCGGCCAGGAGCGATTCCGAACAATCACGACGGCGTACTACCGCGGCGCGATGGGCATCTTGCTCGTCTACGACGTCACGGACGAGAAATCGTTCAACAACATCCGCAACTGGTTCGCCAACGTCGAGCAGCACGCGTCCGAGGGCGTCAACAAGCTGCTTATCGGCAACAAGTGCGACTGGGAGGAGAAGCGGGCCGTGTCGACCGAGCAGGGCAAGGCGCTCGCGAACGAGCTCGGCATCCCGTTCATCGAGGCGAGCGCAAAGGCAAACATCAACGTCGAGGAAGCCTTTGTCTCGCTCGCGCGGCAGATCAAGCAGCGGGTCGACCTGGCTTCAGAGCCGCAGCCGTCCAGCAGCGGCGTTGATATCAACAATTCGAAGAGCAGCAGCGGCGGCGGAAAGTGCTGCTAAGCGCTTTTATTCTCCCTTTATTTTATCTATTCTTTGTTTTTTATTTCTTGAGTGCTGGGGACGAAGGGTGTGGGTGTGTACGTGTGTGGAGAGTTTCTTTTGAGGACAAGAGACCCGGATGAGCAAACGCAAACAAATACATAGAAAGCAAATAAACCGAGTATATGTCTACGAAATAATATATCTTCATTATATCTACCTCAGCTCGACCTTCTGAACAGTCGCATACATATGAAGCTCCACAGTCTTGGAATTTCTTGTTTGTTATCTAGCAGCTTGTTTCTTTTCTTGCTTTTCTGTGATAAGTTTGTTAGTTGTCTGTTTTTCTCATTACATTGAATTTCCACGAGAATATAATCTGCATCCACCACGTCTTGTCTTTTGCGGTGGGCGTTTGGATCGATCTCGATATTCTAGTTTTTGTCTGTTCGGTTCAAGTGACCATTTTCTTCTATCTATTTGTCGTTATTCAGTGCTTAATTGATTGTCTGTAACTCGATGTAATTGATCTGATAAATGGTTTGACTGAGGATTGAATTATCGTGCTGAGTAGCTCTGCTGTCTTGGTAAATGCACTCGTTCTCGGGGTCCTGTAGATACTTCAAAGTTTGAGGCATATACAAAAAACCCTTTTGAGGTGTATACAACAATGCCTCTTTGCTATTATAAAGCAGTGGAGAAGTATTCAATACAAAGTATGAAAATACGGTGGTCTCGGTTTGGTTCAGTTATCGATTGGGAGTTTGCAAAATGTCTCCCCACAAATATATTCACCTCCACGACCTACATAAATCACCATTACCACCACCACCCGCTCTCTTCGTCGACTCTTCATTCTCCAACCGAGCATACACGGAATATCCACAGAATCCACAGATAACAACAAGTCAACATGCTGATCCTAGGCCTAACCGGCGGCATCGCAACCGGCAAATCCACCGTCTCCACCATGCTCTCCGCCCCGCCCTTCTCCTTCCCCATCATCGACGCCGACAAAATCGCCCGCGAAGTAGTCGAGCCCGGCACGCGCGCGTACAACAAGATAGTTGCGTACTTTGGCCCCAAGATCCCTGATCTCCTCCTCGACGCACCACCCTCATCATCAGAAAACGGAGGACGCCCGCTGAACCGGCCCGCGCTGGGCCGCCATGTGTTTGCGAACGAGACCGACCGCAAGATGCTGAACGCGTTCACGCACCCGGAGGTGCGCAAGGCGATATTCCGGCGGCTGCTGGTGAACTGGCTCGTGCGCGGGTCGGACGTGGTGGTGCTGGACGTGCCGTTGCTGTTCGAGGCCAAGTTTGATGTCTTCTGCGGCGCGACGCTGGTGGTTGCATGTACGCCCGAGAATCAGCGCGCGAGACTGCTGAAGCGGGACGGGCACGTGTTGACGGAGCAGGATGCCGAGCAGCGGATTGCGGCGCAGATGCCGGTTGAGAAGAAGGCGTGGCTTGCGGACGTGGTGGTGTGGAATGACGGGGACGTGGATGAGCTGCGGTACGAGGTCGCGCAGGCGGTGGCGAAGCTGAGGCCGTCGAGGGTGAGAGCCTGGTTGGAGCGGGTGCCGCCGATCGGGGCGTTTATGGCGCTGTTGATGTTGGCGAGGAATTACTTTAGTGACCAGAAGAAGAGGAGGGAGAAATTGACTTAGATACAGATGGAATAGAGGTTTAGTTTTACAGTAGATCAAGTATGTCTGTCATTTCTCTAATCATGCATACACAAATCACATCATCGAAACTATCCTAGCAAACCACCCATGCTGCTTACTGCGACGGCAGGCCTATCGATCTTCCAATCACCACATCGTTCTCGTCCACAAACTCAAAGTTGTATCTGCTCAGATACTGCGGAATGGCCTAAATATATCAGTCAGCGTCGTATTCAATCAAACAAAGGAGGAAGTAGAACTCACAGAAAGCTGCGATCCATATCTCGCAGAGTTATCATGCAACTCAAACAACGGCACAGCAAGCAACTTCATGTTCTTAGGCACGCTGAGCACCTTATGCTTTGGCAGATTCACCAAATACATCTTCTTGCACTCCTTCGGACGCGTCACATGCGGCGGAATGAACGGGTACGTGAACGTCTCAAAGTTGGGCCGCCACCACTGCGCGATGCAGTCGCTGATATCCCATTCCTCGGTGTGCTGGTCCGGCGCGAATTGCTGGCCGGGCGCGGGCGCGAGGCGTTCGTTTAGACGGACTTTGAAGCCTTCGATCTCGTCTTCGCCGGGTTGGAGGTAATCGCCGGGTCTGAGAGATGTCAGCATACAACTACCGCAAGCACAACAAAAAATGAAGAAAAACCAAACTCACAGCTTGAAGAACGCGTTTGCGATCTGCAGCATCAGAATATGCGGATGCCCATGCTCATGACACACCAGCACGCCCTCGCACGTCCGGCGCATGCCATACTGCTCATACTGATCCTGTAACCGCTGCAGCCGGGCAGATACAGACGGGTCTTCCTCCGGCTGCGCCTCCTTCGTGCCGAAAGTGTAGTTGGTGACCGGGTACAGTCTGATTGTGGGCTGCTGGCAGGCGGCGAAGGTGTCAGTCGAGGGGGGCACGATTGTGGTTTTGCGGCCTGCTTCGGTGATTGTTGTCATTTTGTGCTGTATATTGTTAGGAAGAAGCAGGATAGATGAGGGCCAAGGGTAGGAACAAAAGAGATCAGCGTGTTTGGGCTGGTGGAATGGGGATTCGATGCTGGGAGCAGGCGGGAAGACGGGGTGAAGCGGTCGTGTTGATGCGGCGGCGGTGGGTTGGTGAGTTTCTCTGAAGCTTGTTCTGGGTTATTGGGCTACGTTTTTCCTGTTTGGGAGAATTGTTTTCTACGAATGAAAGTCGTATCGGAAGTTATTAGTTGATAAATTGTCTGTTATTTGCAGTAATTTGTGCTAGTGGATCATGTAGTAGCGTCAGAGAGGAGATCGGGCGAAAACAGGAGGATCAGATAGACCAGGTCTACATCAGCAGATCATTACAACCACTACATCAATCCTGCCAGTGAACAGCTTGCAAAGCACATATAGAGCATCGCAAAGCACTTAAACAGCATCATGTAAAACCACGGTACCTCCATATAGCTCTGATCTTCCCACAGCTCCTCTCTTCCCCACAGACCAGGTCGTCGCCCCGCGTTACTCCAACAACATCAATCAGAGCACCAGTCCAGTCCAGACTAAAAGACACTCCACCAGTGCTCGCCCATTTCACTCTTCAATTCGAAAGACATGCGGGGGTATATCGTCGGCAGTGGTGCACGCTGGAATAACTTGATGATGTAGACGAGATCAGCATCCCTCTTTTGAACCATTAATTCTCATCTCCTCTGAATCAGCATTATACCCCGGCATCAGCTACTCTCATTCTCACTCTCGATCCAACCTCGTCCCCGACCACGGATCATAAAACCCGGATCATAGAAACCACAGCAAACACCCTCTCGCCTTCGTCCTCGAGCTCATCTCTAGTCCAACACCACCCTAACCCCATTAACACGTGACCACGGCCAGAGCAAGGCGAAGTGTGACTGCTAATCCAGTAACCCTACACGTAACCCTACACTTTACGCAGGGACTCAAACGATTTGGTTTAGCAACGCTCAAGACTGTCCGACGCAGACGCAGTACACGACTCCGTTGTTCTTTAACTTGTTGTTGCATATTCCACCGCCTCGAACGTAATTACATATCACAATGGTATGATTCTTCTTTGTTGTTATGATTTGGATCTGTGGGATTTGCTGGTGGTTTTGGTTTGGTTCTTTTGGAGGGGGGTGGTGGGTGTGGGTGGTGGAGTCAGGGACTGAAATCGAAAGGACCGTCGGGGATCTATTATCCTGTTTGCAGCACTACGAAGAAATGTGAAGGTCGATATATGTTTGAAGCTTCAGTTGCAAAGGGAGGTTCTGCTCCTACTTCTCAAGCTGTCAACGTGAGGATACGTCGTGAGCAGACACCGAGCCCAACCACCTTCAAGATCCAGCAGAACCACTACCAAATACCAGCACGAGCGATCCACCTTGTCAACAGCAAACGACTAACATCTTCGTCTTCTGCAGGATACCAAAACCCCCGTCAAGCTCGCCAAGGTTATTAAGGTGTTGGGCCGTACCGGATCCCGCGGTGGTGTTACCCAGGTCCGTGTTGAGTTTGTCGATGACCAGAGCCGGAGCATTATCCGAAACGTCAAGGTGCGTATTTTCTCAAAGATATATACAAGAAAGCAAGTATGCTAACGACATCTTAACCAGGGACCCGTCCGACAGCACGACATCCTCTGCCTGCTCGAGTCCGAGCGTGAGGCCCGCCGTCTGAGATAAAAAAACAAAATCCAACGAAAAACCTGCATCATCATAATCCCACCGTCTCTTTTTCGTTTTATCCCGCTCTTACGTCCAAAACCAGGTTGATTTTGCTCTTACAAGGTTATCTCTCTCAAGAAAAAAAAAGTTATGTGTGCGCGCGCGCGTGGATGCATGTGTTCTTTTTAGATGTGTGTATGTGGGCGTGTGTGTGTATATGTGTATGTACTTAATTTCAGAATGAACATTCGAAATCTATAGCTCTTGCTTAAACACCGCGTGGAATCAAAAACGTAAATGCAATACCATTTTATAAACACAAGAAAACGAAACTATGGACAACTAATTTGCTTCAGATGGACGCGGCACGCGACATAAGAATATGGAAAACAAAAACAGAAATGACTAAAGAACATTTATAAAATCCAGACTTGATACCCAAATAAACAAGAACAAGAACGTATGCATAACAAAACCTCTTTCTTTCCTTTTTCTTTCTTATAAACACCTTTCTTCAAGACATCTCTACTCTACAATATCCCCCAGCGCCTCGCCGACCTTGACGTGCTGGCCCGCCTTGACCGAGAACTGAAACTTCTTGGGCGCCTCAAACACCAGCACGACCGTCGAGCCAAGCTCAAAGCCGCCCATCTGCTGCCCCTTCTCGAGCGGGTACCCGCCCAGCAGGCGCGACGCGTTGGCGTACGTGGCTTCGTAGCACATTGGCTTTTCGGCCTGGCGGTGCTTGTGGTGCGGGTTGTTTGTCTTTAGGTCTTTGTCAAAGTGGATCTTGATGCTGCCGACGTTTGTCGCGCCGACGGGGGTCATCGAGAAAAACCCGTGGCGCCAACGACCGAGCAAGGCCACGCGCTCGTTGAGCACAAACAGGCCCGAGAGCCGGTGCTGGAAGTACGGCGCGACGGAGTAGAGCTCGCCTGCGAAATGGCGGCGCGTTTCGGCGACCCAGTTCGCGGGCGAGTGGAAGCGGTGGTAGTCTCCCGGCGCGAGGTAGATTACGCAGAAAAACATGTCGTGGTCCGCGATCGAGGGTTTCGCAATCTCGCGGTCGACGCGGGCTTGCGCGGCCGCAGAGGCGCCGGAGTTTGCCTTGTCGCCTTCGAGCACGACGGTGTTGTCGTCGTCGCCGGAGGTGGAGTCGAGGAGCTCGTCTAGGGCGTAGCGGATGCCGTTGTTTGCGGCAAACAGCTTATCCCGCTCTTCGCCGTCGCTGGTCTGGAACTGCACCGGGAGCGAGTCCGAGGACGCGTTCGGGTTCTGGCCGAGGAGCGCGTCGAGCGAGTACGTCATCCCTTTGACCTGCTCGACCTCGCGGCCGCAGACGACGCCCGAATGCAGAATCTTGCCGTCCGCGGGGCTGACGAGCGTGGCGGACTGGTCGATCGGCCGCGCGCCGGGCTTGAGCTCGCGGAAGAAGAACTCGCCCAGGTTGCGATAGATTGTCAGGTCGTCCTCGGCCACCTCGTCGAGATTGACGCCAAACACGTAAGCGTAGAACTTGTAGCCCGGCACGCGCATCCACACCGGCAGCTCGATCGCGTTGAACTGGCCCCACAGCCGCGAGATGGTCTTGAGCGGAATCGCAGAGTAGACGTAGACCTGCCAGGGCGAGACCGGGCGCACGCGCCGGGGCTCGGTCGCGGCAGCGGTGTCGTCGTCAGGTGCAGCGAGGCCTCGGCGGCGGCCGTAGTAGCGCTCGCCGCAGCGGACGACGACGGCAGTCAGGCCGCCGGCGACTGGCACATGCCACCAGCGGAAGCGGAAGCGACGGCGCGGGCCCTGCTGGGAGTTGTTGCTGTTGTTGCTGTTGCTGTTTGAGTTGGTGGAGGTGGAGTAGAAGGAGGAGGCAAAGACGCGCTTGCCGACGGCAGACGGGTAGGCCCACATCTGCCGCCGGGAGACGCGGCCAAAGGGCGAGCGCAGAAGACCGGAGGCACGGGCGGGGATGGAGCGGTTGAAGTAGGGGCGGCGGCGCATGTAGCGCATGGAGGAGGAGGACGGGGGCTGGACGTAGGGTGGAGGAGGCATTGCGGTGTGATGAGAGAGAATTGAGGGCGGAGGAGGAGGAGAGAGAGTGGAGGGAGAGGGCGAGGGGGGGTATTTCGAGGAGGAGAAGAGCGAGCGAGGAGGTTGTTTTGCGGTGGCCCAGAGCGGTGGGGTTACGTGAGATGTTATGTAATGCGTATCTTATACGACTCGAGTAGTCATGTTGGTATCTATCTGTGTATTGATCGATTGTGTATATTCGACTAAACAAAACACTCATATTCCTGTATATGCACCCAAAGAACAATTAAACAACTTAAACAACTGATGAGCAACGAATGAAGGATTGAAGAGGTGTAGACATCTGACAGTTTCTAGTTTATAGCGATATAGCAATATAAAAGGAAAGAGAGGAAAGGAAGGAAAGAAAAGAAAGAGAGAAGGAGAAATTATCGGTCGAAAGACTTGTGGAGGACGTATTCTCTCATCATGCCGCAGGTGACGATGACAAGAGCGGAGAGGAAGATGGCAAAGTAAAAGACGCCGTGGAAAGCGTCGAGGTAGGCCTGGACGACGTCGGCCTTGTACTCGATCGGGATCAGACTAATCTCCTCAATCGAGTCGGTAACACGCGTGATGATGTCTTCCTTGTCCTCACCCGTGATATAAAGGTCCAGTTTCTTGCCGAGCACGTTCTGGAAGATGGCAGACGCGATGGCGACGCCGACGGTGGAGCCCGTGCCGCGGAAGCCGTACTGGATCGCGGTCGTGACGGCCTGCATCTCGGGCGGGACGGCAGCGACCATGGCGATGAGGGTGCAGTTGAGCAGGCCGCCGAAGCCGAGACCGCCGATCATGATGTACGAGACCAGGGCCCACTTGGGGGTCGTGAGGCTGTAGGAGTTGATGAGGATCGAGCCGATGACGAGGACGATGGCGGAGCCCATGGTCATCCACCAGTAGCGGCCGGTGGTGCGCATGACGGTGCCGGAGAGGATGGCGCCGACGGCGGAGCCGATGAAGTTGGGGATCATGTTTGAGCCGGCCTGGGTGGGGGAGATGCCGCGGATGGCGATGAAGTAGATGGGCACGTAGAAGAGCTGGGCGTAGTTGACCATCATGATGAGCCAGTTGGTGAAGGACGCGCCAAAGACGGAGCGGTCCTTGAGAAGCTCGAGCGGGATGACGGGCTCGCGCGCGACGTAGAGCTCGATGTAGATGAAGGCGGCGAGGCAGACGGTGCCGAAGAAGAAGGTGAAGAAGACAGGCCAGGACGCCCAGGCGACAAAGTTGCCGCCGATGGACATGCCGACGAGGTAGAGCACGAGGCAGAGCACGAGGGTGATGGAGCCCGCGAAATCAATCCGCGAGAGCTTGTCGGCGGTCTCAGAGGCCGAGTCGCGCTCGATGGGCGTCGGCTTGGACTTTAGGTTGTAGTGGATGGCGACGGCGGAGACGATGACGAAAGGGACCTGGAGGAGGAACGCCCAGCGCCAGCCGATGGTTTCGGTGACGAAGCCGCCAAAGACGCCGCCGAGGGAGGCGCCGGCGTTGTAGAGAACGGAGCCGATGCCCTGGAGGAGGGAGCGCTGGCGGAGGGGGACGAGGTCGTTGAGGGTGATGGAGGAGAGGGAGGTGAGGCCCGCGCCGCCGACGCCGGCGACGATTCTGCCAAAGACGAGGAACCAGAGGTTTTTGGAGATGCCGCAGAAGAAGCAGCCGATGGCGAAGAGGACGTTTGAGAAGATGAGGAGTTTCTTGCGGCCGAGGATGTCTGAGAGCTTGCCGTAGAGGGGCTGGCAGGCGGCGACGGTGATGAGGTAGGCGGTGGCGATCCAGGAGACGGAGCGGAACTCTCTGAACTCGGAGGAGATGTGGGCGAGGAGGGTTGCGACGACGGTGCCGTCGAGGGCGGAGAGGAAGACGCCGATGTAGAGGGAGATGAAGATGATTGTGACGGAGGAGGAGTGCATGGAGGGCTCGATGGACTCTGGGTCGGGGGAGGGGTCGTTGAGTTCGGCGGCGGCCTCTCTGTCGAGGGTGATGCCTTTGTCGACGTTTATGATCTCGGCATCGGCGAGGAGGGGGATGTCGTCGGTGTAGACGTTGTCAGCTTCGAGGGAGGACATGGTGGAGATGAGATGGGGTGAGATGTGAAGAGAGATGAGGTGAAGAGAGATGAGGAGAGAAGAGAGAGAAGAGAGAGAAGAGAGAGAAGAGACAGAGAGATAACAGATAGATAAAAGGAGGATAGGAGGATAAAGACAACTAAATACCAACCGGCGAGAAAAAAGCGACGAGAAAAAAAGAGGAAGAAGAAGAAGAAGCGGAGGAGGAGCAAAAGTGGTCCGGGGTACGCCGGTGCCGAGCTCGTCGCTGTCCGAAGATTCGGTCCCCTTTTGTCTCTGTTGAGATAGGAGATAGATGTAGACTATATTCTATATTCTCTATACTGTATTCTATGCAATTATTCCACTATATCACCTCTATTCTCGCTGTTAATTGCTGCTGGGGAGGGCGAAGGTACTCGGGGGTGACGGCGATCGCCGGTGAGCCAGCGGTGCGGCTCTGATTAGCTCTATATCTGAGTCTTCTTAGTATTTGTTGTGATTGTAGTTGTTGTTGCTGTTGCTGCTGTGTTAATATTAGTAGTAGTAGTTATTGCATATATTCTACATCTCCTCTATCTTCTATATCTTCTAATCATATCCACACCACATCTTCACATCTAAGAAGAAGAATAAGCACCTCCAAACCCAATCCCCGAGGCGGCAGGGTGGCGGCGCACAGTCTTTTTCTTCTTTTCTTCTCCGACCTGTGTGTGGGTCTTTCCTCTTTCGGCTTTGCCCTTCGCTCGGCCGCCGCCCGCCGACTTCTTCTTCTCTTCTTCTTCTTCTTATCATATGTCGTTGTTCTTTCTTATATCATCTTGTAGTAACAGTATTGCTTCTATATCACGGCCACTCACTGCCCAGCTCTCCCGCCCACTCCTTCCAAAACGGCCGGTACACCACCACCTCCCCCTCAACCATACTCCCAAACTCATACTCTCCCTCCCGCACCACCTTCACCCCCCCGATATTCTGCTCATACACCCGCACCCGCAACGGCCCCCTTCCCTCAACACTCCTCACCACCGCCGTATGATCAGGCATCCCCACAATCTTCTCCCCATACCCATCCTTAAACCTCGCGTTCTTGAACTGCACCACGTCCCCCTCCCGCACATCCTCACCTCCTCCCTCTCCCTCTCCTCCCTCATACACCTTCACCCCATGCACATACCCAATACTCTCCAGCGCCCCCGCGCTCTTCAGCGCATCCCGCGCAAGCGTCCAGCACTCCCCATTCCCAACCTGTCTCCCCACATTCCCCGCACAAAACCCTGCCACCCTTGGTCCAAACGCGCTCGCCGCCGCCTCCAAATCACTAGACGACGGCCTCTCCGGCGGAGGATAGTCGATCCGCTGCGCGCTGGCTTCCTCGGGCCTGTATCGATTAAACTCAATCCGAAACTTGCTCCGGCTCAGATCTTCGGATCGCACTGCAATCACTACCGCCTTTTGATCTCCGCTCGTAGTCATGCTCATCACATACGTCTTTCCTTTGAAGTACGATGGCAGACTCAACTGCATCATCTTTGAATCCTGCGCATACCACTTACTCTCGAGCTCCAAATCGACTGCCGGGGCCTGCCATGCCTGCTCTTTCTTTTGCACTTCTCTCTTCTGCACCTCCCTCTTTTGTATCGCTGGATGCTGGGCCTGCGGCGGTATCCGGTTTCGCTTCTACTTTCATTTTAGAACTTGCATTCCTCATATATACATTCACTACAATGCAAATAATCTCAAATCAAATTAAATCAAAATCAATATCCCCTTACATTATCTGTCGTCGCTGGATACCCATATCCATTGCCATTAAAACTCGGCACCGGGCCAGGCGGAGGCGTCGTCCCCGTCGGTCGCCCTCTTAAACTCGCATTCTTCTTTGGCGGCGGCGGCGGCGCTTTCTTCCCTACCACAGACATTGACTGTGAAGGGCGGTGCCCTGACGGGACTCGTTGACCGTTCATACTCACTCCGCCTTCTGTACTTCCGTTCGACCCTGTAGATGCCCCCGTCCGTGCTCGGCTGATCTCAGCCGCAAAGTTGGGGAACTGTGGTGTGCCCTGCATCATCGGTGATGTATCTGATAGAGATTGTGAATATCCATGGCCTTTCACGAATCCTTGTTGCTGCATCGCTGGGGATGCTGCTGGCGATGGGGCTGCTGCATACTGCTGGGTTGGCGGAGCTGGCGCAGCTGGCGCAGCCTGCGGAGCCTGCGGAGCCTGCGGAGCATACTGTGGTGTCGGCTGCTGCTGAGCATACTGCGGTGTCGGCTGCTGTTGAGCATACTGCGGTGTCGGCTGCTGTGGAGCATACTGCTGCTGAGGGCGTGGAGCATACTGAGGCTGTGGAGGATACTGGAACGCAGGAGCTGGCGCTGCTGCTGGAGTAGGAGTTGGCGCAGGTGTAGGAGCAGGTGCTGGTGCTGGTGCAGCCGCCGCCGGCTGCGTGTACTGTGGTGCATATCCCTGATACCCCGGCTGTCCTCCATATCCCGGCGCTGGCACTTGAGCCGGCACTGCCGCTGGCGCTGGCGCATACGAACTAGGCGTCGCCGTCATCGTCCGTGGAGGCGGCGCCGGAACTGGCCTTGTTGACATCCCTGACACCTGAGGCGGCACCGTCCCGTACGGCGGCGCCGGCTGCTGTGCAACTCCCCCAGGATACTGCGCAGGCGGATACTGCGATGCTGCGTACTGCGGCTGCTGTCCATATTGTTGCCCAGGCTGTCCATACTGTTGACCCGGCTGTGCTGCATACTGCGGAGCTGCCTGCGGAGCCTGACCAGCCTGGGGAGCTGGAGCCCCCGGCTGTCCTGCAACCGCGCCCGGCCTGAACTGCGCGCGCCAGTCCGGCTTCGCCTGCTGCCTCTCGAGCGCGGGCTGGTACAGATACGCATACTCTGGCGAGATCGTCGCCGGCGGCGCGTCCGGGTGGAACTCGCGGTGCTTCGGCGGCGGCGGGAATAGATGCGGATCCTTCAGCGCGCTGAGCGGTGTGGTTGGCTCTCTATATTCGTCTAGACAATAACAAAACAGTCAACATCAAGTAAATTCTCTTCGAGCATCAGAAAATCAACATACGCGTCGCGCCCGCCGAGCCGCCGCTGCTGCCGCCGCCGCCAAACTTGGAGCCGCCAAACTTGGAGCTGAGACCGCCGAACTTGGATCCACCCGACGACGACGAAGATGAGGTTTTGGACGAACTGCCGCCGCCGCCGCCTTCCGGGTGCCAGCCTCCTTTCATGAGATCGCCGAAACCCATGGTGCACTAGTAGTAGGATGAGATGAGATGAGGGATCAAGCACGCCGCGGCTGATCCAACACGAGCTGCTGATGCAGAGCTTCTACCTGCTTCACAGAAGAATCAAGAGTATGCAACGACCGTTCCGAACCGGGATCGATTCGAACAAACAAAGAGGACGAAAAAGAGCGGGTTGTGCGGGCGAGGAGGGAATAGAAGCGGAGCGGAGCAGGGGCGAAGCAGCTCAGAAGAATGGTGAAGAAGCCACAAATCCCTCGGAAGTGTCAGCGGGTTTCGATTAAGGTTATTTGCAGCCGAGCGGATGCGGTTGCTATTGTTTATCAGAGATGTATTATTATACTCATTATACTCTATCTGAGCGTAGTCACAGTTCACAAGACCAAGATTAAAGAGAGAGGAAAGAAAGAAGAAAAGAAAGAAAGAAGAGAGAAAATAGAGGAAGATAGGAGTAGTGGACTACTCATCCTTCTTCTCAACCGGGTCGCGCCGGCCGATATGCTGCTTATTAGGTCCCTTATACTGCGTACCCAACCAACGATCCCACACAATAAAAAACGGCTGCGAAAAGTTCGTCTTGATTCCAAACTGCTGGTGGTGGATGTCATGATACGCCGCGTTGTTCTGGAACAAGATCTGCAGCGGATCAAAAGGCAGCGCGTAGCCGCAGTGGTCGTCGACCGTCTTCAGCGTCGAGAATGTGAAAAAGATGAGCGCCTCGCGCACAGACTGGCCCGAGAGCTTCATCGCCAGGCCCGCGCCGATCGTGTCCATCAGCAGGCCCTCGAACGGGTGGTTGTAGAGCGCGCCAAACGCATAGGGCACGTACAGCCGGTGGTGGCGCGAGTGGAACGTGCGGTAGAGATACCGCGAGGTGTGCATTGCGCGGTGCAAGAAGTACTGCCATGTGTCGAGGATGAAGAACGCGAGGATGATGCGCATCGCCGAGAAGCCGTACGAGTACAGCAGCGCGACGAGCGGCAGCGGCAGCCGCGGAAGCTTCTGCGCCAGCAGCCAGATCTCGTAGGCCTCCATCCCGGTGTAGTCTGGCGGGTCAAAGTAGGTGATTGTGATGCCGACGATCGTCTGCACGACCTGCTGCAGCAGCACGTCGCGCATGACCTCGTAGACCGTGACCTTGTTGCGCGACGTGACCTCGGCCGGCGTGTGTATGCGGTACTGCGGTAGCAGGTCGTAGGCATCGATCAGGTGGAAGAAACACGAGGCCACCCAGTAAATCGCGACCGTCAGGAAGAGCGCGAGGTACTTGTCCTCCATTATCGGAACGAGTCGTGCCCGCTCGTGGAGCTCAAAGGTCGGAGGCGGCGAGCTGCGGAACAGCTCTGCCGACGAGTAGTTCATCATCTATGAGAAGCGCTGTATGTGCACGATAAAAATCAACTGTAGAAGACACACAGCCAACCAACAAGCAAACAAACAACCAAAATATAGAAAACAAAAAAGCAGAGAAGCGGCAACAAGCACCGGTAAATAAATATCAAAGATCGAATTCCCATCGAGACAACGCCACCGAACCACGTGATGTTTTATGGCATAACTGAGTAGTCGTCACGTGCACAGGACTTCTAGACCGCCCCGAACCTGCTTCTCGTCTGCGCTCGCCCGCTGCGGTGCCGAGGTGCTTGGCGGGGTGTTGATAAGTTGAGATATTTAGCAATTGTTTATTGTATAGAGACTGTTATTAGTTTGTAGTAATCCGCGCCTCTGCTTCGCCTGATCCGGCCATTCGCCTGCTCGCATGACTGTCCACGTCACGTGCACTCCCTGCGTCATACTCCCAACGCGTCGCGTTCGCGTCTTCTCCTCTTGCTGCTTCCTGCTTCGAATCTCGACAAACAGCACAGAATGTCTACGGTCGCTAAGCGGAAGGGTGCGGAGTTGTCGTCGGGCGAGGCGAAGAAGACTCGGCCGTTGACGGCTTTTTTTAAGCCTGCGACGGCTAAAGCTGAGGTTTCCTTCTCTTCCTCTTCTACCTCCTCATCTTCTACCTCCTCTACCCCACCCTCTACACCCTCCACTACTCCTACACCCTTCGACAGAGAAAAATGGAGTGCCAGTCTCACTCCCGAACAGCGCGACCTGCTAGAGTAAACTAACCCACCCTCCCCTCCCCCCTACCAACTCCACTACTAACTCTCCCAGCCTCGAAATCAACACAATGCACCCCTCCTGGCTCGCCGCCCTCCACAAAGAACTCACGCAGCCCTACTTCCTCTCCCTCAAGAAATTCCTCCTCTCCGAAGACACTTCCCACCAAAAAATCCTCCCACCCGCGCGCGACGTGTACGCCTGGTCGCGCCTCACGCCGCTGGACGCGGTCAAAGTCGTCGTCCTCGGTCAGGACCCATACCACAACTTCAACCAAGCCCACGGTCTCGCATTCTCCGTGCTCGCGCCGACGCCGCCGCCCCCCTCGCTGCGCAATATCTACAAGTGCCTCGCGATCGACTACCCGGAGTTTAAACCCCCTGGCGGGGGCAAGGCCGGCGACCTCACTAAATGGGCCGAGCGGGGGGTGTTGTTGCTAAACACTTGCTTGACCGTCAGGGCGCATAACGCGAATAGCCACGCGGGGAAGGGGTGGGAGAGGTTTACCGAGAAAGTGATCTCCGTCGTTGCCGAGCAGAGGTCGCGCGGCATCGTGTTTCTGGCGTGGGGCAATCCTGCCGCGAAGCGCGTCGAGCGCATCAACGTAAGCTACAATATATATGATTGTATCAACTGTTGAGAAACAGTTCAGCTAACGTGTTTAATGCAGACAAAAACGCACTGTGTGCTCAAATCAGTGCATCCGAGTCCGCTGTCGGCGTCGCGCGGGTTCTTTGACTGCGCACACTTCAAAAAGACAAACGAGTGGCTCAGCGATCATTACGGCGAGGACTCTGTCATTGACTGGAATCTGTAGAGTAGATTTATAGAATAGATCTATTTCGAATTACTATTGTCTAGTAATAATTCTACAAATGTATGCACGCTGAACCTGGCTCGGGGAGTATCGGGTTAGGTCTCACGCACTCGAGCCCGCGATAACCCCACCAAGACGTAGTTCCTTCACTTCCGAGTCTCCTCAATTACTTCCTACTATTCTCTGATTCAACAGAAGATCATGTCTGCCTCGCTTTCGCTGTCGTCCACCATCAAGCTCTCCTCCGGCCATGCCATCCCCGTCATCGGATTCGGCGTGTACCATGGCAATGGCGAGGCCGTTGCCCACGCTCTCCGAGCTGGTTATCGATTGATCGGTAGGCCGGCACCTTTCCTTCCGCCGTTTGCATGTGTATCATACTGACTGTACACCTCTCCAGACACCGCCGACTTCTACAACAACGAAGGCGACTGCGGCAAAGCGGTCCGCGACTTCATGGCCGAAACCGGCACCCCCCGCTCGGCCATCTTCTACACCACCAAACTGTGGAACAACAACCACGGCTACACCCTCACCGCAAAGGCCATCGACGAGGCAATCGCCCGCGCAGGCATCGACTACATCGACCTCTACCTCATCCACTCGCCCCTGACCTCATCCGAGCTCCGCCTCGGCAGCTGGAAAGCAATGCAGGACGCCGTCGACGCCGGCAAGATCAAGTCGATCGGCGTCTCAAACTACGGCGTCCACCATCTCGAAGAACTCTTCACCTGGGACGGCTTCCGCATTCCCCCCGCAGTCAACCAGGTCGAGCTCCACCCGTGGCTCGCGCGCAAGGACCTCGTCGACTACTGCCGCTCAAAGGGCATCCTCATGGAAGCCTACTGCCCTGTCACCCGCGGCGTGCGGTTCGGCGAACCGGCGGTGGTTGAGCTGGCCGCCAAGCACGGCGTCACGCCCGCGCAGGTCTTGATCCGCTGGAGCATGCAGATGGGCTTCGTCCCGCTGCCAAAGTCGAACCACGAGGAGCGGATTAAGGTCAACCTCGACGTGTTTGGTTTCGACCTCGACGAGGACGATATGCATAAGTTGGATACCGGCAAGTACGAGCCTGTCGCGGCCTGGGATCCCGTCACCGCGCCTTTGTAGAGAGCACCTGCTTATAGACAACTTGTTTTTGAATACATATATTTATATACAACACACTATAGCACGAGTCTGCCTATATCGTACATCATCTCGGGTAACAGCAACGGTAAGCTACGACGGTCAGTTTGCGATGCACTGCAGTAGATCCTTGCCGACATGGCCCTGGTTGTGCAGATATCGCTGCAGCGCGTGCACGAGCTGCACCTGCTCCTGGGATGACAGACCTGAGATCGCAGTCGCGAGCACGACGTCGACGGCCTGCTTGTGTGTCTATAGATCTGTTAGCTCGCGCAGAGAGAGAGAGAATACGAAAAAGAGGAGAGTGGACGTACAGCAATAAAACTGGAGTAGTACATATACGAGAAAAACCCCATCAAAAACTGACAATCCATTCGATCCGTGATCCCGCCATGTCCCGGGATCGTATCACCAAAGTCCTTGATCCCGAACGCGCGCTTGATTCCCGACGCAAAGAACCCGCCGTAGGGCGCCGAGAGCGAGGCGAAGGTCGCCATGATCGCGACGTGGAAGTGGATGGGCTCGATCATGAGCGTGGGGCGGTGCAGGAGGGGTTGGAGGAAGGCGGGGACCGCGTAGACTTGTTTGACGAAGACGGGGTTGGGCGTGCATGTGAATTCCGAGAATGCGCTGAGCGAGAAGTCCTAGAGTTTTGTCAGTAGAGATTCTTAGAAGGAAAAAAGGTGGAGACGTACGGCAGGAGGGCAGATCATATAAGGCCACTGTACGAGGAAATAACTAAGGGCGAGCCCGATAACAACCGTCCAGATCCACGCGCCAACGAACCCCTCAACGGTCTTCTTTGGCGAGATCTTGATGAGCGGCGTGCGTCCGAAAGTGATGCCGCAGAGATATGCAAAGATATCGTTGATGATGACGAGCGAGGCCGGGAGGAAGAACCAGAACATGCCGGCCATGATGTTTTTGACGATGAAATGGGCCTGCACGATGATGAGAAGGAGGGCGACGTGGGTGAATGCGAATTGCATGAATTGGTACTGGTAATGGCCTTTTTCGAGGGTCGAGACAAACATCATGAATCCTGAGTAATTGCAATTAGCTTATGTCTGTTTACTCAGACTCTGGAACAAACTGGAAGACATACCAATGATATAGAGCATGTACGAGATAAACCGATGATGAATTGCAAACGGAAACAGCACCTTATCAACCAACAGCACCTCCTCGAAATAATACAACACCGTCTCGCCATACAGATAATACACCGTCGACGCCAAAAAATACCAATTGAGCGTCTTCCCATACGGCAGCGCGCGCTGCCTCATCGGCTCGTCCGCCAGCGCAATCACCTCGCTGTAAGCCAGCAGCTGCAACCCAAACACGAGCGCAATCACCCAAAAGTGGCCCGCGGCAAGCAGCGCGAAGAAACCAAAGATCATCACGACACTCCATATCGTTCGCACAATCAGGTTCTGGATCTTTTTCTCGCGCTCCGTCGGCGCGGGGGGGTCGGCTGTGGTCTGATGATGACAGGTTAGCCTGCTTCTTCTTCTTCTTCTTCTTCTTCTTCTTCCTCTTATTCTTCACAAAGAGCTCAATTCTAAAAAAGACAGACACAGAAACAAACATACCTTGACTATACTCCCCCCACTCTGTCCATTCGCAGCATTCTTCTTCTTCGTCGCGCTCCTCGTCGACGGCGCACCCACCGCTACCGTCTCTGCCGCCGCAGCTCGTTTCGCTGGCATGTGAAAATTTGTCTTGTCTTTTGACTTAGTTCCTGACTTGAATCTCGAGTTATATCGTGAGTGCTGATAGCAAACACTCTTCTGTCAATGCTGGATCCTGGCAAGAACGGAATGGCTCTGGGAAGGAAGTAGACTGTGCGCAGGGCCAAGTTTATCGGGTTTATCTCTGGTGAAGGTCTCGCGAGCTCGTTCGCTTATGTCAACTAAGCCCGCCCTGAGCCTTCCCTCTCCTCTCTACTGCTGTCTACCGTGTCATCATATTTCTTCATAGACTATGTATATTAGAAACAATAAAGCTCGTGTAAATGTTACATACATCAAAACGGAACCAAATACGGTGAAAGCAAATGAATAAACAAAATAATAGAAGCAAAAGAACAGATGTGCACAAAATCTTACTCAGCGCAAGATTGCATTCATATACATCGCCCTTCCCTTCCATCTCTCTTCCCTCTTCTTCGGTTCCGCTCCGACCCTCTGCATCACTCTTTTTTTAAAAAACACCGACCGACGACGTCTACAATTACTCGTCATCCCGGAGAAGCGCCTCCCGCTTCTCGTTGACGCGCTGTGCCCGTCTCTCTCTCGCGGCTCTGTTCCGGACACGGCGGGCCTCGGCCTCGTCCTTGAGAGCACGCTCACGAGCCTTCTCGGCCTTAGCCTTGATGACGTGCTCGATGACCTGGCGCTTGTGCTTGAAGGTGTTACCCTTGGCGAGCTGGTAGAGCTCGTGGTAGAGGTGCTTGTCGATCTTGCCAGCAGCACGGTACTTGGCGAGCAGACGACGGAGGACACGCTGGCGGCGCATCCACACGACTTGGCTGGGCATACGGGCGTCCTTGGTACCCTTTCTCTTACCGAAACCGGTGTGACGACCGGCACGCTTGGCCTCGAGATGGGCGCGGGTGCGCGAGCGCGAGTGGATAGTGACAGGCTTCTTGATGATCAAACCATCGGAGACGAGCTTGCGGATTCCCTCACCTGTTTTACATGTCAGCACTCTGATCGGTAGTCAATAGACGGAAAGGAAAGTAGAGACATACGGCTGTTGGCGGCAGCGATGGCAGTAGCCTCGCTGGGGTCGAGCCAGATCTTTCTCTTGCCGACGTTGAGCACGCTGGCGGCGAGGCGCTTCTGTGAAACAAGGTTGGACCTGGAAAACGATCAGTAAGGGGGTTCTTCAGACAAGAACGTTGGCGGCTATGTAGATGCTACTCTTCAAGCCCGCTCGATGACAATGCTGTGGACTCGTATGATGAGCTTGAGAAGCAGACGTGAACGACTATGCGACGGTGCAAAGTCTCATCTCGTCCGATCGCCTTCCTGTCGATTCACGCCCGGAAAAAAAGCCATGCTGGACCAACAAGCTGCAAATTCATTTTCTCGTCTGCATTCTTTTTCCAGCAAACATCGCAGCTGCGCATTCCGCGCGCAAACTGCTCGCTGACGGTGCTTCCATCTTTTTTCACACTCGTGCTTTTCGCCCTTCATGTCCACGACCCACGCAGCCCACCCCGGCATCCGAGTAGCATCAAACAAACGTCCAACTAAACAGAAGAAGAGCAACATACATTTCGAGTAACTTCCCAAGTGCTGAAAGTGGGACTATGCGGGTAGAAGTTGTTGCTGAAACGGAAGTCTGGAGGAGAAGAAAGAGAAGGGCGCTGTGACGACCGACAAAGGTGCGTACCAGCGCCTGCCCACTGTGTGCTTACATCGCGTTGAGGGACTCGTGTGTGTTGATGGGAGTGCAATTATGGGTTAGGGATCCCTGTGACTGCTTTTTCAAGTGTAGGGTTTAGCCCTAGAACCCTGGGCTCTTGACTGTAGCGTAGTTATTGATCTTATTGCTTAGATCTGATTAGAGTCTGATATTGCTGATTGCTAGCACATCTCGCAGTAGAGCTCCACCACCGCGGCATACCGCTGCATCGCCGCCTCCGAAAACAGACTGCGCTCCAGCTCGTGTATCAGCACCTGACTGTCCCGTCGATCGTCGGCGCGGACAATCCTGCTCAGCAGCCTTACATGCATCGCCGCAAAGTCGTGTAGATAGTCGGCTGATGCCGAAGGCCGCGGGTCTGGTTCGCATAGTAGTAACACAAGGGAGCAGGCTAGGCTGGCTAGTAGATCTATGGCGTCGTATTAGTTGGAATCGTAGATTTCTTCCTCTGAAGCTATTGCCCAACGACTCTTAGCAAAGCCGCTACAGTACTTACGAGGACGCAAATCCCGCGACTCTGTAAATCCACAAAGCGTCTCTTCACACAGAGCGAGCACGTCAGTACTTCCCACTGCTTCAGACGGCTGCCGCGATCCAGACGCGAGTTGGCCGAGGCTCATAACCTTGCGGACCCCGCGCAGCAACGCGTCCAGCACTCTAGCACACGCCGTCTCTGCGCCTCTGTCGAACGAGAGCGTGAAGCACTTGAGCAGGATCGGGAGCGAGTGGGAGATGAACTGGTCGGCAGAGTTTGGAGGCAGCGGTGGATTGCTGAGGTGACTCGCGACGGTGGAGAGGTGGTTGTCGAACTCTACCGGAGAGATGGTGGATATGCGGCAGAGAGCGACGCAGGCTGATTTCAGGCTGGGATTTGAACCTATATCATGACTGTTCAGTCAGGCTCTATAATGGAAGAGGGAGATGTACTACCGTAGTCGGCATTGGTGAGCTGCGCGCTATACACCTCCAGCACGCGATCTCTCAGCTCGCCCTGATCCTTCTCATTCTCCGCAGCCTCCGACGCAAGCTCGATAGGATGATCTCTTGATCCAGCGGCGGTATCCAGCTCTTTGTCTCTACTACGCACATCGCTCAGTTCTTCTCGCAGATCCTCGTATCGCGCTCGCCAGTAGTCCACCGGGGTCAGGATCCGCGAGAGTATCTGCAAGCGGAAGTCTAGCATGATTGTAAGTTTCAGCCAAGTATTGCAGCATACTCTTGTCTTTGTACTCACCCCGGACTGAGGTGTACTTTGGTTTACTCTTGACAAAGGCTATGGCCTGTATCAGAGAAGGGAGTGTTAGCAGCTATGAGATCTGACAGTGATCGTAAAACACTCACGACTGCAAGCTGCATAGGATCCAGCTGCTGGTCCTGCATGGTTGATCTTGAGTGATGGATGCTGTGAACGCGGTGTGGGTGCGTGGTGGGTATCGAGTATTGTGCGAGGATACGCCCAAAACGGAAATCTGCTTCCCTTCACTTACAACTACTATCACAACCTCTACATAACTCATCAGTCATAGATTCATTACATTCTGATCAACTAGACCTTATACACAACACAGACACTGCCGCCGCCCATTGGCCCCTGTCCCTCAGCACCGCCGCTGACATAGACATCAGTCTCTCCCCACACACCCGCGACAAGGCCCCCGACGGCCGCCCGCGCATGTCTGGTGCCCTGGATATCACTATCCGTCATCATCGTATGTCTCTTCCCGCGAACGACGCCATCCGTCGACGGCTCGGCCTTGACAAAGATCTGCGTGCGCTCGGCGCCCTCGGGGATCTTGCCCGTGAGATCGAGAAGCACTTTGAGATCGATTGCGTCGGCCATGTATCCGTGCAGCGCGCGGTACGGATTGCTCGCTTTCTTTGAGCTCGCGAGCACGACGACGTGGCAGTTCTCGAGCTCAGCGCCGGACGAGCACGACGCGCGCGAGGACCAGCCGACCTCGCCGTACGAGTCGAGCGCGGTCGCGATGCCGTCCTCGGCAACCTCGCCGAGCGCGAGCGCGATGCCGACCGCGGTCGCGAGACGAGAGTAGCCCATCGACTTGTAGGTGTCGACCGTCACGCAGGGTTTTGCGCTCGCGACGACTTTGGCGGTCGTCAGCAGCGGGCACTTGACGAGGACCATGTGCACGTCGTCCGGGCCGACTTCGAGCTCGGCCATCAGGCTCTTGACTGTCTCGGCCGTGACCTTTGCCTGCACGTCCGTGCCCATCTCCCAGGGCTCGAAGTCGCGCGTGCCGCCGACTTTGGCGACGAGGCCTTCGTCGTACTTCTTTGAGCCGTCCGGGTTGAGGTGGTCGGCTTCCTTGACGACGAGGGAGACGTGCGGCGAGAGAACGCCTTCGGTGCCGCCGGAGAAGACAGAGATGCCGTGCGAGGACTCGAGCAGAGGGTCCCAGACGGTGGAGGAGAGCATGCGGGTGAAATCGTTGACGCAGCCGTTGCCCTCGGTCTTGCCAATGACGGCGACGAGGTCCTCGGGCTTGCAGGACGCGGGGAGCTGCTTGTAGCCGGAGACGTCGCCGGGGTGCGCGGTGGTGGATTTGTAGATTGCGACTCCTGACATTTCTGTTTCTAGAGAGTGTGTGCGTGTGCAGAGAGGGAGGGAAGAGGAAAGAGCGGGAAGGGGGAGGAGGTGTGGTCTGGGGCCCGCGTTATCGAGGCGATAATGAATGAATTGAGTTTGCGGATTGACTCAATCGCCGCCGCAGACAGCCTCGAGCGCGGGCGAATGAACAGTCTACGAGCACACGCTGTATGAATACACCATCGCAGTAGTCTTAAGTCGGTAGCAGAACAGTTCTCTATCTTCTTCACTTGTTCCTGGCCCACAGCTGATAGAACGCAGACCGACGGTGTTCACCAGGCGAGGTGGCGGTGCAGGGCCCGGTGAGGCTGGGGCAGCAAAGTGTGGCTTGACGGCCGGGTAAGTGTTTATCTTCGCGGGCATCGATTCGTCATCTCGTCCCAGCCTCCGGCGATTATCTCCAAACACGGCGACGGACTGCATTTCGCACACGCACAGGAAGAAGTCAAAAGACAACCAAACCAAGCTCACACGGTAAACAACAACACAGACAATGTCCTTCCTCTCGTCGCGACCACAGGGTGTGATGGGCAGCGGCAGTGGCGGGTTCTCGGACTCGCCCGAATTCGATACGCTCGCAAATCGGCTGTCGAACCAGCTGTTTACGCTCACGACCAACATCTCGACGCTGAACCGGCAGCTGGGGATGTTTGGCACGAAGAAGGACTCGCATCAGATCCGCGAGCGGGTGTCGTCGCTGTCGGACGATACGAGGGAGCTGTGTAAGACGATTGGGGATGAGGTTAAAGAGCTGCAGGGTTGGACTGATGTTACTGTATGTTGCCTTTGTTTGTGTTGGTGTTTGTGTCGAGTCAGGCTAACAAGGAGAATGTCATATGTAGCCCTCTCAACGGTTTACACAGCAGAAGCTGTCGCGGGAATTTACATCGCTTCTGGCGGACTTTCAGTCCGTGCAGCGCCTGTCGGCAGAGAAACAGAGACAGTATGTGGTTGCGGCCAAGACACACCAGCCGGGGGCCTCGCAGCTTCTGGACCCGGGCGCGGAAGGACCGGAGTACGAGTACCAGCAGATGCAGATGCAGATGCAGGAGCAGCTTCCGGGCCGGTCGGCGCCGGCGGTGCAGAGACAGCAGCAGCGGATGCAGGAGCAGCAGACGATGGATGTGATTTCGCAGGAAGAAATCGACTTTCAGAACTCGCTGATTGCCGAGCGCGAGATCGAGATTCAGGGCATCGAGCAGGGAATCTCGGAGCTGAACGAGATATTCAGGGACCTGGGCACGATGGTTACCGAGCAGGGCGTGATGATTGACAATATCGAGTCGAATATCACGAGCGTGGCGGACCATACGCAGAACGCGAGCGCGGAGCTGACGAAGGCGTCGCGGCACCAGAAGAGCTCGCGCAATAAGTCGTGCTGTCTGCTGCTTGTGCTGGTTGTGATTTTGATTGTGGTGCTGCTGGCGGTGTTTTTGAGCTAGAGGAGGGAGGACTTGGGAGTTGATAGGAGAAATAAACAAAGCACAGCACATTTAACGTAGACCCAGACAACAAGGATACTGCGAAAGATCAAGAAACGTAGAATAAGTAGAATATAATAACAAAAACAATAATTCTCGTGGACTTGATCAAAAACAAGCTGGCAGCCAACCACCCTGCCACGCCTGCGCTCAGTGGGCGCTGCAAATCACGGGCCTCCCAAATTGGTTTACGCTTTACGCTTCCGTTTCGTCGTCGGCCCCGGCTTTTGCTTTCTTCTCTACTCCGACGCCGTCCTCTTCCTCGTTCGCGGTCTGCTTCTCGGCCTTCTTCCTGTGCTCTGCCTTCTTCGCCGTCGTTTACTGTCTCCTCCGGCCCGCTAATACCCGTAATTGGCTGCCTCGCCTTCGCTCCTCCCATCTTCCTCCCTCGCTTCCCTCCCTCGCGCTGCCTTCCTCCCAATCCATGTCCCCTCGCCCCGGTCTCTGCTAGAAGCCGGCTGCAGCCCCCCTCCTCCCCATGGCAGACCTCCCCGGGGCGCCGGCACCGCCCGCGACCGAGCACGCGGCCTCGCTCGAGCAGCAGCTCTTTGTCCACCAGCACCCGCCCCCGGCCGCCGCCTACGCCCACGCCGTCGTCAACCCATCCTCATCCGTCGTCTCGCCCGCGACCTCGGTCTCGCTCCCGTCGTCGCTCACTTCGCCCGCGTCCGACCCGCCCCACATCGACATCCTCAACCACCCCGTCACCGACGTGCTCACCATGATCTCCGCCCTCCTGCAGCGCATAATCGAGGCCAACGACGCCCTCTACCTTTCCCACCACTCCCATCACCACCCGCACCCTGACTCGCGCACGCGCGCCCGCTCCAGTCTCGCGTCGGCCGTGCTCGCTTTTCATGGCCGCAACGTGCCCGCTATCTCGCTCCAGGCATATCTCATGCGTATCCTCAAGTACTGCCCGGCTACAAACGAGGTCTTCCTCTCCCTGCTCGTCTACTTTGACCGCATATCAAAGCGTGCAAACGCGCCCGACTTTGCTGCGCTCTCGTCTGATCTTCAGTCTCCAGACGCCTACAGACCTCTACAATCCCTCGCGCCCGCAGCCGCTCCACCCCCATCCTCCTCCTCCTCCTCCTCATCCGCGTCATCGTCCTCCTCCGTCATGCCCGTCGCCATCCGCGGCGCCGTCGCATCCTCCCACCACACCACCACCGCCGCCTCCGCGGCCGCCGCCGCCGCTGCCGCAAGCTCGGTCTCGTCCTCAATCCCCGCCACGCCGTCCTCATTCTCGTCCTCCTACCCGCAGCACGCCGTCGTCGAGCCGGGCTCGTTCGGCAGCCAAATAAGCCAACCGCAGTCGCCGGTCGCGCACCCGCCCGCCGTCTTTGCGTCGCCTTCGCCGCCGCCGCCGCCGCCGCCGTCGCTGCCGACTCCGCCTAGCGATATCTTTGTGATGGATAGCTATAATATCCATCGGCTCGTCATTTCGGGCGTCACGGTCGCTAGTAAATTCTTCTCGGACGTGTTTTACAAAAACTCCAGATACGCAAAGGTATGTTCTGCACTATCCTAGCATGTGAAAGTCATCTCTAACATCATCTTTTCCAGGTCGGCGGTCTCCCGCTCGAAGAACTAAACCATCTCGAACTCCAATTCCTTATCCTGTGTGATTTCAGACTCGCGATCCCGCTCGAAGAGCTTCAGCGCTACGGAGATCTGCTGCTACAGTTCTGGGAGCGCGAGGTGCCGGCGCAGAATAAGGAGGCTGCTGCTGCTGCTGCTGCGGGCCATGGGCCGTGATAACAATCTACGGCTCTTGTGCGCAGGTTGTTTTTTTCTCCTCAAAATTATTTCAAAAATTAGGATTTACTTTTGCATTACTTGGGCGGGTGTTTTATTCTTTTTTCTCCTTTGTTTGTGTGTGCGTGTGCGTGTGCGTGTGTATTGAGATCTGCGTCGTGGCGTGTGTGAATAGGATGACCGTCTATCAATCCAAGATCATCCTCACCATGATGACTTGAATTTCGAGTCAGGTCGATCTCTGCGACCGACGCAAAGTGTCGAGCTTTTTCCTACGTTGCTAGTTTGACGCGAACAGAGTCTTTCTCTGCGTGCGCGTCTTGACTTCTATTGTTGTTACACTATAGCATTTGCTTGTTTTTCCAACCTCGTCAGTGTGCGCGTTTCCCTGTCTCTTTGCGCGTATTTCTATTTTGAATATTCTCTTTTTCCTTTTCCGCGATCCTGTACTCTTCTCTCTCTTTCTCTTGTGTGTCTCTCGGTATATCAACTCTTCTCTTTATATTTTTGTGTATTCTTTCGGGTTCATTTTCCTTGTATTAGATTCCTCTTTTCTCCTCCTCTTTGTATCTTGTTTTAGGTTCTGTTCTCTAGACCCTCTACGCTCCTCTTTTTCTGCTTTCTTCTTTTGTCTGAATACTCCACCTCACCTTCCGTGTTTTCTCTCTATTATTTGGTCTTTTCTTTTCTTTCCTTTTTTTTTTTTCTGCTTCAAGCTCGTGTCGTGGCGTGTCGTGTGTCGCGGTCCTCGCTTTCTCGCGAGATGTATAATTATCAGAATTATCAATATTCCTCTACTTTTCAACTCCCCCTTCTCTTCTTCTCAAAAGTCTTTGTAGATTTTTAGAGATTGGGATTACTGCCGCCGTAGACTTGCAGTCTTTTTCTGTGTAATTAGTATTTCAGGGAAGGCGGCGTGGATGATGGAGTATGGTGCCGATTTCCTGAAATGGATAAACTAAACTCCGTAAGAACAACCCACCTCTCTGATTGTGGCTTTAACCAGCAATGTATATATTTCCCTATTTTATTTCAGACTGAAGTAAAGTAAAAGACGAGAATAGAACACGTCTTTCCGCTGTTTCTATTCCGGTCGTGAGCCAGGAAGGTAGGTAGGTACCTTGCTGGAGTATTGCGAATCATCATCTCTAACTCTACACGCCGAAAAACTCAGCCTCCTTCCTTTCCACACACTCACACTCCCCCTTCACCATCTCCACCCTGCTACTACTTCAGAAATACACTTCATCATTTTACAATAATTTTTTATTCCTTTTATCGAAACAGCTATGAACTCGTAAAAAAACTCAAAAACATACCTAGCTAGCTATAAACACAGTAAAAAAAAAAGAGAGAGAGAGAGAGGAAAGATATACAAATTGAAGGAGAAAAGAAAACATAACGTGATCATGACTGTGAGCTCATATTCGATAGATATTTTTGACGTTTATAACCAAGACGAAGAAATAGCCAAAAAAGGAAGAGATGATAGGAGGGAGGGAGAGGGAGAGAGGTAAAACAGAACAAAACAAAACACAGAAGTGCGCCGTGGAACTCCAAAAACACACACACACACACACACAAAAACAGAAAAGAGGAAAATATACTTTTCTATATCAAAAAATAAAAAAATAAAGAACAAAAAAGAAAGAAGAGGAAAGGTCTATAGGGGCATGGTGGAGGCGGAAGGAATGCTCTGCGCGGCCGAGGAGGTCGCGTACATGGCCGAGTACTGCTGCGGCAGCGACGACGGCGCGGCGGGGTAGTTGTCTGCGGAGTAAAAGTCGGTGTTTGTCGGGAGCGAGGCGGCGACGCTGAAGACGGAGGTGGTCGAGCCTGCGGAGGAGAAGGAGAAGAGGTCGGCGAGGTTGTTGTACTCGGAAGAGTAGCCTTCCGGTTGCTGTTGCGAGGTGTGGTGGTGCGCGTGAGCGTGCTGCTGCTGGGGCTGGTCCTGATTAAAAGGAACCTCGTGCTTCAGAAGGGGATTGAAGTTGACGTAAGGGGCAGAGGCGGCAGAGTCGGCGTAGTAGCCGATGCTGGTGGTCGAGGAGCTCGCGGAGGAAGGGCGGCTGGCAGAGTGCTCGGACACGGCAGCGACGGAAGACGAGCCGGACCGCTGCTGCGCGGTGGTCGGCGGGTAGGACGAGGACGAGGACGAGGACGAGGCAGCGTTGTAGAACTCGCGCGCGTAAGGCGAGCCCGAGACGTCGTCAAACATGGCCGACATCTCCGGCATCAGTTGCGAGTGCCGCATGTCGGCGGTGGTGGCGCCGGCGGTGGTGTACGCCAGCGAGATTGTCGGCGAGCCCGAGGCGGTCGCGGGCGAGGTCGCGGCGTTGGAGAACGGCGAGTCGACAGAGGCAGACTGGTAGTACCGACTGTCAGCGGCGGCCAGCGCCTGAGTCGAGAGAACCGAGTGCGTGCCGAGCGAGCTCATGGCGCCGTACTGCGCGGGCAAGATGAGCGACGGCGGGTCCGGCGACGGACTCACGCTCGCGGTCTTGTTTCGCGAGTTTCTCCGCGCGCCGCCGGAGACGGCAGCCGCCGCCGCGGAAGCAGCAGCGCGTCCGGAGTTCTTGAGCTTCGAGCAGTCGCACTTGCCGCCGTGCGGACACTGGCAGCCCGCGAGCTTGCTGACTTTTGCGGCGGAGAGCTTGTCGCCGGGACAGTCGCACTTTGTGTGCAGGGCGTGGTTGCGGCGGGCTTCGCGGCAGTGCGGGCACTGCGAGACCGGGCGGCCTTTGGGCTTGATCATCGTGAGCGGGCGGTCTTTGTGGGCGCAGGTGGTCACGCGGTGGCCGCGGATGCAGGTCTGGAGGAGAGTTAGTATGGAAGAGAGAGAGCGCGTAGCATGCGCCGCGGGACGGACGGCAGCGGCGAGGATGGAGAGGAAGGACTTACTTCGCAGGCGTATTTGACGCCGTCGATGTAGACCATTGCGGCGGAGGTAGGATGAAGAGGAGAGAAGGATAGGAAGAGGGGGGAAGAGAGGAAGAGAGGAAGAGAGCGCGGGATGGCCGGCAGAGGGAGGGCGCAGGATTTGATTTGTCGGAGCGGCACGGAGCAGAGAAAGGAGAGCACTCGCTTGGCGCTGGATATGCAGTACAGCGAGTTACGGCGCGGGCGAGTGAAGCATTTAAGAGGGAGAGCAGCGGAGAGAAGGCGGCGTGGAGGAGGAGGAGGCAGAGAAGGAGGCGGAGGAGGAGGAGGAGAGGAGAGACGAAGGTGCAGAGGCTTATATGCGGAATCCCCAGTCGGAGGCGGAAGACTGAGTCACAAAGTGGATCACAGCTGCGCCACAGGAGGGTGACATCACCACGGAGTCGAGGGCTGATCGTCAGAGGTGGGCAGCAGTTGCGTTGCAGTTGACACCAGAGAAGTTTGTTTCATCTGTTGTGTCTGTTAGAGTAGATGTGGAAGTAGTAGTAGTAGTAGTAGTAGTAGTAGTAGTAGTAGTAGTAGTAGTAGTAGTAGTAGTAGTAGAGGTAGCAAGAAGTATTAAGAAGTTGTAGTAGTAGTATAAGCACAATGCTTATGCGACGCTGCTGTTCTTGGGCTGTTCTACGGTTCTTGACTACGCTCGGGGCGAGATCTACAGCTTGTGCGTACGCAGAGACTACAGCAGTCATCGCGAGCAGGACAAGAGAGTAGAGGAGGGTCTAATAATAGAAGCAGGCTTAGAGGCGAGCGAGGAGAGAAAGGAGGGAACAGAGCTCGAGACAGCCCGAGACAAAGCCTGAAAGCAGGAACTCTGTGCAGTGTGCGTATCTGCTCTTCTGAGCGAGTTCTGAGTATGTTTTGAGTGGGTTCACTTACATTCAGTTCATTCTCAGTCCACTCTCAGTTGTTCGCTGTTTGGCTGTAAACACTTCCGCCGACACCAAAAGCCGCACAAATCGCGGCGGGGAGGAGCAGTCGTATTACGCAAGCTCAGTGTGGCGGTGCAGGTCACAGCGGTTCGAGGCCTGAAAGGTTTTCTGCTGCTTCCGCTGCTCTGCTGATGCTGCTGCTGCTCGCTGACCTGATATCAAGATCATGAAACAGTCACGTACCAGATATGATCAATGTGGTCTACACTACTTCTCTATTCGTAGTAATAACGCACTCGTGGACACAGCAGGAAGTGCACGGGCTTTGCCAAGTAAGAACCATCTGAAGATCGCCGGCGGAGCCTACGTTCCCGTCGCCGCACCGATGTTATTGCTAATATGTTGGTTGTGATATTGCTGTTAAATTATTCAAAGTCTGTTGTGTTCTGTAATAGTTGATAGTTCTAGTGCTGTTGCTACAGTATTCATACATCTCTCTCTCTATTGTATTGAGCATCTCAATCCGCCACTGATCAACGGTCTGTTGGGCCCACCTCGCTCTACCCTCTGCTGCGGCACCGGCGCACACCCAGGGGCCCGGCTATCTCATACTTTTCTATACTTTTGCCTCTTTAATCTAATCCTCTGCCTTCTTTAATCCAAAAAGGCCGCCTCGGTCCCGGCCGATACCTTATTCCGCCGCTGCTGTGGCTTTTCCTCCGCGTTTACTGTGCGTTTGGTCCTGCCCGACACAAAGCATCGCCGCCGATGGTCGCCGGTGCCTGGTGGCTGCCAACTTTTCACACGCCAAAAAAGCTTGGCATGCATTCGCCTGAAAGCTTGGCATAGCTTGTTTGGTTCTTTAATTCTCTTCTTCTCTTCTTCTTATTCTGTTCTTCTGTTCTTCTTTATCTTCTTCTGTATCTCTGCTGTCTGTTTACTATCAGTTGTCTGTGTCTGCGTCTGTGTTGTGTCAACTATCTGCTGTCTCTCTGCTACTACCTCTCTGCTACTGCCTCCAATCACATCGCTCCTCCGCCCCACCCATCCTATTTTTAGTCATTGAGCAAATAAATCTGATCTCTATCAACCATAATATTACCTACTACTATCTCTCCTCGGACTCTTCCGCTTCGCCCGTACCGTCTTCCCATTCAACGGACTATCTCTCACCCCCCTCCCCTCCATCCCTTTCAACCTATCCAGCTCCCACGGCGTCAACTGCGCAGCCGACCCATCCACCCCCCCTCCTCCCCCCGGCGTCGCCGTCGTCCCATACTGCTGATTTCGCAGCCGCGTGCTCGCCGTAGGCGTACTCGGCGTCATCCCGCCCACTACCCGCGAATGCATCCCCATCCGCGTCGCCGTCCCCGGCAATGACGTCGCATGACTGCTCCCTCCCTCGCCTCGGACCCTGTAAACTGCCGCATTCCCTCGCGATGCCCTTTCTGCCGTAGCCGTAGGGTTCGACGCCGCCAATGGCGAACTCAATCGACTGCTGCGCCGTCTCTGTTGTTGTTGTCCGCCACTGCTGCTTCCCCTCCCACTGGCAAGCTTTATCGCCGCTGCTGAAACCGGCGTCGAGCTCCGGCTCCGTCGCGACCGCCCGCTCGCACTCGTCCCCCCCGACATCCTCGTCGTGTCCGAGAACCGCGTCGCCGAAAGCGACGGCGACCCGCCCGGTCCTATAGGATCCGTCATGTCGCGCATGATCCCGCCGCCGCCGTCCCGCGCCCCGGCACTTGCCGTCGACGCGCTCCGATTGTCGTCCCGCAAGTACAGCGATATCCGCTCGTCTGAAATCGAAAACACTGAACTCTGGTCGTTTGTCTGCAGCGCGGCTAGCCGAATAATGTACTCCAGCAACGACAGCGAGTTGGCTGATGCTTCAAACGGCGCCCCCGTCGTACCCATACCTTCCTCTTCTTGCTCCTTTGACACCCCTATATCCCGCTTCTGCTGCTGCTGCTGCTGTTGTTGTTTCAGCTTTCGCGACATCATAGACTCAATGTCGGAACTGCTCAGAGACAATCGCGAAAATGCCGCAGCAAGACTATTATCCCCCAGCAAACTCGTTCTCTTTCCTTCGCGGCTTTTCCCTCCAGATATTCCTCCTTCTTCCACCTCATCCTCATCCTCCCACTCATCGCCCTCCACTTCCTCCTCCTCCTCCTCTTCATCCTCTTCTGTGTAAAGCTCAAACGCCAGCCACTCTGTATTTGACGGCAAATCAACCCTCCTCGCATCCATATCCTCATCCCCACCCTCACCATCCCCCTCACTCATCTCTCCCTCACTCTCACTCTCTTCCTCCCCCTCAAACATGTAATACGGCGACCGGTGCAAAAACGCCTTGTTCAGCTTCACAACCAGCACCGGCGACACCGCCTCTTCAATATCAAGCAGTCTTCCCGACGCACTGAAAAACAACCGCGTCACAATCGAAAGCGGGATAGTCCGGCTCTTGCCTCTAATCCCTCCTCCCTGCGAATCCTTCTCCGGCACCGGCGACCCTGCTCCCGGGTTCTCCAGCTCTTCGTGGTACCGACCATCGTCCAGATTCTCTGTAATCACAAGCTCGTATCTGTACTTTAGATTATCCGCCATGTACTGATTCCTATTCTCCGCGCGCGTCCCATGTTTCCCTGGCGTACCACCCCGCGCAATCGGCACTCTGAAAATCTCCACAAAGCACTTTGCGTGCTCCTCTTTCCACGTAATATCCCCGTTCGTCGTCGTATGCGGATTCCGCGCCGTGCCGTAAAAGATCGTATACAGCTTCAACGAAAACGTCGGCCCGACCTGATGCCTCTGCGTCGGCGCCCGCGTGTACGCCGAATCCGCCACGAGCAAAAACATCGCCGCCTGCAGCAGTCGCGCGGGCGACACCATATCCGGCAGCGTCGCCGTCACGTTCGCGCCGGACGTCGTGATAGCGAGCTGCAGGAGCTGCACGGACTCGTCGATGCGCTGCAGCAGGTTGAGCATGTACTGCTCGACTTCTTTGTACGTCTTTTGTTTTTCGGCCGCGGATTTGGCGAGCGCCATGCGCTGGTTCGCGTGCTCCATTTTTTCGTCAAACTCGTTAATTTCATCGCGCAGCTCGCGCGTGAGTGAGACTGTGCTTTGTAAGAGGGTGTATCCACGCGCGTTCCTGAAAGTTGGTTAGCACTCACTCGACTATAGAATAAGACAGAGACCCACTCACAAAAGCTGTATGAGATCAATAGAAGGAGTAATTATATTAATCCTCGTCTTCAACTTCTTCCTTATCTTCTCCAGCGTCGTCTTCTCCTCCTCTGGAAGTTTCTGCGTTCCAAATCATCGTCAGCCATCTCTGCCATGATCCACGTCTCCATAATCCACGTCTCTGCATCACGCATACCTCTAGAAACTTCGAAACTCCTTTGATCGCGTATCCGGAAACCAGAGTAATCCCGGACCGGATCGCCAAAGACATCGCCTGGCTGCCGGCCTATGTACAACGAAAATAGTAGTTAGCATATCGTCATCGTCTTCTGATCGAGAAACCAGGTGGGGTCGCCGCCGTCCGCTACGCGACTTACTCGGGCGAGGATCTCCTCCATGATTGCGCAGTGTTATATCTTCAGCACTCTAATTCCTCAACAAACCATCCACAAGTATAAGAAATCACTCTAGCTATATCGCTTGGACCCGTGCAAGGCTGAGGTTCTATTGTTATCCTAATGACATCCACAGTCGCGTTGTGGGTTAGGATCAAAGCCTTGAAACCTTATTCTGGCGTGTCTGTCACGTGTTTACTCTTAGTCATATATTACCTCCGCACGGCTCACCCAGCCGCTGGCCTGCTCAGACACAGATCTTGGCCCGAGAACGGACGTACTCGCCGTATTCGCCCCCTTCACCGCCTCCAAACCACCTTCCTCACGCGTCAATTCGACATTTGTGGCCTCAGACGTGCTGGATATTTGGTCAGTTTGCTGGTTTATCATTTTCCGCGCAGAGTGGGTAGCGATTGCTTGTCTGTAGCAGCCGATGCACGCTGTCTAGACGCGACGCGTTTGGCTCTAGTTTACGTCTTTTCCCTGCTTTCTTGATTTCCCGATGGCCGCTCACCAACCACATCTCTCGCCCTCGGCTTCCGGCTCTGCTAGGACCCAGCGTCCTGAAACAGATGGTGACTTTGAGAGCATCTCGCTCGACGACAATAAGCTTGCCGTCAGCCAGTCGCCGCAGACCCGTAAGCTGTCATCCGGATCCAATGCCCACCAGCAGGCCGCGACCACGCCCTCGCCCTCGCCCTCGCGCTCTGTCTACCCTGTCTCTCCATTGAACCCCAGCAGTCCGTTTGTCCGCGGCGCCAAGCCCCCCGCTGCCGCGTCCGAAGGACGAAATCTTCTCGCCGCGGCCGCGAGCCCCACCGCCGTCTCGCCAAACCTGCCGTCGTCCGAGTTCTCGCCGCGGAAATCGCTCCCACCCACGCCTCGCTCGGCGTCGTTCGCAAACGTCGGCAGGTACTCGGTCTACGGACAAGTCTCGCCCAACGGCAGCCTGACGAATCTGCATGCGCCCCCGTCGCCTTCGTTGCCGGCGGTGTCGACGCCCGTGGCTAATCTTCGCAAATCGTCAATGTCGAATCTGGCTGCCTCGCCTAGACCTCCTACTCGTACGTCCTCCTCTGCCGGTGGACTCAACGTGCGCTCGACGAGCATGTCGTATAATAGACCCGGGGGCTTATACTCTGCCGCGCACCTCTCGTCTCCTTCGCTCGCCCTACCTGGCGAACACAGCAGCAGCCGCCGCGCCTCGGCAGACGACGGCCTCGCACTTCCCCTACGCCGACCCCAAGACTCCCGCCACCTCTCGCGCACATCGCTGAAATCCCCTTCCGCCAGCAGCACCGACATCCCGCGCGACGACGACTCCGACCGCTCGGGCGACGACATCGTGGTCCCCGACGACGTCATCTTCTGGAACGTCCCGCTCACGCCCGAAGTCAAGGCCGCGGCCCAACCCGCCGTGTCGAGAACGCCCACGCCAGGAAGCATACCCTCTCCCGACCGCAAGAGCTCGCGCGCGTCGCCGACGCGGCTTGGGCTCGGTCCCGATTCGACGCCGAGCCGGTTGCGCCAGCATGATAGCTGGTCCGATGCGATGGATCATCTGTCTGACGAAGCGAAAGATCTGACGGTCGCGCTGGAGGACTACCGCGACGAGCTGAAGAAGAGCACAAGACAGCAGATGATGGAGAAGATCAATCTGCAAAAGGGCTTGCCGGTTCCCGCCGCGCGGCCGTCGCCGGCGGAGTTGAAGCACAAGTCGGAGAAGGAGACGAGAGCGCTTAGTCTTGAGGATCTTGCGTCGACTTCTGTCACGCGGCCGTCGCATCTGCCGCGCAAGTCGAAGACCGAGGAGGAGAAGCATTTGAGGGAGTATCAGAAGATGATGTTGAAGTCTCAGAAACAAGGTGCGTTGATTTTTCTGTTCATATACGATGCAATGACTAACTGAGAATACGATAACAGAGAAGAAAAAGAAGGAGAAAAAGTTGAGCGAGTTTGCAGAGTACCAAAAGCAGTTGGCCGAAGACGTCGCATACTGGGACAGCACCATCATGACCAATCCACAGATGAAAATCTCAGACGCCCGCACGCGCACTATGATCTGGCGGTCAGGTATCCCTCTGAAATACAGAGAACGGATCTGGAGCCTTATGATTGGGAACCAGCTTGGTATATCTCCGACGCGGTACGACGATCTTTTGAAAGAAATTCACGATGCAGCACAGAAGAAGGAGGAAGACGAGGCTGCTGCTGCTGAGCTCAAGTTGATCTTGGACGATGTGGCTGAGACGTACCCGGAAACCAAGCTATTCCAAAGCTCTGGCCCTCTTCGCGAAGCTCTGGTTGATATTCTGTCCGCAAGCTGCAAGAACAACGACAAGATCTCATACACGACTGGGATGCACACCGTTGCCGCAGGATTACTCCTCAACCTGCCGACAAAGGTGTCGTTCGTCGCTCTGGCAAATGTGGTAGCCTATCAACCGCTCGAGCTATTCTACAGACCCGATGACGACAGCCGTCTTTCCAGATTCTACATCGCTTTTGACCGCGCGTTTGCGATTAACCTTCCGTCGTTGCACCATCATTTCAATTCCTCGCTCGACCTCAAGGCGCCGTCATACGTCCCTGCTTTCATTCGTCCTTTGTTCACTCTGCATCTACCTCTAGACTTTGTGCCTCGTCTCTGGGATACTCTATTCCTCGAAATGATGCTAGACTCCCCCAAATCCCTCCCTATGAGACGAACCTCTTCCGGCAGCTCCGGCAGCGGCTCCACCGCCACCCCGGAAATGTCATCCTTTGAAAACCTGCTGATCGCAATCATCCTCGCGATCCTGCAGCACAGCACGACCGCGCTGCTCACGGACGACAAAGAGTGCGTGCTTCGCAAGATCGGGTGGGAGGCGACGCCGATCAGTTTTAGCTCGGGGGACGTCGATGTTCCGGATACGGTGAGCGAGCTGGAGTTTATGCGCTACGCAAAGAGTTTGGTTTAGAGAGAGAGTCCTGCGATACTGGTTCTGTTTATTTTGGTAGCTTTTATTTTTGTAAATACTCTTGGTCGTTTAGACTTTGTACTATATGCATTCGTTATGGTTATGAATCAATCTTATGTTTTAGAATATGCCTCATCCCGCAATAGACCTTTTATTTTTCCAACAAGCCACAGACGTGCTCACTTTGAAGAAGCCGCGTGCGCCAAGACTAATAACTCCTCGACATCAACGCTCTCTTCTGGCTTTCCGAGCACGTTCGTGACCACCTCGCGAACCTTGGTCGCCCACTGCAACGACTCCATCGAGCGCAGCCTCTGCTCCAGCTGCCGGGATTTCTCGCCCGCGACTGTGATTATCGATCGCGGTATTCCTGCCAGTTGCGCGACGTTCAGTCTGTGGTTGATTTTCGAGTCAGTATATATATATAGAGAGAGAGGGTGGTTTAGAAAAGTAAGAGGAACATACCCATATGACCGATGTGCTATTCCCGGAGCGGCCTTATAGAGAAAAGCAATATCCGTCTCCTTCGTCTCCGGGTTCTCCTGCTCGATATACTCCATATAATAACAAGCCACCTCGCGGGGATAAACCTCCGAGAACGAGCACAGCTGCGGATAATGCGTAATGAACAGCGTCAGCGCTTTAATATCCGAGATAAAGTACGCGAGCACCGACTGCGCGATCGCGACGCCGTCAACGGGTCCCGTACCGCGGCCGATCTCATCGAGCAGGACGAGCGAGCGGGAGGTTGCGGATTTCATGATGTCGGCGCATTCGAGGAGTTCGACCATGAATGTTGATTCGCCGTTCATCATGTTGTCGTACGCGCCCATTCTTTGTATCCAATGTTAGCCAATGCAAAGCAGTAAATAACTATAGAGCACGACCTACCGAGTATAAACTGCATCGAGCATTCCAAGCGTCGCTGACTTGGCCGGCACGTAACTTCCTATCTGGCCCATGATCGCAATCAAGGCCGTCTGTCTCACATACGAGCTCTTGCCTCCCATATTAGGACCGGTTATAATCATCGCGTGAATACCGCTGGCCGAAAGCGTGATATCGTTCGGAACAAACGAGTCTAGCAACAGCTGCTCGACCATCGGATGCCGTCCCTCCTCAACAAGCACGCAAGGCTCGTCCACGTACGTCGGCTTGACGTAGCCCGGGAGGTCTGAGACAGCTGCTAACGCCAGTAGACAATCCAGATGCGCGAGCGCCTGGACAATACTTCGCAGCTGCTCGTAGTACTTTGCAATCTCCTTCATGAAGGTATCGTACGCCGCCTGGCACGAGAGCTTGAGGAGCTCGCGGTACTGCTCTCGTTTGCGGAGTAGCTCCTGAACCTCGGGAGGGTGGAAGCGGGATACTGTCTTGGTCCTGTGTGCAGCATTAGTATCAGTGAAACTAAGTCGTGGATAAGAGACTACTTACCCGCTAATCTTCTTCCAGTTTTTCGGCACGTTCCGTAGTTCGTTGTTACGGATTTCGATCAGGTACTGCAACAGCTCGGTTAGCCCATATTCGTTAGCAACAAAAATACGGATAAGATTAAACCATACCTCGATCTGTGCCACTGTTGAGTACTGTAGATATGACTTGTTCACATCCTTTCGAGCAGTCACCAAAAACTCATCTAGCAGCTTTTCTGTTTCCGCAAGGCCCTATAACAAGAATCTTTAGCAATCCAGCACCTCCCTGAAGCCACCATCACGATCATTACCCGTCTGTTATCGATAATATCAGGATACTCCTCCTCGTTTCTGAAAAACCGCTCTTTATCGTTCTTCACCGCGCCATCACCATCAACCGCTTCCAAAAACTCCGAAATCTCAAATGCCATGCTTGGCAGGGTATCAAAGTATTCGTTCAAGTCATCCGACACGAACCTGCCGCCGTCCGAGTTGGAGAATGAGTTGCACGCTTTATTAAACGCGTGCAAGAGCGAGCCTAGCTCGGATGGCCTGCATCTTCCGTAGTGGATTTTCATCAACCCTGTTTCCAAATCGGGAAGCTGAGCCAGGATCCTGCTCAATTTCTCGATTCGTGGGTTATTCCCCTGTTTCAGCTCTTCCACCGCCGCCGTTCTCAGCTCGAGTTTTTCGCGGTCAATAAGAGGATGACCGATCCAGCTCTGAAGTAGCCGCTGCCCGAACCGGGTCCGAGTCCGGTCCATGATCCAGAAGAGACTGCCTTTGTAGGTTAAATCTGACTGGTTGCGGAAGATTTCTAGACTGTTGAGAGTGTCGCCGTTGAGAAGCATCGATGTCTTGTTTTGGAAATTGTCGATTTTCATTGTGAGGTCAAAGATTGAGTCCAGGCCGTATTGCTTCATGTAGTCGATTGCTACGGAGACACAGATCTTGACCGTGTTGGGAAGTGATAATATACCATCAAAGCTCGCTGTTCACCGAGTTAGCTCTCGCGCTTCATAGGACATATGATGGAAAAGAAGACGGGAACTTACAGTTAGATGAGCCGGAAGACTGAGAGTCCTGCAGCTTTGTTCCAAAAAATGTCGTCAAATGATTTACCGCGTCGTCAAGAGATGGCCGATCAACATGCTCTATCCGTATCGATCCCGAGTCAAGCGACCCAGTAGCGACCTTCTTGGATATATGCGAAAACAGCTTTTCAGACTCTTTGCTGATCTGGCCCGTCACAACAATCTCACTGGGATGAATATGAAGCAAACGAGTCTCCAACTCCGCCCTCATAAACCCGTCCTCAAACTCTTCGTAGACAAGTCTCCCTGTAGCAGCCGATATGGCGAGCATCCCGATCGACACTCTCTGGTGCGGAAGTTCGTTCTCGGCAATGCAGAATATATAGCCTGACGACGCATTCGAGCTTGACATGCCTTCGGCATCGATCGGTCGATCGACGTACGTTGCCTTCGTATAGACCCGCGTCAGTTTACGCTCGAACGGACCGCTTTTGTTAGTTCCTGCTGATTTGAGCGCTGCGGTCTCTGTCTGTTGGACTAGTCCTACTTTATAGCCTTTCTCAATCAGCCTAGAAAAGAGGTTGTTAGAATTTCATATGATCTTCTGTCCAACTATACACAGAGCAGACCTTTCTAGGTGGATGTAGATGCGGTGATCCGGTACGCTCGAAGAGGCAAATTTCCGGTATCGGGAACTGGTCGATGGATTCAGAGCTATAAGCAACTCATCAGTATAATGCCGAGTAACCACAAGTCCAAACCAGGGCAACGCAGCATACCCTCTTCAATCGAATTCCACCCCGGAACTCGAAATATATTCAATTCTTTCGAGACAATAGCTGAATCCTCGCCATAAAAGTGATACTTGTAGCCAACTTCAACCGCCAGTATAGTATCTCTGTGATTCCGCTTGATATCAATATATTGCTGAGTGAGAGGTGTGAGCTTTGGAGCTTTGCTCGCGCTGCCAGCTTGCCCGCGACCTGACTTTTTCAACGGCACGCTCTCGGTCTCGTCGTCTTCAGGATCATGTTCCCCGTCTTCATCTGCTAGGTCCTCGTCTTCATTCCTAGCAGCTAACTCAAGACTCGCAATCTTCCGCCGACTAGCCACACTCTCGCCCGCAATTCTCTGCCTCTTTTCGGCCATGACCTCAGCAGCTTTCCGATCTCTATCGTCACTCCCGCCGTCTTCCTTCCCAGCCACGCTCCCGTTCGCAAACCGCTTCAATCCCGCATGCTTGACAGACAGCAGCTCCCGCGAGGGTGCAGTGCTCGAGCGCGAGTTTGTCTGTTGTTCAGCTTGCGGACGTGTGCTCGACGCGGTGGGCTTCTGTGCTGGCTGAGAGGCACTGGGGCGTTTGAAGAAGCTGCTGATAGTCTGCTGTGTCCGAGGTACCGACGCAGGCGGGGGTGCCATCTTGCGTACCTGTAGCTCGTATCGTTATTCGCTGCGATTCGGTATTGATCAGCTCAGCGGTCGACAATTGACGTTCTGCTGCTTCTCAGTAGTTTCGTGGATCTACAGTATTATTGCTTTCTTAGCGTGACGCGCTTCTACGCGTTGCAAGTTTAAGCCGCACGCTCCTACTTTAGCTGCCCGACCAGGTCGACAAATTCGAGTAGATCAATTAATTATACGGATGATGGAATAAGCAATTATGATATAAATTATAACCAAAGTAGTAGCCGCAAAAAAAAAAAAACTACGACCCTTATCATACAGAGATAGCTACAGGAGCAACAAATAACACAAATTTCACCTCACGATTCTGTCGCGCCATTAGTCAGTATACTCTCAAACTTCAGATTCATCCGATCAGACCACTCCCGCAGCAGCGAGGATCCAAAAGCTGCGGCTTCTCGGACCGAAGAGGTCATTTGTATCGGAAGCATGTAGTTATCGTCAAGCGGTCTCAAGCCAGGACCAGGTACACTGCCACCCAGGTGCACGAATGTTCCTGCGCTGGCAGATGAGCCGCTGGAACCGCTGTTACTGCTCGCGATCGCGTTCATCCCACTGACCGAGGTCACTCGCTTCCGCCATGTTTCAGGAAACTGACTCATCAGAACGTCAACGGGGATTAACCTTGACCCTCGCTGGAACTCGTATGCAGCCAAATCAACGTTCTTGGAAAACTTCAGCAAGAGATCTATGAGTTCTGTCTGAGAATAACTACCGCTAACAGAGGTCGAAGTCTCCGGTGACTGGGAATCACGCTGGTCCATGCTGCTTCCGTCTGTAGTTGCGGAAGAAGAAGAAGAAGCTTGCGCAGCGTGCTGCAACGCCCGCGCTGATTTTTGGTGGAATCCTGCGACTCGTAGATACACAATGGCGCGAATTAGATAAGTCGCGCCGGCTAGGGCTGAGGAATTTGACTGGTCATGTAGCTTGATTACATGACGTGCATACGGCACAAGGGTCGCCCAGTTCTTGTCTGAGGGTACTCTGCCTTTTATACTAGCACATTTATCGTCGTAATCAAAGGCGACCAAATATGCCCTAATAAATCGTTAGTTAATGGAAAACTCACAAAAGTCATCGTTCAACGGCAGAGATTGTTCCATACAGTAAAGCATCCATGGCATATACGCTTGCCAGCTTCAAATCACCGCCCTCCTTTTGCCGGTCGGATGCGTGCTTTCGATCAGTAGCCAGAGTGAGCCAGTGCTGAACTTTTGCTTCAAGCAGCTGCACCATTTTCCGATTTGCCGACGGAGCAGCAGAGCTTTTGTTTGCGTCGTTGCTCGCTTGCTGTGGTTTCCCGGTTGTAGGAGTACTAGTTTTGGACGAAGCTGGATCCGGTGTACCCTTTGGCTTCGCGGAGGGCTTGATATCTGCCGGAGCTTCATCGCCTGTGGTTTTTCTCTTGTTATTGTACTCAGCCAGCGTGCTCTTCTTTGTATTTGGAGTTCCCGGAGTCGACGCTACTTCCCCAATAGTAGCAGATGAAAGTGCTGTCGGAGGCGGCGTCATAACAACCTTCTCGGCTTTTGTAGGAGAGACCGAGTTCTGCCTAGCGCGCTCTTCTTCCACCTTTTTTGATGTCAAAAGCTCAGCTTCTCGCACCAGATCGCGCTCCCGCTTCTGTAACTGTCTCTTGAGCTCTTTGGCGTTTTCTTCCATCTTCTTCATCTTTTGTTCTAGCTTCCTGTTGAGTTCTCGCTCGGTCTCTGCCTCTTTCCGATATCGCTCTTCTATCTTCCGTCTTTGCTCTTCGAGTTCTTTGATCCGCTTGTCGGCCGTGCTTGGCCCGTCATTGTGTGCGGGTTTCGCCTCTATTGGGTGTGCTACCTCACCATGTGTCTCTTTCTTCACCATCTTTGAAACCTCTCCTCTATGCAACGGCAGCCGTAGAACGACAATTTTCCGTTTCCGAGGTTCGAGACTCGGCCGGTGCTTTTCCAAAAGAGAGCCAACATCAACACTCCTGAGCGGTCTTCCTACTCCATCTTGACTCTCCAATGGAGGTATCGGCGACTCGGGTACTGAAGCGTCAAAGACAGGCGGCAAGGTGGGACTAATCATCCAATCTGGCACAGAGTCTGCGTCTGTCAGCGATAGCTCTGGCGGCTCTAGATCGAATACTGGTGGTAGTGTAGGACTGAGAATTGGAAGTAGAGGTGTGAGGGGATAGTCGATCTCTTCTCGAGGCAAGGTCTTATGAACGGGTTAGTTGATGCGGAAGTGCAATTGTCAATCACAAAGCATACCTTTCTTTTCGTAGACTTTTCAGATTTGGAGTCCACGACTCGAGATTTTGAGGAAGTTGTCCGGTTTGCGTCATCTTCCAATGCGCTGTGTGTCCTTCGATCGTTCGCGCGATCACGAGAAGCTGTTCGTTCGCTGGCTTGGCTCGTCGCGTCGCTACTCCGTTGTTCACGCTCACCTTCCCGCCTACTTTTCTGCTTTCTAGCAGCACTCCGCGCTCCAGGCGAATTTTTGCTTCCCAAAGACTTGCCATCGTTAAAGGTCTGAGAGTTTCTGTTCGTACTGCTGATCCCGTTCTGGGTTTTTCCGTTTGGTCGTGTTTGATCTGACACCATGATTGATTTCTTTGGCTCGTTCGCGGCGTTCGCTTTACACGAACATTAAATTCAATCACTCAAAGGCTGAAGCTTATTGCCATAACACAACGCGCGAATTGGGGTAACGAGAGCGTGTACTGTCGATTCCAGAGCAGGTGAGAATGCTCATAGAAAGCGCAGGGCTCCAGGGGCGTTCGAACTCTCCCGATCTGTGGCCGTATTTAGCAGTTGCGTAGGTGTGCGTGTGCCAATGGCCTGCGCTGCCAAGATGATTTCCCAGATGGTACAAAAGACCGAAAACCGAGCCTTTGTTGTTGTGTAGCCAAGAATCTCTCTGCAAGAGGCAGCACGTTCTCCCTTGTTGAAGCGCGTGGAGATAACTACTGCCTTGACTGTCGATTACAAGGTCAGTCGGAGCAACAAGCCAGAAGCAGCAGCCAGATACACTCACCTAAGCTTAGCTAGCTGAAACGCACTCGCTCCGTCGAGAAAAAGCCTTTGTCCAAATTTTTAACCTGAATATGGCAGCAAAGTCTGAATTGCGGGCTCGATTAGGTGATCAAAGGGTTTAGCCTCGATTCCATAGTTATCTGAACTAAGGTTTTGTGGTCGCTAAGTCTTCACGTGATTAGTCTTTCATTCCATTTAGCACCGATATTTGTCTCGGTCCCTGAAGCGGAAATCGGGAGCAGTCTCTAACTACAACGCGTCTCTGAGGAGTCTCCCGTGGTCTGGTGATAATTTGTCTAAAATCCAACTGCAGAGTGCCAGCTTACTCAGCTGTCACTGTGGGTTCACTTATACGCTATTGCCAACGACAAGTTTTAGTGATGTGTAATGTTCATAATAAGAAATTTATCATTGTATTCCACCATTTCCATATAGTTCCCTTGTAATCCTTCATTATAATCTGATGTCCCCTATAATCTTCCACTATAATCCTTTACTATAATCCTATCGTTCCCCTATAATCATCTCATCATAATCATATCGTCCCCTTGTAGTTATAGACCGGCAAAGTCCATGGTTGAAGTAGAGTAGCAGTAGCTCAGGTAAGCAGTATCTCAGATACAGGTAGCAAGCACAGGCAGTTTTGGTGTCGAGTGGTGTCTTCAGCGTGAAGTTTCTGGTAGTGAGAGTTAGCTGAGCTCTAGATGATTGACAGATAAATAGGTACGGACTGTAAGCTGTTGTAGTGAAGCGTGCAGTCTGTGCAGTCTGTTGAACGAGGAATGTAGTCGTCGAAGAGTAAACGTCGTTGTTGAGTAGCGTCTCTGGTTATCGTTAGCAAACCACTATAACACATACAAACCAGACGGGACGAACTGATCGCTGTTGTAATTTGCCCGCGATAGGTAAATTGCCGGTCTATCAATGAGTAAGTAGCAGCCTTCACCACCGGCACTCACCAGTCTTCTGAATCTGCACGCAGGCGCCAGTCCGCTTGACATGTGCTCTCGCAAGAGCCGGCTTCGCTCCCCTATCTTCTCTGGAAACGCAAGGCATCTCGAAAGACGCTGGCACGCCAAACGCAGCAACATCTCATGGGGAGAGCCAAGAATTATTTGCTGGTTTGGCATATCTGTGCCATGACCGGCGCATCGCCATCATATGAGAATGCTACCCCAGAGGGTATAAGCTACTCTCTGACGTCTCCGCGAAGCGCCGCGTCACATGCGCTCCAGAGAGGAGGATTGAAGCCCATGTATCGGATCCGGCCGGAAATGCGATTCGTTCAACTGATGAGTGTCGTGGTTAGCGCTAAATACTCAGAATTCCTGCCGGAGCCACCAGTTTCAGTCGTCGCGTAGAGAAATGCAGGAAAATGCAGGGAATTTGTTTCCAAGCGTTGCAAATGGAAATGCAGAGGAAAATGATGGGAAGCGGAATATGGTGGCTACCGGCACGGAAAGAAAAATGTGGAAAGAAACTCATCGCTCATATGATGAAAATGGGAATCATCTTGGGAGGAAGTAAAGAAATTTGTTCAGGAAGAAAGGATATCCTGTTCATGATGAAGAGATGCTTTTCCCAGAGGAGAGGAGCTTCTTGTTCTTGTATTGTTGTAAAGAAGAGAAAAGAGTGTGTGAGGAGGAGAGGAAAGGAGGGAGGGAGGAGAGGGCGGGAGGGGGGGATTTTATAGACGTCCGGGCCAGGGCTCCATCAACCCTTCTGATGCGGGCTGGCAGACCGCCAGGCAAGTGGGCGCCCCGTTTGACCCCCAAAACTTCTCTGGCCTTCTTCATTCGCGCGAAACAGAAGGATGCATTTCCAAATCGAGAGCTGCGGTACTGAAGTTACACGCGGGGAGGGCAGATACTCGCACGGCGGAAAAGAAACGAAGGATCCATCTCCAAATCAGGAAGTAGTGTTACACAAGCTGAGAATGTGGACGGATATCCGCGCATTACGTCATGGGATCGTGTGTCAACAGGATCATGAACGCGCAAAACGCCAGCTTCAGGGCTGAATATCTTCGTCAAACATGCACAGACATGTCAGTTTCTTTTGGCAGAAATACAGCACGATCCAAGGGCCTTAGATTGATATAGATTAGCGCGTGCCTTAGCTGTGAAACTAACGAGCTACGCGAACGTCAAAACGCCACTAGTTGTATCACTTAGGTCCCTGCTTGAGACAAGCATTAACGCCGTTCCTGTAGATCATGACTCAGGAACAGACGTCAGATTCTTCCAAGTTTGTTCTGTCCTTTTCACCTCTTTCTTCCTCGATGTTGCAGTGCACAGCAGCAGAGAGAAGCCCGCAGCACCAGCAGTTATCTGCGCATTTCCGACACAGCCAGGTTACCCCTCTTTCTTTCCGGCGTCTGCGCAAAGGTTTCCTTTTTCGTACAGTTCTGCGGGCTTCTTTCTATTACATCACACTCGCACAAACTACGTCATGGAAACAAAAGACATGTGAAGATCCAGAGTAGACAATCAGAGTGAACAGACAGAGATCCCGTGACTCCAGGAGCGCTAGGGGTCAGTCTGAATCGCTCTCTTCCAGCTGAGCACCACAATCGTGGTTGCAGCACATGAACCCGCGTCCAGCTTGAGCCAGTAACAGATATGAAAATGGGCTGTGATTTGTAAACATATATACAGATAATAAGTACGGACGTAGACAGCCGATTTGCAAGCTCAGCTGTATGTATGTAGAGGAAGAAATTGGCAGAGCAGATCTTCCGACTCTCCACCGTGAATCACAGCCACTCTCTATCCCCTTAAACAACATGCTCCCAAAGACTACTGTTCGTAGAGTGCAGCATCTTTCCGTGTATACTCGAAAGCCATGCGAATATAATGAGAAGAGAGCACAGATATTTATCAGGTAGTACAGGAGAGCATGCGACAGCAGAGCATGCGACAGCTTCGCAATTCATGTGATCCCTTTCGAAATGAAGGCTTTTGATAACCCTTGATAGCCCATTCAAACAGTTCGTAGTACGGTGTCCAGTTGATTTCCTTGAGCGCGAATCTCTTGTTAGATCTCATTGAGTTGTTGTCGATGCAGGTTCCTTGATCGGCTGAGTATCGAAACTGTTTTAGGAGAATTTCTCGCCCTTGGCTGGCGAGTTCCGTCGATTTTCAATCTCTGAATACGCGGCTTCGGTCAATATACCTGCTCCACTGATAAACTGATTTGTAAACGAAGCTCCTTAAATCAAAACAGTAAAATTAAACAGCAGAACTGAATCGAAGTGTTCTGACCGCACATGTATGTGATGCCGCCGTCGAACAATGCGCACTCAGCATATGACAGTGTATGCTCTATATAGCACGCTTATCATTTTCCTCGAGTTCCAGATATCCCATGAATCAATTTGTGCCGCTGGTACACAAGTATATAGGGAAGCGGAGTGTGACATTTGAAAAGATGCAAAACTAGAGAATGACCGTAACCCTGGTCCTGACTCCCTAGTCTCAGCAGCACATAATCAACATACGTCACTTAGATGCTTGACGCCAGTTTCGGTAGTTTTAATGTAATGGATTTGTGCTTTTTCTTAATCATTAGCAGAGTTATTTGTATATTTGTCATACAAATGACACTAATATGATCATTTTGATACTTCAAACGCTGGATCCTTCATCTCCCGTATAGGCAATTTGAAAGCCTCATCGGGCTTAGAAGTCGTGTATATGTCAAAATATGGTGGCTATTGAAAGCCGCCTATACTTGAAAATAGTGCCCAAAAATACAACAAGTTTTCTGCTGCATATTCCTTATTTTTTCGGTCTTCGAAGGTACAGAAGAAATGCACGTATAATCGAGCCAGAAGTGAAAATATGCTTATGGAATCTCCCTTTTGTCTATAGACTGCCCAGCCACTTTTTCAGGGTTGCGATTATCAGTGGGCACCACACATATTTTCTACGTCCGATCAACAAATCTCTTCATTTCTATTTCAGCATTCGCAGCTTGTTTGCTTCTCTCAACACCGAGAAGCCCCGATGAGGTATAAAGAATTTATTCAAAAATAGCGACATAATCTAGATGAGATTAGATCGTCCATGAGAGAGTTATTCTCGCCCAATTCTACCGTTCTCCGCCAAATTATTCGAATTTTAAAGCGAGCCAGTATTGCTTGACTAGACATATGAACGCGAACATCAAGAATGGTTGCAAGCTCTCGCGCACTGTCCAACGATTTTTCTGTGCTGTTCCTAATCACTTTTTCCAAAACATTCAAGCGTGTCTGTGTATACACTCATAATGACTTACTCGATTTTCAGTTTGCTGGTAGGGACAACCGGATTCCAGGATATGTCATGATGGCAAGCAGGAACTTGTGCGTTGGAGAAGTTGAATTCCGAGCTACTGAGAATCTAACTGTACACTGAAATGAGCGATTTGGTGCAAGGTAGGACAGAATCGACCACAATCTGCTTCTTAGCAGTATGCGATGGCTGTCTGGCTCAAACTCTAGAACGGAGTGCGTCAGGCAACAAGCAGTGAAAACGCTGTCTTGCATCGTTACTTCCGATATGTGTGCCCTGCTGACGAGATAAGGAAGCTATCGTGCGAGATTCGTGAACGGTGGCAAGCTGGGACATCGTTAGTCTGTGTCCTTACCCCAACGGATGAGCTTGATAGTGGATCATTTGGCATATACATATACTTACTCTCAGTATATCTATGCACGAATAATATACCAAAACGGTCTCTTCTGTTGACATTTAGCTGGACGCAGGTTCATGTGCTGCAACCACGATTGTGGTGCTCAGCTGGAAGAGAGCGATTCAGACTGACCCCTAGCGCTCCTGGAGTCACGGGATTCTCTGTCTGTTTACTCTGATTGTCTACTCTGGATCTTCACATGTCTTTTGTTTCCATGACGTAGTTTGTGCGAGTGTGATGTAATAGAAAGAAGCCCGCAGAACTGTACGAAAAAGGAAACCTTTGCGCAGACGCCGGAAAGAAAGAGGGGTAACCTGGCTGTCGGAAATGCGCAGATAACTGCTGGTGCTGCGGGCTTCTCTCTGCTGCTGTGCACTGCAACATCGAGGAAGAAAGAGGTGAAAAGGACAGAACAAACTTGGAAGAATCTGACGTCTGTTCCTGAGTCATGATCTACAGGAACGGCGTTAATGCTTGTCTCAAGCAGGGACCTAAGTGATACAACTAGTGGCGTTTTGACGTTCGCGTAGCTCGTTAGTTTCACAGCTAAGGCACGCGCTAATCTATATCAATCTAAGGCCCTTGGATCGTGCTGTATTTCTGCCAAAAGAAACTGACATGTCTGTGCATGTTTGACGAAGATATTCAGCCCTGAAGCTGGCGTTTTGCGCGTTCATGATCCTGTTGACACACGATCCCATGACGTAATGCGCGGATATCCGTCCACATTCTCAGCTTGTGTAACACTACTTCCTGATTTGGAGATGGATCCTTCGTTTCTTTTCCGCCGTGCGAGTATCTGCCCTCCCCGCGTGTAACTTCAGTACCGCAGCTCTCGATTTGGAAATGCATCCTTCTGTTTCGCGCGAATGAAGAAGGCCAGAGAAGTTTTGGGGGTCAAACGGGGCGCCCACTTGCCTGGCGGTCTGCCAGCCCGCATCAGAAGGGTTGATGGAGCCCTGGCCCGGACGTCTATAAAATCCCCCCCTCCCGCCCTCTCCTCCCTCCCTCCTTTCCTCTCCTCCTCACACACTCTTTTCTCTTCTTTACAACAATACAAGAACAAGAAGCTCCTCTCCTCTGGGAAAAGCATCTCTTCATCATGAACAGGATATCCTTTCTTCCTGAACAAATTTCTTTACTTCCTCCCAAGATGATTCCCATTTTCATCATATGAGCGATGAGTTTCTTTCCACATTTTTCTTTCCGTGCCGGTAGCCACCATATTCCGCTTCCCATCATTTTCCTCTGCATTTCCATTTGCAACGCTTGGAAACAAATTCCCTGCATTTTCCTGCATTTCTCTACGCGACGACTGAAACTGGTGGCTCCGGCAGGAATTCTGAGTATTTAGCGCTAACCACGACACTCATCAGTTGAACGAATCGCATTTCCGGCCGGATCCGATACATGGGCTTCAATCCTCCTCTCTGGAGCGCATGTGACGCGGCGCTTCGCGGAGACGTCAGAGAGTAGCTTATACCCTCTGGGGTAGCATTCTCATATGATGGCGATGCGCCGGTCATGGCACAGATATGCCAAACCAGCAAATAATTCTTGGCTCTCCCCATGAGATGTTGCTGCGTTTGGCGTGCCAGCGTCTTTCGAGATGCCTTGCGTTTCCAGAGAAGATAGGGGAGCGAAGCCGGCTCTTGCGAGAGCACATGTCAAGCGGACTGGCGCCTGCGTGCAGATTCAGAAGACTGGTGAGTGCCGGTGGTGAAGGCTGCTACTTACTCATTGATAGACCGGCAATTTACCTATCGCGGGCAAATTATTGCAGCGATCAGTTCGTACCTCATGGTCTGTATGTGTTTAGTGGTTATGCTAACGATAGTCAGAGACATCACCTAGCAAATGTCCACTATTCGAAGACTACGCAGACTACACTTTTACCAGCATATTGCACAACAACGACAGACAACACAGCAGCACAGAGAGCACGACTCAGAACGCTTCACTATACAATCAACAGTTCGTGAATTTCAGTCTCTGATGATAGCTAGGATCTAAGCTAACGCATTCTATACCAGCCAACTTCACGCTGAAGACATCACTCGACATCAGATAACTGCCTGTGCCTGCTACCTGTACCTGAACTATTCTGCTTCAACCATGGACTTTGCCGGTCTATAACTATAGGGGACGATATGATTACAGTGAGAGATTATAGGGGGACGATATGGTTACAGTGAGAGGTTATAGGGGGACGATATGATTATAGTGAGATAGAATGATATATAATGATCTATTTTGTATTCCATCAATATGTTTTGTACTATGAGAATGATAAAGCATGCACGTATTCAACTATAATGCATAGTGACCGTAGTCTATAAGTAGAGCAGCAGATGCATAATTTAGTGACGGTCTGACTCAATAGGCGGGCTGTCTTTAGTTAGGTATAGTGTATGGACTAGTCATTTGACTTTAGTGTGTATCTATTTCAACTCGTAACCAAATTTTGTTCAAACCCGTCATTATATGCGCAGAGCCTTCTGATCTCTTGTACGTTACCACGGCGTTCTTGATCATTAGAGGGCTCTGAGTCGGGCCGAAAGTAAACAGATTGTAACGCGCCGCTCGTTTCGTAAATTTCATTTAGTGGAATATCATTTGCTAATCAATTATGATCTCTTGTCTACTGGGCTGTAACAGGTTGTAGCAGATGAGTATTCGTTGCCAGAGGGACCTCGACTGACCTCCCAGGATGTACAATAGTCTATGGAATCATGATAAATCAGACACAGAGCAGAGCCGATTGCCTATTAGAAACAAAAATGTAATCACACTGCTAAGAATGGATATGTATAAAATTTCTTCTCGTTCTGGTGACCTCCCCGGACAGTGAAAAAATAAGACCTTGAACAGATCAGTACAGTCAGATCAGGCAATTCCAATATGAATCTAGACGCGTTCAGCTAGGCTCTGTCTCGAGTTTTGCTGCGTCAAGTAGTTTATGTACGCGCTTCATATACTATCTTACAGTTTTTTTTGATCAAATCACCTCCAAAATCATGCAGAAATACAAACGTCTTTGACGCGGAACCCTTGTGGTGCGCGAATCTATTGTGATCGACGTCAGCTAAACGGAATAGTCATTAATTAGGGTTGATAGGAACATCAGCGGTTGCTTTGTTTCCTGTATATCTGCATAGGCGTAATAGCAAGCAATATACTCTTTGTCTGTACACTTACTAAGAATAAACTCCTTCTACAGCCTACGAACATGAAGACAGATTTCCAAATCATCCATTATCATCTAGATTTACTACCTTCCTTACGCCTCAAACACAAGCTCTACCAAACCTAAAGATATAACGAAAATGCACAAAAATGCATGAAAAAAACAAAAGAAAAAGAAAAGGCAAACAAACACCAATGCGCAGATAATGGTCAAGAGCTAGTAGTGCACCGGTTATTGCACTTCGCTCAGCGTTGTGATTTTAGTCACCAAAGGCGTAGCTGACGTTGTAGCATTCGGATTATGCTTCAGCACGCTAGGTAAACTCTTCAGTGGGAGCATGTACACCTGCAAGACCTGCATCGCTGCTATATGTACGTTGTTCTGTAACTTGGACTGCTGCGCAGATCTCGTCGGTGTCTTCAAGATTCGTTTCGCAGCAGTGTCGAACTCCTGGAAACTGTAAATCAGTTTCTTGCGAACGCGCGAGGCCTCCGCGAGCAGATCATGAGACGGAGGTTTGTCGGGATCGTCAAAGTTGCTCAGCAGTTTCTGGAATTTGGGCAGCAGCGACTCGATACCTCGACGGAACTGGACCATGTTTTCATACACCTTCACGAAGCCTGGTTTGTTGGCCACATCTTCTGAGAACTCTCGTCGTCCAAAAACGACGGACCGACAATCTTTGCAAGTACGGACTTTGACTATGATGTCCTCTTCCACTTTCTCCGTCAAATAGTCGGAAAGTCTTTCGAAATCCAACGTGACCTGCGATGAGCAGGCGGTATCTGGAGAACCACATACAACCTTTCCACACAGCCGGCAATGGTGTTTCCTCATCGAAAATGAAAACTTGCGCTCACAGTAAGGACAATCCTCGACGTCTTTATCGTCCTGCCAAGCCACAACCTCTTGTTCTGGCGGTTTCCGATAGTTTCTGATTTGTTTGAAGTATCCGGTCGCTAATGTCGCCGCTACCCCTACGGCATCCGTAGCAAGAGTTTTTGCGCCGTTGTCAACCGTAATTGTGAGACTTCCAGCGCGAGTCACGCTCGGATCGTTTGTTTCAATCATCAGCTTTATCAATCTTGTCAGGCGCTTCTCAAGCAAATTGACTTCCAGATGTGTTTTGGTGATTGTTCGTTTCCGCTTAGCGATAAAAGCGCTCGTCAAATCCTCCACCATACCAGAAGCGTCATTAAATCCTGGCCGGCTCTCAAAGCACGAAAAGCATACCCGGCACCATACACCTTTCTCCGGGTCCCATTTCGCTTGCTTGTCCAGCTTCATCGAGCAGGAAACATGTTCCTCGCAAAACAAGCGTCCGCAAGATCGGCAGTTCACTTTTCCAACCCTACTGTTGAGCTGCGTCCGACATTTGAATTCTGAGCATCGATCGTTACCCGTCTCCCGTTGCCAGTGTGCTCGTGTGACCATGTCTTCCGTCAGCTGCGGCTTTTGATGAACGACATGCTGCTTGTGGTGGCCATTCACACCACCGGATACCACATGATGAGAATGTGAATCATGGACATGTGAACTGGAGACGTTGTGAGGACCGACAAAGGTTACACCGCCGGTTTGAGCGGCTGCACCCGGACCTGCATAGCCTGAGCCGTTTCCAGGCGGCAGATAGATATGACCTTCTGGACTGAAGCCAGTACCTAGGGTCCCGGACGTAAACGCAAGATCTGACAGATCTGCATACTGCAAAGTCTGGTTGAATGCGTGAACTGGCGTGAAGTTCTTTGCTTTGTTGATATATTTCATGAATGTCGACTGCGCACCACCTCCTTCCGACGCACGGTGAACATCCTCCAAATGTCGTTTCAGTGAAAGTCTTGTAGTCTATAGTAATGAAGTTGATGTCATTAGTAGTCGTCCCCAGAAATAAAGGATCTCTGATGAATATGTACCATAGACTCGCCACATATCGGGCAGTTATTTGCTTCATCGCCTCCGTCCGTAGAAGGTTCTTCAGCAACAGGTGGCGGAAGATTAAAGCTCTCTGCACCAATAACTCTCCTTGACCGATGCGCAGCATGTCCAGATGACGATTTCTTCTTCAGGGACTCAACAACAACAGAAGACTGCGCGGTCGTGTTCGACGAGATTGATCTGATCGACGGAACAGGAGAATGATTGCGCAGCTCACGGATGGACGGCGAGCGCGACCGATCCCGAAAGCGACCGTTAGGTGAAGCCATGTGGATTGCCTATCCCGCTATGCTAAACGTATGATAACCAAACTACTTGCTCGGGCACGATCTATTGAGCGGCCGGTATGGATCTTGAGAGTCTTCCAGGCTCGCAACGTAATATTTGTTAAGCTCCGCTGTGCACTTACATCGAAAGTCTAAACCCTGGAGCCAGAATAGCGTAAAACTGACGTTTGTGGCTTCAACTGCACTGTGTTATAGCATTAAATGTCACGTGACTATAAACTACGATCGATACGCGCGACGATTGCGGGGATCAGATTCTCGTAGGAAATGCTTGTCCTTTTCGACTCGTATTGAAGGCGCACTAGATCTTCAGACATATGTCTGCTACAGTTTCTGAATTTGTTGATGACTCTAAAAGTTTCTACACACCAACAGAGGTGTACAGAGGGACGCTGAATTTTGCAGAGATCAGATCAGATTCAGAGTCTGCGAGGCCGACGCCATTTATAATATGCACTCGAGACACAAATGAGGAAATCACCGCGGATCACTTTAGGCTGAGGCTAGTGGGAGATGATGGGCGACATTGCTACTCTGCAACAGGTGGGTTTGAGCAGCATGTTCATATCGGATCATTAGATCACGAAGGCTGATTATCCGCTTCGTTTATATACAGTTACCTCAGACGAATCAACTGAGAGCAACCAGTCTGCTCTCTCCTTAAGGCGATCAAAAACAAAGATTAATGATCTCGAATGGCGCCAATTAATTCTGTTTCTATTTACGCGTCAAAATCACTTCGAGGATGATCAAATGGCAGACAGTTATCGATACCCCAAGGTGTATTTCAATGCCTCGAGACATAAAGAGGATGGTGAAGATTACTACAAAGTGAGCATACTACGTTAATCAAGAAGCTCTTCCGTCAGCTAACTGTATTTTTATTTGAAGATTTCCATTGTGCATCAACTTGATGGCTTTACGGTAACAAAGTCCAGCTTTACAGATCGTCTGTGCATAGGTGCTAATAGTCTACTAAGACAGTTTTGGGTCGACTCGTGATGTTTCGGGATGACAAGAAAGAAGAGCTGGTTGACATGAATCGACTTTGTGCCCAATCAATCAGAGACAATCACAAGCAAGATTTTCTGCTCGTCAAAGCCGGTACCGATCTCGAGCAGGCAAAGAAGATGATTACCGAACTTAAAGCTCAGTTATCTGAATTTATCGAGAAAAAGAAGGAAAGCGAAGATCTCCTGCTGGCAAAATTCAAGATTCTATTGAACGAAAAGAAAAGAAGGATAGCTGAGCTTGCGGCCGAGCCTGAACTGGACCAAATGTGGGAGACTATGGCCAGTAATCAGTCAGAGCCTGCAACGCCAGAGCCTGAAAGGCCGCGAAAGCGCACGAGGAAAACTAGAGGTGCAGCTGGAGCAGAGGAAGTGCGAGAGCCGAGCAGGAAAACAAGAGGTGGTACGCGAAGGAAGACTAGGAAACGAGTCCAGTCCGAATCAGGCTCTGAGGAAGAACCTGAACAGATAGTTACTAGGTCAAGTAAGCGAATCGCGACGCTCTTTGACCGAAAGAGTCCGGACAGTGAGACCACGCCGAGGGCGTCACAGCGTCATCGGGATGTAGAGTCATCGCCACCATTGACACCTTCTGAGAAGGCAAAGGACGCAAGAGGTGGTTCTGCAGCTGACAACGGTGATACAGCAAGCTGGTCTGAATCCGATTTGGTGACTGACAAGGATAGCGAGTGAGAATGTAAGATATAGCAACCACGTAATTGTTTGTAAATAAACATAGGTCTGTGCATGTCATTCATTGTCTTAGATGATCTCGAGGGATTGATTCCGTAAACTGATATCATATGTGAACAACAAAGGCCGTTGTCACTTCGTGACAGACATAACGTCACAGTCCCCGTTTTCCGGATTTCAAATAAGCCCACATCATCTCCTCGTCAGCTTTATCCGCCATCCGGTCAGATTTCTCAACAGCTCGGATCATCTGGAGCTCGTCTCGGGTCTCGCGTTTTTCCCATTCCGTGTCCGACATACTTGTCGCAGTGCCATATTCGTCAGAGTCGCCGTCGTCGTCCATCGCCGCGTCGCTATTCCGGTGAGAGGACGTCCTCGCGCGAGATGGACGTAGTTGGTCAGGACCGCTGTCGGTCCAATCGGGGTCGTCATCGTTGTCATTAATAGTAGGATCGTTGCTGCTGTGGTCTTCCTCTTCCGCACTGCCGCTATAGTCCATTTCTTCATTGTCTGGGTCGATACTCTCAAGCTCATCTGTAGACGCTCTGCCCACGTCAGGCTTCAGATTGGCAGTGTTATCACGTGTAATATAACCAGGCTGACTATGACGGCCATCATCGCCTACTATCTCCTGCTTTATAGAAGATGAATGACTCGGATGAACTCTACCATGCTGCGTGGGTGCATCTAAGATGGGATCTGTATCTCCGGAGGTCTGCATTCGGAGTGGATGCGAGAGGAGGCTACCCCAGCCGGTATGAGTTTCTAGCCGATTGTGGTAAACCTGGGCGTGGATCTGATCGCAATGACAGGAAGAGGCCTGCCGATGCTTGAATAAGGCTCGCGTCGGTAATCTGCCGCCGGCCCAGAAGTCGGTAAGTTTGGGTGACGAGAATGCGAGGGCTGGGCAAAGAAAGCTCTGGCGGAGTGTCAATTAGGTCTAACGAGAACTTTAATCCGGCGAGCACTTTGTGAGAGAGTTTTGGGCTGGTTAAAAATGGCAACACCCCGCAAGCGGACGATGCGGGGTTTCTATATGAAGAGCATCGTGGGTGAATTTATAGCGATGTGTGAAGATGGGCCTTTTATCGAGATATCCAGGTCCGCTACACACCTGCATATCGGAAATCTGACCTGTCGCCTGGATTCATGCAGTCGAGTCCCGACTGCGGATGCCGGCGAGGCCCTCAGCCGCACTACTCCGAGGCTCCGCAGCGACCGAGATGCAGCAGTTTTGCAGCCTGTAGACCTCAGCATGACCCCACCATACAGTGTTTGGTTGGCTGATTCGATGAGATTGCGGAGACACCGGGGTAGAGAAAAAGCAACGACACAAGCAGGTAGAGCGTATGATTGGCACGGCACAGATTGCCCTGTTTGTCTGTCGCAGGTAGCTGATGCAGCTTCTCTATGGCAGCCCGAACAAACGCACCGCAGACACAGTTAGGGTCCAGCAAGCACCGGATAACTATAGTCTAACGATAAATGATCACGTCTGTGGTGGTCACTTGACAGAGTGTTATACATACCGTTCGCTGCTGCACAGCTCTCGTGACGTCACCGGGAAACACCGGCTGCTGCCGCGGACCGGCCCCTGAAATCCAAACTGTGTCTTGGTTTACGCATATGGCGGCACGAGATTTTCCGGGTGTCTCCCTCTCCGCCATCACCAGCCCTCGTGCAGACCCCCGTGGACTGCGCTAAAACACATGATGCCAAGTGTCAAGCTAAAACTAACTAAAGTATAACGTATCAGATAATGCCGAAAAGTCTGGCTTCGGTCGTTTCTGTCAGTCGCAGCGTTCGTTGAAAACCTACCGGAACCGTTTCCGGTGGAAGCCCGAAGCGGAATCAAACCAAGCTCAGGGGCGCGTCGCACCGCCTGAGCCGAGGATGCTGCTCATCCACCCAGCTCGCCATCCTGGTAGCCTTGTCTGATATCAGTTCTCAGATTCACATGAAAACCATTGTCGCGGACAGGATTATGTATAAATACACCATTCAGTTCGGTGCTATCACCCTCTGGTTTGCCTATTTAGCTGTCTGTTCGGGTGGCAACAGTGCCGGACGTTCTATCACGAGGGTTAATTAGAGTTTTGTTTTGGTCCCTCGACGCGGAATAAATCCCAGGCGGCCGGCCGGCCGGGGACGACTTCCATAAGTTTGCTGCCTTCACTCCTCCGTTCACCGTTCTGAGCGGCCGCGTGCAACCCTTCATCTCCGCAATTTTTTTTCTCCACCTGACTATCCGGGGCCCCAAACAAATAGGGACTTGACAACCTGCCTATATTAAGAGCTTCCCCGCTCTCTCCAGATTCCTTCGTTATACCCCACCACGCAGCACTTCTTCCAAAATGTCTACTTCCAACTACGAAGAGTTCGCCATAACACCGGCAAACAACGCCAACAACACCGAGATTATCCCCCGGTCCCTCCCTCCCAAGGGTGGCCGCAGTCACACTCACGACGAGTTCCTCCGCCGCGATGATGTCCGTGGAGAGGACGAAGACATTCTCGTCGAGGAGGAGCGCCTGAACGGTGTGCAAATCTCCACTTACCGCCGTATCCGACGCCAGCTCCGCGAGCCTCTCGCCGAGTTCCTTGGATGTGTCGTTTTCATCACCTTTGGTGACGGTTCCGTTGCTCAGAAGATGCTTTCCAACTCGGCCGCTGGTAACGAGATGTCGATCAACTTGTCCTTCGGTATCGGTGTCATGATTGGTTTCCTTGTTTCCGTCGCCGGCGGTGCTGCCGGTCACTTGAACCCTGCCATCACCCTCGCGAACTGCATTTTCCGCAAGTTCCCGTGGCGCAAGCTTCCCATGTACTTCCTCTGCCAGTTCCTCGGATGCGGCTTTGGCGGTGCTATCGTCTATGGTACTTACCGTACTTCGCTCAACAACTTTGATGGTGGAATCCGTGCTGTTATTGGAGACACCGCGACTGCCGGAATCTACTGCACCTACCCCCAGTCCTTCCTCGACGAGGCTGCGAAGATCATGTCTGAGTTTGGCGGATCTGCCTTCCTTGCCATCTCTGTCAACGCTATTGCTGTCCAGACTTCTACTCGCCGTGATCCTAACCTTCCCGTCGAATGGAACCTCATCCGTGGAATCTCGCTCTTCCTCGCTGTCTATGTCATTGGTGCCTCGCTCGGATGGCAGACTGGTTATGCTATCAACCCTGCTCGTGATTTCGGTCCGAGAATGGCCTCTTACGCTGCCGGATACGGTCGTGAGGTCTTCACCGCTTACAACAACTACGCCTGGATTCCCGTCATCATTCCCTTCTTGGGCGCCATCGCCGGCCAGGGTATCTTTGACTTCATGGTTATCGAGAACGATGAGGAGAGCTTTGTCACTAGCCCTGCTATTGCCGTCCGAGAGGTGAAGCGTCTGGTTAGAGGATCGCCTGCCTCGAGCGTGGACACCGAAAAGTCTGGCTAGAGAGCTCGAGAAGACCGATCTTGTCATTATTAATATCGAGAGTCGTTTTTTTGTGCATGGCTAAACTTGGAGTTTGATATTTGTTTCGGTACTTTTATTTTGTTGTGTTTGTGTGCTGTTTGCTTGCTGTCTATAGAGTAAAGAAAAAAGAAGCCGTTTGTGATGACGGTGTTAATAGAATTTGGTCTTTTGAAGCGATCTTGCATCAGCAATAACATTTGTACTTGAGTACGCGTTGTATTATAATAATTAGACACCTGTTTTGTTTTTGTGTTGTGTTTGGAAGAGTATAATATATTGCTATTACTACAAATATCGATCATACTAATAAACACCAGCAGCACTACTACATCACAGCCAGAGAAAATGTAAACAAAAGTGGCAACAGCGCGAAAGTCGGTCAGTCGAGCGAGGGCAAATTTGAATTTTGGTGTCGAGGACGCGAGTAAAGTTTGGACGATAGGACCGGCAGCGGGAACTCTCGTGAACCGGGGGGGGGCAAGATCAGCGCCTCGAGAGTCCAAAGTAAGCATTTTTCATCCTGTCGTCATTTGCCGCCACTTTGCTTTGTCGACACTTTTAAAACAACGAGTTTTGCGGGAGAGTGAGAGAGGATTTATTGATCTATCAAGTGATTGTTGAATATTCATCGATCTGCTCTGCTTGATTTGGTTTACTTGATTAGCCGCGCCTCTATCACCGATACCGATGCTGATTTAAGAATCATCAGCTGTCTACGGATCATTCGCATCAACACCTCTATATTCTTTTACCAGAGCCGATACACGCAACCATCGTATATTGTTTCGATCTCTGGGTTATTTCTTATTCCGTTTTGTATATTTGCATACCCTCGCATCTTTACGTTTCTCGCCACTCCATTTGATTTAAGACCACGCCATGCGGATCATCCTTTTACCGTTGACCACGACGACGCGTATGGTCATCGCGCAGCGCACCGGATACACAGCAGTCATCGCGGCGAACCCGAGACGTATAGACGACAAGCTGACGCTACGGGCGCACAAGATGTGGGCGGATTGGGAGAGCTCGTCGACGTGGTGGAAAAAACAGGTGACGAAATGGGGAAACAAGGCGATGGACAATATCTCGTACGAGGAGTGGTCGCTGAAGGGAATCCCGCGCGCGCCACCGGGCCTGCTGATGCAGAGCCCGAAGAAGTGGTGGGAAGTTTGGCGGTCGTCAGGTGAAAATGCAACGCCAGAGGAGATAGAAGGGCTTGTGAGCGGGAAGGTCGCGTTGGTGTTCCCACCCCGTCACATCAACGCAGACGAAGTAGCGCCGATCTTGCGCAAGTTTGCTGTTTCGAAGCAGCCGTATCATCTGAAGATGATGCTTATATATGGTGCGGTGTCGCCGCTTACTTTGCCGGTCGCGCTGCTTCCAGTTATTCCCAATATTCCAGGTAGGCCCCAGACTGACATCTTTTAGTACGTTTGCATTCTGACTGACTCTTGTTGATTAGGATTCTACTGTTTGTATCGGATGTGGTCGCATTGGAAAGGTTAGTTGCTGCGAAGAATGAAGTTCGTATAGATGAGTTATGGCTGACTTTCTTGGTAGCATACGAGGGAGCAAAGGTTTTGGATCGTATCGTATCTGAGGACAAATATATACTCGAACCGAGCTACACTCTGGAATCAGCGTTGAAACCCGCACCCGGCCCCGAAGATGCACCTCTGCGAGCCACATCGACCGGCGAAGAGACGCTGCTGGACAGCTCTCAGGTGAAGGCGGTTTCAGAAGCGTTGGACGCGCCTGAGCTTGAAGGAGAGCTGAATCGGGCGATTGTGCAGACGCGCGAGCGCATAACGAAGGAAAACAATGAGGCGGCCAAGATTACACCGCCAGAGAAATGAGGATGTGATGTTGAGCGCATGAGATGTTGAGAGTGTGAGGATGGCATGCCAAGGGCGCGTTCTTTGCAGGTTGTATATAAATTTACGCTAGGTATATAAAAACATCGCGTCTTTCGTTCTGTTACCAAGTTCTTACGGGAAGCGGACAAGACAAAAAATGCAAAAGTATTTGATGGGACGGAGTGTCCCTACGTAGTGGAAGAAAAAAAGGTGACGCGTAAATTGCAATGGGAAAGAGTGTGGTCGAGCCAGGCTGGCTTGACAAAGACTGCGATCCTTCTGAAGGTTTTTGAAAAAAGAGGGAAGGTCTATAGATAGAATTTCATGGTTCTCGTCGCGGCAGGAATTTTGTTTTGCATTTTCTGAGAGGTCTGATGGTATGGGGATCTCGTAGACGACGAAGAAAGACAAGAGGGTGGGCGCGCCTGCGGCGTCGTCGGAGTCCGAAATTGGAACCGAAGAGAGGGATTTTGCAGTATACGACGACAACAACAAAAACAAACAGAGAAAATTTGCAGCCACAGCGCAGCGCGTGTCTCCAACGGCCTGGGGGAGGTGAACAGGACATTTAGTCGCAGACAGGACGATGATGAGCAAATGCACAGAAGCCAAGACGGATGACTTGCAGCTACAGGCTTGGCCGCGCCGACGACAGCGGCCGAACGCACACAGACGAGACGGTCGACAATAAAGACTCCAAACCGGTCCCAACTGGTAGCTATAATAGGCAGTGAGCGATAAGCTTTGCTAACAAATTCCCACATTCCAGCTGCCGGTCTGCGTCTGCGCCTTAGTCTGGCTGGCATGCACCTGCTCCGCCTGCACCGCCCTCCTCCGGACGCGTCCTGCTTCCGGCCCGCAGGCCCTCGAGAGGCACGCAGACAGAGGATTTGTAGACCAAACGACACTGTAGGCGTCTGAGACGTGTTCGCGCGCGAGGCATAAGGTGACCACGCGTCGTTTCGCGGTGGTGCAGGCGCAGGGGCGCGGACGGTTATCCTGGTGCCATCCGCACGGCCCACATTGCGATACCTATTTTTGTTTGCACGTGACTGGGAAAATCGCCTCTCTTCCCTGCACCACCTTCATCCCTCTTCGGTGCCCTGCTCCAAAATTTACCGTCCTTCCTGATCCTGACCGCCCTCCTTCGCTCGCTTCCTCTTTTTTCTCTCCCTTTTTTCCCTCTAAAGGCGCGTCTCGGCTATGCCTTCCAACGGTCGTACTCTCAACCCCTTCGACTCTCCCGCCGCGTCCTCGATAGAGCTGTCTGAAAGAGCGTCTGTCAACTCAGACTACTCTGTCAACTCTGATATGGGTCTTGCCCCCAACATGAGCTCCTCTCACGCTGATGCTTTCCGACAGGCCCACGACGACCATGTGCACAACTCGCGCAACGGCGTCTTCACTTCCTCGTCGTCGGTTTCGTCCAGGTCCTCGGCCTCCGGCTCCTCCTCGGCCGTCTACGATCGATACCCAAGTGATGCGCGTCTTTCTGTCAACCAGTCGTCCATATACGACGCTTCGCGGAACTCGTCGACCTCCGTCGTCTACCCGCACAATCTAGGCGACCCGACCTCCGTTAACTCGAACGGTCCCGCCGACCCCGACTTTTCTCCCTTTGGCGGCTATCCGGTTTCATCTTTCCCGCTTCACATCGACGAGAAGGAGCCCGACGACTACCTGCACAACCCGGATCCCATATTGGACGCGAAGGACCATCGCAGCTTCTTTGACTTTGATGCCAGAGGAGTTTCGAACTTGATTACTTTGTTTTGTCTTGTCGCGGGTGCTGTGTGTCTCTTCATCGTCTTGCCAGTGTTGACCTACACCGGAGCCACCGAGCGACACACGGTAACAGTGGTCGACTCGAGCTTAACTTCGTACACCTACGGCACTCTGGGCGCTATCAGAACCTCGCTCATCGATCCTGACACTCCGACGGACGCCTATACAAGAACAGACAAGAATGGAAACACGCTCTATCTCGCGTTCTCTGACGAGTTCAATCAGGAAGGGCGCACGTTCTACGAAGACGAGGACCAGTTTTGGTATGCTGCCGATTTGCACTATGCAGCCACCGAGGATCTCGAGTACTACGATCCCGACGCTGTCACCACGCGCGACGGCGTTCTCGTTCTTCGCATGGATGCCTTCAAGAACCACGATTTGGACTACCGGTCTGGCATGCTGCATTCTTGGAACAAGCTCTGCTTCTCTGGCGGTCTTTTTGAAGCTTCAGTCTCGCTGCCTGGTACCGGTGATAAGCCTGGTTTGTGGCCCGGTGTGTGGACTATGGGAAATCTTGGTCGACCTGGATACTTGGCCACCACTGATGGAACATGGCCTTACTCGTACGAAGAGTGTGATGCGGGTATCACTCCCAACCAGTCCTCGACCGACGGTATTTCGTGGTTATCGGGTCAGCGTCTGAACTCTTGTACCTGCAAGGGATATGAGCATCCTAACCAGGGAACTGGTCGTGCTGCGCCTGAAATCGATGCCCTGGAAGGCTCGGTTGCGAGCTACAACACGACCAACAAGGTCGGTGTTGCCTCGCAGTCGTTCCAGATCGCGCCCTTTGATCTTTGGTATCTTGCCGATTACAGCTACCTCGAGGTTTACAACGACTCGATCACATCGATGAATACCTGGGCTGGTGGTCCCTACCAGCAGGCTGTTTCCGCCTTCACCACGTTGAACACCGAATGGTACGGCGGCAAATCGTACCAGACCTATGGCTACGAGTACGATCCGTTCATCAGCGATCCCTACATCCAGTGGCAAGTCGGCGGCGAAGGCACGTTCACTTTGTACTCCAACGCTCTGCGACAAAACGGAAACGTTGGTCGGAGAATTGTGCCAAAGGAGCCGATGTCGATCATTCTCAACTTTGGTCTCTCCAACTCGTGGATTTATATCGATTGGCCGGCGCTTTCCTTCCCGATGGAGATGTATATCGACTATGTGCGGATATATCAGCGGGATGATGGCAAGAGTAGTATTACCTGCGATCCGGATGGATATCCTACTACAGATTACATTTCAGATCACCCGAAGGCTTACTTGAATCATAACATGACTAAGTGGTATGTGTCTGTGTTTCGTTTTGATGAGCTGGAATGAGTAGCTAACAACTTTTCATCAATAGGGAGCATGCTGGATACACATGGCCGAAGAACACACTCATGGACGGTTGTTCCATGTAATCAAAGAAAGAAAAAAAGAGAGCTTAGGTTTAACTCGGCGGCCATCGCAAACGATGGCACCGATGGTGGTTAACCAGCAGCAACAGTTTTAAAACACGTGGCTCGTTTTGTTTTTGCTCTTATTCTAATGTTTTGTTTGATTTTGTTGATGTATTCTATTTCGATTGAACGCTTGTTGTTTCGTACAAAGTTCTTGTTTTTATCTGTATTTCTTCTTTTGTTTTCTTGTCATTCTGTCGATTGTGCAGTTTTGTGTTTGTGTTTTTGCCTCTTTCATGTAATGCCTTCTTTTTTGTACAGTTCCATTTGGCACGTTGGAAGAATTATGTGGGTTGGTTGCAACGGGTCAGGCGTCAAATTAAATATTATAGATCATGTCAATTATATTGTGGGGTGTTGTTGATGTAGATGTGTAGGTTATGTGGAGTAGATGTGGAGTAGATGTGGATGTAGATGTTGATGTAGTTGCCTGGATATCTAAAAGCGAGCACAATGATCTGTTGACAGACCTCGCCAAGACTGCAACGGTCGCCACAGCCATTGTACAATCTGCATCTTTAAATACCCGGTGACGCAAGAGCCCTTTCTTTATTGTCGTCGATGACGAAGAGTTGATTTCGGACGCTGCTGCTGCTGGGCAACGAGCACCAAAATGGCAACTTTCGAAACCAAAACGCCCCCTGGCTTGAAAGCGTTAGCAGCGTGGCTAAGGGCGCCAGCCACCCTGCCATGCTCTATTTATAAGGCTCCGTGAACACGCGCCCAGAATAAGACGCTGCTCGTGTTGCGTGCATGCGGCTCGTTATTTTGGCGCCGTCCGGGTACCAGCAGCCGTTTGGCCCGCTAAACTCAGCTGTTCTGTTCTTCCTTCGCGCACCTGCAGGACATTTCTTTTGCTCGACACTTCTCTTTCCTGCCCTCTCTTCCTTGCTTCCTGCAGCACTACCTCCCTCGTCCTGGCACCATCGACAACACTGGCCATGTCTGTGCCGTCTGCTATCGATCGCCGCTCTTTCAATGCCTCCCCCGCGGCTGGGCTCCGTGTGGGCCACAGGAGAGACAGCCCTTCGATTTCCGCGCCCTCTTCGCCTGTTCAGCTCCCGCTCGCCTCGTCCTCCAGCATGACCTTCTCCGAGAGCGCACCCGTCCCCTCCGCGCAGCCCAACCGTCTGTCTGTCTATCCGATGCTGCCTGGCTCGCGCTCGTCTGTCTCGCTCTACGGCTCCGGCGGCGGTCAGCAGCGGCCGGTCTCGAGCTACCACGGCCGCACGCCGTCTGTTGCGCCCCCTGCAAGTTTCGACCAGGCGCATCTCATTGGCTCTCTTGGAGCTGCAGGCCAGCACGCACTGGTCGCACACGACAAGACTCTCGAGCTCTACCGAGCAAACGCAAAGCGCACGAACGATCCGACCGTGCAGTTTGAATTCGCGCAGTTCCTCATCCGATCTGCGCTCACCATCCCGTTAAACCCCGACGGCAGCAGCACCACCAGTGGCAAGCCGTCTTCTTCTTCTTCTCCACACGAACCCATTGATCGCCCTCCCTCTGCAGGCTCGTTGCATGGTCTGCCAAACGGACTCGGTCGACAGCCTCTTCACAAATCTCAGAGCTCAATGTCAGCGACCTCGCAGAGCAGTAGCGGCTCGATCCACAGCGCACCGTCGATGTTCACCGCCGACGAGTCAACGTCGACGCCAATGACGTCGATGGCGAGTTCGTCTACTGCTGCGACGGGCATGACGAGATCGCAGTCTGACGGACTCTCGAACCCGTCGTCGCTGCCAATTGATCCGGCCAAGAAGCGCGAGAAGCTGCTGCGCGAGGCGGCGGCCGTGCTGCGGAAACTCGCCGATCGGAGTCACCCCGATGCACAGTATCTTTTGGCGGACGCCCTATCGTCTGGTCTTCTTGGCCGTCGTGACCTGCGTGAGGCGTTTGTGTTGTTTGTTTCGGCTACAAAGCACGGTCATTCGGAGGCGGCCTACCGAGCAGCGCTGTGCTACGAGGAAGGATGGGGCACTGCGACCGATGTTCGGAAAGCGGTGCAGTTTTTGCGCGTGGCGGCGGCCAAGAACCATCCTGGTGCGATGCTGAAACTCGGAGTTGCGTGCTATTACAATCAGCTCGGTCTTGCGCACAAGCAACGCGACGGTGTGAGATGGCTGTCGCGCGCTGCGGAGACCGCGAACGAGATCTTCCCGCAGGCGCCTTATGAGCTTGCAGGGATTTACGAGAAGGGATTTTTGGATATCATTATTCCCGATGAAGCATATGCTGCGCAGCTGTATGTCAAATCCGCTGAACTCGGATATGCGCCCGCAGCTACTCGCCTGGGGTACGCCTACGAAAACGGGATCTTGACGTGTCCTCAGGATCCTGCATTGTCAGTACATTATTACACCATCGCCGCGTTGGCCGGAGATCCACAAGCCATGCTGTCGCTGTGCGCATGGTACATGGTCGGCGCGCCGTCGGTGCTCGAGCGCAACGAGGAAGAAGCATTTGAGTGGGCGCGCAAGGCGGCCGAAGTGGGTCTTCCCAAGGCGATGTTTGCCGTGGGACATTTCTGCGAGGCCGGAGTCGGCACGAAGCGCGACATGCTCGAGGCGAATGTGTGGTATACACGCGCGGCAGAGCATGGCGAGGAGCGCGCGACGACGAGGTTGAACGTGCTCAACGGGCGGAACGCGAATGCGCAGGGCAAAGAGGGTGAGAAGAAGAAGAAGAAGGAGAGGAAGGCGAAGGATAAGGAGAACGCGACGGTCGCCGCGCCGGCGGCTGCTGCTTCTACGGGGGCGAAAACTCAAGGGCAGAAGGAGAAGGAGGCTGATAACAAGGACTGTGTTATTATGTGATGATGCTCATAACCGGATGATCCTTTATGCATGGTTCGAGTTGGTGTTTTCTATTTTTTTTCTTGTTATTATAATTTTCCAGGTCACTAAAATGTCTATAATTATGTGCTTTTTGTTGGGTTTGTCACACTGCTTTTTTTCACAACATTCTTTTGTTTTCAAATTGCATGTATTCGTTCTCCGGTATTTTTTGGGCTTGTGAAAAAAAGACATGGAAGTACGTCTTCATTTCATATCTCTTTCTAATGTTTTTTTGGGTTGTCGTCAAGTATATATATTGTTAATCAATAATGGGAATGAATCACTTCCGGGAACGAACAAAACTAATGTATTGGTTGGTTGATTTTTTTGTCAATCGGTGCAGAGCGACGGGAGATGAGATCGCTCGCGAGGATGGGTGGTTTGTGGGGTGGAAGTGGAAGTTGCTACGCGTTGTATTTATTTATTATCGCTTTATAGTTGCTTCATAATTGTATTTATTTATTCGCAATCGTAATCCTTATCAATACTGCTTGTTGTTTGTTTACGTTGCTGTCGTTGTTTATGTTTACATCCATCCCTCTCATCTCTCTCCTCTGGGTGTAATTCGAAAACTTTTGAAAGATGACGTAGTTAACATCCCTTCCTGATTAGGTTTAATTATTCCCGTCTGGCAGGATTCCATTCCAGAGATGAGCAAGAATGAGAAACTGACGTGCCGTGGCTGGAGTCGTATCCCGTGTTGACCTTTATTTCGGAGGCGGTTTTAGTAGATGCCGTTGGACTATAAAGCAGAGATGTAAAGGCATTCGTGAGCAAATACAGAGATGGGAATAACTTATGCGATATTTAATTCATGATGATGCAGCGGGTCACACGCAGGTTCACCAGCCACAGAAGCATCCCTCCAACGAAGTCTTTGCATATAAACTTTCTCTCTCTCTCTTTTTCTTCTCTCGCTGCAAGTTATTCCGCGCCGCATCGCGCATCGGGCCGCGTCGGAACCGCGTCGGACCGAGGATATCGACAAGATCCGGTGTTTTTCATATCTTCTTCAAAGACAGTGGTGACAAGGCGGAGCAAATGTGCTCCTATGCGCCGGTGATATTCTGTCGTGCTGATGCCCCCATTCTTTTCGCTCCGTGAACGCAAAGAAGCTGGAAGTACTTCTATGCAGAGCATGTAGGCCGTCTCTTGTCTCTCCCGCCATGCGTGCGCGCGCATTAGCGTGCGAACAGAGAACGGCACCGAGACATCTTTGCGAAAAACTACTCTAGAACGCCGCGTGCCGTAGTCCTGTCCGCAGCTGCTTCCGTTCTGCAGGTAATATCGGCTTTTAGCTTCGATCGTAATCGTATTTGGATATGTAGGTGGTTAGCGTGGAGATGTGAGTTGGGAATGTGTTTTGGGAAGATGCAGATAGATTTGGAGTAAAAGTCGAGGTCGCGTGCTGTGAAGTTGGTGACCCGAGTGAGCCCAGAAATTACGTAGATATCTAGCAAAGCAGTTATTCCTTCTCACGACTCCTCTCCGGGAAGAGAGGTACGCCGGGGTACCGCTACCTTCCCATCGCTAAGAGGTCAGCGTCGTGTACGTGCACTACTATATGCTGACCTTTACTTTCCGCGGTCTTTCTGCTAGCGAGTCGGGTTGGACTTGTGTTGGTCTCGAGCTTGATGTCTGGACGGGTCACTGGAAGTCTGATTCTGGCAGTGCGTAATCGCTGGCGTACTCTACTTCCGAGGCAGTTGATTCAATCATGCTCTATCCGTGTCGGTCCGGCGTACAGCACCCACAGCAATTCGATATAAAACTGAGGAGACAGCACGAGCAGCACCAAGGCTATATAGATCCAGAATAAGAGTGATAAAATATTCATTAAGAAGTCTGCATGTTGTGCAAACAAAAGTAATCAACACACACACAAAACAACAGAAAAACTAACAAACTAGGAAAACAAATCAAAGAGTAACAACCGTGTATCGTGGTTTATCATATAAGCGGAAGCACGCGTACTTCCCAAAAACAACGCTCTCCAATTTTTCATGATCAGGTTGTCGCTCAGGCTAATGATGTAAACGCTCCTTGCGAGGTGGGTTTAAGGAGAAAGAGAGGAAGAGAAGCGATGACCGCGTTGAATTTCCAAAATGAAGAAAGTGAAGGTTTTGTGCGATTGGAAAGGAGGAAAATGCTCAACTTGTGAGTCTTCGTACTACTCTCCTTAATAAAACAAGCGATTAGAGCCTCGGATACGAAAATGCATGTGTATATGATTCTCTAATCATCTAAGCCGTCAGACGAATCTCTAGTGAGAATGCGAATGCCCGTTGCCCTCCAGCGCAGCCTGCGGGTCCACGCAGCAACTAGCCTGGTCGCATCCCTCGACGCACATACAATCCGGACTCGCCGTTCCGCTCGAAGACACAGGAGTCGTCGACAACGGCGCACCTTGGTACTCGGGCTGGATGGTAGCGGAGTGAATGCCGTATGCGTGCAGCGACTTGCGGATCGTGTTGCTGAGCGTCATAAAGTCGTCGGCCGAGGACGAGAGCACGTTGACGTGCATGCTCGCAATGTACAGGTTCTCGCGCAGGATCCAGACGTGGAGGTCGTGCACCGACTTCACGCCGTGCATCGCTTGGATCTCGGTCTTGATGTCGTCGACGTCGATACCCTTCGGGGCCGCTTGCAGCAGGATCTTGCTCGCGGATTTGACGAGCGGGAGCGCGGATGTGAAGATTATGCAGGTAATAACCAGCGACACCAGCGGGTCAAAGTAAAACCGCCACGAGTACTCCGTGTACCAGATAAACAGCGCGCTGGCCATCACACCGATATTCCCAAGCGCGTCGCCCATGACGTGCAGAAACACGCCTCGCATGTTCAGCGACTGTCCACTGCCGTGCGCGCCCTTCTTGCCCGCCTTCTTTGCCCGCGCGCCGTTCGCGCGAGCAGGCTCGTTCGACAACAGTCCCGTGGATTCGCTATCGTCCGGACCAAGGCTGCTGGTCTCGTCGCTGTGGCTACTTCCGAGCGCAGACGCGGCCGCGCGCTGCTGGTCTTCGTACGCGTGCTCGTGTTCGGCGACGACGGCCTCGGGAAGCAAGTCGCCGATCTCCATCCGATCGACGGGGTCCTCGCCGCCATGCGAATGCGAGTGTCCGTGCTCGTGGAACAGAAACAGGCCGACGATGTTCGAAAACAAGCCCGCCATGCCGACGACGAAGACGAGCTTCGGGTTCGTGATTGTCTGCGGCTCGACGAAGCGCTGCAGGGCCTCGAGGAAGATGGTGAGGCAGAGCGCGAGCAAAAAGACGCCGTTGACGAGCGCGCCGAGGATCTCGGCGCGTTGCCAGCCGTAGGAGTATTCGGCGGAGGCGGCGCGTGATTTCGAGACGTTGACGGCCCAGAGGGCGACGACGAGCGAGAAGACGTCGTTGAGCATGTGGAAGGAGTCGGCGACTAGTGCTAGTGAATGGACCGCATAACCTGTAGTGACTATCTTAGCAACCTGATGGCAGACTTCCGCGATGAGTTTTGAACGATAACGATAGCATACCGATAATGACTTCAAGTAAGAAGAAGAGCGAGTCGATGATAAGAAGCGTAATGATACGCCCCTGTTTTGAGAGCAAGGCCATCTTGAGAACTGTATAAATGTACTTTCTGCGTGGATAAAGGACGCGACGCGGTCTTTGATGATGTTACTCCGCAAAAACTAGGCGTAGAGTCGGGGACTGGGTAGTGGCAATAGATCTCTCGTGAGTTGTTTTCATATACTATCGCGCTCGCTTCCTGTTGATGAGCTGCTTTTAGTGCTGCAATAGACAACGTAAGATGTTGGATGTAGACGGACACGTACGAAGTGGCGAGGTCAGCAATCCAGCGCGGAGCTTCAGACTGTGCGCGGCGGTATGGAAACGGAAAAGCAGACGCTATCAGCGGCGACGAAGAATCAGAATAATCACCTCGCTTCTAAGAAAGCCTAATCCTCGTTCGTCCGTAAACAAAAAAAATCCCGAACCGAATAAAGCAGTGAATAAGAAAGGGATAAGAGCGATACGGCCTGTTATCGAAATCGTTGGTTCGTGAGCGCGGTGTAGAGAAAGAGACAGTTCAGGAATTTAGACGTGCGCCGCCCAACAATGATTTCGATTTTGCTTTTGGAGATTACCTTATTTGTTTATTTCTTTGCCGAGAGGGGACCTGCCTGATTAAGCAGAAATGGACTAGATCTTTCTATTCATCGCTGTAAGAACGAACTACGGCATCTACAGATCATAATGCATTTTCGCAACTGGCTTCTCGATAGCTCAGCTTATCACGTTATCCTCGCCTCTCCGCTCTGGCGCGATGTCTGTCGGCTGCTGGAAGTGCGCCTGCCAGCGGCCGGAGGGGGGCTGATTCCCTATTCGTTACCCTAATCCTGAGATTACCTCATTGATTAAGTAATGGATTTGACGCTGAAGGTGCGATACTGCCTTGACTTAATTTATGTGCATCTTCATTCGCATACAGACAGCAAGCAGTTCATCAGCAGGACTTACTCAATAGTCGCTTGCTTCCTGCCTAGATGTTTGTTCACCTCTGCCAGCCGGGAAGGACGCGCTCGGGGTTATGTAACAGCTCGATAAAGCAGCGCGGCTTTCGGAAACTGTGCACGCGACACCCACTTAACTCCCTCGTTGAGAGCAGCCAGGCAGGCAGCCTATCTGGAATGAGCGCTAAGCTTGGACGTAACTGGTATTTAGTCTGCTGTTGATAGGATGGCGCGTGGTGGATAACGTCAGCAAGCAAGCAAGCGATATGGCTTTGCTATCTTCTATGTTTCTAATTTATTTTATTGACGGAGTGAGAGAAGGAGGAAGGCACAGTTTTAATTAGTTGCCGTTCGAGGAAAACGACGAAAGCAGACTGTCTGCGTGATTATTAGCAGTAAATCTGCCCAACCTGCTCGCTTGCCAGCAAATTCAGTTCAGGGTCGGCTTTATCATTTTGATCATCAAACGGCCAAGACAGGCGCTGGCTCGAATCTATGCCGCTGGTGTGGTATAGTTTGGGGGGAAAGAGGGTAGCGCATACTCGAGCAAAAAAGCTAGTTAATGTATTAGTGATGAAACCTCCAGGTCGCGGGTGGACCCTTACTGAGCTGCAAATGAAATACTACTCAGTTAGCGAGCGCCGGAAAAAAACCAGGCCAGAACCCAGCGCGGTGGGTTTTATTTTTTCTGCTCTCTAGTTTGACGGCAGGCAGGCAGGTCGTCGTCGTCGTCGTCGTGTTGGGAAAAAGGTCAAATGACGGCAGCTTCCCGCTCATCGGGGCCCCCGGTAGTTACCGTCGACCGGCTGCCATCCATTCCTGAGCTTGGGTACGGCGGTGGCAGCACGGCGCGAAGCAGGACGCGATATATTTTTGATGGTTGTTTATCGCATCGGTGAGGAAAAGAGTTCTGTTTATCAGTGCAAACCAAATTGTTCTGGGTCGTCGGCCGGGATTCTCCGTTACCGAGTTGCACCTCGACCTTGTATCTCTTGTATCTTTCGCAAAACGTTGAGACACTTTAATATCATTTTCTCTAGTTTTATCACCCTAGTCCGTGTTATGTCTCCACATGTCTTCACCCGGACTGAACTTATGCACAGCAGGACAGTCATGTGATTTGCTAGATCCCGAGCCAAAAAGACACGAAAACGATGAACAGGGATCTGTTCGAGCGGTGGCCATCTGAAACACCGCGATACGATTGCTGTTCAGCGCATCGACACTTTTGTCTGAGACTCTTTGATCACTAGTCATTCGATTCCTGCGTCCTGTTTAGTTGCGTGCGGCAGGCAGCAGCAGCAGCAAGAGCACACTGGCCGCTTTTAGCAATTTTTCTTCACTGCTGCAGGGTCTCCACTGCAGCCTCCAACTCAGCTGCTTAGGCCTGCTGCTGCCGCCAACAGACGGGTACACTGCAGATTTTGCCCCAGAGATGGGAAGGCTAAGACCCGTACACCAGTCCCGTTGTAGGTATATCGCTCTCCCTTGCTGTCATAGATTCTGCTGCTACTGGAAGAAAAAAAAGTGGTCGGGTCAGGACTGATCGGTTCCGTCCCTGAGTGTATACGGCTAGTGTGTACGTCTCGCCAGCCCATTAGCTGACCAGGCAGTATTCGTTTTCCTCCGCTCTGTAAGAAACTAGTGTCTTCTATTCACTTTTTCATTTATAAAAAGATTACTGATCAAATCCTCTATTGTAAGGAGTAGAAAGTAGCACGACAGACTCAGCCGTGCGTGCGCTGTTATCGAAGCGGCGGGTGCGCGAAGCGACCCAACCGACCCCATCGGATTTTTTTAAAAACGCAAAATATACCCATTTAGGCCGCTGCCACCTCGCCAGCCGTTTTTCCACAGGCATTTTGCGAATGTCTGAGGGCAGGCAGGCATATTAGACGTAATATATAAGACATCAGGAAAAGCTTGTGCTGGCAGCCTCCGTCATTCGTCCTGCGAGTTACTATTTGATTTTCTCGAGTGAAAGCGGGTTGAGGATCGGGAGTGCCGAGCAGATTTGGAGGCCCAGAGAGATGGGAATATGACTGAAGAGGCTCTCTTTCTGCGTGTATCAGGCGCATGGCAGGGATTCCTTTCATACAGCGCCGAGTTCAACAATGGACGCACGCGACGGAGGCCTCAATGGCGCGGGTGTCTGAGACAGATTTGACGCGCAGCACAGGGTCGATGGCTGAGTACCTCCCTGCTCTGTGCCTCTGCGCCTAGTCTCTCAGCGACAGAGCGAACGGCTGGAAATTGCAGGCAAGCAAGGACAGAAAACTGAGATGTGCTATATATCATGCTGCTCTCCTGCCGGAACTCGTCTGTAGGTGTTTGAAATGCAGCACAAATGAAGAAGCTGGGCTCGGCTCCTGGTCGATACTGTTCAACGGCTATCTCGCGAGGAAGACACGGACTTATTATCAGAATCAGGTACGATCGACGGCGTACTCTCCGCCTGTGTTTTTCCGATCTGGCAGTCTGATGATTCCTCTGGCTTGCGATGAGGACGATGATCACTCTGACCCTTTTCCTTCTTATGCATGATTTGTAAGTGGGGATGATTACTACTAGCAGTGGCGGTGGTGATGCATTGAGCAGGCGACAGCTGTACGTGCGCGTGTGCCCGACGCATAGCTGTGGTTGCTGACGGCACTTGCCGATCACGGTCTCGGAACGCGCAGCAGACGAGCGACAGCAACGCCCACGCACTTGTAGAAGAGATATAGTACTACATAGACCTCAACTTCCTCATAGCTATACTGCTAGACCTTAAAAAGGGAAGACTTGATGGAAAAGCAGGGCGTAGTAGAGATGGCCGGAGAATGAGGTCATCCGCCGGTCCCTTTCCTCTTGTGGTCCCTTTCTGACTGATCGTATTCGCATTCAAAGTTTAAAAAACTGTCGCAAGTCAGACAACATGTAATACAAGGGCAGCACGACTACAAAGAGAAAAAAAAGAGATGCAGAGTGCGAGCACGACCACAGAACCGGAGCAGAGCCAGATCGCAAGAAAACAAAGAGATACAAAAAAAAACCTTCTCGTGTTCGCTATGTTGTGCAAGCTAAATACCTGACCTGCTTTGTAGGCGCAGGTGTGTGATCCCTGGATTTGGGGAGGAGGGCCATGCGTTTGCGGTGTAAGATTGAGATCCTAGGCCTTTTGACGACAGACCCGTTCGCGGTATCTTCCGCTCATCACACCCCGTTCTGGCCATGCCATGTCCCTCTTGCACCCTTCCACCCTGCGATCCGGAAATAATTCCCGTCCCTGCTTTGCAAGAATTAAAAATTAAGGCACCAGGAAAAACTCTCGCGATGGGCTCGCTCGATGTTCGTTTCAGACTTGCTGAGATTATCGCGCGGCGAGCAGCCTGTGCTTGCAGAGATGAATTAGGTTGAGTACGTGCGGACAAGATGGTAGGAGCGGAGAATCTTTGCAGGGCTGCGGTGCGGGCCGTGGTTCCGTTCCGGCCGGGCACAGAGACTAGCGCAGCACGTCTGCATGCGTAATCAGATACTGCGAAGCGGAATGGAAGGTCATAGATGGTAAGGTATGGATGGCACTGACTACATGTGTAATAGGTTGAAATTCTAGCATGTTGGATATGTTGATTCCGCTGTGAAATATGAAATGAAAAAGCGAAGAAGGAGGAAGAGAAAGTCTTTACTTTTTGCCACAGCAGTTAATTTGATTGCTATGATTAAAGGCAAATCCCGGATATCAGCGGCGGTGACGAAAGACAGCTGACAACAGTGTTTTCCTGCGTCTCTGCGAGAGTTATGAGAGGATTGAGTTATCCGAGACAGGGAGAGAAGGAAGAAGGGTCTCCTGATCTCTGACGCAAGGCTCTGGCCCCGCGTGCGCACGTATGAACGTAGAACAGTCCTGGTTTTCGATCGTGACAGGCCTGACAAACAATGAAAGTAACAGAGAGCACCTACACGGAACCAAAACAGCTGCTCGCGACGCTAGGTCAGACGCGGGCTGCATTTCATTCAATGCCTTGAGTCACAACACCTCCGTCCATTAAAAAACCAAAGCAAGGTGTAGAAGGATTCGATTAGAGAGGGAAAAGAGGGATTAGATTGGAGACGGCATGCCAAAATCTGAACTTTAGCCTCGTTAACTTTGCCTATGGCCAAAACATCACGCGTGCGTTGGTTCTATCCTGGTGCGCAGAAGCGCCGGGAACACTGTCCCACACGAGCTGTATACTGGCCATATAGATCATATAGATCATATAGATCATATAGATCATATATATGACTACAGCTGTTGACGAGAAACAGACCGGATAAGAGAGAAAAAACCAAGAGCAAGTTTCTCGGCGTTGATAGAGAGGAATCTAGTGTACAGCGGCTCAAACTCAAAGCTGCTAGCGCGTCAGCCACCCTTTCAGATGATCGACCCGCGTTTTGGTGGATCAGAATGAAGAGAAGAAAAGAAGAAAAAAAAGATGCGAAAGAAAAGAAAGAGAGAGATGCGGTGATGACGGGCGTTGTCTAGACTTTTGGACTGGCGATGTTGAATCACCGTCATGGCTATGACTGACTACCTCTCCTCGCTATCCGTACTTCTCCCTCGCCTCTTTACCCCGCCCCCCTTCCTCTCCTACCTCTCCTTCTCCCTCGACCGTCCCATATTAGCCTTGGCACCCTACGTAGTCACTCTCTAGTTCGGCTCAGCCGGTGCCGAAATTATACAATTTCGGTATCCCAATCTCGAAAGAAAATGCCCGTGCCCGGTCCGTGTGTAAGGTTGCATTGTGTTTATCTGGCCTAGCGGTGATAAATAAGTGCCGCCAGCTGATATTAGTGCGCGATCGTGATGTTCGCCGGCGACTCCAATTTAGATAAATGGGCAAGATTGGTTTTCACAGCATTGGCGTTTTGATTTGTAAGGATTAGTCGTCGCCCAGTTTCAGATCTGGCTAATCTCGTTTGACTGTTTTCTTGGTCTACTAGCTTGATTCGAGTAAAGATATCCTGATAATTGTGAATTATAGGCGATAGCAGCTCGTTCTGCGAGAAATGAGTATATTAGAATAAAATGTACAAGAAGTTCGTATGTATACAATATTTCGTCATTCGTAATCATAAATCAACTAAGAATAGATCCGATATATCGTCCCACCGAAAAACACAAGGTCATAACGTCATAGCAGTAGCAAGTAATAGCAATTAGCAGCAAGATATCTCTACTCCAGTAAAATTCATAGGTCCAAAACGTAAAGCAATCCCAAGTTATCCCGTGCCCGGCACACGGTGTGATCTCTCACTCCATGGCGGCGCAAAAATATACATATAGTACAATAAATAAAGCACAATAATACCTTTCCATAACGCTGTAGCGAAAAACAAACAAAAACAAACAATTGTTCTCCTTCGTGAACATCTTCAGAGAGACCTCACATAACCATCGACGTAGCAATCGACGCCAGCTCATCAAGCTTCACATCGCTCTTCCCGCCCGGGCTCCTCACGCGCATAGGTCCCATGACGCCCGACGACGCCGCCAATGAAGAGATAGGCGGCAACGTCTGCAGCCGGGGCGGCGAGCGCGCCAGCTCTCCGATGCGAACCGTGCTCGCGAGCGGAGGCAGCGGCAGCGCGAGCGTGGGCGTGCTGCTCTGCGGAGGCAGGTAGGCGTGGTGTGCCGGCGACGAGAACGACGACGAAGAGGATGTCGAGGACGAGCGCGAGACGGAGTCCAGCGCGGACTCGGACGGCGGCTTCGTGTTGATGTCGTCGGTGGCAGACGAATATCCTCTGTCGATTGACTGCCGCGTAGGTAAGCTGCTCGTGCTGCTGTGTCGCGCGCTCGACGCCGAGCTCATAGACGACGACGAGGACGACATGCGCTTGCGCGTGTTTTGCGGCGAAAAGAACGTGCCCGAGGAGGCAGACGACGCCGAGCCGGCTTTGCTTCGGCCGGCCTTGCCGCTCGCGCTCGACACGCTGCCGTTCTTGGCCGACGTCGCCACCTGATGCGTACGGAAATGCTGCATGCAGTTATCCTGTCGCGAGAAGCGCGCCCCGCAGCCTTCCTCGGGACACACGTAGTTCTTCTCGCCGGTGTGGATGCGCGTGTGCCGCGCGAGGTGGCCCGAGGTCGTGAACGACTTGCCGCAGTGGCACGAGTACCGGCGCGTCTTCCGGGGCTCCTGCGAGTTCGGCGACGGAGAGCGCGAGTTGACTGTTCGGCCGCTGCCGCGGGAGCCGCTTCGACGCACGGGCGGCGAGCGCGGGGTCGGTGGTGTACTGCTGGGCGCGTCCTTTGGCACTGCTGCTGCGACGGTGGATGGTGGAGCAGCGGCGGAGGCGGGTTGCAGAGGGTGCTGGGGTTGCATGTAGGAGACGATAGGCAGGGCGTAGAGTTGCTGTTCGGGGTGGTGGAGTTGCTGCATCTGGGGAGGTGGTTGCTGGTGATGCGAAGGCGGGGACTGGTACTGCGCGTAGGCTTTGGGCGCACCGGCAGGCAGGTAGCCCACGGCGGCGGCGGAGGCGACTGGGTGGTACCATTGCACCGCAGAGTCGGAGGATACCGGCCGTCGCGCGTAGGTGTAGTGCATCGCGGGCGGCTGCTGGGAGTGCGCGACGGGCGGCGAGAGCGAGGAGATCGAGGGCTGGAAGGGCGGTTGCGGAAGGGCGTGAGCGACGGAGTGTGACGGCAGCGGAAGCGTGTGGGGAGGAGCGGGCGCTTGGGCGGGAGGATGCTGAGGTAGGCTGGTGGGGGCTCTGAGCGGCGGCGGGGGAGGCTGCTGTTGTTGTTGTTGTGTTGGTTCGTCGCAGAGCAGGCTCACCGAGCGTCCCGACGCAGTGATGACATGCGGGATCATAGTGCTCGCTGTTGGGAAGGGCAAGAAGCAAGAGTGTAGAAGGAGGGAGCGGGAGGAAGCAGAAGAGGAGAAGGCCAGGAAGGAGGAACACGGAGCGGCCGGCGATATTGGATATATATACCAGAGGAAGCCAGCGTCGAGCAGAGAGCGGGAGGTGTATGTTTTTTATTTTTTTCCTTTTGAGTGCCTGCTAAGGGTCTGCCGGGTCGGTCGTCGTCGATGTCCGTCGTTCTTTTTAGTCCGTTCAGCCATCGCTTGGAAAAAGTTACAGCGCGGCTCGAGCTTTTCGACTAAAAGAGGCACACACAGGCGAGCAGCAGGTTACGAGCTACGTACCTCCCTGCGCGGTCTGACCCGGTGTCTCGAAAGTTAAAATCTGACTCCGATACAAAGTACGCTGATCACAATGGTACTAGACTGCCGCCACCGGCTGGACCCTTAACTGGTCTCAATAAATACAGGACTTGCAGACCGGCTATGACGACGATACGCTGTACATTTGTTCGCGCCGAGAGAGGGGAGGCAGGTGTGCAGCCTGCTGCTGAGTCTTGGAAGACTGATTGATTATCTATCGCGCCGCCGGGGGAGGGGGGGAATTACGATTACACCATCCTTTCCTTCCTCCGACGGTGGTCCCTTGACGTCGCCCATCCCGTCCTGACGCCGTCCCCCGCCCCGCGTTTGGAGAGACAGCAGGCCAGCGCGGAGCAGCGACGGAGGGCAGAACGGGCAACATCGCGGCAAAGACGAGGCAGGAAAGGGTTCAGGAAGGAAATGGTACAGGCCCCCGCCCTGCGCGTCAATCCCCGAAGCGGAAAAAGTTGCGTTGCGGGATGGCCTGTGCAGGGCCGGTGCTAACCACAACAGCAAACGAAAGTAGAAGGAAGACAACCTAGTTCGCGCTTGAGGTTGGGGTTGTGTGTGGATCGGCACCGTCGCGTACACCTGCCGCCGCCGGAACACGCCATCAAACCACTCTGTCTTTCGGCACTATATCTTCCGCAGCCTGGCTTGGCTGACACCATCAGGGTGACCGGCCACAGTGGTGGACAATGCCGAAAAAAACATGACGAAATTATACATGCTGGAAAAGAAAAATAGCACTGGCTACTGCAGCAGGTGTAGACGGTTCAATCTTTTATTTACATTCATCTCTAGAAGGGAAGCACGGCGGCTCGCCCGAGCTGAGGAGAGGAAAGGCCTCTCTTCTTCCCTCCGCCAGCCTCCGCGAAACCGGTTTTTTTTTTCTCAACGTTCTGTTTGAATTTTTCGTCTTATTGTTTGCCGAACGCGCTTTCCTCGATTTGTCTGGCCGCTGCCGCGTGCGGCTGGCATCGTCATGCAGACGACGACGACGCGAAAGGGCCGCCGCTGCCGCTAGTAGCCGGCGGTGCTGCTTATTCTTGCTTACTACTTCGTGTTGTTACTTACTTACCTGCCCCTCCTGCTGCTTGTGTTTGTGCTTACGCTTGGGCTTTACGAATGAGCAAATTATAATATGAACGCGAAAGATTAAGAGGAAGGAATTTAATCTATGTTTATAAGCCTTTTATTTAATGTGGTCCCCGCAAATGCTGCTATTTTATATTTTTCTTTTCTTTTGTTTTCTTTCATTTTCGTATTTCACAGTTTGCCGTCTGCTATATATCTACCCACCAGGCCTCCGGGGAAGTGCCAGAAACCAGAGATGAACGAGAGAGGGGAGGATCACTTTCGTACGCAGGACGGAGATCAGAAAGTCATTGACGGTATCTGATATAAATATATTGTTGCTAGCTAAACGGGCCGAACTTCGGCTAAGCAGCGAGTAGGCCAGGAACAGACACCGCTTCTTGCACGCGCGCGCAAGTGATCGCCACCGTCGTCACGGTGCCGTCGCCCTGATCTGTCTTGACTCTGGTCTATCTGATCCTTGCGTGCGTCGCCTGCTGCTGATCCTGCAACACGGTGCCTGATGGCTTTTGAGTGATTGCAGAAAAGTGCTGCTTGTTTCTGTTCTCCCGGGTCAAGGATCAGATAGATTAGCTGTACGCTGGCAACTACGCGGTGCTCTCACGGTACACTGCCTGCTACTTGAACAAGTAACCCGAGATCTCTTGAGCGACTTAATCTACAAACTTAATTAAACGCGTCACGCTGCCTGGCTCTATATCTGCGTGTACAACAAACAGACCGCTGACCTGCTACCCGTTCCTGCTGTCTTCCCCCGGATGTCCATCCCAGTTCCCATCGACCCCTGGTAGTCCGCCCATCCGTTCTCGGCGGCGCGCCCGGAGAAACATGAGTGCTGATTCGGGAAATCATCCCACTTCACTAGACGGTTGGATTTGCTATTTCTCATTGTGTGTGTTTGAACGAAGCGGGTTGTGATAGTCGGGATCAGGAGCCCATTGTTGGGAAGATAGCAGCACTAGCCTGCTCTGCTCTGCTGTTATCAAATCAAACAGCTGTCAATACACAGTCAGCGCAGCACAACACAGCACCCCATTACGTCACGGACCGCCTTTCATTACACACGCTCCTGTCTTCGGGATGGAAGGGGAATGAAAAAGGGATGTGGGGAGAGCCAAGGAATCCGCTTTAGAGCCCACGTATGTCTGTTTGCAAACTCTAAACTAGAGTAAACTTTTTTATACTCGCACGCGCTAGCACGGGCAAGAAGAAGACCACAGCGGCGGCGGCGCGCAGGTTCAGGGTCAGGTCAGGTCAGGTCGGGTTTAGTGCGGACACAGCAAAAAGCAAAAATGAGCTGAGCTGAGCTTAGTGAGCCAGAGTCCGAGCCAGAGTCCGAGCCAGAGTTTTGTGCTATATTTGTCGTGTTTTGTTCAGCCGTGCCTAGGACTGGATGTAGGTGCACGCCGTCATCGCCGGTGTTTGCAGATATGAGATGCACTATTGTTCTTTCTTCTTTTGTCTAGTATTGTTTACTTATCTTATTCTCCATAATTTTCTTATCTCTCTTCTTAAAATATCCTCGCTCTCTCCCACAGCTTGCTCGTTACCACCTCGCCCTCCGGAATAACTGGGAATAACTCGCATAAGCTTTCATATTAGAACCTAAAACTAAAAATAAAATAAGCTTCGATGACTACGGTTTTCGCGAGCTTCGACCCTTTGCTGATGGCGGCTGCATTCGACGCTGAACCCATCGATCGCGTAAGCAACCCGGCAGCTGGACAGAAGAGGGACGATAGAATGCGTAGATGAAGTGCTTGAGCAGAGATCCGAAAATAGCAGCAGGCTTGTTGATGGCCGGAGTATCGTGTACGTCGCTGGGGATCTGGCAAACTATCGTTCAGATGATCTGACCATCACCACATTCCCCCCGTCAGTATCCGTTCCATCATTGTCAACAAAGATCAACATATTTGACATTTGCGTCTAGTAACAGAGCAGAAAAATCAAGCTTTTTCTATAATAAGACGGGGCTTGAGCAAGCATGCTTTCGGGCTGAAGATTCTCAGCCGGCTGGAAATACGCATGCGGTTTCTCGGTTTTGGCGGGGAGGGTGTGCGTACACGTCGGAGAAATGAAGAGCATTCTTCATTTTAAGACGATGGTAGAAGCAGGTTTGTGAAGTTTGCGTATGTTCTAGTCTCTACACGGACTTGTCGAGACATGATCGTTCGTCTGCACGAGCCTGCAGGGATGGGATAGTTGTTCGTAGCGCGAAGTACGGTCGTTGCGTCCGTACCGGCGAAGTGCGAGGAGCGGGTCGCAGAACAGAAATCGCGCGCTGGTACGGGCGATGATATCTTTCTCAGAATGGTGCAAGAAAGTGCTGGGTGTTGAGTGTATATTTATAGATTTAGAATGGAGATGGAGATTAGCAATTTGATTTGATTATCTTTCGTAAACGTCATCTTTTGTAAACATCTTTTGATCAATCAAAAGATCAGAGACGCGATAGAAGCTCTACCTGCCCAGCTCCGCAGATATATGTGGATATATTTAGACGGATATCTTTCGATTCAAAGACATCATGGCATGTAGGAATAAGACAACTTTAAGGTGCTGCCTCGCTTCGAGGACCTGCAGGACAAGTAGGATTCTAACTTACACTCACAGAAATCCAAAAGCGCAGGGACAGCAGCCCCATCCCGATACACTACAATGGCTGCACGGCTGAAGAAGCAAGTACGCTACGCAGTTCAGCAGACGGACTTGCGCAGGTGCTGGCAACTAGCGAGATGCGAAATTTTAGAATTTTCCTGCTCGTCGGGGCAGGAAGGTAAATTCAGGGGTGGGGGGCCAGTTGACGTCAGATCAGGTCAGTTCTTCTTTAGCGCAGTTTCAGGTGCGTGTGGAGCAGACCCCGAGCCGATAACGGCGAGCAGAAAAGAGAAACATGTGAAAAAGTTCGCGTCTACGCTATCAGTTCTCTATCGCAGGTCCGCCAGCCAGCCAGCCAGCCTCAGACGGAGGACAGACGGAGCCGGTTGGAAGGCTCGCTTTTCAGCCTCAGAATGGGATAGCCGGAAGCTTGCGATTGCTGCTTGTTTCTCACCCATTTGGAACTAAAACGGCAGGACAAAAGAGCCGGATAATACAAACTCCAGCCAGGTTTGTGATTTCGTGGAGCAATAGGGGACCAGTCGATGGATGGGGTGAGAGCCCTATCTTTCGCAAAAGTCACATGGATGTAATATAGATAAACAATTCTTCATCCATAATGTAATTGTACAATCATTTACCTCGACAATCAAATTTATAGTAGTATGTCGCTCTGAATCTCGATGCCCTGGGCGGCTGGCAGCTGGATATCTGAAACAGAACGGCGGTGTCGGAGCTTGAACGGAGATGTGCTGGCTACGTTGTTATTGTGCTGGCTCTCTATAAGTCAAATGGCACTCTTGAGCAGTTAAGGGACAGGGCGGATGATGAATAAACAGAATACGCAAAGAAAGCAACGGGTATGCTCTCTCGGAACAGAGGGCGGGCAGCAACTCTGCGAGAACTAAAATTAACTCCTGGCTGGCTACTGTCCGGCCATAACCCGTCGTTCGCAGGTAGTCGATGGAGGTTAGCAGCAGCAGCAGCAGCTCCTAGCGTGGGTCCTGGCCACGGCTGAGAGAGTTGAGAGTATCAGGTCGAGGGAGCAGCAGCCGTGTGGTTGGGTTTACAAAGGGCACGCACGGCTGCAGAGAAACTTCCGATCTGCCCCAGGACCTGCCTGAGCTAATTATAACTCACCCTGCAGTGACTACACAGTCTGTCTCTTCTCTTTTCGCGTCGTCGTCTTCTACTCTCTTAATTACATTTCTATTCTAGTCTCAATAAATAACAGCAACAAGCAGAAACCTCATAGCGACGCGTGTAAACAACACACAAAAGAGCGCAAACTAGCGTCGTCGCGGGCAAAATCCCCTCTCCTCGTCTTCTGCAGCTCGTTAACACGACGTCTGACCCGCCTCGTAAAGCCTAACAAATCAGGTTCCTGTCCCCCTTTCTTCCGTCGGTACTCTTCTCTCCTTGTGAATCACGGCCTTCTCTCTCCGCCCTTCTTTCCTTCGTACGTCAACCGTCGTATGTAACTTGCTTGTGTTTAATACCCTCGTTCGCGTTTGTAGCTTCGCGCGGGTTGGTCGAGCAGTCATTACAATCCTCTATTTGCTGTATGTTGTTTCCAACGGCTGCGCTCGGCCAGAGATAAAGACCAATCCAGCCTCGGCCCGCCCTCTGCTTTCGTGTTTACTTTCCATACCAGTGCCAGACTAGTCTCGAGTCTCCTGCCTCTTGTACTGTCTGTACACTCACAGCAAACCTGAGCTTATCTCAATTGCGTATTCCAATCAATAGAGCCTCCTTTCTTCTCTCAAAATATACCGAGATCCCATGACGACGGCTGCTACTAATGATCTCCAATAGGCTTTGCATACCATCCTTTGACAAGAATTCTAGCGCTCGTCCGCATCCCTGGATTTATTCAGATCTCGACGTATGTCCTCACCATCTCTCCCTCGCAATGGTATTCTTCACTGCACCCACACGACCGTACACCTCCGTCATCTAGAACAAATTGTAAATACCCGACCTGAACCAATCTCAGTACTGACCACTTTATTCCAGAGATCCAGCCGCCGCCGCCGCTGCTGCTGCACGCTGCGCTGCACGTCCCGGTACCGACCCGCCCTCCCTCCCCGCTTAAAATCTTACTTCTATTTATAGACCCGCCGCCCGCCCGACCCAAATCGTGGCTATTTTGGGCAGTTCAGCGAAAGTCGACCTCGCGCTATCTTCACCCGCGCCTTTTCATGTTGTCAGTGCAAGCTGGATTTTGAAGAAAAAAGTTGCAAGTGCAATGATTTGTGTTTAGAATTGTAGAGTAGATGATGAGAAGCAATGGGTTGGATTGGTAGCGCGTTGGAAACGGCCAAAGCAGTACTTTGCTAGCGGCAGCTATCAGCAGCCTTGTGCATGTAGATAGTCCTCTACAGCACAGCAGGATAGTAGATATCTCTAGCTCTTCTACATCATAGGCTCTTACGTAGATAAACTATAGAGAATATATTCACCTCGACGTGGCAGTAAATCTACCTCCGTCTCGAAGCCGTCCTTGATCTCCGTCCACTCCTCGACCGACTTGATCCACCTGCACTCTGGCTTCCTCGAGCAGCGCTTTCACTGCTCGCTCCTCTCTCTTCCTCTTCCTCATCATCCTCGACGTCATCATCATCGGCTTTGATCTCAATCGTCTCCAAATCACCATCCTCGCCCAGCATCCGCCACACCGCCTCCTCGTCCTCCTCCTCGTCATCCTCCTCCTCGCTCCCGTTCTCAAACCGAACATGCTTCGCGTTCGCTGACGACGCCGTACTTCCAGGATCGCTCACCGACCCATTATCCTCGCCTTCCTCGCCGCCGGTTTTCCGTTTCTTGAACCGCTTCCCGCCCGCCGCGTCCTCTTCGTCCTTCACTTTCATCTTCTTCCCGTCTTCGTCCTCGTACTCGCTCTCCCGCTCAGACACCGTGCCGTCCGTGCTCTGTCCGTCAACGATACTGATCGCAGACAACTTTGTGCCGACGTAGACTTTGCCTACTAACTGTCTCGTCTCGAGGTTGTACACGTGTAGATACCTATCCAGACCTCCTGTCGCCAGCAAACCAACATCCGCAGAAGTCGACGGCGCGGCACCATCACCCTCCTCTTCTTCCTCCTCTTTAATCTTACTCGGCAGCAACGTATCCAGACAAAGCGTCGACCCCGTCGACCCCGAAAAATGGCTATTCTTGCGCCCGGTCGTGACGTCGAACTTGGCGGTGACCGCATGCGTGTCGCAAAAGACAACCTCGTTCTCCTTCGCCGTCGGCGCAAGCGCCACAAGCGGATGCTCGCCCACCTCGACGTTCACCAGCGGCCGCCGCGACTTTGAAGTCTCGTACAGCCGGATGTGTCCGAACCGCGTCGTCACCGCTACTCGGAAATCATTCAAGCTCTGCGCGTCCACCGCGCGGTCGCAGTCCAGAAACCTGATATCGCTGATCCACACCGGCACCCGCAGCTCAAGCTCGTCGTTCTTCACGTTCTTTGCGCGCCACAGTTTATGCAGCGCCAGCTCGTGCGCGTTGTACGGGCCATACTGCGGGGGTGCGACACACCATTTCGATGACGACGACGACGACGAATCGCCCGCGTCCTCGGCGGTCTGGACGTTTGTGATCTGGCTGATTTCAAGTTCGCGCTCTTTTCCTGCGTAGGCGATGATGTTGGGTCGGTTGGGGTGCACACGATAAGCATTCACAGGATCACCAATAAACTAAACACTTTATTAGCTGCATCCTTCATTAATCAACTCTCAGCATTTAAGCCCTGTAAAGAGATCCATACCGCGTAATACTCCAACGCCGCCGTCGCAGCGGACTGCAAATCGCGCATCACAAGCTTGCCCGACGACGTCACGCTCGAAAGAATCCCATTCACATGCTCGAGTCCGACGAACGAGTCTCCGTGTAAAGTCTGGCCTTTCCACTCGTTCAGAAGCGCGTACGGCGGGTCTATGTCGTATAACTGAACGATTCCGCCTTTTCGCGCAACACAGATCTAGAGAAAAATAAAATGTCAGAAAGTACTGTACATTCATGGCTTCTTGCTTGTACGTATAGAGGAACGTACGCCTTGTTTGCCATCACTGAGCTTGACCAACGTCATACGCTGCACAAAAGCAGATCGACCCTCGGACGCAAATGTAGTGATATTCGGAGCCCGCGATCCCTTCACGCTCGTATTTGTTCCAAACGAGAACGAAATGTCTGTAGGATATCGTTAGTCTCTTCATTCTTCTTCCTCGCTCGTCTTTCCTTGAGAGTTAAGTTTGTCTGGGTAAATGTAGATGGCTGATGTACCTTTAAGACTCCCAGAATCTTCCGCAGCAACAAACACTCTCATCTCGTATCCTTTCTTAAAATAACAAATCCAATATAAATCTCGTCAACCGTCGACGTTATCCTCCGTTAAAATTTCAAAAACAGCGGTTGTTGGTGGAAAGTCCTGTTGAACAGCAAGGTTGATAGTAAAAAGTATTTTTTTTTGTTGTTCCACTTGGGAGAAAGAGAATTTGTGTATGCGTTTGAGTTGGGAGGATTGGATGAAGTTTGAGTGAGAGAGCTGGTGCTGATGAATTTGTAGTTTTTTGAAATAAGTAAAAAAATGAAGTACAGAAATCTTCTCACTTTTCTCCTACAAACAAAATCAACACAGAAAGAATACCAATCAGAAGAAGAGAGCAGAAACGAGCACCGAATATGTATACAATGTAGCCAGTTGGAAAGCTAGTTACCCGGCCTTCAATTCAGCGATTTAGAAAAAATAGTTGCCAAAACAATTCAAAGCGTAAATAGTCAACAAACCCCGACACATCAGAACCATAGGTCGATATCGAACTGTATACCACCCGCCACCGCTGGCATTGACGAGTGCTGTCGAGCAACATATTCTACACTCTCTGATCGCGACTTTTTCTGGTTTATCTGTTGTTTGTCTATCTGCATAGTCCGAGGTCGCTACAATGTCGGCTACTTTCTCGCCCCGAACTCCTCGAGGCCAGCAAGACGACCTGCCTTCGACACCATACTCCAACTCCCCCTTCAAATCCCTCTACAACCAATCTCCCTCCACATCTTCTCCTCTCTCTCGCCAATACACCTCTCACTCCTCAACCTCTCGCCTCGCGCCGAGTCCTAAACCCAACTCGTCGTCGTCGTCGTCGTCGTCCTCAAAGTCGCTGCTGGTGTCTGATCTGCCGACCGGCTCGCGGCCTGCTACGCCGCAGGATATCCCGAAAGGCAGATGGCGGCATCCGGCATTCGACGAGTTGAATAAGCGGGTGGCGAGCTCGGAGTTTACGCAGGTTACGAGCCAGAAGATTATCCAGAACGCGGTCGCGCTGGCGGTGTATTCGATTGTTGTTAAAGTGCTTGGACAGTGGTATGCTTTGTACTCGTAACGTCTAGAGACGGTGGATGAAAGGTTCTAACTTGCTGTGATTAGGAACTGGATTGAGGAGTTTGAGTTGAAATACGAACTGCTCTCAAAAGCAGCACACTACTTTGGTAAGCTTTCGTTCCCATGTACATCTTCCAGCGAACGATACTGACGCATCTCTCAGGTCTGATCCTACAGGTGATCTTCATCTGGAACATCATCAGCGGCGCGCTACGGCTTTTCAACAAAAAAGATAATCTAGAAGATATCCCATTAACTCCCAACCAGCGCCGACTAATGGGCCTCAGCGACAGCGGTACGTCGATCTCCACAGCTCCATCTCAACCGCAGACATCTAGATCTAACCTCTTCCCCGCGTCATATAGGAAAAGGACTCTCACCCGCATCACCACTAACTCCCCCCAAATACGTCAAAACCTTCGGCTCGTCCCGCGAGTCTCCGCACGCCTCGCCTCTCATCAAAAAATCAATGCAAGAAGCTATCGCTAAAAACGCCCAGCAGCAGCAGCAGCAGCAAAGCTCCCCACGCACGCCCGGCGCGCAGACCTCGACCCGGTCGTCGTCGACGAGTACACCCCAGCGAAGCGGAGCTCTTGACGCCACAAAAATCAAGCATTCGCCGTCGTCGCCGTTGGCGTCGCCTGCTATACCCGGGTCGATGAGTTTCTCGGCTAGCGGACGGTACTTGTACAATATCTCTGATTCTCCAGGGCGTAAGTCTCCTTTTATTTAATATTATGAGATAAAGGTTTTGGTGAGCTGACTTTAGGTGATGCAGGTGCTTCCCCTGGTCGACGGTGATTCTCGAGTCATTTTATCATTCGCAATACGTAGCGACAGCAATTTAATACCCAATATCTATGAGATGCAGAATGTAATATTTGAACAGCCCTTACATTACAAGACTGGATATATACAACAAGACGTACAAATAAACAAGAAGAATATCAGTAGACAAATCCCACTCTCTACTTGCGCTCGTCCGGACGCAAATAGTACAGCTTCGCTCTTCTCGCCCTCTTCGTCGCACGACTGATAAACTCGAAATTCTCAACCGAAGGACTGTACACCTTCACGCTGAGCTCGACACCAATCTGCGCGACCTCGGATCTCACTCTGACGCTCGTGGCCAGGCCCGCGCGCTTGATGCCCATGATTGTGCCCGTGAACGGGTTGCGCGTGTCGTCTTTGAAGATGACGCGGATGACGTCTCCCGGACGCACGCAGATGCCGCTGCTGCGTTCAAAGAGCTTTCGGCGCCAGCCGGTCGGGTCGAGTTCTTCCTTCATCTTGTTGGTCAGGTATATGATCGGGTGAGTATTTTTGGGGAGCAGCGATGGTGGTGAGACGGGGATCTTGCGACGGACTTTCTTTTCTGGATATCATCAAGCCTCTGAGTTAGTCCACACTCTTGAAATACACGAATTTAAGAGGAAGTAGAAGGAGGAAAAACATACTGTATGTAGGAATTATGATTCCCGCTTTCTGAGTCGCCGTCGGCCTGCTGAACTGGGATATTATCGACGACCGGAACGCAGACAATGCGGAAACCGCAGACCGCAATTGCAGCCGACTCTGCAGTGCTAGACTCATTATGACTTTCTTCTTCTCTCTGATCAAAAGATGCTCTTCCGAAAGAGTCACTGGAAGAAACAAACGGACAACTTAATCAACCGAAAGCGCACGAAAAGCCAGAGCTTCCGAGAATATTTTTGTTTGACCAATCGATCGCCAGACCGCATCACCCCGTGCATCACGTGAAAAGTTGCGATGAGCCGTTCCGTAACTGAACTTTAATTTAATTCCTGACAATCCCGAGGACTGTTAGGAAAAAATCCCCGACATCCTCTTCACTCACCGGGTCTATTTCATTGGGTTCTTACAAGCTCATTCTGAAGTGAAGAGCAAAGGAAAATGTCTATCCGCTCGACTCTACGTTCCGTGAGACCTCTGGTCGCGCGCCGGTTCTACGGTGTTCCGGCGGGCTACACGCCTTTGACTGTCGACGGCTTTGTCGGCGCGGTTGGCAATACCCCGCTTATAAAGCTGAAGGGACTGAGTGAGGAGACCGGGGCTAATATTTATGGAAAAGCGGAGTTTATGAATCCCGGCGGGTCTGTTAAGGGTATGTGGTTTGGAGAGGGGGTGGATGTTTTCTGATGTGTGGATGAGGATGAGGATGACTAACTGATGTACAAGATCGCGCGGCACTGTACGTTGTCAAGGATGCTGAAGAGAAGGGTAGGCTGATACGAGGATTGTCGTGTTTGATAGTTTGGGAAACATGACTGAATGCAATTCTATCTATAGGTCTCATTCGCCCTGGTGGAACGGTCGTCGAAGGCACGGCAGGAAACACCGGTATCGGCCTCGCCCACGTACGCCATTCCTCACCCCTCCTCTTGTTATTTTTGCAATCTCTCGCATGCTAACACGACGTTCAAACAGATCTGCAGAGCAAAGGGCTACAAGTGCGTGATCTACATGCCCAACACGCAGAGTCAGGGAAAGATCGATCTTCTCCGTCTGCTGGGCGCCGAGGTGCACCCTGTTCCCGCGGTCGCGTTCGATAACCCGATGAACTACAACCACCAGGCCAAGCGCCATGCCGGTAAGCTTCTCTCTCTTCTCTCTTTTTAGCAGTTTCTTCTCTCCTGTGTCGGAGCTTTGCTGATCCGTTCGTCATACAGAGAGCATGGACAACGCGGTATGGACCAACCAGTTCGACAACACCGCCAACCGCCAGGCGCACATCGAAACCACCGGCCCCGAGATCTGGGCCCAAACCGGCGGCAAGATCGACGGCTTCACCTGCTCGACCGGCACCGGCGGCTCCTTCGCCGGCACCACGCGCTTCCTCAAAGAAGCCAGCGACGGCCGCGTCAAGGCGTTCCTCGCCGACCCGCCGGGCTCGGTCTTGACCAGCTACGTCAAGTCCGGCGGCGTGCTGCTCGATCGCGCGGGTTCGAGTATTACCGAGGGAATCGGCCAGGGACGGGTGACCGATAACCTGGCGCAGGAGATTCCGCTGATTGACGACGCGATGACGATCTCGGACGAGAAGACGATTAAGATGATTTATAGACTCTTGGACGAGGAGGGCTTGTATCTCGGTGCTTCGTCGTGCTTGAACGTCGTTGCGGCTTATGAGATGGCTCAGACTCTTGGAAAGGGAAGCACTGTCGTCACCCTTCTCTGCGACGGAGGTACGTCTTCTCCTCTTCCTCCCATCTCCTTATTTCTACTCGATTCGCTAACTGATTCTCTTTTTCGCATAATCTAGCCTACCGCTACGCTGATCGCCTTTTCAGCCAATCTTGGCTTGAGAGCAAGAAGCTCCGCCAGGAAATTCCACCTCATTTGGAGAAGTACATCGTCCTGCCATAAAGCGTCCTTCATTCCTCCTCGACGAGCTACCTGACGCGCGCGGAATAGAAAAAAATAATATACATCTAATATTTTGTCTACTAGGTCTTCAAAAGAAGACAACATGTGCACTACTAGATTCAAATGTATAATTGCATTAGAAGATAAGAAACAAAGGGATTTAAACGAACTTTTCATGACGATGCATCGACATCATCAACAACCTCCACCGCCTGCCTCAACTCTCTAATAATCTCGTCGTCGTCGTCGTTGCCGCCTGTAATAAGAAGTATGGATTATAACACGCAAGCTCCATAATATAAAAAACATATGTGAATAGGAAATATGAAACATGAACTGAATTTACAATAAGAAACAGAATGAAAAGAGTAAAGAAGAAAAAAATAGATAATGTATGAAGAAGGAGAAGGGAGAATAAGGTACAAACGCAAATGGGAGATGTATATAACTATTTTTTTAATATCTTTATATGAAAATTGTAAAGAAGCAGAATTGTAGATAAACAGAAGAAAGGAAAAAGGACCGCAAGATCATGGACCGACCCACCGTCTCGCTGACTCAAACAACCGGATCCACGGGCCATACTCGCCCCACTTCCTGCCCTCCTCAACCGGATACCACGAGTTCGCCTCCTTGAAGACCACCCGCTCGGGATGCGGCATCAGCGCCAGCACGCGCCCGTTCTGGTTCCGCACTCCGGTGATTCCGCCGGGCGAGCCGTTGGGGTTGTACGGGTACTTCTCCGTGATCTTGCCGTAGTTGTCAACGTACCGCACGACCGCCAGCCCGTCCTGCGTCAACTGCTTGAGCTGCTCGGCGGACTCGAACGACGCGCGGCCTTCGCCGTGCGCGACCGCGATCGGGAACTTGGAACCCCGCATGCCGTGCAAAAACACAGACGGCTCGGTCGCGCTGTCGACAATCTCGACCTCGCACACGCGCGCTTCGAATTGCTCGGACGCGTTGCGCTGGAACGTCGGCCAGCTCTCGGCACCGGGTATCAGCTCCTTCAACTGCGACAAGAACTGGCATCCGTTGCACACGCCGAGCGCAAATGTATCATTTCGGTCCTGGAAAAACCGTCTGAACTCCTCCCGAGCGAGCTCGTTCCACAACACGGACTTGGCCCAGCCCGCGCCGGCGCCGAGAACGTCGCCGTATGAGAATCCTCCGCAGGCGGCGAGACCGACAAACGCGTCGAGCGAGACGTCGCCTGAGATGATGTCGGTCATGTGCACATCGACGGGAACAAAGCCCGCGCTGTAGAACGAGTACGCCATCTCGGCATGGCCGTTAACACCTTGCTCGCGCAGGATCGCAACCTTGGGCGCTGCCATTGCTCGCGGGATTGGAGTAGTAGCCGCCAACTCCTTCGACGCAGCAGCCTCTTCTTCTTTCTTTTCTGATTTGAACGAAAGCCTCTCGGCAGGATCAAACGTCAGACGGTAGAAAAGACCGGGGTCGTGATTATCGAGAATGTTGGCAAACTCCTGGTCCGCGGACTTTGGGTTATCTCGCAGACGCTGCATCTTGTAAGATGTAAGAGACCATGCCTGCTGGAGATCGGCGCGGGTAGACTCAAAGACAAGCTCGTTGCCGTGGTTGATTGTGATTGCCTGGTCCTTGCACGGGCGCACGTCGGCGATGGGGGTGATGTACTGGCCATCGATTCCGTTGGTCTCAAAAATTGCGACAAATCTGTCGACGTCCTCAACGCGGACTTGGAAGACCGCGCCGAGCTCTTCGTTGAACAAAGCAGAGACAACGTCGGGCCCATTGGCAGGCAGATCGATAAACAGACCGGTTCGGCCCGCGAACGCCATCTCGACCAAGGTCGTGAACAGACCGCCGTCAGAGCGATCGTGGTACGCAAGCACGAGATCCGGGATCGAGTGTAATAGCGAGACAGTGTTGATAAAGTTCTTCAACATCACAATCGACTCAACCTCGGGCGCACTATTGCCAACCTGGCCAAACACCTGCGCGACGGCAGAGCCGCCCAGTCTGCACTTGCCAAACGCGAGGTCGACAAGCAGCAACTTCGTCACGCCCACACCGGGCTCTTCGATCCGACGCAGCTGGGGAGTCCACGTGTTGTGCACGTCGGTGACGCCGCAGAAAGCAGTGATGACAAGTGACAGCGGAGCAGTGACTTCCTTTGACTCCTTGACCTTGCCGTGCTCTTCTTCCCACTTCATCTTCATCGACATTGAATCCTTACCGACTGGAATGCTGATGCCGAGCTTGGGACACAGTTCGAGACCGACAGCCTGCACGGCCTCGTACAGCATCGCGCCCTCGCCGTCGTGTGCCGGCGCAGCCATCCAGTTCGCAGACAGACGCACATGATCCAGATCCTTGATGTCGGCCGCCACAAGATTGAGAAGCGACTCGGCAACAGCCATCTGCGCCGACGCGCGCGCATTGATGAGCGCAATCGTCGGCCGCTCGCCCATCGCCATCGCCTCACCGGTGATCACGCCCTCGCCGAGCGAAGTCGTAGTCACGCCGACGTCGGCAACAGGCACTTGCCAGGGTCCGACCATCTGTTCCCGCGCAATCAGTCCGGTAACAGAGCGGTCGCCGATGGTGATCAGGAACGACTTTGAGCCAACGGACGGCAGGTGCATGACGCGCTCGATCGCCGTCAGCAGTGGCGAGGGGGGCTTCGAGTCCGACAGCTTCAAACCGGTCTCGACCTCGGTTGTCGATTTCGAGCCGTTGGTCGCCGAGCTCGCGGTCGGCGCGACAGGGAACGGTCTACCGTTCGGATCAACGTAGCAGGCAAGAGAGCTGTCGAACGGCGGCAGCTTGAGATGCCGGGATGTGGCGGTCCGAGACATCTTGGGCGGCTTTCCAAACAGGGTCGACATCTCGAGATCGATAGGAGTGGTGCCGAGTAATCTGTCAGTCAGGATCAGTTTCTGCTCCTGCGTGGCCGTACCAACGATCGAGAACGGGCATCGCTCGCGGTCTGCAATCGCGGTGAATTTGTCAATGTCCTCAGGCGCGACGGCCAAGACATATCGCTCCTGGGCTTCGCAGCACCAGATTTCCATCGGGGACATGCCTGGCTCGGAGCACGCGATGTCTCGCAGCTCGAACTTTGCACCAAGACCGTGGTCGTGTACTAACTCGGGCAGAGCGTTCGAGAGACCGCCGGCACCGACGTCGTGGATGGACTGGATCGGGTTCTCGTCGAGAGAAGTGCAGGCGTCGATGACCATCTGCACGCGCCGCTGCATCTCGGGGTTGCCGCGCTGGACGGAAGCATAGTCGAGCTCGACAGAGGCATCACCTGAGGCAACAGACGAAGCAGCGCCACCGCCGAGACCGATGAGCATCGCGGGGCCGCCCATGACGATAAGACGGGCGCCGGGAGTGATCGGTCGGGACTTTAGCGCGTAGGCGGGTCTGACGGTTCCGACACCACCGGCAAGCATGATTGGCTTGTGGTAGCCGCGGATCTCCTGCTTGCCATTGGGGAGGGGAAGAGTGGTAGTCAAAGTACGGAAGTAGCCCGAGATACACGGTCGGCCAAACTCGTTGTTGAATGAAGCACCACCGATCGGGGCTTCGATCATGATGTCGAGAGCAGAAGCAATGTGACCGGGCTTGCCAACGTCGAGTTCCCAGGGCTGTCTGCAGGAGGGGATAAGCAAGTCACTGACGGCGTATCCGGAAAGACCAGCCTTTGGCTTTGAGCCCCGGCCAACGGCACCTTCGTCGCGAATCTCACCACCAGATCCGGTGGCAGCACCGGGGAAGGGAGAGACGGCGGTAGGATGGTTGTGGGTCTCGACTTTGCCGAGGTAGTGCACGAGCTCCTCGACCATGTTCCACTCCTTGGTCGTCAAGTCTGGGACAAAGATGGTAGCGTCGAAGCCCTCCATGACGGCTGCGTTGTCAGAGTATGCCGAGATGGTATACGCGCCGCCGACTTTCTCGTGGGTGTTTCTAATCATCTTGAAGAGCGACATAGTTTTTGTCTCGCCATCGATTTTCCAATCGGCATTGAAGATCTTGTGCCGGCAGTGCTCGGAGTTGACCTGGGCAAACATAAAGAGCTCGACGTCGGTGGGGTTGCGACCAGGGCCGAGGTGGTGGAAGGCTTCGGTGAGGTATGTGATTTCGTCCGGGGCGAGGGCGAGACCGAACTTTTTGTTTGCTTCCTCAAGACGGTCTTTGGGGGACTTGCCGAGGGTGACTTCGACGAGCGGCTTAGGGTCGTGCTTTGCAAACATGTCGTCGTAGGTGGGCGCGACCTTCATGATGGACTATAGATGAGTAGAGATGTGAGCGAGCCGAGCGTTGGAGAGAAGAGGTATTTCTCAATTGATTTTCACAATGAAAAACAAAGACAGAGCATTGAACAGAGGGGAACAAACCTGCGTCATGCGGTCATAGAAAGCATCGAGGGAAACACCCGACTCGAGATGCTGCATGAGGGGGAAGCCCTTGCGGACGGTGACGAGGATGGCGACGCCGCGCTCGACGCGTTCTAAATCGTCGACGAGACCGGTGACATGGGCGATGTTTGTGGCTTTGGAGGACCAAGGCGAGATAGTGCCAACGCGGGGCACGACGCGAATGAGATAGTTATCGGGCTCTGCGGGGTGCGAGGCGTTTGAGTTGAGGGCCGCGATAAGCGAAGCGTAGCCGGGCTCTGCGGGGTCGGGGAGGGAGTCGTAGGTGAGGAGGGAGTGCAGGAGTTTCTGCTTTGACGGGTCGGCCTCGGGATGGTTGGGGAGGAGGGCGGGCGAGCGCAGGGCGACGTAGTGGACGTAGACGGCGCGGATGGCAGTGACAGCGGAAGAGTTGACGGCGGTGTTGATGGAGGAGATGAGGGAGGCGATGCGGAAGGAGGAGTAGGCGATTGGGCCGGGCAGAGTGAGGAAGCTCTGGTCAGCCATCGCTACGGTCGGTGAAGAGGGGAGGAGAGGAGGAGGAGAGGTGAAGAGGAGGAGGAGGAGGAGGAGGAGGAGGAGGAGAGACAGCAGCCGGGGCTCAGAGCATCGCAGCGTCGAATTTTTACAACGCAAAAAAATTTCGAGGCGGCGGATCTGACTCATCCGTGCACTCAGCGCAGCGCAGTTATGCTGATGCAATGTTCTCTGGAGTAGATTGGGTATCTCAGACAATTGCAGTAAACAGAGATACAAACAGTAATAATCTGCTCTATTCTAATAGAAAACACATCAACAAAACACACATTCATCACCCCCGCAACTCTTTGGCAGCCAAAAGACCCTTCCGGATCCACCTCAGCGACCGATCAAAAGTCCCAGCAGCGCCGCACTGACTCCCCTGAAACTTTTTTTCCTTTTTTTTTATCTTTCAACTCAACCTTTTGTGAAGCAAATATTTCAAAGGTTTTTGTATAATACTGCTAAGGAGAATATGTCAAAGACGAAGAATGAGACTGAGGAGGAGAAGGCGGAGAGGAAGAGACTGCGGAAGCTAGAGAAGAAGAAGGAGAAGGAGGCTCAGTCTGCTGATGAGCCGGAGAAGGAGGAGAAGAAGGACAAGGAGGACAAGAAGGAGAAGAAGGACAAGAAGGAGAAGAAGGACAAGAAGGAGAAGAAGGACAAGAAGGAGAAGAAGGACAAGAAGGAGAAGAAGGACAAGAAAGAGAAGAAGGACAAGAAGGACAAGTTAGACAAAAAGCGTCCTGCCGAATCAACAGAAGACACCGAGGCTTCTACTTCCAAGAAAGCAAAGACTACTACCACAGCTGCTATCCAGAACACTGCCTCTCAATCCAAGATCGATGCCTTCCTCAAGGACTCAGACATCACCATCACCGACCCCCGCAACGAAGACCACAAACCCGTCCTGGCCTTCTCCGACATGGTCCTCGACCCGCGCGTGCTCAAGTTCCTCAACAAGTACCCAGCCCCCACCCCGATCCAGAGCGCGTCCTGGCCTGCTCTGCTCGCCGGCCGCGACGTCGTCGGTGTAGCCGAGACCGGATCAGGAAAAACGATGGCGTTCGCCGTCCCCGCGATCTCGTACCTGATCTCCAACAATCCCGGCAAAAAGACCTCTGTCCTCATCATCTCCCCCACGCGCGAGCTCGCGCTCCAGATCCACGAAAACCTCGACGACCTGGGAAAGTCGGTCGGTATCAAATCCGTCTGCGTCTACGGCGGCGTGCCAAAGGACGTGCAGAGACGTGAATTGAAAGGCGCAAACATCGTCGTCGCCACACCCGGTCGCTTGATCGACTTTGTCAACGACGGCGTGATCGATCTCGCGGCAATCACCTACCTCGTTCTCGACGAAGCCGACCGCATGCTCGAAAAGGGATTTGAAGACGACATCAAGCGCGTGATGAACGCGACCGACGCAAAGAAGCGCAAGACAATCATGTTCACCGCCACTTGGCCGCAGTCTGTCCGCGAGCTCGCGTCGCAGTTCCTCAACGACCCCGTCAAGGTCATGATTGGCGACCGCGAGTCCGAGCTCAAGGCCAACACGCGCATCTCGCAGACCGTCGAGGTCATGGACCCGCGCGACAAAGAGCAGCGTCTCCTGCAAGTCCTGAAGCAGTTCCAGTCCTCAAACAGCAAGAGCGACCGCATCCTGATCTTTGCGCTCTACAAGAAAGAAGCCGCCAGGGTCGAGCAGACCTTACAACGCCGCGGCTACAACGTCGCCGCAATCCACGGCGACCTCTCGCAGATCCAGCGCCAGACCGCGCTCGAAAACTTCAAAAACGGATCCTGCCCGCTCCTGCTCGCCACCGACGTCGCCGCCCGCGGCCTCGACATCCCCGCCGTCAAACTCGTAATCAACCTGACGTTCCCGCTCACGGCCGAGGACTACGTCCACCGCATCGGTCGAACTGGGCGCGCGGGACAGACCGGCAAGGCGATCACCTTCTTTACCGAGCATGAGAAGCATCTTTCTGGCGCGCTGATTAACGTCCTCAGATCGGCTGACCAGCCTGTTCCGGAAGAGCTCTTGAAGTTTGGTGGACACACAAAGAAGAAAGAGCATTCGGCCTATGGTGCTTTCTATAAGGATATAGACCCGAACCAAAAGGCAAAGAAGATTGTTTTCGAATAGATGTTTTATGATGTTCTCTTGTTGATATTTTGGGCTTAATGAATTGTGCATAACTACCTACAATCCTCGCTTAGATCTAATTAAACCCCAAAGATGACAACGAAGGACTATGTAAACTACAAAGATGATACAGAAGACTATCTTAGCATCGTATTTATTGCACAACTAACGTATTCAATGAACTTCCAGCTAAATGTATGAGGCAAACAAAAGAAAAAGATTAAAAAACCAACCCAGTCCAGACAAAACTCCGTAATTTTAAACACAAAAAAAGAGTAGTATATATATAGTGAATAAAGAGAAGCACCGATAACAAAAAGAGGCCAGCAAAAAGACAAAACAAAAGATCTGTTGAAAAGCACAAATTATGATGACACAAGCCAGATTCTGTTCCGTTTGTGATCACAAAGACGTGCGGACTCCGTTGAGGAAGGGAATGGTAATAAAAGAAGAGAACCAAGGTAGAAGCTTTGACTAGAGCAAGTAAGCTTCCAGAATGCAAAACATGTAGTCTAGAAGTACACCGAGCAGCAGAATCTGCAGAACGGGCAGAGCGGTGGGATTACTCGCCGCCGCACTTGATGATTAGTCGAGATGCAACCGGCGAGTCAGCCGGGAGATGAAAGGAAGATGTAGAGTACAAGGGTAGTAAGCAAGCCTCGGCCTGTTTACTGGTTGTCGTTGAGCTGGATCTTGTGGTCCTTGACGTTCTGACCCTCGTACTCCTCATAAGGAGGAGGAACGACCTCGGTGCTGGTGCTGGGACCGGCGAGGTCGATGAGTGGGTCCTGCTGCTGGGTGGCGGGGGCAGGCGCAGGAGCGGCAACGACGCCGGTCTCCTGAGGAGCAGGGGAGTGCGGGTGGGCGATGGCGGCGCCGTCGGTCTGGGGGATGGGCGAGTAGACAAACTCGGCGCGGGAGTAGGCGACGGGGACGCCGGCGCGGCCGTTGATTCTGCTGAACTCCTGCGCCTCAAGGTCTCTGGGGTCGATGAAGGGCTCTTCGGGGAAGCGCGCGATGATGTACCAGGAGTGCTGGGTGTGTTAGTCAACTTGATAGAGTGTACTGGAGTGTAGAATAAGGCAAGTGCATACCAGAAGACCGGGGAGGAAGCCGAGCATGCAGAGGGCGATGTTGATGAGGGAGTCAGCGGAGCAGATGCCACGCTTGATCCAGACGGGGAGGGGAGGGAAGAGGATGGCGAGGAGGACGAGGAAGACGTCGGCGGAGAAGCAGAAGAGGAAGGACATGTTGATATAGCGATGAGAAGAGTAGTAGAAGACTAGAGATACAACTATGAAGTGTCGATAAGAACAGGGAAGAAGAGGGCGAAGGCGGGTATAAATAAGAAGAGAAAAACGGTTCGCGGATTATGTCAGCGCTCTTCGGCTAACCCCGTTCCTCGCTCGTCGGCCTCCTCCATGGCCTCGACGCCTTTTTTGTTTACCTTTTCCCGAACTGCCGGAGGTCAAAGTCTGTGAAAATCTTTGTTTGCTGGTGAGCAGCTGCTCGACTCCGTCTGAATAGTATCTGAGCCATCCTGAGTCCATCCGAGACTGCTCAGCATCTGCGGGCTCTCTGGCTTGCGTCACCATCAGACCCTGAATCATGACTAATCACTGCCTGCTCTATCACTAATCACCTATTGCGTAACCGATCTCACCCACATTCCCCATCCTGTCCCGTTTGGGCACTACTCAGCACGTCTCCGTAGATTCCCAAATACTCCAGGACTCCAGGACTCCAGGACTCCAAAACTCTCCAAGACTACTCAAGATGTCCACAATGAAAGCAATTGTCGTCAAGAACGGCAAAGGCGACGCCGACTCGCTCTACATCTCTGACTCGGAACCGATCCCAGGCCCGCCCGCAGCCGGACAGGCTGTCGTCAAAATCACCGCCTTTGCGCTGAATCGCATGGATGTCCTCCAGCGGGAAGGAAACTATCCTGTACCCTCCTCCTCTGTCAATTGTCTCTATCTTTCATCCCTTGCTAACTAATCACTCCCCCCAGCTGCCTCCGCACGCCCCCTCCACTCTCGGGGTAGAGTTCGCTGGCTTCGTCTCCGCACTCGGTCCCTCGGAAACCTCCTCCTTCGCAGTCGGCGACGCCGTCTTTGGCCTCGCGGTCGGCGGCGCATACGCCGAGTACATCATCTGCGACACCCGTCTGCTCACCAAATACCCCTCCGACGTGCCCGACAACAAGCTCTCGTTCCTCGCCGCCGCCGGTGTTCCGGAGGTATGGTACACGGCCACGCAGGCGCTGCTATACATTGCCGAGATCCACAAAAACAAAGAGAACGTGAAGAACGTGCTGATCCACGCCGGCGCGTCGGGCGTCGGCCTCGCTGCTTTACAGATCGCGCGATCGATCCTCGGTCCAGAAGCAAAGATCTTTGCGACAGTAGGCAGCGACAAGAAAGTCCAGGCGCTTCAGGAGATTGTCAGATGCACACCGATCAACTACAACAAGCAGTCGTTTGTCGACGAGGTCTTGAAAGCGACCGATAACAAGGGCGCTGATGTCATCGTCGACTTCATCGGACCGGCGTACTTTCAGAAAAACTTGGACGTCGCTGCCGTCGATGGTCGCATAGTCCTGCTCTCGCTCATGAGCGGTGTGATTTCCGATAAAATAAACATCGGCACCATGCTCCGCAAACGTATGATTCCAATTTCGCCCTTGTTACATATCTTATCATCAACACGACCCTCTAACCTCCTTTAGGTCTCCGTATCGAAGGCTCGACCCTCCGCTCACGCTCGGTGCCGTACCAAACCGAGCTCAAGAAACTCTTTGAGGAGTACTGTCTGCCCAAACTGTTGTCTGGCGAATTTGTCAACCGTATCGATAAGGTGTATAACTACACTGAGATTGTCGAGGCGCACAAGTATATGGAGTCGAACGCGTCGATGGGCAAGATCGTCTGCATTGTGGACGATACTATGCCGTAGATGCATTATTATGACGAATTACGACCGATTATTAGAAGTGCAACTGAATATATATCATCTTGTAGAAACTAATCGGGAAAACAGTATGACATAATTCATTACATAACCCAAATCAGTCCGGCGTTAACTCCTCGGAAGCGCTGAATAAGGAAACCAAAGACAATTTTCAGCCCTAAAACCTCACGAACCGCTCCATCGCCAACCGACCTGCACCGCATCCCCTTCTTCTCCTCGTGAACTCCTGCCTTCTCTCTACTTCCAACCTTCTCTTCCATCTACTCTACATTATCTGGTAGCAATGGCGGCTCGGGCAAAAGACATTACCGTCAAGCTGATCGTCGAGGCCGGAAAAGCGTCTCCATCGCCTCCTGTTGGTCCTGCCTTGGGTTCTAAGGGTGTCAAGGCAATGGATTTCTGCAAGGAATTCAACGCGCGCACTGCCCACTATACTCCTGTAAGTCTCTTCTTTATCTTTATTCTGTTGTTTGAATGTGCAGCTATTGTCTTCATCCAAGCAATCATCATGACGAAGGGCTTTCGCTAACACCTTCACCAAGGGCGTCCCAATCCCGACCTCGATCACAATCAAACCCGACCGAACATTTACTTTCGTAACCAAGAGCCCTACCACCTCGTTCTTGATACTCAGAGCTGCCGGCGCTGCCAAGGGTGCTGGAGAGTACGGAAACGGACAGCCTCCTGTGGGAAAGATTTCACTCAAGCACGTTTATGAAATCGCAAAGATCAAGCACAAGGTAAGCATCCACCTTGCTCTTAGTCGACAATCGATTGAAACTAACTCGTGCTAAACTGTAGGACCTCTATCTCTCCGGATTGAGTCTCGAGGCTATCGCCAAACAAGTCGTTGCTACCGCAAAGACAGTGGGCGTCGAGGTCTTGCCTTGAATCCTCCTCGCTTCCTCCCTTTCACTCATCGAGTTGCAATCAATCACGAGCTTTTTACAGATAATCGAAACCAATTACTCTATTTGTCTTTTTATTTTCTATCTTTGCTGGCGTGGAAAGTGTTCTCGAGCACGCACTGGATGCGGGATTGACAATACTCTCCGATTCTCCTCAACTCATACTGCAACAACTTCTCTATTTTTCATCTATATTTTTGTACGATATGCATACACAGACAACTGCAAGTCTATTTTTCTTATCTCTTCCGCTTTATTACTCTACTTCACGACAGTTTTCACAATTCTATCGACTTGCAGGAACATATTTTCTTCTCTCCCACCGGTGCTGATTTTTTCATCTTTCTATAAAGTCGCTTTATTTGTGTTTCTTCTTCTTAGCTCAGTAGTTTGCTATCTCTGTAAATATTACACTTCTATCTTCTATTCTTCTATTTCCTCTTACTACCGTAGATATACGAACGAACCCGTTCTCTTCGGGTGCATTTATTTAGGTTTCGCGGGAAAGCTTATTCGCGCGCCTCACGTTCAATGCCAAATGTGGGTAAATAATGTAAACAAATAAACAAACCTCCTCTTCAGCAAAGATTATTCGCACCGCCAGCTGCGTGGATCTACCAAGTATCTACTAAAAGAAAAAAGAAGCTTCTGAAGAATATTTTTGTCATGGCGCCAAAAAGAGCACCCTCCGCAACCACGACGACAACAACGATCCCAGTCCGTCTAAACACCCCCGACAAACCAACCTCCCGATCCACACCGACCGCCAAATCCCGCCACCTGGCCTCTCCGAGCCTGATAGCCACGACCAGAAGCGGCGCGCGAAAACGCAGACTTGAGTCGCGCCAGCAGGAAGAGCAGGAAGAGCAAGATGAGGAAACACGACGACCGGCGTCGCCTGATCCGCTGGATATCCTGCCGGCGGTGTCGCCGCTGAAGAAAGAGCTTGAGATGCTCGGATCGGCGAGAAAGAGAAGACGCGCGGATTCTGTTAGTTCTCCTGTGAAAGCGAGAAAGAATGACGGGAGTGTGAAGTCGCCGGCTCCGAACTGGAGCGTGAATGTTACAATCAACGAGTTGTCGTCTTCGCCATACGGTGCTAAACAGACGCATCTTGCTCCGCCCGCGATTTTCGAGTACAGAAGTGAGACTGCCAAGTCTGAAGATCTGAAGCAAGATGAGCAGTTTGATGTTGCAGAAGGAAAACCAGCTAGGATCTTGGGTGAACTGGGGCTTAATGCGACAAACGTTTTGTCTTTGAAGAAGTCACCAGTCGCAATTGAAAAGCCAGCCTACAGCAAACCCGCGTCACCAAGCACCAGCGCCGTCGATCGCGCTTGCTCCCCCACACCCTCAAACGCAACCGTCCTAACAACAACCGAACTCCCCGCTCTTCCCCGGTCCGGAATCATCCGCTCGATCAAAAAAGTGCCGAATCCGAACCCCGATCCCAAGTGGAGCAAAGAGCACTGGATCCTGCTCACGCAGATCCATCGCAAGCGGATGGATCCGATGCCGTCGCGCGCGCTGGTGAGACCGTCGAAAGAGGTGCAGGCTGCGTTTCCGAATATTACTGTTGATGAGCTGGCGAGGCGGTTGTTGGCGTTGGACAGGATACGGCTGAAGAGGGAGATGGGTAGTGAGCAGAATGAGCGGCGGCGTCGGTGATTGCTATTTGTAAAGAATCTGGAAGTAACACGGCAGGTTGTAGCTTAATAAACAGGCTCTTTTATTACCACATATCAAATCAGCTATCTACAAAATATTTACAAACGAAACGCTAAATCAATGCCAGATCCCTACTCCTGCACAACACTCTTCTTAACCTCAGAATCCTCCTCCTTTGACGGAAACTCAACGTACCGAGCAACAAAATGCACAGTCTCGAAGCAAACCTCAACCATAATCAGCACGATGATCATCCACTCCAACCGCACACCCTTCTCCTCCGAAAGATGCGCCTTCAAGATCGAGACCACTTCCGAGACATAATCGAGTTTCTTATTCAAGATCGCGATCCGAGGCGCGATATCCAGGTTCTTTGAAATCACGCGGTAGATCGTCTCGAGCTCGGGCTCGGACCAGTACAGATCCGGCGTCTCCGTGAGCTCGGAGTACAGGTTGAGGTTTCCCCGGAGCGCGAGCAGCTCGCCTGTCTTTTTGAGCACCTCGCGGCCGTCGTGCACGGGCAGTTTGCGGCCGGTCGCGAGTCTGTCGGTGATGTCGCGCACGCTCTCGAGGTATTTCTCAAGACTCTCTTCGATCACCGCCAGCTTCGTCGACCGCGCGAGGCCGGACGCAAAGGCGACTTTGTCGAGTAGTCGGTCCTGGCCACAGATGACAATCACGTCTCCGTACATGTAGCTCCGTTTTTTGATGTTATAGTACTCCTTTTCCTTCCCGTTCGCTAGCTCTTCGTCTTGCCCGTCCTCGAGCGGAAGTTCGACGTAGTCCATATCCTCCGACTCTCGCACGGCGTACGGTCTAATCTCCGCCGCCCGCAACTCGTCCGCGAGCTGGATCGTGCTCAACTCCGGCATTCCAAACGTGACTATCGAGCCGTTGCTGAGAACAAACGTATCCGCCTTTTGCCCGTTCGGGAGCGGGTATGCGCAATAGGCCGCTTCGTGCGGAAGTAGGATCTCGGCCTGCAGATGGCCCATTTGATGGAAGATCTCGATCGCTCGCGGCAGATCGTACAAGTCCGCGACGGTCAAGGCCACGCATGACTTGTCGGCCACGAGTGCTTGATGCGAGTGGGGTAGGATCCGCGACGGCGCGATTCTCCGAAGCGACTGCTTTGTCGTTGTCCGAGGCATTCTCGACGTTGGCGGATTATCGGAACCTGCGGTAGTGCTCTTGACTTCTGTCTCGGCTACTTGACGTCGCATAGCTGAGGCGTGATACCCCGACCGCAAGGAGAGCATCGTGGGTTGCCATATCGAGGTGAAATCTTGAGAACGACGAGCTCCGAAAGAAACCCGAGAGCAGCTCGCGGCCGCGAATCGGCCACAGCGCAGGCTTGCGCCCAAAGCAATTCGTTGCAGCATGAGTGGACTAACAGCAAAACGTCTCTACTACCATACTATGCCGCAAACCCGATACAGCAGAGAGTAAAACTGTAGTGTCGAGCGCGGGTCGCGTAAATCCTTTCCTGGCCACCTTTTCGCAGCATCGCGAAGTCTCTTGAAGAAAAGCCCATCTCAGATTTGCGGGTTAGGGTCTGTCTGAATTGGGACAGGCGGCAGGGCTGCTGACAGCGGGGTTTGTGTTCGCAGCTGACCTTTGCTCGCTCTCGCGTACTCGTCCTCACCCTCTTCACCAGCACGCGTCGGGGCTATTCTACTCTTGAACCAGCAACAGCCCGTCACTTTCGGAGAATCATCTGCGGACGCCTGCCGATTTTAGTGCAGACTGACGATGACCACCACCAAGCCGCCTTCTTCGCTAGAGTCACTTCGTCTGGCCGCCATGCGCTCGCGGGCAAAGCAACGGACCCCATCGCAGACAGTGACGCAGAGCGTCGCTGCTGCGTTCAGTCGGGACGAGAAGGACTCGTCAGAAGATGAGGTTGTTAAGAGGGGTCAGGAAGATCGGACGCCGTCGCCGAATGGGCTTGAGCAAAGACGTATGTTAAATTCTGCGGGAGGGGTGATTTCTAAAGTCGAGGCTGCTAACGATACTCGTTCTGTTCTTTTGGATGATCTACAGAAGCAATAAGTTTAGCTATTAGGTGCGAATATTTTTTCATAATTTGTGACTTCTGTTCAACTGTGATTAATGCTTGTTCTCTGTTAGTAAAACCCTTGATCCCACCCTCCAGACAGCGGTGACCTCGGCCCTAGCGGATCTCTCCAGCGCAGGACTGTCATATCACGACATCATCTCTTTTGGAAATATCCACCCACTGTTTCTATCCACTCTTGTCTCTTCAGTCTCTATTCCGTCCTCGCCGTCACCCGCGGAGGCTAGTACCAAGCCCGCGGAGACTACCACTATATCTTCTTCTGCCCCGCATTCTGAGACTCTGACTGATCAGAAAGACACTGCATCAAAGGTCCAAGAGACCCTGGCGGAGCTGGTAGTAGCCGGCTTGTCGTACAATGACATCGTCTCCCTCGGCGGCGTCCATCCTGTGTACTTGGCCCAGCTGGTGCTCCAGGCCCCTGACGAGCTGCCTCATAAGGTCGACCTGCTAGCCCAGGCTGGTGCTACTATCGAGCAGGTTTCTGCGTCCCTTGCTGCTTCTGCTGCTTCTACTTCTACTGCTGCTGCTGCTGCTGGTAAGCCTGTGCCGTCTAAAGAGCAAACGGAGTCTCATCCAACCCCAGCTTCAAGTGAGCCAGCTGCTACGGAGCCCAAGACCACTCCAGCGGTAAAATCTGACAGTGCGCAAACTGTGAAACAAGACAAGCAAGACAAGCAAGACGCAAAAGACCAGAATGGAAATGGAGCAAACGGGAAATCACCCGCAAAGGGAAAACGCGGACGACCGGCGAAACGGCGCGGAAAAGCCGAGCCCCAGCCTCCCCCTCCTCCTCCTGCTGCTGTTCCACCACCACCACCTCCTCCTCCAGCAGCTCCGACGACTGCGACGGATCCCGCAGGTGCTGCGCCAACTCCTGAACGGCAAACTCGGAGTAAAATCATCACGAACGGCAAAAACTCTGTGACAATCACGGGTAACAGCGTGAACGTCTCGCGGACGCTGCGGCGGCGCCCTACGGCGATGGATTTCGACGACCGGCGAGCGAGCGCGACAAACACAAAGTTCGGGAGCGATCGCATGAGGGGAAAGATTGTGATTGAGATGAGTGATTCTGAGAGCGAGGGTTGAGATGTACCTGGCTTTTTTTTTAGTTTGTTTTTTTGTGTTACTGTGTGTTTTTTGTCAAGGACGGGCGTTTGTAAGTTATCGTATGTTCTTTCCTGCTTTCATTGCGTCTGCTTATCATTCAGTCTGGATTGTCCTTGGAGAAGATAAGGAGTAGAGAGAACAAGACATGTCTTTCCTGTTACAAGTCATGATACGAGCAGCATAGCTGCTTTTTTATGTCTGTCACTGATTTCCTGGCTTGTTCTTCACTTGTCTTGTCACGTCTTCTGTCTCTTCTCTTTGTTTTTTGTGTATCCTTCTTGAACGAGTCGGATGACTTCTATCTATGGGTTATGTATTACGTCCTCTGCAATGATATGAGCTATTTACCATCCTATTTCCATCCGTTATAAAAACAAATAGAGTCATGATACGCCCACGCATCACCGACAACACGTCTTAAGAATAACAAGCAAAATAGAGTTTACAAGTTTTCGAGGAGCTCAATTATTCATAAATCTCAGCCGGAGTCTTTGTTCTTCTTTCATCACTACGCGTGCACGTAATTCAACTCGATACTCAATGGCTGAGAAGAAAGATTTAAAGTCGCTCTGGGGAGGCCGATTTACCGGTGAGTTTATGTTATTGTGCTGATGGGGGATGGAATTGGATGGAATGACTTCTCTACGGTGGTTGAGATAACAGAGGTTTGACTGACTGAAACGACAACAGGCGGAATGGATCCGTTGATGCAGCTGTACAATGCCTCGTTCCCGTACGATAAAATCATGTACGCAGCCGATTTGCAAGGAACGCGGGTGTACACCTCCGGCCTGCGCAAGCTCGGCCTGCTCACCGACGACGAGCTGTCCGAGATCCACCGCGGGCTCGACCTCATCCTGCAAGAATGGGAAGCCGGCAAATTTGAAGAAAAACCCGACGACGAGGACATCCACACCGCGAACGAGCGCCGGCTCGGCGAGCTTATCGGGCGCGGGATCGCGGGAAAAGTGCACACGGGCCGAAGCCGGAACGACCAGGTCGCGACCGACATGCGGATCTACGTGCGCGAGCAGTTGACGGAACTCAAGAAATTGCTCAAGGAGCTTCTCTCCGTCTTTGTTTCGCGCGCCGAGGTCGAGATCGGCGTGCTGATGCCGGGGTACACGCATCTTCAGCGCGCGCAGCCGATTAGATGGGCGCACTGGTTGCTTTCGTATGCGACGTACATCAGCGCGGACTTGCAGCGCCTCGAGCAGATCATCGAGCGCGTGAATCTGTCGCCGCTCGGCTGTGGTGCGCTGGCGGGACACCCATACGGGATCGATAGAGATTTCCTGGCCGAGGGTCTCGGCTTTGGCGGTCTTGTGCCCAACTCGCTGACCGCTGTCTCGGACCGCGACTTTGTTGTCGAGACTTTGTTCTGGAGCACTTTGTTTATGAACCACATCTCGCGGTTCTCGGAGGACATGATCATCTACTCGACCGCCGAGTTCGGCTTCATCAACCTCGCGGACGCGTACTCGACCGGCAGCAGTCTCATGCCCCAGAAGAAGAACCCGGACTCGCTCGAACTCCTGCGCGGCAAAGCCGGCCGCGTCTTTGGCGGCCTCTCGGGCTTCCTCATGACGCTCAAGTCCCTTCCCTCGACCTACGACAAGGACCTGCAGGAGGACAAAGAACCCCTTTTCGACGCCCTCACCACCGTCTCGCACTCGATCCAGATCGCGACCGGCGTGCTCTCCACCCTCACCGTGAACGAGGACAAGATGCTCGCCGCGCTCACGCCAGACATGCTCGCCACCGACCTCGCAGACTACCTCGTCCGCAAGGGCGTTCCCTTCCGCGAGACCCACCATATCTCGGGCGCGGTCGTCAGACTTGCCGAGGTCGAGAAAGTGGGTGGAATCGACAAGCTCAGCCTCGAGCAGCTGCAGAGCGTCGACGCTAGATTCGGCGAGGACGTCGTCGCTGAGGTGTTTGATTACGAGAAGAGCGTCGAGCGACGAAGCGCGATCGGTGGAACGTCCAAGAGTGCGGTGCTTGACCAGATTGCGCGTCTCAAGAAGTTGTTGTAATCTTCTTTTCTATTTCTGATTCTCGTTGTACAGCTTTGAAAACTAGAAAAGCTATGTAGATGCAGTATACATAAGACAAATGCTTTTATTGTTCAGTCGCGCTACCTCGGTAAATCGTAACAAAAATACGCTCTATACATAAAACACAAAACAAAAGACTAGTCAAACAACTAAAGAAAGCAAGGCAGTGTGATGTTATATCAGGCAAAAAAATGGAAAAAGAAATCATCGCGCCGGCATACACAAAAATCAGACTATAGACATGTAGAAAAGAACATGACATTCTTTTTTACGAGAAAAGGTCAAGTTCCGGGCTGAATTATACACATGAGAAAGAGAAAGGAGGGGATGGAAACTAGTACGTGTAAAAACTCGACTGTCCTCGTCGGCCTCCACGACCAGCTCCACCAAACCCGCCGCCGCCAGGGAACCCGCCGCCGCCAAAGCCACCCATGAACTCTGGAGGCACGCCACCGCCGCCGCCGCCGCCTCCGCCGCCAAACATCTGGAAGAGCACGTCCTCGGGCACGCCCATGCCGCCGCCGCCGTACATGTCGCCCGGGTCCTGCAGGTCCACGCCGGAGTCGTACCGGGCGCGCTTTTGACTGTCTGAAAGGGTTTCGTATGCTTCGCCGACGTCCTTGAACTTCTCGTGCGCTTCCGGGTTGTCGGGGTTCTTGTCGGGGTGGTACAGCAGCGCCATCTTTCGGTACGCTTTCTTGATCTCGATCTCGTCCGCTGATTTGGAGATGCCGAGGATTTTGTAGTAGTCTTTCCGCAAGCTCTTCTTCAGCTCGAGCTCGGCCTCGCGCAGCTCCGCGCGGATGTTGCTGTCTGACGGTTCAGCCTCGGCGGCTTTCTGGAACTCCTGCTTGGCTTCTTCCCATCTCTCGAGCTTGCCGAGCGCGCGCGCACGTGTCCGGCGGACTTTGATGAATTCGGGATCGAGCGCGAGCGCGGCGTCGCAGTCGGCAATGACGTCCTCGAACCGGTTGAGTCTCATGTTGACGGTCGCGCGGTTGGAGTACAGCTTTGAGTTTGTGCCCTTGTTGGCCGGGTCGATGGCGAGCGCGGCCGAGTAGAGATCGAGCGCGGATTGCAGGTCGCCGCGCTTGAAGGCCTCGTTTCCTTCGTTCTTTTTCCGCTCAAGCTCGCGACTGCTCTTGAGCAGCGTGCGCGCGAGCCTGTGGTCGGGGTCGACGCGGAGGGCTTCCATGAAGTGAGTTGTGGCAGAGGCGTTGTCGCCCTGGGCGTAGAGTACCCTGCCGCGCAGAACAAGGGCGTCCGAGTCCTGACGGTCGTCGCGGAGCAGGCCGACGGCTATTGAGGCAGCGGAGTCGTAATCGCCGGTCTCAATCGCACACTGGCCTCGCAGCAGACGCCATTTGCGGGGCGGGGTGACGTTCATGCCGAGCAGCTTCTCTGCGCCGGAGAGGGCGTGCAAGGCGAGACTGGCGTTGCCGCCGCTGACCATGGCCTCGGCTTGGGAGACGTACCGCGACATCTCGTATGCGAGCTGGACGTCTGCCGCGCTCGGAGGCGGCTGGATCTGGGAGAACGCGGCGATGGCGTCGTCACAGCGGCCGAGGCTGGTGAGGATCTTGCCGATTCGGAGCTGGGTCTTTGGTATGTTTGCCGCGTACTGGGCTGGGTTTGCTGAGCTGAGGGTGAGCGCGGAATTGCTGTCCTCGAGGGCCTTTTCGAACATGCCGAGCTGCATGTAGGCCATGGCGCGGTTGCCATAGTAGATTGGGCTGGAGGGGTCGAGGTCGACGGCGCGGGAGTACTCGTCGATGGCACGAGAGTAGCTGCCTGATTTGTAGAGGTCGTTGCCTGCAGCCTTGAAGGCCTCAGCTTGGTCGTTCATTGCTGAGGAAGATGAGGAGAGGAGGAGGAGAAGAAGAGGAGGAGGAGGAGGAGAAGAAGACGATGAGGACCAGGCTGAGGAAGTCGCGAGAGCAGCGCGGTCGAGGACAAAGTCGACGAAGGACGCGGAACTTTGCTCGTCACCAGCCACGGCGAATCTTCGAGAAAGTGGTGTGGCTGAGGATGGTGTGGCGGTGCCTCTCTTCTCTCTTCCTCTTATTGTCTTCTTCTGCTATTCTTCAGTTGATCTCTGCTCTGCTCTGCACGGATTTGCTCTGCACTGCTCTTCTCTTCTAATCTACTGCCTATCACCACCTGCGCGGTCTCTGTTCTGCTCTGCTGCTCCGCTGCTCTCTGCCGCTCCCCCTGAACCGCTGCTCGAACTCACAGCCCTTACCCAATTCACCTGAGATTCACCCAGATATTCTGATATTCAAAAGATGTGTATACTGTTTGTTATTCTGTCGTCGTCTTTTGTCTTCACACCCCAGGAACACTGAAAACCCGCTTGAGAACCGGCACCCGCGGTACTGCCACGTACACAAACGCCCATGCAACTAATCCCATCAGCCATCCCGTTACCTATAAGTATCATCAACAGTTAGTAAGTCGACACCAGCAGAGATCAGAGACTACCTACCTTCTCTTGAAACGTGTGGAAGTAGATCCCAGTCATAAGCAGCATCCACCACCATAACAGTAAAAGCGACATCACAATCTGTCATTCATAATCGTTAGCCTCGCCTGCTTACCACAGCTCTTTAAACAACTCTCACCTTCGTATTCGCCTGTCGCATCATCGGCCCTCTCTCCAGACACACCGGCAAGATCTCATACCACAAAAACAAGCTCGCGTGCGTGAGCAAAAACGAATGCCCACTGATATCATGTCCACCCGTCCATTCCCCAGCCGCATGCCGACACCCCACCGACGTCCAGCCCTTATGATCTCCTCCCTCGCCGATCCGGCATGTGCCACCCGTGCCGAGGAAAACGCGGTCCATCAGCGGCGCGCCGAGAAACCACTGCGTGAAGAGGTACCACCACAGCGTCGCGACCGCGTAGCGCATAAACAGACCCGTGGGCCTGCTTATCCGCAGTCGGCTGCAGTGGACCATGTACACGATCGTTGTCCAGAACCAGCCGTTCTTGACGAACGTGACGTTGAAGAAATTCCGCTTCGAGCTGAAGTATGTGTGGGGCTGCGATACGGCAGAGACCAGGCTTCCGAGCACGATCGTAATCGGATAGATCAGAAATACAACGAGCTCCTCGAACGTGAATATGCCGTACAGATACCGTCGGGGCTCCACTCCAGACTCGAGCGACGCGGCCGGCGGCGGCGCAAACGCGCCATCGTCAAAACCAGAGCCGCCGTCGGTTTCGGTCAGGCCGGGATCGGGGATCGTACTGCTTCCCGTCGTCGTCGTGAATTCTGACGACGGCTCGGCTGGGGTGTCTTCTAGGCTGTAAGGAGGGGGCGCCGAGTCGGGAGTTGCTTCTTCGTCTGTGTACGGCTGCGAGGGCGCGGACGACGGAGCACTGTTCGGCGCACCGGACATGTTGAGAATAGGAAGAAGAAGAGATACAGCAGCTCGAAGTGCTGTCTCTGACTGTTAATGCTATTGTGTTGTCAGTTCACTGCGCGTATCGACGAGAAGAACGGCAGCCGACGATCACTGAGAGCAGGCAGCTGTTTATGCAGATGTTTGTCTTCAACGCCCAGCGCCGCACCCAACCTTCAATTCACCACCACCACCACCACCACCACCACCACCACCACCACCACCACACCTCCCTCTCCGTCTCGGACCCTGCTCATCCTTGATGTCCGGCTAAGCTGGGCTGTTGCGCGATTGTCAGATAGCATGGAAGACGGTAGCAACCCACCTCCTCCGCCGTCCACGGAAGCTGCTGCAGAGGGCGACAGCGTCGAGGATCAGACGCTGTCGGGGCCCCCTACGCGCTTTGAAATCGAGCTGGATGTAAGTATATCATGATCTTGCTTGTTTGATCCTGGATGAACTGACGTGTTGTGTAGTTTGTTCAATCACTGGCGAATCCTCATTACGTCAACTTCCTCGCGCAGAACGGATATCTGGAAGATGAACGGTTCATAAACTACCTCGACTACCTCGAATACTGGCGCCAGCCCTCCTACGCCACCTACATAGTGTACTTCTCTCTCATACTTCTGCTTGCTACATAACTTTTATACTAACACTTCTACCTCCCAGATACCCAAACTGCCTACACATGCTCACCCTCCTAAAACAAGAACGATTCAGACAAGACATCAAGCACATGGACATGGCGCAAATGCTCATGGACGACATGTTTGCCAAATGGCTCGGCATGGGCCGCTACAAACCCCCAGAAACACCGACCCCGCCAGAACTTGTTGACCAGCAGAACGAGGGCGTGCGCGGTAACAATAATCTGAATCAAGAGCAGGTTAAAGATGCAGTGGACGCCGCCGCGGCGAATGGGCATGGGAACGGGGAGGCGATGGATGGGATACAGACCAACACGGCCGTCAAAATGGAGCAATGATGCACTGCTTCTTGTATATTAGTCTTGTGGTGTTTTCATGTATTGTACTGGTATTTAGAAAAGTTCAGCCTTTTTACTATAATTATAATAATCCCCAAATCAAAGCAAGTCGATCAATACTGCTTCAGCCAAAGTTACGCCTTCCTCAACTCCATCTCGACACCACCTCTCTCAACCCCGTTCACTACCACTCAAGGAACAGAAAGAGCAGTCTTATTCGCAGACCCAACAATCAGCGCAGCCACATTAGCCCCCGCAAGACTCGACGTCTCCATCGTACTAATAAACTGCTCCATCCCGTTCAAATACCAAATCCCATCCTCGTGCACCTTCCAGTCCTGGAACTCCTCGATCGTGTCCATCCGCGGATACGGATTCCACACTTTCTCATACACCCACGGAAACTCTGCGCCTTGCTCAAACAGCAGCTGCAGGAACGCAGGCTGCATCTTGCTCGGCGAGAAGATCTTGTAGACGTACTGGTTTAATTCGGGGATGTACCGCACGATGCTGACCGAGTTGAACAGAGGAGGCGAGTGGGCTGCACCGGTCTCGGGCATGGTTGTCAGCACCATCGTCGGGACGAACGCGCCGTCGGCTAAACCGAAATACGCCGGCGAAAGGCGCTTGGTGGAGGCAACCAACGTCACATGAAGTGTCATGTACGGTACCTTCTTGATCGGCAACTCGAGTCCTTTGATCCCAGTCTGATGATACGGCGACGCGATAATCACCTGGTCAAACTCCTCGCTCGAGTCCCCCGCCAACACCAAAAACTTGCCCTCGTCCCCTGCCGCGACGATCTCAGACACGGCGGTGCTCAGCTGGAGATCAGCACCAGACGCCTTGAGCATGTTGTCAAAGATCTTCCAGTTCCCGCCTTCGACGTTCAGGCCTTCGTCGGCCGCGAGGCAGACTGTGGCCTCGAGGGCGTGGAGTTGGTGGACGTTTTGGGCGTAGTTTACGCGGGTGGCGGCTTGCACTATGTGGTTGGTGAATAGCTTGCTGATTCCGTACTTTGTGAAATATTTCTAGATGATTACAGAGTTAGATTTCTGCTAGGAAAAAGTTAGGTGAGTGATTCAGCATACCAGAGTCGTTTCTCCAGTGAGTTCAGTGAGCCCACTGTCCTGCGTAGCGGTAGTCAAGTCCTTGAACGGGAAGTAAACGGAAGAATAGTAGTTCAGAAACTTTGCTACAGTCTTCTTGGCCAGCGAGCGCGCTTTGATTGGCGACATTCCGTACTTCCACAGAAGTTTCCCCATATTAAGCCAGGACGAGTCAGACTGTGCTTCATAGACGAATGATTTCCCGTTCCAGCTGCGTCAGAATCAGTATCAGCCACGAAATGCACATATAAACAGTCACTCACATTCCAATCGAATCGCTAATCGTGACATTATCCATCTTCCTCACCCGCCCCAACTCCGCCGTCCGGATCTCAAGTCCAAACTCCTGAACCGCCGCCACGAGATTCAAGTTCTGCTTGACGAAAATGCTCGCGCCAAGCTCGACCGGCCAGCGCGCGTCGTCGTGCACGTTCACGGTCGTCGTGCGGCCGCCGATGTAGTCGTTTTTGTCGTATACGGTGATGGCGTAGCTGTAGTTTGAGTATTTCTGCAGGTAGTAGGCCGCGGACGAGCCGCCGGCGCCGGCGCCTGATGTGGTGCTGTTAGTACTATGTAGTGATATATAGATAGATGAAAGTGTTCTATACCTATAATCGCAATCCTCTCCTTCGTAGTCTGAGCCGGGGTCTCAAGACTATTCTCGTCGGGCGCAAACACCTGTTGCTCGGCAGCGACAGTCGAGATCAGGCACAAGCCAAGCTGCACAGCAAGCGCAGCGTTGACGGGGTTCAAGTGCATTTTCTTTCTCTTTCAATCAATTGAATCTATGTGCTTGTTGTCTGTCGTCAGTAATATGCTCTGCGGCAGCGGAGGTTGATGAAGACGAAGGCTGGGTGGTGTGCGGGGTGATGGGGATTGCGGAATATCAGATCAGATTGGTTTGAGCCGCGCTTTGGTTGATATTGTCCTTCCTCCCACATCTTCTTTACAGCTTCAAGACACATCCGCAGCCGTGTCGGGATTTATAGAGAAGAGTAGAGTAAAGAGATATCTTGATTATTTACAAATAGTGGTACCGACCCGGAGAAAAGACCTGCAAAGACCTCTCATCTGCTCGTTCGACGGTAGCAGATATATACATTTCCCGCACAAAACACCCTCACATCTCTCTCTCTTTGCAAATTCATATCTCCGATACGAAGAGTAATCAGCAGATACAAACTAACTGACTAGACAACGATCACAGCTTCCGCACAGCTTTCTGGATCTCCTCCTTCGGGTCGAATTCACCGGCTAGCATTCGTTGGTATTCTTCGTCGTATACGCCTGTTGATAATGGACCGTTTCCCCGAAATCGTTTTCTAAAATACGTTCAGACAACCTTACTCCAAAAAATACATGAATCTCGCCTACCTCATATCAAAAAGACCACGTCTAAACCGCATAGAACACCCGTTAGCTCTCTCCGATCTCTCTCCACCGCCCCCGTTCACCGGCTTAAGAAAAACACATACCGACACTGGGCATAACTCTTCATCCGCGCAAGACACTGCGCCGGCAACTCCTTGCGCAGCTCCTCCTTCTCCATGCACTCTGTCGGCGTGTGGCGGTCAATCATTACGCATGGCGACCGCTGCAGACACAGCGCCAGACCTGTTCTGATATCTTTGCAACTGCGCACAAATATACTTGTCAGCATTCACCCTACACCTCCCAACCACTTGAAATATCATCTTACCTCGACGGCATCTGATCTCGGGGCGTGAGAATATTCGTTCGTCCTCGCGAATACGCCGCTGCTCAGCAGAGTCGCGAGGACTTGAGCAGGTGTCGAGGGTTAGGTCTCTCGAATTCCCAACCGTTGCGGCTCGAGGCGGGTTTGGAGAGATGAACGCGATAAGGAGATGTTGCAGATAGAGTAGTTGGTGGTGGAGGATTGTGTGTAGAGATGGGCGTAGTGTGGGTGTTTAGTAGGGATTTTGTGGGTCTGTTTGTTGGTAGACGATAGAATTGCAATTGACGTAGAGGAAGGCAGTCGTAAACACTTGTTCTGCTCCGAGAACTGCCTGAACACGTCCCTCCATCTTCAACTCCTACACTGCCCAGCAATTGCTCAAAAGACATTCCTACCACTGAGCCATCACCATCCCTAGCTCGCATTCCTCAACGAGCCCTCTCATGGCTCTCATAACCAACCAGGTCGTCTCAGACCAGCTAGCTCTGATCCGCCTCCTGTTCGCGGGCAAACTCAGCTTCATAGACTTCTACACGACAAGTCTGCCCTACACCAGCACATTCATCTTCGGCTGCGCTCTCATCATCATTGTCTTTGTGAGCTGTCATACCGGGAAAAAGAACGATTTTACGCTGGTAAGTCTCACCCTCTCCAGACTGCGCCATGATCCTATCTAACAGAAGCTCTTCTCCAGGTCGACAAAATCTGGCCGACGATAACAGTCTCCTGCACAATCAACTACATCATCCACGGCTACCTCGTCTTCAACCAGCTCAATTCCCGTCTTCTTCTTCTTCTTGCAATCCAAACATGCTGGACCTATCATCTAATGGAGCTCTTCGCCCGCCGCGGCGGCTACTCCGGCGTCGAAGACCACAGATGGGCCGTCGTCCTGCGCGACCTGAAGGACAATCAAGTCCAGCTGATCCTCTTCAGTTTCGCATACGTCAGCTTTTTCCAGCCGTTGATGCTCATTAACAACTCTCTTCCGGAATTGAAGCTTTACGACGCGGGATCGGTCCCGCTTTCCCCTCGCGATTGGTTCTATCTGGGTTTGATTGCTGGGTTGGTGGGGTTTGAGTATCTGTGCGATACTTACGTCCAAGGTCTGTGTATTTCTTAAGAAAGATTCAAATGCACGCATATACTGACGTCCTCCTCTTCTTTTTATTCAGAGTACCAAGTTGCAAAAGCTATTTACCTAAAAGACAAAACCCTCACGAAAGACTATACCGAGCAAGAACTCCAGCGCGGATTCTGCACCAGAGGTCCATTCGCATTTTCCCGAGTACGCCCCCCTCCCCTCTTCTCTCGTTTTCCTCACCAACAGCTAACAATGTTCTAGCACGCCAACTTCTGCACCGAGCAATTCATCTGGCTCGCCCACTACCTCTACGGCGCTAGCTTCGACTCCAGCTGGCTCAACTGGACGCTCGTGGGTCCCGCGACTTTCTTCCTGTTTGTCTGCAGCTCGGCAGGATTCACCGAGGCGATCTCCGCATCGAGGTATCCTGAGTACATGGTTTATAGAGAGAAAGTGCCGTTTTTGTTGCCGTTGCCGTGGAAGCGGTGGACTGAGGCTAAGGCATGAGGGATTCATAGTTACAGGGAGTCATAAAAATTACAATAGATTCATATTAGACAACAAAATCGCTATATTACAAAAACAAATCCAATCCTCCTCAAAATATAAACAAAAAACCCCACTCTATCTACAATTCAAACTCCAAAACCAAAAAAACAATCACCGCGCAATGTCGTCCCCTCACTTCTGGTATCTGCCATACGGATCAGCTAACCCACCCGCCCCGCTCGAATACATAGACTGCGGCCTCCCCGCGCGCTCGTTTCGAGGCACAAGCTCGGGATACACCTGGAAGTTCGTGCGCGCCGCCGGTTCGCCGAATTGCTGCTGACCACCGTGACTCGCTTGGGCAGCGGGTCGGGGCGGGGAGTGGCTGCTGCTTCGGCCGTGGGACGAAATGATTGGCATGATCTTCTGTTCTGCGCGCGCGTAGAGCGCGGAGATCCTGTGGGAGTTGCCGTGGGGTGCTGCTGGCATCGAGGTTGGCCTTTGCGCGGCGGCCGGTGCTGAGGTTGGAAGTTGGGGATAAGGACTGTGCTGGCTTGCAGTTACAGCCGGTGCAGGGGCTAAAGGTTGTATATACGGAACCGGGCCAGTACTGCGCGGCTCCCTTGGCTGAGTTCGAGTCGGACTTCTCTGCGACGAGAGACTACCGCTCGTCCGAGGTGGAGGATGAGGATTCCGCTCAAGCTCGAGTTGCTGCGATTTCTGGCTTTCGACAAGAGAAAGCTTCTGCAGCTGTGCCTGCGTCTCCTCTCCTGTCCCTCCAAACGAGCGTCGCGCCGTATTCGCCCGCTTGGCTTCTTTGGGAGAGAACATCCCGTCTTCGGAATTCTCTCGAACGGGGGGCGATCGGGGAGGAACGATTGAGATCGATGGAGCGCGGGCGGGTTTCTTGCTGCTTGCAGCAACGGGTAGAATGCCACCTATTGACGTGTGCGGTGGATGGCTTTCTCCGCTGCCGCCGCTGCCGTTAACCTTTGACGAGATCTTTTTCGCCAGGTTCAGTTTAAATCCCGTGCTTCGCCTCCGTGACTGCGCGGCATCGCCTGATGTAGTTGACTCGGCGTGGAGAAGTCCTGTGGCGATCGCTGCAAGTTTCGAGGGCTTGTGCTCGTATTGCCAGAAGCAGTAGCTCGCCATGTGGACTGCGATCATCAAGTCCAGCATTTTCAGAGCGGATTCGCTGAGCGTGAGCCAGCCAATCTATAAAGTAGTCAGTATTTAGAACGAGGGATCATTAACAAAGTTTGATGTATACCTTGTCGTTTGTGATTTTCTTCTTCTCCATCTCCGCGATTGCGGCTCCGTTTCTGTAATTCTCGCACTGGTGAGAACATCAATAGTTAGCAGGACTATAATAGTAGCAAAGAAGAACCGGATTGCATACGATAATATGCTCTTTTCCGACCAAAGACCATTGATCATTCCAAGGGTCTGCGAATACGAATTTCGACTTTCCGGTGTACGGGTCTGCATGCAGCTGCAGCTCAGTCTTCCAGACCTGGCTTCCTTCGTCGCCGAGGACCGTGACAGCAATCTTACTCTCGCCGTCGTTGCGGGTGACGTGGATGATTGGCACGAGCGAGCTATTAAACTTATCATCAAACCCCGCATCGCCTTGCTCGAGTCTCTCGGCGTCGCTGAGATCGACGTTGTCGTAGTTGTGCACGAGAATGACGAGCGAGAACGAGGCGTCGATGTCGTCGCCGTGCTGCTGCTTCTGCGCGAGCTCGTTTTCTTCGGATGTGACGCGGACGTAGTAGCTCGGGCCGATGTTTGCGTTGTAGTGCTTCACAGAGGGGTTGGTGGTGAGGTAGTAGTCGCGCTTGCCGTTGCGCATGATGTGGTATTTGAGACTCGAGGGCTCGTCCTCGCCGGCGGCTGCCGGGGTTGGCGAGGGGGGGTCTTGTTCGGGGTCCATTTGGGTGTGGTTAGGAAGAGTCATTGAGTGTGTTGGCGGTGCTAAGAGACGAGCGACGCAGGCATGTCGCTGGAGGCAGATATAACAAGAAATAGAAGCAGTGCTCGGTGATGGCGAAGCAGAAGGCGCAGGCCACGAGGACGAGGCTTAGCTCACAGTGCGGCTCAACGTGACCGAGCACTCGACGCGTGGCGGTTTGTTTGTTTACCTTCGTCATATCGCTCCCCTCCAGACGCGATCCTGCAGTGATCTCGTTGATTGATCCCGTAATGTCTGGATTGTCGTCGCCCGGCTGCACGAACTGGAACACGCAAAAGTGCAGGCGCGTGCTGCGGCCGCTGTCTTCGAAGCTGCAGGCGCTCAAATCGCTCGTCGAGGCGCATCCCTCCTTGCTCACCCAGGCGCACTCTGCGCCCGGGCAGAAAAGCAGCTCATTCAATTCAAAGAAATACTACTCATCTTCTTCATCATCGTCTTTTTCTTCTTCTTTGCGGGACTCAACAGCACCGAAACTCACCGCAAGCAATGAGCATTCCTCGCGCTTCAGATCAGACACGCTCTTCCTCGCGCTCCACGACAAAATCTCCCCCGAGATATTCGCGCTCTACCGCTCAATCTACCACGCCTTCCGCCACTTCCTAACCCAAGCCTATCTCCCCGCGCGCTCGCTCGCGCAAAAGTCCGCGGTCGAGGTCGGCAAGTGCATCGTCTACACCATGGACAGTTTCTCGGAGGATGAGTGGTACGACTGCCTTGTGCAGCTCAGGCTTTACAAGCGATTTATCGCGATCGGACATGGTGCTTCGCTTGTTGCGCAGGAGGCTGTGCTTTGTCGTGAGCTGTTGCCGGCACTTGTCGCGGCGTGCGCGGAGTTTGAGGCGTATGATATCGTAAGTGTTGTTGTCTTTTTGTTGCTTTAGCAAGAATTGAGCTAATATGAGATTAGGGACTGCTGTTGTTTCGCAGTCTTCTTGAGGTCACGTCTCCGGAGAACGTACTTTTTCAGCTTGATCTGTTCTGCAACCTCTGCGACCAGGTGAAGTCATCGTCGCATCTGCTGATCGAGTACGTCACAGCAAGTCTCTCTCCAAACACGATGGGCGATCCAAATTTCACAGCGATGTTCACGCATATCCTGTCAGAGAGCAAGTACTCTTACTTCTACAGCAACTCCTCGTTCCGCGACTACCTGCGCCATGTATTTGTGTTTGCGCGCCGCCGGATCCGGCGAACTAGTCATCCCAGCTTTTCAAAGATCGAGAGTCAGCTGACGAGGCTTGCGATTATGGTGTGTCAGCGCGAGGACGTGTTTGATGAGTTTATGGTTCAGACGTTGATTGATGCGCTTGGTACGGCGTCTAGCAGGTTTAGTAATGTGTGGAAGCTGCTGTGTATCCATGAGATGTACCTGACTGACTCGCCTCCGAGAGAGGCGTTCAAGTCATATTTTGACGGTACGGCAGAGAGTACGCCCGCACGGAGAAATTACTCGGTGAAGCCTGCGCTGAGAGGGGCATTGCTGGAGGTTTATCCTGGTGTGACGGATAAGACCAAGAAGCTGGTGGAAAATTTGATACCAGTGATGCCGAAGCTTGCTATCAATCTTGCCGAGATACTGAGTGAGCCCAGGTCGTCGTCGCCAGATGAAAAGGCTGCTGCGAGGAGTTGGCTGGCGGAGATTGAAAAGAGAGCGTATGAGGCTGATCGGGTGGTTAATAAGCGGAACTGGAAGTATGACGCGTTTATCGAGGAGTGGGTTGAGGTTACATCGAGTCCGGGAGAAACGAAGGAGTTTAAGCTGGTGGATAGCGATTCAGAGGTTGACGACTGCGACGATGGATCAAGTGAGGTGGAAGTGGAGGTGGAAGAGGGAGAGAGAGAATATATGGAGAAAGAAGAAGAATTTGACGATTCAGGAATTGAATTGGTGTCACCACCCTCATTTGCCCGACGCCATGAGATGGTGCGTCAATGGTCATCATCGCCTGCGTCGTTGACTTTACCGCCGGCAATATCAACTCCGTCTGATTACTCAGAGCTCGCGTTTGGCAGCGATATCAGAAAACGGAGGAACGATAATCTTCTGCCGCGGGTTCCGTCTTCGGTGAGGCTTTCGCCGCGGTCGAGTAGACGGGTGCATACGCGGTATTTCAAGCTGCTTTCTACGCCTGCGGTGTCGAGTGTACGGAAGTTGTGGATTGGTCGATTGAGAAATAGAGAGGTGAATGAGGAGGGGGAGGAGGAGGAGGAGGAGGAGGAGGAGGAGGAGGAGGAGGAAGAGGATGATGAGGAAGAGTTTGACGAGATACAGATGTTGATGCCAAAGACAACAGCAACGACAACGGCAACAGCAACGACGAAGCAGAAGGTGTCAGAAAGTGAGGAGGTATACGATGAATCAATGACTCAAGACGAGCTGTCGTTTGAATACGCGTCGCCGCTTCAGGTGCGGGCACGGGCACAGGTATGGCAGCAAAGACAGCAGAAACAGAATAAGTCTGGATGGGCAAGCAGTGGTTTGATTCAGCTTCAACAGAGAAGGGATTATAGAGGGCAAGTGAGGCAGCAGAAGAGTACATGGGCTGATAGTGATGAGAACACAAACACACGACAAAAGAAGAGAAAGCTAGAAGACGAAGAGAGGCTAGACGCGTCTGTGGAGGACGACTTGAGCAGGTATCTTTCGCGACCACGTGAGCCGCTTTCGGATTACACCAACGGAGGCGCGCATGGACAAGGAAAAGCAAAGAGCAAGAGGGTGAAGACGGCTGTGAATGAGGACTCTGAGGATGAGATATGCTCTTTCTAAAGGATCTGTACATATATCTTAGGCATATACATATCATTTACTATCGTGTTGGAGGCAAGTATGCCGTCATAGCCGCCTAGACTGCGGCGGTGGATATCTGATGGTGTTTGTCATTTATTATGTAATACACACGACTGCGCCTTCACATAGAACACAAACATCTGAACAAAAGACACATACAATACTAATACACCAACTAAAAGAACTCGGAAGCAGTAAAACAAGCAGCAGATAGCAAGTTGACGAGAGCTGCGGCAGGTTGAGTGGAAGACGGCGGAAGTCGGAGGTTTAAGCGGCGCTGTTTGTTTGTATTTCTGCAGCAGCACAGACCTCGACGCTTTCGGTCAACTCTTCCTCGCCTCTTCCCGTCTTCCTCTTCCTCCTCTTCCTATACCATTCCCCTCCTCTCCTTCTTCCTATTCTCTTCTCTTATCCTCCTCCTCCTCTCACCCCCCACCATGTGGGCTCGTCTCAAATACAAGCTCCTGCCCTCACCGGCCCCTCCCCTCCCCACCACAAACGACCCTGCCTCCTCCTCCTTCTCCAACCTCGCCAACCACGCGTCCGCCGCCTCCCTCGTCAAGCCCCCAATCTACCGCATCGAGACCTCATTCAATATCCTCCAGACAGTCGGAGCTCTCCGCGCTCACAATTGGGTCGCGACCGACATCCAATACGCGTTCCTCTTCTTCATCGGCCTCTTCTCCCTCCTCGTCGCCGAAGACCCACCCATCGCCGTCAAAGTAGTCGTCTCCGTCCTTCTCTTCATCGGCCTCCTCATCCCCATCACCTCTCAATTCCTCCTGCCCGCTCTCCCCGTCTTTGCCTGGCTCCTCCTCTTCACCTCGGCTACCTACATCCCCGCCGAGTGGCGTCCCCCCATCACCGTCTCCGTCCTCCCCACTCTCGAATCCATCTTCTACGGCGAAAACGTCTCCGAAATTCTCTCCAGCCGTACATCCTCCCTCCTCGATGTCCTTGCGTGGCTGCCCTACGGAGTCATGCACTACGGCGGTCCCGTCGTCTGCGCAATGCTCGTCTTCATCTTCGGCTCCCCCGGAACCCTACCGTGCTTCGCGCGCTCCTTCGGATACATGAACCTCACCGGTGTGCTCATCCAGCTCATGTTCCCCTCCGCGCCGCCTTGGTACGAGGTTCTGCACGGCTTCGCACCCGCAGACTACTCCATGCCCGGCTCTCCCGGCGGTCTCGCGCGCATCGACGAGCTCTTCGGCCTTGACATCTACTCGTCCGCCTTTGGCGCGTCTCCTCTCGTATTCGGCGCTTTTCCTTCCCTGCACTCGGGTTTCTCGGTCCTCGAGTGCATGTTTCTCTCGCACGTCTTCCCGCGTCTGTCGTTCATGTTCATCTTCTACGTGCTCTGGATCTGGTGGTCGACAATGTACCTCACGCACCACTACTTCATCGACCTCATTGGCGGCGCTATCCTTGCTCTGACCGTGTTCCTCATTGCAAAGTGGAACTTCTTGCCAAGTTCGCAAACCGGTAAGAGTTCCCGTTGGCAGTATGAGTACATCGAGCTCACGGATATCAATACAGCCGCAGTACGGAACGTGATGCAGAAGCGTCGCGACTCAAACATCCGCGACACCATCGACAATGGCTACACCTATGACGACTACGATGAATTCGACGACAACCCGCCTCTTTCCAAGGTCGACGAGAATGAAGATGACATCGACGACGACCCGCTCACGCCGCTCGCCTCCGGCGGTCTCACCACCCTCGCTGGCGCGCACCGATACTCCGCAACCGACGGCTTCAACAACCCGAACGCGTCCGAATCGCAGCACTTCGACGAGTCTGACCTCGGATTCGGTGACGAGGACGCTGGCGACTACTTCAATTCGTCGCAGCAGGCCAAGTACCAGCGCGAGGACCTCTACCACGCCGACTTTGACGATCCGTACGCGGACGAGCAAGGTGACGATCTCGGAGCCGGGTTCCAGAAGAAGAACAAGTCTAGCGATCAGAGCAAGCAGCCGTTGTTCAAGAAGGGTCACTCTAAGCGCGACTCTGAAGGTAGTGCTTATTTCTAGACGCATGCACCTCTCATGATTGCCTCTTTATTCTCGGCATTCTGACTTCTACATCCATGCTTTTCACTTTATAAAAAGGGTTCAAAAGGGATTTTGCATTCTGCCAGAGTGCTGACTATAATAACGTTCCACCAACTCCATGTCTCTTTCTCTTTTCTCTCTTACTTTTCATTTTTCCACTTCATTTATGATTTCTCTTATTATATGGAAAGGGCGCGTCTTGGATCCGGTTTTACTTTGTCCTATTCTTTATTCTCTTGCTTGTATTATTAGAACCTATCTCTGTCTCTTTTTATAATTCTTTGTTTTGTTCATCATTCAGTGATCTGCTTTGGGGTATTATTTCATATCGATTTTCTCTTTTTTCTTCTATTTCCATTTTTTGCATAGTCATGAGGTTACAGAATCGTTACTGCTGCAGTGATCTGTTTATTACATGATGACAATATATATCTCTTTATAAACCATCAAAGTAGTCTGAAGTGGAAGTAGAAGTCGTATCCTAATGCTGTGGACGTTGGGAGTTTCCCAAGCGAGGTCCCCCTGAGAAACCATAAAAAAAGAAAATTCTCCCTGGACCGCAAAGTCCAGACACCCACCACCGTCTGCTCCCCAATCCCTCGATCTCGGCACTCGTCCACAATCTAGTGCACTGCTGCACGAGTATCTCTAGATGCTTAATCTACGGCGCCGAAATGCCTTGGCCGCGCTCGGCCTCGTTGCGCGGATAACCGCCTTTTCACCTGCTCATCATTACCTACCCATCTCATCCTCATCATCCCCGTTCTCGACCACGACCGCGCTGAGCAAGAAGGCCGCGAGAAGCAGTAAAAAAACCATTAAGGGTCGCGGTAACTTTCGGATTAATCGCTCTTCCGAGGGTACCTTCACGAGAGACCACAGCGTCGACGACGTCAACGACGCCGACAGCTCAGGTCGAGTTACTCGTCGCGACTCGTACTTCGGCCGCAAGCAGCACCATCCGCCCCAGCAGCACCAGCAGCAGGGAGGCGCTCGAAACTTTGACGGGAAAGGGAAATACGGATCGAAGGGCGAGCGCAGGCCCACACCTCAGCAGCAGGGAGGCGCTCGAAACTTTGGCGGGAAAGGGAAATACGGATCGAAGGGCGAGCGCAGGCCCACACCTCAGCAGCAGGGAGGCGCTCGAAACTTTGGCGGGAAAGGGAAATACGGATCGAAGGGCGAGCGCAGGCCCAGACCTGAGGACGCGTTTAGAAGTGAATTCGACGATTATCCGACCTCGTGGTCGCGGTTCTCGAGTGATCGGAACACGCAGAGAGATGGTATGGGGAACAGAGGAGGTGCTAGAGGCTCGCAGTCTGGAGGGAGAGCTCTTTGGGCGATTTATGGAGAGGGTCAGTCAGAGGAGACTGAACGGACCGGTCGAAACAGGGACGACCGTCGCGGAAAAGATAATCAAAAGTCTGGTCGTCGAACCGGGGGAAAATCCGTCCAAAGAAAAGACGAACAGGACGAAGTTCCCGTGTTGAACAACTACCACCGCCCGGACCGTGGCACTAAATTCCCCGAGGAGATTTCATCTTTCCGGGATATGGATATGGACCAAGACGACGAGAATGTGAAAGCGAAAGCCGGCAAAATCAGGGACCAGGTCTTTGCCTACGCGTCCTCACGCCCGACTGTGCGGCCAACCGTGCGGCCAACTGCAAAGACTCCCGAGCGTCAATCTCTCAAGGCGGAGGGCGACATTGACGAGGTCGAGCTCGAGCTCGATATGGATTCTGACACGGGTGTGCGAAATCGCAAGAAAAACACGAAGAAGGACGAGCCCAAGAAGAAACTCAAGGATGAAAGCAAGAAATTTTTCAAAGACGGCCCGCGCACGAGGGATGGAGCTGAGGTGACAGACCCATATCTGATTTCGAAATACATCAAGGTTGCGATTGCGCGCGGTAACCTGGACGTTGCTCTCGAGAACGCTCGACGAGGCGGAGAACACTCTACCACCGGCTGGAACCTCATTATCCAGCACACGATGAGCGAGGCCAAAGTCAACACCGCACTCTCGTACTTCAACGAGATGCGCCGCCGCGGAGCGAAGCCCAACGGGTACACCTTCACCGCGCTCTTCCAAGGTCTGGCGAACCACAGCGCGATCGCACCGACCGCGGTCGACAAGACGAAACGTATTCTCGCGTACGCTGTACACAAGGGCACGTTCAAGTTAGAGCCGGTGCTTCTCAACGCCGCGCTGCAAGTCGCGCGGGTCAATCGTGACATCGACGCGATGTACGAAATACTCGGGACCGCGATGGACGTGATCCCGCTCGACGCAGCGTCATACTCAATCATCTTCAATATCTACTCCAACGCCGGCCGCTCGAACCGCGAACTCGGCTCTGAAGTCCGTGAGATCTGGGCCGAGGCCGTTAGCGAGGCCAAGCGCAGCCAGAGACTGTCTAATGACCGCGTAGTCCTCTTCAACTCTGTGATCTACAACGTCACGCGCGCGCTGCTCAAGAGTAAAAGCCAAGCGGACGTGTATCTCGCCTACCGCATCATTGTCAACGCATACAATCTCCCGCAGTACATCGTCCCCACCGAGCTCCTCGTGAGCAACATCATCCAAGACCCGTCCGCGGTCGAAGACACCGCGTTGGAGCCTTATCTCTGCAACGACACCAGCGACGAGAGCCGGTTATCCAAAGCCCCGATCGAGAAGACTGCGGTCCCGTTTATTTTCGAGGCCTGTGACCGTCTGCGCCAGCGCGACGCGTTTATCGAGTACCACACTTACTTCAAGCAGCGTATCTACCTGGGCTCTTCGTTGCATATGAAGTACACTGAGCAGATGGACAAGAACGGATTGCCAGCGGTGGGTGATGATGTGGTTCAAGATACGGTGCCGGAGGTTACGAGAAAGGATAGGCGGATGCAGAGGCGTCTTTATGCTCATGAAAACAAAGGAAAGAAACTCATAGCTCAGGAAGACGATGAGGACGACGACTGATTGGTGTATGGAAGGGTTTATTGTATATAGTGTACATTATAATTTTATAGTCATTGTATCGACATTGTTCGTGCGTATAAATCCAGCTAATCACAACAGCGCAAATGATATTACAGATCCTCAATAGGTTTAATCTATAGCAATCGTCAGTCAGCAAATCAGTAATCTTTGCAAAAAGCACACTCAAATAACAACTCACCTCGTCAACCTGCGAAGGAAACTGTGTAGGCATCACAACCTCCCGCCATCCTTCACGATGCCTTTCTCCCGCAAACAACGGGTTCCCATCATCATCCTCGCCACCGCTCTCCTCACCATCGTCAAGATCGACGACTTCCGCCTCCAGGGCGCGCGCTTGCTCGCGCTCAAGCAGCGCGTTGATTTCAGCATCCATGTCGTCGTCGTTCTCATCCTCCTCCTCGTCAATCAAAGTCCGCGGGCCAGCGGGTTTACCAACAACCTCCCTCGCCTCACCGCTGCTGCCACCGGATATCCGTGCACTTCTCCTCCGCGAGGACGCCAGCGCTCCCGCAGCTGCTTTCCTCTTTCGAGACGGTCGCGCATCCGCAGTATCCCCAGCCTCTTCTTCCTGAGACGCCTGCAAGAAAGCCTTCATAGGGTCCTGATATCCTCCGCCTTCTTCAGCCTCGGCCCCTGCTCTACCGCCGCCACCTCTTCCTCGTCCGGAGACCTCTGTCGCGCGGCCCCATACGATCGCATCAGACGTGTCTGCGGGATGTACTGATTCTCTGATTTGCGTGGGTTCTTGGCTTGGATGTGATTCTTGCTGCAGATGACTATTATGCTGCGAAGTTCGGCCCCTGAATGGCGACGCAAAGTTAAGCCGTGGCAGGAGAGGTGGAGGTAGCGATGTTGTAGCAGCAGCAGCAGCGGCAGAAGTAGCAGATACGCTGGCAGATTTCGAGGTATCATGCGCGTTTGCTGTCGCTGCGTCGTCAATCGCTGTCGTCGTAGGAGCCGGAGCAGATGTTGTAGCAGACGCCACAGCGCCGGTAACTGCTCTCGATCGTTCCGCTTCGTTCTCGTCACGAGAAGGAGGTGTCCTTGCTCTTCTTGTACTAGTTCTCTCTTCCTCGGCGCGGTTGCGTCTCATTACAGGCGACAGCGCCGGTTCCTCGGTAAGCCTGCTCTCGTCGTAATCCCGAGCACGTACGGGCGCTTGTGCCCGCAACGTCCATGAGTCGTCGACAGTTACTTCTCTTACCTCAGGTGCAATGCGCTTCGCTAATGCTTGAATGCCGCCTCCGACTGGACGGCGTGGCGGGACGGCAGCACTCGTTGTAGATTGATTGGTTGCACTGGAACTGGGTTCACCTGTAAAGAGGAGAAAAACGCATTTCATCGATTCGGTTTCGAATTGGAATACGATCGGTAACGTAGGTGCGTCAAAAGATCCCTGGATTATTGTATCGAGGCTATCTGCCAGCATAACCAGTGTCTGCCAAGTTCATTAGTTTCAAAGCATAACGAAACAATACCACAACAGGGAACCCACTCTAAATTCCTTTAAGCTAAATACAGCCTCCTCATCCTCACCAACCGTCACATCATCAAAGTCAATACTGCTGACATGAATCGCAGTCTGCAGCGGCTGCTTCAGCACTTCAGCAGCAGACTTTCGGACAATCTCTGTGAAGCTCGTGAGCACGATCTCGTCGCGCGCAAATTTGATACTGAACGCCTCCGCTCGGGCAGAAGTGTGTTCTATGTATTCGTGTAAAACACGTGCTCGAATAGAGAAAGAGTTCGGGTAGTCGTTTAGTGAGTGGAGAACGCGGTACGCGCGTGCATTTTCGTATGAAAGGCGATACGTTTTCGTGATTCCTAGAGTGCGTTAGAGATAGTCCAGAGTCTAGAGCTTGACACGATCGGGAGTAAGCATACCATGCTTACAGTGCAAAATAACAACAAGTCGACATTCAGCTGCTACGTTATCAAGATACAGCTCGCAGCGATCGACGCTCGGATCTTTCTCATGCCGTCTAAAGATCGAGACAAAGAAGCGGGTTTGCAGCTCGATCGCGATGCTCTGAGGTACTCTGTTGATCGCCTGGAAGTTTGGCGTAGAGGAGGCATATGCTCCTGTAGATGATCTGCCGGGAGTGTTGAGCGGCGTTGGCTTGAATACATATCGCTCGAAAAAGTCATCCTGAAATTCAATGAAACTGAACGCAGATCTCGAAGAGTTACAGCAGCAAAGTTTCAGCTGCAGCCAGATAAAACGACAAAAAGCGTTAGACATCAAGCAGATTCCCAAAACCACTCATAACTAATATACTCACTTGATCTTTCTTTGCCTCAATCAATATCTTGTCTGAAATCCTAGCAAGCGCATTCACGCTCCGCGACCAGTCTCGAAAATGAGCGCCAGAGCTGATGGTCACCGCAAACCGCGTCATCTGCTCTGACTTTCAAAAGACAGAACGAGGTGTAAAATAGTTGACTCAAGCGCATACGCTTATCACTCGTACTCTCCGCTATCCGTTCGCTGCTTTGACGATGGTTGTCGTCAATGCTCTTGATCGATTTGAGCTGATAATCATCGCCTTTTGGGAGTTCAGGACGCGTGCTTTATTTAGATTACCCGGCTTTGACTGTAGACGCGTCTACACTATATGACCGAAACAGGAAATACGAGTTACTTCCGGCATATCTGCATATAGTTGATCTCTGAAAATACGCCGACACCTCTATAATAATTTTCATGTGGTGCCAAATAAATGCATATTTCACTTAGCCCCGGCTAACTGTAGGAATGGTCAGGTCGAGCACCCGCCATTCCACAGACGCTATTCCACAGACAATCTGACATTTTGGCGCTTTACCTAACCGGTTTTCAGTCACTTACAAACACTCAGCATACAGGTTCAAATCAATTAGCTTACAGAGAGATTGAAGTACTCATGAGCCTCTTGCGTTGCAGCCAGCTATTATATATGCAGGTGAACCGATATTTCGTGGGGTCACGTGAGTGATCCACAGATCACGGATCGCGGACCAGAACCCCAGATACTTCGAGCTGTACCGCTTTGTCCAGCTACTTTCGGTTCCATAACAGCAACCTACAGGTCAGGCAGAACGATGTCTAAAGATTTCAATCCCGAGAATCACGTATTGCTTGTATGTAGCGTCATTGTTTTGCAGTTACTCTTACTAAGGACCGAACTTCTGACACCCGGAATCACAGGAGCAATCGCTGCTCAAGCTACCTCAGCAGCAAATGCGCCAGACCTTCAAGACCTCCCAGAAGTATATCGAGCGCGATCTTGCGTTTCTGAACAATGCTGCTTCAGAGGCTCTTGAGTCTTGCAACAGTGGGAAAGCATCACCTGATGACTCGCTGTCGCAGCTCGACGTTATGATCTCGCGGCTACAAGGGCTGAAGCGGAAAATGGTTAACCTGCAAGCCGAGGAGGATGTGTATATGCGCAAGTCCAAGGCACGGATTTCGCATCTTCAGGCGCTGTATTCTATTTCTAGCATTGAGGATAAGGATTATGAGCGGTGGAATCAGATCAGAGTCAACCGGCTGTTGGTTGATGACGTCTTGCGGAATGGGTACGTTGATACCGCGAAGGCATTAGTGGATGCAAACCCCGAAATTGAAGTGAGTGGCCTTTATCAAATTTTTGATCCAGCCTCGGATTCTAATCAGTAATTTCCAGGATCTTGTGGATATGGATATCCTCGTCCAATGCAAGGCGATAGAGACCTCCCTTCGAGCTGGTCGTACCGATGAGTGCCTCGCCTGGTGTCAGGAGAACAAGAGCTATCTGAAGAAAGCCCGGAGTTCGCTGGAGTACGAAGTCAGACTTCAGCAGTATGTCGAATTTGTTCGCACAGGAAAAACTGTCGATGCTATCTCTTACTATCGCAAGTACCTTGTTCCGATTGCCGATGTGCACTTTGATTCTGTGATTCGAATTGCAGGAATGTTGGCGTTCTCCCCCGGTAGTGACCAGGAGAGTCCGTATCAGGTAATTACATCACTTTTGGTATTTGTTTACTCGTGATCAGAGATCTAAGTTAACCTTGCTAGGATCTCTTTTCGGCCGAACGATGGAATCATCTGGCAGAAACATTCGTCTCAACTCATCACCTGATGCATGGTATCACGATGCCCTCGTTGTTACAGATCACTCTTTCAGCTGGTCTATCTGCGCTCAAAACCCCATCTTGCAAAGCAGAGAATCACCCCATCACATTTGTATCAAATTATAACTCGTCTCTGTGCCCAATATGCTCCCCAGAATTGAGCGAGCTATCGAAGTCACTGCCATACGCGCACCATGTGCGTAGTATGGTCGATCCTGAACCGGTCATGTTGCCGAATGGACGGATTTATGGACATCAAACATTGATGGACTTTGCTGCGAACGCAGGCTTACCTGCTGGACGTGTGCGTGATCCCACTACGGGTGACGAGTGGGACGAGAAGGTGCTTCGGAGAGTCTATCCTAGTTAAACTAGAGTCTGTATGCTTTATGTCGGTTTTCTTTGCAAGTTTAGCAGGTCGCTGTATTGTTTTGAAACGCGTCCTCTGTGATTTTCTATGTTAGTTCTGGGCATTATTTGGTCTGGGAATGGAGTTTTGTCAACGGCTGAGACATTATGGTTCTATAATAATACATGATACAAACACAACATAATATACACTAGTCGCTGTCTGAGCTGTCATCCGAACTCTCCGGACCGCTACGTTTTCTTTTCTTCCCCTTCAGTCTCTCGAGTTTCTTATTCCGAGAGGCGAGCTGCTGTTGCTTCTTCGACGGACCGTTCTTATCCCTGATCTTGAAGATATACATCCTCGCCTCGCGCTGGTCAAATTTCTTGGTCGTGTCGCCCATGCCTGATGTCCGGCGATGCGTGTAGCCTTCATATGCCTCCCATACAAACCTTCCGCTGCGGACGAGCTCGAAATCAAGAGCTTTGGCAATGTCTTTGAGGTTCCACAGGGAATATGGGAGGCCCTCGAAGAGAGTGACTACAACGACACCAGTGGGTGTGAGTAGAGGGGTTACCGATTTGAAAAATCCAACTAAAAGTTCTAATTAAGATAGTCGTTAGTGTCATGAAATAGTTGTCAGAATGAGTTAGATCAAAAAATACCTTGATTCTGTCGGATATTGCGATCTTGGTCTGTGATCCCACTACCAGTATGAGGAAAATTGAACACACAGCAGTCGAATTTCCGCTTCCTCAGATACTTTGTTTTCGACAGAGCGGTAGCATCAACATTGTAGAGAATTTTCGCAGGCTCTTTTTCATCTTTGAAGCCACCGGACTTATCTTGGGATTCTTCGCCATCGTTTTCAAAATCAGAAAAATCAGAAAAATCGTCAGATTCGCTGTCTTTGTCTTCAGCATCTGACTCTGCCTCGGCGCCAGTCGACTCTTCTATAAACTTGATGTTCTCCTCCACTGTATCTGGATATTTCGCCAGCAAATCCTCCTTTGAGTCGTACACTGTAGCTGTTATCCTTCCGGAAGGATGCGCGAAAGGGGGCTTCAGCAGTGCTTTTGTAAACGAAAGATCGCCTTCACCGACTAGTAACACTTGGTCCAGCTTTTCGCAAAATTGCATAGCTTTCCCACCATTCCTATTGCTTCCATTTCCACTGCTACTCCCGATAGGCGCGACCTGGCCCTTCCCCAGCTTCTGCTTCTTGGTTCGTGTGTCGAAAGGAACCTGTGCCTTCGCAGCTGCCTTCGCCTTGCGAGCGGCTTTCGCCTTGTTGAAGGCACTGTTCGGGTTTGGTACAATAGTATGCTGTCTATGGGGACGACGGGGCCTCATTTTGACAGTGAAGAGCTGAGAAGTACGCAGATAGAGCTGTTATACCGAGAATATGTATATCAAGAGAGCGCGCTGCACAATTTTTTCATGCCTGATTAAGCTTTCTGATTTAGAGTCTGCGTTGGGAGTTTTACACCCCCTGAAAAAATCCCGATTAAGAAATACAAAGGCTATTTGAAAATGTCGGTAGTGCCCCAATATTAAGCATCTACAGTAAGAAAGTTCGGTCTTATAAGATAGCTGAAGCACTGCTTTACAGTCTGTATGCTTGTAGTGTAGCTCATATACAGCAAAAGAAAAATAAATTGAATGAGGTGTTCTTGGTTTACTTTGACTCGATTAAGCTCCGAGTTGATTCAATATGAATTTTGATATGCTCGTCTGCATATAAGTCTATCAGATTCAGTATAAGCTGCGCAAAAAAACGAATCCAATAATACCCATTTTGGCTATGAAAGAAGCATGTTGGGCACACGATTTTGCGCCCTGAAGAAAAAATAAGTGGACTTTCGAGATCAGGCCGGATCGCAACTGACTCAAAAGCCCTCTTCGCTTCCTCGTCCTCCTTCTCCTCCTTCTCTTTCTCCAGCATATCGCTTTCTTCTTCACTGCAACAACGTTTCCTCATTGTTTCGGTGACTTTCAGCTTCCTTCACAAATCTTTCCCAGCTTCTATTTGTCTCTTCACACAAGCAAATACTTTTCCTCCGCTCTACTATCGTACAACAATCTCACGATGATTGTCTCTCTTGTCTACGCGCTCGCCATGGTCAAGGCAGTCGCAGAGTTTGCAGGTCACGCCCGCCGCGCTCAGGGCAGTAGCACTGAAGACGCAGAGTTCTCTGCGCGCAACTCTGCTTCGGCCGGCGAACGCTATACCAAGAGCCCCAGCTACGATACTGTCGAGCCCACGAACGGCACCCGTCCGGCTTTTACCTCCAAGCAGTTGGACTTGCCCTCAGCTTCTAACGAGAAGCACAGTGGTTTTTCCCTGGCCCAGCCGCCCTCCAAGATCGAGATCCAGGGACATCACTACCTCGTTCTCACCGAGCCCGTCAACACGGATCACGGTATACCTTCTGGTACGGCAGTCGCAACGTCGGCGACGGCGGAGAAGACTACCGGACGCTTTCAGTACAGCGTCCACTCCCGCTTCACCTACCAAGAGTTTACCCTCCAGCGACAGCGCTCTTGTCGCAGCTCCGTCTACGGTACCGAACAGCAGCATCCTGCTTTCACAGCGACGACTGTCAGGTTTCCACTGACGACCGATCACAAAGCTCCACTCCTGCTCGAGTGGAAGCCCGAGGAGACAGATCAGTCGTCTTCGCTCCAGGATGCTACTTGTGCCGACTCTCAGATCGAGCAGCAGGAATCCGCTTCTGCGTCGCGTTTGGATTATCTCGTGCATATCAGCGATGTTCAAGCGGTTCATCGTCACGACCAAACGCGACTGTGGTCACAAATGGCGGTATCGGCGTACCTCCACGCACCGGACTTTTTGTCTGAGCCTACGGTTGTGGCTAACGAGCTTCCCGCTCTTCTCACGGCAAGTTATCCCGCTACTTTTAAAGCAGTATTCCTGCATTTCTTACTAACTCTCGTGCAGACATCGATCGAACGGGAGCCGCATGCAGAGGACGAGACTTTGTCTCGCGCATCGCCGGCCCCGACGTATCTCGTCAGCCTCAACGGCCTTTCGAAATGCCCCAGGCTCTGCACCGACCAGTGCAGACTTTTCTCTCAGCTTTTAGCTTCTGTGCTCTGTTATCCTTCGGACTTACCTTGCGATCCCGTCGAACAGACCTGCGATTTGTCATCTACAGAGATGCCGCCCTACTGCACGGTAAGTCTTGTTCACGTCTTTTGGGTTGATGTATGAGCTAATGTGATCTGGTATCTAGGACTTGATCAAGTATCAGCCGCCTCTGGACTTTTCGTCCATTGGTCTGTGTGCCGATGATTCACCTTTGTACACCATCGTCTTTGTGCTTTCTCCGATGAGAGTATACGACATCCAGGTAGCCCCCTATTGGAATATGTGTGGCGATGATGGCTTTCATTCCATTGCAAGCCGTATTTATCGACCTACGTTTGGCGGTGATGGGGCCAATTCCAGCGCCAAACTAGTAGGTCGGCCGATAGGCAAGCGCGTTGCTCACCCTGTTATCGGGATCAGCAACGTCTTGTACTTTGTAGCGGCTATGAAGGATGTTGTTATTCCTCTCACCTGGGGAAGCATTCTGCTTTGCGTGTACGAAGGCGTTTCTTTGGTCATGCAGACTGATGACGGAAGCTCAGATGTCGCTGTACTGGCTCACAGTCTGCAGCAGCTGGGGTATCATCTCTCCTACATCGTGATTGCTATCAGTTTGGCTGCCTCGCCAGCCAAACGCCGCCAGAGAACATCAGTGCAGAGGTTAACCCTCGCCGCACTGATCTCTCTGTGTGCCTCGCATCGCGTTGTAAGAATCGCAGGTCTTATCGAATACAAAGCGCCCTTGCTCATCTGTGCTGCTCCGGCAGAAGCTTCATCGCTCTCTGTCGTGAGTTCTGCACCTCTAGCAGCGCTTGTTCGACAGGATCCGCAGACGTCTCGTTCGTCTCGAGGGCTACAGACATCAGTCAAGGTCGCGGTTTTGCTTGTTCTGCTTGGCGTAAGTAGGAACATGGACGCGACGGACCTGATGAGAAATGCAACGCTTTCGTTCGGCACCGTTGATGGCGTTCTGAATCTCCCGGTATGGAGCTCTTCCCTCCGAATCAGATACGTCTTTGTCCAGCAAGAGGCCAAGAAGATTGGCTGTGAATCTGCTCCTCGTTTCGAGGAGCTGCCTGCTGCGACAGATGACGTATCTGCGATGGACTGGTCGCTCTTGGACGGGGATTCAGCGACGTACGACACAAACATGGATGTTTGTCCTGCGGTCAGCAGCGAATACAAGACATGGACAGACACTACGTTTGGTGATTCGGCGATGATCGATGCTGATCTGGAGAGTTGGTCGACGTTCGAGGACGAGAGCTGGTCGACGGTCGAGTACGAGAGCTTCGGTGATGCGGTCATGACCGATGCTCCGTATTACGACGATGGCGTCTGTGAGAACGCGAAGGGGGTTGAGTTTGCGTCCTGTTCTTGGTCTGTGGTTTAGGCGATTCGATTCGGGCTGTTGATATCCTTGCTGAGTCTTCTGTTTGGGTTATTCTTTGATATCCACATCCACCGTGCTGCATTTTTATTACTGTTGGAGTTTTTTCTTGATTCCCTATATTGTTTCTGCTGATATCCCATGGTGTTTCTGGTTTTTTTTTACTTTTTTTGTTTCTGTATTCTTAGTGTCTCAAGCTTGTTGTAAAGCTGTGTTTTGTGTCAGACTCCGGTTGGCGAGTTCTTTTTCTTTTTCTTGTTATATTTCGTTTCAAGTTCTTTCATACTGGTATTATAGGTATGCAATAAAAGACAGTGTATAAGTTTATGAAACAGTAAACGTAGATGTCTCATAATAAATAGCAATGGCCAGATCGGTTATCGTCGCTATCGGGCTATCAGATTGTAAGGTTCTGCTATTGGGAGTTTAAGATCGTGCATCCCCCGCAGCTCTCTCCACAATCAACTGTCCCATGGCTCAGCCAGCTCCGATTGGGGATGGAATTAAATACATGCAAGCATATGAGCCTCTGGACTACAAAGTGGCAAGTGCACGATAACCGTCATCTTTTGCTTCATAAGCTTAACGGTAGAGGCACGCGAGCAAGCGTGAGCCTGCAGCAGACACACTCTTGGATCCACTACCATGAAACTGGATAGCACCTAGCCGTTGACTCACTGCAGCGTACGCAGTAAGCATTAGGCCTGTAGCAGACTCTCTTTTGGATCCGCCAACACAAAGTTGGATAGCGCCTAGCCGTTTGTTCACCGCAGCGATACGCAGCAAGCTAGTGCTAGTCTAAAGCTGCTTAGTTCCATATTCGATTATATATCTACCGGTTTGTCCGCTCTGTCCTCGTACAGATAGCGCACAAACTTCACTGCATTTGCTGAGCATATGGCTTCCAAAAAAAAAGGCACTACGCCTGCTGTGACTGGGACTTTCAGATCGACACGCACTACGCCAGCTGCGAATAAGGCAACTGAAGCCAAAGACGCTACGCCTGCCGCGGATAAGAAATCAGCAAAACGCAGACTTATCGTCCTCTGTGATGGTAACTGTTCCGTGCGTTCACGCTCATATCTATTTCTTCACAATCCACTAACGTGACTTCTTCATTTGTTTTCCAGGCACTTGGCAGAACTCATATCGTGATGGAGGCAAGAGCCCCACTAATGTGACACGACTTGCTCGTGCGATCAAGCCAGTCGCTGATGATGGGACCCCTCAAATTTGTTTGTATATGCCTGGAATCGGCGCAACTGCAACGGTCGCCATTTTGAAAGATATAGAAGGAGCCTGTGGCGCTGGATTTGCCGACTTGATGCACCAGGCGTATGGCTTCCTTGCTTATAACTATCAGGAAGGAGATTCTATTTACTTGTTTGGTTTTTCGCGGGGAGCGTACTTGGTGCGGGCGGTTTGTGGCTTGATTACTGAGTGCGGACTATTGACAAAAGAGGGGATGTCGCGCTTTGTGGAGCTATTATATTGCTATCAAGAACGCATTCTCGATAGTAACAATGACAGCTACACAGAAACAAAATTACTTAGACTGGTCAAGGAGTTGTGCAGAAATGGAATACTGACAATGAGTTCTAAAGTTAGTCCCGATAAAATTATACTGGGAAGTGGTCTTGAAGTTGAAGCAATTGGGTGCTTCGATACCGTCGGAGCTCTCGACATATTTTCCAATAGCTACTCCTTTCTGAACGTTACCTATAACTCTAGTATGTATTGCTCTTTATTCCAGAACAAGTCTTCACAGAACAAACCTAACAAATCACCAGAGGTCAAACGCGCCTACCATGCATTAGCCCTAGACGAGGATCGCAAGCTATTTCGCCCTACATTGTGGTTTTTTGATAAAAAAAATATGTCGCTTTCTCATTTTAAGCAAGTCTGGTTTACTGGAGTGCATTCCAATATTGGCGGTGGATCTTCTGATGCAATTTTGAGAGACACCAACTATCTGGAAAACTCCTCTTCTGACGCTATCAGTCTCAACGTTTTAAGCGATGGTCCTCTCATTTGGATGGTCGATCAAGTTAAAGATCTTTTGGAATTTGATTACACCTATCTGCAAACTACGATTATTGCTGGCAAGACAAAAACCGATGGGTCTGGTAAGTTGGTGAGGATCATGGCCAGCACTGTGAGCGAAAGTACCAGCGACAGTACCAGCGACAGTACCAGCGAAAGTAGCCTCTATGGCAATCGAGATGGCTATCGGACGAAAGAGTTTAACAAATTTATTGCGAATGAACTAAAAGGCCTTATTACAAGCGAGAACGAGCCTCGTAATGCCGTAGGGGAAATTGACAATCGTGGACCCTATAAATCCAAATTGCGTACTCGGGGACCTACAGCACCGAAGCTGGGGTCTGATGCGAGCGATGCATGGTACAGAGGACCTCTATTCAACAACTACGCCGGTTTCGTATCGAGATGGATATACGCACGCGAGTCGCGCACGGTCAAAGGGTGTCAGCGTTCAGATGGAGAAAAGCCTACGAATGAGCTTCTTCATGAGTCTGTTTTCAGGCGTGGTAAAATAGTGGAAACAAAGACAGGCAAGAGGTGGTGGCGGGCCGAGCACGTGGAGCCTCTCAAGGATGTGTATTGGGACATTGGGCTTCACGGTACAGTCAAGAAAGACCAAGAAAGCAACGAGAAGAAAATAGCGGTTGAGATGTATTCGGGATTCGAATCCGAATTTTGGGATAGACAGCAACAATTAGAAGCCAAACTCGAGAAGCGCAGACAGGACAGACAGGACAACATCAAGAAGCACAGACACGCGTCAGCCCAGGGGACAAGGACGGCAAGCAAAATTGAAAAAAAGAAGTCGAAGCAGAGTCCGATGAACAGCGCAAAGAAGAGTCCTCAGAAGTCTCCCTCAAAAAAGAATAAAACCAAATCTGCTCCGCAATCATAGGAGTTGCAGTGGCTTCTCTTATTATTGACACATCACTTCAGTATTTGAATATAGAAATTGATTGAGGTTTCACGCTCCACAAATAGCCGATAATAGGGATATATTAAACGAGGAAAACAGAAAATAGAATACAGCCAACCCAGGAGCCCAAAACGCCAGACGTAAACCTTTCAGTGTAAGGGGGAGCGCACAAGACCCACGATCTTCCACTAGCCAGCGGTGTCTACAGGCTTGAAACTGCGACAAGAGCTGCGGGCAGCGCGGTTGCCGGATCACTAGATTGGAGTTGCTCCGACCCAGACTTTTTAGTATCATAAATCTGCTCCGCCAGCATAAGTGTTCCAGCGCCTTCTCTTCTCTACAGCGTATTATTTTTAAAATTTTAATATTGAGAATAAATTGAGGCTGCGTGCTATACAAACATTGATAATAAAAATACATTTGAAGGTAAACAGAAAACAAAATCAAGCCAGTCCAAAAGCCCAAAACAAACGCCAGACATAAACCTTCCAGTATAAGTACAAGGAAAGCGCATAAGACATATGATCTTCCTCTAATCAGCGATGACCACGGGCTCAGAAACTGAGCTAGGATCTGCAGGCGGCGCAGTAGCCGGATCAGTGGACGGGGGTTGCTCCGACCCTGCCCTCTCAGTATCTTCTGCCGATGCAGCGTTCTCCGCTTCCTTCGACTCACTCTTCATAGCATTGTCCACATAATCCTTTCCGACCGGTATCCGGCTGGTGAGAGCCGTGTGGATTCTCGCTGGGTTTTTGCGCTCCTCGGCGTTGAACTTGTTCTTGATCTGTCGCCTGCTCCGACCTGGAAACATCTGCACAATCAGACCAAAGTCGGTGCCCCACATCGACAGTGAATTGTAGAACTTGACGGTTTCGGCAGCACTCCAGCGCTCTACGCGCTCGCGGCGAGACCAAGACGCCGAGTTGACGACCCTCTTGAGATCACTGTCGACTTCTCGTTCTTCGGTCGTACGCTCGGCGTCAGCAATCGCGTGTCTGTCCACGAGTAGCGAGTCTTGGTCAACTTCGATCTTGCCGTTCACAACCCTGAGCGCTGCTACTCCATTTGCACGTCCCGCAGCCGAGTTGTTTCCAAGACCCTTATCAACCAGCTCTGCGGCTCGTTTCCGTCGCTCGGCCTCTTGCTCGTTCTCCAGCTTTATTCGCTTCTCTCTGTCCTCGGGATTTTCGTACAGCGCTCGCCGCTTCTGATCTTTGGCTTCTTGCTTGATTTGCTTGAGCTTGTCGTAGTTGTCGGTCTTGCGGCCGATGTGGATATCGCGGCATAGCTCTGCCATCGTCATCTTCTCAACGTCAATCTCGCGCTCCTCGGAATCAACCGGCGAAAGAGAGCGTTCACGCCGTCCACGGTGCGGGATCAGAGGAAACTGTAGAGCTGGGCCAGCAACACTCGATGTGACTGAGCCTTCCCGGGTCGAATCCACTGTAGACTCGCGCACCTCTCTGTGTACGGTTTCCGTACTGGGTGCTTCTGTAGCTGCAGTAGTTGGAGGAGGCGTCGGCACAGCTGGGGTACTTGTAGACTGCGACTGTCGACGCGTGGGGATTGGAATTGATAAGGGAGCGGGCTTCGGGGCAGCAAACGGAATCGGGTTTGCCCTTATCGTCCGCCGACGGGTCTTATTTGGCGTTGGCTTCGCGGGTTCCTCTGCTGCCTCCGTTGTGCTCGCTTCTGCAGGCTCTTCAGATGCAGAAGCAGGTTCAGGTACATCAGACGTGGTCTCAGTGGAAGCAGGAGCATCTGTTGTAGGTGCAGATACATCGGCTGTCGCCTCGGTGGAAGCGGAGGCATTATCAACCGTTGTTGATGGAGCGGCAGCAGTCTGCTCATTGCTGTTCTGCTGCTCAACGGCAGGAGGCTCTTCCTCCTCTATTTGCCGCCTTCGCCTCGGAATAGGAATAGGAACACGTATAGCGCGCGGTGCAGGACCTCGAGGCATGGCTGAAGACTGTGAATGTGGAGGCTGGCTGGTGGGCGAGACGGATGGGAGCAAAGGAAGAGGAAAGTCAGTGATGAGCCAAACCGAAAATCTTAAAGTTTGGAGACGCGCCACAGTGAGCGGGAAGAGACGAATTTATCGTTGAAGCTCTACAACTTCGTTATTATTCTGAGAGAAGGTCACAGGATTGAAACTAAGAATGCTACGTTCTTTTGGAGGGTCATCGGCACTTGCGAGAGCAGTGGCCAGGGGCAGTAGTAATTGCCGTCGGAGTAGCGGCGGTGGATTATTTCCTCTGCGTCGAACAGGTATTACTACTCCATCTGCAGGATTCGTTCGCTCTCTAGATTCGCAGCCTTTGGCAGTTCGCTATTTTCATCAATCGCCGAGCCTAAGAGTTGATCTCGATGACAGTGACTATATCCGCATGTCGCGTAAACAATTTCTGGGTATGTGACGCCTCGAATCACTAAAGACTTTCTATCTCGATAGTGCATCGACTAAATATCATTACTACTTTCAGGCTACAAGATCGGCTCCGCGGCCTTGATAGGACTCGTTTCAGCTATCCTTATTGGAGTTTGGATACCTCAACTGATTATGACCGTTGAAGGCGACGCGATCGACTCTCCGCCAAAGTCGTTCACAAAGCCTTGCAGACAGGACTATCGATTGCTGATGTACTCAGAAGCAAACTCAACGCCACCTGAACGTTTGCTCAAATTTGCAAAGCAGCTCATTGTGAAGATTCTAAAGGAGGAGGAAGCGCTGAAGGATGTTCCGCTTACCGAGGACAACATCTTGGACTTTTCTCTGCCAGATTTTTCGGACAAGGACGAGCGCTACAAGTCCTGCCTGGCATTCATCTACACAAAATGCGGTGATTATCTTTTTGCTCTGGGTGAGTTTGATTCGGCACAAAACGCGTACAACAAGGCTCTCAAATGTTCAAGTCTGCTGGACAAGCATACTGCCGCCGCGTGCAGAGGTCTCAGTGCTTTGATATGGAGCAGAGCTGATGATTCTGCGAGCCTCGGTAGTGCAATCAAGTATTTGGAGACCGCTGTGGTAGCAGCCGGAAGCCCTGATTTCTTGCAAAAGCACGCAGACGAGCTGAGTTCGCTCGATGTTGCAGCCAGTCTGGCGAATGAATTGCTTTCCGGCAGCGATTCTGACAGGATCCCAAATCAAGAGTTTCTGAGCGCCGAGATTGAGTTGGGAGCGCTGTATGCGAAGATTGGCGAGAGAGAGAAAGGGCTGTCGACGCTACTGAAGGCGCTCAAAGCTCTTTATGCCACCGAGCAGGCCAGCGTAGAAGGAGTTCCGGCGCGCGACAAAGTGGATATGTTGTTCCGAGCCAACACAGCAGACGAAACGAAGGCCAAGTTTTACATAGCGGAATTGCTGCTTAAGTTTGGATTGGAGGACGAAGCTTACGATTGGGCAAAGATGGCGTATGAGATCGCGCTAGGAACGTACGAATTCCACGTCGAGAGCGCCCAAATTGCGCGGACATCACTGGAAATCATGGCTCGGATTGAAAAGGTATGTTATTTTGTGATTACTAAAAAGTGACGCACATGCTAACATGCATCTGAATTTTATAGATGAAGGGCGAGCTCGAACTGGCCGAGAAGCATGAGAAGATTGCACGGAGAATCTACGTGCCAGTAGTGCAAGAGAAGTTCTGCTATGGATGGCGGTTGTGATTTGAGGGTGTGAAACTTTTCGATGTATAAAACCTATTTAGACACTATGTACATAATAACAGAAAAAACTTGTCGATAATAATAGATCACCAGTTTGCCCGCCGAACACCAGGGATTTCGCCTCTCTTGGCCATCTCCTTGAACACAAACTGCGTAAAGAATGAGACGTTAGCATCACGTATAAAAAGCGTATAGAGACAAATGAGTGTAGCAGACATAAAAGACTTACTCTGCACATCTTAAATTTGCTCAGAATCGAGCGACCCTTTCCGGTCATCACACAACGGTTCTTGACCATGGTCATTCTTGTATTTGAAGGCATCCCAGAAAGCTTCATCTGCGCCTGGACGCGGGCCGCCATCGGCAAGGTAGTGTTATAAGTAATGTACTTGAGCGCTCGTCGCTCGGGCTCTGCCTGGGCGGCAGAGTAGCGCTTGTAGTTGTCGCGAATTGTCCACGTCCGCTGTCTTCCAGCGGGAGTAGGCAGCCCAAAGAGGCCATCAACAATGGAAGGGATGTTGAATTTGAGCCCGCGCGCGCTGAATTTTCCCATTGTGCCGAGGAGCTGTGAGTGTGTGAGGAAACGGTCTCCGGTAATTTGGCCGTGAAGCAGTTTTCGATGGACGAGTGAAATTATCGTTACACGTCAACGCCATAGTGGCGGTGTTTTTGGCACAGGGTGCGTGGCGGTGCAGATGGGCATGTGCTGCGTTGCGGCCACCGCGCAAACAAAGCTCTTCTTTGTCTTCTTCATATCCAAAACAAAACACAAAGTACATAATTCAGCAATGCTCGTCGCATTACACTCCTTTACGCGGCGATCAGTGGACGAAATCGATCTTGAGAAGGGAGATCGCATAGAGGTCATCGAGACCGACGAAGGCTTCAACGATGGGTGGTACATGGTATGTTTATATTTCGTCTCGTCACCTCCGTGTCGCATCCGTTTTCTCTCCTTCCTCCAACCTTTTGCTAACAGCCGTCCTATTCCAGGGCCGAAACCTCTCTACGAACCTCACTGGACTTTTTCCGTATGTTTATACTGCAGAGGCTCCCGATGAATCGCCCCGGCACGCCTCTGTATATGAGGCTATCAACCAGGTCGAAGACGCGCTCTCCGACATGAGCACGCCTACACCCGCCACCGTCCTCGAGTGGTCGCCGAACGACGTGCAGGCATATTTTATGTCCCTCGGATTTGAGCCAGAAGTCTGCTCTAAGTTTGTTGAGCACAAGATCACCGGCACTATCCTTCTCGAATTAGAACTTCCTCTATTAAAGGAGCTCGATATCCCAAGTTTCGGCACACGTTTCGAACTCGACAAGCTCATCAAGTCGCTCCGTACTGCGGCCCAGACCCCAAAGCAACAGTCTTCTCATCCACAGCCGCCGGTCCAAAAGCAGCCGACGACCCCTCAGCAGCCGTACAACAAGCATACTTCGGTCGTGCAACCTCTAGAGACAGAGTACCGGTCGCGCGCGCTCCCTCGCGACTCGGTCGCCCATTACCGTCAGCGCTCGCAGTCTCTAGACGACCGCGACTCCCGCCACCGGTCTGGAATGCCGTCGTTTGACAAAAACTGGCAGCTTCCTAGCTCGCCTATGGCTCAGTCGCCTGCACAGTCCCCTATACAGTCACCCGCGCAGTCGCCACCGCAGCAAGTCACTCCTCTCGTTCCCACTCAGCGAACATTTGCTCCCTACGGCAACGGCAGTCACCACGACAGTGCCAGCGCTGCTATTGATGAGACTCTTGACAAGATTGTCAATTCTCCCGCCACTGGGACCTTTTCGTCGCCTCAACCTGAGCGGAGTATGCAGCCTGACTTGAGCAGGTCCTCTGAGAGCCCAGAATCAAAAGTTCGGAATTCATACCTCGAGGAGTCTCGCCAGCGCGCGCTCTATCAGCAGCAACTCCACTCCCCTCAATTATACGAGCAGGATGTTGAGCCGATGGGAGACCCACATACTGATTCGCCCGTAGCAGGCAGCAGTAGCCCAGCGACGCCTTATTCACAGTCCAACTCTAGTTCTATGCCGCCACCTCTGCCCACGAATTCATCGTCAACAACGGTGCATTCTTCTGCAACAAACAGTATCCCTCAGACTCCAGAGCTTCCTTCCATGCCCTACGATGGCAACCTGGACTCTGCTGCTTTGAAGGCTCGCACGAATACAGGTGGCAATGCGGGTCTTGGTCTGTCATATGCAAACTTGACCTCCTCGCCCCGTCCAGGGGTTGGCAACCGCGTTATCTCGGCTCCCATGTCGCCGTCAGAAAAGGCAGAGCATACTCTACGCTCAGCTTCGGCGAACGCCGCGAAGCCGAAGAAGCTCACTAAACAGCAAACTTCTGCCTTTGTCGAGGGCCGTATGGCTGTCACTCCAAGCTCCGCGGCTGCTACTGCCGAGTTTTCTGGCTGGATGTCGAAACGGGGTGGCAGCGGTGTTGGCGTGTGGAAGAACCGGTTTTTCACTCTTCATGGCACCAGATTATCGTACTTTGCCACCAACGACGACCAAAAGGAGCGCGGATTGATCGATATCACTGCTCATAAGGTCGTACCCGTCAAGGCGAACGAAGACAGACTCGTGTCTTTATACGCGGCATCTACTGGCGCTGGAAGGTATTGTTTTAAGCTTGTCCCACCTGCGCCGGGTGCGCGCAAGGGCGTGACTTTCACTGCCCCAAAAACGCATTATTTTGCTGTTGATTCGCGGGAAGACATGCGTCTGTGGATGAATGCACTGATGCGAGCTACTATCGACCGGGATGATACAGTGCCTGTTATTTCGTCGTGTACGACGCCAACCGTCTCGCTCGCGAAAGCACGGGAGATGAGTTTGCTGGCGATGGAGGCACGCGCCGAGGAGCTTAGGATGGAGCTGCCGAGCACAAGGACTAGCAGCGAGAGTCCCGCGTCGTCCAACGTGTCGACACCGGAGCTTTCGATGAGTGAGCCACGAAGTGAAGGGGAATCGAATGGCAATAATAGCAATATTGAGGGATTCAAAGATCTAGCGATCGCCAACTAGGCCTCACCTGAGACTTGTCAGTAGTCTGTCACGACTCAGTGTTTTCATTCTTTAAAAATCGAGAATCTTTGTGTTATGGTGCTAATTTTGAAGGAGTTTTATGTCTGCTTTTGTCTTTTTTGTATCGTTCATGAAATAGTTGAAAGTTACAATACCATCTAATGACAAAATCACTCGTTCTGTTTTGTTAGTGTCTCTCTCGTACGACCATTTGCAGTAAAAAGTAGTCTCGACTTTGGTTCGGCTGTTTGTAAGCCTTACACTAGTAGAGAGCTTGCAAGAGTAGTACGGATTACCGATTATACTAATGGATATCACCACCATCCTATCGGTTGGTACGATGATGCGACAAGTCTCGTCTTTTGTTCTTCGTTGGTCGGAACAAAACTGCGATAAAATTCATGAAATTACTGGGTTTTTTTCGGTGTTTCCACTGAAAAGGAATTTCAAAAAAACCTATCAATCTAGCATAGATAAGAGAATTCTCCGTATGATTATTAGAGAATATCTACTTCTTTACCTCCTCCGTCGCTGAAGAATCCAAGTTTTCCGACGAATTTTCCGACGCTCTTTCCGACGAACTTTCCGACGAATTTTCCGACAGATTTTCCGATTCGCTATATTCGGTCCTGGTCTCCTGAAGGATGGCCGTATCGATATCGCCCAGCTCTTCATTTACCTCCTCCGTCGCTGCAGAATCCGAACTTTCCGACGAATTTTCCGACGAATTTTTCGATTCGCTTACCTTGGCCCTGATATCCTGAAGGACGACCGAATCGATATCGCCCAACTCTTTGAAATCAAGGGTAGCTCCTACTTGTATGGGATCTCTTCTCTGGTACGCACGCAGATAAATCTCAGTGCGTTCGTACATTCTAAGATTATCTTCAGGCCAGAGCATCCTCGCGCGTTCGAGCTGCTTTTCCGCAAATTCCAGGTCGTGAGTGGCATATGAGGCGATCACAAGGTGACGCAGAGACAGATTCCAGGCGGTATCCAGAAACACTTCGTGTTTCGAATGGAATTCGAAAAGTTTTTCCCAAATCTCGCGAATTTTCTCTCTATCTCCGACTACAGTGTACCGCTTCAGTAAGAGACGATACGACACTGCTGTTGTCGGCCATCCAAGACTCTTGGTCACCTCGTAGAAGGAATCAAAGAGTTCAACGTCATTCCATACAACGAGGAACAGGTTGAGGATCGTGTGAGGAACCTTTACAAGAGGGAGTCTTGCAGTTATACTCCCCAAGTATCTGGGCATAACGCTAAGAGCCTTTTCGGACATTGTCGGATATCTAGCAAAAAACATTACGAAGAACTGATATAGCACTCCGTTTGCATCCGTCGTGCGCCAGAGTTCGCGCGCATCCAGATATTCTTTCATATAGTCAAATATCTGGTTTTCATCAATACCCTCTTTGAAAGCGTGATTGATATACGCCTCCATCGCACCAACTCGTAATTTTGATTTGTTTTCTATAGCGTATCTCAAATACTTCGTGGCAAGCTCATAATCTTTCGAATTCCAAACGAAATATGACCAAACCGAGGTCTCGTACAGAGCCGTGAGAACTCCGAGCTCTTTCTGTTCCAAATAATACTTCTCGGCGCGTTGCGTTTCTCCCAATAAGGTGAGAGCATAGATGTAACTTGCCACAGCAACCGCTTTTTGGTTTTTGCATTCCGATATGTTTTCTGCCAAAGCGTCGACTAGCCTTAGTTTAGTTCTGCGCACAAATTCTGCAGCGGCGACGATAGTTCCACCTTCCCACTGCGGATTCTCTCCTTCTAGTTCCTCTCCTTCTAGTTTCTCTCCTGATAAAGGAGCAGTGACAGGTGTGTCTGCATACAGTTCCAGGAGTGCACTGTACACGTACCCATTCTTGATAAATTTTTCATTACTGTTATTGCTGACAAATTGCCAGAAAACATGTGCTTTCTCGAATTCTTGTGTCTCCTTATATGCGGAAATGATGTGCATAAACATATGTGGATTGATGCTGATTATTCCGTGCATATGATACTGAGCGATAAGATCGATATAAGGCGCGGATGATTTTGGCCGATATAAATCAGGGTCGATTCCTTGCTCGACCAGTTCCTCATCGTTCAACCTGTCTCTAAGTTCATTCCTGATTGAACTATGGAGTGCTCGAAGTAGGAGATCGATAACTGCTCTGAAGATTGGAGCTCTCATTTCTATCAAGTTCTGAAGAGTCGCGCATGCTTCATAGAGTTGCCCTTCTTTAATCTGAAGCAACATAAGCCGTTGCTTTATATGTTGACGTCAGTAATCAACAGACACTCGTGCAAAATCAAATTCGCAAAAATCTCTTACCGGAATTTTGAAATGTTCATATAAATAGCCATTATTATTCAGGCGTTCAAGAATATAGCCATAGCTCCTGTTAATCAATATTTGTTGGTCCGGGGTCCGGCGTTCGTATGGTCTAGTGGGCAGCCTATCAAAATGCGGCAACTCCAGTCCATCCTTCGTCCTCACCGGTCCAAATTGCCTCCGTTCACGCTGTTCCTGATCCATTTCATTCGGTCGATATGAAGGCTTTCTCTGACGAGGGCGGGCGGATAGTGCCATATTGCGGACAGAAGGAAGAGTCGCGACAGAAAGCCGGACACGTTGCCGCACAAATAGGCGACCAACACCCAGAGCTCTGCAGGCTATAGAAGCCATTTCAAAGACTAAGAAAAGTATCAGAAATTACAGGAACGCAATTGCCTTGAGCTCGAGATAGAAAATTATCGCGAAGAAGAGAATCATAGTAAAGCTGTGTGAGGAAAAAATTATTTTTCGTGAGCGCATCGGCTCGTGTGCGGCTCAGAAATTTTTTTGAGGTCTCCGTCCACCTGTCGTTGAACCTGATACTAGACTTGTGTGTATCAATCGGCTCTCTGCATTCAGCTGATCTGCTGCAAAGACTGATAGCTCTTGCTCTACAAAATGTCAGAAGCTACTGCGCCCACGAATGAGAATGTCGGCGGATCGCCCGCGTCAGAGCCTTCAGCGACTGGCAAGAGGAAACGCATGGACTATAGACAGTCGCAGCAAGCCCGGCGACAAGAACTGAAGAGTGTGGTTTTCGAGGGCGACGCAGAGGAGAAGATCAAACTGCCAAAGGTCTGTTTATATTGGTATTCTGGTTGATTTTGCTCAGAGTGTGGCTGTCAGTTGCTGACCTGGTAGCGGATCACGATATAGAAAAAATACTATCGGCAGCGAGCACATTCGAACCCTTTCTCAGACCATCTGCTCGAATAGTGAGTCTCAACTTCTCAGCCTATATGCTTTAGGTTGGTAGAATCAAATCTAACCTGCCTTTTGGCTTTACAGTCCCAAAAGTCCGTCGGATATGGATTGGTCGAGGCTATATCCAGCCCTGATCCCCCCACCAACATCAACAGAGGCCGCCTCTCCTCAACCCAAAGTCGAAATCGCAGACATCGGCTGTGGATTTGGCGGGTTGCTTGTTTCATTAGCTACAGAGTTCCCAGACAAATTAGTACTCGGCATGGAGATCCGCGTCCAAGTTACACAGTACGTCGAGGATCGCATTATCGCACTGCGCCAGCAGCACGCGGCATCAGAAGAGAAGCTCTACAACAACATTGCTGTTCTGCGGGCTAATGCCATGAAGTTCCTGCCAAATTTCTTTGAAAAAGGCCAGCTTTCGAAAATGTTCTTCTGCTTCCCGGATCCTCACTTCAAAGCTCGCAAGCACAAGGCCAGAATCATCACATCAACTCTTGCATCCGAATATGCCTACTTATTACGACCGGGTGGTATAGTCTATACGATCACCGACGTCAAGGATCTGCATGAGTGGATGGTAAAGCATCTCGAGGAACACCCCATGTTTAAAAGATTGTCCAAGGAATGGGAAGAAAGCGATAAATGTGTACAGATCATGCGCAAGGACACCGAAGAAGGAAAGAAAGTTGAGAGAAACCAAGGCGACAAATTCGTTGCTTGCTATGTCCGGCTAGAAAAGCCAGAGTACTAGAACTCACGGCGCCTCATACTAAATGGGTGTAAAGATATTCGCCGTACAATGCAAATGGTAATGACCGACAACTTTTGATAAAAATGAACAGCAAAACAGACAATGAGCAAAATGAAAAATATAACGCCGACCCCGTTTTCCTGATCCCTAATTCTGTAAGACAAGGTCTAGTTCATGTAACTCGATTCGCTGGAGAGTGCCAGCACTCCTCTTATACGTCTCCAGAAGTTTCATATTACAGCGCACGCGACCGCTGCCCGTAGATATCTCTTCGGCGCCTCCGAATTTGTCACTGCTCAATGCCAGTGCGAGGAGATAGTGCACGTTGAACTTGAATGCTAGTCCGGTTTTATATTTCGAGACGTTTGATCTGTAGAGTTTTTGAACCGAAATCGTTTGAGTGGACAAGTTTAAGAGCAACGAGCACGCCACAAAAAGACAGCTTTTGGTGTCGAGGGCACCGAAAATCACAGAGTAGCCGGTGTTCGTCGCACACAGACGGGAAGTTGCAAACTCTTCAAACTTGACAGCTTTAGCCGCCGCCAGGTCGTTGTTTTGGAAGTTGAAGCACCGTGAGTAAGAATCCATCACAAAGTAGTCGAGCTCAACGATTGAGATTTGGGGATCAGCCACTGAGCTGTATTGCACTTCCAGCCCGGGAGCAGGGTGCCAATACTTATTCGAGCGACCAGACTCGGTGCTTCTTGAGCTCAGGCCTCGATCGCGCGTAGTCGCTGTCTTGTAGATTACGACTCTTGAGTTCATCGAAACGGCCACAAGTCGCAGATTGTCAAAGAGATCATAGCACACTTCAGATTTGTCGCACTCGAATTCCCCGGCACCGGCACATATAACAACGCGCTCGCACGGTTCCAGACCAACTCTGAACTCCAAGAGCTCACGATCGTATTTGCTAGTGTCTGCTCCAGAAGCATGGCATTGTCCGCCGCTTTGAGAGTTTTCATCGTAGCCATACGCCGGCTGGGTCAGCTCACAGCGAAAGAGAACCTGCAAGAGCGTGCAATCCATCAAGGACCATGCAGACCAGGCACTCAATATCAACATCCCGGTCAGTTCGCTTATCTCGGGATAGTATTGCCGAGGTGCTACCTTTGGGTCGATTCTACTTCTGTCTTTGGTAAGCTCCCAAAGGAATACGCCTCCAGCATCGAATAGGTCGACGGCGATTTCGTCGGTCGAGTTGAGAGCCGATTCCACGGATACATCATACGGATCGGACTCGAACGGAAACTCGTCCGAACCTTTGAGTGCATTATTAGGTGGCTTCAGAGTGATCAGCCTGAATGGGAACGAAGCACTGCTGCCCAGAACGACATGATCCAGCAACTGTCGTTCGGAATCAATGTCGTAGAGACTGACGGCGCGAAGAGGTGGCTTCGGAGGACATATTTGCGTCCGTTTGCGATTCCTTCGCAAGACAAAGTGCCTGTCGTGTGGTCGTATGTATCTGTGATCGCACAATGAGCGGGCGAGGAGGTAGTTCATCGGTCGGCCCGGGAGACAGCGAACGAACGCGCCGTGGATGATCTGTAAACAAAGGCGCGACACGCGTGTTTTGGGTCGCGCGTAGTCTGCGTTACTAATTGTACGATACCTTAATGACTCAGCGTGCTACACAATACGCTGTGCCTGCGTATTCCCAGTCACGAAGATAAGCAGGCTGCGGCCCAATGGGCGCATCCATTCTATCGCCGGGCGCCAGGCTTGCTTTGGACCCGAGCTAGCCGTATTAAGAAACACTCTAACCCTGATTTCTGCCTCGTTGCCTGCTTCACTGTCTTTTCCTGCCCCTTCCTCTTCAATCGTGCTCTTCTTCCGCCTCTTATCCTTATCTTCCGTCTACCACTCTCAATCACCTTATCCGTTCTTCAAAATGTCTAGCGGGTATGTTTCTTGTTTGGCTTCTGATTACGATCCGATGATGCTTGAATGTCTTCCTGTCCCGAATTTCAGTGCCCGTGAACAGGGCGAGTGAGTGTATATGTGGAACGGCAACGAAAACTGCAGAGATAAGACTTTTATGTCGCGAAAACACAGCGAACAAACGACCGAGCTGCATGAATCTTTTCAGACAACTGTTCAGAACGCATGAAAGATTGGCAGATGGTTCTTTTTGATTCTATTAGCTCGCGCGTGGGTCAGAAGCAAGGAGTGAAAACTGAGTGAAGGGCGTGACAGAGGAATGGATTCAGGCGAACGACGATAACAATCAGACGCACACATCATTGCTCTACTGTCTTGCTTCTCTTTTAGTGTGGTTCCTACATAGAAACTATCACGATCTCCACAATATTTTGACTCTGAATGAATGGGATGGGAAGACAAGCAGGCTCGGCGAAGTCGATATGGATGAACAACAACTAATTTTTTCAATAGTGCTGAGGTTCTCTACGTCTTGATTGCCATTGCTGGCTTGTGTGTTGCCACTTGGTTCGTCACTCCCAAGGGTGACAACCAGACGTATGTATCCGGTTTATTCTTTTGGGTTGATGTGGTCCTCATACTGACTTTTCGGTTGCAGTGTCTGGAGGAGTAGCATTATCCTTACTCTCGTCATGTGCTACCTCATGTAAGTTTCTTGTCTGCCTTTTCGTATTACTGTATAACAATCAGAGCTGTGTTCTAACGATTTCTTTCACAGGTGGGCTCTTACTTACTTGAGTATGCTTTCTACTTTTCTTCAGTGAAGGTCGAGATTCAGAAGAGAAATCATATACTAACCACATTCTAATACTAGGCCAGCTTCACCCTCTCATCCAGCCCACTCGAAGCGACCTCCGTCCCGAGTTCGCCGAGGGCTACAGCGAGTACTACGGCATGGAGTAAATCCATCGTACTTCTATGTTGCGATTTGTTCTATGCGAGTAGTTGCTTCTGAGACGAGGAAACAGGCGGAAGTTTTGACAGATTGAAGAAAGATGAAGAATTTGAAATAGAGATCAAAAGCTCCTTTGTTGTTTAGGTTTATTTGTTCTTCTATTTCTCATAACTGCACAGGGGTTATTTTTTTGTTAAAGCATATTTAATGTCATTTTATATACAAAGAAAGAAGTGGCTATTTTATTTCTTCTTCTTCTTTTATATATTTTTATTCTTTTCATCTATCTTTTTACTTACAAAGGTCTCGTCTTGATTATTATTATTATTTTCTCTTTTTTTCCGTATTTGGGTTAGCAGGTGTGGTTGGGCTTTTTTCGAATGTTTGCGTTTCTTCTACTTTTATTTTGGGTTGGTAGAGGAAATATATATCTTTTGCTATATGCAAAACGCATTGCAAACATGGCGCAATGATATGAGATTGTATGTTGTTATAGAGGAGGCGAGGACGGATTGAATTGATAGAATTTTCTGAACAGTTGATTAGTTTGATATGATTTCTCGTAGACTGAGTAACTTATATGACGGTGACTTGGTTGTCATGTAAAAACAGTAAAGAACCCAGTTATACTCGACGCCTTGTGGAATAGAGGGCAACTACGATAGAGGACTGGACTTATGTAGTTATTGGCGATGGCCGAGGTTGAAGGCGACCTGTTATCAACATTGTTGTGATTTTGACCGTAATCCGGCAACTCAATACCATATATGTTCAAACCAGAGCATGTACGAATTTATCATATCATTCCAAAAAATCTAGCCCATCTAGCCCACTAGTCTACACACGGCATGATGCGGGGGAATAGTCCACGGCAGGGCGGAGAGGATTTGATTTTCTGTATTTTGACCGACTGGTGTACTCTGACTGAAATATTGACTTTTAAGCAAGCCACTTGCCAGTAAGACAGACAAAAATAGCTGCCTTTGATGTCTTATTCTACCTTGGCAATATAAATAAAGAAAGAACAATTGAGGAGGATTTTTTTCACTTTTTCATATGCTACGAGGAAACTGTGGATATCACAGCTGGGTGTTGGAGGAGTAACTGTTATCGAGACAATAAATCATCAAAAGACGATATCAACAACCACAACGAAGGGCATATAGGATGATGGCTACAAACCTTTTTTTTTTTTTACATTCATTTAACTTGCCGTATTGGCGCATATTCGGCAAGTGTGGTCCATCCGCAGCTGCATGCCGCGAGTGCCTAATGTGTATATAAATCGCGTCCGAAGCGCAAAGCGCCTGCGAAAGCGGTTGACCGAGGCGACGAAGGAAAAGAGCAAACAGAAAACAGGAGGATATCTGAGTGGTATTTATGTTTTTGTTTTGTTTGCCCTCGCACATCCCCGAAGATGGGATCTGCTAGGGTCTCAGGGTCCGCAGGATAAACAACAGTCCAGCTGCAGTTTGACGTATCCTGGCTGCTGGGCTGCGAGCAGTCCAGGCGAGCGAGCGAGCAAAGCAGCGAACCCCGGCAAACTGCGAACAGACCACCTCGACCGCTCGGTCGACTCTCGATCGTAAAATTACCTCGAGGGAGATGCAGAGGCTATTACAAAGTAATGGAGCAAAGGCTAAATATCAGTGCACAATACGCTTTGGCTAGGCAGTAGATCCTGAACCCTCTTTTGTTTGTGTTTATTGTGGTTTCGATGGTCAGAGTTTGCGATATCAGCTCGTCTGCTATTACACGAGACAGGACTCTGATGAGCAGTCTTTCTTCACAGGACTGCGATCAGTCTTCCAACAAAGACAGGCATCTACCATCAACCGCACAAAATATCTGAAGAGACCGAAAGCAGCTGTAGTTCAGGCAACGTCCAAAATGCTCAAATACACACGTGCCGCGGCTCACCCATACCAAACTTCCGTATTGAGCCGAATGTAAACAAATCAAGATTGGCGCGCATTCCCACGTCTCCCAAAGAAGCAGACGTCCAAGTCGTCGTACCTCTCGAGTCACCTGCGGAAAGCGAGAATCAGCAGGAAAAAGCAGCAGAAAAATCCAAATCGCGGGCTGGTGGCGCTTCATTGAGTCAGCTCGCGCACGATCGGCCGACTTATTCCACTTGTCAGGTCGGTCGACTTTGGGCCTTAAGTTTTTTTCCTCTGTCTTTGCTCCGCAGGTGGGTCTTCTCTGGGAAACGGAAAAACAAACACCGCGCCCGTCGGCAGACTGCCTGATTCCCTTCTTTCCTTCTCTTCGTCGTGGTTTTTCTTGTCTTGTCGGTCTCTTCCTTGCGCAATCTGTCCTTTCTGCTCCGTACACATTGTCTCTGTAAGTGTGACGAGTGCCGTTAAGCGGAACTTTAGCCTCGTGTTTATTCCATGGCTGTTTATTTTGATGCACTCTATACTAACCGACCTTCTCTTCCATCCCAGCTCTCGCCCTCTTCCCTGTCTGCTGCCCCCCCTCCGCCCCGCCCCTCCCTTCTCGGACAGGAGCCTGCGATGTCTCGTGTCGACGATGACGACGGGCCGGACCCGCAGACAATGCTCGCGCGCATACAGTCGCTGGAGAATCGAGCGTCCATGTTGCATGAAGAGAATGTTGCCGTCTTTGAGACCAACAAAGAGCTCTACAAGGTAAGCTACCGATCTTCCCTACCAGTGCAGATGCCAGTTTGAAGTGCTCCAGTGACTGACTTTTACTGTTATTTTCAATGCGCAGAGAATCCAAGAGCTCAACTCTAGCTTGATTGCATCCGAGAGTCTAGTCGAGAGACTGCTCAACTCCAGTAAAGAGGACTCTGACGATAATGCAATCGACGAGCGGCAAGACCGTCATCGCCCGCCTCCAATAATCACCTCATCAACTCGCGTACACAGCCGTCATCACCACTCCCGCCACCAAGACGGCTACGACTCCCATAGACACCATTCCCCACTGTCTCCCGACGCCCCTCCATCTCTCTCTACTCCGTTCCGACCTGCTAGAATGGGCAGTTCTGGAAGCGTCACCAGCAGACTCAACCGATTTGAGATCTTGCTGGACGAATTCTGCTCCGAATTTGACGCATCAGACGACGATTCGACCAGCAGTATACGAAGTGTAGGCGGCGCTCGTTTTTCGATCCACCTCGACAACCGTTCTCAATCGCGGCCAGGACAGCGACTACAGAAATCACGAACGCTCAGCCCACCCAACGTACTTCGTGAGATCGGACAGCAGCACGGACCGACTTCGCCCCACGAAGTCCGCAAGATTAAGCGGAATATGAGCAGTCGTCTGCGGTCACCAGGCTGTCTTGAACTCTCACTGAGTGCGGCGCTCGACCAGTCTTTCGCGGCGACCGCGCCTAGTTCTGATTCTGCACGAACTATACAGCAGCGACGGGCCGATTCGCGTCGTCGACGAAGCCGATATGTCTCGGAGAAGAGACTGCTTCCAGTGGCCCCCGCCGAGCCGCGCACACCACGCACTCCACAGACTGCTATGTTCACTGATGCTTATCGGCATAGAGGAGAATTTTCTCCGGATTACCAGTACGACTACAGTGATTCGTATTTCGGGGGGATCCATCACCGCCGCGAATCATCCATGTATTCTAGCGAGCATGAGAAGAACAGATCGATCGCGGCGGTCTTGGAGTCTTGCGCTACAGAGTCTATTTCTACATTTCTCGAGACAGAACGCCATGACATGCCGCCGATGACCACATTCAGCGACAATGACGCAGACACACATGATTCGTTTACAGAAAGGCCCCGCAATCATATGATTGAGCAGCAGTCTTTGGAAGAGCAGCGTCAAGAGCTATTGCGCAAATACAATTTCACCTCAGACGAGGATTTTTACAAGGATTTGCGACTTCCATACCAGTCGCGTGGCGCCACGACCCCGATGCAAAAGATGAAATCGACCGAGTTTGGCTCGCCTCAGCAGCAGCGAAATCTTCGTGCGGGGAAATCGATGCCTGCGCTGAGAAGGCAGACGTCTGCTTTGACTTTGCTCTCAAAGGAAGGAATGAGCCCACCGTTTGCAATCCCGACTAGCGTCGCGTCAACTTCGTTGAGCAAGTCACCGGAAGAGACATCGGCTTTGCTCGAGGCATCTCCTGCTACGGGATTACTGTGTAAATTGCCCTCAAATGCTGCTACAGAGTCTCGGTCGGTATCGGCTGCGATGCTAGAGTCGATGAAGAAGTACAACGACAAACAGCTACAGAAAACTGTGTCTTCGTCTTTAAAATCCGCGCAGCTGGTTGAGCGAGATGGCATCTTGAGGTCCGTGGTAGGATCGCGTCCACAAGAGACCAGCGAGGATGGACCTCCGAATGCGTGGTCTACCCCAAGGCGTCCTTTGAGAAGCGTATCTTCTTACATCTGGGATGCAATCTGGCGAGTTCCTAGTCCAGGAGAGCAGAAGCGACGGAAGGTGCGCAGGGTGCGATCTCAGTTTGATCAGATTGGGCGGCCACCTGTGCCACCTCTGCCGACCGGCGATCCTGAGACACTTGCCAACCGGATCGAGAGCTTGACTGTTGCAGCGGCTGAGAGATCAGCGTCTGTGTCGTATACGCCTTCAGAAGTGAAGTCTGAAGAGGTTTTCGATGAAAGCAGATCGGAACGTGCTGTGGAGGCTGAGTCTTCGGAGCGTGAAATCCAACAAGAAGAAGCCGAAGCAGCGGATCCATCTGATGAAACATCTATCTACGAGCACGAATCGGAGCCCATTGATCATTTTGATCATCCCGTCAGTCCTAGATCACCTGCCCGGACTTGTGAGGAAGAGATAGCCGAGCCTGAAGTGGATCTAGCTCCCGCTGAAGAAGAGCACTGGGATATTGAGGATTCTCAAAAAGCGCCAGATGAAGCAGACGAGATACCAAATGTCACGCAACAATGCGACAGCGATGTGACCGAAGGAACTATAAGCGCTGCATACTCATTCGGTTTCAGTGCAGGCGAGGAGACGAGTACTTGCACGTCGCCGACGGTGTCAGATGCAGGGTTTGACGCAAACAAGTCCGCATCAGCACGTCCGTCGCTGTCTAAGCGTGCCTCCTGGATGCTGTTCCCCTCTGTGTTGTCACCTACTACAGAGTCTCCTACCTCCGAAGTCCCAGTACCTGCGGTTGATGAAAGTAAAGTCTCTCATATCTTTGGATGGAGAAACCCTTTCAAGAAGCGGGTGATTTCGGAGGACTATATTTCATTCCCGACGTTTTCTGGCAGCGCAAGCAGCCATAATGGCAGCATCAGGTTCAAAGCCGGCACGACGCCCACCATCTCTCCCGCGACGAGCACTCCACCTTCGTCGGTGGGCATGCTCTCGCAGCACGGCGCATGGTCTAGTTTCGGCAGCATCACGAACGTAGCCTTGTCTGCCAACAAGCTATGCAATCCGCACTCGATCATCGACGAGCTGAACGCCTACCGCGCGCATGTGTCTAATCAAAGAGCTTCCACAATCAACAATACTCAAGACGGCGTCGAATGCACGACGATCGACGAACGGGCACTTCAGGAAGCGCTGAGCAGTCAGGAGTTCCAGTACACATAATCTGTCGCACGACCACATTCAGTCTTCTTTACCTTATCATTTCTTTGTTTGGCATTCGGCTGCTTTTGCATTTATAATTTCAATTCTCCTGTTTTATGCATTTGGTTTTCTCGGCTGTTTTCTATATTTGTATTTAATTTTTTGTTTCAACTGGGTGTAGCGACGCATACCGATTTTCTTCTAAAGCCGGTTATCTTTTCTTTTCTTTATATCATTTCATTTCCCTCTTCTCATTTCTTCCTCTGATGATGCTTTTCTCTTTCACGACGTATACGAACTTTTTCCTTTTCATCTATTCATTCTCATTTAATGACTTTATATTTCTTATGTGGTGGAGGTAATGCGCTATGCCTGGTTGATATCTTTTATATATTATGCATACGTTGTGTATGAGTTTATGAGTCTCATATACAACTCAAAAAAGTTTTGATAAATATAATATACTTCTTCTCACTTTCACGACAGGAATTTTTACTCGTCCTGTCTGCATTCGTACATGTCGGCAAATCATGCCCTCACTGTAGATTCTCAGTCGCTCTAGTTTTTCTCGTTGTCTAGTTCGTCAACGTTGCTGAAATACGCGGGGGCCTGCTCATATGTCCGACGAGGCCCCTCAATCGGCTGCAACCTGCTCCCAACAGCCTCGTTATACGTCGGTAAGCTGCTAGCGCCCGCCGCCCCGGTGGATCCGGGTGTAGACGACGAAGCTGTGGTAGGGCGTTTATTGAGCTGCGGAGGACCGTAGTCTGGCATCTCGTCGACGACGGCCGAGGTTTGCTTGTGTAGACTGCTCGTGGCTTTTGTGTACGGGTTCTGCATCTCGTTTTGGACTGCTTGCAATAGGGCCGGGGGTGGTCTGATGCCTGACCAGACCTGGACTGGGAAGCCGAGTTGGATTAACTAGAACGTTTCTGTTAGCATTGCGAAGAAATACAGGGGAGGGAGATATTTTGGAAGGGTTACCTCATGTGTACCGCGCTGACCGTGGGACAGTTCCACAATCACCTCGAGCGCGTAACTCCGCTCGACATTACAAATCTTAAACGTGGGCGGCACAGTATTTGGCAAAAACAGCCCGTGCGTGATCTTGCGCTGATCAAACTCGGCCTCATACATGCCCGGCTGCGGATTCGTCATCGCGCCAAAGGGAAGCTTGAGATTCTGCAAATTGACGACGGGCAGCGAGAGCACGCTGGTCTGCGACTCGGCGCCGACGCGCGCGGTGGTGGTTATTATCAACGTCACGGCAAGCGAGTGCATGTACATCTCGACGTCGAGATGGGTCTGCGACGAGACTAGCAGGCGGAGGTCGATGGGTTCGGATGGTACGATGATTCGGGGCTCGGGCATCCGCGCTTCTAGATAAAACTCGGGGCCTTGCTGATTGATAAAGTCCTTGCCTTCTCTTGGAGTGGAACCACCGCCCATCATAGACGCAAAGAATCCGCGCTTTTTCTTGGCTTGACCGTTGCCTGCTGCAGGACTACTTCCGGCACCGGAGCGGAGACCTAGATGAGATCGCGAGACAGCAGTGTATGGGAAGCGGTGTTTGCGACGGGCGTAGAATGTTTCGATCTCGCCGGGTGCAGGACGGGGAGGCTCGATTGGAAGGAAGATGAACGGGAGATATTCTCGCATGTTCATTTTGTAAAATGCGCTCTTCTTGACAGTGACTTTGAAGAAGTATCTAAAATGGAAAGTCGTGATATGTTAGCAGCTGTACATGCTACTGCAAGAGAGTTTTACATACTTGATCGTCGCCAGCTCTGTATCAGTACACGACGGCGGCAAAGTGGTAGTAATATGAGTCTGCGCTTCGCCGCTCTCAGTCAGCTTGGCAATGAAGTTCTTCTTGTCGGTGCAGTCATTATTGATCGGAATCCGAAACTCGAACGGATACTGGTACCGACCGGGCGCAAGCGTAAACCCGTCTCGTCCGGTCCCGCCGGCGTCTAGTTTTCGAATGTCTTCGGGAGGGAAAAGGATCTCTGTTACGTAGAGAAGCTAGAGTGCAAACGAATCAGATATGATCTGGTTAGCCAGAGTTCTTCCGTGAGCAAATCAAGATTTTCAGAGGTGTAGATCGAGATGGTACCTTGTGACTCTCTGAGACTATCTTTGTTTTTGTACGATTTCCGCGACGCTTTTGAACTCTCAGAGTGGTCTTCGAGACACCTACATACAAACCACACTGTCAGAATCCGATAAGCATTAATGACGAAGGAATGCGGAAACATAGCTACCTTCCATCTTGATCTCGATATTTGCAAGAGACTCTTCGGACTGAAGATTTAGATCGACCCTACCGACGACGATATCGAGGTTGGTGAGCGTCTCGCTCATCCGTTTGTCGACTGCATTCGTCAAATCAAAGACATATCGATTAGCACATTTCCTTCTCCCAGTAGATTCAGCAGGATTCAGCAACAAGCCACGGCCACGCATCGACCGCGCCAGATCTTTCACATACGTATTATCTGTACTGTATTTGGCATTTTCGAAACAGGGATCAGGTCGACGCAATCTTGCGAGAAGGAGATGCGCAAGTTCGGGGTTGATATACTGCGAGCACCTACATGTGCCTGCACTGCCTCGTGCGGCGCTGGTTGCTTGCATTGCTTACAAGTGACGGTATTGTACGCTACTCACATCTGGTGCTGCGCAGAGTGTTCTATAATCAAATAGAGCAGGGTATTTTGTTAGAATAGCTAATAAGTAGCTAGTAATACTATAAGTAAGCAGAAGAACATCTCCCTAATCTGTGCTGATGAAATTTACGCTGTCTCGGTACTGCAACTACGTCAGATCTCTTGAAGAAGACCCTCATAGTATCAATAGTATGCTCGTAATATCAATAGTCTGTTTAAACGCAGCCATTCTAGAGCGCACATCTTCTTACAACTATCAGGGTCTACAGGGCACATTGAATATGTTGTCATGAAATGAAGCAATTAAGCATGTTCAATACATAGTAGATACAAGAATTCTTTTAGACACTCAAACAAAGCCGCAATAAATAATAAAATCCAAACACTTTTTTGAGACCTAAATCTAGTTCGCCGTCCGCTTGGCAGCTCTCTTGCCGGTTCCCCGAGTCTTCTTGTCGCCTGAATAATGAAAAACCTGTTAGCATTCTGCTGCACTCCTTGAAGAATTCTACTGAGCCGGCACTTACGGTTCTTCTTCTGCTTTCTCTGCTGTCTGCTGGCCTTCTCGACCTTGGTGGCCTGTCCGATTCTGACGAGACGGTAGGCAGGCTCGAACTTCTTCAAGTCGTCGACGGAGTCGTAGATAAGAGCGAAACCAGTGGACTTGCCGCCACCGAACTGGGTGCGGAAACCAAAGACGGAGACGGCGTCCTTCTCGGTCTTGTAGAGAGTGGCGAGACGCTCCCGGAGCTCGTCCTTGGAAACGTTGGCGCGGGTGGGGTGGAGGACGTCAACAACCATCTGGCGACGGGCCAAGAGGGCGTTTCGGAGGAACCTGATTTCAAAAAAACAATATCAGCACACCGAACCATCAAATCGACCATCAAACTTCTCGATCTTTCGCAGAGTCCTCCTTTTTTCCCGTCGGATGTGATGGATCTCGCATGGGTGAAGTTGAGTCGTTGAAAGAAGAGGAATGATCAGGTCGTCCGACATCGTGGGAAGGGTCCTTACTTTCTTGTGCGGATAGTGACGGAGTCGCTCTGCATAATAATATTGTTAACAGCTAATTCAAATGAAGAGGATAGACGTCTTTCAAGAGATTCTCATTCACATACCATTTTGTCGATGTTGTCGTGAGGACAGTTGATGCTGTTGTTCGTAAGTCGACGTAGGCAGAGACAGTCAACGACCCTCACCTCGAAATGCGTCGTGCACTTTGCCCGCCTGGCGCTGAAACGAAAAGACAGTCACACTTAGGAGCGTGTGTAGGGTTGTGCCCTACCGCAGCCGCAGATGTGGCGGCGCCAAGATATCACGTGTAGTCACATGATGCAAGGGCGATGCGGATGGACGCGATGTTTATTTTGGCTCTGACAGCTGAGATAGTGAAATAGCGCAGGAGCAGAAGCAGCAATTGCTGCTCAATCATGCTCGTCAAGTAGGGTGACAATCAATAACTATTCGCTAGCTGAATAATGCAATCGCAGAATAACAATACTCCTCACTAAATCTGTCGACACTTTCTATAAACCACAGATCTCGAACCCGGATACGATCACGAGCAACCCGAGGCAATTCGGACTCAGCCCTGCGCGCGCGGTCTGAGAACTGCGCACACTCAACAGTCTGAGATCTGCGCTCGCGCGTGGCTCTGAGCACGCTTCGGCCTGATAATCTATGACCGAAACTCCTGATCCGGCCCTGGACGTGGCAAACAGGGCAGAGAGGAGAGCAGCTCTTTAGTGAATATCAATCCAGCAGACTACATCTTGTCCAACCGGCTCTTGTCCAGCTTTTCCATCGCCGCCGCCGCCGTCTGCTCTCTTCTTTGGGCTGAACTTGGGCTGAACCGGTAATCCGCTTAAAGTTCTGGCTCCCGGAAGAATCAGTTATCAGCCGCACACTAACCGCATCGGGTAAGTTCCTCCGAGCCTAATCCCGGGTCCCAAGCAAATCTCAACGACAATCGACGCGTCTCGAGATCGCGCTTGATAGACGGCCTCGCTATTTAAATAAAACCTCCTCGCCGGTTCTCTTCCTCTTCCTCGTCGCCTGCCTGCCCGCTTCTCCTTATCTTATCTTATCTTCCCCGTCTCTGCCCTAGCAATGTCTCGTCCTGCGAACGTCGGCATCAAAGCCATCGAAATCTACTTCCCTAACCAGGTATGTGCTGTTGCTGTCGCTGCTTGTTTACCCCTCCCCTCTCTGTCACCTCACCGCCTAACTCTCCCTACAGTGCGTCGAGCAATCCGAACTCGAAAAGTTCGATGGCGTCCCCGCCGGCAAGTACACCATCGGCCTCGGCCAGACCAAGATGGCCTTCCCCGACGACCGTGAAGGTGCGCTCCCTCCTCTCTTCTCTCCTATCTCACTCCTGCTAACACTCGGTGTAAATCCAGACATCTACTCCATGACCCTCACCGTCCTCTCCTCGCTCATCAAGAAGTACAGCATCGACACCGCCAACATCGGCCGCCTCGAGGTCGGCACCGAGACCCTGCTTGACAAGTCAAAGTCCGTCAAGTCCGTCCTCATGCAGCTCTTCGGCGACAACGCTGACATCGAGGGCATCGACACCGTCAACGCCTGCTACGGTGGCACCAACGCTCTCTTCAACTCTGTCAACTGGATCGAGTCCTCCTCCTGGGACGGCCGCGACGCCATCGTCGTCGCCGGTGATATCGCGCTCTACGCCAAGGGCGCTGCTCGTCCCACCGGTGGCGCGGGTGCCGTTGCTATGCTCATCGGACCTGACGCTCCCATTGTTCTCGACCCCGTCCACGGATCGTTCATGCAGCACGCCTATGACTTTTACAAGCCCGACTTCACCAGCGAGTATCCCTATGTTGACGGTCACTTCTCGCTCAGCTGCTACACGCGCGCTCTCGACAGCGCTTACCAGACCTACTCCAAGAAGGCCCAGAAGAAGACTCTTTCTCAGCTCAATGGACACGTCCCCACTGGCATCGACAGATTCTCTTATGCTGTCTTCCACTCCCCTACCTGCAAGCTCGTGACCAAGTCGTACGCCCGTCTTCTCTACAACGACTTCCTCCTCGACCCTGCCTCGTTCCCCTACGAGGTCCCCGAGGAGGTCAAGGCTGTCGAGTACGAGGCCTCGCTGACCGACAAGTCCGTCGAGAAGTTCTTCCTGGGCATCGCCAAGAAGCTCATCCAGGAGCGCCTCGTGCCTTCCATCACCGGTCCCACCATGTGCGGCAACATGTACACCGCCAGCGTCTACTCGTCGCTCGTCTCGCTCATCTCGAACGTCGAGCCCGAGAAGCTTCTCAACACCCGTGTTGCCGCGTTCTCGTACGGCTCCGGTCTCGCTTCGTCTTTCTACTCCTTTGTCGTCAAGGGCGACACTACCGAGATGCGCGAGAAGCTCAACTTCCTCGAGCGTCTCGAGAACCGCAAGACGCTCTCGCCCGAGGATTACGAGAAGTACATCGAGCTTCGCGAGAAGGCCCATCAGAAGAAGGAGTACACTCCCGAGGGCAAGCTCGACGACATCTTGCCTGGTACCTACTACCTGACCAAGATCGACGACCGTTACCGTCGCGAGTACGCCGTCAAGGCGTAAGAGCGTCTATTTGTTCCTCCCGCTCTCTCATCTAATCTGTTCTCAGCTTTTGTTTTATCTGTGTTTATTGTTCTTCTCATGGGTCTAATGTTCAAATAGAGTCTCTAGTGTTTGCTTTGCCCCGCGTTTGAAAATATTTCGCTGGCTCATGGGATTGGTGATTGGAGTTTATCGTTTGTGTATATATAGTTTGTACCACTACTGTGAGTTAACTGGCCCCAGAGACCAAATATCAAAATGTAATTGCATCTTTTCAATCTAAACTTTTCATTGCTACATACCTATTTAATCCCTCCATTTCTTCTTCGTAGCTTTTGGCGTAGCTGACTCTTTTGCTTCCTGTAATCGTTTACTGTTCGTCCGCTTCCTCCACATCGTCGACAATTTACTCACACTCTGACTGAAATCCACATGTATCCTACTGTCATCAATCAACGCCCCCTGCATACGCACATACGCATTCTCGCAATCCTTGCTATTCTCATACTCAATAAACCCGTACTGCAAAGACTTTCCCGTCTTTGGATCCTTGATAATCTCACAGCTCAGAATCTTGCCGCACTGCGAAAAAAACGTCTGCAGATCCTCGTCCTCGGTGATCGGGTTCAACTTGCAGATGAAAAGCACGTTCTCGGGAGGCTTGACCTCCGCGTACGGAAGATCGCCGAGGATCTCGAGCGTGAGGGCTTGCGAGCGGGCGTCGCGCTCCCGGCGCTCGCGTTCTTTGCGCTCTTCCTCGGTTTCGTCTTCGTCGCCTTCATCTTTGTTTGCTGCGTCTTCGTCGTCGTCGTCCTCGACTATGATATTCCGCTCGAGATCCTGGATTTCTGGAGGTAATTTGGACCCCGAGGAAGAAGGCCAAGCTCGGTCACTTTGCTCATTCCGCGATGAACTCCCATACGACCGATCATCTCTATACCTCCTCGCGTCTCTATCCCTCTCACCAACCCTCCGATCCTGCGACGATCTAGGCTTCTCCACCCGATCCCTCGAGTCAACTCTATGCCGTCTATGCTCTCTATCATCAGACCTGCGAGCCGACGACGAACTGTGGTGGTGCCGGTGATGCTGCTGCGATCGCGAATCGCCAGACCGGTGGCTACCACTGCCGCTGCTGCTGTGGTGGTGTCGATGATGATGATGGTGCCGATGCTCACGACTCCCGCTTCTCTCGTCATCCCGCCGCGAATGCGTGCTTCTCTCAGGCGAACTCATCTCACTTCCTACCCTTTACTTTTGCGCTGGGCTTATGTTCTGCTGAAACCACAACTTGTTCCCAGCAGTCAGTTTTGCGCGTAAACGTAATTCACGTGATTCACGTCACGTGAACTTTGGCGATGAGATAATGGAGGGCAAGAAAAAAAGGCTGGAGAGGAAAGTATAGACTATAATTGCAAGTGCATTTGTCTATAATTCTGTTCAGTTGACTTTTTACAGTCCTTTGCTTGAAGAAATTAAAAACATACATTAGAAATGGTTCGCTCGGTTAATGTCGCTATCGTTGGTACGAGAAGAATCGTGTGTGTAGTAGTCGTCCGCTCTGGCTAACCATCACGCAGGCGCCGGTCTCGTTGGCTCCGCCTTCATCAACCAACTTCAATCCCTGCGTTCGCACGCGATAACCTACAACGTGATCCTGATCGCGCGCTCGACCAAGGCTCTGGTCTCCAAGTCCTACGCGCCCCTCCCGCTCGCCAATTGGTCGCAGGACCTGGCCGCGAGCTCGCCGGCGTCGGGCCTGTCGCCGGGCGACCTGGCCGCGTACCTCGAGAAGAGCCCGTTGCCGGTGATTCTGGTCGACAACACGTCTTCGGACGCGCTCGCGAAAGTGTACCCCGTGTTTCTCTCGCAGGGGGTGTCGATCGCGACGCCAAACAAGAAGGCGTTCTCGTCCGAGCTCGGGCTGTGGAACTCGCTCTTTAGCTCGGCGGCCAACTTCGCCGCGGAGCCCAAGGGCAAAGGATTTTTGTACCACGAGGCCACTGTCGGCGCCGGTCTGCCTGTGATCTCGACGATCAAGGACCTGGTCGCGACCGGCGACGAGGTCGTCAAGGTCGAGGGCATCGTCAGCGGCACGCTCTCCTACATCTTCAACGAGTTCTCCACCCTCTCTGGCGGCGCGCCCGTCAACTTCTCCGACGTCGTCAACAAGGCCAAGGAGCTGGGCTACACCGAGCCCGATCCGCGCGAAGACCTCAACGGCCTCGACGTCGCGCGCAAGCTGACCATTCTCGCGCGCCTCGCGGGGCTCGACGTGCAGTCCGCGACCTCGTTCCCCGTGCAGTCGTTGATCCCGCGGCCGCTCGAGGAGATCGAGGCCGTGTCGGAGTTCATGGCAAAGTTGCCGGAGTATGATGGCAAGATGGAGGAGACGCGCGCAAAGGCGGCCGAGGAGGGCAAGGTCCTGCGGTTCGTTGGCAAGATCGACTTGAGCGGCGAGTCGGCGCAGAAGGTTAAGGTCGGCATTGAGAAGTGAGTCTAGTGTTGAGAAGTTGGATATGCGGAGGACATGACATTAATCTGGTGTTTAGGTACGATGCCGCGCACCCGTTTGCGTCGCTCAAGGGCTCTGATAACGTCATTGCGTTCTACACCAAGCGCTACGGCAAGAACCCCCTGATCATCCAGGGCGCCGGGTATGTTTCCTGAATCATATTCTCCCAGATATTGAAACTAACAGATTCTGACAGTGCCGGATCTGAGGTCACCGCCATGGGCGTTCTCGGCGACGTCTTGAAGATCGCTGAGCGTGTCGCCAAATGACTTGCCGACGAATCCGATTCGATCAAAGCTGCGTTTCGTAGCCGGTTGTAATATTGACCAAACTACGAATTAAGGAGATGATGATGGATGATATATCTTTGTCAACCTTTTATTGTATATAAATGCAACAACAAAAACTCAAGACAGAACAAAAAAAGGTGGTAGATTAAATTACATGAAATGAGTGAATATGTAGATCTGTTCAGCGGACAGATAGCTTAGTCCCAGCTCTCCAACTTCATGGTGCCCTTCTCCTGCAGGTTAATATGCATCTTGAACGCGTCCTTGAGGATATGCGGCTCATGGAGCGAACCAGTCTTGATAGCCAAGCTCTCGGCGCGGTCGAGGTAGTCGGTCAGGATAGGCTTGTATTCGGGGTGCGCGGTCTTGCTGATGATGACGCGCGCGCGCTCACGAGGAGACAGACCGCGCAGGTCAGCGAGACCCTGCTCGGTGACGACGACATCGAGATCGTGCTCGGTCTGGTCGACGTGGGTCGCAAAGGGGACGATGCACGACAGTCCGTGCGGGTCGACCTTGGACGGGCGCGACGAGGGCGTGTGCATGACCGACAGCTTGGCGTTACGCAAAAAGTCGGCGGAGCCGCCGAGACCGTTGAGCATGCGCGAGCCCATGACGTTGGTGGAGTTTGCGTGCGCGTAGATGTCGACCTCGACAGGGGTGTTCATGGCGATCACGCCGAGACGGCGGATGATCTCGGGCGCGTTGGAGATCTGCTGCGAGCGCAGGAGGAGCTTCTTGGAGTACTCGTCCCAGTTCTCGAAGAAGCGCTCGAAACCCTCGGGCGAGAGACGGATGGAGGTCGCGGTGGCAAAGTCGAGGTTGCCAGAGTCGAAGAAGTCGAGGAACGAGTCCTGCAAGACCTCGGTCCAGACAGTCAGGTTCTTGAACGACGCGCCCGCGAGACCCTCGACGACGGCGTTGGCGATGTTGCCGATGCCGGACTGCAGAGGGTGCAGGTTCTCGGGCATGCGGCCCATCTTGACCTCATGCTCGAGGAACTCGACGAGGTGGCCGGCGATCGCCTGCGAGACGGCGTCGGCAGGGGTGTTGGGACCGACGAGCTCGGCGTAGTCGGACTCGACGACGCCGACGACCTTGTCAAAGTCAATTGGGATGTAGGGAAGACCGTTGCGCTGGGCGGCGTCCTCGACCATGAAGGGCTTGCGGTAGGGCGGGTGCTCGGGGACCATGACGTCGTGGAGACCCTCGAACGAGGGAAGCTTGGTGTTGACCTCGACGATGATCTTCTCGGCCATCATGAGCAGCTCGGGAGTGGCGCCGACGGACGCACCGGGGATGAGAGCGCCGTCCTCGGTGATGGCGGTGGCCTCGACGATGGCGACGTCGATGGTCGGCTTGGCCTTCTTGAGCGTGTAGTATCCGTAAGTGAGATCCTGGGGCCACATCGAGAGATGCTTGTCGAAGAAGGTCATGTGGCCGGTGTTGATAGCGCGGGAGATGCGCTTGCCGACCTGATGCGGCGAGCGACTCTCAATCATGTCGAGCTCAGCCCATTTTCCCTCAATCGGATCGGGGCACGAGGCGCCGACGAAGAGGTTGAAGCGGAGCTGTCCCTGGAGGTTGTTCTTCTCGACGTGTTCTTGGAGGGCCTGGGAAGGGAGGAGGTTAGTTGAGTGCGGGCAGATGGGCGATAGCAGCACAAATAGGATTATGCAATCTGCGTCTGTGCAGCACAAAAGATAACCAAGACTTTTGTTGAGAAGCTGCTCGACGATGCAATTGAGCTGGGAGGGAGGGAAAGAGACAATCGCAAAAAGAGAGAGAGGGAGAGACGTACGATAGGCACAGCCTTGGGTCCACCGACGCCGGTGAAGCCAGACATACCGATGTAATCGCCGGTCTTGAAGACGGGAATCAGATCTTCGGCCTTACGGAGCTTTGTGAAGAAGCGCGGGTCACGCACGCGCGACTTGAGGATGGCAGACATGGTTGCGGATAAGGAATACGATGCTAGATTCACGCGTAGAGAAGAACAGCAGCTAACCAAGCAAGCTTCGGGAGCGACGAGAGAGAGATTGCGGGTGCCAGGCGCATTGGGGTTGATATAAAATTGTTCGGAGGTGCGCGCGGCGTGGGCGGCATCGACACGTGACCTGGGATGGCGGCGTGACCTGCGCTTGTTTTGGAGCGCTCGTCGGGAAAAGCGGTGCCGGTAGCCGGGCCTCGACGAGGACCCCCTGACATCATCGACACCGTCAGAAGACCGCGTGGCAGAGCCCGGATGCGCGCAAGAACAGGCTTCTTTTGCCTTGTCTTCCGCGGGGTTTCCACGCGCGGAAGCACCACCAGGCGTCGCGGGCGCGGAGAGGAGGGCACCGTGCGGACGACCCCAGAACACGGCAGGCGGGGTGGCCCCCCCCCCCACCACGGCGATGGCTTCCCAGTTGGTCGAGCTAAGCGCGGCCACCGCTCGGGGCGCAAGAAGCCAGCGAGCAAAGGCCGAAAGAAAGCAGTCGCGCGCGGACAAGCGGAAGACCTGCGGTTCTGCGTATGCCCTGATTGGTCCCCGTGATGGCGGGGCCCCAGACGAAGGCAGCCAATGAGCGTGCGGTGGTGTAGATGCTCTGCAGTGCCTGGCGGAAGCAGCGGATCGAGAGGAGAACGAATGACGTCGACACCACGAACTGTTAGTAAGAATAAGATGACGAGGAATATTCACAGCAGTGCTCTTATTGCACTCTACCTAAAGAAGTTACAAACACATATCAAAATATTAAAAGGCTCCTGACTTCCATCTCGTTCTTATCGGCCTCGAGCATTAACGCCGACCGTGCGGCGTGCGCCTGCTCTTCGTCACCCCGGAAAATCTTTGTTGCAGCGCGGAACGTGGCCGCTGGTTTATCTTTATCTTGTGGAATAGAGTCAAATCTGGTGGTAGGGCGGAGAGACTGTATCTGCAAGCGACACAGTAGCCGCTGGAGCCGGCGTAGCGGTCGATGGTCTGCATGTGGAGATGCAAAGTAGACCGGGGTATCGAGTGCCGCTTGCACCGCGGGGTCAGACTATTCACTACAGCTTCTTCACGGTTCTGGAAGTAGTCCGCCTGCTCCTGTTTATCCGATCTGACAGCGACACCACCGTCGTCGGGCAACCCAGGATGCCCCGCCGCACTGCGCCGTCAGTGTGGAAGTGGTCTCGGGGGTCTGGACCCTCCGTTGCGCTATTATAAAGTCTCGTTGCCTTCTGACTGTTGGGGTGAATATGCTGAATATGATCCACCACGAGCAAGAACACAGTGCAGTCTATTCATCAAAGCAGATCAGACATTCTATCGATGCTCCTCATCCTGAACCACTGGTATCTCTACCCGCTACACTAATCAGATCTACCTTACACGAATCAACCATACCACTCTCCTCCCAACACCATATTCACCAACACAGAGGTCCGGTTACTACGAGATCCAAACGACGAGACACGATGGTTGATGGCTGCGTTCTTGCAGCTATTCTTGCAACTGTTCCTGTTCGGCATACCAAACTCGAGTCTGTTGGTGCTTGTGATAGTAAATCTTTGTTTTAGAATCCGTTCGTTGATGCTGATGATGGTATACTCTGTTTATAGAATCTATCGGTACGAGTTGGAGTACCGTGAGGTTTCCGACACACTCGACGCGGGACTAACATGGGAGTGCAGGGTTTGCTGATAGTAAGCGTTTCAGCAATTGTCGCCAGTTCTAACAGATTTCTGGGATTAATAGATTCAGATTATGCGGATTGTGAGCATAAAGCAGGTGCTTGTTTGACGGATATCTGAGATGAACAGAAAAGCTGATACCAGTAGCCAGCTGACGATACCCACCTTCTATACCAACACGATATGGCGATTTGTGGAGGAAGAAGACTAATCAGGATATTCTCAATACGATTAATAGCGAGAGACGACAGTCAGGGTTGAGGGTATAAAGTTGTAAGTAGATGATAAATCAGAGAGTAATTAGATGATAAATCAAACAGCTTATAACCAAGAACGAAGCAATGTGTAGAAATAATTGGACGCTCATGAGAATAATAGGCAAACCATTAAACCTACCCCATCAACGGTTAAAACAGAGACGGTTCGGGTTTGCCTGCAGTCCACCCCACGCCCTGCTGCCTGTCCTCGAAGGCCGGTGATATACCCGACACGCTCGGTCCCAGTTCCCGGGAGGTAGAAGTAGAGAGCGGGTGGTTGAGTAGAATATCAGAAAACAGCATCTCAAGACCAATTGCTGCAATACTCTTCTCTACAAGATAAAACACACACACAACAGCCAGCAGCAGACGGCTATGGGACCCCCATCGCGACAGTTCAGGCAGAGGCCATGCAACCGGCTCGAGTGGAGATCGACAGCGGCCTGGTGCACGCCGAGATGCGGCATAAACGCACAGCCGCGCGGCCGTCGCCTCTCCGCCGGGCGTCTCCAGCCCGAGCAGCACCTTCTCTTCCTCGTCCTCTTCTTCTTCCTCTTCTTCTTCGCTCCCTGCTGCTTCTCCCTCTCTCTAGCCTCAATTGCCCTCTACTCCATTCACCATGTCTCCCTCGTTCGATAAGGTCGACACCCTCGCCGTCAACACCATCCGTCTTCTTGCGGTTCGTATCTCTATCTTCCTGTCGATCCGGCAATCCTCCGCATTGACGGCCTCCGCTGCTACCGCCAGCGCAATTGCTGCTTTCTCCTCATTGTTTTCGACAGTTTACTGATCAATTGCTCTTATACAGGTTGATGCTACCATCAAGGCCAACTCCGGTCACCCGGGTGGTATGTTCCTGCTGCTTTCTGCTGCTGCTTATCTGCTCTCAACCAAGATCTAACACTACGTTCTAGCCCCCATGGGTCTTGCTCCCCTCGCACACGTCATCTACAACAAGTTCATGACCTTCAACCCCAAGAACCCCAGCTTCTTCAACAGAGACCGATTCGTTCTCTCGTAGGTTATCCTCTCCAATTAGTCCGGGCCTGTTCGGGTACTAACTCTCACCTCTAGCAACGGCCACGGATGCATGCTTCTGTACGCCCTCCTCCACCTCTATGGATACCCCTTGTCCATGGATGACTTGAAGAACTTCAGACAGCTCGGCTCCAAGACCCCCGGTCACCCCGAGGCTGCTGACACCCCCGGTGTCGAGGGTAAGTCAATTCTATTTCAGAATGCGAAGAAGTTAATATACTAACAGTCATAGTCACCACCGGTCCTCTCGGACAGGGTGTTTCCAACGCCGTCGGTCTCGCCATGGCCCAGGCCCACTTCGCCGCCCGCTTCAACAAGCCCGGCTACGATCTCTTCACCAACTACACCTATGCGATCATGGGTGACGGTTGCGTGATGGAGGGTGTTGCCTCCGAGGCTTCGTCTGCCGCTGGTCACTTGCAGCTCGGCAACCTCATCGTTTTCTACGATGACAACCATATCTCGATTGACGGTGACACCGCCCAGGCTCTTACCGAGGACGTGCTCAAGAAGTACGAGGCCTACGGCTGGCAGACTCTCTGGGTCAAGGACGGTGACAACGACCTTGCCGGAATTGCCGCTGCTATCGAGGAGGCCAAGGCCTGCAAGAACAAGCCCACTCTCATCAAGGTCACCACCACCATCGGTTTCGGCTCCAAGCTCCAGGGAACCCACGGTGTCCACGGTAACCCCTTGAAGAAGGACGATGCCGCTCACGTCAAGGAGCTGTTTGGCTTCAACCCCGAGGAGTCGTTCGTTGTCCCCCAGGAGGTCTACGACCTCTGCGGCAAGCCCGCTGCTGCCGGTGCTGCTGCGGAGGAGGAGTGGAACCAGCTTTTGGAGAAGTACACTGCCGAGTACCCCGAGCTCGCTGCGGATCTCAAGAACAGAATTGCTGGCAAGCTTCCCGAGGGATGGGAGAAGGCCCTCCCCGTGTACACTCCCGCCGACCCCGCTATTGCGTCGCGTAAGCTCTCCGAGACTGTGCTCAACGCTATCTGCGAGACCGTTCCCCAGCTCATTGGTGGATCTGCCGATTTGACTGGCTCGAACTTCACTCGCTGGAAGGAGGCCGTCGACTTCCAGCCCCCCTCGACTGGATTCGGCGACTACGCCGGCCGTTACATCCGTTATGGTGTCCGTGAGCACGGTATGGGTGCGATGATGAACGGTCTTGCTGCGTACGGTGGATTGATTCCCTTTGGAGGTACTTTCTTGAACTTTGTTTCGTACGCTGCCGGAGCCGTGAGACTGTCTGCTTTGTCTGAGGTCCCCGTTATCTGGGTTGCTACCCACGACTCGATCGGTCTCGGTGAGGACGGTCCCACGCATCAGCCTATTGAGACTCTTGCGCACTTCCGTGCTACTCCCAACATCATGGTGTGGCGCCCTGCTGACGGAAACGAGTGCTCTGCTGCTTACCTTGTGTCGATGACCTCCAAGCACACTCCCTCGATCCTCGCTCTTTCCCGCCAGAACCTTCCCCAGTTGGAGGGCTCGACTATCGAGAAGGCGTCGAAGGGAGGCTACGTCTTGAAGGAGAACGCCGAGGCTGACGTGACTCTTGTCGCTACCGGATCCGAGGTCGGTCTGTCGCTTGACGCGACCAAGATCCTCGAGTCCAAGGGCTACAAGACGCGTCTTGTGTCGCTTCCGGACTGGCACACGTTCGACAAGCAGTCGCTCGAGTACAAGCTGTCTGTGTTCCCCGACGGCCACCCGATCATGTCTGTCGAGGTGATGACCACTCTCGGATGGCAGAAGTACTCGCACGAGCAGTTCGGAATCAACACTTTCGGCGCGTCGGGCCCGTACTTGCAGGTGTACAAGAAGTTTGGCTTCACGCCCGAGGGCATTGCCGAGCGCGCGGAGAAGACGATTGAGGCTTACAAGGGCACGTCGCCGCGCTCGCCGATCAAGCGGGCGTTCTAAGCGCCAGGACACATTAGATGATCGCTGAGCGACGGTGTGTGCTGATGAGGATGCTGTGCTATGCTATGCTATGCTATATAAAAAGAGGTTGATAATGTTGAATATATTTTACAATCATGTGTACTGTAGTGAACTGTAGTTGGGCCGAGATCAGTAGTAGAAGAGTAGAAGAGTAACAGCTCCGAGCCCTAGCACACTCCAACCCGGCCCCGCCCCTGCCCGGGTCAGTAAAGCAAGCACACAGCCGGGTCGGGTCAACCGAGCAAAGTCCGATTGGGGTAGCGGGAAAGTCTACTAAAGTTTTGTGTTATTTAGGAGCCGGAGCCGGGATCGAGGCCGGGTTCATTTGAGCGAAAAGAGGTGGGAGAAACGCACAGGTCAGTTGAGCGCAGGCATCGGCCCGGAGGAGTTGTTGTTTATAGTAGAAGATGTTGTTGTTGTTGTTGTTGTAGTATTTGTATTTGTAGTTGTATTTGTAGTTGTAGTTATAAAGAAGAGAGAAAGAAAGAAGAAGACTCACCCCGGATTTTCGGCCGATCAAAAGCAGATTTTATTTATTTTTCATTTTCCCGTCGGTTGCGGGCGCGCGAACGGACTCAATCATCGGCCCGTGACAAGACTCAGCTCAGCTCAACTCAGTCGGTCTCTTCCGCCTCTTCTTCTTCTTGTTTGTCGATGGCTCACGGCTTTCTTCTTGGTTCTCTTGCTGGTTGTCATTCATACTGAGCAGCTTCGTGGATATCCTTGATATCATCTACCCTCGGCTGTATAACTTTCAGCCTCAGTCTGCGTGTCCCCGCCTTCCCCGACTATTCATCACCACTTCCCCCACTCCTCCCCCACAGTCTTCTTTTTTCCTCCTGCGTTTGTCTTCCTTTATCGTTTCCGGAATACAACAACAGCACCAGACACATATCTACAAATGGTCGAGACAGTCCGCAGCGAACACGCCCCCGCGTTCTACGAAAAGAACATAAACTACACCACCACCACAATCAGCAGCAGCGGGAGCGGAAGTAGTAGCAACAGCAGCAGCAGCACAAGTTTCAGCAGCATCTTCTCCAACCCGAAACCGTCGGCCTACGCAGACGCCTCGTCGATGGACTTCCTCCGCAGCACGTCCTCCTCCTCATCCTCCTCCGCGTCGTCGTACTCCGCGCCCGCGCACCATTTATCCGAAGACACGCTTTGTCATTCAAGCACCTCGCCGTCCTCCATCGCCACCACACCCCCGGGGAAAAAGGTCTCGTCCGGCGACGGCGGTTTGTTTATGGGCCTGAGCAGCTCGACAGGCAGGCGTGAGAGTCAGCGGCGGAGCAGGGGACGGTATTCCGACGAGGACGCGGACGACGAGGATGATATGGCCGAGCACTCGTCGTTCGACTACGGCGGCCGCTCATACAGCACACCACAGCCCTCACCTTCACGGCCGTCGGCGGCGCAAAGTTCGTTGCAGATGCAACTTCACCAGCGTAGACTACTCCTGCTCGACCAGCAGCGCCGGCACGGATCCGATGCCGAGGACGAGGTGGAGGTGGATGATGAGGAGGAGGACGGGTATCGGAGTATGCGTCTGAATCTATCTGGCCGCGAGCAGACGAGCGAGTACGTGTTTAAGCGGCAGCCGATGCCGTCGCCGTCGGGCGATCTGCCGATGGAGGAGGGGAGTATATACGGCGGCGAGCAGTATTCGCATGGCGGCGATGAGCAGCAGTTCCGGACACGGCTGCAGCAGTTTCAGCAGCGACAGTCTCATGCGCAGCAGCTACTACAACAACAACAGCAACAACAGCAACAACAGCAGCAACAGCAGCAACAGCAGCAGATGATGATGATGAACTTTGATATACTCAGCGAGGCAGCTAGTCGGGCCGAGATGGAGATTCTGGCGGATGACATGGGCGAGATGGAGTTTTAGTTTTCAGATCAGAGTGTATTACCAGAGTAGAGTGTGGAGAGTGTTTTTGTGGATTATTTACAGGTTGGAACGGTTGGTTAAGCGTTGAATTTGTTTTCTCCTATTGTAATTGTTCTTGGGTCTGCTTTAATGCTTATATGTACATTATCTATTGTCACAATCACCTCTGTCTATCATTCCGACCGTTTTAGTTCAGAGTATGAAAAAACCACTGAAATTGGGTTATCTCCCCGAAAGGCAGTCCAAGTAGTCAAAAAAAAGTCAGACTGAAGAGATGGCTTAGATGATATGAGTTTAGTTGCCGATCACACATCACCGTGCCCGCTGATCGGCACCCCGAGCGCGTCCAGGACTTTCACGATGACGAAGGCCGCGAACATGTTCGTTTTGTCGTCGTGTTTGTCAAGAGTACGTTCTAGTGCTTCTGCTGCGAGACTAGGTTGCGCTCGGCATCGCTCTTTTGTTCCCTGCCCGAGGATGCCGGCAGCGGCTGCTGGTGCTGGCTGAGAGCTCGACGAGGCGCCGCAAGAGTTGACGTCATCGCCCAAAGCAGCCATGACATCACGGGGACGGCCGTGTAGTTAATAGTGGGCATGAAAGGGCGGGTGTGTGCAGTAGTAGCTAGGAGTGTATACATCACCACAATAGAACTTTGAGGAGGACTCGGGACGGTGGACCGGGAAAGCGCGAGACGGTTGATTATATAAAAGGAACGCACCTTCGCCCTCCTTCTTTCCCTCCCCATCGATCAACTCGCTCTCTCTTCACCGCAACTCTTCTCGCGTATCACATTCACACACATTCGCAATGGCTTTCACTGCTTCTGACATCATCAAGATCATCTTGGGTATGTTTTAACTGTCGTCGTGGTGCTGCGGGTGCTGCCGTCGTCGTCTTGTTTATTTTGATCGACCCACCAGCAGCATCTTCCATCATCAATAGAGAACACTGCTAACAGTTTATCAGCCTTCATCCTCCCTCCCCTCGGAGTCTTCCTCGAGACCGGATGCGGCAGCGATCTCCTTATCAACGTCATCTTGACCTGCCTGGGTTGGTTCCCCGGTATCCTCCACGCCCTCTACGTCGTACGTCCTCACCTCTCCCTAACAACCAACCACAACCACAAGAGTCCACCTACTAACTCTCACTCCTCTCTAGATCCTCCGAAATTAGACACCCGTCGTCTCGGCGTCGTAACGGCCTGATCCACTCATCCGATCGTCATTTCTTCCTTCTTCCTTATCTTCTTTAATTTCTTCTCGGGTTTTGGATGCTGTTTCATGTTGGTTTGAGTTATTATTGTGTACTATTATTAGCAGATAGGAATATGATTTGAGTAGTGATATATCTTTGTGTGTTAAAAGTGGTTGATGAGTTTAGTACTGCTTATCATCATCGATTGATATCGCGTGCGCTACACTAGAAGTCCAACAGATATTACTAATCACCAAAAGTAATGCATCCACAGATATTAATCAAAACTAAAGATGCCGACAAGATCAAGAGACAACATAAACACATAAAATAAAACAAAACACCAAAAATAAGCATGTCTAAAAGTACAATATAGAACCGTCTCGCGTGTGAATTAAGTTGCGACAAGCGATGCATACAACAGCAGAATCACATCATCCCGCTCTCGCGCAGGTTTTCTTGAATGATAATATCGTTGACGGCCGCCATCACGAAACGCATGTGGTTGGTGTCGGTCGCGCAGGTGAAGTGCGTGTAGAGCTGTTTTGTGTCTGTGCGGTTGAGGACGACGAAGCATTGCAGGATGTAGTTGCTTGTTTCTTCGTAGCTCGAGTTGTTGCCTGGGGAAGTTAGTATTGTCTCTTGTTTGCTTGAAGGAGATTAGGAGAGGAGGATACCTGTGAAGCCGGGGAGGTAGTTGTGCAGAGGCGAGCGGCCTATTTTCTCTTTGAAAATGTCGGTTTTATTGAGAAACAGAATAACCGAAGTCGAGATAAACCAGTGCGAGTTGCAGATCGACTCAAACAAGGTAAGCGCCTCCGTCATCCGATTAACAGTCTCGTCCTCGAACAGCATCTGGTCGTACTCCGAGATCGCAGCCATAAACAAGATCGTCGTCACGTTCTCAAAGCAGTGGATCCACTTCTTGCGCTCTGAGCGCTGCCCGCCCACGTCGAGCATGCGGTACGTCAGACTGCCAATCATGAACGTCGTCTCTGTGATTCCCGTCGACTTTACGCGCGAGCGCAGAACGTCCTGGTCGCTGGGAACGTAGTTTGGGTCCGCGACGCGCTCTATCGAGTCAAAGTAGTACTTTGCCGAGTCGTTGAGCTGGTACTCGCGCGCGCGACTGAACGCAACCTGCACGCCGCCGTCTTTCCACAGCGACGCGATGGCGGCGCCGACATCGGGCGCCATCGTCTCGCTCTCGATCTGGTTCGGCAGGTCGTATATGAGCTGGGCGTGGACCGTGTTTTGCGGGTCCGCGAGCGGGATGCCGAGCGAGCCCATGGCCTCGACGATGACTTTCATGGACTGGACTGTGTTTGAGAAAATGACTTCGCGGAAGGAGAGGCGCTCGTTGCGGGAGTAGCCGCCTTCGTGGATGAGTTTCATCTGCTTGATGATTGTGGACTTGCCGGACTCGCCGGCGCCGAGGAGGAGCATTTTGATCTCGCTCCGGCGGTCTTGGTGGTCTTTGTTGAGCTGGATCTCGATTGCGTCGTTGCGGGCCTTGCCCTCGTTTTGGGGCGCGCTCATGCCACAGCCCATGGTGGAGAAGAGCGGAGATAAGAGTGGGGAGGAGGAGAGAGGGGGAGAGATGGGGGATGGGGGATGAGAAGAGGGCGAGGAGAGGAGAGGAATAAATAGAGGAAGAGATAGAATGAGGCGGGTGGAGTAGGGAAAAGAAGGGGAAGGGGAAGGGCCTGGGATTGTGGTGAAGAAGAAGAAGAAGAAGAGGAGGAGGACGAGGGCCTAGCGCGGAAGGACCAGGATTGTGGAGACGCTTTTGAGGCTGTTGACCGCACCTTCACCGCGCTGCTCTTCAGTGCACTGCACTGCTCTTATGTCGACTACTTCTATCTTCTGTCTCTATTTTTCTCTATCTGCTCTGTTCTGTTATTCTTACAAGTACTTCTACAGCTACAACTTCACCTCCTCACCTCACCTGGCCCCGGCTGTCTGAATTTCTGCCTCCTCGTAGCCGAGAACCCAAACCCCCCAACCCATCACCAACCGCTCGCTTCCTGCCTGTCTCAACAGACGTCCTCCTGTTCTCCCATATTACTACTATTCCCGTCTATCTACAAGCACAGCTACTACACGACACGGTACAGCGCACCCTCGCGTCCTGACGCTGCCGCCGCGCCTAACCCCGCCGACGAATAATGGACCCTGGGCCTCGTATATCTGCTCGCCTCGATATTAATAAAAACACCGATTTTAATAGTGTCAAACCACGTGCTCAGCCGTAGTAAGTGCGGCGCGGTGGACTGGAGATTAAACCCCAAGATCTGCTTGGTTGAGGAGGGGGGAAGAGGGTGTCTGCGGTGCGTGGTGAGTTGGTTTGATGAAGAATAAGGAGGTAGATGCGGACTGTGTGTTGGTGCTGAGTGTTGATGTTGGTGGTGGTGGTGGTGGTGCTAAGTGTTGTGCAGCATCGCGCTCCATCGTCTCTGGCTTGAGGCATCATAGTGCTGGGGTCAGTTTTAAATGTCATTAAGAGAGGATTTATAAACATCCTGTAGCTAGTCCTTGAATATTATAAGCAGTAAATATATTGGCATTAGCATCTGCCCGAGTGTTCTTGCGAGTGTGTACTGTTCTCTATCTAGTATACACAGAATATCTACTACGTAGCTACACCTCCACGTTATAACTTGAGTGAACCCTTTGCTTCACTGCGCACAATACAAAAGGCATCACTGTTATTAGTTGACTGTATTTACTGCTGTGCGGCAGATACAGTCAAACCAACATAGCCAATCGAACCACATCTGTCGTCTACTTTTAGTGAGCATCCAAGCTCCCGTATAGCACAAGACTGCCCTCTCCTCTTTCAACGACATGACACAACATGGCTCCAACTACCTGCACATTTCCCACAAAACACAGCAATTGTCTCTATCTCTTCGAAAACAGCAGATGTTGAGAATTGACAATCACTGACAATCTATCTGTCGCTCTGGTCTTGCTGCGCTGGTCAGTCTGGTCGCGCTCACTCCGACTGTTCATCACCTCCCTCGCTTCTCTCCATCTTCTGTCTCTCTCTCTATTGCTATCTCTTCTTCATCTCCATCTCCTCTTCATCTCTCTCTCCTCTTTATCTATAACACCCCATAGCCTCCGCAAACAGGCAAAGATCGAGGTGGGGCGTGGGGGGCAAGGGCAGAGCGCCGCACCGGACTTTGAGCTCCGGGAATTTATTACTCTTCTTTGCCTTCCTCGCTCTGCTCACAAAAGTTTTTACTGCCTCCTCCACCCCAACCCGCTGCTCGCCTCTCTTCCTCGACCCATCCCGCCCTCCACTCCTCCTTCTCGCTCTTCACCGCTCTCTTCTCTCTTATCTACACAATGAGCGCTCATCTCAAGCAAAGATTCGCAGAGTGCAAGGCTGAAGGTATCCCTCCATCCCTCCCTCTCCTATCCCCTCCCCATCCCCCCACACATCAACCCATCCCCATCCTCTCTCAATCCGCATGCTAACCCACCTCCCCAGGCCGCCCCGCCTTCGTCACCTTCGTCACCGCAGGCTTCCCCAAGCCCGACAGCACCGTCGACATCATGCTCGGCATGCAAGCCGGTGGCGTCGACGTTATCGAGCTCGGAATGCCCTTCTCAGACCCCATCGGCGACGGCCCCACCATCCAAAAGTCAAATACCGTATGTTTCCTTTTCGACTCTTCCTTATCTCAGTCGCAATTGCACATCATGCTAACCAATTCACTCTCTCTCTTCATAGATTGCCCTGGAAAACGGCGTCACCACAAAGCAGACCATCGACATGGTCCGTCAAGGCCGTGCCGCCGGCGTCACCATCCCAATCGTCCTCATGGGATACTACAACCCAATCATGATTTACGGCGAGGAGCAATTCATCAAGGACGCCAGAGCCGCCGGTGCCTGCGGTTTCATCATTGTTGATTTCCCGCCAGAAGAGGCAATCAAGTTCCGTCAGATCTGCTCCAGAGAAGGGTACCGTCCTCCTCTTGCTCCCTTGTTTTCATTTGCATTCCATTCTAACACTGTATAGAATGAGCTACATCCCGCTCGTCGCTCCCTCCACCACCGACTCCCGCCTCGAAATCCTGTCACAGATCGCAGACTCGTTCATCTACGTCATCTCGCGAATGGGCACCACCGGCGCCCTCACCGAGATCAGCGAGGGCCTGCCCGCGCTCTGTGCGCGCGTCCGCAAGTATGCCGGCGACACCCCTCTCGCCGTCGGCTTTGGCATCTCGACCGCAGAGCACTTCAACGCTGTCGGCGGCATCGCCGACGGCGCCGTCATTGGCAGCAAACTTGTCTCCGTCATCAGCGGGCTCACTGACCCTAAAGAGATCAACGCCGCGACAAAGAAGTTCTGCTCCTCGATTTGCGGCCGCGTGGTCGAGACGTCTGCGCACGAGGTCGGCCCGGTTGCCGACTCGGCGTCGACTGTCGCCAGCGTGCTCGGCAAGAAGGAGGTCACGCCCACCGCGGTCGTTTCCGGCGGCGATCCCAAGGCCAAGCTTGCGGTTGATTTCCTGAACGGAATCGTCGCAAAGGAAGAGAAAGAGCACGTGTTCCCGTCTCGGTTTGGCGAGTTTGGTGGACAGTACGTGCCCGAGGCGCTCTTCGACTGCCTCGTCGAGCTCGAGAAGGTGTTTGAGACCGCCGTCAACGACCCGACCTTTTGGGAAGAGTACCGGTCTTACTACCCCTACATCGGCCGCCCCGGAAAGATGCACCTCGCCCCGCGCCTCACCAAGCACGCCGGCGGCGCAAACATCTGGCTCAAGCGAGAAGACCTCAACCACACCGGCTCGCACAAGATCAACAACGCGCTCGGCCAGGTCCTGCTCGCGCGCCGTCTGGGCAAGACCGAGATCATTGCCGAGACGGGCGCGGGCCAGCACGGTGTCGCGACCGCGACGATCGCCGCAAAGTTCGGCATGAAGTGTACCGTCTACATGGGCGCCGAGGACGTCCGCCGCCAGGCGCTCAACGTCTTCCGCATGAAGCTCCTCGGCGCGTCTGTCGTCGCCGTCGACGCTGGCACGCGCACGCTCCGTGACGCGGTCAACGAGGCCCTGAGATCCTGGGTGACCAACCTGTCGACCACACACTATGTCATTGGCTCCGCCATCGGCCCGCATCCCTTCCCGACCATCGTGCGCACGTTCCAGAGCATCATCGGCAACGAGACCAAGCAGCAGATGCAGGAGTACCGGGGCAAGCTTCCCGACGCGGTCGTGGCCTGCGTCGGAGGCGGCAGCAACAGCAGCGGCATGTTCTACCCGTTCGTCGAAGACAAGACCGTCAAGCTCCTTGGCGTCGAAGCCGGCGGCGACGGCGTCGACACCGACCGACACAGCGCCACGATCTCTGCCGGCTCCGTCGGCGTGCTCCACGGAAACAAGACCTACGTCATCCAAGACAAGGACGGCCAGATCCTCGACACCTACTCCGTCTCCGCCGGTCTCGACTACCCGGGCGTCGGCCCCGAGCTGTCGATGTGGAAAGACACCGGGCGCGCGGACTTTGTGGCCGCGACGGACGCGCAGGCGCTCGAGGGCTTCAGACTGCTTTCGCAGCTCGAGGGCATCATCCCCGCGCTCGAGTCCTCGCACGCTATTTATGGCGCGGTCGAGCTCGCAAAGACGATGAAGCCTGATCAGGATATTGTCATTTGCTTGTCTGGACGCGGTGATAAGGACGTCGAGAGCGTTGCGGAGAATTTGCCGCGGTTGGGACCTTTGATTGGATGGGATTTGCGTTTTTAAAGAGGTGGTTTGAGAGTGTTCTTTTGATCATTTAGATCTGTTTTATGTAGTAAAAGTATATACGAGAGATGGAAAATTATTTGAATACGAAGAAATGCTTTTATTAGAGATAAGCCACAACGTTTAAGCTTAGTAGAGATATCAGTACCGCATAGCAGACCCCCCGCCATTCGGCAACGGTTTCCCCCGTCCATCGACAAGCGCAGACTCAATCATCTCCACCACCGTCCTCTTCGCGACCGTGATTTGGAACGGCTTGCCAGAGATATGGCAAACCCGCTCAGGCCCCTCGATCCCGTTCGTGATAAACTGTATCCGCGCCCCGCTCTCCTGCTCGATCCGCTTCAGCGTCTCGCCGCCGCGCCCGATGATTAGTCCCACGAACGGCGTCTTGACGACGAGAGAGGCGGTCACCGTTCCGCCGGGGGACGGGTCTCGTCGCGGACTGCATTCGCGGACGCGTTCGTCGGGGCGCAGGCGAGGAGGCGAGTGGTCTCTGCGCCGGCCGCGGTCGCGGTCACGATCACGGTCGCGATCACGGTCGCGGTCGTGGTATTCTCGACTTTGATCTCGGAATCGACTGCGCGGGTCTCGAGAGTCTGAGTTGTCGTAGGAGCCTGTCGTTCTTGTTAGACGTAGTTTTCACGCAATGAAGAGAATTATGCCACATACCTCCTTTCCGATCCCGGTCCAAGACTTTGCCGTAGTACTCTCCGATAGACAGACTATCTCTAGGATCAGCTTTGCTCAACTGGTTTATATCCAAATACCCCGAATTCGAAGGCGGCGGCACATGAATCGCGCTCGCGCTCCCGCCCGCAGCCGTAGCAGCCGTCAGCGCCGCCAGCGCAGCACTCGCCGCGCCGGGGTTGGCCTGGCTCTGCAGCGCCGCGAGTTGTGCTAGGAGCGGGTTGTTTGCGGCGGGGACGGCGTATTGGGGCAGGGGAGGGGATTGTAAGGCGCCTCCGGCCGCGGCGAATTGCGCGATGTTTGGGTAGACTTGCTGGTGTTGTTGTGTTGCTTGCGGTTGTTGTTGTTGCTGTTGCTGTTGCTGGGCTCGTTGAGCTACATGATGGCGATGTTGTTAATACTGCATGTTCTTCAGAGGAAAGATGAGGAATAGGGTGATATTTCCACACGTACTTAGTGCAGCCAGAAGGGACGCGACCGTCGCGTTATCGGCCATTGCTTTCTTTTGGGTCGGTCCTGTGTTTTGCGCGTGTTTGGGTTGTGTGGAGTATATCAGGTTTGTGTGTTTTCTCTTTCGTTTGGTACTAGGGTGGTATCTCCAGCGGGTGATTGAGAGAGAGATCGACGTGAGTTGTGGTTTTAGGAAAGCGAGATGGGGGAGGTGAGCTGAGGTGAGGTTCTTTGTCGAAGGGTGTTGTTCTGGGGTGGAGGAGTGGATGAAATGTGCACGAACGAGAGATCGACCTGTTCTCTTTTTTGTGTGTGTGATACAAACACTTAATACGCAGGCAATTCTTTGTTTTCTTTGTTTTTCTTTTCTTGTTTCGTTTAAGAACAACCAGCGAGAAAAACCAGTGCGCAGACAGATTGCGTCGTGAAGATGGAAACAATGCGTAGCAAGGAAGAAGTTGTCTTCATCAGATCCAAATCTAAAATTCACATCACGTGATGGTTGATTTAAGGGTCTGAAGTGAAGAGAAACCCGCAAAACTCCCAAAAAACTCGTGAGTTCCCGGTCCAGGTTTAATAGTCAGCTAAAGAGCTTTTTTTCGTTAGTTGGGTTTTGAGGTAACGCACGCAATTGAGATAGACGAGTGTGTGTGTGTGGAAAAGTATTGGGTAGTTTTACTGCTGATGCAAATAGTTGGCGGCAGGTTACCGACAGATATATACAGTCGCCGCGAAGAGACAGGAGTATAAGGTCATACAAAAATGCATTCGTCGAGCATCATCCGCAGCGCGCTGCGCAACCGCGCGTCGTCGCCGGTTATCGCGCGGTATGAGTCCCGAACGACCTTTCAACGGCTGCGAAGGACGACGACGACGACGTGCACGCGGGGATTCTCGTACTCGGCCGTGAAGGCACACAGAGCGGCGAAGGGAGATGGGGAATCGCCGAAAAGCGCGAGCACGCTTCAGCGAAAAGAATCTGAAAAGTTGGCGGGCGCGGTGAGTGCGTTGCAGGCGGGGCGGGGGAAGGATGGGGGGATTATGATTTCGGCTGAAGGTACGGAAGCTGTTGCGGATGAAAAGGCAGAGAAAGCCAGTAAGACTACGAAAGCTGGCAAGACAACGAAAGCTGGCAAGACGAAAGCTAGCAAGAAAAAAGATACCGAAGGGAGCACGGGTGAAGAGAAAGACAGCGAAGAAGTGAGCACCGAGAAGGACGGCGAAGAAGTGCGCACTAAAGGATTTCGCAAACGATCAACCAAGGAGAAAAAAGAAAAAGTCGTTTCGATGCACCTGCCCGAGCTGGAAATGTACGGTCTGTCGGGCGACGCAGAGAAAATCTACAAGGTTCCCCGCAAACCCGCTGGTCCTGACGACTTTCCTCCCTTTGTCTCTGAAGACGAGATACTGAAGATTGACGGTCTGACGTTCAAGGGTAAAGACATCGTCTACATGAGCCAGATCATAGACCGGTGTTTGCTGGGGAAGGATAAGGCTATTCATCAGATTTTTCTGAACAAAAACGTGATTTTGACTGAGGATTTGGAATCCGAGGCCGGCAAGCTAGACCGATTTGATGTCATGTCAAGCCTCGGGAAAGGTATGAATTCTACTAATATCTTGCTCGACAAGAGCTGTAATTGACCCCGGACGCTGACGATAATTTACACAACCAGAAGACCAACCGAAGGAGCCTAGCGATAAACCGTACTGCATCGACAAAGAGATCATGGAAAATCTGCTTCGGCACGCGGCTGTTGGCCTCGCTCCGCAAGAGCGAATGCGAATAGACTTTTCTCCGCTCACGCGAATGGACTTCTCCCGGCAGACGCCAGTTGAACTCCCTCGGCCGTTCAGAATCGGCAAAGGATCTACGGCATGGACCAGCCAGTTTATGATGCTGCTGTCGGCCGCAGACGGCCAATCGATGCAGTACCTGGACTCAGTGGTCAGCTCGATCGCCGCCGAGGTTGATGCGGACGTGTTGCGGATCGAGGACGCGGATTTAGAGTATCTCGTTGCGAATGATCTTGAAAATATCGGTATGCAGGTCAATTGAGATATCTGGGAGTGCTTAGTAGCTGACTTTTGGATGTATAGGTCTCACAGACGGGCAATGGTCTCCGTATAGGAAAGATCCACAATATCTGTTTCGATCGTCAAGAGACGGGTATATCAATGTGTCTAGGACGCTATACGAGGACTTGCAAGAAGAAGACGATATGGAAGAAGCGATGGAAGAGGACGACGATGCCGATGAGAGCATTGACCCCCAGAAGCTCGACTTTAGGAACCTCATGAAAGATCGTGCCAAGCATAATGAAGACGCTGATTTCAACTCGAGATTATACCTCAAATTCCTGGCAAAGTCGTTCTATGACTTGGCCTTCCGAAAACGCGCGATCGAATATACTCGGAAAGGCAAATCAACAGACCGGCCTTTGATCGTCCATATCAAGGACTTTCAGGCGCTGGAAAGCTGCGAACTTGGCCGGAGGTTCATTGCGTCTCTGCTGACGTGCGGGAATTTCTATCGTGGACTAGACGAGAGGATTCTTGTGATTGGCACCTCCGTCGAGCGAAGGTATACCGACCTGCCCGATGACGAGGACGAGGAAGAACTTGAGAATTATGATATTCATGAGCATTCTCAAATTTTGCGTCCCTACCACACGATTAAGACCAGTAATCTCCCGATCCTGCTAGATCAGACGTGTATGCTTTCGAAAATGTTTTATAATCGTGACGCATTGGAGGAGCGCGTCGAGTATCTCCGGAGGCTCAACGCGCGGTATTTGGATATCTATCTACAGCAGATGATGCCGTTCATGGACTGCACCATATCGATGAACGACTATCCCACTCTGCTCCGGATCACAGAGGCTGATTACCGGATCCTCAATTCGGTGTCGTCTGGACTCTCGTTTCTTTCATCGGGCTTCGTGACTCCACGGCTGATGCATGAAGTCTTGATTCATCTCAAGGGTGTTATTCTGACACACAACGCGAAATCAGGTTCTGAATCCACCATCACAGCTATTGATCATTTAGAGATCGGCGATGCGATTGATTCTATGTGCAGGATGAAGATTAGAGAGCATGCTATGGACAACTATTCTGCACTATTCAGATTGCCGGAGCAAGACTCCAGTGATGACAGCGCGGACGATTTCTATCTGGCGTTTGATGATGTGGATGCATCGAAAGTGTTGCCATCGCTGTTCAAAGAGGTGCAGGACGCCCGGCTCGCTTTGGCTACGGCCGACGATGACGCCGACGCGGATGAGACAGACGCGGCCAAGACCGCACTTACGCCCGAGGACGCGCTCAATCGACATATCGAGCAGCGGAAATCCAGATCGTCGGTTAAGCAAGCGCTTCAAGGGAACTTGACAAAGCGCGAGAAGGAGCTGCTGCGACTGGTTGTCGAGCCGCAGGACATCAAGGTCGACTTTAGCAATGTTGTTGCTCCGCAGGAGACGATCGACTCGCTGAATGACACTGTGACGCTGGGACTGGCGATGCCGCAGGAGTTTAGCTATGGTGTGCTTGAGAATAACCATACCTCTGGCATACTTTTGTACGGCCCGCCTGGAACGGGAAAGACGCTTCTGGTGAAGGCGCTCGCAAAGGCCGGGCATACTAGTATTCTGGAAGTACGGCCGGGAGACGTGTTGGACATGTACGTGGGCGAGTCGGAGAAGAACGTGCAGGCGCTGTTCTCGCTAGCGAGGAAACTGAGCCCGGCGATTATCTTCATCGACGAAGTCGAGGCGCTGTTCAGGAACCGCACGGCCTCACATCACACTAACAAGGGCCATCGCAATATGCTGAATCAGTTTATGGTTGAATGGGACGGACTCCGCAGCGAGAAAGTCATGCTGGTCGGCGCCACTAACCGGCCGTTTGATTTGGACGACGCGATTCTGCGACGGTTCCCGCGCCGGATTTTAGTTGATCTGCCGTTGGAAAAGACGCGCGAGGAGATCTTCCGCGTGCACTTGAAGGGCGAGCAGCTTGACGAGAGCACGGTCTCGCTCTCGCGGCTGGCGCAGGAGACAAAGTTCTTCTCGGGCTCGGATATCAAGAACGTGTGTATTTCGGCCGCGTTGATGGCGGTCAAGGAAATCAAGCAAAAGATCGACAGCGGCGAGATCGCGCCCGCGGACGCGGCGAACCAGAAGCGCACGCTCGAGTGGCGGCACTTTGAGTTTGCGCTCAAGCAGACGGGTTCGTCGATCAGCGACGACATGAGCTCGATCACCATGATTCGGGAGTGGGACCGGGAGTTTGGGCAGGATCGGAAGAAGAAGGCGGAGGTGAAGCCGTGGGGGTTTTCGCGGGAGACTCCGTCGGCGGATATAGCTGTTCGGCCTGAGGACCGTTAGCGGGATGATATAAGAAGTTTGTTTATAGTGGATAGAGTAGCAGCATATGTTATATACAGATATCTATTATGAAGGGAACTAATAATAAGTAGATGTATGCCAATGTGAAATCTCGTGACGGTTCATAACACATTCTCTAGAAGAGAGAGAGATTAAATATAAAGTATAATAATACAACAGACGAAACTCCAGGATAATTAAAAGAAACGAGAGAATTGATTAGAAGACAACATCCGACTTGAGCGGCTCGGTCTCCTTAGTCAAAGCACCAATCTTGCGGGTCTTCTTCGAAAGCACGTTCTGCGCAATCTCGAGCAGCGCGTAATCGGTGTGCTTGCGGCCGATGATTGTGACGCCAAACGGCATGCCGTCCTCGCGGAAGCCGGCGGGGACGGCGAGCGCGGCAAAGTCAGAGAAGTTGACAAAGTTGGTGTAGGTGCCCTGCTTTGCGTTGCGGGCGACGGGGTCGGCCTGGACTTCCTTGATCTTGGGGGAGAGCGGGGCGGTAGGCACGAAGAAGCCGTCAAAGTCGGCGAACTTTGTCTCGATCTCTCGGACGAGGTCGCGGCGGAGATGCTCCCAGTCGAACTGGTCGGCAGCCGAGAACTTGTTTGCGAGCGCGATGATGGAGCGCACGGTGGGGTCCATGGCCTCGGGGTCGGACTCGATCAGCTTGCGGACGACGGTGTAGCGCTCGGCGACCCAGGGGCCTTCGTAGAGGCACTTGCCGAGTCTGTACATGGGGTCAAAATCCATCGGCACGAGCTCGACGCCGGCGGCGCGGTACTCGTCAAGGGCCTTCTCCCAGAGCGGCGCGTTCTGGACGTCGTCGAACCAGAGCGGCACGTCGGGGATCGCGAGGCGGGGCTTGGCGCCGAAGGAGGCGGGCATGGGGGTCGGCAGGGGCCGCGAGTAGGAGTCGACGGGGTCGTACTTTGCGGCGATGTCGAAGATGAGCTTCGCGTCGGGGAGCGTCTGGGCAAAGACGGAGACGCAGTCGAGCTCGCGGCAGGCAGGGACGACGCCGGTGGCGGAGAAGGCGCCGCGGGAGGGCTTGAGGCCGATGAGGTTGTTGTGCATTGCGGGCACGCGGCCGGAGCCGGCGGTGTCGGTGCCGAGCGAGAAGGCGGCGAGGCCGCGGGAGACGACGTTGGCGGAGCCCGAAGAGGAGCCGCCGGAGCAATAGGCGTCGTTGAGCGCGGAGGGGACGGCGCCGTAGGGCGAGCGGGTGCCGACGAGGCCGGTCGCGAACTGGTCGAGGTTGGTCTTGCAGATGGGGATCGCGCCGGCGGCCTTGAGGGTCTTGATGATCACTGCGTCTTCGGTGGGGTCGTATTTGAAGGCCGGGCAGGCGACGGTGGTGGGCATGCCCGCGACGTCGATGTTGTCCTTGGGCGCGAAGGGCACGCCGTAGAGCGGGAGGTCTTTGGCGTTGGGGATGGATTGGAGTTCAGCCCATTGCTGCTTGAGGACGTCCTCGGAGGCGATGGTGATGAAGGCGACGTCGTCGGGCTTGAAGGTCTTGACCTGGGCGACGATGCGGGCGAGACCTTCTTCGGGGGAGGCGGCGCGCTGGGCCTCGAGCCACTGGGGGATGGACCAGCCAATTGTTTCGACGGACATTGTGTGGGTGTGTGAGGGGAGTGTGAGGAGGTGTGAGGGGAGTGTGAAGAGGAGTATGAGGAGGAGTAGGAGTAAGGAGGAGTAGGAGTAAGGAGGAGCAAGAGTGGGAAGATGAGCAGAGGCGGTGAACTATATACGAGGAGGAAGCTACTTCTCTGCCTCCAAGCCGTCCATTATCAGGCAGCCTTCGCTTCTTTTCCTGCTTTGCGGGCCGCACTCGATGCAATCAACGGGCGCCGCCGCCGCCCGCGCCCCGGAGGAAAAAAAGCTCAGGCCCCGGGAGCAGAAGGGCGAGAGCTTAAGGCGTAAGAGCTTATGACAGTCTACGAGCGCGGACCTACTGGGCTGCCCTGCGCCGGCCTTTGGGGTGCAAATGGGAAACCCGGGCGGCGGAGAACCTGATCATGACCGGAAGCGCGTGGTCCTGCCGTGAAGCACTGTATACGTCTGTCCACAGCTCCATATAAGACGCAGGTCCGACCGCAGACGATCTGCTCCGGGCTGCTGGATGGGATAAGCCATAACTAATCGCGATGGCCGCAGTATCTGGTATCGCCAACCCTACAGCTGCCAGGTAACGTGACCTAAACAACACCGCCGAGGGTCTGGTGTACTCAGGGCCTCGTACCATAAAAAAAAGAAGCAAACCGTCCTCGGCTGCCCGTCGCCTCCTCGTCTTCCTCGCCATCGCTTCCACTTGCCTCCAACCCGCTCGCCTCGTCTGTTCTCGGTTCAATTCAGCGTCGCCGTCGCGGATTATCCGTTTTCTTTGTAGACCCTCCTCAATGGACGCCGCGCTGCTCGGTCCTCAGCAGAGGCAGGCGACTAAAGAGACTGCCGCAGGCTCACCTGCCCTGCCCTTGGCCGCCTCCTCCTCCCTGCCTGATCTGCCCCCGGACTCCTTCGCATGCCAGCCAAAGTACCGCCCCGTCGACGCCCAGGCACCCGCCCCTCTGCCCGGCCGCGCCTGGACCGACGCAGACATCATGGTCCTCATTGACGCCTACACGCGCTGCAAGCAGGAGTCCATGGTCGCCGCCGCCGCCCGCCGCGCTGCCGCGCTCGCTTCCGCCGACCAGCTCTACACCCAGCATGGCCGGTCGGCGTCGGAAAAGGACCGCGAGAAAGCAGAGACCTCAGAGGAGATGTTTGAACGCATCCACTCCGAGTTTGTCAAGCACGCTGCCAATCCGAACCGCACGCCAAAGTCGTTGCACGAAAAATTTGGTTTTCTGGCCCTCACTTATCGGCGAATCAAGGACTTTCAGATGGGCCGTATCGAGGGCGCACCGAAGGGTGCGAATTGGTGGACTATGAAGGTCAAAGAGCAGAGGAGGTTTCTTACTAAATGCATGGTACTTTTTTTCCATTCTTTTTTTGCTCACGCTTATCAATCTGCACTTGTCGGATATATCGATATCTAACGCTTATCTCCCCAGACACCCATCTCCTTCGCGGTATATCAAGCAATTGAGCCCGTAGTCTCCCTCCTCGACGCCCAAAAGAACATGCTGCTCTCGACCTCCTCTTCCTCAGCCTCAGGCAGCCCGCGGATCCCCTTCACGCCCGTTTCCGCAGACATGTCAGACCTATCGCTGATGCAAAATTTTTCCGGCGCGACAGCTCCTCAGCAAAAGCTGCCTCATGTCCGGACGAGCTCGGTGTCGTTGTCGGGTCAGTCGGAGTCTAGGAGCCTGCCGATGTCGCCTGCTACTACTGGCCAGAGCCAGCTGCAGACCCCGACGTCGCCGTATGACCAGCTTCAGGCTCAGAGTATGGCTGGTCTGCAAGGGCATAACGGAGCTGTGTTTTTGTCGCCTCAGTACTCGCAGCGTCTACAGCAGCCAAGGAATCAGCTCTTCCAGCAGATGCAACAGCAGCAGCAGCAAAGACAGCAGCAGCAGCAACATTACCAACAGCAGCAGCAGCAGCAGCAGCAGCAGCAGCAACAACAACAGCAACAGCAGTTTCAGCAGCAGTTCCAGCATCCAATGCAACAGCAATCCGACATGCAATCGCAGCAAGAGTTCCGCTCGCACGACCAGTCCAGCGAATACTCTGACCAGCTGATGTACCAATCCGACACAGACGCGCAGATGCGGATGTCAATCACGCGGCCGGGGGAGTTGGGCGAGGCGGTGCAGTTCCAGGGCGAGGACAGCAACGGTGTCAAGAAGCGGCGGTTGGAACATCAGGTGCAGTACTATAGCGACGAGGCTGCGCTGGGGGGTGACGAGTCTGAGGAGATGCAGCAGTATGGTCAACCGCACATCAAGCAGGAGTCGTTCACAATGCGCCAAGGAATGCGTCCGGAGTATAGTCTGGGAGACGCGTTTTCGCCGCAGACGCGGACACAGCAGCAGCAGCAGCACGAGGAGCAGCAAGCGCAGCAGCAGAACATGTACACAACCTCGCAGCCCCAGGCCACGCAAGTGATGCAGGAGTTCATGACGATATACAAGCAGCTGATGGAAGACCAGCGGCTGCGCGACGAAAAGATCCTGGGGATCTTGAATTCCATTTCCATCATGACCAACACCATTTGCCAGGTCGTCCGACAAAAGCGCGGGCACGACTCGATTATGGAGTAGTCTCTCTTCATTATTGCATTTTTCTCTCTTCATCAGCATCTCAAAAAAAGGTTTTCATTGTTTTTTACGCATTTCTACCACTGTGATCTTTGCTTTGTCTGTTTTTAAGTTCTGTTTCATTTTATCATGCGCACATCATTTGCACAAGGGGATTTCCAAAAGAAAAAAAGAAAAGATGATGGTAATGGCAGGTTCGGGCAGGAACTAACGAGCATTTATAGAATGACATTTCAGATTTTTCATTCAGTTTCATTCTCTGGGTTCTAATTCTTTTTGTTTTTCTTTTCTTTCATATCACAGTTGAGTCTATGTTTGGATGGTTTTGCGATTCTTGGTTATAGTTCTACAACACGGCGGCAAAGTTTTCTGCTTGCACGTCTGTTGTCGTCATCATCGTTTGCTTCAGTTTTGTTTCATTGTCCTTTAGATTTACGGAGTTTAGCGGCGCATTTGCTTTCTGTGCATTTATCATCATATATCATGTTATAGACCGTTTTCGATTCAGAGAGGAGAGGAGAAGCTCAAGCTCATAGAGAGTAATATCTGAGAAGGATGATTATTTAAAGAGCGAATACAAATATAGAATAAGTTATTAGCAATAGTTTTAGTAGTTATAGTTCCAAGAAAGGAAGAAGGAAGTGGTGACCAGCAAGGGACTCAGTCAGCGAGGCAAAGCCGGGGTTGGGTTCAGTGTAGCGACGGAAGATCCCATTTCAGGAATCAGCCCTTGAAGATGTTGCGGCCTAGTTTTCAGTCTAGAACAGAGAATGGTGCAAGTTCCTGCTATTATCACGTAGAATATAAACACCTTTCCAATCAACTATCACTCTAAAAACAAGCAGTGAACAAGAAGCGGCGAAAGAACATCAACTCGCTCTGGTCGGAAATTAAAATTAACCTTCGGCAAGCTTCACGGCTTCTCTTGGTTTTCTCATTTCTGGGCTTACCTCACTCTACTGTTCGTCCGCTCAGGCCCTGTTCTGTCTTTAAGGCTACTTATAGTCGGTCGGGCTCGCGTCTGGATGTTTTGCTGAGAGAGAGAACAGTTGTTAATCTCTAGTGAGAGTACAGTTCGAAGAAGGAGTCTCGTCACCTCGCGATATTTACATCATCTCCTATCATCTACATCAACATCAACACCTACCCCAGCATCTACATCACCATGTCTGCCCACCCATCAAAGCGCATACAGTGCTTCAGCATTCCAACAACAGACCCATGCTGCACCAACCCTCCCCTCCCCGCCACCGTCGCCGCCGACTGCGCGCACTGCGGTCTGTCAAAATACGACAACAGCAGCGATGCGTGCTCCGACTGCTGCTGCTGCTTCGAACCATCTGACTGCGTCGACGAGTCTTGCGCGCTTGCTTTGAATCATCCGCAGCAGCCGACTGCAAAGGCGTCCACGCAGGAGGTCGTCTGCGCTAGCCCCCACTGCGAACTCGACTCTTGCGACTTGCAGTGCTGCTCCAGCGAAGCCGAGACCTCAGACTGCGCAGAATGCGTATCGCACACGTCGGCGTGCGACAAGCAAGACTGCTGCAGCAGCTCGTCTTCTACGGGCACGTCCACCCCTTTGTCGGAAACGAGTCCCTCGCTGCAGCACCAGCAAGGCGCGCAGTCGGCCAAGTTTGCCACGGCGGCGCAGTGCCACCACGGATACGATCCGGAGAGTAAAGTCTGCCACTGGGGCGACGACTGCGCGTTTTCGTTTACGTCGACGTTGGATCTGGATAACCACCTGCGCACGTCGCATATCTCGATCCTGGACCACCAGCGGCTGCAGAACGCGATACAGCAGGAAGCGCGGCAGCGGCAGCTCGAGGCGCGGCGGCTGGAGCAGCAGCGGATCCAGGAGGAGCAGATCAAGCAGGAGCACGAGAAGCAGCAGGAGCAGCAGCGGCAGCTTGAGGCGGCGTTATTGTGTCAGTGGGATTCGTGCGGGATGATGACGACGGAGCTGGATGCGCTGCTCAGTCACATCAAGAGCACGCATGTGGTGAAAGCCGGTCCGAGTTCCGCGCTGATGCCGCCAGAGTCGAATATACCGGCGACTACGAGCGAGTTTGTCGAGTGCCACTGGAACCAGTGCTCGGAGCCATCGGTTGATACGTCGGGGTTCGACGCGCATCTGGTGGGACATCTCGCGACCGCTCCTCTGCAGTGCGAGTGGGACGAGTGCGATTTCACGGCGCTGACATCGGGGACGCTGGTTTCGCATGTTGTGCATGATCATGTGCCGAGTGAGAAGGCTGCGGCGGCGGTGGCGTTTCAGCAGGGGATGGGGGGGAGTATGTATTCGGCGCATATGCTTCCTCAGCATCATGGGTCATCGCACTCTCATCATTCGCACCATCATGATCATGCACATGGTAGTCATCTACACAATCACTCTCATCACAGCATCCACGGCGTCAACAACATCGACAACACCAACAACATCAACAACATCACCAACATCACCAACATCAACAACATCACCAACAGTATCAACGACAGCACATCAACAACACCAACCGAAGACACCGAGCACAGATGCTGCTGGTTGGTATCAGAAGACAGCGTATGTGCGCAAATATTTGAGTCGACCCGCGCACTGTCAGCGCACATTGTGGCCGAGCACGTCGGCTCGCGCAAGCAGGAATACACATGTTTCTGGAAAGGCTGCGAGCGCAACACGCGGCCGTTTTCGCAGCGGCAGAAGATCATACGGCATCTACAGATCCACACGCACGACCGGCCGTTCGAGTGCCGGGTGTGTGGGCGGCGGTTTGCGGATCAAGGCGTGCTGGCGCAGCATGAGCGGATTCATTCGGGGGAGAAGCCGTTTGAGTGCAAGATGTGCGGGAAGCGGTTTGCGGCGAGCACGGCGCTGTCGGTGCACTTGCGGATACACACGGGCGAGAAGCCGCTGCAGTGCAAGTGGCCAGGGTGCGGGCGGCGGTTTTCAGAGTCGTCTAATCTGGCGAAGCATATGAAGACGCATACGAACGAGAAGAAGTACAAGTGCGAGGTTGACGGGTGCGGGAAGGAGTTTCTACGGCATGACCAGTATGTTAGGCATTTGAAGACCCATCGGAGTGAGAGCGAGGAGGGCGGGTGTGAAGGGCCTCGGGCGCATGTCAAGGGAATGATTAAGCAGGAGGGGACGGTGGTTGATGGGTTTGGACGGACGTTACAGGGCAGGGTCAATGTGTATGTGTAGGTGTATGTATATAATGAATATAGTCGACTACGACAGTAAGGCTCTTCACCTGGGGGTGGCGGCGAGTCAGGTGGCCATAGTAGTTGGAGTTGGTGAGCAGCAGAAGAAGCAAGAAATGAGATCATTCCGAGATCCGAGGATAAAAAGAGAGAAGGGCGAAGGAGCCGGAGAAAGGTCGCGGAGGAGGAGATGCCTCGGTCCGACGGGAGGGAAGAAGTAGAGGTCCTCGGCAAGAGCGCGGAGTGCGGCGGAGTGGCGGTGGGAGATTTGGTTAGGGCGATGAGGACTGCGGCGGATCTCGAGAGGTGATGAGGAGGATTATGAAGAGGATGAGGAACGAAAAGAGGAAGAAGAAGAGGAAGAAGAAAAGGAAGAAGAAGAAGGACCATCAACAATATCCTCATCCACCGGAAGAGATCCTCGGACGAGCGCAGAGCAGCGGTGGACGCGACGCAGCCGACTCGGAGCCGTGGAGAAGACCCGGAGCCCCGCACGCACGTGCCGCCCGCTGCCTTTTAACCAACCTCCACTCCGCTTCTTCCTCTTCCCCAGTGTCTTCTATCCACCACTCGATATCCCCATGTTGCGCACTCTTCCTCACCGTCAGATCATTAGAGTATGCTCTTCTTCATCTCTCATCTCTCTTCTCTCTTCTAACCTGCTCAGATGTCAAAGACAAAGACCCAGACCATCGCCCGGCCCTTCTCCTCCTCCAGACTCTCCCTCAACGCCGCCGCCTCCGCTCCCAAACCCGACGAGCATGTCTACGTCGAAGACTGGTCCGCCGGCAAAATGCTCCGATTCCAAGAGTCTCTGCCCAAGCTCCCCGTCCCCCCGCTCGAGCTGAGCGCCCAGCGATACCTGAAATCAGTCAGTCACCTTGTTCCCAAAGACCAGCTCGAGAAAACGACCGAGATCGTCAAGAAATTCATCTCCTCTTCCGGCGAAGGCCCCGAGCTGCAAAAGAAGCTTGTCGCAAAAGCCAGTGATCCCAAAGTCAAGAACTGGGTCTACGACTGGTGGAACTCGGCCGCCTACATGGCCTACCGCGATCCCGTCGTTCCCTACGTCTCTTACTTTTACGGACACAAAGACGACAGCCGCTACGCTTCGCCCGAAGCCAAGGCTGCCGCAATCTCCACCGCCGTTCTCTCGTTCAAGACCTTGGTCGACACCAAACAGCTCGAGCCCGATTTCATGAGGAAGAAGCCAATGTGCATGGACTCGTTCAAGTGGATGTTCAACGCCAGCCGCGTCGCTGCTCCCGGCGAGGACTACTCTGTCAAGTTCTCGCCCGAAAACCCCGAGCACCAGACGATCCTCGTCATCCGCAAAAACAGACTCTACATACTCCCGCACGAGGTCGACGGCAAGCAGTTAACCACCGCCGAGCTCGAGATCCAGTTTGCTAAAATCATCAAGGACGCCGACGCAAAGGGACCCGGCGCCGCCATCGGCGCCTTGTCCTCCGCCAACCGCGACGACGGCGCCGTCTACCGCGAGCATCTGATCTCAGCCGGTCCCAACAACAAAGCTTTGCTCGAGAAGATGGAGAGCTCTTCGTTTGTCGTCGCTCTCGACGACGCCGCTCCCGACAGCCACACCGAGCGTGCCCACCAGTTCTGGCACGGCGACGGCCAAAACAGATTCTACGACAAGCCATGCCAGTTCATTGTCTGCGACAACAAGGTCTCGGGATTCATGGGCGAGCACTCGATGATGGACGGAACCCCTACATGCACATTGAACGATTACGTCTGTGACGTTCTTGTTCAGAACAAGGTCGACCACGGTGCTCCTGCTTCTGCCGCTCGCGCGCTGGCCGATCCCCAGGAACTCGAGTTTGATGTTAGCGAGCAACTCGCGGCTGACATCGAGGCTTCGAAGAAAGCCTTCACTGAAGTGATTGGTCTCCACGAGCTGGACGTCAACGCGTATCAAAAGTACGGCAAGGAGCAAGTCAAGAAGTTCAAGGTCTCGCCCGACGCGTGGGTGCAGCTCTCGTTCCAGCTCGCGTACTACCGAAAGTACGGCTACGTCCGTCCGACGTACGAGTCCGCCACGACGCGACAGTACCAGCTCGGACGGACCGAGGTCTGCAGATCGTGCACACCCGAGGCGTTTGCGTTTGTAAATGCAATGGAGGACGCGTCGGTCGACAATGCAAAGAAGATTGCGCTCGCGCGAGCGGCTACCAACGCGCACGCCGCGTACATCAACAGCGCGACCCAGGGATTTGGCTGCGACAGACACTTTTTCGGTCTCAAGAACCTGGTCGACAAGTCCAAGCCGACGCCTGAATTCTTCACCGATCCCACTTTTGGCTTCAGCTCGACCTGGATCATGAGTACATCTCAGCTGAGTAGCGAGTACTTCAACGCCTACGGATGGTCGCAGGTGACCGACGAGGGCTACGGTATCGCGTACATGATCAACAAGAACTCGCTGCAGTTCAACGTTGTGTCGAAGAAGAAGGATTCGCCGGGGATGGCTAACCAGATCGGAAAGGCGTTGGATGATATGGCTGCGTTGTTTAGCACTGAGCTGCCGGTCAAGGCGAAGCTGTAAGTTGTAGAGGGACTGGTAATAGATTATATGGATTGTCTACAAACAAGTGTTTTAATATAATGAATGCTCTCGCTCTGTGCAGCCGTATGAAATACATAAAGATACAAATCAACTTTTGATGAATCCCTAAACGCCCGAAATACCAAGAAAATGAATACGAAAATCAAGCACGAGATATTCAATCTTCAGCAAATCTGACCCTCCGCTTTGCGCCCTTGGCAGGCTTCTCGCTAGGACTGTCAAACACCGACAGATCATCTCCTCCGTCGACCGACTTGCCCTTCCGTTTCGCCTTCTTGATATCCTTCTTCTTCTGCTCGAGCTTGTCGACCTTCGCCTGCTCTCTCTTCTCGATCTCCTTGCGCTTCGCCTCTCTGATCGCCTCCAGCTCCTTCGCGCGCTCGATCTTCGTCGCATGCACCTGATCCATCCGCGCCGTAACCACACTCACAAGCTTCTGCATCGTATCCTTATCCTCCGCAAACACCTTCCCCTTCTTTCCCCGCTTGTGCACGATCCCCGCCGGCTTCAGCGCGGTGTTCAACTGCATCTCCTGCGCAAGATTCTTCCCGCTCTTCAACAACGCCTTCGCGTCCCGCACAGCCTTATTCCGCACCGCCTGCGCCTTCTTATCCACCCGCACGTTCCCCAGCGGCCCATGTGTCCGCGCCTGCTTCCGCGTCTTGCGCGTCAACCCGTCTTTTTGGCCCGCGGGTCGGATGTGCGATGACATCGCGTTCGCGGCAGCAGGGTCTGAGCTGGGTCGCGCGTTTACCATCGGCTTTTGGCCGCGAGGCAGGCCGTTGCCGGGTTTCTTCTGGCGGTGTTTGGGGGCCATCGTTCGCTGTTGTTACTTTTGAATTGTGTGGTGGGAAGATGTAGAGAGAGAGAGAGATGGCTGAGAACGTAGCCACTGTAAAAAAAAATATTCAAGCAGGGTAACACGGATTGGGAGTTTCAAACTTTAAATCGTCGGATTCAAAAGTGACTACGAATTCGACATGTTCAGCATATTTTGATCAAAGTTGCTTCTTCTCCATTATTATATAACAAAACCATTCTTAAAACATATCAAACATTAGAAAGAAAACTCCCAAGCACACTGAATAAGAAAACACAAAACAGAACTTTTTTGCTTTTTGCTTTTTGCTTTTGCTGTTGCTGTTGCTCTTGCTGTTGCTCTTGCTTTTGTTCTTGCTCTTGCTCTTGCTGTTGCTGTCGCTGATAGCACACTCTTTCTATTTCTTGCTTTTGATGGTGTATATACAGCTTTTTATATCAAAATCTCGTTAGTCGTTTAGTTAAGTAGCCACGGCCTGCTATCGAGCAGATCAGGGATAGCAGGTTGGCAGAGTAATTTCTGGTGCAAGACGTTCAGCGCCTTGAGCGCATCCTTCTCCTGAATCACGCACGAGATGTTGATCTCGCTCGCGCCCTGGCTGATCATCTCGATATTGACCTCCGCCTCGGCAAGGGTGGAGAACATGCGGCCCGCGATCCCAACGAGCTGCTTCATCTGCTTGCCGACAAGACTGACGATCGTCATGTTGCGGATCACGTCGACGGTTCCCAGCCGCTTGATGTCCTCGACCGCGAGGTGCAGGTCCTGGTCGCGCATCTCGGAGTGCAGCGCCATCGAGACGTGCACTTCCGAGGTCGAGATGAGGTCGACGACGATCTCGTGCTTGTGCAGGATGCCGAAGATTTCGGCCATGAAGCCGTGCGAGTGGAACCGCTTGTTGGAGTGCACGTTGATCACGGTGATGTTTTGTTTGGTGGTCACGGCCGTGGGCTCTTTCTTCTTCGCGTGGAAGAAACCAGACGAGATGCGCTCGAGCGCGGTGGGAGGGTGCGGCGGCGTGACGTCGCCCTTGCGCGAGATGTTGTCGGGGTAGATGATGGTGCCGTCGCCGGTAGGGTTCTCGACATTCTTAATGCGGATCGGGATGTGGGCGCGAATCACTTGCTCCATGGTGAACGGGTGGATGACCTCGGAGCCGTAGTAGGTCAGTTCGGCGGCCTCGTCCGGCGTGATCATCGGGATCAGGCGCGCGGTTGGGACTTTCCGCGGATCGGCCGTGAATATACCGTCGACCTCTTTCCAGACCTGGAGTTCGTCGGCGTTCATACCGACGGCAGCCAGCGCAGCGCAGAGATCAGTGTAGCCCCGACCGATGGCCTCGAGCAGACCACCGGGGACAACGCCAAAGTAGCCAGTAATCACGGGAACCTTGTCGCCGCACTCCACAATCTTCTTTGCAATCTCGGTAGCGATGTGGTCGTAGAACGACTGATCGATGCCGTTCTTGATGTTGTACCCGATCGGGATGATGGTATCCAGATTCACGTACTGCGCAGGCACACCGCGGTCGTTCAACAGCGAGGCCATAAACAAACAACTCAGCTTCTCGCCCGCGCCGATGATGCTGTCCTTTGTGCGTGGGCTGATTTCGTCAATGACCTGCGCGGCGCTCAGGAACCGCGCGAGTAAATCACATTCCTGGTTAATTTTGTTCTCGAGGTCCTCGAGGATGGATTGATCTTTGATGAGCTTCCGTGAGACGGAAAGGTGGTCTTCCCGGATGTCATCAACAACTTCTAAATGCTTGGTCGAATCCTTCTTGAGCGCATGCTCCGCGGCTCTTAGCAGTCTGTGATCTTGTCAGTCGTGCAACCTACGCTGCTGGGGGATTGTAGTCGGCTCCATACCTGTTGGTCGTGCCTTCAGCCTTGGTGTCCGTGCTACGAGCTGAGCAAACGATTGCCACCCGATACTTTTTTATATGCGCCCTAGATATCAGGTCAGTAAGTCAACTTTGCAAAGAGACAGGAAAAAAGAGAGAGAATCGACATACGCGACGATATTATCCACAATCTGCACCGGCATCTTGCCCACACTCGTACCGCCAAACTTCTGAATCACCCAACTGATCTCCTCGAGATTCTGACTGCTCGCCAGTCCATTACTCGGGCTTTCACTGCGATCGCTCGCCGCCGAGGCCGGTCTGCCGTTCTCGTAACTTAGTGCCGAAGAAAGACGAGGCATTGCGAGGTTTTTCTTTTCTGTGCTTGGGCTATGCTCCAAAGTAGTCTATATACCAAAACAAGCAGGACCTTCTCTGTGCTCTGTATAATTGAGCAGGTGAATCAACGGTCCGGACGGGGTAAAAGAAGCAGAAATCGGTACTCGCGGTAGGTGCCGGAGTTTGCGCAAAAAAAGTCACAAAAGGCAAAATTACTCACAATGAAAGAACTTGGAAAGTCATGTGACCTGGTACGAACACCGTGGTTGGTGTCAGCGCTCGCGACTTTTTTCTTTCGTTTGCCATCTCCTGTTCACTGTTCAGCAGTTAAAGACCCTGGTTGCTACTTGAACAGCTGAAGCTTTGAGATCCAGCGTGTTATTTGAGGATTGGTTCATTTTTGGAGTGTGAAGCTACGATGTCTTATTCTGAGGAAGGCAGTCGCGGAGACGCTTCTCCGCGCGACGGAGGTGCGAACGACCTCCGGTCCCGTATCGACACCAGCGACAGAGGCCGGCACGATCATGTCGCTTCGAGCCCGCACTCGGAGCGATCCGAGCGGTCGACGTCCAAGTCTGGCCATCATCGACGATCGTCGGTTGACAGCGATCGTACGCGCGACCGGGATAGAGACCGCGAGAGGGACCGCGACCGGTATAGAGATCGCGAGCGTGATCGGTCGAGAGAGAGGCGGCGGAGAGAGCGGTCGAGAGAGAGGCGGGATCGCGATCGGTATAGAGAGCGATCGCGGTCTAGGTCGCCTGGCGGCGGACGGAGGTGTGTATTTGTGCCGATTTTTTCCTTTTGTTCCTCAGCTAACTTGTCTTTTTGCTATAGTGAGCGACGTCGACGCGAGGAAGATCGGTACAGGGACCGACCCGAGAGAGAAAGTCATCGAGAGTCCGGACGCGCTTCTCGTGAACCCGAGAGAGATCGCCGGAACGAGAGACGTAGCTCGCCGAGACTTACCGAGGACGAACGTGATCAGCGTACCATCTTTGTTCAGCAATTGGCGGCACGTTTGCGCACTAAAGAACTGATTGCATTCTTTGAGCAGGCCGGACCCGTCCGCGATGCACAGATTGTCAAAGACCGTGTCAGTGGGCGGTCGAAGGGGTATGTTACTTTTTATTTCGTTTGGATGTGGAGGCTTTTGCGCTAACAGAATAACATAATTTAGAGTCGGATACGTCGAGTTCAGAGATATTGAGTCTGTGCAAAAGGCTATTAACATGACTGGCCAGAAACTACTTGACATCCCTGTGATTGTCCAGCTTACAGAAGCTGAGAAGAACAGACTTGCTCGAGCCGAATCATCTGCGTATGTGCTGCCTACCTCTGTGTCCTGCTGTGATTTTGATACTAACGATTCATACAGATCTGCCCAGCACGCTTTAGAACAGCAACGACAGCAGATGGGAGCGCAGCAAGTCTACAATCGTTTGTACGTAGGCAACATTCACTTTGCGATTACTGAGTCCGATTTGAAACAGATTTTTGAATCGTACGGAGCAGTTGATTTCGTCATCTTGCAAAAAGATGAGACGGGTGTTCGTTCTAAGGGATTTGGTTTTGTCCAGTAAGTTCAACTTCCTTCGTATTTGATAAAGCATAGTTGGGCTAACATGGTGGATAGGTTTGCTGAGAAAGAGAGTGCACAGAATGCGCTAGAACTAAACGGCTTTAAACTAGGTGGTCGACCGATCAGAGTTGGTCCCGGGAACGAAAAAATTGTGACCGAGCCTCCAGAGTTATTGATCAAGCGATTAGGTGGTGGACCAGGCGTCGAGATTCCATCGTCCTTGGCCGCTGCATCTGCTGGTGCTGGTGGTGGTGATATAGGCAGCGACATGAGGTCGCATTCGGGCCGTGGACGGGACGATAAGAAGCCGACTGGGCAGCTTGCGTCTGCGCTGGATGACTCTGATGTTTCTGGAGTTACACTTAACTCTGTCTCTAGGGAAAGCCTGATGAAGAAGCTCATGCGTGAAGAAGATGCTTTGCCGGTGGAGGAAGCGCCTGCCCCGAGGAAGCCGACTGTTGGTGTGCAAGCTTCAAGATGTATTGCTTTGAGCAACATGTTTGATCCTGATGAGTAAGTCTGTCCTCTATTTTTTGAGTGGGATGATGCTAATATTCTAATTAAATATAGGGAGGATGGTCCAGATTGGGTGAAAGAGCTTGAAGAGGACGTGAAAGCCGAGTGCGAAGAGAAATATGGTAAAGTCGTTCATCTGGCCGTCGAGCCGGCGTCCAAGGGCGAGATCTTTGTCAAGTTTGCGGACGTCAGTGGCGGTGAAAAAGCTATCCTCGGTCTTAATGGCAGATACTTCGGAGGCCGGCAGATCAGCGCGACACCGGTCGTTGACATGGTGTATTCTCTACGGTATGTACCAATCTCATCAAGTGCATGTGGAGTTGATGTGTTCTAACTGTATGCGCATTTAGCTTCCCGCGATCTCGCAATTTGTGAATTGAAAATCATGCCCAGCATCTAATAGACCATGGGCGGTCGTATAGTTTCTCTTGCTTCGATCGGTCATTATATGTGCACTATCTCACCATGTCTTTCACACTCTTTAGTTTGGCAAACGAAAGCACATATAAAGAAAAGAGAGAATAGAGAGCTGCACATCTCGCGATGTGGTCGATCGATCCTCTACTTGCTCCCTTGGAGGTTTCCTCATCTTGTTTTAATCTTTGCTCTTTATTTTGTGTTAATTACTACTTTAGTTCTTGTCTTGTTAGTTTTCTCGTTTTTCGTTTTATTAATATAGGTCGAAACGGCTGGCTCGTGCCGATGAAAAAAGCAGGAGTGGAGGAGGAGGATGTTGAAGTCTGGGCTGGTCAATGTTGATTGAGCCGCGGCCTGGGATGTACGTGTGCTGCGCGTGTACTCTGTGCGTTTGATTAACTTGAGCTGTTATTAATCGAGAAGTTACCGATGGTAGTTATTTCAAGTCGCAATGGAGCATGGTGCACCCGAGCGCGGGGACCGTGCGGAGATGATTTGCTGCTGATGTCGCTGTAGATAGGGAGTAGTAGATCTCAGAGATATATACAACAGAAAGCTATACGAAGAATAGGATAAAGAAATAGCCAGTCTTGGATATATCTCAGAAAAGACGGGTTCAAGTGAGCCAGATCCAAGGTTTACAGTTAAGCGGACGCCCGAGGACCCCGCTGATAAAGCGCGAAAGTAAAGAACTTTCTTCTTCTCGCTCTCTTCCTCTTCTACCCTATCGCTCCTGAGTCATCTCACTCGACACCTTCTCTTATTGAATTCTAGGAGGAATACCAGACACATTTGTTTTGGTCAGTGATATTGGGAATTAGTAATTGTTGGATATAGTATATACTCTGCAGGCAGAACAAGTATCGAAAATGTTTACCGGAATCGTTGAAATGATTGGGGGTACGTCCTTTCTGCAATTGCAGTTATACAGTCTCTTGTTTGTAGAAGAGCAAGAGGAATACTGACAATTGGATACAGAGGTGAAGGAGTTTATTGAGCAAGATACCTCGGACGTCGGAGGATACGGAAGCTCGATCGTGATCACCAAGTGTGAGCTTATCTTGTCGGACGTCCATCTTGGAGATAGCATCGCCGTCAACGGTACGTCTCTCTGTACTCATTGCACATTAGCTGCTGCCTTGTCTACAGCATGGAACTACTCATGCCTAATACGTCTATCTAGGAACCTGCGTCACCGTCACCGACTTCAACTCCACAGACTTCAAGGTCGGCGTCGCGCCCGAGACCCTTCGACGCACCAACCTCGGCGAGCTTCGTCCGGGCGACAAAGTGAACCTCGAGCGCGCGGTCGCGGGCCACGTCCGGTTCGGCGGCCACTTTGTGCAGGGCCACATCGACACCACCGCCGAGATCCTCTCGATCACGCCCGACGGCAACGCAAAGACGTTTTGGTTCCAGCCCAAGGATTCTGAGATCCTGCGGTTCGTGGTCGAGAAGGGCTTTATTGCTGTCGATGGCGCGAGTTTGACTGTTATCGATGTCGACGAGGAGGTTCGGAAGGGGTTCTCTGTCATGCTGATCTCGTACACGCAGGAGAAGATCGTGACTGCGAGCAAGCCTGTCGGCGCGACCGTTAATATCGAGGTTGATTTGATGGGCAAGTTGTTGGAGAAGCAGGTCACCCGGCAGATCGATAACCAGCTCAAGGGGCAGCTGAATAACACCCTCGGAAGCATGATTGACAAGGCTATCGATGAGAGAATGAAGCATATCCGTTAAGGTGGTATTGAGATTATTTTGTCTAAAAAGTTATGCGTTAGGGGAAGAGGTGTTTAATGATGTTGACGTCCTTTCTCTTTTAATTGTTTATGGGTGTTTTCTGGCTGGTAGCTGTTTACAGACTAAATCTAATCCAAACAACTTTTAATATTTAATAACTAAAGTACATTGCACAGCAAACCCCAAACTACCTCTCCTCTCTGTCCATATCGTCATTATGCTTCCTCTTCTTTCCATGCGTGATTCCATCGGTCTTGCGCTTCCGCTGCTTAGCGTGCAACTGCTTCATCTCATTAATCGCCTCTCTCTGCGCCTCGCCCACGCGCTCGCTCAGCAACATCACCGCTTCCTTATCAATCGGGTACTCATCAAGCTTCTTCCCCAGCACACCTTCTATCCGCAGATACAGCTCGAGATCATACTGCGTCACGAGCGACAAACTCTTACCCGCCCTGCCCGCGCGCGCGGTTCGCCCGACGCGGTGGATGTAGGCTTTCGAATCCGTCGGGATGTCGTAGTTGAGCACGCAGTCCACGAGCGGGATATCGAGACCGCGCGCGGCGACGTCGGTCGCGACCAGGATCGAGCGCGCGCCGGACTTGAACTTATTGAGCGCGCCCAGGCGCGAGGATTGGGTCATTTGGCCGTGCAGCGGGATCGCGGGGAAGCCTAGGCTGCGAAGCAGGATCGCGAGGCGCTCGGTGTCGTTGCATGTGCGGGCAAAGATGATCATGGACTGGCCCGCCATTTCGTTTACGAGATAGACTAGGTACGTATCCTTGTGCTTGAAGGGGAAGAAGAGATACGACTGCAGCAGTGTCTTGACGGTCTCGTACTTTGTCGACACGGCAACCCGTACTGGACTCGCGAGCGATGCGCGCTGGAGCTTCTCGACTTTTGAGGTCATGGTAGCCGAAAACAGCAGCGTGCGACGCTCGGTAGGGATAAGTTGCAGCAGCTTGTCGATAATCGGACCAAAGTCCATATCAAGCAACCGATCGGCCTCGTCCATGACCAAGTACTTCAATCCTCGCAGGCTGAACCCCTTTGTGTGCTCTAAATGATCCATTAAACGACCGGGGGTAGCGACGATAACATGTGGCTTCTTGCCGAGCGCGACTGATTGCGACATCATGTCCATACCGCCGACGATGACGGCACAGCGCAGGCCAATGACTTGGCCTAGAGATTCGAATTGCTCGGAGATCTGGTACGCCAGTTCGCGTGTGGGGGCCAACACGCAGGCAAATAGAGGAGACGGCTTTTGCCAAAGAGCTGTAGATGATTATTAGCAAAAGTTTGAGACGACAGGATAATCGTTTGTACTCACCTTGTAGAATAGGAATTGCAAAAGCAGCGGTCTTTCCACTACCCGTCTGCGCCAACCCGATAACATCACGTCCTAAACCCCAGTCAGCACACGTCTAACCCAACAGTAAAGCATATCAAGAAGAAATATACCTTCAAGAGCAACCGGAATCGAATGAATTTGAATCGGCGTAGGTTTCTTGAACTTCATCGCCTTGCATGCCTCGCAGATCGGTTCGATAACGCCCTGAGCACACACTGTTAGCACTTGCTGTCTCCGTATATCGATCGTAGAATAGCTGCAAACATACCAACTCTTCAAAGCTCTCTATTTCTTTCTCACTTGTTGCTTCTTCTGATTTCTCCCCTGCTGTCTCTTCCTCCTCCTCCTCCTCCTCCTCCTTTTCTTCTTCCTCCTCTTCCTCACTCACATCCTCCTCCTCCTCCTTCACCACCTTCTTCTCCTCCTTCACCCGCTTCACCTTCCCACCCTCACTCTTCTTCACCTTCTTACTCTTACTCTTAATCTCTTTAATCGCCATATTCAGTTCCTATATCGCACGATACTGTTCAACTGCTGCGCTACAATCAAGACACTCAGAGAAGAAAACCGAGCGAAAGAAAAAAAAAACTCCCAACCCGCCGCACGCGTTTTTAAGGTTTTCAGATTTTTTTTTGTTCTTCTTCCTCGAGCTCTGCTTCTTCCTTGCAATATCTGCTTTCTTGCTGTTTTGTCAGGAGGTCTTTTGTTGTTGGTTTAAGTGGGATTGTATAGATTCTGAAAGAAGGAAAGAGAGTTATTGGATATTTATACAATACCTTCTTTATAGAAGGAGCAACTACACACCATGGTCAAACGCAGAGTACGTCAATCAACCACATCTGATCTCTTTCTCTCCTCCATCTCAAGCTAACCTCCCTTCCTTCCCAACAGACAAAAAACAGAACCCATGTGGCGCAACCCAACCCGGTCGATGCTGGAATTCCGCAGTCGATGGTGCTCCGAATCGGAGGATCGAGCGTCGGCGTGAGTCTGTCGCAGCTGGTGCTGGATGTGAGGACGGTCATGCAACCGCATACTGCTGTCAAACTTCGCGTATGCCGATACTGTTCTTTTGAATGAGGATGAGGTTCTATTCCTGACTAACACGATGATTTTCTCTGCAGGAACGGAAAGCGAACAAACTCAAAGATTACCTCACGATGGCAGGCCCACTAGGCGTCTCCCACCTCCTCCTCTTTGCAAAGTCTCAGTCCAACGAAACAACCCTCCGCATCGCGCACACCCCTCGCGGCCCTACCATCCACTTCCGCGTCCAAAGCTACTCGCTCTGCAAAGACATCCGCCGCGTGCAGCGCCACCCTCGCACGCTCGGCCCGGACGCGCTCGAGTCCCCGCCCTTGCTGGTCCTGAACGGGTTCCAGCCGCCGCCGACGGCGGAGAACGCGACGGATAAAGCGCACTTGAAGCTGATGACTTCGATGTTTCAGAACATGTTCCCGGCAATCACGGCCTCTGCGTCGGCGCTGAAGAAGATCAAGCGGGTGATGCTGGTTAACTTTGATCAGGAGTCGGGCGAGGTTGATATCCGGCACTATCTGATCTCGACCAAGACGCTTACGAAGCCGGGACGGAAGATTAAGATGGAGATAAAGAATGAGGAAGAGGATGCGAGTAGCAAGGATATAGACATGGCGGATTTCGAAGACGAGGCAAACGATCGCGACGCAGGAAGCGACGACGACTCTGACGCTGAAGAAGAAGACGACGACGAAGACGAATCCGAGGACGAAGACAAATTCCTGCCCTCGGCACCATCCACCGCCGCGCGCGCCAAGCTGCAAAAACTTCTCCTGGCAAAGAAACGGCTATCGCGAAAACTCCCACACCTCGGCGCCAGCAAAGATATCGCCGACTACGTCCTGCGCGAAGACGCCGAGATGAGCGCCGTCACGTCCGAGTCTGAGGCTGAGGACGACGATCTGTTTGACGGATCGATACTCAACAACGGGCCTGTGCGGAAGGGAAGCAGCAAGGCGGAGAAGAAGGCGGTTAAGCTGATTGAGGTCGGGCCGCGGATGAGGTTGAAGTTGATTAAGATCCAGGACGGCGTTTGCGAGGGTGATGTGTTGTATCATGCGTTTAGAAGCGCGGGACCGGCGCCGAAGAGGGCGAAGAAGTCAAAGAAGGAGAAGAAGGAGAAGAAGGAGCGGGCAAAGGAGGAGGAGGAATAGAGGTCTAAAAGTTTGATTACGTTACGCATGTCTGTTCTATCATAAACGACGGTTGAGACAAATTTTGTATATTACCTAAATATATCACTGAGATTTTGATCATATTCAGTAGGAGGTCTCTTTAACAAACCATCCGCACCTCTATTGCTCCCGCCAGACTAATGGAGAACTAAACTGTAGAAGCATCAAGCGAGTGCGGATTCCCTTTACCACCTGGTCATCTTCATAGAGTGAGAGAACATGAAAAGAAAAAGTCCATTATAATACTAAACAAAGAAAGCCGAATAACAAAGAAAAAAAACCCAACTTTTTAAAAAACAAAATGTCAAGCACAGTGGAAGATATGATGGATGAGATAGATAGGATGAACATGACAGGACCATGGCGTAATCAACGAGTCGAACAAGGGGAGTAAAAATCTAGGGAGGTCGTGGGATTTACGAGGTGATCTTCTTCGTCAGCTTTGATGATGTACCGTTCGTGCTGCCTCCGACTTTCTTTCGCGAGCCGTTGACAGCAGGTGTTCCATTACCGTTCGTGACGAGTCCGTTAGTCTTTGCCTGTTTCGATGGCGTGCTGCTGCTGCTGATCGAAGCGGCGCTTTTGACGCTCGAGTTGTCATCTGAGTCAACAGAGAGCCCGGACCGTTTCCGCTTCGGCATGCGTAGGATCGGAATATCGAGGCTGAGGTCGAGAGTAGCCATCCAGCTCGCGCCCCAGAGCCACAGCCTACTCGGCGCGTCCGAGCCCTCGATATATACGCCGCAGCATTTATCGACCAGGTTATGAAACTCGCTTGGCACGAACTCCGAGTTCCGTCGCGACCAAGCCGTCATTCCCTTCTCGGACACGGAGAATTGCAGGACTTTCATCTCGGCTGAGATCACGACGATCGAGTCGTTGTCGGGACAGAATGTGACTGCGGATGCAAAGACGGGGATTTTGGGAAGCGTCCACACGAGGGACTGCGTGGGCCAGTCGTAGATATCAACCCGGCCGCCGAGCGTCGCCAGCGCGAAATACTTTCCGTCATCGGAAAACGCAATGTGATTGATGTTATCAAGATATGGCAGCGCAGTCTTGACTTTCTCCTCATCGTCATCGTCAGAGGATATAGTGGTCGGAGAATAATCCAGCTCGGCGAGCGACTGCGGCCCTATTGTGTAGCTGAAAACTTCGGATTCGTGGTTCACCATCACGAGGTTCTGGCTCACGGGATGAAACGCGAGTAGAGTGCATCCGCGGTCGGCAAGAACGGGAGAGCTGGTCTTTTTGACATTGTAGACGAAACCGTTTTTCGAGGGAAGGAGAAGGAATAGCTTGACTTCTGACGCGGTAGCGACGGCGAGGTACCGAGCGTCCGCCGAGAGCGCAACGTGAGTGATATTTTCATCATTCTAGAAAAGCAGTTAGTAAAAACAAATTCTCATAGGTGATAGCGGGGGTAGAGAGCATACATTCAGGGTCAAGGACGCGACCAGGCGCTTAGTCTTTGGCTCGGTATCAGCACCGCCAGGAAGTTTCTCAAACTTCCGCAACGACCAGACTTTAACCTGGTTATCGCTCCACAGCGCGACCAGTCTTTTTGAGCCAGAACTGTGGACATAGTGTCTCTGCGGGCAGACCGCGATCTTTCGGAACGCGGCGTCCATGAAATGCTCGACAGAGTTGATGACGATGGCTTGCTCTACGCCACCGGAGATGAGCCAGTTAAGCGACTTTGATTCGTAGAGGGATAGCGCGCGGATGTCTTGCGCGTGGATTAGTCGGCTGGACATGTTTGCCCACCGGCGGAGTTTGCTGTCGACGATGGAGTAGCGGACGATCTTGCGGTCGACGCCGGCGGAGAAGACAGAGTCTGAGGATTCGTTGCCGGCAAGGCAGAGCACGTCGGCGTCGTGCACCTGGAACGACTGCAGCAAAGAGAAGTGTGTGGCGTCCCAGAACTTGACAGCGCCGGTCGAGTCACCAGAGACGATCGTCTTTCCGTTATTGAGCACGAGCACGGCCCAAACTAATGTCTGCTCGCCCTGCGCCTTGTCGACTCGCATCGTGCCAATGATCCGCCCGACCGCGCTCGCGCTAGTCGCCTCGGTCCCGTTCGGTTCGCCGACATCAGCCGAAGCAACCGCAGCCCACACACGGATCCGTCCGTCCGCGCAGCCGCCGACGACCTGCGAGTTGCAGCGCCAGGCAATGCTGAGCACTCTTGACTTTTGTCGCTGCAGGATCCGCAGGTGCTCGAGCGAAGCCTTGCCGCCTGAGATGTCGATGATCTTCACCGAGCCGTCGTCGCAGCCTGCGGCGATTTTCGTGCCGTCGGGCGAGACCGCGATTGACCAGACGATTCCGGCGTCGCAGTCGTGGTGCTCGAGCGGGAGACCGGTCTTGAGATCCCATTCGGTGACAGCGGTCGAACCACCGATAGAGAATAGACGGAGGTCGCCGTTACTGACTGACCAGGCAAGCCCTTCGATCGACCGATTCCGTCCGCCTTTTATAGTCTACCAGACAGTAAAAAAAACTCATTAGCCAACGCCCCAGAACTTTACACAAAAGAAAGGAAGCAGCATACAGTCTCGTGAACCCAGTTCGCGCGCGGATTCCAAATCTCTATATCGCCATTGGCGCGACCGACAGCCAGCCGGAGCGATTTGGGCGCGCTGCTTTTCGACGGCGAATGACTGAATGCGAGAGCGGTGATGGAGTGCGACGGGTGGTCGAGAAATTTGCATCGTCGGAAGTCCATGGCTGCTGATATGTACTAATGATATTTGCTGCTGATGCTGTAGTAAAAAGAGCAGAATTTTGATGCACCGGTCCAGGTGAAGTAAACCAAACAAACAACAACAAAAGCAAATGTGAAACCCCAACAAGCAGATCCAATAGCCACAGATCTAAGCTGCAGTGTTATTCTCGCGAAACCTGGTCAAATCCAAGAGCTGCAAAGTACTTGGATCCTGATTGCCGGTCCTTCGTATTTCTTTTGCTGGAAAAAAAAATTTATGGCGAGCAAGCAAAGTTCGAGTTGGGAGAATAAAACGGGCCCTAACCCGAACTTTAGACTTTGCGAGGTTTTGCTTCCCCGACTGCTACGAAGGGAACAATAGGATATATCAACAACTTGATATGATATCGCAAAGACAAGTACAAGTATCAGAATCGCTCATATTTATTAAGTCGCCAACGCGCTTTACAAGGGAAAAAGAAAAACATATGCCTCCAATAATACACAAAAGATCGGATGATAACAAAAGCACATTCCAAGCGAATGATCCTGCCTGGAAGCCCACTCAGAGAACTGTCCAGCAAGATATTAGAAAACTCAGAAAGAGATAGAAGACGCTTGCTTGACAACATAAGTTACAGGGTACCACGGGTGTCGTCTCGAAAGATCGATAGACCATCAAAAATTAGAGATAACTAGAACGACGAAAAGGTAGAGAAAAAGAGAAATAGGGAATAAAGAAAGGACTAAAAACACAGTTATACATCAAATTTATACACGTTACAACCCGAAGCTTATCTCGAGCCATAGACACCACCAAGGGTTGCAGCCAAGATGACAATGATAAGAACTAGATGATGTTAGTAGCTGATACCAAGATAGACAAGAACAGCTCAAATGCAAAAACCAAGGATATAACGTACTAACGATGATGAGGCAGAACCACTTTTTCTTTCTGGCGTTTTTGGCGTGCTTGACGGCGACTCTGGTCTCCTCGACACCCTTGTTGACCTCGCGCTCGACGCGCTTGGTGGTCTGGTCAACAGCAACAACATCCTCTCCCTGGACCTCGACAAGCTCCTCCATATCCTTAAACAGCTGGACAAGCTCGCCCAGGGTTCGCTCCATCTTCTGGATGTCCTTGTGTCGGTTCTGGACCTCAGTAAGAGCTGATCGGGCTTCGCCAACACGGTTGGAGTTCAGCAGCTATTCCGAGTTAGCGTACGTATTGCAAAGAAAGAAGTGATGGAAAAAGGAATGATCTTACAGCCTGCGAGAAAATCTGCGAGCCAGACTCGTCTTCGATAGCAGCGCGAACCTCTTCGTCGCTCGCGTCGGGTCGGACTATAAGGGGTTAGAATGACTATATGACATACACATATACAACGGTAATAACCCACCAATTCTGTACTGTCTCTCGGCACGCTGCTTGTACTTGAGACCATAGGAGGCCTCTACGCTCTGGTATCGCTGGATGGAGTCCATAAAAGTCTTTTTGACGGCATCGACCTGCACCCGCTTGGTGCTGTCATTCCGGCTCTTGCCCTCGAGGGACTTGACTTTATACTTGAGCGTGTTTGAAAGCTGCGAAGTCTCGGCGACGAGCGCGTCGATTTGCTTCTGGTTCCACTGATCTTGCTCGACGTCGATTTCGTTGAGCGAGCGGTTGTGCAAGGACTCGATCTTTGCGACGTTGTTGTCGAACTGGTGATTTGCGTTTTTGATGTCGTCAATCTCGGCAAAGAAGGCGGTCATGTCATCAGCGCCGTTGCCGTTCATGTTTGACATCTCGTAGCTCTCGCTGGAGGATGGAAAAAAAAGCACATGTTAGCAGAGAAAGAGGAGGATGGAATGCAAACGCGAGCTCTGGGCTGCAGCAGTAGAGGGATGATGAATGCGAGTAAGAAGAAGAGAGTATGCGTACTTGTTGTAAGCCATTTTGAGAAGGCTTTAGCAGAGGAACTGAGGGGAGGAGGGAGGGCAGTAGGCGGCAGAGAGTATTTAAGAGCAGGATGTCCCGGAACAGGATATCGCGCTAGAGAAAAGTGTAGACTGCGAGGCGGGGGTCAGCACACACCCAGAACGAAGCAGCAAAGAGCAACTATTCACAGAACAACACGAAGAAGAACTACACACCCGCAAAAACAGCAGAATAATGCGATAGAGCAGCGACGGCGAGAGGGCGGTCGGTGGTTTGGTTGTGGTGAAGGGGCGCCTGTGTTTGGACAGAGCGGCTGTGCGAGGCAAGATCCGGCCAGAAGCCACACGCGGCCCAATTGGGAAACCCTCAGCCCTGGAAAGGCACCCTGTGGCTCCGAGCCGAGAAGAGCCTCTTTGCCTGCTACGCCTCTGCTGCTGCTGCTTCTGCCTAAAAAGTCTACTGGCGCTGCGCAGAAATACCGTTTCATTTATTGTGTCCGTGAAATACCGCAAAAACAATCGTAGAACCCCGCCTGTGGACGTAGTGCTCCGCCGCTATGACGTCGTGCACTCGTGCCGCGCTGCTTTGGTGCCGAGCCTGCCTTGGCTCTCCGCGCGCGTTCATGAATAAATAGAGAAGGAATGAAAATAGAAGAACGCGTGGCAAAGACTGTTGTTTGTTGCTCAGTTGCTGCTGCTCTTTTTCCCAACAAACTTCACCAGAAGTGCAATTACAATGATGATTATAATCACCACAACTAGAAGAGATATAGACCGTTAGTAGACTTATACACTCCCTCAACCAGACATCAACTCACCAATCGCCAAACAGATCCACTTCTTCTTGCGCGCAGCCCTCGCAGAGTCCTTAGCCTTGCCCAGGTGAACATTGCCTGTCTCGATCTGCTCCGTCACCTCGTACTGCTTGTCGTCAATCTCCTCGAGCTCCTGTCCTTGCACCTCGACCTGCTCCATCAACTGCTCCATCAGCAACGCGACCTCCTTCATAGTCTGCTCGATCCTCTGGATCTCCTGGTGCCGATTCCGCGCCTCTTCGAGAGCAGACCGCGCTTGTCCTGTGCGGTCAGAAGAGAGGAGCTATATAGACAGTTAGTACGTAACACAAAGTAGAAACAGAATAGAAAGTAGAATAGAAAAAGCAGACGTACGGCTTGAGAAAACACCTGCGTAGCACCACCGTTGTCGACAGCATCTCTAATCTCAGCCTCAGACGCGTCAGGCTCGATGATGCGCAGTTGTCGCTCGACGTTCGCGCGCAGACGCTGACGGAACGACGACTCTGTCATGTGGTAGTTTTGCAGCGAGTCCAGAAACATCTTCTTCAACGCGCCGACCTGGAGCGCCTTTGTCGAGTCCCGCATCGATCTGCTTTCCAGCGACCGTATATTATCCTTGAGCTGTCTGGCCATCGACGCCGACCGCGCCGTGAGCGAGTCGATCTCTCGCTGGAGCGCGGTGCTCTCGGTCGGATCTGCTATGGAGTCCAGCATCTGTCGCTGCATGCCCTCGACCTTGGCCGTGTTGGCCTCGAAGACGACGATGCCTTGCTTGAGCTCGTCGACGTCGGCGAAGAAGCGGCTCATCTCGAGATCGCTCTGCTGCTGGTAGTTGTTGGACACGTCGTGCATTTCGTAGCTCTGAGGGTCGTCGTAGATGTCTGCCTGGCGGCCGCTGTTGCCGTATGTGCCGTCGTAGCCCCGGTAGGAGGCGGCGGGGGCGGCACATGGTGAGCGAGGTTCTGTGGGTGGTGGGGTTAGTTAGAGGATAAGGTGATGAGCGGCGGTGAAGAGTGAACAGAGATGCGGACCTGATATGAACCCTTTGACATGGTGCTGTTTAGATGTAGTCTGTCTGAGCGAGGAGGAGGAAGATAAGAGCAAGAGAAGACTGGTGTGGAGGAGGAATTGGGGAAGGAACTGGAGGAAGGAGAGCTGAGCTGCTCGTCTGCGCGGGTCACAAAGGGGTTCTCGGCGTAGAAGCCCTCACCGCCGTTCACCAGGCCTTCTATCTCTACAACTGCTTCAAAAACAGTAAAACTACTCTTCACATATATATCCAATGCTTGAATTTGCATCAATTGAATCGTCAGTCATCTAATTCTACAACCGGAGCTGCCGTGACCCCCTTCTCCCGGCCCTGCTCTGCACTATTTCGGGGCCCCGACGCGGCTGAAGTCACAACGCGTCGCGTACTTCGCTGCTCCAGCGCCTCAGCTCAATCGCAGCAAACTGTGTGAATCCTCTTCGACAGCAAAAACTCCCCGTGACAATAAACCCATATATACCCTGAATGTAGTAAAACAATAAGAAGAACAAGAGCAAGCATAACAATGATTAAAAAAACCCCGCCGTGGCTGCTGCGGACTCGTGCCGCTGGTGGCCAAACCAATACAATATGATATGTACAGAAACGAACTGTGCAGATCGTCCGATAATCAAAACAAAGAGCGCAAAGAACCCAAATCATATAGAGAACAAAGAAAAGAGGTATAAAGCAAAACAACAACACCAAATCACGCCCGGGTCATGAACTGCGCTTTCCGTCCGTGGCGCCCTCTCGCCACAGCAGGCACCATCCTCTTGAAGCTCTTTGCGCCATCGACCTTCTTCTGCCACGTAAACTTCTCGCCCATGTTTATCTCGCGGTCGACAGCCATGATCGACGCCTCCAGCAGCGGGAACGTCCGCACCTGGATCTCGTCGCCCCGGCTCTCGTCGCGGTGGTACGCGTGCGTCGTGCACTTGCTGCAGAACGTGCAGTGGATCGTGTGCCCGTCGGCGTCGACGTAGGAGTACACCTGCGGCGTACCGTGCTCGAAGCGGATCGCAGAGATCGACGTCAGAAGTATCCCGCAGAAATCCCCGCCGCCGAGCAGTTTGCAGGCGCGGCAGTGGCAGAGTGTGTGGCCCTAGAGAAAGTCAGCGGGGTGGTCGGCCAGGTTATCTAATCATCCAGCCAGGAGGAGTGCGTACCGGCAGCGCGCGTCCGTCGGCGGTGACGGTCCACTCGAGGTCGCCGCAGTGGCAGCGTCCGTGGAGAGTAGCGGGCGGCATGCGAGCTGTGCAGTTGTACTCTGTTCGTGTGTGCGTGGGTGCAGACATTGCTGGTGGGATTGGAGAGGGATGAGGACTGGGCTGAAGTGGGAATATTAATAGGTTTGGGAAGCAGAGCGGTCAGCGCCCGAACAGTGGCTCAGCTCGGCGTTTCAGCGCCCAACTTCTGGTTTGCGCAATTGGCGACTGCTTCTGAGCGCAATTAGTTCTCAAGTTGACGATTTGAATAACAGAATATGAACTATCGATTGAACTAGCAACTGCTGTTTATATACACAGCCAGGCAGTCTTGCGGCCAGGCCACTCAGCGTCGTTTGCTGCTGCCCTCGGTTACGACGGGATCTGGCTTCGTTTAACCTTCTTCTCTACCCGACATCTCCGCCTCTGCCTGCCCGCCTCGAGCCAACCATCTCTCTTTGTCTAGTTCTCTTCCATTCTAGCTTTATGCTTGCTTATCATACACCCTAATTACGTATATCGGCTCTTGCCCTCGTTCTTCAGACTCTTCTTCGCCCGCTCCCGCTTCTCCGCCCGCTCCCGCGCAACCTTCATCTTCTCCAGCACCCGCTCCAAGCTCATCCTCACGTCTCCCTTCTTGAACGTCCGCACGTCAAAGTACGCCGGCGCTAACTCAAACAGCCACTCCGGCTTAATCACCGTCACCGTGCGGATGTAGTTCTTCGTCGTCAGCACAAACTCGTTGTAAAGCACCCACTCGCCGTCCTTCTCCAACACCGTAGACGGATGCAGCAGCACATCCTGCTGGTCCTTCACCGTCACATAGTGCTTCCCGTTCGTCGCCTTCTTCGCCACCTGCATGAAGAACCCGCTCGTCAACGCCCGCCGGATGTTAGTGTAGTAATTCGGATCCTCGAACGGCGTGCTCACCAGATCCAAATCACTACGCTCCATAATCCGCTTCAACTGCACCCGCACGCTATCCGCGCTCTGTAGCGATCGCAGCGACAGGAAATGGTCGTAGCACCACTGCGACGGATTCGACTGTGCCTCGGGACTCTTGAACGCATGGTACACGTTCAGCAACGTCAGATGGTCGCCGTCCACGTGCTTAAACGTATTCTTCATCTCGTCCGCCGCCTTGCGCGCATTATTCGGCCGCACAAACACGTTCGGCACAGACAGCAGCGCCGTCAACGACAGAATCTCGTTCGAGCAGTAAAACTCGGGCGAAGTAATCAGCATCACCGCAAGCATCGGGTCCAGCGGAAAATCAGACGCAAGCCGGCCCAGTGCCGTCAGGTTTCCATCGTCGTCCAGACACGCCAGATAATTCAGCTCCTCCAGCGCGCGCATCATCGTCTCCGGCGCTGGCGGGTCCATAAAGTCAAAGTGCACCAAATCGTCAATGCCAAGCTTCTTCAGCTCCAACACCGTCGACGACAAATTACTCCGCAGAATCTCGGGGTAGCTCTGCTCGTTCAACTCCTTATTAAACGCTTCCTCTGTGTACAAACGGAAACACTTTCCTGGTCTCGTACGACCGGCTCGACCAGCCCGCTGCTGAGCTGACGCCTTTGAAATCGGCGCAACAAGAAGAGACTCCACTCGGATTCTCGGGTTGTACACTTTCTGCTTGGAAAATCCGGGATCGACCACATACACGATTCCATCAATAGTAAGCGAAGTCTCGGCAATATTAGTCGAGATAACAACTTTTCGTCCGGGAGGTCCACCCTTCACTCTCGGTCCCGGTGCTGGATCGAAAATCCTAGTCTGCTGCGCAGGCGGGAGAGATCCGTAAAGCGGGTACACCATGAGCTGGCCGCAGTCCGTCTCGCGGATCAGCTCATCTGCCTCGAGCGAGATCTTCCGGCACGCATCCTCAATCTCTTCCTCACCCGTCAAAAACAGTAAAATATCGCCCGGTGCCTCGGTCGCGTGGATCTGGAGCACGGTCTGAATCGCAGCCTCAAGATAGTTGTGCTGGTACTCTGGCGTGTAGTAGATCTCCACCGGATGCGTTCGGCCCGGCACTGCGAGCAACGGCGCGTCGTGGAAGTATTTCTGGAATTTCTGCGCGTCCAAGGTGGCGGACATGATAATAATCTTCAGGTCAGGTCGGCGGATCGCAATCTCCTTAAGAAGACCCATCAAGATATCTGTCGCAAGTGTACGCTCGTGAGCTTCATCAAGCATCACGCAGCTGTAACGCTCGAGGTTCGGGTCATTCATCGCCTCTCTGAGAAGCATACCGTCCGTCATGTACTTCAGCACGGTCCTGTTCGAGGTTTTGTCCTCAAATCTGATACTGTATCCGACTTCCTCTCCCAGACGAACATCCATCTCATCAGCAACGCGCTTGGCCACCGACATGGCCGCCACCCTTCGCGGCTGCGTACAAGCAACCATCCTGCCCTCTATATATATTTCCATAGTCAGCCAGCTAATTCATCACCACTAACATTCTAAATCTACAAGAGAAAAACATACCTATCTGAGGCATATCATCGTAGAGCACAAACTGCGGAATCTGCGTAGTCTTTCCCGAACCGGTCTCACCGACAAAGACCATGATCTGAGTCTTGTGGAACGTCTCTAGGAACTCCGCTCTTTGCAGGTGCACAGGCAGGTTACGTCGGGTCTTCAAAATCGTAAAGTATTTCTCTGAGAATTGGCGACTGGTGAAGGGGTTCAGAGGACCGTCCTGATACCAGATGTCAGTTCTTGTTTACCACCGCTTCTTGCGTGCGAGTCTGCACAGATACTCATAAAACAGCAACACATACCTCTGCCTTTGAAGCCTGCTCAACAGTCGTCTGATGACGAACAAGTCCGGCAAACAGATCCTCGCCATTTCCATCGCCCGAAATCCGCACCGCCGGCTTTCGGTGATTCAAGTCCTCGCTCCCGTCGTTCATATGGGCCAAGTACGGGTTTGCTTTGCGTTCTTCTTCAACTTTGGCTCTCTTGCTTGCACGTCCATCAGCCATCGTGAACAGGACTTTATCTGCTGGTGTCTAAGTAGCTCAAGTCGTGCGGGTATCAGCCAGGAACAGGAGCTAAGAGACGAAAGGTCTGATGAGAGAGTTATAGAGAGTAAAAAGAAAAAAAAGCGAAAGAAAAAAAAGGGTTGCCGACCGTCGTGCGGCTGCGTGGTCAACTCCCAACCACGCAAAATGTACGAGCCGGGATTTATTCAACCTGAGAATATTCCATGATTCCGACATAGCTGCGACTAGCAGATAGTCAATCTGGGTAATTGATATGAGTATATGAGAATACACAAGAGAATTTGGTTATAGAAGTCTCAGCAAAACACGGACGACCTCGCGACTGCGGATCTGTTGATTTCTACTGCGACCAGTGCAGAGGCAACTCCCCAAAAGACACACAGAGATGGCACCTGCATTGGAAAAGCAGCTACAAGAGGCGTCAAAGGTGGTGTCAAAGGCTGCATGGATCCATTCAACCGAATCTACCGAGTCTGCATATGCCAGACTCTCAGAGTATATTCAAGTGCTCAAGTCAGAAGATGATGACATTGCAGAACAGCGGGATACTATTTCTACAGTCGAGCTGAAGACTGAAGCAGAACCCGAGGTGAAGAGAGAGGAAGGTGGTATAGTGAAAGTGGAGGATCCCGAGTTATATGTTGCGCAACACCTTACTGATCTTCTCCGCCGAATCGACGAAGCGTCCCGCGAAGACCAAGCCCGGAGTCCAGGTGTATTCTCAATCGCTCTAGGAGACATGAAGACCGTCGGTGCACTAATCGACTTGATCATTATTGACTGCGTGTATCCCGCACTGGCACCAGGTGTTGGCCTCCCGCTGCAAAAACGTCTGAAGGACGGCCTGACCCGGCAAAATCAGATGGTTCGCACCGGGCGCACAGAGATTCTACGGATGATTGTGGACTTGCTTGTGGCTATTGTCGCGAGCGAAGACGATCTGTCGGATATAATAATGGGCGGCCAGTATGCGACCGATATCATCTGTGGACTGATAGAGCTGGGATATGATGAATCCCATGCGGGTGAGAATCAGAGCAATTACCGCAAGAAGCTCATTGATTTTTTCTCAAGGTTTGTATCACCATCGTGATCATCTCCATAAGTGACGCAGAGCTGACCATACAACAAATAGAATCCAAACCTACAACTTGCTGGTCTACATCACTACCCTCATGCAGAAAGACAGTCCGCCCTGGTTCATGGCAATACTGACGCGAACGCTCGCCATGATTCCCGTGACGCGGACAGACGACGGTGTCAAGGCATTGATCGAAATGATCGGTGGCCTACGCGATGACGAGCACATCTCAGTCGAGAAACTAGATCGGGCGGCAAAGATTTTATGCAGTGTACCAAAGGGAATCGAGCCAAAGGTGTATTTCTCGACAGTCTGCAGTCAGCTACTTGCTATCCTTGACACGAAGGGACAGAAGCTTTTAGTGACGTCTGTGATTCAAGTCATCATGTCGATGCAGAAAATGCGCAGCAGAGTCGTGCAGGATCTTATATTCTCGCCGATTTTATCGAGCATAGCACCTCCCAGTACACCCATCAAAAGCGAAAAAGATGTGCTGGTATCCGATACCGATCTTACAAAGGCGATATCAAGGCTTTCGTTGCTCATTCGAAGTGCTGATCCTGAAACCACTTCAAACTTATTGTCTTCACTGGTGCATTCTTTATGGGGACTAATGTGTTTTCAAAAGAAAACGTCGCGGTCTGTCGATCTTGCCAAAAGTCTCTTGTCAATCTACATCAAAATGGGAGATGCAGACAGTATCATCGAAGATCTTGTCTCACATCTGTACTACGATGGCGAAAAGAACTGGAAATTTGGCGATGGAGACAGCGGGGGAGTGGAAATTCGCAAGCGAGGCCTCGTAGGAACGTCGCAGAGTGATATGCAGGCCGGTCTGGTAGGAATCGACGAGCTGGACATGCGCGTCGGGCTGCTTATGGATCTCATCAACGAAGTGGAGAAAGCCGCGCTGCGGTCCATATTTCTCAAGACTGTGCGCAGATGGCTGGCTCGGCGGCGAGAGGTTGAAGCGGATCCTTTCATGTAAGTCATTTTCAGGATTTTGCTTTGAGAAATGAGCGAGTGCTAATTTTTACTGTCAACAGTGTTTTTGTGGATCTACGACTTCTTGAGGGACTTCTTGACAAACACAAGTCTGAAATCATCGAGTCTCCGACAGAGATAATAACTCTTGTGTCGAGCATTCTTGACGAATATATAGAGTCACTGGACCAAAAACAGCAGCAGAACAGCAAGCCGTTAGCCGAGCAACTTGCCGAGATCACAAAGCCAACCGAGGACGATGAAGACGCAGATTCTGACGATGAAGACGAGGAGAAAGAAGAGGAGAACACGAGCTCCGAGACTGTCTCTGTTGCCCTGTCGCTGCTGACCGCTATCGTCTCGGAGTCGATGATTGGTACGTCTTCGTTGAGCGACGACGATCAACGGATTTTAAAGTCGCTCGGTCACTCGCTGAAATACATTGCCGAGCACGGGACGCAAAATGTCTCTTCTTCAGCAGAGACGCTGGCTATACTCTTGAACGAGACTGATATTCCGACTGCGAGATCGAAGAGCAATATGTCGGCCTCTCAGCAGACGTATCAAACAGCGCTGACTAACCTTCAGGATCCTTTGATCCCTGTACGTGCTCATGGCTTGCATTTGCTGCGCAACTTGATTGTTGCACGAGATCCTGTGATTAATGTCAGTTCGGTCTTGAATGTGTATATGAATACACTCAACGACGAAGACTCTTTTATATATCTAAACAGCATCAAGGGATTACAGGCGTTGACGGACGTTCACGGCATGGAAGTCATCAGGCCCTTGATTGCCAAATACACCTCAGCCGGAAAATCTCCCACCCTTGACGAACGGCTGAGAATCGGCGAGGCAATTCTGCGAACGATCCAGCGTCTGGGTGACGCTCTCACGGGCAAAAGCGCGGATATCATCATGCACGCCATGATCTCTACTGTCGCCAACCGAAAGCTCGACACTCGCCTACGGTCTTCTGCTTTAAGTATTTTGGGTATGGCTTGCGAAGTAAACCCAATAGGTATAAAAGCCTGGGTTAAAGATGGCATCGAATGCGCTCTTGGGGTTCTCACGTTTGAAAAGACGGGCGACGACAAAGCGCCTCTGCGTCGCGCTGCTGTGGTGTTGATAGGATCTCTGTTTAAGGGTGTAACAAGCTTAGCTGAGTTTCCCAAAGAGTTCGCTAAGGACGTGGTGAGAACAATGAGATACATTCGGACTAGCGACGAGGATGCGCTAGTACGTGTACAGTGTGGAAACGTGCTAGATATACTGGGAGACATGATTGCAGATGAGTTCTCATCTTCACTCTCGTAACGCACGGGAGCTTTTTTGTAAATAATTGAAATGAAAATAATGCTCTAAGAATCAGGTAATGCTTGAGCGGGAATTGTAACATTAGTTGAGAGACCAATATATATCGTACAGTAGATTTTTCTTTATCACGTCGTTCTATCGTAAGCAAACCAGAACAGCTTTTTCCCCATACATGCCCGCGACTTTATTCATCTTTCATAGGTTCGTCGCCTTCAAGGCTTCCAGCATCGTTGACCCAAAGAACATTGTTACATCTGCCCATAAGATCCAATTAGTTAAACTTATCCCATAAAAGAAACCGACATAAGCAAGTACGCACCTGACCATGATCTCTCCCAAGCTACCCTTATTCTCTCCGTCGACAAACTCAACAGCGTTATCGAGCTGCAGGTTCATGTACGAATCCACTGAGATCAGAATTCCTTTGTATTCTGTCTTGCCCCATTTTAGGCGCACGACAACCTCTTTGCCTGTTAAATCTTGCAGGAAAGGCTTAGGATTGATCGGGGCGAACTATAGCAAAATGATTGTTAGAGGAAAATCAAAAATACGATCTCGGCCGTATACTAATACAAACACTCGTTCACGTACTCCTGACATCTTGTAATATGGTGCCGATTACTTGCTGGCTGTAAAAGACGCGTGCAAGGTAAATCAAACAGTGCTTGTCCTCATCGCGACCGATGCCTTCGAGCGAGGAGGTTTTCCAAAAAGTGTGAGCAAGTCACATATGTCACGTGAATGTCACAATTTTAGATCACAAAACTTATCTGGAGCTTTATCCGGAAGTACTTGGCGTCAGTCAGTGAGCCCATCGTCTAATAGCTCGCGGTTGACGAACTGGGTGTAGCAGTGTACAGCGCTGATCAACAAGAGGTTTTCTGTTAAGATCGAATACAAATCTGCGCGAAGGGACATCGATTACTGAGTTATTCTCGTGTTTCTACCATGGCTCTTGCTGCTGTGAGTTCCGATGCCCAACTTGAGCGCCCTCCAGAGAGGGTCTTTGTCTGGTTGCTCGATTGATATCTTCTAACGCGTTCTTGTTTATCATTGATTAGTGGCGCCAGTTTACGTTTTTTGACGTTCTTCCGATCAGGGATCCTGCTGTTACAGATGAGGATGGACCGCTATATTCGGTGCGTACAACTTCATACGATGCGATGCTGTTCCGCAACTATACTCTCGCAGCAGGGCGAAACTAACAGACTGGCGTTGATCAGGATCCCAATGTCTCTGCAGTTTGCTCGGGCACTGGATCATTATATCTAGGCACCACCGGTGGAATTGTCAAGATTGTCTCCAAGTCGCTGAAGCTCCAAGTGTCATTCACGGCTCATGAGGAGGGATATGCGATCACTTACATGAAGCAGGTCGAGGGAACCGCCAACCTGTTGACGGTAGCTGTATGTTACATTGCAGGTGTCATTGTGGAATGAACACTGCTGACTGGATATGTGTTGTTAGGAGTCCAAAACCGCGGAACCTCAGATTCGTTTGTGGTCCTTAGACACTCCCGATAAGAAGACCCAGGGACCGAAATGCAACTTCTCGATCAACATACATCTCAAGAAGCTGACAGAGGTATTGAAAATTCATGTCATTACAGTACTGCATGCTTAAGTCTATCGTGCTAATCTTCTGATTTATCATAGATCTCGGCTGTCGCTCTGGCAGAAGACTTCTCGATTATCGCGGTCGGATTCGAAAACGGCCATGTAGTGCACGTCCGCGGTGATCTTCTCCACGACAAAGGACTTAAGCAGAAGATTATCTACGAGAGCCCTGCACCAGTTACCGGTCTCGAGTTTTACGAAGCCAGCAAGACATCGCTGCTGTACATCTCGACGACAGAGCGTATCGTCACCGCATGGACTACGGGCAAGAACCAGGGAAGTTTAGCCCGAGTGCTTGAAGAGAAGGGATGTGCAAAGGGTTGCATGGGGATCAAGAAAGCTACCGGAGAGATATTAGTAGCGCGGGAAGACGCTATTTACTTTTACACTCCGTACGGGCGAGGTCCGTTGTACGTTTACGAGGGTCCAAAGTCACAGCTCTTTGTATACAAGTCATATATCGGAATAGTATCACCCAACAACGCGGCCACCGATTCGAATGTCCAGTCATCGGTGCGAAAGTATGTCGGCGCGACTGCTTCCAGCGCTGACCCCTATGAGACTGCGCAGTTTACGATCTTGGACACAGATAACAAGTTTGTTGCCTATACCGGCCAGTTTGCCGGCGGGGTGAAGTCCATCTTTACCGAGTGGGGTGATTTGTACGTTTTGGGAGGTGACGGTCAACTTTACAGACACCAGGAGCGTGATTTGGCTTCAAAGTTGGAAATACTTTATCAGCGGAACCTGTACAATCTTGCGCTGACGCTTGCTTCCAACGCGGGAGCGGATGAGAAGCGGATTCTGAGTATATACAAGAAGTACGGCGATCATCTGTATGAAAAGGGAGATTACGATGAAGCCATGGTCCAGTATATTCGTGCCATTGACGGAGGAGAGGCTAGTCAGGTTATTCGAAAGTACCTCGACTCTCAGCGGATCTACAATCTGACCTCCTATCTTGAGGAGCTGCATAACAAGGAAATCGCAACGGCCGATCACACCACTCTGCTCTTGAATTGCTACGCGAAGCTCAAAGACACGGAGAAGTTGGAGACTTTTATAAGATCTGAGGGCGAGAATTTGAAGTTTGATCTTGATACAGCGATCCAGATGTGCAGACAGGGCGGCTATTTCCAGCAAGCTGCATACCTTGCCGAAAAGCATGGTCAGAACGACCTGGTTGTCGACATCACTTTGCAAGATCTCGGCGACTACAAATCTGGCCTGCGGTTTTTGCAAAGTCTGCCTCCGGAAGACATGTATCACAATCTGAGTCGGTACGGCCGTGTCTTGCTCCAGCATGTCGCACGAGAGACTACAGCGCTGTTTATCGAGTACTTCACCGGGAGATACGTGCCAAGAGAGATTCCGAACGTTGCAGAACTTGAGAACGGCGAGCAGGCGCGGGAAATGTCGCCACCTTCTTCGGTGCCGAATTACAAAAATCTGCTGCCTTACATGGCGGGTAGTCGGCCTGCGTCAGTGATGTCTGGTCTGACGGGTGAGCAGACGCCGACGATCATGAGCGCGATCACTTCGAATGTGGGGAAACTGTCGACGGTTGTGGGTGGTGCAATCACCGGCAGCGCCTCGGTAGCCAACGCACCCTTGACGCTCGAGTCAAGCTCGTATGATCAGGACGGCAAGATCGTTGACTATGTGATACCCAAGCCGCGGACGGTGTTTGCTACGTTTGTGGATCAGCCCGACGAGTTTATTATTTTCCTGGAAGCGTGTATAGCGCATCACCGGACAGCGGGGGGACAAGAAAGTGACGAGATTGACATGTACACGACTCTGTTTGAGATGTACTTGCAAAAGGCCGAGGCTAGTACTACCGAAGAAGAGAAAGTTCAGTGGGAGGAGAAGAGTAAAGAGTTGATCACTAGTGCTCAGGCACCGATAGATCCATCTAATGTGCTGCTGCTCTCACATCTTTACTCGTACCGGGAAGGCAGGATTCTGGTCCGGGAACGGGAAAATCTGCATATCGATATCTTCCGATCGTATGTGTCGGTCAATGATACGATCTCAGCTATACAGACACTTCACAAGTACGGCGATATCGAACCCGAGTTGTACCCTCTGGCGCTGTCATACTTTACGTCTTCGCCCGAAGTCATGGCAATTGCCTCAGACGAGCTAAGCCACGTGCTCAAGAAGATCGAGGAAGAAGGGCTGATGGCACCGCTACAGGTGATCCAGGCGCTGAGCGTCAACGCCGTGGCCACGGTTGGAATCGTGAAGGACTACCTGTCGGAGATTATCGAGCGCGAGAAGAAAGAGATCGAGACGAACCGGAAGCTCACGGAATCGTACCAGATGGAGACACGCGCAAAGATCGAGGAGATCCGCGAGCTCGAGACCGAGCCGCGGGTGTTTCAGTCTACACGGTGCGCGAGCTGCGGCGCGGCATTGGATCTGCCTACGGTGCATTTCATGTGTAAGCATTCTTTCCACCGCAGATGCTTGAACGAGGTCAATGAGGACACAGAGTGTCCTTCGTGCAAGTCGAACAATGCTACGATCAGAGCTATTCGCAGAGCGCAGGATGATATGGCGGATCGACATGATCTTTTCAAAGCTTCGTTGGAGGAGAGTGAGGATAAGTTCAAGGTCATCAGCGATTTCTTTGGAAGGGGTGTTATGCAGCAGGTAGAATTTTTGGTGGAGTGAGGGGATGAGATGAAGCTTAGGTAGGCGTGGCGTTGGGATCAGGTATCGAGCTCACTCTTCTATTTCATATTAGATAAAAGTAGCAGAGCATCTTTGCGAGCTTAGATCTATATAATAATATTCATTGTATTTCCAAGAAGTCTATCACCGTATATACAATCAAGGTACAGGGCCTTGCTCTATGCTTTCGTCTTGACCTGTAGTCGCCGTTTGAACACTGTCTGGTAAGTTGTCTGAAATGTGTGTAGATGTGTCTTTCTGTAGTTCTTTTCCCCGCACGATTGATATTTCCTCTGGCGGACCATCGTCGTCATCGTCACCATCTTCGATTTCCCTTATATCTGGTATACGATCAGCCGGCGCTTGCTCGATTGGCTCTTCAGCAGGGTGCTCGTCCTCGTTCTCTGCAGCAACTTCTTTAGGATCAGCAGTTGTATCTCTGCCAACATCAGACGGTCGACCATCTCCAGCCTCTGTATTTTTGCTAGAGTGATCATTCTGCTGAGCTGTAACTCTTGTCGAAGACTGCCCTCTCCCTCCTCGACCCCGCCCCCGACCGCGACGTCCCAAGCGACTTGATCCCCGACGCAGGGCGTCCTGTGCAATATTTTTCTGCACGCCGATTCTTCGCTCAATAAGACTGAGGAAATTATAGTCCCGATCGCCGATTCTCTGCCGTTTCTCTATCTCTCGTTCGTCCTCATCAGGCTGCGGCCGCGAAGCCGCGCCGCTCTCGTCGTTTGCTTCCGCGTTCAGATCCGCGTAGCCTCGCGTGCCCATCAGCTCCGTGCGCGAGATATAGCGTATGACGGCATCTTTAATGTCTTTCATGCCGGTGCACGACGTGCGCGCTTTGTGGGTGTTGAAGCAGGCGACGGAGCAGTAGCGGGCCATGCACTTGGGACATTTGTAGGGCGGCGCCTCTTTGAAGCAGGACACGCACGACGACTGCAGCGAGCGATCCATAGTTTTCTACTATTGCGACCGGCACATCGTTTTCTGCAAGAGATCCAGCGCGAACTGACGATGCGGTCTGCGTACAGATTCTCTTTTCTTTCCCAACTCCCGCGGAGATCGGGTTAGGGCGCTGAAGTACGAGACCCTGCGAAAGTTGCCACCCGCGAAAGCAGCGGCCGCTGGGCGAGTGCGGCAAAAGAAGCTCTGAAGATTGCGAGCCGAGCGCGCGACATTCTCGAGCAGCGACCCTCGAAATACTATTTTTGACCGCGCCTTCTTCGTGTTGGATTTCTGTTGCTCGTTGCTTTCGCTGCTGCTTCTGCTTCTCTGTCATCTCGAAAGACAGAATAGAAGCCTCTTTCTTGCATTTTAGTGATCGGGACTGCGCTGCGGTTCATACGGCTTGATCAATCCGTCCATCTCATATCAATTCTCGGGCAACAAACACCACCATCCAACTGTTTCTGTCTGGCCGCCAACAACAATGTCGAATCCGCAGAATTTTTCAAATCCAATGAAGAAATACAAGTGCGTCTCATCCTGTCTTGACTTGCGATCTCTGAACCCGCTCCCGCACAGGCCTATATAAGTGTCGCGATCGCGCCAGGAGACCGTGGCTCTAGCCCACCCTCTCTGCGTCCTCGGCTAATTTGCCATTCGGAACAATCGAGTCTCGCGGAGGTTTCGGAATCGTTGTTCGGAACCGGTACTGACGAGTTATCTAGGCTGGTATTTCTGGGCGAGCAAAGTGGTACGCTGAACTTGTGCTTCCGGGATGTGTATCGATCAGCGAGTGATTTCGAGACTAATCATATTCATCTGCAGTCGGAAAAACCTCATTAATAACACGGTTTATGTACGATTCGTTTGACTCTCAATATGCCGTATGTATCCTTATCTCTTTTTGTACCTAAAAGCATGGTGTTGGACGACTTATACTGACTGAACATACCCAGGCCACTATCGGAATCGATTTCCTGTCCAAGGTATCTAAATACTGCTTGCGGATGCTCCGGTTATGCTCCCCATCACTGACTTCAATTTCCTAGACCATGTACTTAGAAGATCGCACCGTCAGACTACAAGTATGTTATAATCGTGCTGTCTATGCTCTGGTATATCGACATGCATGCTGACGTTGATATCAACAGCTTTGGGACACAGCAGGCCAGGAGCGATTCAGAAGCTTGATCCCATCCTACATCCGGGATTCCACCGTCGCCGTTGTCGTTTACGACGTCACTAGTACGTTTTTTTAATTGTTCTCAGGAGTGTTTTTCGTCTGCAGGTAACTAACGCAATACGCGACACAGACCGCAACTCCTTCATCAACACTTCAAAATGGATTGATGACGTTAGGGCAGAGCGAGGAAATGATGTCATCATCGTCCTGGTCGGCAACAAGACCGACTTGAACGACAAGCGCCAGGTCACTACCGAGGACGGAGAGAAGAAAGCCAAGGAGGTCAAGGTCATGTTCATCGAGACCAGCGCAAAGGCCGGGCACAACGTCAAGACTCTGTTCAGACGGATCGCGCAGGCACTTCCCGGGATGGAGAATTCGATGGAGGAAACGAACCAGGCGCAGAGTGAGTATACGCCATTGTTCCACCCGAGCAACTAGTCAAGACATGAACGGATACTAACTTTAATAAAACCCTTAGTGATTGACGTGAACATCGACGCCAGCCAAAAGACGGCAAATGAGGCTGCCTGCAACTGTTAGCCGCCACCTGCTCGCTAACTTCGATTAGTCGTTTATTTATTTTCCCTTCTTCGTGTGCGTGCACCAGAGATATTAGAAGCTTTACATGATATCCAGAGAAGAAGCAGGCCGGAGGCGTTGGTTGGGTGACCAAGGATGGAGAACTGCCGTGAAGTATGCTTGGTTAAAGGAACTTGGGGGCAGCTGCTTTCCAGTGTGTGATGGTCCATAAGCGTGCATCTTTTGACGACATTTGGTGAAGTTTGATCTTTCTTTGTTTCTGTTTTTTTTTCCTATCTTTGCAACTTCTGTAATTGTACTCTTTCTTCCTGTTTTGACCACTGTCTCCCTTTTTTTGTAACTATTATAATTCCCTTTAACAGCATTCGTTTCTTTTACATGTTCTTTTTTTCTGGTTTGATGTTTTGAATCCCATTTATTTAGTCCCCGCGTTTATTACCACTATAGACCGTTTGCGTGTTCTTCCTAATCAGAGTCGATGCAGTTCCCTCTTCTACCTATGATCTGACTACGTACTATAAAATCAGAGCAAAAAAAATCGATTCAGATACTACATAATCAGTAAATCGTCCTCGACTTTGTCGAGCTGCAGTCACTACTACTCGCGCTTCGCGGCCGCGCTCGTTCTCTGCTGCTTGCACTAGGCTTCGCCACCGGCAGCGGCACATCAAAATGACTCTGTCTGCGCTGCTTGTGCTGTGTGCGGACTTCAGTCGGTCGAGGGTGGACGACGATGTGTTGGAAATTCGTAGCGTCGAGGACGATGTTTGGATTCGTTAGTAGCATGTCCCGTCTGTGTTCGTCTTCTCGCTGCTGCCTTTGCTGCTTGTAGTCGGTGTACTTCATCTTTGCCACGCGGACGGCGGCGACGAGTACGATTAATCCCCAGAGTGCGAATAGTGAATAGCCAAAGGTGTACTCGAGTTTGATGCCGGATCGGTAAGCGGCTTCTACTTTCTTGAGTGCGGAGAGAACGGTGTCGGTGGTCTCTGCTGCCAATTCTGAGACGTCTGAGCTCACCAGTTTGTTTGAAGACGATGATGGTGATGAGGATACGGCTTTTGACGTGCTGTTGGTCATATTTGTCGACGCAAAAGCATCGATGATGACGCTCTCGTTGAATCGAGGAAGACTGATATGCGCATGATCGTACGCCCACGTCAATCCAGACTCAATTCCCTGAATCTTCAAAAGCAAGAGACAGTTCAGCACATCCAGAATGGGATCGTACAGCGGTGTACCTCCAAAAACGTCACTTAAAGTAGAAGTCATCTCGTCGACAAACGTGTTTAGCGTGTTGTTAACGCTACTCGTTGCGTCCAAAACCCAGCCAAACAGATCGTCGTTGATGTCAGTCTCGGACGATGCCAACGCTTCGTTTGTTCCGTTCGCCCATTCGACGCCCTTGTTTTCGATGACCGCCACCACTTGATCCGTCAGATTACCAAACGAGGACACAAGCGTCGGAGATCTCGCTTCGACCTGCGCGAGAATACATGACTGGATGATCGCGCCCACGATACTGGCGACCGCTAGACTGAGCGCGACGAGAGCTGGCGGATAGGTGATGTACGCAATGAGCCATCGGATCGCGGCCTGGGTTTTGAGTGACTGTACTGGTCGAGTGACGAGCAGGCCGAAATAGTGCGCGAAATGACTAGATGCGACTTGGAAACTGTCGATAGGATCTAGGTTCTTGTCGGTTCGCTGAAGCGCTCTGGTCAGCGTGAATACTCTCTTGCGCAGAGATCGCCATTGAAGTAGGTCAAGATATCCCATGATTATTATGGCGAGGAGGGCGAATATGATGAGAACAATCATGGCCGCTTTGGAAAGCTTCTTCACTAACGCGATGAGTTCGTCAAAGAAGTCGTTGATTGCTGAGTCGTCTTTGCATATCGCTAAAGATTCTTTGCTCGGTACGGGTAGAATAGATCGATCAAAGGAATACTCCGAGTATGAAGAGTTGACTACAGACTGTTCACATGTCAGTTAGTCTAATATTAGAGCACAGTTAAAAGAAGAGACATACTCTGAGTTTCGTAAACGGATATCTGATGGCATATTCAGTCGCATTCTGCACGTCGGTGAACGTAGGCATATCATCTTCCAAGCTCTGCAGTTTCGAATTTATCGAAGTCGAGATCGAGATGTTGAACTTTGGAATCGACAACACCGGAAAGTCTGTCGAGTTGTCCGTAAACAAATCGGCAACGGCCTCGATTCCCTTTTCGACGTTTGCGAGCGCGCTGTTGAAAGTGTCGATTACATTGCTGAGGTCAGAGTTGAACGCCACGGCTGTGCTGTTTACAAAGTCGACTATCGACTCTGTCGCGTTCAGCACGTTGTCGACTACTCCGGTGACCGCCATCGTGATAAGACAGGTATACGTCGAAGTAGCCAACTCGATAGCAAAGACCACGATCTCCTCCACAGCAACAATGATTAGATCCAGCGCGTCAACAAGAGCTGACACAGCCGTCTCCACGCCAGACGCCACGAGAGCATTCGCACCACTTGATACGTAATACGGCATTGAAATCAAAGAGCTGCCTGCGACCTCGACCTTCCCACAGGCTGTCAAGGTCTCTGACCTGGCTGAATCAAGACTACTCTCCATCGAGTTTGAGGAAATCATCAACTTCACGAGTACCAGCAAACAGATTATTGTCCACCTGTTCACCCACGCAAGAGACAATCTATCCCGAGGTCCCAGATATGGCGTCGGACCAGAGCCGTCAGGGAAATTGGGAGGCGGGCGACGAGAGTCATCTTGGGGATGTAGATCAGTCCAGCGAACCGGCTGATATGTCGGAAGCGTAACATTAGGCGGGGAACGCTTTTGAGACTCGGAAAAAGAAGGAGGAGGTGATGATGGCGAAGCTTCATCGAGAGTGGGGTAGGTCCAGTTATTCCAGTATCGTCTCGCGGCGTCCATCTCGGCGGAATATCTGATAGCAAGATGCTGTCAGGCTATCAGGCAGGACCGCAGCGCATCTCTTGCGTCTTTTATGGACGAGCATCAGCTGCTGTACTGTACTTTGGTGTAAATATAGCAAAGATGAAACAAAAGAGGACCCCAAATTGATCAGTATTCGGGTGGTGTCGTCCATGGTTTGGAGACGGCGCTCTTCTAGAAGCGCGGGGTTGCACGGGGTTCTGGTGCACTCAAATCAGAGATGCCGCTCGACAGATCTGACGGAGGAGACGGAGAGCTGGTTTGTGGTTTGTGGATGGATACCACAAATAGCACTGACATCATCGACATCATTCAGGATTAAGTCGCGTCTGTTGAGATCATGTTATTTGTAGCTGCAATGTCAAGAACCATCGCAGTGAACCACCACATTATCTCCCATTAAAGACTCTTTCGCACCACTCCAAATCATCAAACCTGCAAACGAAACGCAGAGAGACAGAGAAGCGACAGGCGTTCGATAGTTTGTCGAGACGATGAGATGTATTAAACTCTAAGGTTAAATCCCCAGAGGAAGAGTAGCTACGAAGAGAACAAATAAGAGGATGTGCAATAAACAGTCAAACGTAAACAAAGGTTTGGCTTCTGACCAGCGTAGGGGCTGCAAACCTGAAGCGGAAGCCGCAATTTGGAGCGAACTCCGCCACAGTTTTGGCCGCTGACCAGGATCGTTCTTGTACGGCTGCAGACCGCATGCATTTCTGCTTTCTATACGCAATATACTCCTATCTAAACACCTTCTGCTCAACTAAACCACAGAGAGACGGTTGCTATGGAAATACCCTTCCGGCTAGGCGTAAACAGACAGCGTAAACATGCTCGGAAACTCTTGCTGCTTCTGTCCCCGCGACCTCAGCCCACGATATTCACATGGGCTCGATTCTCGCAAGTCCTCTATCGTCCCAAAATATTAAACCCAGCTTCTTCTCCTTCACATCCTCTCGCCTATCTCATGCAATGACACCAGGGACCACAATGCGTCTCTACCAGCGGGCGCCAGCAGACTTTGTCTCTCTAGACGTCGGTACAACAGTCGCAACAGGCATCGCCGGCACCACCGCGACACAGTCCGCCGCAACATTCACTCCCTCCGTCGTCCAGTCGAGTTCCTACGTGTCCCCCAGCATCTCAGGCTCGAGCGGCTTTCCAAAAGGCGTGATTGTCGTCTTCGCGCTCTTTGCTGTCGCGTTTGCAACGTTCGGATATTTTCTGATCCGCTCCGGCATTCGCAGGCAGCAAGATCAGACGTGGGCAGAGCAAAAGGCGGACGCAAAGCGGCAGTGGAACGATCTGGCTGAACGAATCATCTCGTATCGGAAAAATAAACGCGGGTCAGAGCTAGAGGAAACAGTCTCTGAGATCGAGGCGCGCGAACGATTATTCGGGTATTCTCCTGCGCCCAAACAAGAAAGCGAGGGTAGCGATGAATCAGACGGAGAGTCGTATGAGGAATCGCAAGTCAGAGAGCCAAGTGACTACAAATACTCCTATTCAATTGAGGATCTGCAGAGGCTAGAGCAGGCCCGGAAAGAACTCGAGCGGCTGCGAAGGATAAGAGAGATTGAAGAGAGATCGTCGGCTCAATACGATAGGCGGAATACCATGCACACCGAAACCGACAGTCTACCACTGATTGCCAGATCAGGCTCGCCTTCAAAGCATAAACACAAAAGCAGGAGATCGAGAAGAAGCCGGACAAGTACAGCATCAACATTCAGAACACCTCTTTCAGTGCTGGAAATGGAGCTGATGGCGAATCGCGAGGCAAGCAAAAGGGAACAGAAATATACCGTGCTCACGCCTCCACCGCTTATGCACACACACGAAGGCGGTGTCTACTACCGCGAAGATTCACCTAGTCCTACACGACAAAGCAAGTCAAGTTCGGATCTCGAGTCGCGCACAACTGACTCGACTCGGCACCGGCGGCCATCGGTGGGGGACTCGGACTCTGAATCATACATCTCTCAATCTGATCTGGGCTCAGAGTCGACTTCTTCCAAAAGCACGGTAATGCCAAACCGATCATACCTCTCGCACAATGCCGGATATACCGGCTATCCGCTGAGTTTCGCCCATCCAGGTGCTTCGCAATATCCTTATGGCGTTCCTATGGGTGATTCTCAGGCGCATTCGTCTTCAGCTGGGCATAGCAGTTACGGGGGTTATCGTCCAGGAGGCGGGGCCCATAATTTTAGATATTAGATCATCTAGTTTGTAATTGTCATGATAATCCAAAAGTTGTTTGTAACACCCGGCGGTCTTTCAATCCGAGTCTGAGTCGTCGACAGGGGGGAACCAGCCGTATTCCCGTAGACTGATGAGTCGTGGCCGTCTATTGCTATCGTTACGCACTTCGACGCCTTCGGCAGTTAACCGTTCGCCCTGTAGATCCATGCCTCCTCTTGCGCGGACTGCAATCTTTCCATCCGACGATATGACGCGCCACCACGGCACAGTCTCGGTATCGAATCTGCCAGATGGTGGCTCTTCGTCAATTTGATCGGCGGGATCGTTGTACGGATCGGGGTCTTCGTGGATTTCAGAGTCTGGCTGGACGGTCAAGGACGCGTGCCGGAGATATTTGAGAGCGGCCCCGACCTGTCTTGAGTTCTGCGGCGCGTCTATCAGGCGGGCGATGTGGCCTTGATATTGTGGAGGATTAGCGAAGAGAGAATTTAGTATTGGAGATAAATGGCATACCGTATGTCGTGACTCTTCCTGGAGGTATGCGCTGTACGGTCTCGTATACAGCAATGTAGAAGGCCTCTGCCTCGTCCGTCAATTTGCGATCACCCATCCTGACGCGACTGTAGACGATGCTCGACGACGACGCTGAGAGCACAGGGCAGACTGCAAGTCTAATTCAAAAAGTACGATCCTCAAAAGCGGCACGATCTGGACAGCTGTCGGTGCTGCGCTTTGAGGACGGTTATCGTGGATATATCTTGGAAGCGGTGACTCGCGAAAGATTGAGTTGGAAAGGTGCAGGTCGATCCAAGCTTTGACGATGCTGCAGCGCGCAGCGATACCGGTGCGGTCTGGAGTTGAGAGACGATTAAAGACAGCGGTGTAGTCTTGAGATCCTGCTGCTCTCTCGCAGTCTGACCGTTGTCTTCTTCCTCGGCACAGATCAACCAGAGAAAGGTCGATGGTGGCCGTCAAAGAGCCATCTTCGGCGTCCGCGGTCTCGGAGCCGCACCAGCAGCAAAGGTTTGGATCGAACCGAGCCGGGAAGTGAACGATGGACGAGCAGCTGCGCTCTGTCTCCTGCGCTCTTGTTCTTGAACCAAACAGCTGCTGAATACTCTTTGTTCAGACTCAGATTCTATATGGATATTCAGCATTCAAAAAACCAGCACCCCTCACCTCGCCGCCCCGGCTCGTCCCGCTGTTCGGGAAAACTCGGGTGTTTTGAGCCCCATTAAAAGCAAAGGCGTACTCGCTTGACGACTGTGCTCTGCGGCCTTTCTGACTACGCACAAGCTTACCTTCCTCCGCCTCTGCCTCCTCCTCCTCCTTCTTCCCCACCGACCGCCTCTCCTGCGTCCTCGCCTCTCCTCTCTCAAACCTGCCGGTCTGCACGCGCGCCTCTCGCCGGTCCGCCTGGCTTGAAGACTACAGCCATCTCCCGCGTGCAACTCTTACTACCGCAGTATCGAGGTCTCGACCCCTTCATTCTCTTGCGTCCTCTCCAGCCTCTGCTGCCTCGTACCTAGTCGAGTGTGCAATTCCTTTATTGTCTGTGACTGCGGTTTTTGGAAAGTGTGCGTTTTGTTCCTTGCTGTGTACTTGTCTTGGTCTCCGGGTGCTGTGCTGTATTACGGTGGTTGCCAACAGGCATAAGACCGGATATCGCAAAGTGAGCTGGTGATTTGCGCTTTGGCGAGCGCCAGACTAGAAGCGCTGATTAGACGCGCTCTAGCTACTATTAACTGCTCGCCTTGTCTTTTGCGTTGGATATCAGTCTCATACTTTTCGTCCGGGCAACAGCTAACGATCCCAAACCTCTTAACAGACTCCCAGACCTAAATTAAGCAGCAGCTTTGCTCCTCGCTCCCACCCGCAGCCATTTTCCTTCCCCGGAAATGGGCTCCACACCCGCCATCCTCGGCATGGACGTGGACGACACCAACTTCAGCATTGCCCCGATCGACATCGCAAACGCCGACATTCCAAAGTCAATCCAGCGCCAGCTCGACGATCGTCTCGAGAAGATCCAGCGCGAGATCAAGGCGTACCAAGAGTTCAAGGCCAGAGAGTTTGAGAGCTACAGAAATGATCTCGTGGGCCAGTACCTGCAAAAGAATAAGCAGCAAGAGAAAGATGCCGCGGCTTCCTCCGTCGCTGCGACGGCGACGGCGACGGCGGGCACGAAGCGGCTATCAAGAGCAGACTCTACAATCCAAAGCAGCTTGAAAGGAAACAGCAAACGTCAACGCAATGGCGAGAAGAAAAAAGTCATGTTTAGACTGAACGACGAAATCCCGCCCGTCAGCCCAGACTCTGATTTACTATTGCCTGTCGACGCGGGCTCGGATGACGAAACCAATGTGCAGTATTTCCAGCTGCCGGATAAAATGTCGTTGCTCAACATGAGCGCGGAGATGAGTGACGAGCCTGAGGAGGAGATGATTGAGGATACTACTGAGCTGCAGACAAGTTCTCCTCCTTCTCGGCCGACGGTGGAACAAAGTGGGCTTGCGTCCTCGCTGGGAAGCAGTCACTCGTATGGAAGCCTAGGAGTCAGGTCCTTAGCTCCGGAGCAAACTCTGCCGACAACTTCCGTCTCCCTTTCTACAGACCCGATATCATCCTCGTACCGCGGTGGAATCAGACGAACATCGCAAAACCGCCAGCCGCTCAAGCTACAGCCATCTCCGGTTCGAACACCGTCAGCAGAGCAGATCCGGCGCGAGAGCACGTTCGACGACGACGACGTTTTCGCGCTTGACGAGAATCTTGACTCGCACGGCAACAACAACACTTCGTCGTTTGCTGAGCCGTCGTTCAGGGTGCAGATCGGCAGCCGGTCGACGTCGTTTACTGATAATTTCCATTCTGCATTTGCATCGTCATCTGACGCCCCACAGTCTGGCTGGGTAGGTCACTCGGTCTCGCTCCATACTCCTAATCGCTCTCCGGTCACCGACACATTTCAAATGGATGACGACTTGCCGTTCGACGGCGGCAGCAATGCGCTGTCTATTCCTGTGCCTATGGGCATGCAGTCTGGTTCCCCTGCTTCATCGTACGACGACAACGAAGAAGACACACATGACGTGCCAACCACCCTCAGCGGTTCAGCCTACGGCTCTTCCCTCCCGATCGAGATCGGCACGCCAATGTCCAGCAGCGTCAGACGGTCGTCCAGAGAGCTAGTGGACGACAGCGGCGGCGAAATGGGACTACCCGGCGGCGTGCTCGGCGACGATGAAGAGTATAAGCTCGAAAAGCTCAAGTCGGTCGATAACCCTGACCGACTGAGTTTTTCCCATCGCATAATATGGGAGGAGCATGTTGCCGGCTCGTTGAGGAATAGGTAGTCTGTTTCTTCTATCTTTTCCTTCCTTCTTCTCCTGATGTGTCTAGCTTGCTGGACTAAGGGTTCCATACCGGCATGATATTCTTTCTGACGATTAATGGTGTTCTTTTGCTTTTCTTTGCGTTTTTTAGAGTTTCTCTTTCATTCCATTTCCTTTCTCCTTCTTATTGTTTGGGATTCCCAATTTTGCTCCACGTTACCTGCTACATTTTGTTTTCAACTTTGACAGCCGTTTTTGGTCTTTGTTCGACTTTCTTTTGGGGGGAAATGTATTGCTGGATCAGGTTTTCGGTTCAGTCTCGTTTTGCTGCATGAGACTGAAGTGTTCATTGTTATGTGGGAGAAAGACACGCTCACCAAGGAAAAGAGATGGTACGGAGTAGTTTGGACACTATCCGTTGGAGAAGGAAGGAAGATTTTTGGTTGAAATAGTTGCATGTGTATGGTGGTCGGACTTGACTCTTTGCTTCCTTTTGCTCATCTTTCCTTTCTTTTTCTTTTTCCCCTTTCTATTTCTTCTTTTTTTGTCTTGGTTTTGCTTGCCATATCCGTCCGTTCGTCACACACTCCCTCCTTACTTTGCTCGATCTTGGTACAGCGACATTAATGACTTACCCAGTCATCTTTCTCCCCCTCCTTCTCTTTTTGTATATATATTATCTTGTCAAAAGTGTATTTACCTGGTTTCCTAATACGATCGCGGTTCTCGAGTCCCTCTCTCTATTATATCCTTGCTAGTTAGTTGCCCGCAATAGTAAATCACCACAAACCCCTCGATAACTCACACGCACTCATTTTTCTCTCCATCGCGAATTGGGCATCAAACTTTAAATTGGGGGAAATCTCGGAAAATAGCTGAACGCAACGTTGGTTGAGGTTTTTGAAGAGTACTTTGCCATTTAGTCCGCGACGAGGAAGTGAGATTGATTATCAAAAGTCAGGAATTGGACGGATCTTGGCTTTGTTTGGCTAGGGTATTTGTATAGTTGATTCAACATCTTGTCGGGAAGTTGGAGTATCGAGAATTAAGTCAATATTTTTTTCCCGATTCTTTTCGCATAACGACGACGACGACGACGACTTCTTTCTGTCGCCAAGAAGACGTGAGCAGGATTACGAATCTTTGAGAGAGATAAGCAGAAAAAAAGCACAATGTTTGGACCTTTTAAACCATCAAATGTTTTGTTTGGCGGATTGCTATGGTACGTCCTCTTTTCCCCCTCTCCTCTGCCGAACCTATGCTGTGTGCGAAGGTGCTAAAACTACCACCCCACCACTAGGAAAATCCCATGGCGCATGTCACAGAACCAGAAATACAGACAACGCAGACGTCTACGTGCGGTCGACAACGTGATTGCGACGGTCGACCAGGCGCTGAAAGCAAAGGGGATGACTACAAAATACCTCGAGCGGATGAAGGCCGAGGTGCCGCGCGAGTCGGAGATGCTGCCGAAGGATAAGTACACGATGTTTACGAGGAAGATGAAGGGTTATCGGATTGGATTACATCGTATGTTTTTCCCTTGCTGTGTGGAGGAGAGTATGGGGTTTTTTGCTAACGATTTCGTGCAGGTGTTGATAAGTGGACTCGCCGGACGCTCAGAGTCAACCCCAAGGGTTTCTAATCTCAGTTCCTTCATTTTCTTGCCTTTTGTCTCTGAATTTCTCACAGTTATGGCTATATATGGTATTAGTATAACGTGGCGGGTGGGGAATGTCTGATGAAACCTCCTCTGCTTCAAGGACGTGATTTTGTACATATTTAATTGAATAGCCGAAGCAGAGCAGACTATCATTACTCGGATCTCATTATTAAACCGCCATGAACTAATCAGATTAATGTATACTGTATTTTTACGTCTTTTGTAAACACAAGGACAGGAGAGAATCAAAAGAAACCTATACATGAGCTCGGATCTCATCACCAAACTACCAAGGACTAAGCAGATGAATGTATACTGTATTTCTACGTCTTAAGCAGACACAAGGACAGGAGAGAATCAAAAAAAACCTATACATAAGCACCGTTGCAACCCGAAACAAACGCAAAACAATAAAACGCAAAGAACGTCAGATGGGCGGATAAACCCAGGACAAACAGTATATAAGGGCCTTGCGATTATTGCAAGCGATAGAAACAAAATCAGTAAACTCCCAATGAAATCCCAAACCAAGCATGAATTCGTAGAGCAAACAACTAAAGCATAGAGGAGGATAGAGGTGCGGATTTAACGAAAAACGACGTAATACTTTTATAACTCAAACATCGTCAAAGTCTGTCGGCGAGCATCCAGTGCGTAACCGCTCCATCCATGAAAGTGAAGAAAAAGAAAGGCTTCATAACTAGAAAAGAAATGCATGCGATTTAGGATTTCATCGTCTGTTTCTGAATCAGGTTGCGGTGGTAAGCTGCCACATCGGCTTTGACATCCTCAGAGTATGAAGGAGCAGCAACTTCCTTTTCCGGTTCGGCTTTGCGAAGGTTGATGACCTTGCGATGGCGTCTGACTTTGCCGCTCTTGATGTTGCGTCGTGATCGCATAATGATACTTGACAAATCGTCATCGTCCTTATCCTCTTCGGTATTGTGGCGCTCGACCATCGAGCGACAGATGGCATCCGAAATAGCAGGGGTGTGAAGGCTCAAGGTCTGCTGTGCCTGACCGAGCAAGTTGAGCTGGACCATGTTTGTAGGACTCAGCATAGGCAAGTCAGGGTTGACTTCGGCGAGAGTCACAGGCTTCACCCGCGGTGACGAAGGCGACCCTCCGTTCTTTGCATCTTTCTCTGCACTGGACTTTGCGTTTGTGGCAACGGCTGCGTTTCCATTCGGTGTCCAGCGCTGGCTCAGCTTGTGAATAATAGCGGGTAGCTCCTCGCGGAAGAGAAGCCGGAGCTGGTTTTCGATCTGTGACTGGATGAGGCGAGCGATGGCGGGGATGGAGTCGAAAGTGGATGATGTTTTTATTGATTCGAGAGGGTCGTTGCGGAAAACCAGGGTGGCGCCTTTGGCCTTGGAGAAGACGAGGATGACGATGCCAGATAGCTTGATGTCGGAAAGGGTGATTGTGAGAGGGATCTTGAGCGATGAGTTGGCAGCGAGGAATTTGGGGTTGGTAAATGACGGAGTGAGATGGGAGTAGATGTTGAGAGGGTTTGCCTAGAATAGTCAGCAAGAGAGCTATATTTAATAACTTGTAGCAGATACTTACCTCAATAAGAGTCTGTAGGGTCATGAAAGCGTTGCCGTTGTAAGTCAACTTGAAGACACCGCGAAACCGGTCATCGGCTAGGTCTCCTATTTCGAGGATCTCAAGCTCGGGGGGCTAAAAAGAGGCAGAGAGCCATATTAGCAAACGATCTCATGATATATAAAGCGGACTTGTTGTAACAAACCTTTGTGCCGAAGTTCAAGTCCTTCACTATGATATCATCGACGATGATGGGGGGTTTTGCGCCTTTGTTCAGGGCGTCTGTCAACAGGGAGGTGACCTTCGGGTAGAAGTTGTCTTCCGTAGAAAATGGCCAATTGAACTGAAAAGACATTTGTGCGGTGACGAGGAAGAAGGATTCAGACACGAGGAGCAGACATATATGAGGGTCGGAAGGGCGAACGGTGCGGAAAGAGAAGGAAGGAAGTTCTGGGGGAGGGAAGTGTCGGCTGGATGGATGAGTTTGCCTCCGACGGGACCTGAGACGGGCTGGGTGATGGAGAGGTCGTTAAGAACGCGGAATAAACTGCTGGTGATCGCAGACTGAACAAGAGCTGGCAGACGACCAGTAGCTATATCAGATAAGAGAAGAGGAAGAGGAAGAGGAAGAGGAAGAGGAAGAGTCCGGGGTCGCGTGAGGAGGAGACTCTGCTGGTCGAATTTTCTTCCGCGCACAAATCCCTTAGCGCCCTCGCCTATAGCGTGACCCCTAAAAGAGCACTAGTCCGCATCGGGAAGTCCAGCAACACGTGACAGAGACTACGTACGCCGTGCTCAGACGTACGCTGCGCGAAACCGCCCTGATCTGATTGGCCCTGCGGCCTCAGGCCACGGGAGGTACGCGCTAATCGCATACTTAATCTGTGTACCTCTTTTTGCATCCGAGTGTGCCTCCATCGCGAAGTTCACATCTTCTTCCTCTCTCTTCATCCCAGTCCCGTCGATCACATCAAGTCAAAATGGTGCGTATATGCTGTTATATAGAAGGAGAAGAGCAGCTGGTTTTTGTTACTATCGGACATTTGACTGATTATTCTTGTCGCTGCAGGTTCACCCCATCATCCGCAAGCAGATCTTCTACCAGACCAGCCACAAGGAAATCTGGATGAGAGTAAGAACCGCCCTATATCCATTCTCGTCGTTTATCAACATCCAGTGATATTTTGTGCTTTTTCCGGTGCTGGAAATCTCGTTGATGGATCGATACCCCGCGCTCTACGCGACCAACGACCAAAGACGCGATCTAACAGTTTTTTCTCCTGCTCTAGAATCCCAGAAGCCCTCTCTACATCATCCCCTACTGGATTGCCTTCTGGGGTGGTATGGGCTACTCCACCTACTACCTCGGCAGATTGATTCTCGTACGTTTCCATTCCTGACTCGATACGCGGAGTCAAGTTACTTGACTATAGGTCGCAGAGAGCAAAACTAACGCATGCTTTTATCATCTCTCACAGGGCAAGAAGGCCGATGCTTGATCAACTCCTCCGATTAGAAGCACGTTTGGGATTTCGGTGCTAGCTTGACAACAGCTGCGATATAATCAGATGGATGGAATTAGTCTTCTTTTTTCGTCAGCTGCAGCTCCGGCTCTTCACAGATTGTCGAATTATGGTGGCTAGTTGCAGATAGCGCCTTTTTCCACTTGTCGGTTATTTACAAATTGCATTTTCTATATTATTTCTATCCAGACTTCTATTATATCTCGTATCTCGACGTCTTAACTGCTATCAGCAAATGCTCTCCCGTCATGCCCCTCCTTCCCTCCTCTATCTCTACACTCACCACGCTTACGACGCCCAAACTACAACCCACAGGTCAGGCCACTCTCAGAGCACCTAGATACAGCCTTCCATCACATGCACATAAGCACATCTTAAACAAAGCGTAGAACTAAAGACAATACGACTGTCGGAAACGTGCGGCACAAGTCTCCCAACCCTGCGCAGTTGGTGCCAGTAGTGCGCTGTCAACGGGCCGGTCACCGCCAGGCTCGGTTATGGTGCACCCTAATTGAGCCTGAGCACAGTCATCTGAAGCTCAACTCTGACTCCGCGCCCAACTCGCCTTCGCTGCAGGTTCTATCAGAGCACGTCTTCAGTCTCCTTCTTACTTGCCAGTCATCGCCCTAGTCTGGTGCGTTTGCTCATACAGACTGTGTATCCAGATATTCATCCGTCCGCCTAGCTGCCCGCTGATCTCTGCCTGTGCCTGCTGCATCACTATCTATCATCATGTCTGCCGCTGACGAAGACAACAACCCGTTCGCCAACTCCGACGATCTGGCCACGGACAACCTTCCGACGACAGATCACTTTGCCGTCGTACTTGACTCTGACGGAGAAGCTGCTGTAGTGCCACAGCTGAAGAGCGCGTCCGCGAGCGGGATCTCGTTCCCCAGCTTCAGAGATAGCTACGACACATCGTCATATACCGAGGATGATCCGGCGTCTGCGCCGCCCTCGAACCATTCTTACGCGTCCAGGGTTGAGCAACTGCTGACAGAAAACCCCAATCTCGAGATCCTGATTGTGGATGCGGGAAAGAATCATGAAATTGGTGGGGGGTTCATTGCATACACTATCCGCACCGGCGTACGTCTGTTCTTTCCCGTGATGTCGACTCTGGCGGCTATTAACTCAGGATTGTATCATTATAGGATTTATCTGCTCGTCGTCGGTACTCGGAGTTTGAGAGTTTGCGCAATGCGCTAGTCCGGTTGTTTCCCACTCTGATCGTGCCTCCCATCCCAGAGAAGCATTCTATGTGTAAGCCTGTCATGATATCTCCATCTCGCTGTACAACTACTGACCAAGACAAATTATACAGCCGACTACGCCGCCAAGCCTACAAAGGCGAAAGAGGACTCCAGGATCATCGACCATCGAAGACGGATGCTGGCGGTGTTTCTCAACAGATGTCGTGCGATGAAGCAGATCAGAGAGCACGCAGTATTCCAGAAATTTCTTGATCCGAATGTCAGCTGGGTGAGTGCACAGTCTTAGAGACTTTTTTGATCTCAAGGCTATCGCTAACAAGTGGGTGTAGATTGAGGTACTCAACTCTCCTCCTTTGACCCTGATTCCCAAATACGTCCTGCGCGCGCCGCCGCTCAACACCGCTGCGCCTACTCCCGCCCACGCCTACTTACCGGTTCCGACATCGTCCGCACGTCTGCGAGACGGTGACGAGATGGAGTTTATGCACGCCGAGCTGAACGCCAAGGAGTACGAGATAATCATGTCGAGTGGGATCGAGAAGGTAGACAAGCGGCTGCTACGACGTCTGGGTGATATCGCGGCCGCGCTTGCAGAGCTAGGGGCGCGATACAACGCCTGGAGTCTGAACGAGTCCGGCTCGCTTGCTGCGGCGATTGAAGGAGTTGGGCAGGCGGTGGACGGGACATATATCGCTACCGAGGAACTGATATCGTCGCTCTCGTCGTCGTTCGCGGAGCCCTTGGGCGAGTCTGCGCAATTTGCTGCGGTCGTGCGCTCGGTGCTCAAGTATAGACATCAAAAGGCGCTGCAGTTTGAGATGACGCTGAACTCGCTTGCGCTAAAGCGGAATATCCTCGCCGGTCTGGAGCGCACGGAGATGGAGTCGCAGCGAATCAACGACTACTTGCTGCACCGGGACCTGATTCCCGAGGACGTCGCGAGTCCGATCGCGAGCGTGCCGGATGTGCCGCTGGATTCGGAGGAGATTGCGAATGCGCCGAGCACGGACGCGTACGCGTCTGCTGTGACTGAGGAGGAGGTCGTGAACGGGACAGCGTTGGCGGAAGCAGCGCCGGCGGCGGCGGCGGCGGCTGATGAGAGCGGGACGGTGCTGAGGCCGATGGTGGACGAGGAGTCGTTCCCGCCTACGCATGCGGACTCGACCATGCTCTCGCCTCCGCGGCCGGCGAAGAGGGGGAACGGGTTTAAGTTCCCGGGGATCGGCAAGCTCAGCGACGCGATCCACGGCATCGTCGACGTTGATCCTGAAGCGACGAGAAGGAACAACATCGGCAAGACAAAGGAGGAGATTCATATTGTAAGTCTCTCTTTTAATTGCACGCCTGCTGCAGTTTGGTAATGATTACTAATTATATGAATATGTAGTTCGAGCAGGCTTTGGGCGTGGCTGATTCCGACTTGAAGCAAGCTTCAGAGTCGGTGAAGGCTGATCTGGCGCGGTATCAGAAGACAAAGGAGCAGGATCTGAGGAGAATAATGGTATGTATTTGCTTTGAAGTTGCGGCAATTTTTTAAAAGAGATGAGGTGCTAATCTGAACTGCGTGTGTGTTTAGATCGCATACGCGAAATGCCATGTAGTGTGGGCGCGCAAAAATCTAGAGACATGGGTGGAGGCGAAGCAGAAGATAGAGAAGATCAAGGTGAAGTGATTTCTACATTTATCGAGAGTGGTAATTTCATATGTGTGAATCATCCGTGCTGCTGAAGATTTTGCGGCACACTTAGATCGTCTTTGTCTGGTTTTGGCGCGCGTTCATGTCATGCTATTTTTTTGTTTGTTTTATATACTACAGCAGCAGCTCCTTTCGGTTGACGAAGTCGGTTGAAGTCGATCGAAGTCGACACAGCACACACGCTATCACTCAGATAATTACATACATACAAACATATCACCAGTGTATCAGCTCAGGGTAGTAAGTAGCAAGTATGCTGTGCGCGGGCGTGGGAGGGTAGAGAATAAGCTGCTGTACGATACGATGTTGCGTCGCGCTGTTGCTGTTAGCTTGTTTTGGTAGTGTGTAATATACGTCTGATAAGAACGACTAGAAATTTTTTCTTCTTCTCTCTTTTTTTTTGTAGCTTCGCCGCGGCGAAGGAAAAGAGTATTTAAGGGAGTATCGCATTTCGCCAAGTAGGTGAAGATGCAAAGCGTACTAAGCAGCGGTCCAGGAGGTCTAATATGCACGACGACGGCAGTACCTCAGATAAACATAAGAAATAAAAAAAATAGGCAAAAAAAAAGAGGTAGATTTCACGAAACGAGAAGGAAGGAGTGAAATTTGGAGAAATGAAAGTTGAGGATAGGAAATGGAGGTGGGGATGAGCTCAGTGTCAGTCAGTAGTGCTAGTGTCAGTATTTGATGAAACTCGGATTCGTCTGAGATGGTGTCAGGAACGTGCGCGATGAGTTTACTTTACACTTCCCCCAAAATCAACCGTGTTTATAATCCATAGACTATTCAACTACCTCTATATAACCCCATCTCACTACTCACTCCAGAATCTAAACACAAAAAGAAAGGGGACCTGCATCAAAGCACAAGCTCGAGACAGGGCATCGCCAAGCGAGCGAGCGTGCGGTGCCTGCTCGAAGCATGCTTTAATCGAATTAAAGTGCAATGTAAACCCGACAGAGCATCAATCTAATAACTTTCAAGAAGAGAAAAAACCTCCTTTTAGCTGGTAGTTAATCTGCTGCTAATCTCTGATAATCTAGCAACCTTGCTTCGGGGTAGTTAAGGTAGTAGCTACTTTAATCTAACGAATCTGGAAGTCTAGGTGCCGCTTATAGCGCGTCGCCCGAGATCGCTCTCGATCGAGGCAAGGGAGTCGAGATGATCAGACTTCCGGATGAGGAAGGTGGTTAATCTATCTCGGATATAGTTATTGCACCCGTTTTCGGTTTCGCAGGATGGAGGGGGGTGCAGAGTTAGGAAGTGACGTCCTTGCGTTGGTGTATTTGCTCATGTTGCTATTATACATCATCATCATTACTCTTGCGCTTCATAACATATATACACTCACTCGCTCTCATGCGTACACTTACACTTGTCCGTTCGTAAACCATCCCAATGTGCGTAAAATAAAGAGAGATAGTACACCGACCTGCCCTGCCGACCCGTAGTAACCTGTTGCCTCGTCCGAGGGGATAGAAAGACAGAAAATAGAAAAGAAAAGAAAGAAAAGAAGAAAAGGTATCTATAATACTTACAAGAGAAATACAAAATACAAGATATAAAATAAAGATACAAGCGCACCACCCAAAATAAAAGACATACAGACAAAGACAAAGACAAAGACTCATGCGGAGTACCCACTCAAAACACCAAAAACACAAACCACAAACACAACCAAAAAAACAGCAAAAACAGTATTTACACATCAGCGCCTTGATTCCTGAAATGGTTCAAAATCGCTCGTTCGTTCTCCGTCAGGCGCGGATCATACTCGCGATGGTCGACGGTAGACTCGCTCCCCACGCTGCTGCTCACAGCCGACTCGTCTGCGCGAGCAGGACTTTCGGCCGCGTCGACGTGCAGCGGGATAAAGCAGCTCGCGAGCTCGCGGCCAGGTGGGACAAGCACAGGTGGTGCGGCCGCGGCGGCCAGGGAACCGAGGTGGCCTGCGGGAGGGACGTGGGGAAGCTGGACGCCACGGAGGAGCAGGGCGCCGAGGGAGTATCGCGCTGGCGCGGACGGGGCGAGCACTTTGAGGTCTGAGAAGACGGCGAAGAGGCGCGGGTTGGAGGATTGCAGGTGGATTCGCATTGCCGGGGCTGCTGTCGACGACGAGGAGGGCGCGGGGGAGGGAATGACGTAGTCGTAATATACCTCTGGCGAGCGCACGACGGTGCCTTGCAGCGGCGAGGGACTTAGCGCCGGCGGTCTTGTCGTCGCCAAGTCAAACTCGGGAAGCAAGCAGAGCTGGATCAGCAGCGGCACCTCGCTCGCGGCCTCTTCGACCGGACTGCTATTGTGCGGCACCGACGACGACGTCGTCGTCGTCGTCGTCAGAATCGGACTCGAGCCATCAAACTCCTCCGCAGACTGCCCGCCGCTGCCGGACGACAGCTCAGGCGACGACACGCCGAGCGGGAAGGACTCGCTCGCGTCCTCGCGGAACCGTCTTATGCGCACGACCACGGGACTCGCGAGCAACCCCGATGCAGCGTGAGCTTGCGACTCGGGAAACGCAAAGGAGATTTCGTACCGGAAGGCTTCGAGAAGCGCGATGTCGGACGCGCCGGACGAGCCTGCGGAGCTGCTCATCGAGTGCGCGGGGCTCTCGCTCTCGATGATCTGCTCGCTTGCGATCTGCTCGCTTGCCGCGTCTGCTGTTGATGCAGCACCCGGGTCGGCGGAGGACGTGGAAGAAGACGATGAGGAGGAAGCGGCCTGTGGCGAGGTCTCGCTTTCGCGCAGAGACCGAGTCTGGATGCGCGTGTGCTCGCGCGTCACCTCAGCTTCTTCGGCGGCGGCGGGCGGGATGGCGGAGGTGGATGTGGATGCGTCGAGAAGGGGTATATCAGGATCCAAGGCGTCAGGAGGGCGGGAGCTCTCGCCGCTTGCCATAATGGCTGACGGGCGAGAAGGGGAGGGAGGGAGGGAGAGGGGGAGGGAGGAGGAGGGATGAAAGAGGAAAGAGCTAAATTAACAAGAAGACAAGTTAGCAGAGCAAGATCCGAGGAAAAAGCTTCTTTGGTTTCCTATTTCGCGCACGCGCTCTCGGTCTTCTCTCCCTGTCGAGCTCGTCAGTCTGCTCTGAGTTTGTAGATCAATTAGGCCTGGGTTTGATTGATTGTCGGTGACTGATTGTCGGTGACTGATTGTTGATTAAAATTGATTAATTGGCGTCGGTGTCGTGCGGCGCGGGCTGAAATGAAAATTAGGCGTGCCGACCGTGCGCATGGACGGCAGCGCGCCTGCGAGGTGCAGAGAGGTGGTGATGATGTGAGCAGAGGGAGGGAGGAGTGGTGAAGACGTGAGGACGGCGGGTGGAGGAGAGGAGAGGAGAGGAGAGGAGAGGAAGAGGAGAGGGGCAGGAGGGTAGGGCTGAGGGTAGGAGCGGGGCAGATAACGGTGCTTACGTGGCGGAGAGGTGAGGAGAGAGAGGTGAGGAGGATGAAGAGAGAGGAGGAGGTGAGAAGGGAGGATAGAGAAGGAAGAGGAGGAAGAAGAAAGAGAGAAGAGGAAGAGGGAGCAGGGTCTAAATACACCGCCAACGCCGACGAGGGATCGTATTATTTATGTACACGCGAGAGGCAGTAATAAAAGCGGAATTCGGTGCGGGCGCACAGGACTCGTTCAGAAGAAGGTTGGGTGCGTATGAAGCATGTGTACAGGGCACCACGCGGTACCTCGCCATCGCGACGGGACCCTTTCGATATGCGAGAAAGTCTCTTTTTAGTATAGTAGCTGGCGTATGATGGAGGAGAGAGAGATATTATGCGAGGAGGAGGAGTAGACGCTTGTTTTAGCTGTTGCTGTTTGATATAGACATTACATCAGACAGCAAAGACATGACAAGACATGGACATATATCTGCCAACACACATTCTCTACAAGACTGAGAAGGGGCTGGAGACGAGGAGAACGAGCACCCGGAACATCTCTTTTTTTTCGCATCCGAGCCCGAGCCGACCGAGTGAAGAAGAAGTGAAGACCAAAGGCTTTGTTTGGAGTATTAAATTCTACATTGACAGATTTGTCTCAAACCGATTGATTTCCGGGCCCAGGTCAGAACTGTCACCAGATGACTCTAGAGCAGCACGATATCAGGCACCCCGGTCAGCCACAGACGAGGCCCGGGAAGGAAAAAGAAAGCAGAGGAGGAGAAGAAGACGGAGAAGTAAACTTCGTCGCCGTTCAGGCTAAGCTGGATTGAAAGATAGTGTGCAGCACTAGTCGCTCGCCGCCGTTCTTTGCCTGTTCTCGAGACTCGAATAAACTCTTTTGTCTTGACCCTGTTCTTTAGATTTCACACTCCGCGCGCCGGGACACGAGCAGGCACATGTCAGGCCGAAGTATGACTGACGGTTGTTCTTTTTAGCCAGAGTATCTTGCAGAGAGCTGCTAGTAATCTACAAAGATGAGCATATGTGCAGTATACAGTAACCACGTCTGAGCAAATATCGTCGAGCCGAGCACATAAACACACACACACACACACACACACACACACACCGCCGTCGGCAATCCAGCGACAAAAGCGGTACCTGCACGTCAGACCCAGACTACGCTGATAACCGCAACTCGAGCCGTACCATCGTCGAGCTGGTCAGAGTGGGGCCCGCTCGGCTGCACGTGTTCTTGCGTCGGTCATTTCGTCATTGGCAGCAACCCAGCTGCGGGCGCTCCAACGCGGCGGATTAGGCTGCTGCCTGCGAAGCCCTGCGCTGCTTCTGCCTTGCTTCTGCCTTGCTTCTAGTGCAGAGGGCGGACCAGCGCATGACCTGGAGAGAAGAACACGATGAAGAGTTCTCGTTCTTCGTTCTTGTTGCTTTTATTTCTTATGAATATATGCTCGTTCATTTCCCTCCTCCGAATATGAAGAAGATGAGAGACTCTACTCTGCAAGAGGGCCTGACCGTGCGTCTCGGGGCGGGCCGCGTACACAGGACAGGACAGGTACCCGGTAGACTACACATCCAGCGTACTCACCACTCATAACTCCATCGTAGCTTCTATTCTATCACAAGACAGTTCTGCTATCTCAAGTAGAAGAGGTGATGAACTAGCTATCCACATGAGCAGCGCTGCTCACATGAGCTGCTAACTGCTAATCAGAGAAGGCGGCTGCGCGGTACCAAAGCACCCGCCAGGCCTCGCACGGCATCAACTCGGTCCGGTACCGACGAAGCGGCGTATATGAAGCAGCCCGCGCGCTACTCGTTTTGGCTCTCGAAGAAGCCTCGGAGATGAGCAAAGACGAGCAGAAAAGCAAGAGACTTTTAGCAAAACAAGAGACTAAGCAAAAAGACGCACGGAAAAAGAAAATGAGACCGAGATTTGGCCAAAGTCTAAAAGCTGATGCTTCTTCTTTCCTTTTTCTTGCTTCTTTACAGTTTCTGTCTATGCAAGCCGTATTGCTTTTTCTGGCTTCTCTTCATTGACCGAAGACTTACTTTTTCTTAATCTCACGTCCACGATCTGATACCGTCGGCGTTGTGTTTGTCTTATCACGTCGTAATTCTCAACAGACCGCATTTAATAGTTATCTACATATCTACAAGAACTACAGAACTACACATCTACAATAACTACAATATCTACAATCTCTACTAAACCGCTCTCATTAAACTATCTCTCTCATCTTCAGTATAAATCAGTACAGATACAACCTCAACCACGTGACTTCCGCTTCCGTCCCGGTGACGACAGCGGTGACTTTCTTCCTTTTATTTTTGCACCCAAATCTTGTGCGGTGGCAGATCAGCGGCTTGGATCAGGAACAAACCTGAATCACATGCGCCTGTCACATATATTAACCACCCTCCCTTCTCTTCCCTGACCGATAACCCATATCTCTGAATACACTCACTCACCATGTCAAATAACGACTACTACTCCAAGTCGGAGGCGAACCCCCAGGGTACCTCTGAGCAGACTGACCGCGGCTTCGGCGGCGGCGGGTTCGGTGGTCCCATGGGCGGCGGCGGCGGCGGTGGTGGTTACGTATGATCACCCTCTCTCTCTCTCTCTCTACCTCAGGACACCACCGACTAACAGCTCACAGTACGGCCCCCAGCAACCCCAGCAATCCTACGGCGGCGGCGGCCGTTTCGGCGGCGGCGGATACGGTCCCCAGGGCGGCGGTTACCAAGGCGGAGGGTATGGCCAGAGCGGACCTGGCGGCGGCGGATACTTTGCCCAGGGCCAGCCCCAGTATCAGCAGCAGGTAAGTCCACCACACGCAGATCCCTGTCTCTCTCAGAGTTTTGCCGTCGGGAGGAGTAGGAGGAGGAGTAGGCTTGGTGCGGGCCATGGGACTGTCGTGGGGAGTGTGGAGGTTGGAGATGGGCTTGCGGCGTCGAACGCGCAGATCACTTCGCGAGGTCGGTATTGCTATCTCTGCTGCTAGAAGCATATACCATAGAAGCAGAAGCAGAAGCATTCATCTTACTTCTTGCTCCTCGCTCTTGCTTCTTGCATTTCCTCCCCACCAACCTGCCTCAACGACGACACGATCGTTCATTGTGATTGATGACATGACATCATCGTGCTCAACCTCAAACAACAAGCCGCATCGATCTCCATTATGTCCCTCACCCGCTCCTCCTGCGCCATCCACGTCATTTCCTGCCTATCAATTGAGAGAAGAAAAGCGGGACTTCTTACTGACGTATTCTGAATAGGGCGGTGGTGGTGGCGGCGGTGGTGGATGTTGCCTTGGTCTCTGCGCGGGTCTGGCTGCCTGCTGCTGTGTGGTATGTCTACTCCTCCTCCTTCTCCTCCTGCATCTTCACCACTAATATAGCTTCTAGGACGCATTCTGCTAAATCTTTGTCTTGTATCTGCATTGCCCTCTCGGCTTGTAACAATTAGGTCTTGCTCTAGGAGTTTGGGTTTCCTCTTCTCTTTCTCTTCCTTTTCTTTGGTGAACGATCGTTGTTTCTACCCTCAATGTAGTGTAATATTATCATTTTATTATACATTCAAAATCAGCAAAACACAGTCTAAATGCAATACGCCATAACTAAAATAAAAACCTCTAGAATTCCAAATGCCTCATGAATCCCTCCTATGCTCTTCATCTTGATCTCCACCCGGCGCAGAAACAGACGCGGCCTCAACCTGCCCCGCAGTCTTCTCAACCTCTGCACTCTCCCCCGCCACATCCTCCCCACCCCTCTTTGCTTTCTTCCTGCTACTCTTCATCTGCTGCTCCGCCATCAACACCGCGATCTTCTCCTGATCCGCCGACGCCTCGTCGCCCTGCGTGCCAATCTTGATAAACACCGACAGCACGAGCCCGAGCGCACTGCACCCGACCGCAAAGTAAAACGCGCACCGATAGCCCCGCAGCAGCACCTCGGGCGCCTGATTGTCAATGTCGTTGCCGATCTGCGAGGTCACGATCGCGGTCGAGACCCCCACGCCGATCGAGCTCGCGAGCTGGACGATGACCTGGAAAGTGCCTGCCGCGGTCGACTTTAGCTGCGGCGGCACGCTCGCGAGCGTGACGTGGTTGACGACGTTGAAGGCCACGTCGGCGCCGATCATGACGATGCACAGCGCGGGAAAAGTCATGGCCCAGTACGTGATGTGGATCGGGCGCAGGGCCCACAGCAGCGAGGCGGTCAGGAACGAGACCATCGAGATTTGCATCAGGTACCGGCCGGGGACGCGGTGCAGGTTCGTCGCGATGAAGAGGTTGACGAGGATGCCCATCACTGCCTGCGGGAGCATCGCGGCCGTGGTGCGGATCGCGCTGTAGCCGAGGATGTTTTGGAAGAAGAGGGAGGAGTAGTACATCAGCACGCCTTGGAACACAAGCCATCCACATGTAACCGCCGCCATGCACTACACCACATAAGTTAGCCATCGTTACACATCCAAACAACAAAGAGTACTTACCAAAGCAAACCCGGGAAACTTCCAGATATACATCGGCATAAGCGGCTCGTCCACAAAATTCTCCCAATACACAAACACAACACAGATCAAGACGCCGACGATCAGCAGCACGATAATATACGGCGTCGCCCACCCGTTCGACGCCGCGCTCGACTCCGACAGCGCAAAGACAATACACGTCAGCCCCGCGATCGACAGCCCCGCGCCCGCGAGATCAAGCTTCCTTAACAGCTTCAAACACGTCCGCCAGTCGCGCTCGACGGCGACAAAGTTCGTGCCGCCCGCGGCCTTTACGATTTGATTCGAGAGCTCGTAGAGCATCTTATCCGACGGGACGAGCAGAACTATGAGCGTGCCGACGATCGCGTAGAGAATCGCAAAGAAGAATAGAACAGCGCGCCAGCCGAGGTACTGCGTCGATATACCAGACGCAATCACGCCAAAGACATAACCTACCGGCGCGCCGGCCGCGTAGGTCGCCATCACCCTGTTCTTGCGCTTGCTGGGCGGGTACAGCACGCCGATGATGCCTACTGCTGCAGGAGGGGCGGCCGCGCCGCCGATCGCTTGCAGGCCGCGCAGGACGTCGAATGGGATGTGGGACTTGACGAAGCCCATGATGAGCGAGAGCACGGTGTACCATCCGACAGCGATGACGAGCGTGCGCTTGCGGCCGAGGATGTCTGCGAGCCGCGCCATGAGAAGCAGCATGGATCCCGCGACGAGGGAGTAGGACGTGATTGTCCACGACAGCTGCGAGCCGTCGATGTTGAACGTCATGGCGACGTGGGGCAGCGCGAGTTGCAGCGCGCCCTGGTTGCCTGCGTTCATCATCGGCACGAAGCTGAGGGTGAGCGCGAACACGCACTCTGAAAACAGAGAGCGGAAGACGGGCGGCCGGGCTTCGCGGTCGTCGACGATGAGCCTGTTGACGGAGGCGGCGCCCTGGTCTTCGATTTCTTCCGCGGGCTCGGGTTTGACGATGGTGGTGAGCGGGAGAGGCGCGCCCGCGTCGTCGTCGGCGGCCGCCAGGTCGATAGCGGACAGGGACGCGGCGGCGGACGGGTGCGGATCAGGGGGAGGCATGTGTATCAGCGCAGCATGGCTCTTAGAACCAGAGATGAAAAGAATAGAGGAAGAGAAGAAGAGAAGAAAAACCGAGGATGTGGGGTCCTCGCCCTTCCCTTTCCTTTCCGACTAACTAACTGACTTGGCGGAGGCGACAAAGAAGGTGCGGATGGTCGGTGCGCGCTGTTCGCTGTCGCCAAAATAGCAGTTCGCTTACGAGTTTATTGGCAGGGTTTTATTGTGGATGAAGATGCTCGGCAGTTCCGCGGCAGGTTCCGCGGTCGGTCGGAATTGGGGTGTCTGCTAAAGAGAAGTGATTAGTGGAGTGGGTGGTGTATGTAGTGTTTAGTGTGTAAAGTAGATAATGACAATGACAATGAATACAAATGTACCATTGACTTGGTGATTATTGTGGTGGTAACTGGTGGAAAGGAGATATCAAAGCATTCAAATCAGAAGCTCAATCGCAACGCTAACTGCATCTTCTTATGATTCTGTCCCTGGCAATGACTCGTCTTTATCTACCGACTCAACACCCAATCATATCTTCATCACTCACCAACAATTCCCCTCAAATATCTGTGCGATATACAACTCTCAGCCAGTCAATTGCTATCACCAGATAAGCACTAGTATAACAATGAATGACGGGCAGCCAAGACGAGGGCATCGGCCCGGAATTCCGCGGCTTATTTCCGGCGGAGCCCTAATTCCTTTGTAAATCCTTCGGCCGCGCCGACGAGACCGCTCCCAGCTTGCAGCGCAGCGCAGCTCTGCAGTTCAGCTCAGCACACAACAGACAAAATATATCTGTATCCAACAGTAGTATATACTATTGTAGAATTACAACTACAGTCGTAGATCCTCATATCATTCGCGCTTCTCGCAAACAAAAGCCTCGGCCGAGCTGCCTGCATCCAGACATCCCAAGTCCGCACCCAGTGGGGCTCCTTTCCTCGCTATCTAAAAGCCGCTGGTTGACAATAGACTGAAATAAAGCTTTTTCCTCTCCTGCTGACCGCACCTGAGCTGATCTTCTCCACCGGTGTCAGCGCGCGTCGTCGTCTGGATTTAAAGACTCGAGTGTCCTCTCTTTTTTCTCCTGCTGCTGTCGTGAGACATTTTTCTGAATACACAAAGGCAACATCAGCTCGCATGACCTCCGCATCAGACACAGACGAAGTCATGCCGCAGGAAGCAGTCAACAACGGCGCAGAGGACGAAGAGAAAGCGCGCTCGCTGTCTGAGAAAACCGCAGATGAGCCAGAGAAGATGGCGTCGTCCTCCGCCGACCTCGAGCGCGGCGAGCAGGCGTCGACCTCCGCATCAGCTACGCCGCCAGAGAAAGAGGACAAGCCGACCGGCCAAACAATCGTGCTCATGCCGCTCACGGACCTCAGCCGCGGCGTCGTAGGCTGGGATAGTATAGAGGACCCTAAGGACCCCAAGAACTGGGCGCCGGGACGGAAATGGAGGACGATGATCCTCGTCGCCATGTCGACGCTGCTGCTTCCCCTAGGCTCGACGCTCTTCGCGCCGGGAGTCGGGCTCGTCGCGACAGAGTTCCACGAGACTGATACCACGATCTTGACGTTCATGGTCTCGATCTTTGTCCTTGGTTTCGGATGGGGTCCGATTTTGTTCCACGCGCCGCTGAGTGAGCTGTACGGCAGGAAAGTCGTCATCTCGCTCTCGAACCTGATGTATGCCTGCTTCAACATCGGGTGCGCGTGGGCCACTAGCACAAATATGTTTTTGGCGATGCGGTTCTTGGGCGGCTTGCTTGGTTGCGCGTCGATGGTCGTCGGTGGTGGTGTTATCTCTGATATGTTTTCGCGTGATCAGATGGGCCGTATGTATTCTACTGTTTTTGTACGATAGCCTATGAACTAACAGTGGCACACAGGCGCCTCGTCTATGTACGCCCTAGGACCTCTGCTCGGCCCCGTCATCGGCCCCGTCATCGGCGGCTGGATCGCCCAAGACCTAGGCTGGCGCTGGGCCTTCCGCTTCCTACTAATCCTCAGCGGCACAATGTTCTTTGTCTTCTCGCTGCTCGCCGAAGAGACCCACGCGCCCACGCTTCTCCGCCGCAAGACGCGCCAGGTGAAGAAAGAGCTCGGTCGCGAGGACCTGATCTGCGCGACCGACGAGTTCAACCATCGCACGCCCTCGCAGGTGTTTATAATGGGCATCACGCGCCCGTTCGCGCTGCTGACGACAAACCCGGTCAGCATGTTCCTGGGCTTCTACATGGCCATCGCCTTTGCGTTCCTCTACATCTTCCTCACCACCATCTCCGGCGTGTTCAAAGAGCGCTACGGCTTCTCGACCGGCACCACCGGTCTCGCGTACCTCGGCCTCGGCGTCGGCCTGATGTCCACGCTCGGCGTGATTGGCAGCACAAACGACAAGCTCGTCGCGTACCTGACCAAGAAAAACGGCGGCGTGCGCGAGCCCGAGTTCCGCCTGCGCCCGCTGTTTGTCTCGTGCCTGATCCTCCCGATCGCAATGTTCTGGTACGGCTGGGCGGTCCAGGGCCACGCGCACTGGTTCGCGGTCGTGGCGTCGATGTTCCCGATGGGCGTCGGGATGGTCTCGACCATGTTCCCGATCCAAACCTACCTGATTGAAGTCTACGCGCCGTACGGCCTATCCGCGAGCGCGAACGCCGCAGGAAACTGCTTCCGCATGACGGCCGGCGCGTTTTTCCCGCTCGTCGCGCCGTCGATGTTTGCGAGGCTGGGGTATGGCTGGGGATGTTCGTTGCTGGCTTTTCTCGCCCTGTTTTTTTGTGGGTCGATGGCGGTGACGTTTGTGTGGTATGGGAAGGTGTTGAGGGTGAAGTACCCTCCGAAGATTTAGTGCGAGTTTGCTAGTTTCTGTTTTGCATAGATTATGTTGTGTTTATTTAGTAGAGTAATGGTAGTATCTTTCATCTGAGGCATTTCTCTAGATAACGCAGGGACGCGACGCGACGCGTGCCTACTATCCATCCTTCACCAATGCTCAGTGTCCTTCACGTAGTTCATCTACATGCACACATCTCTACCTCCCGACGGAGTTAAGAAGACAGCTCTTATCAGGTAAAGGACCAGGGCAGTCACATCAGTCAGTCATATCTCATTACCTGCCATCCTCATATTGATAGATGATTGATTGATTGCTAATAAGCAAGGGGCATCCACCAACCCCTCAACGCACCTCCGATCACAAACCACCGCAGCTGCAACCCGCGATGCAACCCGCGTCCGAGATAGGAATCTTGAATAAACCGAGGGGCCTGCAACCAGCTTGAGTTTCCTATCTGGGAAAGCGAGACCGCGAGCGAGGTTTTAGAGGTTTTAGCTCGGGGTTGGTTCCTGGTGGATGCTGCATTTGGCGGTGGTGTCCTGGCTGCTCAGACGATAGAGATGAATATGATAATGAACGACGACATCGACAAAGAGATTTATAACAATACAAGAAACAAAAGATATATAATCAACAAAGAAGAAGACAAACAGTTATAAATCAATGACGACGTTGATCGCTGCTATCGCCCGCAGCAGCCTCGTCGAACCGGCTCCGTCATCGCGTCAGATTTGTCTGCGCGCACATCACATCATCACATTTGCTTGTTACTACTCTTTCTCCTCCTTCTACACATATCCATCCTTATTCTTTATTGATCTTGTTCTGTGCTGAGTGTCGCTGTTCGTCCTGATCAGCAGACACTAGAGAAGTATGAGAAAAGACGTCCTCGGAGCAAGGCACCGTCGCCGAAGATCAGGATCGTCGTAGATAACAATCGAATGCCACCGACGGCCTCCAATCTCCGTCTGCGCCCCGCCGCGAATACGAGAACAAACCCGAACCCTGCGCAACATAACTCTACTGCACTTATGCTGTCTACTTTCTCAACACAACCGCTGGCTACGTACATCTATCTGGCCTTTCTTTGTTCACGCGCGTGTCTGCAAAACAATAAAATAGAAGAAGAAAGACAAAGGGATTGAAAAGATATTTGAGATATATTCACTAAAGTGAAAATAGAAGAAGAAAACACCGCCGACACGCGCGTAAAAATACAAACCAAAAAAAAGCAGCCAGAAGTAAACAAAAAAAATGCAAATCGAAAGAAGGATGTGAGCAAGAATATAAGATAGTGAGTGATGAGAAGTAAATTCTTTGGTTCTTTCAATTTCCTTCCTTTATCCTCCATCTTTCACCTTTCTTTTTTTAAATCATCTCCCTCCCTGCTTCTCTCCTCCTTATAAGTGATCATTCAAGCAAATAAAATAAGAAATAAGACATCCTCCACACTGCATCAATGATGAAAGCAACAAGAGAGAAAATAAAACATTCTATAAATTCTTGAGAAAAGATAAAGAACACATCATTAATCGGATCGGTCGACCAAAAACACAAAAGAAAACATATTCATGCAAAAACTTAACGAAACAAACGAAACATGAAGTGAGCTCGTGTCTTTCTTCTCAGAAAAACATCAAGCTGAAAAGAAGTGGGTAGAAAGAAGAGAAAAAAAAAAGTGATCGCGTGTGATAAAGAAAGAAGAAAGATCAAAAAATAAAATCATTTCATCTTTGAAAAAAGAAAAAAACACCGCGGTATATGCCTCCACACCTGTAAAACCCCCCCCGATTATATATAGAAAAAAAGTAGAAAAAAGGAGTCTTTATAAACCAACCATTTTTAAATGATGAGAGAAAAATGCATCATCGCCACACCGCTTACCATCCGAAGTTCTCAGAGTAGAAAGCAACGTTGTTGCCCTCCCAGAGCATCTCAGAGGAAGCATTGCGCGAGTCGCGGACAAGAGGAGCAGGGCCGCAGACACCGATGCAGACGCGGGCACCAGGGCCGGCGGCGATGATCGAGTCCTTGACGTACTTCTTGATATCCGGACGTCCCTGCTCGGCAGTGACCCAGATCTTGAAGTCGACGTTGTAGTCCTCCTTGAGGTCGACCCAGGTGGCAAAGTCACGCGAGGGGACAACCCACAAGAAGTCAACCTCGGGGTTGGCAGCAGCGTAGTGGCCGGTCGACGAGGCAAGCTCGATGGCCTCGGGATAGGCGTACGAGATACCGGCACCACCAGCAAGCAAGATGACCTTGTCGGCACCCTCGAACGATGGGGGAGTTCCGTAGGGTCCGTGGAAGGTAACCTTGTGCTCGGAAACCTCGGAGAGGAAGAGCGACTTGGAGAAACCCTTACGGGCACGGATGATCAGGTCAAGAGTGTTGGGGTTGGGGGGCGAGGCAATGGTGAAGGGGTGAGCCTGCTGGCGAGCGAGGTTGCTGATCGACACATAGACGTACTGGCCAGCCTTCCAGTGGATCTCGTGCGAGGTCGAGTTGACGTCGAGCGAGAGCTTGACGGTGTTGCCGGAAAGGATGGTGGTGTGGGCAATGACGTGGTGGGCGTTCTTGAAACGGTTGATTCTGTCCCAGACAAAGACAACAGCCGAGGCAATAACGTAGGGGCGGACACGCTCAAAGTGGAAGTACAACAGGGGGAGGATCGCAACAACGAGATAGACATGGAGGTACAAGAACAACTCGTAGGTCTTGGCACGGAGGGGAGCAACGGACGAGATCAAGATGATGACGAACGAGATGGTGGCCAAGAGAGCGACGAAGATGGTGGTGACGTGGACCATGACGGAGATGGGGCAAGCGAGCGAGTAGAAGACGACGTGGAGGACGGCAGCAGAGCACACAACACGGCCAACGTGACGGTGGAGAATGTTGTATCCCTCATGCGACCAGCCGGTCCACTGGACAAGGAGACCAGTCTTGGCTCCGAGGAGGAAGAGAAGGGGCATGTTGGTCACAGCAATGAATCCGAGACGGTCACCGAAGATGGTAACGTGGCGGGTGGAGTCTGAAGAAAAGATAGGAGTTAGTATACAGCTCTTATCGATAAGAGAAATTCTATAAAATAGAGATGCTTACTGTGGAAGAACAGGTAGAAAAGGTTGAGGCCAAGGTAGAAAGCAATGGCGAGCATGGTGCCGTAGGACTCAGCGTAGCGGCCAGCGGGCTGGTAGAGGAGGAGCGAGCGGACACGGCGGTAGTAGATGGTAGCCTTGGAGAGGGGCTTGGCGGTGGCTCCGAGAAGGGGCTGCTTCTCGCCATGGACCTTGCCGAAGTGGAGGCTGTAGAAGTGGTAGCCGGTGAGGCAGAGGAAGATGAAGAGGACGACCAAGTTGTAGGAGGGCGCAAACATGCGCGAGAAGCCGGTGCCGTCCTTGATGAAGGGGCCGTCGCGGTTAGGCGAGAGGGCAGTGGGGATCTTATCGATGAAGAAGCCCATTGTGAAGTTCGCTGCTTTTGATTATTGACGCTGGAGAGACGGATGCAAAAGAGCAACGAGGGACGATGGAGGAGAGGGAGGAAGAGAAGAAACAGCGGAAGGAGCGCAGCGGGCGGGCAGAGGTAAATAAGGCGGGAGCGATAAGGCGGCCGGTCGACGCTAAGCCGGAAACGGGGCTATCAGCAAAGCGTCGGACGGCCAGACCTGATGATGAATAATGGAACTGGTTCAGGCCCGATAAGCCGCCCAAACCCGTGCGGCCATGCTAGGGAAGTGCTGGAATATGCTGGTGTCTGTATTATTACTGTATAGCAGAAATCACTAATAAGAAGATCTCCTCTGATCATAAAGAATGAATATTGAAGTTCCTGCGCCTGGTCGTCCGGTCCACGTTCTCCTCCCAGGTCACCCCATAACAGGGCAACAGGCAGGACAACTCTCACGCGCTTATCCATCCGCAGAGCCACTTCCTGGTCTATTCTGGGTTCCGGTTCACAACCGCTGATTGGCCGCCGTGCTCCGTTGCAACCGCCACTCCCGCTGGCCTATCTCCTGTCGGGAATGCCGCTCGTCAACAGCATCTGCGCGAACCGGTTCGGGTGGTTTGTTACCAAGCAGATCACATGTGAGCGGACTGCTTCTTCCTGTCTGTCTGTCTGTCTGTCTGATCAACCTGCTGGTTGTTCCTGCTCTGCTTTTGCTGTGTCTGTAGATATTGCTGTAGATCTTAATAATAGACACAAACATGTAAAGAGCAAGAGCAGACAGCTAGAAAGAGTGGGACGAGTTGCCTTAGCAACGGGTGTTTACGTGATATCAAAAGCTGAGCTGTTGGTGCCAAGGATCTCGCGACTTATCTGATTTGATTGTTTGCGCCGAAGATGATCAGCTGCTGTTCTTTGATCTCCGCACAATAACAAACAGAGTAGATATTGTATATAATATCAAAACAAATACAGTCTTATCTTATATTCATTCTATAGACAAACATCATCTACTGCTGTTGTGCGTCTTCTACATCAGATCAGTCGCCACCTTATCAATCAATCAGATCAACCGAGCAAGCCCTAATTCAAGAATCCTCCACTTCCTTCGCCTCCGGCTGCCCACCGCTCCTCTTCCTCTTACTTAATCTGACCACTTCCTCCTCTATTCCCGGTCTTCCTCCTGTGTCCTCATTATATTCGTCTTATCCATAGTTGTAGATTGTATGAAGCGCATAATCTCTCTTTCTATCTTATCGTGTGCGCACAAAGCGTAGAAATATCATCTCTATCGCGTAAACAGTACTCTACAGTCTAGATCAGTGCGCGCGTCTGTTCTCAATCGACTTGACGCAGCTATCTCTACCCCGCGAACAGATCACTTATTCTCATATCATTGTCAAATGCTCTTGATCCTTGATTCTTGATTCCCACAATCAATCTTCAAATCAACAATCAACCACACAACTAAACAAGTGGAAACCAACAACAGCTCAGCTCACCGACACCATAACCACCATGACTCCATTCTCGATTCCACAACGGTGGTGAGCTGATAAGCTGACAACAAGCTCACTAAGACCCGAGAATCCAGACCACGACCATATTTCAAAGCATCCGCTCGCTCGCCGGCCTTATAAGCCCTCGCCATCCCCTTGCTTGAACCAGCCACCCCACTAGCCCTCCCTGCCTGCTCACCCACCCGCCCCGAGCTTCTGCATCTTCTGCTTCTGCAGCTTCAGTGGCGTTCAACTTGCTCCCATACTTGCCGCTTTCATACCAGCCACGCTACGGCTTTGGGAATTCGTCGCGCTGGCTACCTGTCCGGATGTAGGATCTAGGCTCTGCTAGGCTCTGCTATCGATAACGCGCTTCCGCGTTTATCAGTTTTAGTCACTTCCTTGCCACCACTCCACTCTATCTCTCTCTCTAGAGCATACAATGATGCTTCTTCTAAAGACAACTATCATAACAAACCGAAGAGAGGCTGTCTTTGATCGTAGATAGAACCTGGTTACTTATCATAAGCCACACCACGTCCACGGGGCACGTACGCTTCCCTCCGCCCCGACGTGACTCTTTGTGTCTTTTAGAATCTAGCCCTTGGTATATAACCCGACGTCGGCCCTGCTTTCGAGCCTGCTATGCACTAGTCCAAAGCTCGTTCTAGAGTCTCGTGGTCTTTGACTATCGTGAATCTACTGATATCTACTAGGTCACTTGACCATTCCATTCTCCAGCAAAGATAAAGAATGACTATTATACAATCGTAGTTCTCGTAGCCCCGTCTCGACACGCACTCACTGCTCCTCCTTCTCCATCCGCTTCAACACCTCTCGCCTCTGAATCGACAGCGACAGCCGCAGACTCGCCGGACTCCGCCGCAGCCAATACTGCTCCAGCACATTGATCGCGTTCAGCGCCTGGCAGTCTGTCACAATCGGACGTAGCCCGGCTTTGGTGTAATCTGGCGGATTGCGGTCGACTGCCGTCGTCGGCCTTGCTCGCTCGCTGTGGATAAAGTCCGGGATCACGTCCAAGCTCTCGTATGGCTCATTGTCGGTCAGGAATATCTCGTCTGCGCTTGAAGTCGTGTCGTACGACGACACCACGTCTCCGCGTTCATGCGAAACCGCAGAATGGACTCCATCGCCGCCGTTATACGCAGCAGCTAACCCAAGCTGCCCGCTTAACTTCTCAGCCTCCTCTTGAATCTCATACACAACCTCATCGATCGGAGGCGCCGCAAGATGCAAGTCCTCAAACACAGTCAAATACTCATTAGCATGCTCGCCATCGCTATAACTCACGATCCTCGCCATCTCAGGCATACCCGCCACACTTTGCCCAGTCTGCACCTGCATGGCCTGGATGAAATCAGTCATCCCCGGCGTAAGCCCCAGTGCCAGCCGTCGCAGATCAGACAGTCGCTGATGCAACTGCTGTCTAAACTCCGCCATGTGGCTCGGCGCGTCTTTCCTGATCGCCTTGTCGGACAGCATGTGCGAGTTCAGCCAACACTCGACAATGTACTTTGGCACCAGATCTTCCTCCCACGCCTGCGTGATCACAGTCATGGCCTCCATGGTTGTCAGGAAGATCCGCGGATCGCCAACTTCGGCGCGCGAAAACATAATCTCCGCAAACCGCCGCCGATAAAACGCCTTGAGCATCCGCGTGATGCCAATCTCGCCCGGGTGCATGCCTAGCATCGACGTATTCGGCGGCAAAATATGTAGCTCTGTGTTTGCCAAGTGTCCATTGAACGAGAGGTGAGCGGGGCAGTAGTCTGCAATCAACAAAACCCGCCGCCCTTTCATGTTGCCGTCAAACCACATCATATACTCGCTAAACGCATCCGCAGTCATCTTCGCCTGCGGCGTATACAAGTACCTGATACCCAAATTCGACCGATCGACGCCTTGAAAACACAGCGGATGCGGGAATCTCCCAATCAGCCAGCACGGCAGCTTCTCGCTCCCGTCCGCGTTCATACACACGCTCAACGTCGCCCGCTCCTTTCCTATTCCCGGAAACGCGCCCGGCATGCGCTCGAGCTCTTCAATCTCTTCAGACGACAAGCACCGCGCAGCGATCTCGGTCCCGCAAGACTGATAGAATATCCCCGTCTCGTCAATACAAAACACATCCTTTGGAGCGTATCGAGCAACCTGGGACTGCAGAGCCTCGAGGCTGTCACTAACATGCTGCTGCTCGGCAGCAGTGTTGCCCGCCAGCGCCCCGTACTTTTCACTCTTGATCCCATGGCGCGTCTTGAAGCGTCCCAGCCAGCCGTCTGAGAAATGGAATGAGCCCTCGGTTGCTTTAGGGTAGAGAGTCTGTAGATGAGTATTAGCGATCTTGCTCTAGTTACTTGAAAGAAAAATCAAAGCCCTACCTTCAGAAAATAAGCGCCCTGCTGCTTGATCAGGTTTCCGTCAATAGGAATCAGATTGCGATACTCAATACACCACCGCGCCAAAGCATCTTCCATCAACGGATACGTCACCTTCTTGATCCGTCTCAAGCTCGAACCCCGGGACCTTTCCGAGCCCAAGATATCCCTCTTGCGCTTCAGACAGCGCGAGATCGCTGCCTGCGAAGGCGAGACGTTGAACTGCTCATTAAACCACGTAATCAACTGCTTCTGATTCAGCTCCGGGTGCTCTTCAGCGTACTCGCACAGTTTCCGTCGCTGGTCGTAAGTCATCGAGAACATCGACCGGCTGTCCTGCTTCGCTACCTGCCGCTCATCGTGAGCCGGCGAGTTCGTCACCCGCCCTTCGTCCGACGAAAGAGAATCACCATTACGCATCGTCGTCGGAACCATCTTTGCTATAGCAATAACACTCAACAGTCGATGGCATCGCTGCGTTCATCGCCATCGATTTTTAAATAAAATATGTCGATTACTGATCAGAAGTCTACAAAGCCTAATCTGGCAGTCATATGGGTTTAGGGTTTACCAAACCAGACTAGCGCGCTTCTGTCCGCGTTCCACGCAGCAGAGAGCGCGAAGAGAAAAACCTCAAAATTTTCTCTGGAAGGCCGGATAATACCAGAGTTATTCAGCATCAAATACACTCCACAAATGCCTGATATCGCTACGTACGTGTTTTATCAATTGCAGACTGTCTGCTATACCCACGTGCTAATTTGTTTTGAAATAGTAAACCATCAACGACCAACTGGGCGGACGACGACGACGACAATGGATTTCCCGCTCCCCTCGTCACCGTCAACCCCGACGGCACCAAGACCGTGATCTCGTACCGCGTCAATGAGGCCGGCAAGAAGGTCAAGGTCACACAGAAGATCAAGACGACGACCCAGAAAGAGACCGTCAACCCGGACGTCGCGGCGCGGAAGCGGTGGGCCAAGTTTGGTCTCGAGCGCGGATCGCGTCCTGGGCCCGATGCTGCGACTACCAGCGTGGGCGAGAACACCCCTCTCAAGCTTATCATCGGATGGAAGGTTTGTTTCTCCTATCTACTAGTTTGGAAATATTTGTTGTTTCCATCTTGTATCTACATTGTATCTACAAGTTATCTAACGCATGATTACACGCTATCTAGGAGTCCAAGGAGGAAGAAGTCAAGGTCAGCGCAAAGGAATCGGCAAAGGCCAAGGCCATCACCTGCCGGACGTGTGGTGGCGAGCATTTCACAAGCAGATGTCCCTACAAGGACAGATTACCCTCGGCCGACGTCGTCGTCGACTCCGCGACCCCGAGCCCAAGAGCAGGCACCCCCGAGCCCGCGGCCGCCGCCAGCTCCGGGTCTTCGCGCGCGCTCAAGTCGGCCTACGTTCCTCCCCATCTCAGAAATCGCGGCAGCGGTGCGCCCATGGGCGAGGGAGAGAAGATGGGCGGTTACAAGGAGCGGGACGACAGCACTACTCTGCGTGTGTCGAATATTGGCGAGGATGCCGAGGAGCACGATCTCGAGCTCTTGTTTGGCCGTTTCGGCCGCCTGCAGCGTATCTTCCTCGCCAAGGACAGAGATACCGGACGATCGAAGGGATTCGCGTTCATCAGCTACACAACTATCAAGGACGCCCAGGATGCTTGCAACAGGCTGAACGGATACGGTTTCCAGAACTTGATTCTCAGAGTCGAGTTCTCGCAGCGAAAGCCGAATGCTTAAATAGACTGTTTATTCTCATCTTTACCGAGTGGATCTTTATACGACATATGTTTTCGCGATATTCATTGTTTGTTTGTTTGAGTTCTTTGGTTGTACTGTATTCTTTGATGCCAGCCTGTCTTTGTTCGGGGAAAGATAAATGCCTGCTTCGGACTTTTTATATACACTAGTAGTTTATCGTACATCACCTTGCCTGCTCGGTTGATCATTTGACTCGCTTGAAAGCAACACTCGATATGCTTTGGCCTTTCACTCCGCCAAACTCGTACACGGGATACTTGATTGTCTCCCATGGCTCGAAACCTAGTTGGATCGTTAGTTGAAGCTGTAGGAATTGAAAAGAGATTATCAAGTACCTTCAATATCCATGATCTTCAAAAGCTCAGGCTCTGTAAAATTACAGCTCGTAATCAACACGATCCCACCGACCCTGACCAACTTGTCCCTTACAGCGGTAGGATAAAGCTGCACGCCAGTCTTCCCATCCAGCACCGGCTCGCGATTAAGAGCAATCGCATCCAGCGTGCCTTTATCCAACACCAGATCCCACCCTTCATTCTCCTTCTCCTCCGGCAGCGTCAAGAAATCCATCCGCGCAAACGAGATATTCCGCTCGGCATCCTCGATCGCGCCCTCCTCGATCTTCTTCGCCAGGATCTGGTTCGCAAACGTAACCGACGTCTCCGCGTAGTCGATCCCGCACAGTCGCGCCATGAACCCGCATTCGGCGCGCACCCGGAAAATCAAATGCCCGTTCCCGGTCCCGAGATCGAGAGTCGTGGTCGCGGTCCGTGTGAATGGGAACTCGGCGTTCGCGGCGTCCTCGCTCGAGGACGTGTGGTCGATTAGGAAATCAATCACTTTATCCTCCGCGTCCGCGTCCGCAAACCAGATCTCGCCTTCATCGTCTGAATTCTCGGCGAAGTTATTCTGCTCGACAGAGTAGAACTCGTCCCAGCTGATTGTATGAAACGAGCAGTAGTTAGCATAAGTTTCCGCAAAGCGGTGGGCAAAAAATCCTGCCAGCTATCGCGCGCAAAGTTCTTCTCCCACCATCTAGAGATCACCTCGCTTGCTTTACTGTTGTAGAAGACTGTCGCGTTGAAGATGTACTTACTATTCCCGAGTCCCCAGTTTCGAATGATTTAGCTCCTCGACCTTGTCCATGGCTTATGGGTGCTCGTGTCGTTGCGTCACTGGTCGTCTGGAAGTGTGAACGCGTATAGAGACGAAGGCCGAAACCTATCTGATTACCGGATCTGAACTATCTACTTCCAGCTCCACGCAACCACCCTTTCATGACTACAAATCAATACGCTTAGTTTCACGTTACCGGTGGATGTATATTGAACTCAGTGCATTTTGTGAATATTAATATAAATGCAAACTCTGAAACGCAAAAACATAAAACAAACAACCCGAAAAAGTGGCACGCGCATCTTGACAAACCCTTACAGAAACATACTCATATACATACACTACCCTCCCTCTAACTATTAATACAAACCTCCAGTCTCGCACACAGACTCAAAAGAACAACCGTCTCCGTGGCAGCGTAGTAGTTCAGCCCATCCATCAGCATCTTCAAGTGGTGGTCAAAGTTCTGCTCGTACTGGTCCAGGAGCGTCTGCAGCTTGACGATCGACTCGTCTTCGTCGTTCTCACTCAGCTTTGCTTCTACACTCTGCAGCGTTCGCGAGAGACCGTTGACGTAGGAGGAAAACATCCGGCAGGTGGCAGTTAGCTTCCCCATGATCTTCAGAAGCTTCGCGTTCGTCAGCATGCACTCTTTAAGACATGTATCGAGGAAGTCGACGTGCCGCTGCATCAACGCGTCAACGGTCTCTATACTGCCGATACTGTTCATCAAAGACACCCAGTTCGGCTCCATAACCTCCGACGTCGAGAAATACAGCACCTGCTGGATAAAGACAAGCATTTTTGCCCGCAAATTAGACGCCCGCGCTTTATACGTATGCAGTTTCTTGTTCGCAGTCCGCTTAGTCCAGCCAATCGACTTTGCTTGATCTTTCCAGCTCGATCCTAGAAGCTGCTCAATGTGCTTCAGAGCCACCAGATGTCGAAACAGCAGCTGATACCGCAGGATCGTCTTTCTCGAGATTACAAGCGAGAGCGGGAACGGGATCTTGAAGTCAAACTGCAGCGCTTGTACTCCCAAATACGTCTTCTTATTGTCCTTCTCGTTCGCTCTGTCATCCGTCGGTACAAAGCTCAGCTGCTTTATAGCGGACGAGTCCGTATGGTCAAGTCCGCTAACGCTGACAATCCGCATTAGCCACTCAGTCAGACCAACCTCGTTCAACTCCACCGACAAATCCTCCTTGAACGGATCGACCGCGGTGATACTACCAGGTTGCCGCAGCGTCAAATCTAGCAAAGACTGTAGCTTTGACGTCGAAACAAACTTTGCCGGCTTCTTCAGCTCGTGCGAAGCAACCTCAACAAAACTGGTGAAGAAATCCGCCTGGTCGAGGAAGAAGTAGTGCTTCAGCGACGTCAGTCGCTCCGCGAGTCCATGGGTGTTGATGAGCAGACTCAGCAGGTAGCTGTTTGCGTGCGCGTACGCGACATCGATATTGGCCAACAGTCGCGAATCGTCGATCGTCTCAGGCGCATCCGTCGTCTCGCTGCTGGCATCGACTCCCCCGCATTCCCGAACGACATTCAAAAACTTTCCAGCGAGCAGAATTTTCTCACACGTTCTGGTATCCGCAATCTGAGAAGGCAAGGCCTCTTTCCGGATTAGATACCGCTTCTCCCAATACTCATCAGTGTAGTCCTGATCTATCTTCTCCCGCCGAATGCCTTTCTGCTCTTTAACCAGGAACTCACCGAACGGATCACTAATGATTCCTCGATGCAGCCACAGATTCAGCATCTTTACATACGGCTTGGACGACTCTCGCAACAGAAATGTCAGGAGTTCTCGCGCCGGAGGATCTCCTGCGACAGCGTATAGTCTATCCGTGAGAATCTTGATGACGTCCGCTCCTTTATTGATCGACGAGGTCGTCGTCGACGCTCCGATACCGTTCAACGCGTTAATATTACCGTCGTTTGCGCGTAGAGTCTCCATGATCTTGTCAAAATCAGAAGAGCTGTCCTCAGCATCCTCCGGCTGCGCTACTTCTTTGTTCGATAGCTTCACAATGAGGAAATTAAGCTCCATAAGCTTCTTTGCCATCGTCATTGTCTCCAAAGAAAACACGGTAAGCGTAAACGAAGGATCTGTAAGCATCCTGTACTCCATGGCCGAAATCAACGCCAAATACTCCTTCACAATCGTGCGCATAGCCGCACACAGCGCGTGGTTGACAGTGCCATATTCTGGCTTGCTTTGTTGCTCGACAAACGCTTCTACACTTAGATGGTAGGTTGCCATTTTCAGTAGATTTTTGGTGATGTCGCGCAGACTGGGATCCAGGCCTTTTGTGAGACGAAATTCGGGTCCTGCAAGGCGCTCTACTTCGATTGCTGGATTGTACCGTTCATGAAATCTGATGTACTGTCCCTCCGTTCCCTTTGACAGCAGTCCAAGCGTTAGTACAGACTCATGACGTTTGTTCTATTGCGGCTGTGGCGACTACTTACCACTAAAACGTACAACAAGTCATCCATTATGACAGCGTGTTGTACTTCTGCAGGCAATTTGCTGATATCGAGAGCTTTCTTAAATCCAGAAGTATGTGCAGACAACGGAGGTGGTTGTATTCGTGATGCAAGCGAAGATAGGGTAGACTCTATCAGTTTGACTTCTGGGTTCCAGACTGCGATCATGTCAGTATCACGATCTCACCTACACATTCGATCATCGGTACTTACCTGCTTTAGAAGAAGCACTCGATACTGCTCCATGGCTCGCACTGTTAGAGCTGACTGATCGCGATTCTGGTATAACATGTTCTGGAATATCTTTCTCTGTAGGTCTCTCCGCCGTCGCTTGGGATTCCGAACGCGTAGGAGATCTGTGTCGCGTAGAACTTGAGCGGCCCTAGAAGTTTGAGTTAGAAACGCGATCATATACTCAGGATATGATGCCCCTTATGCATTGAGTGACCTACCGATAACCTCTCACGGTCTCCTGTCGTCTTTGCCTCTGCAATAACGTCCCCGGGTACTTTCAACGACCGAGATCTGCGAGCGTGGGCGTGGGTGTGCTGATGCGAGGTTGTGTTAACGCGGTCGCTCTGCGACAGTATCTCGCGCGATTCCGTGCGCCGATGTAAAGTGCCGTTCTCAAACGCTTGTGTCGCCATAGCTTCAGCTTCTGAACAGTATCAAGGGAGGCTCTTTTCAGTACAGATACAGAGTCTGGGACATGCCTGGGTAATTCAATTCGGAGGACAAGACGCGCGATGCGAAGTTGTTTTGGGTTCGGCACGTAAACAGAGCTCGCTCGGCTGCGTATATTTCAGACTTCAAAGTTGGTGTTCACAGCGTACAATTCAGCACTAAATAATTCTACGCCGCGCGCTTTCGACTGCTCTCACGCACTCTTCGGCTCCTTTCTATATTCACATCTCTAAAATACGAAGCATAACCGACTCTTGTGCCAATCGTTGAAGCGGCATCTGAAATCATCCTGAACTGCTTAGATCTAGCCTGTTTGCATAGATTTCGTCTACATAATGTTTCTCACCAGAAGCGAATACGATCGGGGTGTCAGCACATTCTCGCCTGAAGGTCGCCTATTCCAGGTCGAATATGCCATTGAAGCCATCAAAGTATGATATTTCTACCTCACATTTTCTTTTATGACTACGGCTTTTATTGTGTATAGGTGAAGTTACTAACCGCCTGTCTTCCAGCTCGGATCAACCGCGATCGGTGTTGCGACGGCTGAGGGTGTTATCTTGGGTGTGGAGAAGCGCGCCACGTCAGTGCTGCTAGAATCATCATCGATCGAGAAGATAGTGGAGATTGATAGACACATTGGTGCTGCCATGAGCGGCCTGACTGCCGATGCCCGGACGATGATTGACCACGCCCGCGTTGAGTCGCAGAATCATCGTCTGACCTTTGACGAATCCATGAAGGTCGAATCCGTCACCCAGTCCGTGTGCGATCTCGCTCTCAGATTCGGAGAAGGAGCTGATGGAGAGGAGAGCGTGATGTCTCGTCCATTTGGCGTTGCGCTGTTAATAGCCGGTGTGGATGAGAACGGCCCTCAGTTATATCATGCCGATCCTTCGGGAACTTTTTATAGATACGATGCAAAGGCCATCGGCAGCGGAAGCGAGGGTGCGCAAGCAGAACTGCAAAACGAATATCACAGCGTACGTATTTCCATCTCTTATCAGTCTGAGTAGGTTAGTACTAACACTCATCTTCATATAGTCTCTCACGCTGGCAGAGGCCGAGCAGTTGGTTCTGAAGACACTGAAGCAGGTTATGGAGGAGAAGCTGGATGCCAAGAACGTCCAGCTTTCTAGCGTGACTCCTGAGCAAGGCTTCAGAATATATTCTGATGATGAGATGAAGGCGGTTGTCGAGCGACTGGAGGGTAGCGAGGTTCCTCTCGTTTAGGGTGCTAACATGCATTTTCTTGTAAAATAACCTGAATATGAACGCACTTCGAGATAATCCATAAACAACGCACAGCACAATAGTGTTCTGAGCTGTCCAGTAGCAACTAATCATTTCCTGTAGTCATGAGGTCCTGCTCCTCCTAGCCAAAGTCGATACACCGCCCGCACCTATTTGCCGCTGGTGGTGCGGCTGTCATCTCCAGCCGCCTATATACTATATCCTAACTCTTGATCTTGGGCCTCCAGTAATGATTCAGTCTATACAAAAATATATAAGTCTACAATGCCATATGAATGACCAGTCGTTGATGAATTTGATCTTGCTGTTGAGATTTAAAGCTGTGTCATTGGGGCAATGTCCTATGTTCGCCTGTTCTTGGCTGAGTTTGAAAACGCTGTGCGCGTCAGGCCTGATCGTGACAGAGGACTTGACGTTCCTGTGCCAGAATTAATGTGGCTTGGTATAGCGGGACTACCAAAAGATGAGCGAGCGCCCGTCATTGATTGCCGTGGACTGGGCCTCGCGCTCGAGAAACCAGATGGATCACTTGGCATTCCCCTCGTGGAGAACGACAGCGGCGACTGGGAAGACGGCGTACCAAACAAAGGCGAAGGAGGCGCCGTCGAGGGCCGAATGTCGTGCGTTTCAAAGTGCCGGTTCGGAAGCGGAACATGAAAGTCGACGCTTCCGTCGGTGCCGATGGCGACTTCTCGCCGAACGATACTGAGCTTGGGTCTCACAGCTTTCTGCTCGTACTCCTCAAACATCTCGCTAAAAACCATCTGCTTGTCGTGTACCTGCTGGCTGAACAGCGTGACGAGGATGTACATTTGGACCGAGAGAAACACGCAGAGCAGACAGTCGCGGATCAGGTTGCCGTTCGATCGAAAGAAGAGGAGTAGTGCGTGGAGGGGAGAGAAAGTGACAAACATCTTCAGACAGAATTGATCGGGGTTCCACATCTTTAGAACCCAAGTCTCCTCAGTTGATATCTCTGGTATCGCAAATCGACTGAACGCCCGATTTCTAAAAAAGATGTTAGAGTCACTGTCTTGGTTTTTCAACTAGCAAAGGGAGCTTACACCGCTTTTCTAATCGAAGACTGTGGGGTAGGAGACGACGCAGGGGAAGACTGCTCTGACAGACTCAGCATTGATTTTTGACTGTAAAATGCGTCGTTCATCTTCTTGTCTTGTGCGGAGCGGCCAAAAAATGCATATTCTTTTCGTCTAGTAAAAACGAAAAGCGCGTTTATAAAACTGCCTGCTAATATGACCAACGACAGAGCAGAGAACTATATAAATGTCAGATTAACAAGTTGCAACTGTGGAAGATCATAGTTTATTTGAAGTTACCATAGCAGCCATCCAGCGAGTAAATCCCCCTGATCTACTTCGCCCGGCCAGCACCTCGTCCGCAAGATGACTATTCCTCAAAGCAGACCCGTCCGCAAATAATTCACCCTTCAGATCAGCAGATGAATTGAGAGCCGAGGCAAACAGCTGACTGAAAAAAAGTACTGCGTCGAGAGCGACACCAGCCGGAAGCGCCACTGTCTCGGACAAGCGGTCCCATTCTAAAGTCCCCAGCTCCTCGTTTATGTAAAGAAGTAGATCCAGAGGATATGCTTTTATTCGCGAAATCAACGACGCTCGACGAACCACGCGTCGGTGCGCCTGTCCTTCTCTTGCTGGTGTTGGCATAGTGGGATATTCGAAAGAAGGAGGCTGCTAAACAGTAGATATATGTCCAGGTTAGCAGCGGTCAATAATAATCAGCATAACCAAAAACACTCTATCAGTACCTCAGTAGTTCACGTCCTATTCCCGGGCCTATGCTGCAGATCTGCAGCCATTGTCTGCCTTTCCAACGAATGTAAATAAATCGATGGCCTTCGCGTAGACACGCGTAGAACCCTAGCCCCGACTCCATCCCACCAGCACTTTTCGTCCTCGACGATTAGCTCGTCGTCGAATTCAGAGTCGATAGAAAGAGCAGATGTCGTCTCTGTGGCAAAAATACAATGCCATTCCGGCAAAAGGTCGTCTGTGGATCGGTGTTTCGACCATGATAGTTGCGTACGGCGGTATGCAATTGACAGACTACATGTACGAGAAGGATTTGGAGAAGCAGGCTGCGTTGGCGCAGCCGGCGAGTACTCCGTCGGTTCCGTCGGGTGCTTCTACGGAGCCGCTACTTAGTGATCATATAGATATCCAGCCAAGACGGTAGTGGGTTATCGGTAAGTATTCGCATTATCATAATGTCTGGCTGGCATGTACTGACGCTGGTAAGGAACGGTTGCGGAATGATTAGGACTCGACTACGATCTTCTATCGATTGTGTAATCATAGTCAACAGAATTCAGATTATGTCTATACATCACAGATGCACATCGTAGCACTACGACTGTGCTGATCTATCTTCAATACAACACTACTTGCCCCATCCTATGCATCAGCTTTCTGTCCCAATTGTCGAACGCCGAGCCTGTCAGCCAATAGTGACCCTCCCATCGCCGTTTGATTTTCTAAGATTGCTGCAAAGCAGTCAAAAACCTCTGCTCGTCATTTCCTTGGAATTGCAAAACAGTTGAAAGCACAGACATAAGCTGCTGTCTCTGTTCCTTCCTCTCGAGAAATCCGAGTAGTACGTTCTTGATGTATGGAACACTGAGGTTTTCTCCCTCTTCGTAGCGCATGTAAGTCGATGACGCCCTAGGGCTCGCCGGACCGCGATCCTTCACAGTACCAGTAGTAGATGAAGAAAGGCTCGAGATAGAGCGGTTGGCTCTCGTCTTATTTGGTCTCACTGCGCCATCGGCGGAAAAGCTGGCAACCTGTAGGTGTTGAAGTTCTTCAGATAGAGAGCGATTGCTCCTCTGGAGTCGTTCGACCTTCTCTTGCGTATCCTCGAGCAGACGCTTTAAGTTTTGCCTGTTTGTCTCCACCTCTTGTAGTTGAGTCTCGGTTGATTCCTGCGTAGATGTTAGGACGGTTGGCTACAGTTATTTCATATCAGGTATTGTGAACTCACCAGAGAGCTCCGCAGATCAGAAAAGACCTTCCTGGTCTCCTCCATCTCAGTCTGTGCCAATTTGGCCTTCTCCTCGGCTCTCTCTCGCGCGGAACGTAAGTCATTAAGCTCCGCAGTAAGCTTCGAGCGTTCTTCCTCCACCAACCCAAGCTTTCTTTCCAGCTCGTGGTCTTTGACCTTCAAGTCTTCCAGCTCACGGCGCTTGCGCCGAGAAATAGCTACAGATTCAGATTCCGCACGATCACGCTCTTCGGTCAAGACGGTGATCTGTTCCTTCAATTCGCGGACAGATGCCTCCTGCTTAGCTTCAGCTTCGCTCAGCAGTCTGCGGATAGTAGTTGCCTCACGGCCTCTCTCGATCAAAAGTCTATGAGCCTCTGCAAGTTCTTCCTCCAGAGCGTCGTATCGATCCCGCGCTTCCTTGGCCTGCATGGCCATCTCGGAGGCCTGCTCGCGGAACGTCTCCATCGTAGTCTTGGCACTCTCTTTCTCTGCCCTTGCAATCTGAGTCTCTTCCTTCGCAGCTTCAAGCTGCGCCTTGAGGTGTGCTGCGCTAGAAGTATAGTTCGACATACGAACGCGAAGGGACTCCATGTCCTGCAAAACCTGGGCCTTCTCACGCGAAAGCTTGTCCACTGCCTCGCTAGTTCCGCGAAGCTCGGCCTCCGTACGCGTCAACTGCTGACTGAGATTAACAATCCGCTCATCAGCACGAGACTTGCCGGTTTGCAACTCGCGCAACTGCTGACGAGCTTTCTGTAGCTCGACATCGCGCTCCACGATCGCAGCTCTAAACTTGGAAACATCAACCTTGAGCTGCTTCTCGCTCTTTTCAACTCGGCGCAACTCCTCTAGTTTTGACGTCAGCAAAATCTTCTCTTCCTTCAGTGATTGTCCTTCATTCTTGACGGATTGCAGATCACTAGCCAGGCGCTGGAGAGCCTCGTTCTTCTCGTTAATCTCCTTGAAACGGGCCTGTGCAACCTGGGCAGTTGCCTTCAGCTCATTCTCGGAGTCTTGGATTTTCAAATTGAGATTTGAGATCGCCTTCTCTTTCTCGGAAATAGCAGTCTTGACTTGTTTCAAAGCCTCTTCCTTTTCAGAAATCAGAGACTTCACCTGCGCCAATGCTTTTTCCTTTTCCTCGATTGCTTGTTTCAGCTCTTCAGCAGACTTCTGCTTCAGCTCCGTAAGCTCTGCCTGTGCAGACTCATGCTCCTTACTGAGTACCTCCAGACGCTCCGTGAGCGACTTGTTTGTCTTGGTCAACTCCTCGTGGGCGGTCTCGAGCGCATTGTATTTCTGAAGGATTTCCGCGTGCGTTGCCTCCAATTCAGCAAGACTCTTCCCGGTATCCGAACTGCTCGATAACTGGCTTCTGAGTTCCTTGATCTCGTCTTTGGATTCCACGAGAGACTGGCCAACAGAGCGAACCTGGTCGCGCAGGGTCTCCACTTCCTGTTGATAGTTGGAGCGATCGCCCTTCAGCTGTACGACTTCTTCCTGAAGGTCCTTCACCTTGACTTCGTATTCTGCTATCTTTGTCTCGTACTGCTGGACATCTGCAGTGGAAGGGGTAGGAGCAGGGGTGCTCGCAGCTGGTTGTTCAGGAGTCTCCGCAACAGGAGCCGGACCAGTATTTGCGCCACCTTTACCTTTCTTCTTTTTCTTCTTTTTGTTCTTGGATGAATTTGAGGCAGCAGACTCAACAGAGCGATTTGCCACGCTTGTATCTGGTTCGTCGTTGTCGTCATCATTACCTGGCAGATCGCGTCCGGCTGGAGCCTCGGCGGTCGCGCTAGCTAGAGTCTCTTTGGCATTCGACAATTCCGACTCGAGCTCGGCGATGCGAGCAGTAGCTTCGTCGAGCTTTTTGGTCTGTTGAGCCTCGTTTTCAGCAGCCTCCTTCATCTTCTTTGAGCTCTCCTCTAGCTTTTCCGACAGTTCTGCGATCTTGGCTTGAGTTTTCACCATGTCTTCTGAGGCCTCGGACGATTTAGAAACGCTCTCTTCGATCTTGGATTTGACTAACTCAAGCTGTGACTTCAGATCGGTGGCATCAGACTGTGTGATGTCTTGAATAGCTTTCAGATTTTCGGTTTGTTGGCTCTCGAGCTTTGAGACTGTTGCTTGGGCGTCAGAAAGTTTCAGCTTGGCCTCCTCGGCCTCTTTCTTAGCTTCAGCCAATGATGCAGAGTTGGCTTCCTCAATCGACTTGATACGCTGATCTCTGTTCTCAATCTCCGTGTGATATATAGCAACCTCAGCCTGAGCATCATTGAGTTTCTCCAAGGTAGTTTTAAGAGTATCTTCAGCCGTTTCTGCTCTTTTCTCCGCCGCTGCAGCTGCCTGCTGACTGGTGTCCTTTTCCTTAGTCACACGTTTCATTTCCTCCATCAGCATGTCTTGCCTCAGTGTTAGGTTCTGCAAATACTCGACTAAAGATTGAGGTTCAGTAATTGATGAGCAAGGAGTGTGCTCTCTGAGAACAGTCTCAAAGGCATCGATATAGGCAGTCCTTTGCCTTTCTGTCTCGTAGGCCTTGTGAAGCTCTATTATATTGCATTAGTATTTGTAGAGCTGAGAAATAAACGAAAAAATATACATACCTGGATATCTCTGTTCGTATTTTGCGAGCTTACGAAGTTTGCTCTTCACCTCCGGAGGCAAGTTTTGATCAATACCCCCGGAGATTGGCGTAACAGATCGCGATCCATAAGGCTGCTGTGCCTGAGCCTGTTGGGGACGAGTTTGGTGCTGCGGAGGTGGAGGTGACGTCTGCCGAGAGGGTGCCTGGGTAGAGGAGGGCGTCGCAAGCCGACTAGCTTGCTCATCCTGATCTTCCGCAATTTGAGCCTCGCTCGAATCAAACATGACTGAAGAGCTTATATCTGGGTTCTCAGCCGGGCTTTTGTCTGATGGCGCCGGTGTTCGCGTACGCGACGGATCCCTGCTGGCAGCTGCACCAGATGCACCAGGGGACATTGAACGCGTTCGACTGGAGGCTTGGGCGGAGGCCATCGATTGAACTCTCGCTTGCTCAAGGTCGTCGGCAATTGCCTTACCTATTTGAGAGATCCTCGACATCATACTGCTCCGAGGATCTTATTGGAGCACTCGTAGAGACAATTGTCGAGGTACGTTGCCTGTGAAACCAGAAGAGTAACCTCAAACGAATCAGCTGCGATAATGAACAAGCTGAGACTGTCAATTAAGTGCAGCCAGGTAATTCCAAGCAGTAGTCCTCAAATAGGAACTCTTCGCGATGGAGTGTGAGAATTGATTGCGCGAACGTGCTGCTGCTGTGTCCGGACCGGGACGCTCGCTGGTTGTCGAAAGGAGTTGCGTTGCGCGGTTTGGTTTTGGCGGTCTGAAAATAACACTGCGGCTCACTTGCCTGCTGTGCCTGCGACCAGCCGGACTACGAGCACTGCTGGCGGCCAGGACTCGGTAGAGGATCTTTTAAAGGTCTTAGGAACCCAAAATACAGTACAATTCTTACGTCAACAAGAACTATTCAGACATTACGACCTGCTGCGGGCGTGTAAATGACTATAGTTTTCAATGTCACGTGCAGTCATCTACCTGACTCATCACATTTGTTCGGATTAGGTAACTAAACGAGGGCTAGGGCACACCAATCCGAGCTTATCGCTGCGGGGAGGCTTTTGGGAATAGCAGATTGCGACATTGGCTCTTGATGACCATTTAGCTCCCAGTTCTTGCCTCTTGTACAAGAACACCCGCTACCCATCCGACTTAAAGTGCCGTCTACACCATGTCGGACGACCAGGACCATCCGTAAGTCTTTTTTCTCTGCTTTTTGCTGTTTTCTTGTGCGAAACTGCAGCGATTCTGCTGCGTGTGGCTGGACAAAAGTGGTCTCGAAGCCTTGCTTATAGCAGTCTTGTGACTATCCGCTGCGTTGCGTATATCGAGCTTCATAACACAATTGCTCAACCAAAAACTAACCGGTCTACTTAGTCTTCACCAAGCGGTTACCCGTGACAGTATCCCGGACAACACCAGCAGCGTCGCCAGTGATGACGAAGCCGACTCGGCTCCTCTTCTCACCTCTGAGACCACCAACGAGATTCCCTATCCTTCGAACCCCGAAGCCATAAACGCAATCTTTGCTAGCGACGAGGAGAATGCCGAGGCTGGAGCAGCCGAGACCCCGGCTCCCAAGAAAAAGCCCTTGTGGCTGAAGATTGTGGCCGGTGTCGTCATCTTCATCCTCCTCATATTCGTTATCCGAGGCTTCTGGCGCCTTGCTCACCGTCACAAGCAGCCAATTACCGCTGACGAAGTTTGCACGACTTCTGCTTGCGTTACTGCTGCTGCTGGTATTTTGGCTGATGTCGATCAGTCTGTCGACCCTTGCGAGGACTTCTTCCAGTACAGCTGTGGTGGTTGGTTGTCTTCGCACGATATCGCTTCTGATCGCGGTGATTACTTCACTTCCTCAATCATGGCTGAGGATTCGCAGCGTCTCTCGCGTAACATCTTGGAAGGTACTTTTGTTGGCTCCTCCGCGGCCGAGCGTGCGATTTGGGAGAAGGCTTCGGGCGTCTACAGCGCTTGCATGGACACTGATCGCATCGCCGAGGTCGGTGGTGAGCCTATCTACCCTATCCTCGAGAAGATCCAGGCAGTGTACCCTCTCTATGCCGGCGCTTTGGAGTCTGTGCGAACTTGGGTCGAAGGACCTTCTGAGGTTATGGTCAAGGACGAGGCGCGTACTTCCGCCATGGATTTGACTGATGCCGTCTTGTACCTCCAAACCATGGCTATCACTGCCTTGATCCAATTCGACATCGATGCCGATGATATGGATCCTGACTTCACCGTTCTCCGACTGTACCAGGTTATGAACGGCTTGCCGTCGAAGGAGTACTACACCAGACCCAGTATCACTATTCCTTACACCGATGCCATCAAGCAGGTTTTCGCTAATGTGTTGGCGGATGTCAACACAACGCTCACTCCTCGTCAGCTCGATGATCGCTACGCTGCTCTTGCGGAGCAGGTCGTTGAGTTTGAGGCCCAACTGGCTGCGATCAGTCTTGATTTGTAAGTTTCTTCCCAAATTCAACATAATGATCATTCTAACAATGTAATAGCGAGGAACTCTTTGATGGATCAAAGACGTATCATCCGTTCACCATCAGCGATTTGCAGAAGACCTTCACTCCTGTCGAGTTTACTTATTTGATCCAGTCGATGACGGGCTCGCCTACCATGCCTGGTCAGGTCATTGTCACCTACCCCCAGTACCTCATCGACTTGAACAAGCTCATCCCCACAGTCTCTCGTGAGACACTGCAGACTTACTTCATGTGGAAGGCTATCGAGGTCTATGCCGGGCATCTTTCCGACTCTGTGGCCAGACCTGTTACCGAGTTCCGCAACGCTCTTCGAGGAATCAGCTCGACTGTTCGTCCTGATCGGTGGAAGACCTGCGTCGCTGAGGTTGACTCTCTCACCGGTTGGATTCTTGGAAAGTACTACACTGACCGGGCATTCTCTCCCGTGGCAAAGGAGATGGGAGAGGAGATTATCAACGGTATCAAGGATGCTTTCGTTGACAAGTTGAATGTCTTGCCCTGGATGGATGTGAATACCAAGGGAGTCGCTATCGAGAAGGTCCACAGACTAGTCCAGAAGATTGGATATCCTGACCAGTCGCCCGACATCAAGTCTGCCGATAGTCTAGCTGACTACTACAAGGATCTCAAGATTTCTGCCACCGACTACTTTGGAAACTACAAGTCTGCCCGTATGCAGGCTGCCGTCGATGAATGGCAATCTCTCGGAAAACCCACCGATCGTGCGGCCTGGGGCATGACCCCTTCCACGGTCAACGCGTACTACAACCCTCCTCTTGGCGAGATTGTCTTCCCTGCTGGTATCCTCCAGCCTCCTGTGTTCTCTGAGCACCAACCGTCCTACATGAACTACGGTGCCTTTGGTGCGGTCGCCGGACACGAGCTTTCTCACGCCTTTGACAACCAGGGTCGTGCTTACGACGAGAACGGACGTCTTCATGACTGGTGGACTCCCAAGACTTCCCAGGAGTTTGATACTCGCGCGCAGTGCTTCATCGATCAGTACTCTGAGTACACTGTCGTTGATGACGAGGGCAATGTTCTCCATGTTAACGGCAAATTCACCGAGGGTGAGAACATTGCCGATAACGGTGGAATCGCCGCCGCTTTCAACGCCTGGAAGACCCATGAGGCTAGAGAGCCAAGTCCCCTGCTCCCGGGTGTGAACATGACCAAGGAGCAGCTCTTCTTTGTCAACTACGCTAGATGGTGGTGTGGAAAGACCAGACCGGGCACTGCTGCTCAGAGAATCTACACCGATCCCCACTCTCCCAGTTTTGTGCGTGTTTTGGCTGCCGCCGAGGACTCGCAGGACTTTATCGATGCATTCCAGTGCAAGAATAAGTCTCCTCGATGTGTTCTTTGGTAAACAGAAAACAAAGAGAAGATAGAGCGGGTGCATAAGTTGGTGGTTTTGTGAAGTATCGCGGAATTCCCGATATACGCGGGGTGGAGGTGATGTGGCTGTATTTTAGTGAATTTTGAGAAGAATTTGGAGACATTTCAAACATTTGATATTAGTGCGTCTATTCATAATCCTGCCCTATTAATGATATGTACAAAAACCAAAAACACAGTCCATCCATCAAGTCATCGTATATTACAGTTGTCTGGTTCCACCAGTACTTTTAAGTACGCCCCAGGAGTTCGGTGAAACTCAAGCATTGATATTCTCATCGACGTCGTACATCAGGATATCCTCGAAATTCCACCCCCAGGCTTCAAATCGCCAGTTTAGGTGCTTGTTCCAATGTATTCCGTATCCCGGCCCGCTATTCCGATCTATTCCACCAGATCGTGGCATATTCTGGACATACACCAGCCTCGAGATGCGTGAGTGGACCATAGCCATGCAGCACATCGCGCATGGTTCGTGGGTTGTGATCAGTTGTAAGTTATGGCATAGGTAAGCTTGGTTCGAAGCATCTTCTTGACTGTTCGACATTTCAGCCACGGCATTTCGCCTGGCTAGTTCCGCGGCAGCGACCTTGGCTATGCAAGACATCACGCTGTGTGACAGTGGATTTCGGGAAGAGTTCCGGGTATCGATTGAAGACGCGACTACTTGTCTTGTCTCTGGATCAGTGATTATTGTAGCAATGGGGATCTTGAAGATGTTAGCGTCATGTATTCGAGATCGATGTTCTTTACAGCAGCCGAAAACGTACCTCGCCAGCATTGTGAGCTTCTTCTGTAAGATCGAGTAAACGTTCAAGATGGCCTTTCAGCTCTTCTTCATCTTCTTGTGGTAGTTCCGAGACGCTGCAACGCACTGTTAGTGAAGTGTACCATGACTGAACAGATCTCAAATCTTACATCAAATGGGGGTTTCCTCTCCACATAATGGGCCATGTTCCCTCTGACCATTCTTTCGATTGCTCTTTCGTCGGCGCTGCGAACGCCGGTGCGTGCTTGATGGTAGGTACAAACAGTCTCTCATCGGGGGTTGGTGTAGTTACAAGCTCACTCAATGGATCTAACAGAGCACGGACATCATCTTCCGAGGGAACAGCGTCCACTGAACATATCAATAAAGATAGTAGTACCCCGGATTCATCTCTGGGTGGAAGATCATCTTTCACAAGTCGTCGCAGGTGCATGAGTGTGTGCGGGTCCTTAGGTAGCTTTTGTTTCAGTTGGCTAAGTTAAAAGGTCAGCTGAAGGTAGAGAAAGCGAGAGCGCATCTGAGAAACGTACGAGACGACTGTAGTTGCGATTTTGGCCGGGATCATCGTAGTCCAGACGTCAACTATTAACACTATTGTCAGAAACTATTCAACACGAAAAGACTCTGCAAATTATTCGTCTCCGTACCCAGTTCCAGCTCCGTTCTCTCATGCCGAGATTTGACCTGTGCGAATAATGAGGCCGAGTCTGGCGCCTTCAAACTAGCTATCGACACTCTTCGTCGATGGTTGTGGTTGTGTGGCTCTTTATGGTGCAAATAGGTCTCTGAAGCGTTCTTGCTGACCGTCTCGTCAAGAGCTGAGACTCCCACTGATGGCGACATTGTGAATAAGCCGTCCTCCCGCCCAGGTGAGATTGAACCAGGCGGCGCAAGGTCACAGGTATCTGAATGTGGTTATTGAAGGACGATTTTCACATCTGGGCTGAAAATTCTAAAATAAAGACGCGAGCCGCAGAGCCAGAAGTACCTCGACCTTGAATAAAAATTGATTACTGTTACATTACCTAATCACAAAAGTCACATGTTTTCACAATTATGGCTGAGTTAGATCGCATAGATCTGCGCCCTGTCTGGGTCACGTGCGAAACGGCAACGTCACATTATACTGGAACCATAGGAACCAAACACTCTAACCGGCAGAAGCAGAGCGTACCTTACACTACATCAGACAATCATGGAAATTCCGAGAACGGCGACCTTTGCCTGGTCTCCTGGCTCTCAATTGCCTATTATCGCGACCGGTACAGTTGCTGGTGCCGTTGATGCCGACTTTTCCTCGACCTCGACTCTCGAACTATGGGACCTAAACATCGTTGGCAAGCCATCCAGCGGTCTGCAGCTGTCGAAGCCACTCGCATCGGTCACCAGTGATGTCAAGTATGGGTTATTTCCTCGATTGGATTCTGTTGTAAGACTGATTCTGATTCGATTCATCTAGATTTCACGATTTGGTCTGGGGATCGGTCTCGGCCGCGCGTCCGAGGGGCATCATCGCTGCTGCTATGGAGAACGGCGACTTGAATCTGTGGGAGCCCGATGCGTTGCTCAAAGGATCTACGTATGTCACGACTAGTGTTTGATTTTTTTGGGTTGGATTGATGGCTGATTCGATTTCAGGACTCCGTTGTTGAATTCCAAGAAGCACTCGGGTGCCATCAAGAGTCTCGACTTTAACCCTAGCCAGTCGAATCTTTTGGCTTCTGCGGGCTCAAAAGGCGAGGTATGTGTTTGCCGATTTTTCGATCAACCTGAATGTCAATACTCACAGCCCTCTAGATCTTCATCTGGGATTTAGATAAGCAAGGTGCGCCGATTACCCCCGGCAAAGCTTCTTCGCGCCTCGATGAGATCGAATGTGTGTCCTGGAATACCAGCGTCGCGCATATTTTGGCGACCGCCGGAAACACTGGTTTTACTTCCGTTTGGGATTTGAAAAATAGAAGAGAAGTCTTGCATTTGTTCTACCCCGGCCCTGGTGGTGGTGGCCGACGAGGTGTTAGTAGTGTTGTTTGGCATCCGGAGAACGTAAGTATTCTTCAGTTTCATCGTGCGAGTAACTCCTCTAATTTTATCTGATCGTTTAGTCCACGAAACTCATCACTGCCTGCGGCGATGATTCCTCACCTGTGATTCTTCTGTGGGATCTCAGAAATGCTAATGCTCCCGAGAAAGTACTCTCGGGTCACAACCAAGGTGTTTTGTCGTTGTCATGGAGCAAGCGTGATCCCGATCTTTTGCTATCTAGCGGAAAGGACAATAGAACTCTGCTCTGGAATCCTCAGTCTGGTGAAATGCTGGGCGAGTTCCCGATTGCGACGAATTGGACGTTTGAAACTCGGTGGTACGAAAGAAATCCGTCAGTTTTCGCATCTGCCTCGTTCGATGGAAAGATTTCCGTCCAGTCACTTCAAAACACAAAGACTCCTGATTCTCAGGACGCTGCTCCCAAGCCAGAGGGTAATGATTTCTGGAATACGGCTTCCTATGCTGACACTCCCAAGTCTACTTTCTCTTTGAAGCAGCCTCCTAAATGGCTGAAGCGGCCTATTAGTGCTACTTTTGGATTCGGTGGCAAGCTCGTGACGCTTAAGCAAGATGAGCATAAGAAGTCAGTTCTCACTATCAAGAAGGTTGTTATTGAGCCTGGTATGGCGTCTGAGACTGAGAAATTCGAGGAGGCAATTAAGAGCCAGAGCTTGAAGTCAATCGCTGAAGCTCGCGCAGAGAAGGCTGTTGCCGAGCAGGACCAGCATGACTGGAAGGTTCTCCTGATGCTGTACGAGGAAAATCCCAAGAAGAAGCTGATAGAGCTTCTGGGTTATACGCCGAGTGATCTTGAGGAGCTGTTCAAGAAGTTCAGCGGCTTATCTGTCAACGGTGAGAAATCTGTCAAGGAGGACGAAGCGAAGCCCGAAGAGAAACAGGAAGAGGCAGCGGATCAGATTTTTGGAGCGTCGGCCGGCGAGTCCGATTTTTTCAGCAACATCGGAAATGCTCCTGCGTCTGCTACAAACGGTGACATTGCGGAATACGTTCCTACTGGTGCGTTTTCGATTTTCAACAGTGAAACTCCTGAGACGGATAAGTTGATTACTCAAGCTCTTGTTTTGGGTGATTTCTCCTCCGCCATTGACATCTGCTTGAAGGATGATCGGATGTCGGATGCTTTCATGCTGGCTTTGTTGGGCGATGATGCATGCCGCGCCAAGGTGCAGAAGGCGTACTTCCAAAAGAGTGCTGATGGTCCTTCGTACATTCGCGTGATGTCGTCGATTTCGAGCAAAAACCTCCTGGATCTGGTGGATAACGCTGATATTGACAGCTGGAAGGAGATTGTTGTTGCGCTGTGCACGTTTGCGCCCGAAGGAGACTTCAATACTCTAGTTGGTAAGCTGGGAGATCGTCTCGGCGAGGCCAGAAAGACAGCAGACGCTTCCCAGGCTCTTGAGCTCCGAAAGAGTGCTTCTATCTGCTACTTCGTGGGAGCCGATCTTCCCAAGCTTGTTGCCATCTGGATTGAGGAGCTGGCCGATATGGAGAAGGAGGCTTTGAAGAGCACTTCCGAGAGCGAGTCACCGTTTGCCGTTCACATCAAGTCACTTCAAGACTTTATTGAGAAGGTTACTGTTTTCAGAAATGCTGTCAAATACAACGATGCTGGCGCGAAGCTCGATTCCGACAAATGGGCTCTATCTGAGCTGTATGAGGCTTACAGAGAGTATGCGAATGTTGTTGCAAGTCAGGGATTTTTGGAACTGGCTCACAAGTACCTTGTGCTACTCCCGACACAGTACCCTCTGGCTGATCTCGAGCAGGAGAGAGTTCTCAAAGCCTCTTCAAAGACTGCGAGTGCTGCTCCTGCTGCCACTGGCTATCAGCCCTACGGCGCGAAACCTGCTACGTCTTCCTACACGCCATATGCTCCTACTGCATCTGCTACCGCCCCTGGAGCTGTGCCGGCTCCGGCTGCGTCCACTTATACGCCAGTATCAGGATACCAGCCTCTTACTAGCACATATCAGCCGCCGGCTCCCCCGGCTGTTTCGTCACAGCCACCTGCGCCCTCCTCTGGATCCCAGTATGGCCATGCGTACCACCCCAGTGTCAATATTCCCGCTCCCCCTGCACCTGTGGTCTCGCCTCCTGATCTTCATCATGAGCACGCTCCAATTGCTCCCCCGCCGGTCACTTCATATCAGTCTAATACGAAGGGCATAAGTGGCTGGAACGATGCTCTGCCGCTCAAGTCTTCATCAACATCAAGAAAGCAGACTCCCGCTCCGGCAGCGCCGATCACTGCTCCCTTCCCGGGCATGCAGGCTGAGCCGGCATCGACTTTCTCTCCGCCGCCCCAGACTCCTGGTTCCGTGCCTTCTTACGGTCGACCGGCGAATATCGCACCCCCTCCGATAAACGCGAAGCCGCCTCAGTCGCTGGTAACGTCGCCTGTCCAGTCCCCACCCCCTACCGCTCGGGCCGTGAATCCTTACGCTCCGACTGTCGAGTTTGTGTCGGTGGGACAGACTGCCCCATCTTTAGGCCCTCCTACGGCTCCTCCAGTTGGTGCTAGCGCACCGCTACCGCCGCCGCCGGTTAGCAAGTATGCTGCACCGCCTACCAGCGTTCCGCAGCCTGGTCCCCCTCCAGCAGCGAGCCCTTACGCCCCACCGACTCAACCTAGTCAGCCGGCTAGCGCTCCTCCCCAACGAAACCCGTATGCTCCTACAGCTCCGGCTCCCGCGACTGCCCCTCCAGCAGCTGCTCCGCCGGTGACGTCGGCTCCGCCACCGATGAGTCACCCTCCGGTCAACTTTTCGCAGTACGAGCCGTCCCCTCTTCAGCAAGATGGCTACGCCCAGTCCGTAGGTCGGTCTGCGAGTCCCGCTATGTCGGTAGTAGCGGAGTCCATGCACCCGCATCACCACAGTGCGCCTCCTCAGAAATACCGTAAGTACACTGTTGATGAATACTTTATTTGAACCTGTTCTAACTTGAATTTTGTACAAAAAGCTGCCGGTGACCGCTCCCATATTCCTGCTGAAGCAATGGTGATTGTCGACGCGCTGAGTGCAGAGATGGCTCGTGTCAAGCAACGCACTCCCCAGAGTGTCGCGCGACAAGTGCAGGACACCGAGAAGAGACTGAATGTTCTTTTTGACCACCTAAACAATGGTGATCTTCTCAGCCCTGAGGCCGTGCGTGAGATGATCGTGCTGGCTAGTGCTCTTCATGAGCACGATTTCGAGACGGCTTACTCTGTGCAGATTAACCTGTCTACGACTAGAATGGAGGAGTGTGGACAGTGGATGGTCGGTGTTCGCCGATTGATTGATATGTCGAAGAGGACTTGGGTGCCTTAGATCTGCTCGATCGTCGACAGCAGTTGATCTGCCTCCCGATTTTTTGTATATGGAGGAACGATGACCTACGTTATCTTCTCTCCAGACCATGAGCTTTTTTACATGAATGCTTTGTCTGATTTCAATTTGTGTTTTTATTATTTTTGTTTTGTTTCAAGTCGTCATATAAGTGTTGTGGTAGTTCTGTGTGTTGAAAGTACTGTCTGTTGAAAGAAATGTGCATAGTTTGATGCATCGAAGAGTGCAATATTTTAATGTGTTTCTGTTCTTGTTATGCTCTAGACAAAGTAAACGGGCCGAATTGTTCCAACAAAGCACGGCTGAATATACCACAGAGAAACGGACCCATCTGATCATGGCCTTTTCTTTGTATCGTTTAATGATTATCCAAGACTGCAGAGAATTATTTACCGAGCATCTACCGTCGTTGTTGTCGCTAGAAAGCGCGTGATCTGTGTGTTGGCTGCATGTAAGCTGTTACATAAGCGCATTACGCAGATGGTTTAAATATCGTGTGGAGAAGCAAAGCATTTCTGGCAGTCATCGACTACCAGGCCACAGCATCTGCAGGACACAGCTTTCTCACGACTACTTGCTCTTATTCGCGCTCATAACGCGATTTGGCCTTTGTTTTGGTGGTAATAGTCACCGTATACAGCCTACAAGTCTCAGGCCTGCATATCGCAAGCAGACATATAACTAAACCTCATCCGCCACCCCCGACCAAGGCATAGTAAGCCATGCAGCGCCAACGAGAGGTAGCGCCTACCTCGATGGGTCCTTCGGTAGTGATTGAAGACACTGCTGTGTTCCGAGAAGGCGAGGGCGGTCTGTCGAGCAGCGAGTCGCCAGATTCTGGAGTGATCGGTACGCTCCGTCTTCGCGGCGGCCATCTCTCGAACCGACGAGTTGCTTGGAGTGACGAGGTCATTGATAATGAGGGAATGGGAAAGAAGAAGTCCAAAGGTATGTCTTATGTCTTGCGGTCTTTTTTGAAGTACGGGTATCGGCCTGCCTGCTAACCCATATTTTTCCAACAGTGTGCTGCATATTCCACAAACAGCGGCGATTTGACGAGAGCTCATCCGACGAGAGCTCCTCATCGTCAGACGACGACAGCGACAGTGACGCTGACCATAATCCGAGCAAAGACGCCGACGCCGGGCCTTCGTCGAATAATCCCGACCAAGAAGGCCATGGTGCAGGATGCGCTCATCATCACCACCACAAGCGGCGAGCAAGGAAGCCGAATGCCTACGAGCGACAGCCGAAGTACGGACCAAAGAAAACTTAAAAAATGCAGATGATTTAGAGGATTTGGTGGAGAGGGTTAGAAAGACACCTTTATATCATGTGAATACGGAGAATTTTTGGTCGTGTGGCCCAGGAGTGTATAGCGATTATTGTCAGGTGTTTCGTGTATATGGTACATATTTTATGGCGTTTAATGGACTTTTGAAAATCATGAATCAAAATGAAGAGTGTAGACGTTGTACGTCTTTGCTATATGCTGAGCTGCAAGTAGAACCGGAGTTCGGGTTCATATTTCTTATCATGCGCATTCATACATCAAGTGTAGCAAGGGCTGATTAAATTGAATAGCTCGTCGAAAGAATAGTGACATAAACTAAATTCTGAAGCAAGTGCAACAACACTATGATAAAATAAACACCAGAATACTCAACAAAACTCTTTCAATACACATTTTCCCACCCGTTGTATCCGACGCTTTAATTCGCTCTCCTTTATCAATCCTACACACGCTTCTATACAAACATAGAAGCCTCATCGCTTTTTGAATGGACGAGGCTTGATTTCCTCCTCCTTGGTTGCATGCAGCTTGACAGCGATAGGATAATCCGCCCGGTTGAACTGATATCCCTGACTCCAGTCATAGCTGACCGCATACGCAAAGATCGAGCCTGTTCTGTTGAACGTCGTAGTCGATATAGTCGCGCCAACTGAGGGATAACCTTTGAGTCTGTGCTTGGAATCTTTATCCCAGAAATGAAATGAGCCGTCCGAGCCGGCAGTCGAGAATGTGCCGTACTGGGGATGGAAATTGATAGAGTTGACAGAGTAAACATTAGATTCAGACCGAGGTCCTGTGCCAGGAGAGTCTCTGTGGCACTTGAAGGAGAAACCGTTTTTCCTAAACGCTCGTGTTAATGCATATGAATTAGAAAGTAGCCTCCAAATTAAAAATATCACGTACTGTTGTTCTCTCTCGTCGACATATTGCATTGCACTTCGACCTTCCACACTTCCAATAGCGTAGCCGTTACCGCCAGGGAAGCACGCGATCGTCCTAGTCTGGAACTTCAAAGGGCTCTGCAGACTTCTGAAAATGGCGCCAGGATTGTCGAGATTGATGATGCAGATATGTCGTTCAGCTGTGCCGACAACCAGAAGCTTCTGCTGGACGTCCATAGCATACACGCGCTCGGGGAGCTGTACGGTCGCGACTGGAGCCTGCGATCGTAGATCCCAGTATTTCAGTGTCTTATCCCACGATCCTGTCGCTAGTATCTGCTGTCCTGAGTTTCCTGTGTCAACGAATCGGACTGTTCGGATAGCGGCATCATGCTGGGCGACTTGAGTAGACTGTCCCGATTGCAAATCATATAACCAGCCAGCTTTGTCAGTTCCTCCCGATGCAACCTTCGTGCCATCCTACAAAAACCGTAAGCGTCAGGTTATTGAAATCAAACTAGTAAAAAATCAGATAGATCATACACTTGACCAGTGCACGCTCAGCACTGGGCCCTGCTGTTCGTAGAGCGCCTTTCCTTGAGAGTCTCCATTAGGCGCAAGTTCGTATATGCGAACCTTCTTATCCCACGAGCCAACAGCCAAAAACTCGGCCTGTGGAGAAAATGCCAGCGAAGAAACCGAATCCTCGGGCGGAGACACGAGATCGCGATCGGCTTGTAAATCTGCGGCGGTACCTAGTACCTGTGTTGAGGATGTGCCGGTCGACGGTGTGGTGGAACCGAACAAAGACATCACGACTTTCTGATCTAGGCAAACAGATCAAAGCGTGCACAGTAATTCAAATGCACACAAGTACCGAGATAAAATGGCTATTTCAATCGAAAGCCTTGAATGTGAACAGGTCGACGTCTATTGCTGATTCAACTCGATTTTGATGTTTTTCTCCAAAAATATTCGATTCATCGAGCGGCGCGCGGTGGGAATCTCAGCCCTAACCACGAATCTGGCTCAACACCAACCTTTAGGGGGTTTCCACGGCAGCTGAAAGGTTCATTGACGCGTCGGTTGCGCGTCGCAGACGGAAATCAGGAAGTTCACGCGCTGGTCCTCCATGAGGATGCAAACCGTGTTCTGATTCAAAGAGAGAGATATACTGAACAGACGGCTTCCTGACTGTATCTGCTCTGTTTTCTTTGCTGGCGAGCCACGGTATTCTGATGGCTTCTCAAGCTGATCCGCCGTCAGCGTCGACGGCCACGCAGCGAGACTTTCATCATCCGTATACTCCATACAAGATCCAGTTGGATTTTATGAACGCATTGTATGATACCATCGAAGAAGGAAAAATTGGTATATTTGAGAGTCCTACTGGTAAGTGTATATCCCAGGCTACTGTATGATCTTCTCTTTATAACTAACTCGTTGATCATAGGAACTGTGAGCTGAAAAGTTTGATCTTCTGTTTTTCGTTACAGCCTACTGACGTGGAAGTTAACCAGGGTAAATCATTATCTCTGATTTGTGGGGCAATGACTTGGCTTCGAGATCATCAATCTCTGAGCCTGCAAGAGGAGTCTTCGGCCGGCGACGACACCGAGCCCGCATGGGTGCGAGAGTATCATGCAAATCTTCTCCGGGAGAAACGCTTAAAAAAATACCGCGATCTACAGGCACGAATCGACAAAGTCAGGGCATTGGAACTCAAAGACAAGCAGGCGGTGCGTGCCCGCGGTCGGATGTTTGGGAGTGATGTTCCTGAAGGCGTGCCAAAGAGAGCAAAGACCGGTAGCCAGAATGAAAGAGCGGAAGATAGATATCTTGTTGATGACTATCACAGCGACGACGAAGATGTTCCGGCAAAGAGCTCAGGCGGAGGTGCTTCAGATAGTAATCTGTCAAAGGAAGTTCAGGCACTTCTGAAAAGGTAGGCGTGAGACGTTTTGGGCAATTTTGATCTTGGGCTGAATTTACATATGTTAGGTTGGGCGGGAATACAGGCGACAACGAGGACGAAGAAGACGAAGAATTTGATGACAACGACGTCAAAATATTCTACGCCTCAAGAACACATTCTCAACTATCACAATTTGTCCAACAACTACGACTACCGAATTTCCCCCCGTCGGAGTTATGGAGCAGCGCCGGCTCCCTACGACATGTTCCATTGTCATCGCGCAAACAGCTCTGTATCCATCCCAGGATATCCCGGCTCCGCGACCTGAACGCCATAAATGACAGATGCACGGAGCTGCAGCAGAATTCTGGCGATAATCGGTGCTCGTTCATGATGAACGAGCATGAGTTGGCCGATCGTGTCAAGAGTCGCGATTTCAGAGATAAAGTTATCGTGAGTGCAGAGATTTATATTGCTTTGTGAAATGGAGTATCTCCTTTACTAACTATTATATATTGGCTAGGCCGAAGTGCGCGATATCGAGGATATGGCTGACATAGGCCGATCTATGAGTGTTTGTCCATACTATGCGAGCCGAGGTGCTGTACAGGTCAGCGAGGTAAGACAAACTAGGTGTAGTTAACATGGAATGCTGCTAACATTGGTGTATAGATTGTAACACTTCCATATCCTTTATTGTTGCAAAGCAGCTATCGAAAAGCACTCTCTATATCGTTAAAGAACCAGATAGTTATCATCGACGAAGCTCACAATCTATTGGACGCCATCACCTCTCTCTTTTCAATGTCTATTTCGCTGACAGACATCAAAAAATCAAAGAGTGGTGTCCAAGTCTATCTCAATAAGTTCTCAAAGAAACTGAACGGCGGCAATAAAGTCTACATCACGCAGATTATCAAGCTTCTAGAAGTTCTCGAGCAGTTTCTGTCTGAATTTAAGGGAGTGAATGGTACAGAAGTTGTGCAGAACGATGTACTCCAGAGCGGATCGGTTGATACGATCAATGTCTTCAAGATTGAGAAGTACATGGAAAAAAGCAAGCTTTCCCGCAAAGTGGAGAGTTATATAGTCCATCTGGCGGAGCAGGCAGAGATGGCGGCAATGCCAGATGGCAAGGAAAACAAGCGGGCCGGGCACAAAAAATTCAGGCAGCCTCCCGCGGCTGTTCCTTTGCTATCCAAGATTATGTCATTTCTCATGGCTCTCACGAATCCAACCACCGAGGGCAGAGTGTTTTTCGAACTGGCTAATGGGGAGAAGCATCTGAAGTACCTGCTGCTTGATCCTAGTTTTCATTTCAAGTCGATTGTTGAGGAAGCTCGATGTGTTATTCTTGCGGGCGGAACTATGGAGCCTGTCAGCGATTATCTGAGGTACCTGTTTCCCTATGTTCCCAGAGACCGGTTCAAACTTGTCTCCTGCGACCATGTCATTCCGAAGCAGAACCTCGGCGCGTGGACTATTGCCACTGGTCCTACCGGAGCTGAGATGGTGTTCACCTTTGAGCGCCAGCGGCTAGAGGCTACAGCTATAGAGCTTGGACGGACAATCTCAAACCTGACCTGCGTAATCCCCGATGGCATGGTTCTTTTTTTCCCGAGTTATAAGTACATGGCTGAAGTCTGTGCGATCTGGAAGAGGACAGTCGGTGGACACCCTAGTCAGTGGGAGCAGATAAGTAAGCGCAAGACGATTTTTGAGGAACCCCGTGAAGCCAGCGAGGTAGATCATGTTCTCTCTGAGTATGCCAGTGTTATCGAACAGGATCCTGCAGATACCGGAAAGCGCACCCGCGGAGCAATTTTGCTGGCAGTCGTTGGTGGGAAGATGTCTGAGGGAATCAACTTCTCAGACAAACTAGCTCGTGGGATCGTGATGGTCGGGCTTCCGTTCCCGAATGCTCGGTCTGCAGACATGGTCGCAAAGAGACGCTATGTGGAAGAGCACACTATTGCCGAGGTGAAGGCACGTGGAATGGAATCTCTACGGGAGCGCTATCCTGAGGAGAGCTTGATTCCAGATTCAGAGTTGACTCAGTTGAACCAACTCTGCCGAAAGGAGGCAGAAACCGCGTCTCGCGAGTATTACGAAAACGTATGTATGCGGGCGGTAAATCAGAGCATAGGCCGAGGCATCCGCCACGCGAACGACTATGCTGTTATCATCTTTGTCGATGCCCGGTTTGCAAGCGAGCGGATCACCAGGAAGCTGCCGAAATGGATCAATGAACGAATGCCGTCCGATGCAAAGAGCGTGGGTTTGAGTGTGGGGAATGTAATGCGATACGTTAGCGAGTTCTTTAGGGATAAGAAGGAGGTCAAAAGCAGTGTATGATGACTAGCATTTGCAGGAGTTTTATTTCGTTTTGAATACATTGCTATATTTGCTCATTGCTCTCTCTTTAAAACGTAAGAATGGGAACAATAGAAGATGTGATAGCGATCAGCGCACAGCTTAGAGTGCGGCAATTATCGACGGCGATAAAGAATAGCCTCTTCCCCATCCCAAGAAGTCCCAGCATCACTCGTCGATAGCCAAACGTTATCAGCCTTCACCCAATACCAGTCTGTCATTTTACAAGGTCCTGGATAGCCTCTGATCAAATAATTTCGCTATATTTGAACGCGCAACAGCTATTCTGTTTGCCAATCGATAAGTGCGAATACAAGAATTTAGCGGAGGAGGCCAGTGCCCAAGCTCGGACCTTTCAACGTGGATAGTCTGGCATCATAAGTCGACAGCTGCCCCGTGTTGTTCGACGCAGTATTCGTCGCGTTGGCTGAGCTGGCTAGCAAGCTTTGATCTCGTCTTTTGCCTACAGAACAGTTCTATTTTTTTGAGATCTACAAGTATCGGGTTTTCACCGCAAGTGTTTGGCATCAGCACTTCATGCACAGAGAACGGTCTAGGCTATATACTACTGCTGTACGATAATCAGATACCGAAAGACTACCAATAACCGGGTGAATCTCGGAATGGCGTCCCCCCCTTTAAGCGCCGGAGAGATTGAGAAAGGTCCTGAGGTTTTGGTCTTGCCGTCAATCACAGAGATCAGAAACAGTTCGGATATAAGCAAGTTCAACAACAAGGCCAGCATCAACTACGGTAGTGTGGAGGATTTGAGTCTCAAAGCCAAAAAGCCTGATGCATTCCCAGAAACGCAGTCCGTGGTTGACGAGAAGCAAGTGGTGGTCGAGCTGATACCTGATCCCGATGACGACAACGAGGAAGAGTTTGTTGCAGCTGAGGTTGTCTTTCCCGACGGAGGCAAGAAGGCGTGGTTATGTGTCGTTGGCGCGTTCTGTACGCAGTTCTGTTCGTTTGGATGGGTAAACACGTTTGGCATTTTTCAAGAGTATTACCTACGGAATCAGCTTTATGGATATTCACCTACCACAGTTTCCTGGATCTCCACGCTCCAGTCTTCGATTATGTTCATGGGTTGTCTGGTACGTCTTCGCGAGGGTCGATTTGTTGTTTATATAATTACTGACTCAAAGATCTATAGATTGTCGGAAGACTTTTCGACTCTTATGGACCGAGATACTTGCTAATTGTCGGCACGGTACTGGAAGTGGGTGGTATTATCATTACTTCATTCAGTAGGAATTATGCCGAGATCCTGATGTAAGTTGCGCCAGCTGATTGAGGTTGATCCCCTCTGTGCAGTCACTCACTGACCTCTTTTCAATAGATTTCAGGGAATCGTGGCACCAATGGGCGCAGCATGTGTTTTTAATGTTGCTGTGGGTTGCACCTCTAGCTGGTTTAAGCAGAAGCGTGCGCGAGCGCTAGGAATAATGTCTGCCGGATCAAGTGTAGGAGGCATCATCTACCCGTTTCTGATCCGCAAACTTGCTGCCGAGACCTCGTTTGGGTGGATGATGCGTGCCTGCGGCTTCATGATTCTGGCATTGCTGATCGTGGCAAACTTCACGATCACGTCGAATGTCGCTCCGCGCGGACGCTGGATGCCGTTGTATCCAAAGGACATTTACATACAGTTCCAGGACATCAACTTTACGCTCATTGCGATCTCGTTCTCTCTTGGTTTTGTTGGGTTTACTCTTCCCTTCACATATATAGTGTCTAATGCGCGCTATCATGATGTCGACGACGGCCTGGCCACGTACCTGGTATCAATCTTGAACGCCTCAAGTATCTTTGGCCGCATCATTCCCGCAGTCCTGGCAGAACGCGTTGGCCAGTACAACATGAACTCCGCTGGAATCCTCCTAGCAGGAGTTTCGACTCTTGCGATCTGGATCCCAGCTCGTGCCGCAGGAGTCCACGTTCTTTACGTTATCTTCTACGGCTTCTTTTCAGGCACGTTCGTCGCCCTCGTGCCTGCCTGCACAGCAAAGATCAGCCACATCCAAGATATCGGCACGCGCGTCGGTCTGATATTTGCATGCCTGAGTCTTGCAAACCTGGCGGGTGTGCCACTGGGCGGTGTCATTCTGGGCGACGGCACTCAGCTTAGCCGGTGGTCTGGCATGATGGCGTTTGCTGGCGCGTTTCTCACTTTGGGAGGATTCGTCAGCTGGATTGCGAGGATCAAACTCGTAGGTTTCTCGTTACGGGCTGTGTGCTAATTTTGTTTTGTTTGTATATTCTTCTGTATTTGGACTTTTCTCTCTTTTTGAATGATGACAGTGGTATTCACGGGGTTTAAAATTGGCTATGGTGTTCATAGAGGTTGGTTGGGAATTTATGATTTTTTAGAGGTCGGATTAGTATGACATATGATAGAGAAAGTGGGCTGTTGTAGTTACGCGGTAGAGAATTGAATTAACTTTTTATTTCGAATCTATGGGGTTAAGAACTAAAGCCAAGAATTGCAATTGCATATAGCTTAGTTCAAAGGAGGCAGCAGCTGTCTGCTTCCTTGTCTAGCCAACTGAGCCATAACGGCATCCATCAGTACTAAACTAGCCATAGCCTCGACAATAGGCACGGCACGGGGGACGACGTTGGGGTCATGTCTACCCTTGGCAGCCAAGACACCGTCTTTACCATCGTAGGTTGCGGTCTTCTGCTCCTGCGAGATAGTAGCAGGAGGCTTGAACGCAACGCTGAAGTAGATGTTCTCGCCGTTGGTGATGCCGCCCTGGATTCCGCCAGAGTTGTTGGTCTTGGTGCGGAGTTTTCCAGTCTCAGGGTCCTTGTAGAACGGGTCGTTGTGCTGCGATCCGGGGATGGTAGTTCCCGCAAAGCCGGAGCCTATCTCGAAGCCCTTGGTGGCAGGGATCGAGAGCATGGCGTGCGCGAGCTCGGCCTCGAACTTGTCAAAGACGGGCTCACCGAGTCCGATCGGAGCGTTTCGGATGACGCAGGTAACGACACCGCCGATGGAGTCGTGCTTCTCCTTCATCTCTTCGACGATCTTGATCATTTGCTCGGCCAGATCGGGGACAGGGCAGCGGACGGGGACGGCGGCGTCGACCTGCTCGCGCGTGATCGTGTCGAGTAGCGAGAGGAACTCCGGGTTAGTCGGGTTACGGTCGAGCGAGACGGCACCGACGGCAGAGACAAAGGCCACAATCTCGACACCGTAGGCCTCCTTGAGGTACTTCTCGGCAATCGCACCGCCAGCAACGCGGCCAATGGTCTCACGAGCAGAGCTGCGGCCACCGCCCGAGGATGCCTTGATGCCGTACTTGGTTTGGTAGGTGTAGTCGGCATGCGACGGCCGCGGGTAGAGGTCCATTTCCGAGTAGTCGTGCGGTCTCTGGTCCTCGTTCTGGACGAGCATGCCGATCGGAGTGCCGAGGGTCAGTCCGAACTCGGTGCCGGACTGGATCTTGACCAGATCCTTCTCGTTTCGGGGGGTGGTCAGTTTGGACTGACCTGGCCGCCGCCGCGAGAGCTGGACCTGGATATCAGACTCGTCCAGCTTCATTCCAGGCGGGATTCCGTCGACGATGCAGCCGACGGACTTGCAGTGGGATTCTCCATAGGTGGTCACTCCTAGAAAGAAAGAAGAGTCAGCGGGATATTGCGATGAGTCAGTCATGAAGCAAGGATAATAGGAGAACGCACGGAAGTAGTGTCCAAAGGTCGACATGACTGAAGTGTTTCAAGTTGATCTAGTAGAATTATCTATGTCCAGACAGAGAAAGGCAGAGTGCGCGAGGGAAGAGAAGCAACAAGGCCGTGGGTCGTATTTCAGTGCCTTTGTCGGGCCGAAATATTTCAAAACTTTTCTCCACGTGTGGCGTGGTGAATCTTCAAACCTTATCCAAGCAGTTGTGAATGTGACTTATCGCAAGAGATATAACCCAGAGCTGAACAGGATCTTGGTGATGAGTAGATGTTTTGTTTTATACTTAGAATTGTGTAATGTGATTGTGGATTTACTGATTGAGCTGAGGAGCGGCGGGATGTGGGCCGGAATACGACTTATTGATAACTATTCGATAGCGGCGGATTAGTTAGTGACCGCGATGGCTTCCTTCCCCTGACCGGCCCTTCTGCTTTCGACAAAGCATATATCCCACCTGCGCATCCAGCAACCGCTGTAGCTCATCTGATTCCTTGTCCTTTTCCCTTGTTTTATGAGCAGAGGATGTCAGTGCCGTTCAAGAACATCTACCATCTGCGGCATGTAGCAGAGACCGCGCAGAAACCGTGCATCATATGCTACAAACCCACCAACGCAGTGCTCGTATCCGAAGATGGCAAGGTGCGCATTGAACCTCATCACTCTCTCTCTCTGTCTCTCGTCTAACTTTCCTTTGCTCGCGTGCTTGCTTGCCAATGCCGTGGTTTTAGAACGATTTCTTCTACACCTGTAAAGTACACCTGACTGACAGCGGGTTTGCGATCCCCGTTACGAACCCAGCCGCCGAGGCCGCGAAGCGGAAGCAAGCGGCTCTAGCGCTCGAGATTGAGAAAGTGAAGAAGGAATGGGAGAAGAAGCAAGGGAACCGAAAGACTGAACGGGAAAGGAAAGAGAAGGAGCGGTCAAAGGAGAAGGAACGGGATAAGAAGAAAGAAGCGGAAGACGACAAGGCGGAGAACACTCTCGACAAGCGCGACAAGGCCGAGCATAAAGAGCAGCTTGCGAAGCTAGAGACGCAGAAAGAAGAGGCTGAGAAGGAGGCTGCGGCCGAGGTTCGGATCTTCAATCTCAACAAGGCTATCTACGCGATGCGAATCAACAATTGGCGGAATATACAGCGATCAAAGAAGACGGCCGAGCTGTTACGGAAACCTGGCGGCTTGCCGTCAGTGCCATCTTCGCTACCGGGCACGCCGAAACCTGCCGAAGACGAGGACTGATTGATATGATCGATGAGATAATCATTTAAACAAACCAAGTATCATTCATCTTAATTTATGCGCATAGATTCAACTCTCTATCTTATATTTACATCATGCTCGCGGTAAAGCAAATGGTCTGACCTCATCCACTCTTCCTCTCTGTAGCGATATCCCCGGAGTCACCCAAGCTCCACAAGTGCATTTCATTCCCTGCCACCGGTAACTTCCGACCTTTGTTTTACACTTTGGACACTCGAATTTGCCCTCGAGTTCTCCGCGCTCCAACTCAGGCTGCATCCATCGTATGGGCTCGAGAAAGTAGTGCATGCAGGACTGCCCGATTATCGAGATCATTCCAGGGCCAACTGTTGTCTTGTATGGACCCGCTTTAATGGCTTCGTAGTACGCTCTGGTGTTGGGCGGCGGGAGATTGGTTGGGGGTTCGTGGCGGATGACGGTGTTGGTAGTCGCTAGTGGGCATCTAAATTCATGTATCAGGTATTGTACGATATCGAACATGAACTCCTTATCATACCTGCACTTTTTACACCGCAGTTCGGTGGCTTTACCGTCAACTTCTGATGTGCTAGAGTAGTCTTTCAGCACAGGCGCCGATCCAGCCGCTGATATTGAATAGTTAGCCACAGCTCGATCATATGATCTTCGTCATTCCTCCTTTTTGACGCAATACGTAAAAATCGCAATGTATATCATCACATACCCGTTGCAAGTTCAGCATTCTTTTTCAACTTCCACCGTCGATACCCTTCCTTCGTGTCGTCGACCACAAACCCATCTTTCTCGAAAATATCCAACTGCTCTCTGAACGAGTCGTTCGGACTCACGATCTTTCGGCTTTGACGGATCTTCTCTATAGCTTCAGGTGCTGAGATCTTTTCGTTTCGCATAATGTAGGCGGTACATATCGTACCGCTTCGGGATATGCCTGCGATACTGCACATGTCCAAAATTCGTCAGTGTCAACCACTTCCTTCTTCACCACAAACCCAACCTACCAATGAACAAGCACGTTTCCACCCTTCGCAATCCCCTCGTCTATAAACTCAAAGCACTCATTAAATACACCAAGGATATCCTCCTCTTCGTCGTCGTCGAGCTGGATCTGCTTGTGCTCGAAATCCGCCACGAGCCGAGGTTCGACGTCGTCCCGCAGTATCGACAGAATGTGCGTGATGCCGGCTTCCTTGATTGACCTCTGGCCCTGAAGCGCAAGTAGGGAGCCTATGTAGATTGGGTAATCGGGTATCTTGTGCATAGCCATTTTTGCGCTGGCTTTAGTGTATTTTTTGGAGGTGGGAATATGTTGATATTCCTTGCGTCGGTAGTTTTTATGGTCGTTGGGAGATGAGGTCCGCTCAATAAACTTTGCCAACCTCGAAAAGCTGATCCTGAATATTTTGATATATTGAAATGATACAAACACCACAAAACTTCCTTCATAACATTATTAGGCTCGAATAATCAAAAATATCCGACTAGAAAATAACACCAACACACGACCTTATATACATAACTGTACAGAGATTACAACCAAAAAATAAACCAAACAAAAACAAAATTACAGTTGCGAGTAGCCTGAATTATCATTTTGATTACCCGTCAACCACCGTGTCCTCGTGCTTCCTGATGAGCTGAGCTTTGCAGGTGGCAAAGGAGAGAGGGTTGACTGACTTGCTGACCGATGTACTGGTTCCTGATCCTCGTCTGGATTGGTGATTCGTAGCTTTCCCTTCCGTTTCGTGCTTACAAGCACCTGCACCTCGCGGTCCTTGAATAGCTCATACAGATCCTCGTCTTCGTCATCATTATGCGCACCGGCATGGGCGCGACCTTGCCTCTCCTGCAAACTTCGCTCTATACTTCCATGATTCATCTCTTTGATGCCCAAGCCATTCTGTAATGTACCACCGCCGCTCACCCGTCTCCTGAAGGCTCGGGAGCGACCACCGGTCAGTCCTAAGCCGCCCGCAGAGACAGACGAGGCAGTAGACGAAGTCGACCGGACAGAATGTCGAAATGATCGTATACTTTTCCGACTTATGCCGAAGATAGTTGAGGACTCCGACCGGTCAGTGTGCGAATCGGCGCTATCGCTTTCAGTAGAGCGAACCGTATTACTCCGGCCACTCGTCAAACTTGTAGACCGCTGATTTAGCCTGTCGTGTGGAGTATCGGCAAATGGAGTCGTAGCAGGTGATGGAATGCGCATCATTATGGGCTCGTCAGAGTTAACCGAGTTATTGCCAGACATGTTGGCGGCCAGAGAGTCGACACCAGCCACGATCGGATCGTTAGCATTGAATGGAACGCCTGAATATTTCTTGATCCAAGTTTGTCGCTTCTCCTCCCAAGTCGTGACACTGTTGTTATCGCTGTCGTCGAGTGGCTTCTCGTCAAATCTAGACGGGAGAAAGATTCCTTGGTCAGAATTCGGCGTCAGGGGACCCAGCGGTCGTCTGCGACGCCTGCGCTTAGCGATATAAGAGTATATTATATACGCAGTCACAAGGCCGGCAATCACTGACAGAGTAGCAATGGCAGCGACCGAGCCCCGAGAGAGGCCAGAGTGAGTTGTCACGGTCGTTGTCAAGGTTGATGTTGCAGATGCAGCAGAATCCAGGGTCTTGCCCGTTTTGAGAGTCGAGGAGGAGTAGGAGGATAGGTAGGTCCATGAGGTCGTGTTTAGCAGAACAACGTCTGGGTCGGTATCGTTCGTGATTGCCACTAGGACATTTCCAGGCAGCATTGCGGCCCCTAAGATGGAGCCTGGGAAATCGTCGATACTTGGCTCAGACCAACTCCAAGAAGACGATGTCGAGAGGCTGACTACAGCAAGATTTGGATCCGCCGCGCGACCGTCGACGTATCCGCCGATGACTACCGCGTAGTCGGCGAGATCAGAAAGAATAACGAGCGGGTTTGTCCGGCTGTCTATACTGGAGGAGTTCAAGACTGACTTGTAGGACCAGGATGAGGCTTCCCACACGGCGAGCTGCGACATGCCGATCCAGCCTTCTTCGGCTACACCACCGAAGAGGATGGCATAAGACCCGGCAGTCAGAGCTGATGCATTTGCAAGAGCTACGGGAGGATTTGTGTTGTCGACGTCGACAAAGGCAGCAGAGGTCGTGTTGTAAGCGGAGAGCGAGCTGTAGAAAGTTTCAGAGTTGGAGGTGGAAGAAGCTGAACACGAGCCGCCAAAGATGTAGACCAAGGACTCGGTGGTGAGGTCGACGAAGTAGACGGCACCCGAACTGTAGTCGGGCAGAGCATCAGACGAGTCAACAGAGATGGTGGACCAAGAATCGTCGTCGACGCTGTAGGAGGACACGCCGAGGGAGGAGTTGCACTCGCCATGGAAAGCGTAGACGGTTTTGTCGTGGCCGAGGATGACAGAGCCGTTGGAAGGCGGGGTGGACAGACGCGAGACTGATCCGGCGTCGATGTTGTCTGAGAGTGAGGCATTCGAGACGGAAGCCCCGGAGAGGGAGACGGAGAAGAAGGAAGAGTCTGCGGCCTGGAAGTAGAACGTGTCGGTGAGGTTGAAGGATGTCGACCAGGCCCGCGCCGCCGAGGGAGCGAGCGCGAGCAGGACAGCGAGGACGCGCATTAGGCGGTAGAGGCTGGAGCAGCGGGGTGAAGCAGCAGATGACGATGGCAGCTGGCTGGGTGGGCGATGAGGAGGAAGCGAGCGTTCGCTTAGACAGGTCGAGGACCGGACCGGGTAAGGCGTCGACAGAAGCCAAGAGGAAGTGTAAACAAAGGAAGGCGAGTGGGGCGCTAACCCAAAGAAGAAACTCAGCAACATTGACGTCAGACGTCGGGCTGAAACGCGAACCGGTTCTGAACCGGAATGCGAGCTGGTGCAATCGCCGCCGCTCGGCTCGCTTCGTCGCACCGTCGTCGAGCTGGCAGCCGGCTTTCTTTCTTCTGCTCCTCCTCAACTGCTTCTCACCGCCCCGTCTGCGTCTGCTCTCGCGAAGAACCTGATCAGCAGCTCTTTGTCTGCCTGTTCTTGCCTGACGATACCGTGCTGCTTTCTGCTCTGCCTGCGCTCTCCCTGCTCGCCCTTGTCATCGCCGCTATCACGCACTCGCTCATTCCCAGCCCTCTCTCAGCCCTCCTCCTCCTCTCCTCCCCCCTTCAAGCATGCACTACCTGCCTCTGCTCCCCCTCCTGCGCTCCTTCCGCAGCGAGCGCACCCCGCAGACCGACTCCTTAGGCGGAGTCGACGACGACGAAGACGACTCCGTCCCCCGCATCGTGCCTTCTCCCACCGCAGCTGCCTCCGCATCCGCCATCGCCGTTACACCTTCACCGGAGGCTCCGGCTTCCCGCCATGTTCTCTCGGCCTTTGATCTCTCACCGGTCTCTCCCAGCAGTTACGAGCCCATTGCCCGCTCAGTCATATACTACTCTTCATCCTCCTCCTCCGCCGCTTCGTCCTCGTGCTCGCTCACCGACGACACCCAGCACCTCACTATGCGCTCGCCCTCCTCCTCTTCGTCGTGTGCCCCACCCTCACCGCCCCTCCCACAGGTCGTCAAAGAGACCCACTACATCAACGTCGACTACGATCCCATTTCCGGCAGGAAAATGCTAAACACATACGAGATAATTCGCGAGCTCGGTCGGGGTCAGCACGGCAAGGTCAAGCTTGGCCGAGATCTCACTACTGGTGACTTTGTGGTACGTCGGTGTATCCCCCTCCCCTGCGCCCATCATTTCTTTTTTCCTCCCCCACTTCTTTCGCTCTCGACAGCGCTTTTGTCTTTTTTTTGCATATTTTTACACAACATTTGTCCTATGCCAATTTTACTGTACAATTTTATTGTATCAGTTTCTGTGGTGTGGGGCTTGTGTCTGTGTTCTATGTTTTTCTCTTACCTGCGCGGCCCTACTAGAAATTGATCGAAATGCTAACTTTATTATAGGCGATCAAAATTATGAACCGGACAGGCAGGCCCCGCCTGGGCCGACCAATGCGCCCGGGATCTACACAAGAAGACAAAATCAGACGCGAGATTGCTATCCTGAAAACATGCAACCACCCGCACATTGTGCGCCTGCGCGAGGTACTAGACGACTCCAACTCCAACAAGATATTTTTGGTTCTCGAGTATGTCGAGCTTGGAGAAATCAAATGGACCACCGAGGACGGCAATCCTGCGATGACTGTCGATTATGCTCGGTCAATATTTCGCGACGTTGTTCTAGGCCTCGAGTACCTGCACTACAAAGGCATCATTCACCGAGACATAAAACCAGCAAACCTTTTGATGACGAGCGAGGGCAATGCGAAGATTAGCGATTTCGGCGTCAGCTATATCTCGGGACTCTCTGGTGAGGACGACGAGCTGGAGCTTGCAAAGACTGCCGGAACTCCGGCGTTCTTTGCGCCCGAGCTGTGTTATAACGACCCTGATCTTCCGCGGCCACAGATTACAAACAAGATCGACATCTGGGCACTCGGTGTCACTCTTTTCTGTCTGATATATGGCAAATGTCCATTCACGGCAGATAACGAATTCGAGCTTTTCAATGTGATTGCCAAAGAACCGGTCGTGTTCCCTGACAATGTCGACTTACCTGACGAGGCGAAGAATCTGATTCTCAACTTGTTGGAGAAAAATCCAGACAAGCGGATGTCGATCGCCGAAATCAAAAAGAATCCTTGGGTTTTGGAAGGAATGACCGATGACAAGCGGACAGAATTTCTTTCCCAGGCTCTTCTTTCACGATGATTCTCTAGACGACATACTTGCTTGCCTCCGTACGGATTTTGGAAATAGGTCACAAAAAAGTTCTTGCTCTTGCTCTCTCATATCCTCCATTTTTGTTTTCCATACATGTTTCACGTTCGTTTTATCTATGCAATATGGCGCACACTATCGTTTTCCATTTTCTTTTTTCTATCACTATCAACTTGCATATGGGCGTTTATAAGCGGGTTTGGATGACAATCTGCAGCATCATTACGGCGTCGCTCGATCGTTCACGCTTTTGGCGATAGATACACACCACTCGAGCACGTATTTACTTATATATACATTTCATATCTTTTCCTTTTCTCTTGCTTCATGGAATCTTTTTCACTTTGCTGCTACATATTGTTCTTCTTTTTCGTTGCTTATCTTAACTTTTCTACACTTTTACCGACTATGATTTTCGATTTTCCGTTTTATGGGACACGCGTGGAGCGTATTGGGAGTCTCTTTTTATATTATCCTGTTTATTTTTGGTGGGAAAAATGATTAATGGTTGAGGGCTGTTATAATCCGGTTTTTTTCCTCTATCTTTTTTTTTTCGTGCTGATTTTTGTGTTGTTATACTATTTACTATTCTAAAGTGGTGGCTTACGACTTTAGAGGTTTCCGATTCTTTGTATCTTGTTATGTTTCTCTTTTCTTTATGTTTTAGTGTTCGATTTGCTCTTTAGAGTCGGTTGGATGTGTAAAGATATGAGAAGTCGATGTTCAAAACAAAGATAAGATTAAATATAAACAAGATGTGATATATAATACAAGGAGGTGGGTTATGTAGAGTTAGCTGCTCGTTGATACCGGGCCATGTCATCGAGCCACATGCATTCAGACTCGATATACCAAGCCGGCAACAAATCGATCGGGAATGATTTCCAATCGCTGCTTTCTTCGGCCTGCTCGTCAGGTGGAGAAGCCGGGAGGATGTCGAGTGATTGCGGAAGTCGATCAAAGTCAATCGTGACGGTCGCGCCGTTGTATGTTCTGCAGGATGAGGTACTGTCAAGGGATGATTGTGAAGCCGGGTCGGCGGCTAGGCGGAGGCGGGGGATTGAGATTTTACTGAGATCGACCATTTCTATGTAGAGCTCGTATAGGTACTGTGATCTGTCGAACGAGATTTCGCGGTATTCGTTGATGATGGAGGAGAGGGTCCAGTGCTCTAATTTGCGGAGGACTCCGATGAATGTGCATGATCTGGACGGGGGATGTTAGTGTGTGAGTAGTGGGAGGGAGAGGGGGAGAGGAAGGGAGCGTACAGGTCGATGATGAGGATTGGGTAGTTTTTGATGTTGAGGACGTAGGAGAGACTTGCTTCGGCGACTTTGTCGGGGAGGAGTTTCCATTCTTCTTCAGATATCTTCCAGGAGGGAAGTTTCATGTGTTTCTACAGAAGAATTGAGTCAGAAGGTTGAAGTCAAGGTCGAACGACAGAATTGAGAGAGCGTACGATGCTGATGTTGTTCTCTCGCGCAAAGAGGTCGACGGCAGGAGAAGGCTTCTGCTGGCCGATGGAGAGGATGGTTTTGAGCGAGAGGGTTTGCAGGAAAGGGAAATTGAGGGGGTCGATTTCGGTGCATCGGTCTGACCAGTAGAGGGAAAGAAGTTAGGAACAGGAGTAGGTAAGCAAGAATCAGAGACGGAGACGTACAGACGTCGTCCTCGACGATGCCAAAGTGTTCTGGAGGAGCGAGCATCGCGAGGGCTCTGATTCGGAAGCCTTAGCCTTAGATCGAACAAAGGCAGACAGAAAACAAATCTAAAAAGAAGACGTCGAACAGTTCTTGGCTGGGTCTGGTTTGTTACTTTGACTATGCTGATGATCCTTGATATTCCTTCTGCACTGGGCCCGCTGCTTGCCGATCAGTTTGCAGTGCAGTCGGCAGGGTCGGAGTGTCGATCGTATTCCGTTGATTTCTTAGCGTAGAGAGCTGTAGAAACCGACAAATTTCACAGAGAGTAAAAGTGCAGTGCGATGAAGGCCATGATCTCTTCCAGTTCAAGATTAGAGATTGTGGATTAAAAGCGCAATCAACAAGAGATGAACAACAGCAATCAGAATAAATAATATTCAATTTGAGATGACAAAATAAATATAGTTTAAGGTTTGAATACTGAACCGCCGAGCTGTAAGCAGCATCGGTGTTTGTACCGCAGCCGGTTGCAAATGTCTTTTTAATGAGAATCCGAGGAATTTTGTTTAATTTACTCATCTCTGCTGGCTGCCTTTATGTTTCCTGATTAGGACGCTGACTATGTGATTAGTCACTACGTAGCTAGACTGCCTCTTTGGGACTGTGCGACTTAGGGTTTCGTGTTCTCCTCGTTTTATTCCTCCCAAATTTTTTTTGAATTTTTTCTCTCTTTTCTTCTTCTTCTTCTTCAGATCTTCTCGCTCGAAGAATTGCGTTCGAAGCCTGCTGCGTGATTTCGGTCATGCGAATCTATATGCTTTGGGGAAAGTCTCCGGTCGATAAGCCAGACGGGGCAGATCAGTATGTTGTATGACTTGCGGATCTGTCTGTCAATAGCGGAAACGCACCGATTTAGCACTCGGTCGTAATTCGACCCTAACTTGGATTGCCAGTCGGGCGGTGCGTGAAGGACGAGCAGATGGTGTTTGTTAGTGCTTCGGCTTTGATGGTCGGATTATGAACACGTACTGCTTTACACGTCCGCCTGCTTCTCCTTTGGAGAGGTAGTCTGTCGGGGGTCGTTGGAGTCTGGCGATTTCAGGGTTCCGGCTTTGGTGGTCACTCGTTTGATCCCCTGGTTCTTTGTTCGACGCTGCTATCAATGCGACGGCATTTGGCAGGTCCGAAAGGATTTGTCTTGCCTGTACGCGAAATAGTTATGCAATTCTGGCACACCAAGCTCGGAGGATCGCAAGTCGATCTGAGAGCGTGCTTGAACTCAATGGAGCTTATTCTTGTAGCGAGAAGACCTCTTTTTTCACAATAGTTTGTTCTCTGGCTGTGAAGTCATTGCTGCTTCGGTTGGACTCTGAAGCTGAATGAAGTGGATGAGTTTGATAGAGGTGCGTGGTAGATCAGCGCAGAGGTTGTATAGTCACATATACCGAACTACACCTCAACTGTCTTCTGTTTCTCTTTTCTCTTTTCTTTTTCTTTATATACACTCTTACTTTGTCAACGATGTTGACGTGAGAATCGGGGCTTGAGCAGCGGACAGAGAGCAGGTGCTTCCAAATGATGAAATATAAAACATAGAGTCAAGCTCAGAGGCGAGTTTATCTCCCACAGACGACAATCGTTTTAAAACTTTTCTGATCCAGCACCTGCACGCTGCCCAAGCTGATTCTTGCGCTTTTGTTATTACTCTTGTTTTTGTTCTTAATTGAAGATTTTTAGTTTACAATGTTTACAATGAATAAGATTGTAGTTTTGTTCTAACCAATCAGCGTTGTCCTGAAGAGCTGAGTTTAGGGCGGCCGCCGCACAGGATGCGGAGATACGGAGATTAAACAGTAATGATTTTCCCGAAGATGTTGAATAAGAAAGAAAGATGCAGGATGTATGTTATAGATATAGATATAGAGCAGAGTATTAGTGCAATAGTACTGGGAAGCATTGAGCAGCACCAACAAGAACAGCAGCATAAACAGTAAACAACGTCAACGTCAACACCAACAGCAATCGGTGTTCTTCCTAATCAGAGTCTGTCGGGATTGTCTGGCAGACGGAAGTGGGATTCCGGCCGCGTGCACTGCTTACATAACCATTCTTTCAGTCTGGCTGGAAAACACCAGAAGATTACAAGACCGTCAGATGACTCAATTAAAAGAAGATTCAGTGTGTTATTGCTCTTCTTTCTCTTCTTTACTCAGCATTCAGTGCTCAGCAGCTGGGGATGGGCGGACGCGGAGGTGGGGATACCAAGCAGTTCGGAAGACTGGCGGCATAAAAGTAAAGATATACTGATCGTTATGCCACAACAGTGTAAATTACCTGCACTCGGATCCAGCCAACCAACGTGCGCGACTCAAACTGCCGCTCGCCGTCGCTTTTCTTCGGCCGCACCGCTTCTTCTTCTCATCTTCTTCTCTGTCCCGTTCAGTTTCCTCTCTCGTTCTACTCGCGATAAAAACAATGCTGTTCCCTTCCGTTGACACCATCAACTCTGCCTTCAAGGCCCCCGTCGAGGCTCCTTCCAAGTCGAAGTCCTTCTTCGTCAATGCCGCCGCCCCCTCCGTCGGCAAGATCGAGCTCTACTCCCCCGAGTACTACTACACCTGCACCCTCGGTGGTATCCTTGGTATGTCTTTTCTTCCTTTGCTTTCTACTTCTGCTTCTTGCTTGTCATTCATCCAATTGAGCATTCATTGACTCTTTCTCTAGCCTGTGGTCCTACTCACTCTGCCGTCACTCCTCTTGACTTGGTCAAGGTATGCATCCCCGAACTTTTTCGTTATCAACCCACCTCAGAGATTTTCTCTGCGACTCTCCTCTCTCCTCTCTATAAAACACACACTAACTCTCTCTTCCCCTCCAGTGCCGAAGACAGGTGAACCCTGCCCTCTACAAGAGCAACGTCCAGGCCTGGAGCTCCATCATCAAGTCCGAGGGATTCGGTGGTATCTTCACCGGTCTCGGTGCCACCTTCATCGGTTACTCCTTCCAGGGTGCCGGTAAGTACGGCTTCTACGAGCTCTTCAAGAAGAAATACGCCGACGTCGTTGGCGAGGAGATTGCCAGCAAGTACAACACTCTCGTCTACCTTGCTGCCTCTGCCTCCGCTGAGATCATCGCCGATGTCTTGCTCTGCCCCTGGGAGGCCATCAAAGTCCGCACCCAGACTACCATCCCTCCCTTTGCCTCCTCCGTCTTCGATGGATACCGCAAGATCACCGCCGCCGAGGGCTTCGGAGGTCTCTACAAGGGTCTCTCTCCCCTGTGGGCCCGCCAGATCCCCTACACCATGGTCAAGTTCGCATCGTTCGAGAAGACCGTCGAGGCTATCTACAAGACCCTTCCTGGTGAGAAGGCCGACTACTCTCTCCTTGCTCAGACCGGTGTCTCCTTCCTCGGAGGTTACATTGCCGGTGTCTTCTGCGCTGTTGTCTCCCACCCCGCTGATGTCATGGTCTCCAAGATCAACGCTGAGAAGCTTCCTGGTGAGTCTATGGGCGCTGCCGTCGGCCGTATCTACGCCAAGATTGGCTTCGGTGGTCTCTGGAACGGTCTCCCCGTCCGTATTGTCATGATCGGAACCTTGACCGGTCTCCAGTGGCTCATCTACGACTCCTTCAAGGCTTTCGTCGGTCTCCCCACCACCGGAAGCAAGAAATAAGCGCATTTAGATTTATGTATTATCTAATATCATAGTCGACCGTGCTTGTTTGTAGTTTAAATATATACACTTTATAATTTTTTTTCTATTCTATTCATGTTAATCTTCTGATATGTACCTTTTGTGGGTGATTTTTCTTTTTTTTGGTTTTCTTTAATGAACTCCGGTAGATTTGTACGCATCATGCGCAACACATTAAAGAATTGATGAGTATGAAACAAGTTTAGAGCAATAGTGTGTTTACAATAAGCCAATTCATTTCAGTTCTGAATGGCAGCTTATTGAGTAATGACTAATATCTGAAGGAGAAATGTCCTGCTTGTTGAATAGTTCAGAGAATGATATACTACATAGACTACACTATCACGTTCTCTATGCTCTTTACTGCTTTGCTTTTCAATAATTGCTTTTCAATAAATGCGCGTGGATGATACGGCTGCTGTTGACTACGAATCAGTCTGAGCTGTTGGTAATTTGTTTAATTACATGACGACGTTTGGACAAAAGAGCCGGCAGAGTCCAACAGTCGTAATTCCACTTTTAGCACTTTTTTCTACAAACTGTAATTAACAACAATTATCGTAATCTATCTACACTTGATAAACTACTTCAGGAATAAATCCCTGCAAGCATCATCGTGCGCTGTTGTTGGTCTTCCTGCGCCCCGCATTTCGACTCATCTGTCTCCTTCCGCTCTCCCATTCCCACCATTCGCCACCGCTGGCAACAACACACTCCTCCTCCAGCATTTCCTGACCATCTTCTTTGCTCGTGTGCATAGCAGGCCGACCGTATCTTCACCTCCGTCCAATTATCGTGCAGAACAACTCCTCTCCGAAGTTCTGGTGAGAACAAACCAGCCGAACAGCAAAGCCCCGGGCCGTCTACCGACCGACGACTGCTTGGGAGTTTAAACACCAAACTCAACAACCGGCTCTCCCCCTCCACCGCTCATCGTCTTCAACACCCCCTACTATTTCCCTCGATAATCCGCATCTGCGCGTGTCGCATTCTTCCGTTTTTAGATCTCTATCTTTCCTGAACCATCCCGAAGAAATGTCGCGCGTCCAGCCGTCATCGTCGCCGTCGTCGTCCTTCGGTGGTCGGAGACTACGAAGGCGGGTCGACAACCGCAACGCCAGGTTCAAACGCGTTCTCTTATCCATGCTCGACGAGTCCTCGGACGAGGACTGCTACTTTGCGCGTGCGGCCGCTTTGTCTGCGGTTTCTTTGCTCGAATCAAGTACTCTCAGATCCGGCGCGGACGATTTGGCCTACATTCCTCGCAATTCTACACTTTACGAGAAACTGATCGAGGACGCTCTTTCGCGCAGGAGCGATACCGTTTCCAAAACTCCCTCGTCTTCCTCTTCGTTCTCCTTTACGTTCTCAGCATCTTCTCTCAGAGGAGAAACCTCCGCCGACCTAGATCGCTCTACCACAACTGGCAACGACAGCTTCAACGCCGCGATCGAGTTCCTCAGCGACCTTCCGAATTTCCGCGCCGGCCCTCCGAGCTCGACAATCGCCGACGACGGCAGCTCAATGGGCGTCGCAGAGTACCTCTCCGAAGACTTTCTGTCTTCCCACGAGCTGCTCGACGAGGATCTCGACGACCAGATTGTGGCGAATCCGTACTTTGAATCGATGCCGCCGCTCTCACGCGTACCCCATGCACGAGCGATCTCGCTTCTGCCTGAAGATATCTGTGGTTTGTATCTCCCTGTTTGATCCCTTTACTGCTTTGGTGCTGACAGTATCAATACTCTCCAGATTTCTTTGAACAAGACCCCGAATTCCTCGAATTCATGACCGACATGCTCAGGAACGGTCTCATCACTGCCGCAGACTACGAGCGAATATGTGCGATGGCGAATCCGCCAGAGATATCCAGAGATGATCTCCCAAGCAAGTTCAACTACCAAGCAATACCATGGCCGGAAGGCGTCGAAGTCGTTGACCGGGCGCGGCGGAGGCGGCTCTCTACCTATCTCAGTTATGCGAATATGTCGGATTCGAGAGCAAATGATGCAGACGTATGACTTGCAGAAACCATTTATTTTATGCTTTCCTGCTCGCAGCTAACAGGTGTGCGTGTAGATCGTGAACAGGCCATATACGAACGAAGACATAGTCCGATTCCAGCGGATGTACACGCAAGCGCGTCCACAGTTGACGCATTTCCAGCTCCGCAATCTAATAGCCCCGGTGACGAAGAACAACGTGTTTTACTCTGACGTCTGGACGGTGAAAAAGCTAGATGCTGATACCGGCCAGATTTCGGAAGTAATGAACAGAGCTGTAAGTTGAGAGAGATAATCAGAGTGAGAATTTCTGATTTGCTAATGCGATGTAGAACGCGAAAACTGGGACGGGTCAGTGCATCAAGATCTCGACAATATCGGCGAGCAAAGATGCTGTAGTCGCAGGCGGATATAGTGGCCAATACATGTACAAAAGCCTCAACACTTCTAGCGACTCCACCGTTCCGACAGCCGAGGGCATCGTGACCACCGACATCAACAACATCACAAACCATGCCGACATCACGCGCTGCCTCACCAAAGGAACTCCCCAGACCGCGTTTTCGTGCAATGACTCGATGGTGCGCATCCTCGATCTCGATCTGAACCAGCTGGTTGCCGAACATCCGTGTCCGTGGGCCGTGAACTGGACCGCGACCTCGCCATGCGGCAAGCTCAGAGTCGTTGTCGGTGACTCAACAGACACGCTCATTATGGACGCCGAATCCGGTGGCGTGATTGCTTCCGTAGGCGGGCACAAAGATTTCAGCTTTTCGTGCGCGTGGAGTAACGACGGCCACACCGTCGCGACCGGCAATCAAGATCTAACCTGCCGGATCTACGACTTTCGGAAATACGACCAACCTCTGCACGTCCTCGGCGCGCAAATGGGCGCCATCCGCTCCGTCAAGTTCAACAAAACCGGTAACCTGCTCGCCATGGCCGAGCCAGTCGACTACGTGCACCTGCTCAACACCCGCAACTTTGACCGCGGCCAGATCATTGACTTTTGGGGCGAGATCGCGGGCATCGGGTTCTCGTCGTACGCGGACTTGCACGCCGACGACTCGCTCTGGATCGGAAATAGCGATAGCACTGTTGGCGGCTTGATGCATTTCGAGAGTGGTCGCGGGTCTGCGCTTGCTGATCCGCTCGGCGACTTTTTCATTTGAAGGTGGGTGTCTGTTAGGCTGTTGTTGGATGTCGTGTTTTTGTCAAATATTTTTCCTCTCTTCTGTGTCTATATCTCTATTCAAGCGTCGTGTTTTGCGCGCATTTTGGGTTTCTGTTTGGTTCTGGTATGGTATACTTGGAGTACTATTTTTATGTAAATTTCGGTTTTTATTTGTGGGCAATTTGATATCAAATCTACAGGGTTAATTTAGCGTGAAGTTCAGGTGTCTTTGTTTTTGTTTTCATACTTGCTTTAATAATGCTTTCCTACTTGCTTTAATAACTTGTTTTTAATGGGGTTTCTTCGGTATATACTGGCTATTGGCGGGTTACTCTAGTTCTAATTAGCTGATGTGAATAGCTGTCGCTGTACGTGCGATCAAATCGAGGCGAACAGTAATACAGCACTACAAATCAAGAATTGTTGATAACTTTTGCTGGCTATATTACAATCTAAACAAACTCTTAACCACTCTAATTCTCAATCATTAAACTGTCGTATCCGTCCAAAACCTCCTTCTCCTGAATCAAGTACTGCAAAAGATACATATTCTCATCCGACACCTTCACAATCTCCTTCTGCACCCTCCCGACCACCTTCTGCACCGCCCTGATCTCAGCCGCGAACTCGATCCTGTGCGATTTCAGAAACAAGCCGTGCGAGGTCAGCAGCGCGTCGATCCAGCGCAGGTAAAACTCGACGTGCGGCGAGTCCTCCATCGTCGTGGCCACGAACCGCAGCAGCTGCGCGAGATACACGACCGGCACGCGGCGGGCGACGATCGAGATGTCGCGCGCCGCAACGGACTCGACGATTTGGTGGATCAGGTACTGCTCGTTGAGCCGGAAGGCCATCACCAGCGCCTTGAGGTAGTCGTGCTCCTTTCTGAGCGCGGCAAGCGCGGCAGCGGGCGTCACGTCGACGTCCAGGTCAAAGGGGTCAAAGTAGAACTCGTCGTCGACAGAGTATATCAGCAAGCCCTCGGTCGATGACGCAGCGAACGAGCGGCCCGTGGGCGCGAACCGGATCGACGTCGTGCGAATCGCAGGCCGCGTCTTGCGCGCGGCCAGGTCGCCGCGCGACGCGCCGGGAAGAGTTTTATCGATGCGGTCTTCGAGATCCGAGTTTTCGCCGTCGACGTCAATCATCGCGAGCGGACCGGCCTCGGTCATGTTTTTGCTGTTGAGGAAGTCGAGCGTGCCTTCGAGGCTCATGTTGCGCGAGATTGTATATTTCCGCAGCAGCACCTCGTTGTCGATATCGTACAGGCAGATGTACTTGCTATTGCCGCCCGCGAGCAGACAGCTCCCGTCAGAGTTGTAGCTCAGCGTGCGGAAACTCTTTGACCGCGCCGAGTTCTTGGCCGAGAACCTGTCCTCGGTGTAGCGCCCGCCAGAGACGTCGTTTCGGCCGTCAATCAGACCGACCTGTTTGCCCAGTCCGACGTCCCAGATCGAGATCTGGCCGTCGAGAGTCGCGACCGCGACCTGCTTCGAATCAGGCCGAAGCGTGATTGCGAGCACGTCGGATTGCTGCTCGAACGGCTCGACCGAGCCGTGACGGCTGAAAATGTCCCAGATGCGGACCGTGCGGTCCCAGCTCGCGCTCGCGAGCGTGCTGCCGTCTTCAGCGAAGGACAGGCACGACACAGGACCTTCGTGGCCCGCGAGTCGGTCGAGCAGCTGGCCGGTCTGGACGGACCACAGGTGGACCTCAAAGTCGTCGAGCGAGCCCGCGCAGACGATCTCGCCGCTGGGATCGACGGCGAGGCACGAGAACTGGATGCGCTGCGGCGCGGTGAAGGTGCGGAAGTTGCGGTAGCGGATGAGGTCCCAGGCGCGGATCGAGCCGTCGAGCGAGGACGAGAACAAGACGCTGTTGCTTCCGCGCTTGGAGAACTCGAGCGCGGTGACGGCCGAGCTGTGCTCTGTGAAGGTGACGAGCGCGAAGCCCGAGGTCGCGTCCCAGACTTTGATCTTGCCGTCGTCCGCGCCGGTGATGATTTTGCTTCCGTCGGGGGAGTAGACGAGGCAGTTGATTGCGTCGTAGTGGCCCTGCTGCTTGAGGATGTACGACTCTGACTGCCACTCCCACACCAGCAGCTGTCCGAGTTTCGCGGCGCCGAACGCGAGCCATTCGCCTGTTTTGTTTATCGTCACGAAATCGATGTCGTGCTGCGATATGCTGAGCTGGTGGATCATGTTGAACTCTGGCAGCTCGTGGATCATAAACATGCCGCTCGAGAAGCCGACGACGAGCATGTTTGTGTCGGGGTGGAAGGCGGCGCACCGCAGCTTGGCTTCCTGGTGGAAGTAGTCGCGCTTGGTGATTGTCCAGCGCATCAGCGACTCGTCGAGGTCCATCTCGGAGTCGGAGTCGTCGTCTTGTTTGAACCCTGGGATCTGGTATTTCCAGGTGAACAGAGCACCGTCCCTGCTAACAGTATAGATCTACACTTGTTAATATTCTCCCCATATTCAGAAAAAGAAAAATAAAATTGTCGGCTAACTTACAGTCTCCTGGTCGGCGCTAAAGTACGCTCCAACGACGACATCCTTGTGCCCGGCCAACACGGTAGCCGCGACGGCATCCTCCGACAACACAGAGTACACCCTACTCGTCAAATCCTTTGACGTGGTAAGGAAAAACCTCCCATCTCTAGACCAGGTCAGCGAGGTGATGTCGCCGTGGTGGCCAGTGTACACGCGATGTCGGATGAACGGCGCAAACTGGCGGTCTTGTCTGTAGTCGGGCGTGCGCCAGAGCTCGATGTGGCCGGGCGTCGTGACTGAGATGTATTTCCCGTCGGGCGAGAACTGGAGATCGGTGACTTTGTTTTTGAAGTTGAAGTGGTGCAGCACCGTTCGTCGGACGTAGTTTACGAGAATTCCGCGGCCGTCTGGGGGATGTAGTTAGTATTTGAGAGTGCCTTTTTTTCTCTAGTTGGATCTCATCTCGTACCTTCGTCGACCGAGAGAAGAAGCGTTGACTGCGGACTTAACGCGACCCTGGCAATATTCTTGCGATGCTCATAGCTGAATGTGAATGATTTATTACTGTATAGAATGAGTTAGAATGCTTCTCCAATCAACCAAGCCAATCTCAGAGAATCAACTCACTTCACCAAGTCAAAACAACTGACTCTGTTACCAACCGGACTGAGAATACTAGTTCCGTCAGGCGTAAACACCAGGTTTCCCTGTCGATACACTGTTCCCAGCAAATTCGAAAACTAAACCACCAGAGAAAAAGAAATTCGATATCAGCCAACCGTTCTTGAATCGCTTGAGCTGATGATGCAGCTGCGACGGAGAAAAGAAGGAAATAACCGACGACGTACCTTGAATTCAGTCTTCATCGTGCCTGTGTAGTCTTAACCAGCGCCTATATCGAATGTATATACACAAGCTATATACTTCTACCAGCACGAATCTGGATCCAAGAAGTAGTATGCCCTGATTATTTTTCTTCTTCGAGAGGAAGAAAGTAAAGTTTGAATATTTTTTTGGTGGACGCAGAACTCCCAACGCCTGTCTTTTCTGTACTGAGCAGAGCAGAGCAGAGCAAGCAAAAAGCGCCGCGCGCGCAAGTCATCGCAAACACTCGGGAAAGAAAAACTTGTTCCCTCAGCTTGTTTGTCAGGATACTGCATTAGAAGTAGGAGAGATACAGGATCCGAAATGTCAATACGAAGAGGGCAACAGCTCAAGGAGCCTACGAAGATGAGCACGGGCTCGCCTGCGGCCGACAAAGGCCTGTCGTCCAAGTTACTCACGATGAAGGTACGTCGTGATTGATTCCCCCTGCTAGGATGACGAAGCAGCATACTGACGGATTGATAGTTTATGAGACAAGCAGCTACGAAGGAGCAAATTGCGGAGGCGGAGAAAGAGCAGCGGCGCGCGGACGATGCGTCGAAGTGGACTCTGGAGCCGCCGGCGGATGAGCAGGCGAACAAGGCTGCAGAGAGTAACGTTACCGTTAGCGGCAGCAGCAGTCCGTCGACTGACCGGCAGATCACGATTGGGCAGAGTAAAGTGCGGATATTACAAGGGATCGGGTTTCAGGTTATCGATGCGCATGAGGTGGAGGAGGGGAGTAGTACGCCTACAGGGCGGAAAAGCTGGGGCAAGTTTAATACGGTAAGTCAGACAGACTGGTTTAGAGATGAAGGCGGGTTTGAGAAGTGGAGTACTGACGCGATCAATTACTAGCAATTCGACGAACTAGCTGAAGCCGACTCGGACGACAGCGACGGGGAGGAGGAAGAAGAAGTCGACGAGGAGGAAGCGAAGCGGAGACGGATACAGACCGAGCGCGACGAGGAGAACATGATGAAGAGCGCGAGAAAGAAGCAGGGCATATCTGGCGCTGGAGGAGGAGGAGGTGGTGGTGGTGGGGGAAGCAAAGGCGGCAAGAAGGACTCGAAAAAGAGACAGGCGGGACAGAAGGGGAAGAAAGAGAGTAAGAAGCAAAAGCGGTGAGATGAATGTGAGATTGTCTATTAGCTACATACAGCCAAATGTCGCATGCAAACGGTACAAAACTATGCCAAAAAATAAAGAAACCATCCAATGCCTTAAACTATATATACAAAAATCGATGCCAAACGTAAAAAGAGCACAGCAGTCACTTCTTCTTTGACTTTCCTCCTTTCTTTTTGTCTTTCTCATTAGGCGCGTCATTCACAAAGCCACCGCGAACAAGCGCATCTCTGGCCGCGTTATTAATATGCTTGAATCTGTACACATCAATCTGTCAGCTTCAATGCTTTGTTTGAGATCCGTGTCACGTAAAGATATACCTGTCTGGGCCGATATGGGTTCCGCCAAACCACCGCGAGACAACGACCATCACGTTCCATTGATCCTAAACATGTTAGAGCTGGGGTGTATAGTAGGAATCCAAAAAGCGTACCATGAGCTGCGAGGAGATGTTAGAGACAGACAGTCAAGATACGACACAAGAGTTTGACTTACTGTTAATAAATGTAGTATTCTGTATGGAGGCAATAGCAGCTCAAGTTAGTCAATCGATACCATTTCTCAAGAGAATAGTCACTCACCTGCCGCCCGCGGCTGATTCTCCGTCGTCATCACAGTCTATAGTAGTCATATATAAGCAATCGCACAGACAAGCCATCAACTTAACCTGACTCACCTTGAATAGTAGCGTTCCCGTTCGCGGGCTTTATCCGCCACGCCGTCATATTATGGCTTGCCTTTTGTATCTTCTTATTGGTCTTGAGCACGGCCAGCTTCGCCTTTGCCTCCTCTGTCGAATGCACCTCGATCGCACGCCCGACGAACGTAGACTTGCGGTCGACGATCGGATCCGAGATCCCCCAGTCGAGCTCGGCGTCGTCGCCGCTGTAGTCGTCGCCGCTGCTCGGGTAGTCCCCATGATGTCTCTCACTACTCAGCGCGTGCAGGCGACCGAGCGCGTCGTCTGCCCGGCGTTTTCTCTGTTGATATGAGTCTTGGTCAACATACAGTCGCTCGCTGAGTTCGTCTAAAAAGTTAAACACGCACACTTCGCCGGGATGAAAGCATGCGTGCAGCACCTCGTTGAACAGAGCAGTGTCCACATTGCGTCGCCGTTGGTCCGCGTCGGATGGGTCGACTAGGTAGATGAATGGCTCGAGATCCGGCGGCGTGCACTCGAACGAGAGCAAGGTCGGGGGCGCGCTGGACGGGTAGGCGGCCGGAAACGAGATTTGCAACGAAAGCTCGGGGTGCGAAGCGGGACGGACGAGGTAGATATTTGAAGCCTGCTGGACCATGCATTCTTCGTAGATTGTATTGATTGAAAAAACCTCTTCCTCAAGTTCTTCCCGCATGACTTTGACTGCAAGTTTCAGCCTGCTTCCTTCTGCGCTTTCAGACTGATCAGATCCGAGTTGATTATCGTAAAACTACTTCTCGAGCACAGCCGTTGACGTCAATTTTCTGCTCGCCGCTTCTGCATTCGGATATAAGAGGTCACGTGTTGACGTCGAACACAAATTTTGGCCACAGCTCATCGCCCTCATCGCGCGCGGATTACTCACTTCCGGACGAAATAGTCACAAATAAAGGTATCGGCTCTCCCCGCATTCGACGAGCACACGTACACGGACCTACGCGCATTAGGAGCTTGCTTTTGATACATGGAACTATATAGGTCTTATTTGGTAGTGTTTAGTTGAGGTGAGCGCTGGTTCATACTATTTATGTATTAGGGGGTAGAGCTGATTTCGGAATTACTCCAGAGGAGAATCAACAAGTATGGCAGACATATTCACATACAAGGATGCGGCAGCATCTCTGCTGTCGCCATTCACGCTGCACCCGAATCCGCCGACCTGCTACACGAACGGCTGCGGTATCGCTCCCGAGACCGACTCGCACGGCGCGATCGAGTACAAGCTGCACATGGTGAACCCGTCGCCTTCGCGGCTGGCGCAGTTAACCACCCAGCTGCAGTGGCGACTCACGCAGGGCCAGGGCCAGGCGATTTACGAGATTGGTGTGTCGGACGACGGGACCCTTGTCGGGCTCTTGGATCCGGAGATTTACGCGTCGCTGCACACGCTCAAGCGGATGGCGGGCGCGGTGGAGGCGTGGTTCAAGGTCGTGCGGGTGATCCCGATTCACGCGCGCGAGGCCGTCGACTCGCCTACTGCGCGGACGCGACGACGCGTTGTTGAGGTTCACGTGTTCAAGATCGCACCGGAGAAGGACGTGGTCAGAGTGTTTTTCATTGGCGGGTCAAATACCGGCAAGTCGTCGCTGCTGGGCAAGATATGCTACGACACGCACGATAACGGGCGCGGGAAGGCGCGGATGAAGGTGCTCAAGCACAGGCATGAGCTTGCGTCGGGAAAGACTTCGAGTATCGGAATCGACGTGTTTGGGTATAACCCCGCGCCGAGGTTTGCCAATCCGCGGCCGTCGGTCGGTAGTCTGGATTCGGTCAGCAGCTGCGACAGCGTATTCACCTCTGACGGCGAAGAATATAACGGAGAAGATGAAGAGGAGGAGGGGGATGCCTACTCTGGTGACGGCTGCAGAGACATCGATGCCGTTAGCAGGCAGCAGTGCGTCGTGATTTCAAACTACGGCAACAAGTACACGCACGAGGAGATTGTCGCGTCTTCTCAGCGAGTGGTGATGACGTTCGACACTCCAGGGACGTGCGGGAAGCTGGGTCTTCTGTGCCGAAGTATGGCTCTGTACTCGCCCGAGGTGACTGTTGTGACGGTCTCTGGCGGCGGCGGTAGTTCTCGATGGGTGGAGTACCTCGAGCTGGCATTGCGCACGACCGGTCGCGTGGCGGTCCTGCTCACTAAATGCGACACTTTTATCAACACCGAGCAGCTGAAGCTGACTTTGCACGAGATCCTGCTGAAGATTGCAGCGTTCAAGCGAAGCAGGTACGACGACGGCAACGTCGAGTGCGTGCCGGAGGAGGACGAAGACAGCGGTAAGAGGCTGTACGGAAAGATGGTGAACTCTACAGACACGGCGATAGAGTGCGCGTTGAATGACTGCTGCGTGCCGGTGTTTTTAATATCTGCAGTGTCTGGCACGGGAGTAACATTCCTGCACGAGTTTCTGAACGCTGTGAAAGTGCCAAGTCGGATAAACCCAGCAGCAGCAGCAGACGGCGGCGGCACTCTACGTGAGGCGGAGGAGGACGTGTACGCTAGTACTCAGGAGGCGGAGAAGGAGCCAGACGCGAGCGTATTTTTTGAGACAGCTGCGGCCGAGATCGCCTACGATCATCTGCTGCACCACACAAGCAGCTGCAACTGCACGTCGAGCGTGGAAGCCGCCGCGCGGGCGTCGTCTGCGGCGGCGGCGCCTGCGACCGTGAATGGTGGTCTGAATGGGGCCGAGGAGGACGAGAAGTTGAATTTTTTCGTGACGTCGGTGTATGACAGCGGCCGCATTCTTACGGGCGTGGTGAGAAGCGGAACGCTGAAGCTCGGGAGGACATACTATCTTGGGGTCGCGAGCTCGTCGTTGGGCGGCGGAGTTGTGTCATCGTCGGATGAGTCTGAGGGCAGCAGCGGCGGCAGCGCGAGCGGGCGGAGCGGTGGCCGGCGGCTGGTACGGATTATAGTACGAAGTATGCAGAAATTGCGGGTACCGTGTTTGCAACTACGAGAAGGGGAGATAGGGAGTATAGGGATTGAGATTGTGGGAGCGTCGTCTATGGCGACGACGGCGCTGCTGGAGTGTGGGTTCCGGGTGCGGAAGCACATGTCTGTTGTATCCGCACAAGCAGCTGCGGCGGGGGCGGCGATGAACGGGATTGAGCTGGAGCTGAGCGGACAGCAGGAGCGGGCGAGCAGGCTGAAGGCCGGGGACACGGTAGTGATCTACAACGGATTTGAGCGGACGGGGGAGGTAGTTGTGGCTGGAGGCGAGGAAGGAGAGGAAGAAGACGGAAGACGAGGCCGAGGGGGGGTTGTTGTCCGTCTGTACGGGTCGCGGGGGGAGTATGTGTCCGAGGGCCAGCGGGTGATTGTGGATGTATTTGGCGAGAAGGTGATGGGGCGGGTTGTGCGGGGCGTTAGAACGTGAGGACGGCATGTCAAAATGTGGGTTTTTATAAGGGCGTTTTTGATTGCTCGCTTGTCTGGATTGAGGTAGTTTTCCGCAAAAGAAGAGTAAAAACTATTGATGGTTTTGGTAGATTGCAGGCGGGATAGGGAATAGTACGGCTGTTTAACTCCAGGAGGAGGAGGAAGAAGCCACGGGAGCCGAGGACAGATTGAAGTAGCCGCACGTCAGGGAAGGAGCGCGAGCGGATCGCGATGTGCGTTTACGTACGCAGGTGCTGTCTACACCAGAGCAGGCAAGCTAGTTTGCGTATTTTTAAATAACAAAAGACAAACAAAGAACATCATCAAAACAACGACAACAACAAGAACAAGAAGAAGAACAACACCAACAAATGCAAAAGGGGCAAGGCTGGCGTGGGGCTGGTGGACTGGCGCAGCCGCACGGACGAGAAAGAGGATGTGGCTGGGCAGCCAACCAGCCTCCGGCCGAAAATAGGAGCCTGGGCAGAGATCTTTCTATAAATCAATCACCGCATCCGCTTTCTCTCTGCTGCTGTCTGCTTCCTGCTCTTCGTCGCTCTTTTCTGCTTCTTGTTCTTTCAGTTACTATCTCTACTCTCTTTCTATCTGCTCGCAGAGTAGATCGCTGTCTCTTCTACCTACGCGTTCCTCGCTCGTGGATTTCCTGCACGGCTTCGCGTCGCGTCGAGATAAACTCAACTTCCATTCCTCGCCATTCGTTCCTGGATCCCCCTTCGCGTCGCCTTCTTTCCAACGCTTTCCGGCCTTCTTTTTCTCTCTTTCCCCCCTGATTACATCGTTATCTGTCGTTCCACCCGCCCGGTTCAGATTGCAGTCTAATTAATCAAATAATACATAATGCCCTCTGATTGCTGCGGCCTCAGGCGCTCTTCCTCGCGCACTCTCAACTGCCGCTCTTCCTCCGCCAACCGCGCCGCCAAACCGTCAACGAATTTCTCGCGCCCTCGATCAGCGGGTGCTACTGGACTGCCCAAGCTGCAGCCTGCCGATATTCTGGAGGGGTGCGCGATGCACCTCGCCGCGATTTTTTGCGATCGCACAGGACTCTCGCACTCGCACATTAGTACCGTCCTGCGCTCTGCAAACCTCTCGCTCACCGTCATTGCCGGATCCGCCTGTCTTCTTCCCCGTCTCAACCGTATGTGGTCTATTTCCTCTTCTGTTCTTTTTTTATGGGATACAATTTACTGACTGAACTGCAGAAAAATTCTATGCGCGTCTACGAAAATCACTGGGATGCTCGCGCTCGCGCGCGGGCTACATCTCTCTCCTGGCAGCGCTCGACATTGCCTCGAAATTCCTCGACGATGACGCTGCGCGTATCCCCTCATTCTCAGCCACTTTGCGTGCCTCAGCCGAGCTTGGCGACGACTGCAGCAGCTGCGACGAGGACGGTGACGCGACCGAGTCTGCGTTCGTGAGCCCGCGCGACTTGGCTGACGCGCAGGTGATGATGCTCTTTTCGCTTGGGTTTGATCTGCATACACTCCTGACGTCTGCTGCGGTCGAGCGTACGATCGGGGAGTTTGAAGGGTGCGCAAAGCTGCTCAGCTTCATTCGTCCGTCAGCTGCACCCGCAACAGCAGCAGCAGCGGCAGTGGTAGCGCTCGAATCTGTGGCGCAGGACGGCAAGGGACCTGCGTACGGAAGCGCGGTGCTGAACGCGCCATATGCGATCGACGAGGAAGAGGAGGATATCATATATACGCATTACATCGACGGCTACTCTTCCGAGGAGGACTACGACGAGTTTGACGAGGAGGACTCTGCCGATCTGACGAGCGAGTGCGACAGCGCATCGACCAGCGGCAGCCCCAAGGTGGGCAGCAGCAACGAGACCGGCAGCGGCAGCGGCAGCGTATGCAAGGAGCCGTCGAGCATACAGCGAAAACGGCTGTGGTCAGCAGCGGCCTCACCGCCCGCGGCGTCTGCTGTCGCGGCGTGATTCTTTTCTTTTGCTGCATTGTTTCAATTCTATTACACCGGGCGTTTATGAGCATGTGAAGTCAGCACTGTTTTCGTACTCAGCAGCATCGCGTACATTGGCCCCGTTGGCGCCAAAATAATGTGGATGATGTAATTATTGGTTTAAAGTTTTCGGCTTGGCTCACTCTGAAATTTTCTTTTATTTTTGGTTTTTTGCCCAGCCGCATTGGAGTTTGTGAGTGCGTCTGCACCAGGATCGGATTGGATTATCAAGCTATGTTTAGAACAAAAGCTGTTCTTTCTTTGGTTTTGTCTTTTGTCTTTTGTTGTTTGATTATTGCTCATATCCTGCTGGTTTTGTATTGCTGCATTATTGTCTTATTACCTCCGTTTTTCACGTGGTCTCTAAAAGCACTTTGCTAATTGTAATTAATTAATCAGATAATCTCATCTCTCATTACAGAAACACATAAACAAACACAAATACTCTCAATGAATATTTCTCTTCCTGTACCAACCAACTCCCTGCATTCCATTCACATCCCCTTCATATTTCCCTCCTGGCCTAAGCTCCCTCAGCCCTCTCTCCCTGCGCCAACTTGTCATCGTGCAGCGTGCCACCCAACCTAATCCCCCTCCAAACTCTCTCTCGTTCCTTTTTTTCTCTTCTCTTGGCCGTCCGTGCCGCACATCAGAGGCATTCCTCCCCGGCCGCCGTTGCCGCCGTCGCCGACCAGTCTTCTTCCGTGCCTGCTCCTCCCGCGTCTTCCTTCTATTTTCGTCGGTCCCTTTTTTTTTTTTTGCTTCCCGCCGTTCCAATTCCAACTCTGCGGGTAAGGGCTTTGGCTGCGGCGCCGGCTCCCTGCATATGCTCTTCCGGTGGGTGCCGAGGCCGGACAAGGTTATCTCTCTGTCTGTCTGTGTCTACACAGCTGTGATGTGACTGCTCAATTCGCCACTGTTTTGCAGAAAAAGCCGGATTTGAAATAGTTACGGTTGACTTAAAGGATATAACTTCATATTGAACAAACCACACCGGCGACAAACTAGTGTATATAGAAAAATTTACAATCGACACCCTTGGCCTCCAATCTTTTGTTTCTAGTAGTAATAATAATATAGCAGATTTTTAAGACACTTAACCCAAAACCTTCAAATCACCAGCCTCGATCTCGGCCCGCGTCCACACCTTATCGCTGGGAAGACCCATCGAGAACAGGTACTTGACCGAGGAATCCCACTCCTCCTGCTTGCGCTCCTCGCTCCACTTGAGCTCCTCCGCCATGATATCAATCACGACCGGTAAACTCTCGAGCGCGGCCTTGCTGTTCAAGAACGCGAGACGCATGCGCCGCGAAACCACGTCCTCGACCGTGCGCGCGAGCTCGTTGCGCACAGCGTAGCGCACCTCGCCGTCGACGAACGGGTAGTAGTTCGCCAACCGCACGCCCTTGGCCGGCCAGCGGTGGCCGGTCTCGGAGCACAGCGCGAGAACGTCGAACGCGCGGTCGCCGTAGTTGCTCGCCAGGTGCTGCGCAATCTCGGTCTCGAGTCCGTAGTGCTGCGCGAGCTGCATGTACAGAAGCGGGCGGTATCCTGCCGCGCCGACGAGAGGCACGTGCTTGGTCTGGCAGGGTGAGGTCGGCTTCAGGTCAAAGACCTGAATGCACTCGTTGATCGTGTCCTCGGCCATCTCGCGGTAGGTCGTCCACTTTCCGCCAGCGACGGTCAGCAGGCCAGAGTCAGAGACAGTGATCAGATGGTTTCGGACAAGGGACTCGGTGTTCTTCGCGCGCGGGTCGCGAACAAGCGGACGGATGCCGCACCAGGCAGCAAGCACGTCCTCGCGGCGCACGGGGAGATCGGCGCTCATGTAGTTCTTCAGCTCGTTCAAGATCCAGCCGATTTCCTCCTCGGTCGGGATAGGGTCCTTGCTCACAGTCGTGGGCGCGTCGGTGGTACCGGCGAGCACGTTGCCCTGCCACGGCAGCAAGAAGATCACACGGCCGTCAGAGGTCTGCGGGTCGATAAGACCCATGTTCTTCGGGCAGTAAAAGTTGGGGAGCACGACGTGCACGCCCGACGAAGGAGCGACAATGTCGGAGGTCATGGGCGCATCGAGTTTGCGGATCGCGTCAGAGAACGGGCCGGTGGCGTTGACGACGCCCTTGGCCTTGACGGTGACGGTCTCGGAATGGCCGAGGTCGGTGTCCTTGGCGACGATACCGTTGACGCGACCGTTGCTGTCCTTGGTCAGCTCGGTGACCTCCATGTGGTTGACGACAACCGCACCCTTCTCGATCGCAGTCAGCGCCAGCGCGGTGTTCATGCGCGAGTCGTTGTGCGAGCCGTCGTAATAGACGAGCGCGCCCTTGAGGTTGTCATGCTTGAGCTGCGGGAACGTCTCGAGCGTGGTCTTGCGGAACATAAAGTATGATGGGGCCAGGTTCTGGCTGCCGGCGACTAAGTCGTACATCTTCGTGCCCACGTAGAAGTACGGAATCTGCCACCAGGTGTACACCGGAATCATGATTGGCAGCGCAAACGACAGATGGGGTGCAATCTTGATGAAGTTGGAACGCTCGGCGAGAGCCTCCTTGACGAGCTTGTACTGGCCATAGTCGAGGTTCTACAATATCGTTGTATGTTAGCCAAATGTCGACTTCCAGATTTTGACATATTTTTTCCATCGATTACGTCACACCCCATCACCGAGGAAGGACAACCAAGTATCGAAAGAAGGGACGAAAGAGTGAAAAACAGGTACGCACCCAGAACGCCTTCTCGAGGTAACGAACACCGCCGTGGACGAGCTTCGTCGACCGCGACGAGGTACCGCAGGCGAAATCATCGCGCTCGACGAGAGCGACCTTGAGGCCTCTCGTGGCAGCGTCGAGAGCCGCGCCAGCGCCTGTCGCGCCACCGCCGATGATGACGATGTCGAACTCTTCTGACTGCAGTCTCTTGATCATGCTCTCGCGCGTGGGAGGCGGCGCGTGCGGGGCCGGAACTGTAAGAGGAGGGAGGTCCTTGGCTGTCGCGGCATGGACGGGAGTGAGGATGTCGGTGGTCGAGACGAGGAAAGTACCAGCCGCGACTGCCGAGCCCGCGACGAGCGAGCGCTTGAGCAGACGACTACTGGATCTGAGGAAGGCCATGTTTGCTAGGGAGAAAACGTAGCGAAATGGCGACTAAGCGGTGAAGCGGGAGCAGGAACGAGAAAGAGAGAGGTGATAGTGGTTGGGCAAAGAGCGACGAAGGACCGGGACCGTGGGGGAAAAGGGCTTCGGTGACCGTACTTTGCTCAGCGTAGAACTTTTGGGTTGACTTTTCCGGTGGGGGCAGCGGGCCGTATTTGTATGTGGTCTGCTGCGGGAGCCGGTTGTCTGAGAGGAAGAGCAGGGACGGTAGTCTGACTGACGGTTTGCGTGAGAAAACACACGATTTCTGCTGATCCGAAGCAGCCAACCGTTTCTTATACAATCTTGCTCTTCCTGCCAGGCCGGCCGGCTCTGCGCTCGCTGCTCCTGCGGCCGGCCGGACCGGACATGTGAAGATCATTCAACAGTAGTCGAGGGGTCGGTACTGATATTATGTAAAGGCTGACTCGGCAATAAGTCACGTTTCTTAAATTAAGAAAATTGCCGTATTCGGGCAGCTTTCTAGATAAGGCAAAATTCCATTCAGCCGTGCATGAATCGCTTCTCTTCGACCTCTTCACCTCTCTCTCCCAGACCCACCCACCCTCCACCACACAACCATGCTCGGCATCCCGCGCTTACGGAGAAACATCGTCCGTCTCCTCACCATCTGGCGGCGGCAGCAGCACGAGCACGAGCTGCTCTCTGCTGAAAAGATCAAGGCCGACGAGGAAAAAGGCCATGTCGCCGCCGCCTCTGCTGCAGCATCTGACAAGCGATCCAGCGGCTCCTCTGTCGCCTTTCGCGTCTTCCAGGGCGCCGTCATGGCTCTGTTTGCGAATATGGTCGGCCAGTATCTTGTTGCTCGCAGAGACAGAAAGGTGTGTTTTCTTGTCCTTTTTTATCTTTTCAATGCTCCTCCAGCTAATACTTTGATCTCTCCTATTAGCTCAAAAAATTTCACCTTCAAGTCGTCCCCATCGTCCAGTTCGTGCTCTGGACAATCGCAATCACGCCCGTTCTTATACGATGGCAGGATATCCTAGACTACTACTTCCCCTCGCAGATCACCTGCACGTCCTCTGTTTCCCAATCCCGCCAGATCTCGCACGCCTCCCCGTCGCCGTCCTCGTCGTCCTTGTCGCTCTCGGTCGATCTCGAGAAACGCGCGACGCCGTCTCCGCGCATCGTCCGCACCGTCAAGTACTCGCAAAAGAACATCGTCATCAAGACCATCCTCTCCGAAACTTTCTTTGCATTCGTCTCAAACGCAATCTTCCTCTTCTACATGGCCTACCTGCGCGACCACAGCACCACTAAAGCCGTCGCCGCCGTCGAGCGTGATCTCATGCAGGTCTGGACCAACTCAATAAAGTTCTGGCCTCTCATCTCCTACGTCACGCTTGGCTTCATCCCGGTCGACTACCGCATTGCCTTCTCGTCCGTCTTTGCCGCTATTTGGAGTGTCTATGTGAGCATGGTCACCCTCTAAACCACCACCACCACAAAGCCTACTTGATCCGCGCACCTCGCTCATCTTCTCCCCATCTCCATCTTTTTCCTCTACAGTCTCCCCCAAATCCTCACTCTTTCCTACAAACAACCCCCGTTTGTACCGACTCGCGGCATTGCTCTATCAACTTTTCCACATTTTTTCTTCCTGGTTTTCATATAAGCTTGGGTTTGGGTTTATTACATCATCTCTTGGTATGCTTTTTTTTTTCTCGTTTCGCTTCGTGGCTCTGGCTCTGCTGCTGTCGCCGCCGCCGCTGCTGCTGCTGTCCGAAGCACGGACGTCCGGGCTGCACAAAGGCAGCAAGCAGCCGGGGCCGGCAGCCGAGCCAGCCGATTGAGGCGCAGGCGTATTGGGATTATTGTTTTGGGAATAGAGCCGGATGGTTCCGCGCGAAGGAAAAGCTATTATTTATCTATCTTATTTATCGATCTATCTCTCACCTTTTTTTATTTTCTTTTCACACATTTTTTTTCTTGTTCGTGTTGTTTTTGATGTTACGTGCTCCTGGATGGATACAGAGGAGCCGAGGGGTTATATAAACTGTTACAGCGTTTTTGATCTATTGCTTTCTTATCTGGTTTTGTTTTCTATATTTTGGGATAAATGAACGGTAGACACTTTTTTTCTCTTTATCTTTTCTCCTCTTTATCTTTTCTCCTTGAGTTTTGGTGAAGACTGTGAGCAATCTTTCTCTCTGCGCAGTCCTTGCACAAACTAGAAATCTACCACTTCTCTTCTTTGGAATATAAACTCACTTTCTACAACATACTCTCGGTACTTGCTGCGTAGACGAGATGCTTCATTTTGAAATAAAACGAGAAATGCCAAAAGGCTACAAAAGAGGAATTATATCAAGCAACTATATATGCAAAAACGAGAAAGAAAAAAAATCTGAGAGAAAGATAATGATGAAGCTCTCGGGTTTTTTTTATTGCACAGATATCTCTCTATATATAGACAATAAAGAAGAGAGGCGAACAACAAACGACAAAAAAAGGGAAGAAAATAGGAAATAAGTGAGGAGAAAAAAAAAGAATCTGTCAGACGTTGAGGGCATTAAATTTTTATACTTGTTTTGTAATTTTCCACAATCAACCACACGCACCACTCATCAACGGCGCACACCTCTCCAACAATACCTCTGCGCAATCTCACCTACGCCAACAAGGTCTCAGGAAACTGGCTAAAGTCAGACTGATCCACGACCTCCTGCGCGCCCTTCAAGAAACTTATTCGCAGCCGCAACCGCACCTGCGCGCCCTTGGCAGCCGTAACCCGCAGCGCCTGCTGCGCCGTGCCGCCGACTGCGATCTGCGGCGAACTGATCGGACGCAGCTCGACGTGCTGGCGCTTCGGCACCGCGACTTGGAAGTTGACGTTCGCAAGCGGTTCGGAGCCCGTGTTTTTGAAATTTGCAACGATCGTCACGACGCCCTCGGGCGTGCTGGCGTCGCGGAGCGGTTGCAGATCGATGAGAAGGCCGTTGTTGTTGTACGCTGTGTAGGAAGGCGCGCCGCTGCTGGCGGCAGATGCGCCCGCAGTAGGGGTCGTCGGAGATGTGACTGAGAACGCGGCAGGCGCAGTTGTCGACACCGCCGCGAGCGGCGAAGCAGCAGACGTAACAGCAGGGACGAAGCCGGGGGCAGCCGCAGGAGCAGCAGGTTGCTGCGGTGTACTGTTGAACAGATCGAGAATGTCGTTGATATTGCTCTTCTCTGGCTGGTGAGAGGCTGGCGCAGCGGCAGATGACCCGTTGGTAGCGCTCTCGGTCGGCAGAGCGAAGCCGCCTGCACTAGCCATCGAAAGAAGATCTCCGTTGCCGGCTACGGCAGACGAAGGCGCGACATCATCGTCACCACCCATCAAATCAAGTAATATCTATCAAAAACAGTTAGTAGGAAACCACAAGCAAACAGTTTGAGAGAAACTCACATCAGTTTCAGTCTTTGGCTTGGCAACAACAGGCGCGGGTGCAGACGCCCTAGAACCCTTCTTCTCAACATGCAGCTTCTTATCCTCTCTGATCTCAGCCGCCGGCATTTTCTCCAACACGCCACGACGAATATCCTCGTGTCCGAAAAGAGCGCTGTACTCGACCGCACGCTGCTGGATCTCAACGTCGAGAGCGGTCGTCTGCGAGCCGATCAGTCGTCGCACGCGCTCGACCTGTGCCGGTTCAGACATCCGCGTCGACAGCTTCACTAGCGCGTCAAGAACATACTCCTGCACCGCCTGCGTAGCGTACGTACTGTACATTATACTCTCAAAGATTTGAATGATGTCGGATTCGTGCACCTCATGCTTGACTTCCTCTTCTTCAAACGTCCCGGCTTTCAGAAGCTCGTCGCCGTACTCACCGATGACCCAAGCTCCAGCCAGCGTAAGCGCCTCCTGAGTGATATCCGCTCGCAGCAACGAGTACAGCTTCTGTACAGTATACAGCTGCATGTTCTCGGTGTTGGACACCAGCGCGATGAACTGCGAGATGATCTGCTCAGACACGTAGTTACCCGCGAGCTTGAACACTCGCAGGACGGTGTCGATGTGCCAGCGCTTGTTGGGCGCATACTTCTCGGCTGCGATGCAGATCTGCATCGTCATCGTCGCCTTGAATTCGGTGTCGGCGGTCTCGAGGAAGACAAGCAGCTCGCGCACGAGAACGCGCACGTTGTGCTCGTCAATCAGATCAAACGAAAGATCGAGCGCGCGACGACGGATCGAGATATCGGCGTCGTGAAGACAGTCGAGGATCGTCGTCCGGTGTCTCTGAACCGCGGTCGGCTCGAGCTCAATCACCTTAGACAGCGTGTTTAGACCAACGTATTTCACGTTGTTATCCTTGTTACTCAAGAACCGACCGAGCACGCTGATTCCCAACACACGAAGTCCGCTGTCGGCGTCAATCTCGAGGATCGTGAGCACAGCCTCGTAAAGGATCGAGTTGCCGACGTTCTTGGACGAGTCTGTGTTTGTGACCACCTGGGCGAGAATGTCGCTCATTTGCTCGGCCGAGGCGGGATCGCCCTTCGCCAGCACCCGCAGAAGCTTGAGGATCTTGGTCTGCAGGAACGGATCCGATAGTCCGGCGACGTCGTGTTCGGGAGTATATCCTGAGGTCGTCAGAGTTCGCAACTGTCTCACCAGTGAGGGTATATACTGTCATTTCCATATGTTAGTCAATAGCTACCACATAGTCAAAAAGAAACATGAACTAACCTGTCTAAATTGCTCAATAAGAGACGGATCCTCAGAGCACATATCATACACCAACGTCATTCCACAGATCAGCACACCATGATGATGCTCTCCCAGCAAAGCCTTTGCCTTATCGACGAATCGCTCGCGCAGCTCAGGCACTTTTCGGATTATACGCATGGCGCACAGGGCGGCCTTTTTCCGCAGGTACTGGTTCTGCGTGACAATCAGTTTCTCGACGTCGGCAAATAGATCGCGCGCCATCTCTTGAGAGGCGATGTTGCCGAGCGTGCAGAGCGCGAGGGCGACGACGTATTGGTTCGGATGGTTGAGGTCACTGCAGAGAACGAGGGGTTAATATAAGTACACGACCAGATATCATCAGACCGACCAAGTAGTAACAACAAGAGTATACGTACTTCTTCAAAGAATTAGTAACTAGAGTCAAGACCTCCTGGTTCTCGTCAAGCAGCAACATGGTACCCAAGTACCCCAGCCGCTTATCAGAGAACTTGCTCGTCGCAAGCAACTTCAAGCACTCAATCTGTCCGAAATGCGTGCGCTCGCCGAGCGTGAACAAGTACAGCAGCTTTGCAATGTTCTGCCTCCGAATCGTCGAGTCTGCTATGTCCTCGCGGAACGAGGCGCGGATTGCCGCCGACTCCTTTTGAATGACCGCGCGCTCGTCCGCCATCGTCTTCGCGGCACGAACGGCCTTGATGAATGATTTCAGAGAAGACATCTTTTTATCCGCTCAACGCGCAGAGGTTGTCTTTGAAAGAACAGGGAATGGTGAGCACGGATGTATGCTCGGGAAAAAGAGAACTAAGAGGGCCGCAGCAGAACGACGCAAAGCACAAGCAAGCTCCTGTGTTGATTGTCAAAAGTGTTAGCGCACGAAAGCCCCTCCCGCGCAGAGAATATACTCGGTCAGGAAGCACCCGGTAGGAGAATAAACAATGGCTTACCTTTCAAAAGTGTGATCCTTGGCTATGATCCCTGGACAGAGACCAGATGGGATTGTACGGGATGGGATTGCGTCGGGCGGCAGGTTGGCAGGCTTCAGTTACTGTGGATTAGTGAGGTACGAGTTTATTGATACTGGCTGTGCGCGCGCCGCCCACAATGAGTGACCCGATCGTCTCCTCGCGGCTCGAGAGTTGGTCAGAGGTTATGTAATCACACTGAAGAGGCTATTTCCATTTACATGCGGGAATACAGGCTCAATGTTTGTTGAGTTCTCACTCTCTCTACAGCAACGAAACAAACGGTACGAGGGAACAAGGCTTTTGAGATAAGAATCCAATTTGCATATACACTCCGTAAAAAAAACCGAATCTAAATAAAAATCGACATCGAACGCGTCTCCGCTGATACAAAATCCCGTTGCGCACTCAAACAAGCACGGTATATATAATAGAGTATATCATATAAACCATTCTATATATAGCACCAACCAAAGAGCTGCATCGTCCTGAAGACAGGGACCACACAATAGCGGGTGAAGAGAAAAAGAAAAAGGGTAAACCGATTAGCGCATAGAAAACATCACAAACGATATACAAGTACAATCCCAAATGCAAGTACACCTGCAGAAATAAAAAAATAGGTGAGGATCAAACCGGAACAATACAGAGAAAGAGGGGGATAAGTAGTAAATAAATAGAAAAAGATAGATAGAAAATAAATCAAACGACCAGGCCGAAAACAGAAAAGTAAAGGAGATGATTAAATATGTATAGTGAGAGAAGAGAAGGCGAAAAAAGAAACAGAGTAACCGAGACACAAGACAAACTTTTGCTCTTCCATGATAAACGTAAATAGGATAAATAAAAAGCAAGAACACCGCAGAATTTCCTTGTATCTGCTTTTTGTTGCCGTGATTGGGAATGACAGTTCCACCCTTAATGCGTTGTATGTCCTCTATGATACTTCAAACCGTTCAAGTTCTTGTACCTCTTACCACACACTTCACATCGGTATGGCTTATCTTTCTCCAAACCAGGATAGTCCGGATACGGGAATTCATTGTCAGGAGCGACCACAGTGAGCGTTCCGTCATCGTTTTGGCGCAGAACTTGGTTTTGATGTCCGTGCTAGAAAATTTGATGAGTGCGTTAGTATTACTCCATGCTCGAGCATTTCCAAAGCGTAAGCAATCGTACCTGGCGGTGGTATTTCAGTCCATTTTGGTTCTTGTAAGCTTTGTCGCAGCCTATAACAGGGCATTTGTAAGGCTTTCCATCTCCTTGATGGTCCATAACGTATAGGTGCCGGGCTGGATCGTCTATACACATCTCCTCTTCGTCTTCATCCATCATCATAGGGGTACCAGCGTCGGAAGGCTCTGGGGAAAGGAAAACCTCGTTTGTCGAGACCGCTTCAAACACCTGCATTGGTCGTTGGTTGTAGTACATCGGTTCGGGAGGAGGCGAAGGGGATATGTGCGCCTCTTCGTAGTGTTGTAGGAGATCGTGGAGCGTCGGAAGCCGCTCGCCACAGCAGTTGTAGTCCCGGCAGAAGTTGGCCTCGAGCTTGGTCAAGTACGAGCCAGAGTGAAATGACGGCGACATATTCATATTCACCGAGGTTCCAAAGTTGATTGCTCCATTCATGTTATTATTCATCTGCTGGTTGCCAAATGGAGAGTTGCCGAATGTCATGACCCTACAAAATGAATGAACCTTATTAGCACTTCCGGCACCTTGAAACGTGGGTCTGGCACCAACTGTTGAGATGCCCCGGGATACCAGAAATTCGCAAAATCGTAAAGTCATAGAGCATATTCGCAAGCAAGAGTTCCTTGAGCCGATTCTGATCAGGACAAAACAGTCCGATCGTGGGCGACCCCAAAAAGGGACGTAGCACACAAGCTCGGGTCGCCAAAGCATCAGCAAGCGTTGCCGCCGGCAGCTGTGACTGAGAACACACACAAGCGCTCAACAAATAGACCGTCGAGAGCGCAGAAAGGTGCGGCAAGACATTACATCCAAAACGTAACCATCTGGCTCCTGGTCATCGTTGCTGTGGAGGTGCCCGGGGAGGGAGCGTGACAAGCTCGCTTCCGGGTTAGTGAGTGCCACCGCCCTCAGCACGTTGAGCGCAAGGTGAAGACCCAGGCCTGCTGCTGGCACGGAACTCTCGGTTGACAACTATGCTATACGGACCCTAGATACAAGCGCAAGAGTGGCAAGTAAGAAAGAATGGGGGATGTGCCAACGTACTCATCCTTGAGCCAAGAGCCCACACTGATACCGCCCCAGGAGATTCCGCCCATGCCCTGGGAGTGGGCCACCGATTCTCGACGAAACCGATGGTGTTGCTGTTGTGGCCGCTGGTAAGATATGTCTATAGGTGCCGGCATCATGACGGATAGAGGTGAAGATGGATAGTATGGGAGTGACGTATGGGGGTGAAAGGTGCATATGCCGATGGAAGCTGGATGATGAATGGACGTCGCTACGACGTTACACCAAGTCCGACGGCTCAGCACAGATCGTCGCAACAGCTGAGAAGCGATTTGGGGCTCTAAGCGTACAAGATGCGTTGCAGATGTGTATTTGTAATAACTGCGCTGAACTTCGACGGATGTGCCATTTAGAGCCAAATACCGCCGCACTGGAAACCCTAAATGGCTGCAGCGATAAGATGAGGCCCAGACCGGGAATTAGTCTCCCAGAGAAGAAACCCTGAGGCGGCTTACTTCGATCAATTACGCTATCCACTTATCGCTTCACGGTCTCTTGATTATCAGCTCGACTGAAGAAGCAGCACTCCTGCCCATTGTATTTTCTCTCCACCACCCGTCTCGCACAATCGCACACATTCACACAATGGATTTCGCACCATACCAGAGCGAAGAGCCGTCAGTAGTCCGTCCGGCCCTGTCCAGCGGAGGATACCCTCCCGCTGCTGCTTCCTCTTACGTCGGCTCGACACGTCACTCGAGCAGTTCCTCGCCTCCTCCCCCCGTCTACTCGCCAGAGCCCAGTGCGTCGCCCTACACCGGTGGACCTATGTATGGCGGTGGTCCCTCGACATACGTGCCGCCAGAAGACCCCGCCAATGCGATTCCTGTGAATCAATATGAGACCAGCATGCCGCTAAGGTAAGCTTTCCGCATTCAATCGTCTTCCATGTTTATCTGGACTTGTTTTATCTGCTCGGAGTCCGCATTCTAACATCTGCCTGTTTTTAGACTTGACTGGGAGTGTGTCATTGCATACCTGGCCCTGCCTCCTGTTGGATCGGTGATCTTGCTTATTTTTGAGACCAAGAACGACTTTGTCCGGTATGTAGACGAGAAGAACCTCCCAGCATTCTTGTTGTTTTCCATATCCCTTTGCTAATTCCACTCTGCACATCTAGATTCCACGGCTGGCAAGCATCTCTCCTTTTCACCCCTCTCTTCATTGTGTACATCATTCTTTCTTTCTCGACCGTCCTGTCATTCATCATCCTTGCCGCCTACATCATCGCCGCGCTTTACCTATCATACCGCGTCTACCGGGACTCGTCCAACCTCGAGCGACTAGAGCTGCCCGTCATCGGTCGCCTGGCTGCGGACTGGGTCGACTCTGAATAAGCAAGTGTGCTGATATATTGAATATGGGCCTGAGGATCGCACTCCATTGTGTGTCTATGTATATGCGTTCTACCACCTCACCATATAGTAAGAGATATTTCTATATGTGGATAAGAAAACTAGTGAGATTTGTGTTAATTTGGGTGGGTGTACAAGGGCTGATTTAATAGAAATGAGACAGAATGCTTCCAGTCTCGGTAGTCGCATATTAGTCGCATAATAATATATGAATGCAGAATGGAGCGTCATTTCTAATTACTCATAAAGTCTATCAAATCGATATCTCACATCAATCAATTGGCTCATGACTTGTTCAATTAGGAAAGCAGATTTCTCGTATTTATCTGCGACAAATCGAGATGTGATCTGACGATCAGGAAGACTGATCGAGCAGCTTGATGTTCCTCCTCCCCCAAGCGATATATAATACACTCGTATAGACATTGTCGCGCTTAGCGGTGTGCTCGTAGTGGTGTAGGAAACATTTGTGCTGCTGGAGGATCCTCACCTCTGCGGGATTGCTGCTTCGTCGGCTGACAGGTTCGCGAAAGTTCTCTGTAGATGGAACTACGAACTCAAGCCCTGACCACTTTGAACCGTATGACAAACAGCATACTTGAAAATTTCAAGTCTATCAGGAAGTCTGACACAAGACAAACATAGAGATCAGCAGTAGCTGACCAATACAACCTCACTCTCCGAACCGCTGTTTCGCCAGCTCTTTAAGCATCGCCAACGTCTTCTCCTCCTTTATCTTCATCTCACTCCACCGCTCTCTTCTCTCCGCATCGCGCTCTCGAAATTTCGCCTCCCTCCTCTCGCGTTTAATCCGTTCCTTTTCCGCCCTTCGTTGCGCAATTTCGCTGAGTTTTTCTTTCGGCCCTTCGCCCACTGATCCTTCGAACAACTCATCGTCGCCAACTTCGTCTACCCCACCCGGAGACAACGCGCGGATATACGCTTTGCGGTCTTCGTTTGCCATCTTTCTCTTCTCGGCCTTCTTGTCTCTTGGCCCCGCACTCGGGTCGTTGAAGCCCCCAGCTATAAGATTGTCGACTGCGCCTGCGAGGTTCGTCTCGGCAGCCTCCAATGCCCGCAAGCGAGCAAGCCGCATTTCCTCGAGAGATGCGTCCATGATCTCGCTGTTTTGATGCTGCACGTCTGAGACTGTCGGCAGCGTCGGACCTTTTCTGCCTTTGAGAGATGACGGCAGGGTCGGCCCGACGATTTCCGAATCATCCGAATCCGAATCTGCTGCGACTTCGTCGGTTGGATGATTGCCGTTCGTGCTGTCGCGCGATTCAGATTTCGAGACTGCGTCACCTGACAAAGCTGAAGGTGGTGGTGGAGGTGCAGCCACAACCCACTCTCCTTCTGACTCTTCGCTGCCGGAATCGCGATCCGGCGACAGCGATTCTCTTCGTCGCTTATGCGATGAACGAGAGTCGCGCTCGGCCTCAGTCGACGAGTGACGGTGCGGTCTATCGCGACTGCGGTGGTCTTTCGAGCTCTGTCTGTCAGATGCGGAATGGTGACTGTGATGATGATGACGATGGTGGTGATGGCTGGATCGGTCTACATCATCTCGTGGCCGTCCGCTGCTGCGGTGTGAGCGATGATGATGTCGATGTTTGCGAAGCCGGTCGTCGCTGCTACCCTGCCGCTCTGTTCTCCTCCCTGAGTCTTCTTCATCTTCTGATCTGTGCCGCGTTGATCGATGGTGACTTGACTTCGCATCCGGACTTGGGTTACGTCGTTTTCGCTCATCGTCATCTGATCGTGCTGCCTTGCTGTTCGAAAGCTCGTCTGATACACTCTTGAGCCATTGCTCTCCGGCTTTTATATCCTTGTCCGCTGAGATGGAATGAGAACCACTCTCTAAAGACCTAGACATTACAGTAGAAAAGGCAAGGGCAATGTGTAGACATGCGCCCAAACTTGTAGAAAACAGAAAACAAAGACGCGTACAAAATCAAGAGGATGATTTTTCTACACGGTGTCCGTACCTACGACCCCAGAATAACTCACTATGGAAGACGTACGCGACGCGAGTATTTGACTTGAATTCATTGTTCTGCTCTTTTGGACTACAGCAATTCCGGATCCAGATAGCTATTCTTTCCCGCGACGAGATATGTTTCTGACCTTACTAGGGTAGGCCGAAGTGGGAAATCAGGGCAAGACCTGTGGCGGTGACGCCGATCTTCAAAAAGGTCTTTTTTGCGTGAAATTCAACTCTCCACTCGACACAAAGCTGGGGTAATCGAAACCAGTTGCGCATCTTTGCCTCATCTGCCTGAAATTGACATGAACTGCAGCAGCGGTGTCATTTTTTTTACTTCATTTCACTTTGATTGACAAACCTTGCACGACCAGATGTGAGCTCTGAAGTTGCAGAAGAGTTTATATGTACCTTTTTATCTGAATGAGATGCGAGGAAAGCGTTAACTCAATCGTAGAAAGCAGGTTAGTGCCGATCAGCCCAATTGATTAGAGATGCGAGTTGACGGGAGGAGCGGTAGCGGCCGGGGTAGAGTTAGGCTTAGCTACGACTGATTGACAGTAAGAGGAATACTGGCGGCGGACCGATGAGGATGAAGAGGGCATAGGCCACGTCATTTTTCCCTCTTGAATAATACAAGAGGCGTTCTGTAGCCCTAGACTCATCTCGGACGCGACAAAGACGAGAGCAGAGCGTCCACGGCCTGCGATGGTTGACTGCCTTGATTCGATTTTGGGCTTTATCGGGAAGTCCGGAGAGGGCATGAGGAGGCAAGATATAATATCAAGCCTGCAGCACATCGGGTCCCCATGATGTCAGAAAAGCCAGGCGAGGGCGACAGCCCGCAATCAGGCAAACAAACTCCGTACAATAAGTTATTTCTTTTGAGTCTGAGGAAACGGCGGGGAGCAAAGAGGCCTTAATTGGGGACCTAGCAACGGTTCTATACTAGCGCGTGAGATAGCTCGGAGAAGCAGCAATAGCAGCGATCAGAGAGCAAACCCTTTATCGCAGCAGCTAAAAGCTCCCACGGATTTATCCGAAAAGTCAGTCCTGCAGCGAGGCGGGGGACTCTGCTTCTTATTATTGCTGCCCGGTCAAGCTAGACCTTCCAAATCTGGCCAACGGGGCACTCCAGGGACCTGGGCAACTATGCCCAACCAAGCAAGCGACCAACTACTAAACTGCAGACTATCTGCAGACTAACTGCACCGAAAGCCGTTTGCCCGCAGAATAGATGCACGCCAAGTGGACTCTTGCGGGCGACGCGGCCAAAGATGGCGATCATCAGTCGCGCATGCGGGACAGTAGACCCCGCCCGACGAAGGCAAGCCGCCGCGATCCGCCGCGATCCGGCGCCCCGGGTATCCCGGTGAACGCCTTTTGAAGTGTACGGTGTGCTTTCTTATCTACTGGGCTAAACTGATCAGACTAAGAAGGCCCGGTGACAGCTATTCGCAGCAGATGTGCGGGCGTGCAGCCTGCCAGAAGAAGGGGAGGGGGCCGGGACCCACGCGTATGATTGTCCCGTCCCGCCTGGAGCTGCGCCAATGAGGTGACATTGCCAGCCCCCGCGCCTGTGGCTCAGCAGCGCGTTTAGAGTTTGTGTCGAGCCTAGCGATTATCATCTCTGACAGATTAAGTTAGTGATTAGCTAAGCTCTGCAAATAATTTGAATTTCTCGCTTGAGCTAAATCTGTACCGAAATAGGAACCTTGAATGTGAAAAAGCAAACAGGAAAAATAAAAATAAAAACAACGAAAGCCGGCAGTTGGCGCGGCAGCAGAATAGTGCTGCCGACCGCCGCTCTGGCTGACCCGCGTTCATCAGCCCACACCCCAGAAGCACATGTCTGTGATTATAACATCCCGCTGAGCACCACGAGGTTTATCTGCTGGTGCATGCTCTGTAGACTGACAGGAAGGTGCAAGCGTCGACGCATTTTTTGAATTGCTCTTTCATTAGCCGCGTCCTAGTCCCTATACAGAAATCGCCCTCCTCGTCCTCGGAAGCGGAAGCCAGCGCAGCCGTTGAATCCCACTATCAGTAAACGGTTAACTTGCGCAAGCCTGAATATGGTGACTAACCTGCCACTCAGCAGACTAGCGAGTCAGCCCTATCCTTCGCTTGCTTAACTCCACATACCAGACGCAACTAGCGGCAGGCCCGGTGGGCAGTGAGCATCCTAGAGAAGCGATAGAACGGCAGGCACACAGACTGACCTACACAGACTGTACTAATGAATGATAGTACCGCAAACTGCCATATCTCGAGGGCATTAAAAACGCGACGCTGCATTCCGCGCTGTTGGCCTACACAGTCGTGTCGCTGTCTCGGTAGTCCGGCCGCTCTAACGGCCGGGTCTCACATAGGCCATAGCTGACACAGCTCTCTGCACTATACGTACGACTTGTCTTGAAGAGGCATACGCGGCAGCCCTTTTACGGCTAGCGAGAGAGCAGGCAGGGGTTGGAAACCAGACTGTCGTGACGGATGCGCAGAGCGATCGCAACTTTGTTCTGATGACCAAATCGTTTATAAGATATTACTGATCTGCGCCACTCCACCCGCGGCCATATCTCGCGTGCAGATGGATTATATCAGTAGCGGTGCAAGCTGTATAGCACCGGACTCGAGATATTTAAATTGTGTGGTGTTTATTACCAATCAACGGATTTGATCTGCTTTTCCTACGAGGAGGGAGGGGCAAGGGGATCGGCGCTATGGCTGCACACGAGGGTGTCGGTGAAGCAACTAGGGTGGAAGCAAAACTCCCGGAGATAGACAACCACGCAGAAGCTGCATACAAATGTGAGACATAAACATACAGCTCGCACCCGTAACCCCGAGAAACTGGCGCTTCGTTTATCCCGCGCTCAACTGCTTCCTGACCAACACGGTGATCGATCAGGGTTGAAAAAATCTCTATGATCTAGCAGACATCGGCTACAGCTCCTGAATTCATTGAAAACCCAGAAAAAAATTCAAGAAACAAAGTGCACTGATCTCGCTTGAGTCGTCAACTAAACTTCAATACGCCAGTCACTAAGTTGGCGCTACAAAGCCATTATCCTCATAGATCATCTATATTGATACTGCCAGAGCGAAGCCGAGCATAGCCCACCACGATCTCTGCGAGCAGTCCGGAAATTTTTTTGCCACCCATCCAGATCAGAAGGTCAAAAGTACTACGAATCTTGTATGGTACTAACGAAGCGCAAATCGACGGAGACAATCCGGGATCGACCTCCTGTTGAGAGTGGTGTGATGTCTCGACAATGACTTTCGCTTACTACACGCCTTCTGATCGGCCTGCTGCGCTCCCCTTCACCTCACCTCCACCAGCACCCACTTCGATCTAATAAATATTCTTGTCATTTATATAGCAATGATACTCATACGACGACATTTTCCTTCAAATATATCTGTCTCTTGGCTATTTAGATAGCTGCAAAGAGACCGGTTTGGGGACGAGCTGCTGATCGCGCCGCGTCGTCTGGCTGCATTCGGCAGCTGTCGTCGGACCTGAGACCGGAGCCTGGCTGCTGGTCACCCAATCTATGCGACAATAATTAAACCTCCCACATCATATGATTTTCCTATCTGCTCTACAACGCGACTTTATTGTAACTTTTTGTTGGACGGCATCAGAGATGCTCGCGGGTGCCGCAATTCTACTGAACAATGACTTGGCGCGGAAGATCATAAAGATCTATAACAATGATAGAAAAAAATATAGCACATCTCTAAACAGATGGCGCCGGGCGTACAGGCTACAAACACCCGAGTGCAAAATAACCAAAAATAAAAATAAAAATAGAGTTGCGGTGTTAAGCAGCGAGGAGCAGCAAGCAAGCCAGAGTGAGCCGCCCGTCGGTTTGGAGGAATGAATTTCGCAGGCACATGACAAACGGCGCCTTTCTGACGACGCTGGCAGCGGCCACGTCCAGCGCCCCCGAACGAGAACACTCCAGCACCAGCGAGAACGTTCGGTTAACTAGTGAAAATAATTGTTGAGTAGTTGGTAGAAGCGTAAAAAAACAGGCGACTATTTGTTTTTGCCACTGGCGCCGTGGAATCTTTATCTAGTCTCTGTCCTCTCGCGCTGCCGACGCCTACTATTAGCAAGCACCGGAGCCGTTGAAAGTAATATGTGTCGCGCCCGGCTCCACTCCTACAACACGTTTTCACCCATAGACCCTTGTCTTTGGGCACTGTATGTTTGTCCCTTTTCTATCTGACTAGTTGTTTGCCGAATGCGGTCTTCCCCGCCTGCGCAATTGCCAATCTTGCATAACCACTTCCGAGGTCGCGACGTTAACCGCGTCGCTCTCGCGTTCGGCAAGCAATTTTCCACGACTGCCTTGCACCCTTTCATAATTCAGAAGAGAAAAAGCAAGAGGCTGATTTTGCAAGTCTGCAATTTCGGATCCTTGAAAGGGGTCCTCAAACTAAGCGGCTTGGCAGCCAGGCGAATGGCGGACCGCGGCTGCTTCTCTTGCCGCGAGCTGCTTCGAAATTACGCACGTCTTTTGGGCTGTTTTCCGACCAAGACGAGCGGCATCTCACAAAACAGGTCTTTCGAAAATAACTCTCGGCTTCAACAGACGAGATAAGTGTGCCTCGGCGGAAAGGACCTGATAGGGACGCAAAGGCCGAGCTCAGCAGCACCAGGGCAAGCCACCGTGGCAGCAAGAGAGACGATAATGACGACTCTCGCTTTTTGCAGAGTTAGTTACGCAAGTAGCAAAGAGTGTGTTTCACACCCGAAAGGTAGTTTGCAAAAACGCTAGCCGGGCAACCGAGGTTTCTCTGCTTCTCACGCTCCTTCCTAGCCGTTTCTCTAAATCGCGACCCGAGCGAGCCAGAGATGAGATACACCCGCTCAAGTCTGAAATCATTCCACAAAAAAGGGAACTGAGCAGTCGTTCAGCAGAAGGGAAATGTAGAAGCCACGAGTAGGGGCCAGTGCCCCACCGAAAATTGGAAATCCATTCCTGCAACTCAACGGTTCGTCCCGCACGGATGATGAAGGGTATTGGCCGTATCTGGCTTCGTACCGTCGACTCGTCGCTTCGCAGTCAGCTTTGCCACCAAAAACGATAAGAGCGTATTGCTAATAGACGAGGTGAGAAAAATTGGCGTCGAATTGCCCTCTCGGAATCCCGGAAGAGGAAAACTGACTGCTCGGATAAAGAAAAAATGACGGGAAAAATCGTGCGCTTGAGGAGGTATTTGTAGGACACACAGCAGTAGACCGGTAGTAATTAAACAGCAATAATACAGCAAACAATATTAGCAAGTAACAGTCAATAAACAGAAAGCTAGACTCAATAGTAACTTGAGCGGCCACGATCCGTCGCGGCGGAAGGGCAAGTAAGCGAGCGGTAACTCGTCCGCTCAGCGCCCCCGTATCAATTCATTTCCCTCGTCTCTTATCTTGGATTTTTTTTCCTCTGCTTTCGTGCGCGATTATGTTTTTGGTACAGAGTAGGCCTTCCTGTGCGCGTGGTTGAGAATATTTCTGTTTTCGTCGGTCGTGCTCGCGCGCGCCGTTGGAATATCTGAAACCAGCTGCTCGCGCTCGCTCGGCATAGGTTCTGTGCGCTCACTGAGGAGTCGAACTTGCAATTTGTCACATGTGTCCTCTAGAGACTTCTCGGTTTCGTAGTCTAATAAACGTATTTCCTCGTCATATTCTCGATAGACGCGCCCAGAAAGATATAGACGTGTGCACCCCCCCCTTATTCCCATGCATCGCCCGCCTGCAAATCACATATTAGCAGAATTCCAAAAAAAAATAATGAAAACATCGATACTGAGCCAAGTCGAAAGTCCAGAACCAAACGGCCAGCAATAGAGCAGAAACCGATAACTTGTTGTCTGAATAAGTAAACACGAAAATGGGTGTCCAGAGTGAGTCCAGTTGCGCTCCGTGCGGCAAAACCCCAAGTTTTCGCGAGAGTCGCCTCGGCAGAGCTGCTTGGTTGCTGGTCGCTAATATAGGGCATTCTGAGACTCCAGAATAATCCCAAGATACCGTTTATCGAAAGAGACGGATTTTGTATGTCTTTAAGGCGATAGGCAATATTGAGGTTGGTCATATTGAACACGTAGAACGGCGCGCAACTCGCACGGTCAGTGCAGTCTCTCCTCTGAGCATCAAGCTATAAGCGTATCAGTTCATAGCGATTTATCACATTCTTTTGCTTTTTTCTCAAAAAAGAAAATTGGAGGATTTTGGGCTTTGAAGCGAGAAAAAGAGGTCAACGGGAAGACCGTGGGTGTTTGTGTCAGACCGCTTTATCAGCTACTTTCAAAGCCCATATACCAAAACCACATCATCGCTGAAAAGACCTATCAGAACTAACTCACCTTTACAGAAAGAACGTAACAACGAGAAAACAGACTTGCTCCCTAAACACATGTTTTACGCATTCAGCCCGAAGAGAAACATTTAAAGATTCTGAGAAGACGATTTTTCTTTTCTTTTTTTAATGTTATATTAATAATATTTCATTAGGCGAGATTTTTCTGCATGTTTTCGCTTTTGCTTTTTCCCAAAAAGGAAAATTCTTAAAAACAGTGATAGCCATAATATATGGAATATTTTTTAAGAAACCACAGATCAAATAAGTTGAGGAAATGACTCTGATGATTTTATAATTCAGTCCCAATGTAAACAAGCTCAAAAGGGGAATTGTTAATGACAAAAAGAGCTCAAGAAGTTGGGGTTACCCTCTACGATCACCAAAATATCACCAAAATCCTGAAAGACGTGGAAGATATCTATGCAAAGAATAGTAAGTCAAGAGACAGGCAGAGATTACGCAGTAGAATGACTGCCAAAAGAGTAGTCTGAATTCGAAAGTAAAATTACAGGTTTTGCGAAATCAGAATCTGGAAATGTCATAATGTGTGCAAACCCCGGTCTCTCTCCCACGCACTCTTACCCGCCGCAGTCGCCCATCGCGATCGCCATATACCACCACTACCACCGACCGAAGCATTCAGAAGGTCCTGGAAACCTTTCACAGATACCCCAACGTTTTTTCATTCTGTTTAGTATTAAATCTGTCTGTTTTTAGAAAAAGTGGTGCGACCTCGTTAGCGAGTTTGGGCGCGGATTCTGGCAAGGCCGAGCAAGTTCTGGAATTTCTGAGAGCATCATGTGCGCTTCGGCTCGCGCAACTCGCCACCTCGGCTGCTTTATAAGCCCAACAATTTGCCGCTGGATGCTGACGTGTCTGTGCTGAATGTGAAATTTATTTTTATGTGTTTTGTGCTTGCTTGCTGCCTTCCGTGGTTGCTCGCGTTGAGAAACGCGAATCAGTGCGCGCGAGGGCGGCGCTGCGATACTACATATCGCGCAATGAGCAGGTTGTGCTCGACACTGCTGAACGCAGAATGCTGCCAGATTTTGCTTTGTGTTTTTAGTGTTCACCGAGACTATCATTAAGTCCGAAAGCACATCTGGAGAGTGACTATTCTGCAATTGCAACTGCTCGATTGCCGACGGGTGAAATGCAACGTTTATCAAAAGTGCAATCACAACGTTCAGCGGAAGCGGATCACGAGTTCTAAAGGCAAAAATGAAAGAGAAGCGGAAGAGGGAGAAAAATCTGCTATAGAGTTGCATTATACGAGGGATGCCGTGCCCAGCGGAATCAGTCATTGTGGGTCGTGGCATAGATGAGCTGTCGGCAGCACAGACGAGCAGCGCGTCGGCGGACCGAGCAATTATTTCACTAGACGAATACGGGCTGCCATGGCATTATTTTAATGCGTCTATACTATGTCTATGAGAGACAGAGAAGGATGAAAGCTTGGTTTTGGCGGGAAATGCTAACTTTTCTCAGCACAGCTCTCCTGTTACGGCAAGATCACAAAGTCGTTGCTGCGCGCGGTACCACACGGTCAGCACGACGACGAGGTGTGATTTATAAGCACCGGTACCGGTGCAGATAGTGCTTGCAAAATCAGGCAGTATATTACAAATGCAGAGGTGGTGGGGTGTAAAATTGTCCGCGTGTGTGAGGCGGATCGTAGAGACCGACGGTCGAATGAACCTCAGGAGAACGCAGAGCATTTTCTCGCCACCCACGGCCACCCACAACCGAAAAACAGCAAGAAAACAGCCTGTAGAGACTCCAAAACTAGCTCTATGTATCGAGATATAAATATAATAGAAAACCGGCACCAGAAATGAATTTGTAAAGAAAACTGTCGGAGAATGGGATGGAGCAGGCTGGGCAAAAGAGCACGCGGAACAGGTAAATTTCGCACAACTTTGCAAATACCAAGCCATTTCCGCGCGCCGCCGCCAGTCACCATTCCTTTTATTTTATAATCGGACTTCTCTTGTAAAATACGTAGTTAATCACCATGTGTAAATTCAAATTTTTTTATTGCTAATGTTTTTTGGATGTGTCTATTTGCTATAATGTGTAGGTGGTTGATTTTACCGGTTCTTAAACTTTAGTGGCGGATGCTGTTACTGAGCATCCAGCACTGATCCGAAAAGGTGGAGCGCGAGTGCCCGACAACCACACACACACTCTCTCACTGCCGTCAAGGTCGCTTACTACCGCATCTGTATTTTTCTGTGTATATGGATTGGATGTCTAGTTTATGTATTTGATTTTGCTTATCGGTAAAAGTGCGCAAATCTAAGATAAGACATGCTATCGGTATCAGCAGGCTACGGGGCGGAGTTAGCAGACAGAGGGGCCCCAGAAAATGAGAGCGATATCGGGTACGCTTTCTGCTTGAGTCGAGCTCTCCTCTTTTTTGGTTGCTGCTGCTGGCGTTTAAGTCCGAGGAGGGCTGCGGGAAGTGCGGCGCAAGACGCAAGAGAAATGGTAGCCAAAGTTAAATATCGGGAGGGACTGAGGAGATGTTTTGGTGGTGTTCAGCGTTGAGCGGTGGTGCAGATGTTGATGTGAGAGATAAGGCTGCTTTAGTAGGTGAATTTCAGCAGAAAGGATGTTAATAGGGGTGGCCGGAGAGGGTCTTCAAATCGGGGTTATCTTTGTGTCATTTTTTCGTGAGTATGCATGCATATGTACGTGCGCGCATAGATTTTTAATACTTGAATGATTCTAGAGTCGACATTCGGCACGCTCGCGAACGTCCGCTTTGCCCTAAAATCGAGAACCATGAGCAAACAGAGCCAAAGGACAGAGACACAGACGAAAGGAAGAGAGACGCAGCTCAGGCAGAGCAGCTGCGGCAGTGCTCTTCTGGCAGACACACGGTCATAAGAAAACATGTAAACTCAAATATAAATAAGGTTACGCAGACGGCTTGCGAACGCCAGGTCAGACCACAAACCAGCACGCGCTCACCACGCAAACAAACCAAACAGAAAAAAACTCAAACAGAAATAGAGGCAAAAAAATTAAAGCAAGAAAATCAAAGGCAGAGAAGCACCGCGCGATCTCCGAGCCCTTTTTGCAGTTTTAGGGCAGGGCGGCTCTGACGCGCCTCGGTTCTCTCCGACGGACGGCTGTCGTCTTTCGTTCTCAGACCACTATTTCGTCTCGCTTCGGATACCCTTCGCCCTCGTGCTATCATGGTCTGATTCTGATCCTGATCTCTGTCTTTTGTGTTCTGTTTGTTCACGCCACTTTGTATACCTCGCGCCGTGTGTAACTGACTGTCTCACGTCGAATCAGGCCTGCGCGGGATATGGCTTAGCAGCACGGGGCGGAGTGGAGGCCGGATGCATTGTTCACCGGCCACCGACTTCCCCCGTACTGATTTTTTCCCCTCGGATTCGTGCGAGTGGTTTATTGCTGACCGGTGGAGATCAGCTATAAAACATCTCGGTCGTTCATAGTCAGGGGGACAACAAATGACAGAGTGTGCGGTCTGTTTCTCAGCAGCAGCCCGAGTGTCGTCCGAGTACCCTATCCTTCCATCAGATGGTCTTCTGCTCCACCTTTCCGCTCCTGACTGTAAACTCAAAGTATTCCCAGAGGCCGTGTGTATCCTCGAAGAGACTGAATGGAGCAGTCTCGGGCGCGGACGCGGGAGGCAAGGTCCCGCGTGCGGAGGGACCCCTGACTCATCGGGCTCATACGCACTTTTCAACTTCACATGCTAAGCATTTCGAGCGTGAGAAAAAGGGATCAGACTCCAGCTGACTTTGATCTATTTGATCTGTCTTGGCTACTTTGTCAGACTCACGTCCTGCAACTTACCTTTCTTTGGCAGATCCTGGCTCATTATATTCACTCGCCATACGTCGCTGCTGCAGGGAATCAGCAGTCTACAGATTAGCTTCGGCATGTATTTTTTCAAGTCGTGCTTTGACACGTCCATCATCTGATATGACGCAGAGTAGACAGGGAAAAGGCGATTGAAAGATCATAGGCATGCAGAGAAGTGGGCAAGCATGCCTTCTTAGTATATCGGTCTTCGTTAGGCAGGCAGAAGGTGTAGGTATTCCAAAGAGGAATCCATAGCTCATCTTATACTGCGCCTGGCAATACAAGCCACGATGTCCAAAACACCTGATGTGCAGGATATATAGCTGATCTATTGTAAAATAGCGAAAAGATGAGAGGAATAGGTGCCTTTTCTGGTGCTATTAATTACCTCCTTCATCATCGCGCATATGCGAGCAAGGCCGCCGCCGTCGTCGTCCTTAGCCTCCTCGGTAAATAACAATCACCGCAGCAGCAACCACTTTTTGCCTCGCGATTTTCTCTTGATTTGTACCCTGACCAGGTCTGCTGACGTAGCTTGCTGCAAGATGCGCAAGATCCTACCTCTATAAGCTCTATTTGCTCAACAGAAAACCATCAGATAGTTTGTGTCGACGTCGGAACGTGCACGCGCCGAGTAGATTATATCCAGGGTTTGCTCGAACGCACCAGACTTTTTTTTCTCCCAAGAGTCGAAAAAAGATCGGCAGCTAGTAAATGGAAAAGGAAACAAGAGCTCGAGAATGGGTAACTCGCTCGTTCTGTATTTACTGCCTAATAAAGAAGGATAACCACGGAAGCGAAAATATGGACAGGGAATTAGGGACCGGGAGGTGCGCTAGACTAAACTACGAATAGACAGGCTTACGCAAAGAGTAGGCCTATATGAATATAGCGACCAACTATACAATTGATTAGTCGAACGGATGATCTTGTCGTTGCGTCAGCTCGGAATGTATAGAATCCAGCCTGTTGAAGTAGGTCTATCGGCGCTCGGTCGGAAGACTGTTCGATCCGGCTCACTTTGTTTCTTTGGTTCCGCGCCGCTGTTTTCAAGTTAGGACCATCATTTACGAGCACGGTATCCGTAAGAGAAAGAGAAGACGGCGATGTTGTTCTTATAAGAATTCATGTTGCTCATTGCGTCTTCTTTTTGTTTTGCTCGGCTTTCTGTTCAGGTATTCCGGGAGCCCTGGCCGCGGCCAAAGTTCAATTCTAGATCAGGCAGGAAACCTGCAGGTCGAGCGAAGACCCAGTAATAAAAAAACATAAAAGGAAAAGAGAATAGATGAGAATAGGGGAGTGGCACAGTAGTTAAGTGGAAGAGAAACGAAGAAGAGAAAGCAGAAGAGAAGAAGATAAAGAGGGAAATAAAAAAACATTAAAGCTACCGGAAGCAGTAGGATTGCAAGCAGCAGGCAGGCAGGAAACACAGCCAAGTTAATTACGCGTCGACACCCGCCCACGGGGGCGCGCGCATCGGTAACGTGTTTTTAATTAATAAATGAACAGCAGTCGAAAGATCCGAGTGGCCGGGCCAGAGGGGAGATTATTTGTGGCGATGGGAAATAAGAAGATGTGTTGAACGAAACCCGGCGGGGTTGTGGGCTGAAACAGAAGGCTGGAGCAGCAGAGACAGAGTGAGAGACAGGCGCTGGGGAAGCACGCAAAGGTTCCGCAAAGCAGCTGCGGTCTGCTGTACTGCTCGCTTCCCCTCTGCCCTGCTCTGCTCTGCTCTGTTACCATACGTAAAGCGAACGTCCACACGACACACGCGCTACCCAACGGCAGAAGCAAGCGCAGAGGAGCAGCGGACGAAGAAGCAGTAAAGGGAATAAACGATTACATGAACGATTACCTAACAATAAAAAAAGGATATTTATCGGAAGCTGCGGAGCGAGCGCCAAACGCAGGTCGCACAGTCTCGAGTCGCGCGACACGTACGGGCGAGCGGTGCGGCGGTGGCTCGCTACGGGTACCGCTCGAGATACTCGACCCGCTCCGCCGTCACCACGCGTTTGTCCATCGAACCTCGCCCGTACCCGTGTTTGGCCCAGGTCGACAACCCTCTCTCCTTCTACCAGGCTCCCCGCCCGGCTAGCACCCGCCATGGCCCTCCAGGCACTGCTTGTGTACATATATATATATGTTTCTCGTCAGTCCTGTTGCTGTTCTGCTTACTCTCCGTTCTCCCATTCCCCTCCCTCTCCAGTTCTTTTCTCTCTCCCTACCCTCTCCTAGCCCCTGCTCGCCCTCCTCTCCCTCATCCATGCTCCCCTCCGCCCTCCTCGCCAGGCGCGGCATTTCCAGCGACGATCTCGTCGTCCCCGCCGCCAAACGACAGTGCCTTTTCCCTCAAACCAGCCAATTCTCCCCTCAGCCCTCTTCCTCGTCTGTATCGACCTCGACATCCGCCTACAGTCTCCCGGCCTACGCCGAATACGACAGCTCACTGCTGGACAGCTCTTCTGCGGACTCTGCAGCCTTCGATCAGCAGCAATTAGACGACATCAAATGGCAAAGTACGTGTTCAGGAATACCTCCCCAGAGACTGACTGAATCGAGTCCCTTTCCCGCATTCCATCTGTGTTGTGACTAGCACTCTTGATTTCTCGCGCAATTCTTCTAACCACCCGCAGATCCCACCTTTGATCGAGTCCCAAGCCTCAACCGCGAAACGATGCAGCTGTACAACGACATCTTCTCCTTCGTCGACACCTCAAAGCTTCTCGGAAACGTCAACGTCGACGACGACGACACCGTCATCAACGACGGCGGCAATCGAATAAACAACTCGAACGACTCGTCGCTGCCAAAGTTTGAAGACGACAATGCCAGCAGCGGCCTAGACGACAGGTCCGAGCTGTTCTTTCTCGACGGATTCAACCCGCTTCCTGAGGTGCAATCATCCCAAACCTCTTCCTACCCGTCTACGCAGTCATACAGTTACTCGGTTTCGTCTTCGCAGATCGCGGCTGCTGAGGCGGCTGCTTCGAACGGTCTTTCGCCCGAGCTATTCTCCTACATCTGCCCTTCTGCCGCTCCCTACTCTGGTCCCTCATCCTCGAACAACAGCAGCAATAGCAACAGCAGGAGTAACAACAACATCCGGTATACAGCTAGAGACAACAGCAGGAGCAGCAATTACAATGCTCAATCAGCTGGCGCCGGCTCTGGAAAGCGATGGTCGGTAGGCTCGTACGCCTCTCAGGCCACAGGTGTCGTCAACATCTACGAGAGCGAGGTCCCATCCGATGCGATTGCCAGCATCGCCGCTTCGGTTGGCGACGACGGCTTTCAATTGCCCGGTCCAGGCGAGCCCGCCGGCGAATTGAAAGAGATGAGATACGCATTATCGCATGCGGCATCTCCATCAACGACCTCATCCTCGCCAGCGCTTTCGCCCACAGATCTCTCGACAGGATCAGCGAGATCGAGCGTCTCGTCCGTCGACATCAGCTCACCGACCGAAAGTTGCACCCAGGCAGTTCTACAGACCAGTACTGCTGCTGTTAATACGACAAAGCCGGCAGCGAATGACTGGGCTACGGCAACATCAGCAGCAGTGGCGGTGGCGACGAGCAGCAAGCGCGGAAGCCGTTCGTCGACTCTAGGTCAGCGACAAAGCAAGCACGCGTCGGGCTTCTGCGACTTCCCGCATGACTTTTACGCGCCGCTAGCGACGCGCCGGCAGCCCCCTCCGCAGTCCGATTTCGAGTGCGAGAACGCGGATGATGTTCCGCGCAAGCAAGAAGTTCGATTCAGTGGGGACCTGTACACGCCACTGTGGGTGCGCAAGAAAGGCGACGCGAAGGAAGGCTGGTGCGATTTGTGTCCGGAACCGCGGTGGTTGATCTTGAAGAACTCTGCGTACTGGTACGACAAGAACTTTGCGCATGGGATCTGTCCGGTGACGGGCAAGCGGTACACGCGTCCGACAAAGTGCCAGCGGATAAAGGGTAACGAGGAAATGTTTGAAGGGTTGTGCTCGGTGTGCAACCAGTGGATTCAGATCACGACCCGTCGCGGCGGTGGCGGGACTAGTTGGTTCAGACATGCGAATCGATGCCATAATTACGACCGACAGCGACTGGAGCATTAAAAAGAAAGAAGATTTGGATGATTGGATTTCAGGATTTTTCTCTTATGTTTATACTGGTGTGGGTTGTGGGTTATCGGAATATTGTGGGATACCGGCGTCACTTGTACATACCTGTCCTATTTTTTGTATTGATATTGTTTATGTTGAATGGTTTAGCGGTTGTGATTTGTTTGTCCACTGAATGTTTGGTTGCTGGGAAATAATAGCTAGCGCATGTACATGATAGAACCTTTAGATTCAACACTGAGGCCCACCTTGGGCATCTAACTTAAGTACTGCCATAGAAACCAAAAATAAATGACCGCACAATAGAATTTTAATAGATTGAGAGAAATAAAAAACATGCGATCCGAGCCAAGTTGCCAAGTTCGTTCGAGGCAGGCTTAGACCCTAGAGACTAGTAGATTAGTGACTCTTGCTCGGGATCCAGACGGGCCTGGATGGCCGCGGTGCAGATCAGAGGAATGCGGGCATATGAACGTATATGAAAAGTCAAGGATCTGCTGATAGTTTAGCGTATGCTTTTTCGCGGCCTACGCAGCGGAGTGGCTGTGGCCGGGCCAAGTCGATGGGAGGGAGAGAGAAGAGGTTTGTAGCGCAATCACGTCTGGGCGGTGGGCAGACGGCAGGATCGCGAGTCGTAGAGAGTCACAAAGAGTAGGAGGAGAGAAAAGAGATAGGAGAGGAGGAGACAGAACTTGCTGCTCAGCTTAGGCGAGCGCACCGAGCCGACAAGCGAGCGGAACACCCGCAAGTAACAGCAGCGGAGGAGCAGCGGAGGAGCAGAGCAACGCACAAACGCACAGCAACAACAGCAGCGGCAGTAACAGCAAGAGCAACAGCAGCAACAACAGCCCGCAACCAGCCAACCGCAACCAGAAACAAGCCCAACAGCAGCGATAACAAAGAACCGCAGCCAGAAGCAACCAGCACCTCCCAGCACCTCCCAGCACCTGGCACTCGCCTCAGCCACCGCGCCACGACTCGTGGCTGCACGTGTCGACTGGGCGGTCCACAAGCTGGCTTTAGCGATTAGCTAGCTGTCAGTTAAGCCTTCCTATTTGGGCACTATGCTTATGTCATCATACTGCATATGCGGCGCATCCGTGTTCGTATTGTGCTGACCTGTGCTTATTAATAGATGATGTAATTACCCCGCGAGCCGCACGGGAGAGTTCGTCCGAGGCTCGCTTCACCTTCACTTCAGGCTCTCTGCTCCTCTCTCCACTCGCTGTCTCGCTCACGCCTCCTCACTCCCACGCTCTTTTACTTCTCGCTCCTTTCCCCCTGTGGCTGCTATTTTGATGACGGTGAACGGCTACGACGACGAGTCCGAGCTCATCCTCAACCCCGTCGAGCTCTGGCGTAATCCCAATCCCGACTCAACCTGCTGTGCTCGCTTCATTGAGTACGTGAATAAATCTCACGGTCTCAATCTCAGTAAGTCCTCTTTTCCAATTCTTTTGAGTTGTGCTGACAATTAGCAGAGACCTACGATGATCTCTACTCGTGGTCTATCTCCGATATCCCGGCCTTCTGGGCTGACGTCTGGTCCTTCACAAATGTTCGCTCATCGACTCCATACACATCCGTAGTCGATGCCGCAGCCCCTATGTTCCCGCGCCCGCAGTTTTTTGCCGGTGCTACACTTTCCTACGCGCAAAATCTCCTCTTCCCGACCCCAGTGCCCGACGCAGACTCCGCCGCTGTCTACTCCGTCACTGAGTTCTCCACCACCGCCGTCACATGGCGCGAGCTTCGCGAGCGCGTCCGCAAGCTCTCTGTCGCCATGCGTCGCGCCGGCGTCAAACCTGGCGACCGCGTCGCCGGTTACGTCTCAAACAACGTTAGCACGCTCGTTTCCCTTCTTGCAACCTCTGCAGTCGGCGGTATCTGGTCCTCAACCTCATCCGAGATCGGCTCGGTGTCGGTCGTCGAACGCCTCGCACAGATCGAGCCCGTGCTCCTGTTCACCGACAACGCCTCGATCTACAACCAAAAAGTATTCAACAACTTAGCAAAGGTATCTGAGATTGTTGCGAAGCTGCCGAGTCTCAAGACCGTTGTGGTCGTCGAGACGTCGAGCGCGAGCGCGATTGACCTCGCGAGTGTGACACCCGCGGCGGGCGTTGCTGTCTTGGCTGACGACTTTGTGGCTAATGTTGGACAAGACGAAGAGCTTCAGTTTGAGATGCTTGACTTTGACTTTCCGCTTTTCATTGTCTACTCCTCTGGCACGACCGGAAAGCCCAAGTGTATTGTGCATGGACAAGGAGGCTCGCTGATCCAGCACAAAAAAGAGCATTTTATTCACATGGACATGTCCACCGGCGACGTGTTTTTCCAGTACACAACTTGCTCGTGGATGATGTGGCAGTGGCTGATTTCTGGTCTCGCATCTGGCGCCACCTTGGTGCTCTACGACGGCTCGCCGTTCCAGCCCGCCGGTGAATCGTCGATGTTCAAGCTGATTGAGGAACTTGGCGTCAAGTACTATGGCACCTCGGCAAAGTATCTTTCTATTCTTGAGCAGAAAAACTACATGCCGCGGGAAACCTATGCGATGAAGAACCTCCGCATGGTGACGTCGACGGGATCTGTTTTGAGTCCGTCGACGTTCTCGTACATCTACCGATCGCTCGGTCCGGATATTGTGCTCAGCAGTATCACTGGTGGCACCGACATTCTGTCTCTCTTTGGTGCTCCATCGCTGATGACGCCGGTCTACAAGGGCGAGATCCAGGTAAGGGGACTCGGTATGGCGGTCGAGGTGTGGTCGCCAGAGGAGGATGGCAAGCGTCTGGACGAGACCGGACAGCCCGGCGATCTCGTGTGCACAAAGGTGTTCCCCTGCATGCCAGTCATGTTCTGGAATGACCCCGCCGGCGAGAAATACGAGGCGAGTTACTTTGAGCGGTTTGGTCGGCACGTATGGCACCACGGCGACTTTGTGCGTCTGTCGCCAAAGACAAACGGTCTGATCATGCTCGGTCGGTCCGATGGCGTTCTAAAGCCGGCGGGAGTACGTTTCGGGTCGTCAGAGATTTACAACGTGCTGATCAAGGAGTTTCCTACTGAGGTCGACGACGCATTGTGCGTTGGAATGAAGCGAGCCGAGGACATGGACGAGACGGTCGTGCTTTTTCTCAAGATGCAGCCGCAGGTGTCGTTCACGCCCGAGCTTGTGGCGAAGATCAAGAAGACGATACGGGAGCAGCTGTCGCCGCGACATGTGCCGGGCATCATCGACGAGACGCCGGAGATCCCGTTCACGGCGAACGGCAAGAAAACGGAGACGATTGTGAAGGGCATAATCTCAAAGAGCAAGATCAAGGTCGGCGCGAGCGTGGCCAATGCGGATTGTTTGCAGTGGTATAGAGATTGGGCGGAAGCGCACTGAGTGTGTTGATTCGTAAATTGCATCATTTTGCTAGATCTTTTTTTGAGTCTGTTTTTTTTCTGTCTATAGTGTGTATATTGCGAGAAGGGTACTGTATTATAAATGAGATGTAGAAAAGAAAAATCGCACTGCTTACTATTTTGATCTTACAAAGACTGTATTGCTTCAATCATATTATACACAGTAAGCCCTTCCCAAACAAGGAAAAAAGCACTAGAAGCTGCTCTTACTCAAGCCCGATATCATCCTCATCATCCTCTTCTTCGTCGGCGTCGCGGTCGTTTTCGCGCTCACTCAGATCGCTGATATCATCCTCACCGATCTGCTTCGGATCCTGGATCTCTCCGCCTTCGACCGCATCAATCCATTCGCTGTAAATGTCGACCGGTACACTCAACTCTACAAAACACTAGTTAGCCACAAAAAACACCCTTTGAAAACACAAACTGAAAAGAAGTTAAGAAGAAGGAGAGCTATGACGCACTAGTAATCGAAGTCTGGAAATTCTGGCCGCAAATCTTGCAGTTCAAGAACCCGAGATTCATCTTCTTGTCGAGTCTGCAGATGACTGATTTTTCGTGATTGCAAAACAGGCAGGAGAAGACGGTCGGGAGGGGTTCGCGCGCGCGTCGCTGCGCGGGCTTGCGGGTTGATTTCTTTCGTTTGCCCTGTTGTTTGACAAGAATGAGATTGTGAGCGGGAGTTGGATGTTAGAAGGAAAGAGAAGGGGGTCTGAGTTGGTATGCTAGGGAAGCAGCGAGGAAGATGGAGCAGGATAGGAAAGAAGTAGATGTAGCGAGAACCTGCGCATCCAGCATCGAGGTGGAGGAAGCACCCCCACCCGCATCCCGACCAGCCAGCACCCCTACACAAACAAAATTCACATACCATTTCTACCCGGTTCAATCCTCTCGCACAAATAGAGAAGACTGCGGTGAGGACTGCTTGCAAAGGAAGAGAACAGCGAGTATGGGAGGGGGAGAAGGGAGGAGAGCCGGTGTGAAGGTGAAGAGTCAAGCCGTCTGTGGCGCGGGGGTGTGGCTGGGTGGGCTTCTCTGCTTAATTGAAGATGTCCCAACTGAGATGCGAGGAGGATATCGATATTCATGAGAGTATATATGTACGATTCATCAATTGTGACCTCTTCATAAGCATATAGTAGCGACAATCTACAGAAACCACCGTCTATAGCACAATTTGACAATGCCACAGCATTTCCTCCTCCGCCCACCCATCTCAACCCCCTCACCATCTTCGAAAGCGACGACGCTACCCCCGACGCGCATGCCGCGCATGATCTACGGCACCGCATGGAAGAAAACCACCACCGCAAAATTAGTCCACCAAGCACTTTGCGCCGGCTTCCGCGCAATTGACACCGCGTGCCAGCCGCGGCACTACAACGAAGCCCAGGTCGGCGCGGGCGTGCGCGCGTTCCTGCGCGAGCAGGAGGGGAAAGTCGGCAGACGCGAGCTGTATCTGCAGACCAAGTTCACGCCCGAGGGAGGTCAGGATCCCGCGACGATTCCGTATGACCCTCTGCTGGCGCCCGCTGAGCAGGTAGCGGCGTCGATCAAAGTCAGTCTGCAGAACTTGGGCGTGGAGTACATCGACACATTAGTCCTGCACTCGCCGTTTCCCAACTTCAAAGACACCGTCGAGGCGTGGCGCGCCATGTTCTCCTACACTCCCTACTCCCCAACATCGTCCACATCTTCCCCTGTGCACAACATAGGTCTCTCCAACATCGACCTGCCAACACTGACCGCCCTCGTCTCTGAAACCGGAATCTACCCGTCCGTGATCCAGAACCGGTTCTACGCCGACACCGCGTTCGACGTGCCCCTCCGCCGCTGGTGCGTCGCCAACGACGTCATCTACCAATCCTTCTGGACCCTGTCCGCGAACCCACATCTTCTCCGCAGCAAACGCGTGCGCGAGATCGCGGCGCAGTTCGACCTGCCTTCGCTCGCGACCGCGCTGTACGCTGCCGTGTTGAGCGAGCGGAATCTGGCGGTGCTGAACGGGACGACGAGCGAGAGCCATATGGAGGAGGATTTGCAGGTGGTCGAGAGGAATCTGCTGGAGGACTCCGAGGAGATAAGCAAGATGTTGAACGTCACTTGATTTCGTTATCTCACAACAATACTGCTATTACTGTAATTAAGAGTCTCATTGATCAGTAGAAAGAAATGCATGTGTATGTGTATGTATATATATATATGCATGAATGTATGTATGTACAGTCTTCCCCCCACTTCACCACCCATTCTCCTCCTCAAGCACAATATTCTCCAACTCGCGCGCAAAGAAATCCTCCTCGGGCTCCTGATAGCTCAGCGCGTCAATCGACTCCGGATACCGCCGCATATTATAAAACTGCACCAGCGCCCGCAGCGCAACTTCTTTCGGATACGAATCCTCCGCGCTCAACGCGCCGCCTACTTCCCCGCCTCCTATGCTGCCCGCGCCGCCTCCTCCTCCTCCTCCGCCGCTACCGCCGCCAGCTCCCGTGCCAGCTCCGTTCCCGCCGCTGCCCGCGGCTCCGCTATCGACGCCGGCGAGCCAGTTGTCGCGGAGATCCTGGCGGCAGTACAGATACACGGCCGTGATCACGCGCATGTTTGCATGGCGCCATTTGCGTCCGCAGTACGGCACCTGTCCCTTGATGATTTTGAGCGCGTACAACCTCGCGTCGTACTGCGATATGCGAAGAGTCTTGCGCAGCGCGTTGGGTACCTTGATCGCCAGTAACGAGAGGTGCCGGTACGCCTTGTTCTTCACAATCTTCTGAAACACTTTGAGTAGGTTGATTGAGCTAAACAGGTTCCGGCGCGAAAACACCGAGACCTCGTCTTGCATCAGAACTTCCTCCACAGTTTTCTCGGCCTCCGTACCCGCCGGCTTTCCTCCCGCTCCTAAATCACTACCGCCACCACCGTTACTCGACCCAGCGCCTTCGCGGTCGCCGTTCTCGCCCCGACTCATCGTAAGCTGAAGACGATCAGGCAGATCTCCGCCGGAAGCGAGCGTGCGGCAGACTGCAAAAAATTTAAGCTCGGGCACCTCGGGGATCTGAAGGATGAACTGCTCAATCTCTTTGGCGTTGAAGAGCTGTACAATCATCGGACAAATGTTGCAGTCGAAAAGCATCTGCGAGAGAAACTCGAATTTCAAAATGTCTAGATCTAGATTAGCCGAGGGCTGCACTTCGTGCCAAGTCCAAGTTAAACATAGTCAAGTGAGCTTACGTGATGCGCGAAACCATTTCAGCAATAAGTATAATGTCGCGGAGATAGCTTTCAAGATAATCTCAGTCTCGCGAGCATTCTCCAATTCACTCTTCACCTCGCCGTTATTAGCTGCACAATAGAGGTCAGCGAAAGTACTTGTAGAATAAATATAGTGTTCGGCATCCTCTTACAGTCCAGCTGTTGTTGCATCCCGCTATTTAGGAATGATGGCATCGGGCGAGAAAACACAATCGAGGCTTCTAGGGGTGAAATTACAGATAAGAAAAATTTGAGAGTCGTCACCACGAATGATTGCATGACGGGTAATATTTCGCGCTAGATCACAATGTTAATTAGCTGAACTGGTTCAGACAATAAAGGAGAATAGAGGGACGTACGTAGACAATTTCAACTCTGTCCAGTCGCTTTTGCGACCGTTCATCAAAGTCAGCAGCAGCAGCAGCGGCCTCGCTAGCTTTCTGTCCCGGAATAAATGGCGGCACAGGATCAGCATCGATCCATCCGCGCTCCTGCTTCATAAACTCTTCGCGCTCACGCCAAAGCTGGACGATGCCCAGACTAGTCCGTAACCGCTGCGCAAAGATCTCTTCCGCCTCTTGAATGCTCGTCGGTACGGTCTCGGTCTCGGAGTCGCCCTCGGCTCGGGGATACAGAAACGGGAACGAGCGGTCGGTTTGAAATACTGATTTTTTGCTTTTTGATGACTGTGGAGGTGGCGAAGGCGGCGGTGACGGTGCCGGTGTTGCAATGTGGACGGAGGAGCCAGGAAGAGGATCTGCCGAGAACTCAAACTCGGACGCCAGGCTGGCCAGCGAGCTCGAAGATGACGAGGCAGACGGATTGACGTAGATAGCAAACTCTCGCGGCAGAGACTCGGCAGTGGCTGGCTTGTAGCCCGGGTATCGCGAGGATATTGATTGCCGAAAGGCTTGGTAGTCGATCGGTGAGGCCGAGATCGGCTCTTTGATGGGCGACTCGGGGGGTAGACCTGACTGCGCTCTGGCGTGGGCTTTAGCGGCAGCGATCTCTTGCGAGCCACCAAAGATTCTGAGGATCAGTTTCCAGGTGAGAAGGAATATGTTGCGCCAGGGAAGATCGTCGGGGATGCTGAGTCGGAAGGTCGCAATCTTTTTGATAAAGTATGAGATCAAATTCGGATCTTGAGAAGCGAGCGTATCGCAAAATGACTCGCTGTCGACGCTTTCAATCATGATGTAAAGGATAGTAAGCGCTAAGAAGACATCCCGACGGATGATGTTGAGATTATAGAACTCTTCGTCTTCCAGCGACGGCTTGGGCGAGGATTCGCTGAGTTTGGTTGTTAGCTGTGTTCAGAAGAGAGACAGTGGAGGTGGGCATACTAAATGGTGTCGATGCTATTGCGAATACATTGGTAGAGAGGAGTCACGGCGTCGCATTTCACTAGCAGAGCAGCATTCTCGCGAATCAGCTCAATCTGGTTTTCCTGGGAGGTCGAGTTGGCAAAGACGCCGATAGCGATGTAGTATAGTACAAGTAGGGCCTGCGTTCGTTCGACATCTGAGCCCTGTAGCTTTTTGAGCTGGGCACGCACGAAGTTTTCGCGCTTGGATGGTTTTGTGGAGGTCCAGGCTAGGAGATTGAGTCAGAATACGACACAACTTGCAGAGACGGAAGAAGATGAGGAACGCGTACAATCAGGAAACTCAGCTAGAAAGTGATCGTAAGAGTCTAGCAGATAGTCGTTGTCAGAGTAGGTAAACCACTCTTCAAGCTCTGCAGTGAATGAATCCGAGTCTGCATAATCGTATTTGAACTCAGGAGCCTAAAAAGAGACAAGTCAGTGACGAAGAAGCGGAATTGCAGGAGGGTGGTGGAGGTGGACATACGCGAAACCGCGGCTTCGTGCTGAGGCGCCTGATCTGGTTCGCGTTGAGGGGGTCGGCGAAGACCGGTGCTGAGTCGGCGTCGTGCTCTGTGTCTATCGGAGAGACCACGGAGAGTCGCATGGGAGAGAGCGAGGGGCGGAGAGGGGAGCTGGTTCGATGGTGGATGCCAGATTAGGATGGGGAAGAGGCGATGGGAGGCAGGAAGCAGGCGGTGACTCGAAGGCAGGGCAGAGGGTTTTGCCATTGTCACGATCTGGGGGTCTGGCAGGCGACGACCCTGCGGAGAGAGGTGCGGATGACTTGCGATTGTGTTTCTTTTAGACTAGTAATTGTTTTGCTACAGCGAGTGTGTATAGTTCGAGGAAGCGCGGGGGTGCTGGGCGGTGACAAGACTAGAACGAGAAGTCGCGTCGAGAAATGTGATGTGCTGAGCTCGAACGCGTCGCATATTTCTCGACACCAGATCTGCTTCACGGGCTGCCGAGTGATAGAGATCTGGGTAGGCAGAATCGTGGCTATATAGACAGAGGCAGGCCCTTGTTTGCTCAACTGCACGCTGTTCCCTATTGTTGTTTACTCTGCCAAAACAGTTGCAAAACAATTGCAATCGCGCGCATGTTTTGGTTGTTTTGTTTTCTTTGATCTCAATCGGATCTGATCTGCTTCGACCTTCTCGCACTTCACGCTCTTCTTCTTCTTCCTCATCCTCCTCGTCCTTCTTCTCATACTCCCCCTCCTCCTCCTCAATCCTCCATCTCTCCTTCCACCCTGTCTGCCTCCAACGCAGAAAAAAGGCCTCAGGCGCTCTCCCAAATTAAATACTAATGGCTTAATGGGCCGCACGGACAAACCTGAACGCATGCGGCACGCTGTGCATTCGCGGCTCGGGGGCTTCCTAAAACCTACCACGCTCACCTCAAACCTCTCCACCACAACAACACCTTCCTCACCGCCCGCCTCCTCTCCTCCCTTCCTCCCCAATCCCTCCGCCTCCCATCCCTCCATCCTCTGTTGTCGGCCGATGCTGCCGCCAATAGAGCGTCTCCATCCCCTCGCCCTTCCCGAGAACCTCCTGCCTGCCTCTGAGCGTCCGCCGCCGCCGCCGCCGCGTCGTCTCTCCTCTGCAGACTCCACCGCCAGCAATGCCCGCCCAGTGATCTCGCAGCGGCACCGCACCGCCTCCTCTCCCGAGCGGCCTTCTTCTTCTCTTTCCAACTTCTCAGACTCCTCCTCCGGCCACTACTACCGAGGTCCATCTTCCGCACGTGCACACAGGCGCAACCTCGCGCACATCAAGAACTCCGTCACCGCAAACCACTCTGCCATCGAGCCTCCTCCGCCCCGCGTCTCCTCTCGCAAATCTTATGTTCTCCACGATCTCCCCGCTCTGTCTACCAAAAATTCCCCGACGCTCTCGTTCCCAGACATCCCACTGCCACCACCGCCCCCTGAGCGCAAACGCGACTCGAGCGCCGTCCGATTCTCCCGATCAACCCCCGATCTCCATGCCCTCTTTCGTGCTCAGTCAAAATCGACCGATCCCCCCTCAACCGGCGACTCCGGTCTCTCTCTCACATCTTCGACCTCCTCCTCAATCACCAACGGAAGCAACAACACCTCTGCTGCCGCTGCCACCACAAGCACCGCTGCAAGCATACCAACCCTAAAATCAAAGCGCTCGTTCCCACGCCTACGTCAGCTCGCCCGTCGCGCCGTCTCGTCGGGTACGTCCACAAAGCGCATCTCCCGCTCAGTTTCTCCGCTCTATAGGAACCCAGAGTACGGCTTGCAGTCAAACATCGAGCTTGTCCCACCACTGCCCGACAAATTTCCGCGAAACGATGCCTCGGTAGACACCTCTGTTTCGAGCAACGCGTCAACAGGTGATCGCACTCCCGACACTCCTATCACCCCCTCTTCCGTCATACTCAGACCTTCCACACCAGTCTCCGACAATACCTCAGTGACTGTTTCGGCTGCCCCGAACATTGACCCTGTAGCCACTGCTCCAGATCATGTTTCGACTGACAACGACCCCGAGAGCGAAAAACAGCTTCCTGCTTTGCCGTCACCGTCACCTCCCCCGTCGCCTTCACAGTCAATTGCATCTCCCGACATATTCTACACACCCCGAAATTCAGTTCAGCGACGTTCACTACTACCTGAACCATCTCAATTTGCCTCGCACGCCGATGATCTCGCTTTCACAATACCTCCTCGCTCTCAGACATATGATCCCTCGTTCTCGACTCACCAGCTGCCTGCAGATCATATGGCAGCCCAAGTATCCGCTCGCTTAGCACAAACTGAACCGGAGAGTCACGATGTGTCTCGTAGTGTTTCAAGGAGCACGGTTCAGACGACCGCAAGTGCTGCTTCAAGCACTGGATCATCTGCAGAGTCAAAACGCAGCTATAAGCGCGTACGCTTGATCCGTGAGCTGATTGATACCGAGCAGGCATACTTGCAAGATCTCGACGTTCTCGACAAGGTATATATACGCATTCACGACTTTTCGTGTCTGTTTCTCTTTACTAACATCCTACAAAACACTATAGTATTACAGACAAAGTGCGAGTGGACGCTCGTTCTTTAGCAAGGACGACATCAAGGTCATTTTTGGAAATTTATCAGCGGTAATCGACTTCACCAGCATCTTCAGCGTCAGTCTGCGAACGGCGGCGTCGGTGGTCTATAGCTCGAAATCACAAGACTCGGATTCGGTGGACGGGTCTGCCTTGGATGAGCGAGACTCGTTCATTGGCGAGACTTTTCTACAGGCTGTAAGTTAATTGCTCCCATTGTAGCTTGATTGGGTTGTAAGCTTATTCGTGATACAGATCCCACAACTCGAGCAGGTTTACACTGCATACATTCACAATCAGCAACTTGCAGTCAATCGCCTTCACAAAATCACATCATCATCGTCTTCGTCATATCATCGCTGGGAAGACTCGTGCCGCAAAGCGTCATCGTCAAAAACCAATGCTTGGAGTTTGGAATCGCTGCTAGTGAAACCAGTCCAGCGACTCTTGAAGTATCCGATGCTCCTGAAATCGCTCGCCGAGCTCACTCCAAGCAGTCATCCAGATAAGCAAGCGCTCATTCAGGCTGCAGAAAGCATAGCCTCGTGTGCAGACAGGATCAACGAACAAAGCCGACGGGTCCATCCCAGCGCGTCGGAGCCGGATCTGCGAGGAAAATCCTCGAGTTCTCGAAAGGGGCTTGCTCGGTCGACCGAAAAGCTGAAGTTCACGGTTGGCCGTACAGGATCTGATAAATCAGCCTCTTCCTCGACTCCCCAGCTCCATCACCGATCTACGAGCTCAGTTACAAGCATAGCGTCCTCTCAATCAGCTTCGACATCAACTACGGCCGTTGCTGCGCTTACTCCGGTTCAAACAGCATCGTCATCGGCCACATCGACCCCCGTTATCAATCAAGGTCCGGTAGAATCGGTCGATAAAAACTACGACGCCATTGTCGATCGATTCCGTCGGCGTCATTTTGAGCTTCGGGTAGTGATTGAGTCTTTTGCTGGCGCAGTCAATGCTACTACTGCAGCGCTGAACAAGATGTATACTTTTGGCGCAAGTTTGGAGGACTATGCTCGGTTGCCTGAGTCAAAGACAGTCACTCCTCCTCAGAGTCCGCGAGTTGGCGTTTCGTCCCCCTCCTTGAGCAGCCGATCTCGATCTACCGCTAATCTCCGCTCGGCAAAGACTACGGCTGTGCCTTATGCACATGCCGACAAGTTCTCGAGTTTCAAGAATTCGGCCCAGGAAGTGCGTGACCACGAGCTTCCTCGGTTCCGCGCTGCGGTGATGACCCACGTTCTTTCTCCACTCGAGCAGATTCTCGACCTTTTCGATGGACCGATCAATCAGGCGATGGCGCAGCGGGACCGCAGAGTACCAGACTACAAGCGATATCTTCATTACAGTGAGCGCGGTCTCACTCCGGCCAAGCACGCAATCATGCTCGCGAACAATTTCAAGGAAATTAACTCGCAGCTTGTGACTGAGATCCCAATGTTCCTGAAGATGGTTGATGATATGGTTCGGGCGGTCACCCTCAACTGGGTCGATATACTGGCTCGGTGGAACTTGGTCTATGCGCGCAGAATCCGGATGCATACATCCAAGGATCTGGAACGACATCGCGGGGATGTCTCTACTGGTAGCGGGCAATCCAGCTTGGCGACCGAAGACATTGAGATGACGTTTGCACTCAGGTACTCAAAAGTCGAGCAGTCTCTCGCGGCGCTTAAGTGCTGTAAACCATTGCAACTACATCAAACTAAACCTGCTGCCGTGCAACGGCCCGGAAAGCTGAGATAGAAATTTGCTGCAGCTGCTGAGATATAGAGCGCATTGCTCTTTGATTCCTGACTGTGGAAAGATTGTATAAACTCGTATAGTGTACACAGGTTGGGTTGCTTTATGTTGCTTTTGCCGTCGATCGTTCCTTTTTGCATACGGCTCTTTTTGGCTTATTCGCGGGTTGCTTATGTATATACGGACTATTCAGGTCTTGCCAGAATGAATGACCAAAATTGGCGCATGATGTTTTCACTTAGTTATGGATAGATTTAAAGGTCATACAGCTTGGTTCTCAAATATAAACTGGTAAAGTCTAAAGTTGCTACCGTAACAGAAAACAACTACGATCTGGTCTACGCGTCAGGCGTGTGTACTTTCGGCCAAAACCAGAAACCCCATTCCACCAGGCGCGTGCCCGCCCGAATCCGCACATTTCAGCGCACCCGCCCTCTTCCGCCTCTCTTCTCCCTTCTCTTCCCTCCCCCCCCCCCCCCTCCCCCCCTCTTCCCCCTCCCCCAGGACAGGTTCCCGACTTCCGTTCCACATCAGCTATCTGGTCTATTTTCCGGCAATAGATCGAGATGATCGGCATTCCGGCTCTCTCTCTCGACGGCAAAAACAGTGGGTGAGGGCTACTAGGGTGGGCTTTGATCCGCTCCCTTCTTTCGCATGCGTGATACCTCTCGGAGACGCCAGAGAGCGGCCTATACTGCGCAGGTAGCATCTTCAGAGGGTAGCCTATACCAGGGATATGGCGTTCTCAGAGGGTAGCCTTTACCGTTCCAGCGAGCATTTTCAGAGGGTAGCCTATACCGCGCGGATGGCGTTTTCTTTATGAGACCAGCCTACACCGCACCAGGTAGCATCCTCTGAAAATGGCTTGTAATGGTCCAGGTAGCATTCTCTTGAGGATAGTCTATCCCAGGTAGCATTTTCTGAGGGTAGCATATACCGCAGCAGGTAGGATCAGCGCTGTGTGGCAGTCCGATGCGGGTGGTACTCGTGGAGACACCAGAAAGCAGCCTATGCTGTGCAGGTAGCATCTTCAGAGGATAGCCTATACCAGGGAGATAGCGTTCCCAGAGGGTAGCCTATACCGTTCCAGAAGCATTTTCAGAGGGTAGCCTATACCGCGCGGATGGCGTGCTCTTGATGAGACCAGCCTACACCGCACCAGGTAGCATCCTCTGAAAGTGGCTTATAATGGTTCAGGTAGCATTCTCTTGAGGATAGTCTATCCCAGGTAGCATTCTCTGAGGTTAGCATATACCGCATCAGGTAGGATCAGCCTTCTGGCAGGTCTTTGCGAGAAGTCTGAGAATAGCTTATGCCGGACCAGTTCGTCCGGTTACGCTCTCCCACGCGTGCGCGTTGTGACATGCATGCGAGAGAAGGTAGGGGAGAGAAGCTAACTCGAACCAAGCGGACTGGTTAACGATCCGCATGCGCAGATACCGGGTGAGTGCGCTCAAAGGAACTGCAATTCCGTTGTCGGCCCGGTTCCTCTGCGTGGTCGGCCCGTACGCGCCACGACCCTGGCTCACAGGATCGGCGTGGTTGGTCAGGGCGGCCAATCTGGTGGGCTTCTTCTCTAGCCAGGTTGCTCACTGGATTTAAAACGTCTTCGTTGACGCGTCTCTGAAACTCATGCGCTGGTAGGTCGCGCCGTCGCAAGGGAGCCCCGAGGCGACGGTCGTTGAAGAGAGTCCGCACGACCAAGCGGTTCAAGCGCAACGTTGACAGTCCACCAATACGGGGGCAGTCCATGACTGTCTTCTGGGTGAAGTCGGGTTTTAGTGGGTATGGCGACTTCGAGAGAGTCGCAGAGTCCCACATAACTCTTGAGCAGGAGCTTGGTCTCTTGTTTGAGAGTATGCGTAATGCATTCTCCCCGATCCTGGCACCAGTCGCTTCATGCGCGCTCTTACTGTTTCTGCTTTTTCTGTATCTGCTGCTCTGGTGTTGTGCTGACAACTGTCGTACTGGTGTACTGTACTGTACTGTACTATCATGTTGTATTGTTTTATTGTTTTATTGTTTTATTGTTGTATTGTTGTATTGTTGTATTGTTGTATTGTTGTATTGTTGTTTGTTGTTTTCTTCTTTTCTTCTTTTCTTCTTTTCTTCTTTTCTTCTTTTCTTCTTTTCTTCTTTTCTTCTTTTCTTCTTTTCTTCTCTTCTTCTTTTCTTCTTTTCTTCTTTTCTTCTTTTCTTGTTTTGTTTCTTGTAGCTTTGCTACTTTTTTTGTTTCAATTTTTTGTTTCATTGTCTTTTTATTGTGTCGTTACTACAGTTGTTTGTTACTTTACTACTTTTTCGTTTTATTGTCTTTTTATTGTGTCGTTTCTATATTTCTTAGCAGAGAGCAGATTTGTTCGTGTATTTTGGATGTAAGAGCGCGCGGCGATACCGTATTGGAAAACCAAGAAAGAAAAAAAAAAAAATCCTTTCTTTTCATTGTATATAAGTTATATGATTCTCGCACAGTAGACTAGTAGATCAAACATGCATGCTGTAGAAATCACGTCAAGGTAATAGGATCATCTATTTATCTATAACTATGGGGAAGAAATCTTTAATTACAAAATGGCTCTCTTTTCTTGTATATACAATAATTGCCTTTGTGCAAGACACCCCGCGCGAACCACTTATTAGAAGAAGGAAAAACAGAGATTATATAGACTGATGACAACACAAATGAAGAAGCTTAGGAGAAACGATGGTCATGTATATCTACAAAAACGGAAACAAGACACTCTTCATCAGAGCTCTCGGGTTTCCATGGCCGGTGCTCACATGCCTAGTTGTGACGAACCGCCGCCAAAACTCCTGCTGCTGCTCCCGGGCGATCTTGACAACGGCGAGAAGCTGCTCGTCGTTCTCTTTGGCCTCTTCATACCCTGCCGACTCGTCATAATACTCTTCCATCTGGTTCTCAGACGATTCGTACCGATTCTGAGCTTGCGCAGGACGCCTGCTGGAGAGTTTCCGGCGCTCGTCGATCAGTAGCGTGAGCTCGTCGATCTGGCTCGAGGACGAGATCGTTTCGTTGTTGATGAATTTGTCGATATCGTCGTTCGTCACAGAGGTACCGAGCGTGAAATCCATGGTCGCGGATGCCGCGGATGCCTCGGCGATCGGCCTGAACCGGATGTTGTAATCCCCGAGTTCGTACGCGAGAGTGTGGTAGACGCGCACGCGTCTCAAGAGGGGACCGGAGTACAACGGTATGCCGTCCGCCACGGTGTCGGCAACCTCGGTCACGCTCGCAATATTGCCAAAAGCAAGCTCCTCCTGCTCAAGCTTTGGCAGCATCTGAAAACCCATTCTAGGATGCTCGGGCGACAACGCGTAGATTCGGTTCTCGATAGCTGAGCGACTGGTCAAAAAGTTCTTGAGATCTTCTTCGAATCGCAGGATGACTCCCGCGTGCCGGTAGTAGTCCAGCATAAGCTCGGTCTCGTTAAGATTGAACTGCGCTACTTCCAGCTGGCGCGCGCCGCGCAGCGCGTCAACAAGCTCGGGATCGTAGCGGCTCTCGAGGAGTTGGATGTAATTCCAAGGTTTCTGGATGTTCAGATAATCTTTGATCGTCATCGAGCTAGCGTCACCTTCGAGCGCGGCGACGGTGAAGCCGCTGGCGAACTCGCGCGCGCCGGAAACGTAGTCGACGATGGTCTTGGTGAGCCAGAATGAGGGATGGCGGAGCTTCTCAAACTCGGCAGAGCGATACTGCGTGTAGTAGGACTCGGCCAAGACTGACAGGTTGTCGATCGACAGAAATGTAGGAATCCTGTAGTTGAACAATTGTTAGATGTCATAATCTCAGCCACGACACATGTCAAAGAAGAGAAAAAGGGAGCATACTTTTGCGATTCCAACTCAGCAAAAAGACCCTTCAATCCAATGATAGCATTCTCGCTGTTTTCAGCGCCCGCCAGAATCAAGTCCTGGATCGTAGCTTCGCCTGCCTGTAAAGTCGTCAAGCTGCCCCGTTCACCGTGGAACGTGTAGGAGTTTAAGAGTGTGTGCTGAAACAGCGGGTTTTCCTTCTTGGTCCGCAAGTCGTACGCAGCGCAGATTTTTCGCAGCAGTCGCTTCGCGTACATTGGCTGGTCGTAGAGACCGGTCTCGGGGTCGAACTTGTAGTCGTGCGAACCGTCAATCAAGTCCTCGACATCCGAGATATGAATGACAAGGCATCCGAGCTGATGAGCAATCGCAACGGCCTGTTGCAGAACGACACTCTTGCCGGAGCCAGAAGGTCCCGTCAGCACCACGCTCTTTGCGCTTGTCAAGGATTCGGTCACGTCGGCGAGAGTATTCTGCAGCTCCTTGGTCGCCTCACGCACGATTGTTGCACCCTCGCTGAAGAGATTGAAGTATTGCTTTGGAAGAATCGCAGTGTTGCTCTTGAGCATTTTCATTGTCTTCTCAGAGTAAAGAGCCAGGTGCCCGGCCTCTGCAGCTGGCGAGAACACAACTGTCTCCTTCAGAAGCTGGTCTTCGCGAACAGGCGGCGTCGGTTTAAACACTTTGCGTTCACCACTTGCAGAATCTCCACCGGCAGTCTCGACAGTTTTCTCAAACGAATAGATAGACGACGTCGCGGACTTCTTAGGCGCAAACCGCTTGATCTTTGGTTCCCGAACCTGGCCCATTTTATTCGCAATCAACTGGGCACGTTGCTCCGCACGTTCTTTTTTGCTGACATGTTCCTTCGCGCTCATGACTGCCGATGAACCAAATTGACGACTGCTCGAGGCCGGTAGCCTCGACTTGGCCGCCGCGGACGACAATGACGCCGACGAGGCCTGTCTGACGCTACGTCCGGCGTGTTGAAACAGACGAGCGGACATGATGTTGTGCCCTCGATTCAATTAGGAAGAAATAAGATAAAAGACGATGTCTCCTCCAAGCTGAATTAACAAGGAAATCAACGCAGTAAGGAAACAGGACCTCTTGGCTCTCTGCTGCTGGCAAAGTTCTCTTTTTTTGCTTTGGCGGGCAGCTCGAAGTTTTCGCGATTTCACGAAAATTTACCTGAACTTTGAGACCCGGGCGGTTCGTCGAGTCTGCTCGTGTTATCTGACCCAGTTTTACATTATTCTTTCACATTAGTGCTTTTTTGCTATTTTGGATACATATGCATAGCAGACCCAGTTTTATGTTTTGACTATTGTAATATGTACTGATCACTATTTTGGAGTGCAAGTTACGTTAACCACCTCAGCTTCCCCCATCCAACCAAACAGACCTCTTTTCTATTACTGCCAAAAATCTACAATCACCCATCTAGAAGCGAGAAATATCGCGTCCAAAGATCCAATTGGCGAACCTATATTGCATAAAATCAGGCTGTCAGTTTCTGTTCTTGCGTTGGTCATTAAGCATGTAGAACGTACCAGTAGGTAGGGATCAGGATCTTGTTCTTGAAACTGACGCACATCGAGAGATACGCGCCTCGCCATAGTAACCAAGCGGTGCGTCTGTATCAGTTGACCTAAACGTTAGCTCAATGAACACTCTTTTCAATTGATCTCAAAAGACACGTACCCAGTGATGGCGGCATCGCCCTGCATGATCGCCCTCCATCCGCCGAGATAGGCCATGATACCCCGGTTCTTGAACTTGAAAGGCGAGTGCACCAGATCTCCCGCAGCACGGCCTTCTTTGTTCAGTTCCTTGGCAAGATAGATTGCCTTTTGCGACGCGACCTGTGCAGTTGCGGGCAAGACCTGGCCTCTGATCTGGGCGCAGTCGCCGATCGCGTAGATGTCTGGATCAGCCGTTTCGGTACCGTTGGTATCCTTGGGAGCCCGCATGACATGCAGCTCGTCGTCAGTTACAAGACTGCTGCGTTTATCCTTCACGACGCCGTCCATTGACTGGACAAACGGGTTCGGCGCCAACCCGGTCGACCACACCAGCAAGCCGTACTTCATAACCTCGTCCTCGCCTTTCTCGTTTTTTACGCGGAGCGAGTCCGGCCCAACTTCCTGCACCGAGACACCAGTGCGGATGTTGATGTGCTGTCTCGTGAAGTACGTCTCAGCATAGGACGAGAGTTTGTCGTCAAACGATCCTAAGATTTTCTTGGCCACGTCGAAGATCGTGATCTGCACGAACGGCATGAGCGAGGGGTAGTAGAACTGCATGTCGTCGTGGATCAGGTCGTGGAGCTCGGCGGCGAACTCGATGCCGGTGGGACCACCGCCGACGATACAGAAATTGAGCAGCTCGCGCTTTTGCTCCTCGGGCACTATAAACAAGTTTGCTGCCTCAAAGCCTATACATATACCATATGTTAGAACTTGTGCAAAAAGTAGCAAGCGAGTGGATACGAACGCTCTAGAATCCGCTTTCGAATCTTTCGCGCGTCGGCAACGTCCTTGAGAAAGAAAGCGTGCTCTTTAACGCCCTTGATGTTGAACGTCTGCGAGTAACTCCCGACGGCGATAACGAGCTTGTCGTACGGAACCACAAAATTCTCGTTCGGATCAACGCCCTCTATCCTCGGCGCGACCGTAATTTCTTTCTTTTCGAGGTCGACCGTGCGCGCGACAGCTTGCACGAGCTCGAGGGTTGGAAGACGTAGCTCGTGTGCTTTCTGGCTGGTGATCTTGTGATCGGCGTTTGCGCTGCGGAGTTTGATGGTCTGCAAGAAAGAATCGAGAGAGTCGCTCAGCTTGCGCCAGCCCTTGCCTTTGTCCCGTATGGACTCTGTAGCGACGCGGAACTCTAGTGTACCGACGGCAGTGGAAGCCAGCAGAGGCGTGAAGACAAAGTAGGATCGCGGCGAGACGACCACGCAGCGGTAGTAGCGCGGGTCGAGGTTGCGAATCATATTGAATCCTCCCCAGCCGGAGCCGAGGATAACGACAGTTTTGCGGGCTGCAAGCATTAGGCCAAAGTTAGCTGGTCGGGACGTTTGATGTCTCTGAGAAGAAGCAGGTGTTGGACAATCGTACAGTCTTGCTCGTTGGGTTTCGAGAGCACGGTCGAGGGCGACATGCCCTCGTAGTTGCGCAGTAGCGCGGTCGACGTCTGCGGCGCCTCGGTCGCGTAGCAGCGCGCACCCGATGCGAGCTTCACGCGCCCAAGCACGCGGGTAGTCGCGCTGGTCGGTTTTAGTGTACAAAGCATGAGATGTGGTAGTAGTATTGATGGCAAAAGAGTGTAGCAACGGACGAAAAGAAGACAAGAAGACAAGAAGACGAAGAGTCTCGGGACGAGACGTCGAGAACGGCTCGAGAAATAAGCATTTCGGCGATCATCGAACCGCTTTCTCTCCCAGTTTGGCCTCCGCCATCACCGCCCTCGCTCGTAGTTCTAACATTCGACTACGCAAGGAACAACTAAAAACCCATTCATCTTCTTCTTCTCGACAAAACCACTGGATTCCCGCCGCTCTTCTTTACCAACAGCTCTTCGCCGGACAGAGCAACAAAGCCCTGACGTCACCGCGCGCTGCTCGCCGCACCGCCCCTGATTTCTGGCACCGGAATTGGGATTATCTGTCGGCCCGACGCGAGCTCCGGCGTCCGACTTTTGGCTCGCGGAGTTTCGACGACTCCGGGGAGTTGTTTGCTGTACGAATTGTGTCATTGCACGCTCGTTGATTGGAGGTTAGAAGGCTCGGGATTTCATTGCGATCTCGTTTATCGCCGGAGTTTGTGCTCGCGTTCAACTCGGGGTTTTGCGAAGTCTCGCTCTTCAATCGTCATCGCCTCCGACAGTCAAAGACGAAGTACCATAATGTAAGATCTAGTAACAATCCGTTCCAAAACTCGCACTCGCTGCTCACTCGCTGCTTAATGCATTGTAAAACTAAAACTACAAGCTCGACCACTCTATCAACTATAACGCGTCTTTTTAGCCCGTATTCCGCAGCTCCGGGTCATAATACGGAAGCTGCAAAATCTCAAACACCTTCCTCTCTGCCGCTTCCATCGTGTCTGCTGTGCAATCAACCAGCTTGTTTGTTTTTAGGTCGAGTAACCCCGAGCTGTGAAATTTGTAGCCGAGCTTTTTGGCGCGGATCCTCAGGTCTCGCTCGAACGTTGTTCCGCCTAGATTTGACATTAGACATGATCCAACCAATAGTTTATCTTCAACACATAACCAAACTCACCCGTCCATCCAACAACGGCCGGTCCGATGACCTTCCAATCCGCGCATATAAGATCAACGCGAAAGTGCGCCAAAGGCACGCCGCTCACGTTCGGCACCGTCGACCACACCACCAGCGCCAAATCAAGAAGCTCGCCTTTCCGCAAATTACTGGTGATTGTCAACACTTCTGTGATCAGATTCGCTTTCTGCAGACGCTTGATTAGTTCTTGAAGGAAAGTGTAGTGCTCGCCGGGTTTGTTGTTTGGGACCGTGAGAAGCATGTCGACGTCGGCGTGGGAGGTATTCCCGCGACGATATGAACCGCCTACAAGTGACAGGGCGTCTGGGTGAATGTCCTTCGCGTATCGGGTTACCGTCTCTGCGATCGCGGCGACCTGTTCCCGATTCAGTCTGCCAGTTCAAAGCAGGATTAGATACAGTAAAACTACACAGAAGAAAGGAAAGGCAACAACACTCACTTGACTTTCAAATCCTGGTAATATCGAACTCCTGCCTCTTGATGCCGAGTCAGACTGCTCATCCCCTCGCGCTGCACATCCTCGATCGACTTCCATCCTTTCTCCCTCACCCAACTCGACGCAGTCCTCCCACCGACCCCCCAAATCTCTTGCAACCGCTCGATCGCCTCATACTCAGCCGTATCAGCCTTCGCAGTCTCGCTCTCGATCGCGCCCGTCTCCAAAAACTCATTCACCAGCTTCAAAGTCTTCGCCCCGCAGCCATTAAGCCGCTTGACCTCCTTCCCGCTCTTGATCTTGTACGGATACGATCTGATCGACGCGATCGCGGAAGAGTACGCGCGCACGCTGGTGTCATTGCCGTCGAGATCGCGGAGATGGCGGATCTGCGCTAGGATCTTTGCCAGATCCTCGTTCGGGCAAATGAGCGGGTGCGGGCGGTAGCAGGATAGTTTCTGCAGGTAGATCGGGTCGAGCTCCGGAAGGTCGCTGTCTTCCCGGGACGCGGCGGCGACCGCGGATAAGTCCTTAGCCACTCGCTTTTTGCGCGTCTTGGGCACCTTTGTCGAAGGCGTCGGGGACGCGGGATCGGAGAGCGAGCTCGAATCATCTTCGTCTGTGTGTTTCCTGCGCCGTCGCTTCACCGGCGTCACCGGCGGCGTCGCAGACAGCGAGGACATAGACGCAGATTGAATGTTGAGTATATACCTACTCCGGTCCTCGATCCTGCCGCTTGCAATGCACCTCCTCACCCAATCGATCTTCACCACCAAAGGCGCGGCTCCCGCCCTCAACACCTGCGCGGTAAGTCCGCATCTGCGCAACTCCATCGCAGCACGCAACGCGCTCTCTAAGTTCACCAGCACGATCCCGGCGTCGGCAACAGAGTCTACTATCGTCGCGCCTCGGTCTCGAAGCGCGCTCTGCAGTCTCTCGCGCTCGGTGTCGCCGAAATGGGTCGATAGCACGTAGATGGCCTCGGTCGACGCGAATATCCTCTGATCTGGCAAACGAGCGACGGCTTCGACGGGCGAAAGTAACGTATCTTGCGAGTCCAGGACTACTCTGGTAACAACCCAGCTGGAGAAATATAATTAGCCACCCTTCAGCTCGCTCGGGGTCCAAAACATCCAGAAAGAAGCAGGAGCATCGTCTGAAAGTCAACATTTGAGGGGTTTGGGATAAGCGAGGTCATGTGACGTCGTCTCTATCCGTGTGGAGGGGCATTTCTACAAGCTGATTTTCTCTTAGAATTGAGCAGGCAGGTTCGATGGAGGAGATAGTGGTATAAGAGATATATTACAGAGTATGTGCAAATATCAACAACTTCCTAAATGCAGCAAAGCTCTATGAAACAAAGAAACAAAACGCCGGAACGAAATATGAATGACTACAGTACTACGCATTCTCTCAAAAGAGAATCAACTACCTCACCAACACGCGCCCACACTCATATCTCGGCTGAGTTTAGGTAGGCCTTGCAATGCTCATATACTACAAACGTAACGCACGTCGCAGGAACCACGCGGAAGAGGTTCGGCACCAATCTATGAGCAGGCACGGGTTAGTATCCAGAAAACCAGAAGCAAAGTCACGAATCTGCCTTACCCTTTATAGAACCCCAGAATTCCCTCCTCCTTTGCGGTTCGGAAGATGACGTCACGCATGGAGAAATATACATTGTCGGCGTCGTATCGTTGCAGGCGCGATCTGATTACCTGGGTCGGGTACATGACCAGACTAGCGCCTATCTTTGATGTTGCCGAGAAGGTTATGTATTGCAACGTCGACTAGAACGTAAACAGTCAGTACCAAGTAGCAGCTGATATAAGTTAAGAATCATGAGAGACGTACCAGATCGCTAGGTTCGCTATTCTCGAGCTGCGAACTTGAGACAGCAGGACCGCGTAGATACCACTTCTTCATTTCCTCATACATCATAAGCTGCACCGCTCCATGCCCGACGCCCAGCAAACTCGGCACAAACCCGCGGTAAAACCCCTTGATCCCTTCCTCCTGCCGTATGCGCTTGAGACCCTCGTACATGCTCGTGTAGGCCCCCGTGTACTGTGAATTTGTCGAGAGCATGCGCGTCTTGACGACCCAGATCGGGTTTGTGAAGAGCGAGGTGATGCCGCCTGCTAGACCTGCGCTCACAAGGTAGTCTGTGAAGCCGAGGACTGGTCTGCCGGTCACTTCTTGGGCTTTGATCTTGATCTTTTCGTACCTGTCGACATCTTAGCACTGAACACAGTCTCGATTTCAATTGGACTCAGAGGTAGAGCTTACCAATAGAAGTAGGCACCCCAGCTAACCATGTTTCCAAAAATATTCGGCACAAGACCACGATACGCTTCCTTCAGCGGATTTTGCGACCGTCTCAGGTCATTAACAACATGAACAATGCCACCCAGATGAGACCTACTCGAGTTGTCCACTATTCCTCCCCCGACTAGTCAGATCCCAGAACAAGCAATACCTCTCAGCAAGATTATACTCTCACGTACCTTGTAACCGCACTTTAATAAGATCCAAAGGATGCACGATCAACGTCGCCGCGCACCCGGCCACGAGCCCGGAAACCGCATCAACAGGGACCTCGCTCCGACGAAGCAGCCACCACCTGCGTCCGCGCACGTCGTCGTCGTCGGCGCTCTGCTTCAACGGCAGATGGACTTCTTCGCCTGTTATAGGATCCAAGACCATGGTGATTTCTCGCGGCGAAACCGACGTGGTGGTGAATAAATATTGAGAAAACAGATGCTGTATTTCGTAGCGATTCAGACAATAGCGAGTTTCTCTATAGCCCCATCGCAAACCCGAGTCCTTGAACCAAGACTCTGAGTATCCAAATAAAACAAGAAATAGTAAATATCTGAGAGACGTCGAGTTGTCCAGGTTCTGGTGGGTAGTATTTTGCTCGTTAGTCCCAGCAAGCGAAATTTATAAGCCGCGCGACAGATGAGCGCAGAAGGAAAAAAAATTGTACAGAGTTAGGATGGATGATGTCCAGCAATCATATGTTACAATATATCATTCTACATATGTCATACGAATAGACAAGAATACAGAACTGTTTATTTTCCCTAGTTTTCTTATAGAAATATACAAAAGCCACGTCCATTCGCCAGAGTTGTAGATACATTGTACATAGCGGAGGCACTCCACCATATTTCAAGAACGTTCGTCATAAGGCAGACTTTTTCCCGGTCTGGGATCGTGATTTACGATCTAGTCATGGCGAGGGGAGAGAGAAGTCTTGGATCGTTAGCATTGCGTGGGGGTGGGAGAGAACGGACAGGGCGGTTAATGAGCAAGATATACCTGATGAGCGAGGGACGCGGGTAGGTCTGCGACCAGCCTGTAGATAAAATTCGTCACAGGTCAGTCAACGAAAGATAAAAAGTAGTAAAAGTCCAACCTACCGAGGAAGATGATGAGAGGAACGAATCCGAAACGGAAAGCGACCTGCGAGATGTCGTAAAACTTGAGGATGCGCTCCTACACGAGCAGTCAGCAACCCGCAACATATCCAGACCACGACGAGACCGCCCGCAGTCGGTACAGTATCCTGCCTACCTTGGATTCTTCTGAGAGGTGGAAAGCCATTGTGTATATGTAAAAGTCGAGTGCGGATATGAAACAAAGAGGAAACGCGGACGGGAAACGAATTTTCGAGGTAGATGCGAATGCCGAATGTCCCAATTCGTGGTTTCTCCGTCGAACGGTTTAAACTTCACTCAACGCATCCATCGAGTCCTGTCGGCTCATGATCTACACCGCATTCATTTAGATATGTGCATATAACTACTATTCACCTCTACGTCCTCCTTCTTGCTCTTTGTCTGCTTATTTAGTGTGCCTGTCGTTGCTTTCCAAGAGAGAGAGACAGCATGTCCGTCGTCACTGAGGTCGCGAATATCATAACCGCACCCGCGGTCACGGTCACCGAGACTGTGTTTCGAATTCAAGAGACTTCAGTGCCTCTGTTTTCCGAGGTTGTCTCTAGTAAAGCTGACAATGGGTTAGTAGACCAACACGCTCTCAGATCTATATGCATGCAGAGCTAACAGGATCTACAGATTCACATTCACGCACGGTCTACTGGTATCATTCCATCTCCATTCCTCCTCCACCATCCCAGTGATCTAACCCCCGCACAGCTAGGCCAACTAAGCGTCGTTATCATCCTCTTCACATTTATCAGATTCTTCATCTTCGCCAACGGCCACGACGCCCCGCACCAGCCCGAACCACTCCCGCCAAACCTGAAAAAGAAACAGTCGTCAATCATCCGCCCTGCGCCGCCCGTCCCCGCGCGCTCGATCCTCGGACGGACGTTTTATAACGTCGAGACGCATCCTGCCGAGTCGCTTGATTGGCTGAACGTGCTGGTTGCGCAGACGATTTCGCAGTTTCGAGAGGACGCGAGGATGAATAATAATATCCTCCATTCGGTCGATAAGATTCTTAATAGCGATAAACTGCCGAGTTTTGTGGTATGATGGGTCTTTTTGCGAGGGAGATTGTGGTGGATGGGTTCTGACTACGTGCTATGATGGTGTAGGATACTGTTCATGTCACAGAACTCGATATAGGAGAGGAATTCCCAATCTTCAGTAACTGCAAAATCCACCCATGCGCAGACGATCCAGGTCGACTGGTAAGTCACACCCCCCTCCTTCTCAAGAACTATACCAGCTAATCCGACAACAGGAAGCACGCATAGACGTCGACCTAGCAGACAGCATAACCCTCGGCATCGACACCCGTCTCCTGCTAAACTACCCAGCCCCACTAATGGCCATCCTCCCGGTCTCGCTCTCGGTCTCGATCGTGCGGTTCTCCGGCCAACTCACAATCTCGTTCAAGACCATCCCTCCCACCAACACCTCCGACCGCAAGACCTCGCTGACTTTCTCGTTCGCGCCGGATTACCGGCTCGAGTTTGCGATAAAGTCGCTTGTTGGCTCGCGCTCGCGACTGCATAACTTGCCGAAGCTCGCGCAGTTGGTCGAGTCGAGGATTAGAAAGTGGTTTGTCGAGCGGTGCGTGCAGCCCCGGTTTCAGGAGATTACGATGCCGTCGATGTGGCCGAGGAGGAAGAATACTAGAGAGTCTTTCTCGGCTGGCGGGCGATATTAATTACTGTTTGTGTATACTACTTTCGATTCAAAATACATTATTCTGTACAGACTTTTCTTTTCTCCTTCAAAACTAAATTATCGTTACATCACTCAACCACACCTTTTCTATATATAAACCACGTCTACAAATCCGAAGTCTGCTCAATAATGCTGAGAATAAACACATCCGTCAACCCCAAATTCTTCAACGGCTCCTCAAGCTCCTTATAGTCCTCATGATAATTCCTTAAGAACGCCCGCAAAAACCCTTCCCGCCACCACCGCAGCCAGCGAAGGGTCTCGTCGTCCATACTGTCGGACGAAGGAACAGGCCGCGAGAGCTCGCGCACGATCGACACAAAGATCTGCTTCAGCTGCTCGGTGAGCTCGTCCACGCTGCGGTGGTCGGCGCCCTCGCCGCCGTCAGAGAGCTTGGCTTGGTCGATCAGCCATTTCGCCTTATCGATCGCAAACCCGAGAAGTTCCCATGAATGCCCGCGCGTGAGCGCCACAGGCTCGATGTCAATCAAAATCCACTCGACGACGCTCTGTGGCGAAATCACGCCCTGGTTCATCAGCTTCTTCACCACCTGCACCGCCGTCCCGGTCTGCTCGTGCCAAAACGCAAACACGGCCGCGACAGCCTCGCGCTGCGCGCTTCCCTCGGCAGGACAGAGTTTCTTCAACAGCGGCAGACCGCGCTCGATCCAGCTCTCGGCATGCGACAGCGAGCGCGCGCCCAGATGCGCAATCGCAGTCACGTAGATCTCGCGCACGAGCTTGTCGGGGTCCTCGGCGTCGGCCTCGCCGGCGTCTGCAGCTTTTTCCTTGATCCGGTCCAAAATTTCTTCCAAGACCTCTGGCGCAGCTCGTTCGCGTAGCTTTTGAATGAGCGAAAGTGCCTCTTCTGAGTACGGCGCGTCCGGCTCGGCAAAGGTGAACGGCGGCAGATCCTCGTCATTGTACAAAAACTTCTCAAACTCTTCCGAAAAGGTCTCTTTTATGCGCTGGGGAAAGCTCAGTCTGAGTTCCTTGCCGATTAGCTCGCGGATAAAAACGTACTTTGGATGCAGCTCGTTAAGCGAAAGATCTTCAATCCACTCTTTCCACCTCCAGGTGAAGGAGAAGTTTGAGAGATGGTGCGCAAACCAATCGGCCAGCAGGTACATGGTCTGCACATCCAGATGCTCGAGGTTACCGTACAGAAACCGGATCGCGCGACCAAGCACGGGCGCGACGGCATGCGGCGCAATCATGCAGGCCTCGATCAATACCGAATGGAAGTAGACCGGGCGCAGGTCTGACTTTGGAAGCTTGAAGAGACCTGCGAGGACGGTCTCGACGGCAACGTCTTCGGGCTTCCACGTCGATCCGTTCTTGATCTGTGCGATCTTCTCGAGCGATGTCTCGGCTTTGCAAAACAGGCCGGTCCGGAAGAATGCGTCGAACCACAGCAACTGCCGGGCGGCCTCTTGGCGGTTGAAGTTCAGGTTGATTAACAGATCCGTGAGCATGTCGCGGAAGATGACAGATTCCACGGTATCGAGCGGGGGTGTAGTCTCAACCTGGGGATTGATGAAAAACTTGAGATACATTTCAGGGGCGACGAACGTCTTGGGTGAGATCGGTTCGCCGGGGACGGTGATTGCTGGAATCTCGTGCTTTTCGAATTCGGAGGGAAGAATTTGCGAGTAGTCGTGGAGGATGTTTAGCTCCCAGTCTTTCTCTTTCAATGCCTCTAGCTGAGGAAGAAGTAGGTCCAGTGTCTGTTGAATATGAAAAGTTAGCAGCAATAAAGAAGAAGCAGGAGTGCAAGTTGGACATACATCAGACACTTTGTAAGGTGCCTCCTCGTCGACAAAAGGGTTCAAAAGCTCGGATGATTTGCTCGAGGCATAGTTGAAGGTCTTTGCCTTGTCGAGTAAAGCCGCGCTCCATTCTTTGTGGGCGTCTGCAGGGTCCGCGATGGCGATATAGGGTATTGTCAGAAGGACCAGGCGGTAGATTTCGTACGCGGCGACCTGGTCAATTACAGAAATTAGTCGCGAGGTTGTTTGCGAGAGTAGACTGGATACGTACGCTTTTGGACGACTTTTCCTTCAATTCGATAGCCTTTGTGAGCAATGAATCGAGAAGATCGTACAACACGTCTGGGTTAGTCGTCATTGGCGAGAGGAAAAGCAGGAAGCGGAAGAGAAGTTTGACGTTGTTCCATTCTCCGGCGTCGATGAGCTCTTGCAGTTTCCCGGTGACAAAGGGTATAATTGCCTCGCCGACGGTGCTCTGCAGACCGTTCGCGACAAGGATCGAGACCGCGATGGAGAATGTCTTGATTGGTTGTTCGATGACACTGGGAGTGTTAGTTGGAGGTTGTTAGAGAGAGGAAATGAAGAGGGCACGATACGTGTTGCAGAGAAGGGTGAAGAAGGCATCTTTGATCTCGTTGTCTTCGGGGAATTCAGCATCGGCCAAGCTTCTGCTGCAGTGATCCAAGGACTCGACGAGAGTGAAGCGGCCCTGGAGAAGGAGAGTTAGATGGCAGATCGAGGGAGGTAAATTTATTTTGAGGGGGGAGAATGCGACGTACGGGTTCACCGAGGCAGGAGAAAAGCTTTCGCAGACGGGGAAAAAGCGCAGGAGACGATCTGCGGCCGTGGCGTCTGTAATTGTCGCCGGCGCCGTCGCTGTCTGCAGGTATTGTTAGCAGGAGGGGAGATTCGTGGATCAAGCGCGGGAGGCAGGAGATGAAGGAAGGGAGTAGGTACCTCGTCGACGTTTATTACCGCCATCGCGGTAGGGCGGAGACTTTTCTCTTTCAGACATGATGAGGTAGAGGTGACTGTCCGGATAATGGTAGAGGAGAAGAAGGAAGGTGTCTATGAGATCAAGCGGTGAATCGTACGTCGAGGACGATGATGGAGAGCAAAGTTTGGTTTGCAGGGTAAATAGATTATATAAGCTATGATTAAATATATGAGCAGTGCTTAGTGATCAAGATTTCAGCACAACTGCATAGAAACAGGTGCACAGTACAAGCCCCAATATTGTGGCAGGTGCCAGTTCAGAATGAGTCATTGGCTGATTCAGACCTGCGGCTTTTGCGCGGGGGATGATGTCACGACGGCGCAGCACTGAGGTGATGGAGGTGGAAGAGAAGGGTGAGGGTGATCAGGATGAGCTGCGGAGAGTAGATAGTAGATCAGAGTAGTAGATCAGAGTAGAGTATAGTAGAGCAGAGCAGAGTAGAGCAGAGTAGACCTGAGCAGAGTCACCGAGGTGTTAGGAACGGGAGAAAGTGGTCGAACACGGCTGATTATCTCCTCCGGAAGAGTGCAGATGGGTGTTATCTATCGCGGGATGATAAGCCATGTTCTGTCCAAAAATGTGTGAACCAATGCAAATAGATATAGATAAAATGTAAATCACTATATATATATTTATATCTATACAGATTATAGATTGATATATAAGACCAGGTATTAATAGCGTCTACATAAACACAACATCTCCACATGCGGTAATGCTCTTATCATCAGCATAATCATCAAGAATCACTGCAGTTATGCAAGCCATCAGCTGCTCAGCCGGCTCTCCCGCGTCTATAAATTGACCACCTCGCCTCGTCTCGGCCTTCCCGCCTCCTCCTCCTCCTCCTCCATCTCGACCTTTCTCTTCTCTTTCTTACTTCGTCTGGTCGCTGATTAATTGAGTGTGTGTGTGTTCTGTATCCTTCCTACTACAAGTTACTTCCAATCTATGTGTGCGTCGTGCGCTTCCAAGTCCCAAGCGGGCGAGCCCGAGCTGGCCGCCGCTCTGACTCAAATCATGGCCTCTCTGAATTCAATTCGGGCCGACTATAAGTCCCTCTCTGAAAAAGTAAGCAGTCTTTCTGCAAACAAATCCACGTCTCGTAGGGTAGATCTCGCGGTCCAAACATGGGGAAGTTCTTTTAGTTTGGATCTGTGTGTTCTACCCGTGCGTTGACTGCGTTTTGGCGTTTTGGCGTTTTGGCGTTGTTGTGGCGTCCTCTATTACTTTTCTATTTCTTCTTTCTTCTGTTATTCTTCTTTTCTAACATTACTATTCATATCATAGATCGACTCACTCTCGACCTCCTCCACCACCGCAATCCACGAGATCGAGCAGCGTTTGGACGCCATCGAGCTCTCCTCGCAGGCCCTCACCACCTCCGGTTCGGCCGCCACAGCCACATCGGTCCCTGCGCTCACTCCCTCTCTGTCGACCGCTTCCGAGTCCAGTCCGCCCATCTCTCCGCAGCTTCTGGCGGCTCCGAAGCCTGTTGAAGGGAAAGATGGCAAGCTGGAGAACGAGCTTGAGTGAGTTTTCTCTTTTTTCTGCTAATTATATGACCACTTCGTCATGTTATAGAGCACAACACTAACTGCTATATACTTCTCGTTAGGCTTGCACTGGCGCGCCACAACATCGCACTGACAACCTTTCCGAACCAGCCCGGCATCTCGCCCATCCCGCTCCGCTGGGGAGCTTCTGATCCCCAGGTTCGCGGTCCTATCGTCGTTTCTCACAACGAGCCCGCTTTAGGCAAGCGCAATGGTATGTACTCCCTTGTCAGTCTTCAGATAGAACAATTTACTAACTGCAACAGCCATCGGAGCGCACTCTGGCTCTTACGGCATCTACCATGCCCTGGCGGTTGCAATGAAGGAAATTGACGTCAACCACAAGCCCGACTTTACCAACGCAGAACCCCCGGTGCAGATTGGACCTTATCCTCAATGGGGCGACTCGGAGAAGATCGTCGCCATGGATCCGTTTGGCCACCTCGCGCCGTGGATCTACAAAGACTACTCCGACCAAGGAATCGAGGTGCGCCCTTCGATCGCCGTCACAAAGGCGCACATGCGTCTGCCCGACATCGAGGCCGAGGTCAAGAGCGGCGCGCTCAAGGTCGACGGCAAGATCGTCGTGAACGAGCACGGCGATTTGGCAGTCACAAAGGTTGCCGTCGAGCCCGTGTGGTACCTCCCCGGGGTCGCGAAGCGGTTCGGCGTCGACGAGAGCACGCTGCGTCGCGCGCTCTTTGAAGACACCGGCGGCTCTTACCCCGAACTTATCACGCGTCCGGATATCAAGGTCTTTCTTCCTCCGATCGGGGGTATGACTGCCTACATCTTTGGCGACCCGGCCAAGACGGCGGATCCCAACGCGCGTCTTGCGCTGCGCGTGCACGACGAGTGCAACGGCAGCGACGTCTTTGGCTCGGATATCTGCACGTGCCGGCCGTATTTGATCTTTGGCATTTCCGAGGCCGTGAAGGAGGCGCAGGCGGGAGGCTCTGGCGTGGTGATTTATTTTCGCAAGGAAGGCCGCGCGCTGGGCGAGGTGACAAAGTACCTGGTGTACAACGCGCGCAAGCGCATGGGCGACTCTGCGGCCGAGTACTTTAAGCGGACGGAGAACATTGCGGGGGTGAAGGACATGCGGTTCCAGGTGCTGATGCCGGACATTCTGCACTTTTTGGGCATCACGAAGATTGACCGGATGCTGTCGATGTCGAACATGAAGCACGATGCGATTGTTGGACAGGGGATCCCGATTATTGAGCGGGTGCCGATTCCGGAGGAGATGATTCCTGAGGACTCGCGGGTTGAGATTGATGCGAAGATCCATTCGGGATACTTTACGTCGGGCAAGGTGCCTACGTTGGAGGACTTGAAGCATGTGCATGGTCGCAAGTGGGAGGACGTGAGCCATTAGAGTTGCTATTGTTGCTATTAGTTTAGTTTTGTAGTTGTTGTGTTTGTTTTTGTAGTTTTGTTTGCTTGCAAGTAGGCTGGTGGTGCATTGGCGCATGGGTTCTATTTGCTCTACGTATTTGATTGCAAGTGGCTTGTATGTATACGAGCTGCTGATTATTGTATTTGTGGGATTGCGCGGTCTGCGTTGATCTCTTGCTGTGTTGCTTAGTAGTAATGGCAGTGCATTATTATAAGTTATATGATGACGTAGACAGTAGATCAGAGACAGAGGCAGAGACAGAGACGAGAGATCAAGAGTCCGGGCAGGCCGGATGGTGAGAAGAAGGTGGCGATGCTGCGAGCGTGGCGGAGCCGGACTTACGCGGATAGAGGGATGGGGTGAGTGAGCAGCAGCACCACGAGAACAGCAGATACAAGCTTGGCGATGACGAGTACAGATGCAATTGAGCAGAGTAATAGAGAATATACAACAATAAAAGAAGAATAAGAGCAACTATCAAAGAAGATAGCAAAAGAAGACACAAAACCGGGTAAGCGAAGATTCCAGCACGGGCGGCGCAGTGAGAGGCAGCACTTAAGCCGCCGCCCCTTTCCTTGCCCTCGATCCTTCCTCCTCTCTTTCTCTTCCTCTTCCTCTCTTTCTTCTCACCACCTTTTGGCTCCCTCCCTCATCCAATCTATCTCATCGTTATTCACTAATCTATCGCAATGGAAGGTGTGTATCTCTGCTCTTGATCATTTATTTCACGATTGGATGTCTTGCGCTCAGAGGTGATTGCTCTCCCGGGCTGCGCTGCGCAATCCGCCCCGGCACACCCGCCAGCCTGCTCCCTCCCTCACCAATCACCTCCCGAGCGCAATCGCATCCATCTGATCCATCTCCGCGACTGCCTGATACTAATTGATCCATCATTCTTATTACAGACGAAGTTGCTGCCGTATGTCGCCCTTCCCACCCGCGGCCCTCCCGCCGCTGTTTTTTGTTTTGTGATTCGCCGGGCTCCGAGGTCGGCGGTGGCTGGGTTTTTATGCTGCCCGCACGGCGCCGCCACGTAGCTTCTCCGGCCTCCACCGCCCTGCATCCATCGATCTTGGATCTTGCAATAGCTGAATCACTGCAATCACTGTTTATTATGATTGTTTATTAACTTTTTATAGCTCGTCATCGACAACGGTTCGGGAATGTGCAAGGTGAGCACGTTTCTTTCTCTCTGCATTGACCAGATCAGCGTTGCTAACTCACTTCTAGGCCGGTTTCGCCGGTGATGACGCCCCGAGAGCTGTCTTCCCCTCGATCGTCGGTCGTCCCCGTCACCAGGGTAGGTCTTAATTCATCTTAGTAGCATATATTATGACAACACGCTGACAAAATAAAAACAGGCATCATGGTCGGTATGGGCCAGAAGGACTCGTACGTTGGAGACGAGGCCCAGTCAAAGAGAGGTATTCTCACCCTGAGATATCCTATCGAGCACGGTATTGTCACCAACTGGGACGATATGGAGAAGATCTGGCATCACACTTTCTACAACGAGCTCCGAGTTGCGCCTGAGGAGCACCCGATCCTGTTGACTGAGGCTCCTATCAACCCCAAGTCCAACCGTGAGAAGATGACCCAGATTGTGTTTGAGACCTTCAACGCGCCTGCTTTCTACGTCTCGATCCAGGCTGTTTTGTCGCTCTACGCTTCCGGACGTACCACTGGTATTGTTCTTGACTCTGGCGATGGTGTTACCCACGTTGTTCCTATCTACGAGGGCTTCACTCTCCCGCACGCTATTCTCCGTGTTGACATGGCTGGTCGTGATTTGACTGATTACCTCATGAAGATTTTGACTGAGCGAGGATACGGCTTCAGCACGACTGCCGAGCGTGAGATTGTCCGTGATATCAAGGAGAAGCTTTGCTACGTTGCGCTTGACTTTGAGCAGGAGTTGCAGACTGCTGCTCAGAGCTCTAGCTTGGAGAAGTCGTACGAGCTTCCTGACGGACAGGTGATTACTATTGGAAACGAGCGTTTCCGCTGCCCTGAGGCTTTGTTCCACCCGTCTGTGCTCGGACTTGAGGCGGCCGGAATCCACGAGACTACATTCAACTCGATCATGAAGTGTGATCTTGATGTGCGTAAGGATTTGTACGGTAACATTGTGATGTCTGGCGGTACTACTATGTACCCCGGAATCGCGGACCGAATGCAGAAGGAGATCACTGCGCTTGCGCCTTCGTCGATGAAGGTGAAGATCATCGCTCCCCCTGAGCGCAAGTACTCTGTGTGGATCGGAGGATCTATTCTTGCGTCGCTGTCTACATTCCAGCAGATGTGGATCTCGAAGCAGGAGTACGACGAGTCTGGACCTTCGATTGTCCACCGCAAGTGCTTCTAAGGAGATAATCTCTTGAAGATGAAATGTTGAGATTGTTATGTTGAACTGTTAGATGATGAGAATTGTGTTTTTCTATTATATATTATTAGTAGTTAAGATATGAGATATTGCCATAGCAGATTAGATAAAGTGTAGTAAGATGGTAGAGAAGAGCAAAGAGAAAGCCGAAGCCGATATGGAGCCGATGGTGCTTATAAATCTGGAGGAAGAGAAAAGCCGAGGAAGAAGGAAGAGGAGAGAGAGTAGATAGAGGAGAAGAGAAGAGAAGTCTCGGGATTTGCCCGCAGTGGCGAGACGAGTCTAGATGTGAGTAGAGAAGAAGAGAATAGAAGTAGTATAATGAAGCAGATATATTGAATAGAAGTAGTTGATAGTAATAGTAGTAATAGCAGTAGTAGTAGTAATAGTAGCAGCAACAGAGCAGACAAAGCGTCGGTCTAGCCCTGATCAATTACTAACAAAGCACCGCCACCTCTGAGAGCAACTATGATGAGCAGTAACAACACACAGAGTAGTTGTGTGTAGTTGTGTGTTGAGTAGAGGTGATGAGAATAAGTAATAGTAGATAGCAGATGTATTTGATTGTATTATTGCAGTTATAATAGCAGCAGTTGTTGTAGTAGAAGCAGCAATAGTAGTAGCAGTAGTAGTAAAGAGCAACGCCACATTACATAATCTCTCTCTTCTCCGACGCCGGGCCTCGTCCTCTTCCCGTCCTCGTCTCGTCCTCACCACTTTCTCTTTTATAAACCTCTTCCTCTTCCTCTTCCCCTTCTACCCTTCTCTCTCTCTCGCTCTCCTCCGCAGCAATTCCTCGCTTTCCAAGAATCCCCTTCCTCCGCTCTGCAGCCCTTCTCTCTTCTTCCTCTTCCCTCTTCGTCGCTCCTGCTATAGCGCCTTTCTCCTTATCGTCCGAATCATCTGCTAGAAACATGCACTCTAAAGTTGTTGTTATTGGTAATTCTTCCTCTTTTTCTTTCTTTTCATCTTCATCTCCTACTTCTACTCTACTCTACTCTACTCCGCTTCTATCCTCTCTCTCCCTTCACTCACTAACTACTCTCCAGGCTCCGGCCCTGCTGCCCACACCGCTGCCATCTACCTCGCCCGTGCCGAGATCAAGCCCGTCCTTTACGAGGGTATGTCCTCCTCTCTTCTTCGCCTCTCTTTCTTGTTCTTCTCTCTCTAACAATCTCCAGGCATGCTCGCAAACGGCATCGCCGCCGGCGGCCAGCTCACCACCACCACCGAAATCGAAAACTTCCCCGGCTTCCCCAACGGCATCCTCGGCGCCGAGCTCATGGACAACATGCGCGCCCAGTCCGAGAAATTCGGCACCGAAATCATCACCGAGACCGTCTCCCAGATCGACCTCTCGGCCCGCCCCTTCAAGTACTGGCTAGAGGACAACGAGTCCGCCGAACCCAACACCGCCGACACCGTCATCGTCGCCACCGGCGCCTCCGCCAAGCGCCTCCACATCCCCGGCGAGGAGACATACTGGCAATCCGGCATCTCCGCCTGCGCGGTCTGCGACGGCGCCGTGCCCATCTTCCGCAACAAGCCGCTCGTCGTCGTCGGCGGTGGCGACTCCGCGGCCGAGGAAGCGCTCTTCCTCACAAAGTACGCGTCCAAGGTCTACGTCCTCGTCCGCCGCGACAAGCTCCGCGCGTCCAGCATCATGGCCAAGCGTCTGCTCGCCCACCCCAAGGTCGAGGTCCTCTGGAACAAGGCCCCCGTCGAAGCCAAGGGCGAGAACGGCCTGCTCACAAAGCTGACCATCCAGTCCACCGTCGACGACTCGCTCACCGACATCGACGTCAACGGCCTGTTCTACGCCATCGGCCACGTGCCCGCCACGCAGATCTTCAAGAACCAGATCGAGACCGACGAGGACGGATATATCATCACCAAGCCGGGTACCGCGCAGACCAGCGTCAAGGGCGTCTTTGCCGCGGGTGATGTCCAGGATAAAAAGTACCGCCAGGCAATCACCAGCGCCGGCACTGGTTGCATGGCTGCTCTTGAGTGCGAAAAGCTTCTTGCTGAGGAGGAGGATGCAGAGTAATCTTGTATATTTTCTATAGACTATAATATATTTCTTTTTTCTTGTGTGTATAGAGATATTGTGAAGAACACCGATGTAATTGGCAATCAACACATACCTAGCAATTGACAATATGAATATAACCCATAGCAATCAACAACAATCAACATAAACATACACATTATCCACAGCAATTGACAATTGGATACAACGACATTCGATTCACCGCAGATAAGACATCAAATACCATCGTGCGGCTCCACAGAAGAAGCAAAGGTTTCTTCTCGAATCTTTTAAGTATAATCTCATCTCTTGTTTGATCTGATCTGCTCACGCAGCTCACGCAGTACAACAACAGAAGCAGAAAACATGATCGAGGTCATTTGCAATGATCGGTGAGTACTGGTGTGATGTGGAGCTGAGGGTGGGGGGAGAGGGGATGTGGGTTGATGTGAATACTGACTATTTATTGTTCGACAGTCTCGGCAAGAAAATCAGAGTAAAGGTGCGATATTCCGCAGAAAGAGAGAGAGAGTATGCGAGATTTAAAACAACACGAGGCTGACTCGATGCAGTGCCTGGAAGACGACACAGTTGGCGATTTCAAAAAGCTGGTGGCCAGCCAGATCGGAACTTCATACGACAAGATCAGTACGTGTCCTCCTCTCTTCTTTATCTCTTCGTCAAGCTAATAATTATTGTTTTCTGCTGTGTAGTTTTGAAGAAAGGGTTTGTTTACTTTATATAAGCACAGAGAGGGGTGTATACTGATCCGGTTTATTGGTTAGATACACGACGTTTAAAGACCACATCACCCTCGCCGACTACGAGATTCATAACGGCATGAGTTTAGAGCTGTGAGTATTCTCTCTGTCTTTCTGTTTTTGTGTGTATGTCGGTAAGAGCTTTGTGGGGTATTGTTTGCTGATATCGTCGGTTGTCTCTTTCGTGTAGGTATTACGCTTGATTTTTCACGCCAAAGTTCTCAGAGACGAGGATAGACTACGCTGATTGAGATTATCTGAGCAGAGCGACTTTGCTAGAAGTTTTTCAAGATCTCGAGAGAGATGGTGCTGGATTCATGACCGTAATATCTAGTGTAATAAGACTTTTTCTTTCTCTATTCTAGTTTTTTCCAGCTGGTCAAGCAGTAGATTATAAGAGTGTCTTTCCAGGCGTAGATACTAATACTCTCTATTATTCCATCTCTCGATGTAGACACTCATTCTCTGTTAATGACAGGCTCAACACTCCTCACACCATATCCACATCCATCTCCAATCCAACTCCAACCCACCGAGCCGCAGGATCCATAAATTCTCATCAAATAAACAACACCCTCTTCCATTACCACCACAATTAATCCACCGTCTACCCTTCAAGCTGATTCCGTATCAGAGAAGAGAATATAGAATATAATGGCGACAACTTCATCGAAACGGATTTTAATCCTCGGCGCCCCGAAATCAGGGAAACTCACCCTGTTGAAAGGTATCCCTCCTCCTCTTTCTTCTTTACATCAGTCTCTAAGAGAGCATAAGCTAACTCCCCTTGCGAACTAAAGAATTAACCGGCTCTTTACCGTCTACACTCGCGTCCGCTTCAGCAACTGTAGAGGAACCTGCGTCGTCAATCACAGATCCGTTGACAACCACCACGGCGTCTGCACCCCCCGCCGAGGACGATGACAAGACTGCAGAGACCGCAGAGACTGAAACAGACAGCCTACGACCGTCGCACGCAGGTCTATCGCACAATCTACACCTCAAGACGAAATACTACGAAACCCACGTCCCAGTCTGGATAGACGAGTACCACCACCCTCCCTCCTCTCCCTCTCTCTCCTCTCCCTCCTCCTCCGCGGGAATCAAAGACTGGGCAACAGCCTTCTCCTCCATCGAGGCGCAAGAAGTCGTCGACGCGCTCGGCGCAATCATCGTCACGTTCCGGAAACCGACCGACGCGAAACAAGTCGCGGACTTGCGCGCGCGCATGGTGCGCGAGATCGAACATGTCCATGGCGCGCTTGTTAAGCAGTATAAGCGGAAAACCGCCGCGCTGGAGATCAAGTCTGCTGCTGCTGCTGGTTTTGAGGAGGAGGACGAGGATGAGGATGATGATGAGTTTGACTTCATCGATTTCGACGGCATCTGTCTCGCCGTCGCCGTCCCGTCCGCGTCCCAGCCCTCGCTCTCGTCGGCTACATCCGCCGTCGAGCTCGAGGCCGAAGACTGGGAGGTCGCGTTCCAGCCGTTCGGGTTCGAGTTTGTTGATCTTGAGAAATCAGGTAGGAATGACTACGGCGAACTGCTCGGGCTCGCGCGGATCCGCGAGGCGCTCGAGACATATGGATGGGGCGATAATGAGGATGGAGAAGCGCGGAGGAGAAGGGATGGGTATGAGGCTTTTGACGATGATGATTTTGATGATAGTGAGCCTGTTGTTGCGAGGCGGGGGAATGGGGCGGGGGGGAAGGATGAGGATGGGGAGGAGGGTGATCCGGAGTTTGATCGCGAGTTGAGGGAGATGCAGATGGAGATGGCGGCGCTGCATTTCGCGATCGACGGCGCGGCAGGGGGTGAGGATGGGGATGGGGAGGGCGGCAGCGAAGAAGGGAAAGGGGCGATTCCGGATAATGATATTGAGGAGATTGAAAGGATTATGCAGCGGATGAAGGAGGTTAGAGGTGAGTTTTGATCTATCTGATTTATTCTACTTATAAGGAACTAGTACTGACTCTTGCTGCGATGTATAGCTCAAGGCGATGGATTACCATTAGAAGAACGGCGCAAGCTGGCAGACCAGCTGGCCAACGACTTACTGCGACTGATATAACTGCCAATTATCTTCTCCTTCAACATAATATAGACAAGTGTACATATAGACGAGTGTAAATATGCTGCAAAGAGCAAACGTGCTCTGTGATTTATTTCAGCTGGCGCATCGCGCGACGACGCTGCTTCAAGACATGAGTAAACATCGTGTAGAATCCTAGCGGTTTTTCGTTAGTACGTCAGCGAAGACAGAGAAGATAAGAGAGTTTGCACGCACCGGGAATGTAGCTGATCATGATGGCGATCAAGAGGTAGTAATACAGCACCGAGAACTGCTTCGCGTCGTCCAAAGACGCGTAGACTACGAGTAATTCACTGGTGACGCCGGACGGGTACAGGACAAAGAAGGTGTTGTATCTAAACACGTCAGCCATTCCACTTCTCCACGCTCTCCTCAACAGATCAGACACTCACCTCAACCACGTCAACCACTTCGGCACCGACCCCTTCAAATTCGACGCATAGAACGAGTACCGAATGATCTCCGTCACGCTCCAACTAATCAGCATAGTCGAGTACGCCAAATGCCGCGCGCCCGACTTTGGAAACAGATACGTGACCCCCCACGTGAGCAAGATGCGGGAGGACACCTGAATCACCGTCGTCACCACGGGGGATTTCACGATCCCGACCAGGCTGTGCACGATCTCGAGTAACGCACCGGTCTGCACCCAGCGCGCAAAGTCGGCGGTTCCGCCCGCGACGTTCTCGGGCCCGAGGAGAGGCAGGATGAGAACCACGCGGAGAAGCACTGCTGCCCAGAAAAATGCAGAGATGGTGTTGTACGCAACTAGGTAGAACTCTGTCAGCGAAGGTACTTTGCGCGGCGGCGCGGCGGCGGCGGAGGGTGAAGAGGAAGAAGCCGAGGCAGAGGTCGGCGAGGAAGGGACGGGTTTCGGCGGGGTTTGCTCGCGCGGGTTAGGCACCGCGCCGACCTGTGCTTTTTTCTGACTTCTCGAGCGTCGTTCCATAGCGTAGCACCTCTGATTGGATCTGTAGCTTAGATTGAATGGAACAGTTGAGGCAATTGAGGATGGGGGAGGGTTGTGGATGAATGTGCGCTGAGGTTCGAGAATAAAGATTCTGTGCGGCGTCGTGGATGAGGCTCAGACTTGGTCGTCCTCGACCTGGGTTTCCTGGAGCAGAAATAGTCTGCTTTATTTACAATTGATGAATGATTCGGTTTAGGAAACACTGTACACTAAATCAAACGCACATAATGCCACATAACATAACCAAGAAATAAATGGTAAAAAATAGTGAAAAAATACATAGACCTCACGAATGCACCCTCGCTGCCCCCAGCTCAGCAAAACATCTCTATCATCGCCCTCGGCCCACTGATATTCGTATTACACCCCTCCACCACACACGCCCCGCTCGCCCCGTCCTTCCTCGGCCGCCGGATGAGCGTCCGGTGTTTCTTCATACACCCTCCGCAGTACACATGCCCGCACTTCCCCGCAAACATCTTGCGCTGCGCGTCCACCCCCTGCGGCATCTTCGGCGCGGTCCCGATCCTCTCCGCCTCTGGCACTTCGTTGTACTCCTTCACCGCCTTGGCCGCCTCCGCAAACTCCTGCGACGGCGCGCCTAGTTCCCACTCGCACTCTGCGCAGCGCAGTTTCCGCCCTGCCCGCACCATTCGCGTGAAATGCTTGCTCGCAGGCGGCACCGTCGGCGCCCGCTTGATTTCGGCGTGGTTGGTGCTTCTGCTTCTGCTTCGGTCTCTCATCAGCCTTATTATCTCGTCGTCGACAAGCGGGTCGATCTCCTGCATCAACTGCCCGTACGTGAACTCCCGCCCGTCGCGGTGTCGAATCGGCACATCGAGCCGGCCGCCGCCGTAGTGCAGTTCAGGCTCGACAAAGTCCTCCGGCGGATGCTCGTCAAACAGACCGCCAAGCATAAGCAGTTCCTCGTCCGACAGCGGCAGCGGGTGGTGATGGTGATGGCTGTGGCTGTGGCCGGCGTATCTGTGTGCGCGCCGCGACATCGCAGGGTCGCCGACGCGGTAGCGCATCGACGCGATCGGAACTACTCGGCGCGAGGCGCGCGCAAGGTCGATCGTGCGCAGTCCTTCGTAGATTCGTCGCTCAAAGAGCGCGGCGGACGGCCACTCTGGTGCGGTTTGTGCCGGCCTCCGGGGATGGTTTGGACTGTTTGTGTTGATGCTTGTGGTGCTGCGGGTTTGGCGCTGGGATGGGGGGACCGCGTCGCGCCGGATGATGGCGAGTCGCGAGTGCAGATTGTCGCCGATTCCGCCACCGACGCGCACAGTCCTGACCGCATCCCCATCCCCCCTTCGCGCCGCTGCAGCAGCAGCCCGCGTACTCGTCGCCGCGTCGTCCGGTACCGGTGCGTCAGACACGGGATATCCCCGCCCCATAAGTCTGCGAGCAGCGGTCTCGCTGCAGCCAAAGATCTCCATCGTCCTGCTAACTTCGGCGATGTCGTCCCTGGTCTGGTGTTGCGGTGGATCCGGGATCTCGTCGATGTCGATGATGTCGGCTGCGTCCGGCGGCGGGACTGCCGGTCTTGCTGCGCGCCCTGCTCGCCGTCTTGCTGTGGTGGGGGTAGTAGTTGTGGTGGTAGACATGCCGCGGGGAGAGATACCGTCGGTTGTCGAGATCGCGCCGTCGATTCTGCGCAGGCCGTCGCGGTCTAGGGGAGCAAGGTGCGGATATGACGAAGGGATCGCTGGCGGTAAATCCACGCTGTCGAGATCTATCACCCCGTCCATTTAACCAAGATAAAGATAAGCTGATTCGGTTTGAGTTGAATGTTCTGTAGATTGTTGTATATCAAAAGTCGCGGTAAGTGGTGGAAGAAGTAGTGGGGGTCAAGATATGTAGAGAAAGAGAGAGAGGAGGCGGAACGACTGAGATTCAAGACTGAGATGTCATAGATGACGTTCCTTGCCGTTTTCCCAGATCGTCTGAGATATGTGTAATAATATCCAAAGCTATCTGAAGTCGTTAGAACCGCTGCACAGGTGTGTTGAAGACGACAGACGCTGCGCGTATGTACAAAGCGAACCACGAACCTCGTCCACCGCAATTACCAACAAAGAAAAAGACAGTGAAGGTTATGTCCCACTCAGTCCCGCCGTATAACAAAAAAAAAAAAAAGAGAAGAAGAAAGAAAGAAAGAACAAAGTGGAGATGGAGGATAAATACAAAGGCCGAGCGATGAGCGTTGGATGCACTTCAAAATTCGAATTTAGATAATCAACGAGCGCGGGAATCCGTCCCGGGGTGGCCGCCACCTTCCTTCTTTGATCGCGTTTGGAGGCAGTTTTTTGGCAACGCCAGCTGGTCTGCTTACTCAGAGAAAGAAGGAGCTGTGTTTTCGTTTGTTGCTTGTTGTCTAGTGTTGCTTGTGTGTTTGTTGGAGGTTTCTTGGTTGCTGTAGAGGTCGACTTGGTGAGCTCAGATCAACGACATACACATTCTCCAACACAGTCCATATCTCGATTATGAGACCAACATGAGACCAGCAAAAACAACAAAAAGCAGCTCAATAGTATCCTCTCTATTCGTTATTATACACAATCCACCTCATGCATACTATCATACATAAACCCATCCCCCCAAACAATTTTCTCGTCCCCTCCTTTTCCTCCCATCGTCCCCTTCCCGCCTCTCTAAACCACCTCAAGCAGACCCATTCCCATTCGCCTTTGCCCTCTGAATCGCCGCGCGGGCCTCATCCCGCTCCGCCGTGAGTTTCGCCGCAACCTTGACGGCCGCGTCGTGATAGTACAGCGTCGAGCTGAGTTCTTTCTTTGTCTCGAGAATCTGCTTTTTCAGCTCGAAAGACTCGAGCGCGAGCGCGTCGTACTCGCTCTGGAAGGTCTGTAGTAACGACGGGATCGAGTTTGAGGTCGCTGGTTTCGCTGGTACTATGCGAGGAGCTGGAAAGATATTATAAACGTCAGCTCTGCTGCTTCAAAGATCAAGCTGGAGATTGGACGAACACATACTCTGGACTTCTAATAAATCTTCCTCGGACAGAAACTCCCCGTTCAGAGGATCCTGACTATTCTGCGCAATGTACTCGACAATCGCGTCCTTTTCAAATATACCACCTGCACCTCCAAACACTCATCTCGTTAGCAATCCCCTCCGCAGCACATTTGATAAATAGAAGGCAGGCGCACCGCTTTTCTTCGACACCACTGGATTGGTAATCGGCTTTCCTGTCACTATTATTGCAAAACAAAAACATCAATCAGCAACGACTTCTAGAGAGAGCAGGTATGATCATCCCTGAATCAAGTTTTTGGCGGATACTAACGTGCACACAATGCCATTATGATCACGGCCACAGCAAGAAGAAGAAAAACCGCAAACTACTCAACAGTCTGAGTACTGATTTCTCGTATATCTCTATATACAGTATAAACGACGATCAGCGCCTGCTTGTCAGAATCTCTCCTCTTCAGTCTCGAGACAGCTTCTGTTCTGCGTCAACTCACAGTTCTCTTCAAAGTCACATGATCAGGGTTCGGGGTCGACCAGGAAATATTCTCGAATTGGGAGCAATCAACTTCACGCGTAACTTACGCGCTCGACCAGCTACGACTCTTGAAAAGAGAAGAAGAAGAAGAGAAAACAATGGAACCGGGTGGTTCGCCACCGATAAAAAAGCGCCGGTTTTTCAAAGACGGCGGCGCGGCGGGTCTTGTGCCGGTCAACGACAGGTATCTGCCCGAGAACGCAGACCTCGTCGCGCGCAAGTTTATCGTCAAGAGCGAGAGCGAGAATCAGCCGTCGTCGCCCGATCGCGAGTCTGAACACAGGTCGCCGGCGTCGTCGGTGAAGCATGAGACGCCTATCTCGTCTCCGAATATGGAGGATGGGAAGTTTGTTGCTGGTGAGAGAGGGGTGGATGAGCATGATGTTATAGAGGAAGAGGAGGACCGCGCGCAATCGTTTGCTTCGGAGGAGAGCATTGTGCCTGACGTGTCGTCCGGGCCTGAAAGCGAACTGACGAATTCTTCTGGATTTGACCGCGAGCTGATAGCTTCACTGACAGGAAGCGAGCTGACCGACAACGAGTACGAAATTTTAGACTCGCTCAGCAACGGCGATATGAACAGTGCTGTGAACGCGGTCTTTGACGGTACGCTTGCAAAGGAGCTGTCGCGGGTACGAGGGCAGCGTGTTTCTTCTGCTGTAAGATTTGGGAACGACAAGGCTTCTGCAGATAAAGACGACAAGTCTTCTGCAGTTAAAGAAAAGGAAACGGTTCTGGACGATAAACGATCAAAGCCAAAACACTCACGCAACTGGTCCAAGCGATACATCGGCAGTTTCCAAGTCGAAGGCTGGGCAACGCGATCCGGCAAAGGTCTAATCAGCTACGGCGAGACCATCACGCTCAAGCGCATCGCCCGCCAAGTCACCACTCTCGGCTCTGGCTCGAAGCGGTTCGGCAGCACGGCCAAGGCGGCCGAGAACGACACAATGGTGAAGTTCACGAACGAAAAGGGGATGGAGATCGGGCGGTTGCCGACTGATAAAGCGAGGTTCGTGAGCGCGATGATGGATATGAAAGTCTGCGATTTCTCGGCCTCGTATATTTTCGCAAACGAGAAATTGGCGCTCGGAGACGCAATTTATCTACAGATCGACTGCTTCCTGCTCCGCGACGCTTTCGATGTGAATATCGAGGAGCAAACCATCCGACCAGGCTTCCACTTCAGCGCTTTCAATCGCGGCCAGGAAGGACCTCAAGAACGTCTTCTTCGCGCGCGCCAACTTGCTCTTATCAGACTGTTTATGGACTGTGGCCTGAAACCTGTGCAAACCAATGATCTGATCACAGCCCATCAGGCTAGGGGTAAACTTGAAGCCGAGGCCATGGCCGAGCAATTTGACGTCAAGATCGGCTCCGCGACGCCACCTGACAGCGAAGCCGAGGTTGGCTCAAGCGACGACGACGACAACAACAAAGCTATCGAGCAGGACCAACTTGACACGCTCTACCGCAAGGCGCAGACGTATGATACAGAAATGCCCGAGGTCGAGCCGAGCGACACATTTAATATGGAGCTGCGGCCGTATCAAAAGCAGGGACTAGGATGGATGAAGTCGATGGAAACGCTCGACGCGGCTGATTTTGGAAGACAGATTGAGTCTATGCATCCGCTGTGGGAGGAATATAGGTGGTCTGTATATGGGGACGAGACGCCAGCTGAAAAACCTGATGATCGATTCTACGTGAATCCTTATAGCGGTATGTTTGCCATGACGATTGATTGAGTCTGGGTGGTTCTGACATTATGTAGGCGAACTAAGTCTTGAATTTCCAAAAATGGATCAGAAGAACCTGGGCGGAATTCTCGCAGACGGTGAGTTTGGAATACTGTTACAGACTACTATACAGATACTAACAGCAAAAACAGAGATGGGTCTAGGAAAAACGATTTCCACCATGGCGTTGATCCACTCCAATCCATCAACCGAAGCCGACCGGCAAACAAAGACGCCCGACCACCTCCGCACTTTTGCCGCAAACACAACCCTGATCATCGCCCCGATGTCCCTCCTAACTCAATGGGAATCCGAAGCGCACGCTGCTTCAAAGCCAGGCTCGGTTCGCATCATTGTCTACTACGGCGGCGACCGCTCGATCGACCTGCGGAACCTATGCCTAGGCCCAGACGCTTGGAAGACTCCGGTGATTATCATCACCAGCTACGGAACTCTGTCGGCTGAATGGCAACGGTTCGAGAAAGGATTAGGCAATTCCCAGCTCTACCGGCTGCGATACCTCCGCGTCGTTCTCGACGAGGCGCACACGATCCGCAACCGCGCATCGCTCATCTCCCGCTCGTGCTGCGAAGTCAAAGCGGACCGCCGCTGGGCGCTATCGGGCACGCCGATCGTCAACCGGCTCGAGGATCTGTACGCGCTGGTGAAGTTCCTTGGGATAGAGCCGTGGAGCCATTTCACGTTCTGGCGAACGTTCGTGACCACGCCGTACGAGTCGAAGGATTACCTCAAGGCGTTGGACGTGGTGCAGACGATTCTGGAGCCGATCTTGCTGCGGAGGACAAAGTCGATGAAGCAAAAGGACGGGACGCCGCTGGTGACGCTGCCGCCTAAGAACGTGTACATTGAAAACATCGAGCTGACCGAGACCGAGCGCGAGGTTTATGATTTGTTTTACCGCCGCGCGAAGCAGACGTTCACCAACAGTCTTGCCGCGGGGACGGTGATGAAGTCGTACACGACCATCTTTGCGCAGGTGCTCCGGCTGCGGCAGTCCTGTGATCATCCGTCGCTGGTGCAGTCTGCCGTGCGACCAGAGGAAGTCGAAGACGACAGCGACGATGCGTCGGCCAAGTCGCAGCCGAAACAGATCGGCGGGCTGCTTGATTCCGAGGACGACGTAAGTCTGCAGCAGTTGATTGGGAAGTTCAACGCGCAGGAGCAGGAGATGAACGCAAAGGACGTGTACGGACTGGAAGTGATGCAGCAGATTTTGGAAGAGCAGGATCGCGAATGCCCGATCTGCCTGGCCGAGCCGATCGTCAACCCGGTCGTCACCTCGTGCTGGCACATGTCCTGCTGCGACTGCATAATTTCACACATCAAGTTTGAGAAAAACCGAGGCCAGGTCCCGAGATGTCACAGCTGCCAGGCCGAGATCAGCGAAGACCAGCTTTTTGAGGTCGTCACGCACTCGCCGCCGCCGTCCAGTACCAATGCCGCCGCTCAAAAGCCGGAGATTGCGCTGCGGCGGTACAAGCCTCAGTCGTCGGCGAAGATTGCGAGTCTGATGGCGAAGCTGAAGGCGATCCGGGCCGAGGAGCCGAATTGCAAGTCGGTCGTGTTTTCGCAGTTCACGTCATTTCTCGACATCATCGAGCACTCGCTGCAGCGCGAGCGATTCGAATATCTCCGTCTCGACGGCTCGACGCAGCAGAAAGACCGGGGAAAGATTCTAGAGAAGTTCAAGAACGAGCCCCGCGAGATGGTGCTCTTGCTCAGTCTCAAGACCGGCGGGGTGGGATTAAACCTCGTGAGCGCGAATAAGGCGTTTATGATGGATCCGTGGTGGAGTTTTGCGGTCGAGTCGCAGGCGATCGATCGGATTCATAGGATGGGGCAGACGCAGTCGGTGACGGTGTATCGGTTTATCGTGAAGGATTCGGTGGAGGAACGGATGCTGAAGATTCAGGACCGGAAGAAGTTCTTGGCTTCTACGCTTGGGATGATGACTGACGAGCAAAAGAAGGCAAAGACTATTGAGGACATTAAATTATTGTTTGACTAGGTCAGCATAATGTATACTACGACCATCTACATGCAGAAAACAGTCTTGAAACATAATCAATTAACGGATCATACTATTAACACAAGGATTAAAAAAACAGTAGACAACGCGCACCAATCCAATGAGATTCGTCAAAAAGCAGGGAGATAAGTTACTAGACGAGCAACCGACGATGAAAATGACTAAACGGCAGAAAACAATCGACAAAAGCACGCTATATATAGAGAACATACGACAAGAAAGATAAAAAAATAATTAAAAAAATAAAGAATAAAGCAACCCTTGCAAAAAAAGAGAACTCCCTTATATCCACAAAAGTGATATGAGTATATCAGCAAGACAGACAAGGCCTGTTACGCGGCCATCTCCCGCTGCAGCTTGCGCAATTCCTCCTCCTCGTCCTCCTCCTCGGACTCGACCTCGGCGTGCGCAGTCTCGGGTAACTTCGCGCTCGGCACGCGGCCGGCATTGAGCATCCGCGAGTCCAGCTCTTCCTGCTGCATGGCCTCCAGCTCCTCCTCGAGATCCTCTTCGTCAAAGGTTTCGCCAAGTGGCCGCGAGATGGCGTCGCCAATCTCTTCCGACAGGGAGACCTGTTCCCGGATCTCGTCCATAGTCGCATCGACCTTGTCGATGTTCATGTTGCCGTGAATGCTCTTCATCGCCTTCGCGCCGGACTGCATCACCTTGAGCGTCTCGTAGTTGAGGTTGGCGGACTCGATCGCGTTCGATTGCGACTCTAGTGTCGCGATCTGGTTCTGCAGACGCTCGAGTTCTTGCTCGAGCATTTTCTTGCGCTTCAGGGCGGCGCGGGCGGCTAGATCAGATGTAAAAGTCAGCAGCGGCCTCGTTTATCGAAATAAGATCCGGTATCGCATCGTGATAAGTAGATTTGACGATCAACACCCACGCGATCCGGTAGGCAAGCAAGGATAGCAACGTACATGTCTTGTTTGTGTTTACGTATTTCCGCGCAAGACCCTCCTGCACCGAGATCTTCTGCTCGATATCCTTCTCCTTCTTTGCGAGCATATCGAGATGCTGGCGGTGCTGGATGATGGCCTTCTTTGGCTCATCTTTTTTTGCCTGGCCGCCTCCAAAGATATAGGACAGCATGGTGCTCTGTGTATCGGCCGATGTCTCTGTGAATGTCTGTTTCTTTTTCTCTGGTATCTGACCTGCGTCGCGGGATCTGCGCGTGTTATCAGTGGCAAGTGCGATAGCTTCTATTCTGTGAGCGAGAGCAGAGTGCGGGAAGCATCTTCCCAAATCGCTAACCGCAGAGCTCGTGCGCGCGTTGTTTGTGCGGTTGTGCAGAGATTTGTTACCCGGAATACGGGTTTACCCGACCTTTCTTTGTCTGCTCGCTGATGACCGCTGGATGTCTGTCTGTAGTTGAATTGTTGTATATATCTTGTATATATACCATGCAAACAATCGTAGATCTCGTTACTATATACACATATATACACTCTATCGCGCTTCACTAATCCTAACTCCATTCGCCGCAAGCCAATTCCTGACCGCAGCCTCGCTCTCGCTCTCCTCCCCTTCACTAACTCCAATCTCATTAACCGCCTTGCAAATCCACGGTCTCGCAAACTCCCGGTCTTCTGCAATCCAGTCCACGAGCTTCCTCCGTCTCGTCATCCCGTCGTCCACGCAGAACTGGAGTTTCCCGCTCTGCACCAGCTCAGAGACCACCGCGGGAACCTCGCCCGGCGCGTACTTGTCCATTCCCAGATTCGCGCGACCGGTCGCGCACTGCTTGTTCTCGCACAGGCTTTTCTTGCAGCCGGTCGAGAGCTGGATGAAATATCTTCTCTCGATCCGACTTTTCAGGCGCGCACCTGTGGGGTCGTGCATGGGCGAATAGAGCGGGCCAAAGCATGAAGGGCAGAGCCCAAGACTGTTGCTCGTAGCCGTAACCGCGTCGCCTTCCGTAACTCGGACGCATAGAGGGTTCGTACATACCGCCGGCATCGGCGTCGACACGCGCTGCATCTCGTGTAGCTGCATATGGCTATCGACGTCGCGCAGACGAACGCTGCGGCCGCAGCGTGGGCATTCCGTCGTGCGCGTCCCGCAGCGAGATTCGTGGCCGGTGTAGCCCGCCAGGAGATCAGACTGCGAATCAGACGCTTCCTCTTGAGGCAGCCGGAGATGGCAGAACCGGCATGTGTGGAGTTTCTGGGGACAGGTTGTGGTTTTGTGATGCACAAGACTGAGCGAGTTGCTGAATTCCTGGCCGCAGATGCAGGCGGTCGGGGTATGATGGGCCAAGATGTGTTTCTCTTTTGTTGACGCAGAGTCGCAGGCAAAAGAGGGGCAGATATCGCAATGCCAGTGCGACGCCGGTATGCCGTCTTGCCTGCGGAATAACCTCTTGCAAGACGGGTGCGGACATAGTACATTGTTTCTTTCGCAGAATGCCGAGTGAAGTTGAAACGTCCTAGGCGGAAAAAATTGATGACAATTTGAACACTCTCTAGCGTCCGGAGCAGGTGTCGATTCAACACTATTGGTATCTTCTGCAATCTGCTGCGTTATCTTGAGAGAAAATCGGAGAGGAGACGCGCAGCTTTCGACGGCGATCTGGATCTGCTCGGCCGATGCGAGGAGTGAATTTGTAGGAAAAATCGTGATTTCGTTTGTCTCCTCGACGATTGTTGACCACTCGTAAAACCTGCTTGACGGTTTGCTATCGTCGCCCACGGAAATATAGAGATCAGCTGATCGAGGGTCTAAGTCTACCTCCTCATCTTCCTGAAGCTTCATAACATCGATCTCGAACCGCAGAGGCTTGCTCTTGTTCCAACTCTTCAATGCAAAGTAAAATGGATCTTTGAGTGATTCGGCGTCCAAAAACGCGCCAGTTAATGGCTGCTCGGGGCTATCGGCTACTACCTCGACTGACCGCCCGCCATCTGCTTTCCGCTTCGCGTCTCTCTTGGCCACTGACTTTCGCGCATGGTCGTCCGATATAGCTTCGAAATCAACGCTGAGGTCGGTGTCGACGATGCAGACCGCGTCCTCGGGCTGAAGTTTGTCGACCAGGAAGGACATGGTAGCGTGAGTCGCGGGATGAGAGATTGAGAGCATCTGGCCGTTTGTGAGGGTTGTATAAGACGACTGCAGAGATGACTCTAGTAGAGCTTTCCAGTCGTCGTCGATGGCAAGGTAGTCGTTATCGAGCGGACGGAGGTTGACGGACGTGCCTTTTGGCAGATCATGCCGGGAAACAATCAACGACGGCGGTGGCGCGTCCAGATCCCATGGCTCGCCGGAGTCTGCCACTGCGGCCGCCTCGGCGAGCTGCTTTGCTGATAGACCGAGCGAGGACGCGAGTTGCTGGGAGATGTAGACGGTGCCGTCGGGGGCGGAGAACTCGCGGACGCCGCAATGGGTCGCAGCGTTGGTGGCGGGGTTTGTGAGGCGGAAGGTGAGGGGCGAGGGGAGAGGGTCTCTGCCGGCGGCGTCTAGGAGTCGCTCGAGGACGGACTGGGGGAGGATGATACGGTCGGAGAAAGCGAGGGAAGGGCGGACTCGGGGGATGAGGAGTGTGCGGTTGTTGTAGGTTGAATCCATGGGGGAGAGAAGTGGATAAGGAGAGGAAGTGTGTTTGCAGGGAGATGGAGGCCTTATAGAGCAAGTGCTTACGGATCAGAACGACGTAGAATGCGGATGAGTAATGGAGGTGTTGGGAAGTGGATGAGTAGAGATGAGTGGAGTGAGTAGAGATGAGTAGGAGGAGTGAGATCTGATCCGAGACTCCTCAAAGAGACGCTTCTCGAGACTATCTGTATATCTGTATCTGATAACAGATATGCACAAAAGAGCACTCTCTTCACTTCACGATATCAATATCAGGCACATCTCATGAATGACGACGACGGCAGTGATGACATAACCTCCCACGCCTAAAGTGGCAAACCCCGTGATGTTTTGTGCATAAGTGGTCATAGTGCGCGGCGAGATCATCGCGGCTTGTTCTCCGCCACAGCCATCACCAGCTAATTGGGCTGCTCAGGCACCGTCGTCCATCACCAGCACAAGTAACCGACCGGCTCTGCTTCTGCCCCCTCCGCCAGTCCGCACTCTGCTCCTCTATGATCCTCCTCCACTTCTAAGCTGCCCCAGCACCTCTTCGTGGACCTGCTTCCGCCGCCCGCTAGATCCTTGTCGGCCTCTTTTTCGCTCTTGCCACTCGGCGCATAGAGCGCGTCGGTCCTTCCCGCCTTCATGACCTCGACTCTTGCTCCGCCGCGAATGCTCTCCCAGTCTGACTCCTCCAGATCCCGCAACAAGAGGGCCACCAACTGGGACGACTTCTACCGCAACGGCTATCCCACAGACATCATCACCATCGAGGACGACACTCCGCCTCCCGTCACCGCAGAGTCTGATTCCACTTCCTCCAGGGGCTCTGGATCGACCTCCTCCTCCACCTCCGCCTCCTCCTCCTCCACCATGGCCGCTGCCACCTCCAGCATCAGCAGCATTCTTTTGAACAACAGCGTCTCCACCCCGCGATCCTCCCATCCCGCGTCCTCCACCCAACCCCCGCCCCAACACCAAAGCAACTATGCATTGAGTTACTCCGCACAGCAGCAGCAGCTCCAGCAGCAGCATCTGCACTACCTGCCCCAGCACCAGCACTCTCCCGCAAACATCTTCGAGGTCAACCAGCGCTCCGCAATCGCTACAAGCACGTCCTCGTCCATTGCCACTCTCGCGGTCCAGAGTCGGTCCACCACCGGCCGGCGTCGCAACCACGCTGACGTCGGCGTATCAACCGCTACCGACCCTTCTTCGTCCACTATACACAACGGCTACAGGCCAAACGTCGAAGTCAGCAAGCGTCGGAAGGTGGAATACGACTCGCGAAGCAAAAAGCCGCAGAAAGCTACAGAGGTCTCCGTCAAAGTAGTTAACGATGTACGTGATATTTCCTAATCCGGCTATATTACCCTTGTTTGATATCGACCGCAGCTGACATCTTTAATACGAAACAGACATACCCCTCGAAAACTACTTCAAAGGTCGACGATGACGACGGACATTACATAATTATCCCTAATTCCGATCTCACGACGCGGTGTAAGTATCAAAATTTCCAATTTATGTCTAGTGCCGTTTCTAGCGCAATGCTGACCCCTTTCTAGACCGAATCACAAAGCTCTTGGGCCAAGGCACTTTTGGAAAAGTAGTTGCCGCATATGACAACGAGCGGCAGACTTACTGCGCGATCAAGATCATCCGAGCAGTGCCAAAGTACCGAGATGCAAGCAAGATCGAGCTTCGCGTCCTGCGAACGCTGTCAATGCACGACAAGAATAACGCGAACCGGTGCATCCATCTGCGGGACTGTTTTGACTACCGGAATCACATCTGCATCGTCACTGATCTGTTGAGCATCTCGGTATTTGACTTTCTCAAGTCGAACGAGTTTGCTCCTTTCCCGTCGTCGCACATCCAGAAGTTTGCCAAGCAATTGCTGACTAGCGTCGCATTCCTTCACGAGCTCAATCTGATCCACACAGACTTGAAGCCGGAGAACATTCTCCTGGTCGACAACAGCTACCACAGCGTGCCGTACGGCAAGTCTGGAACTGAGTTCCGGAAGGTTCTCAACAACACAGACATCCATCTCATAGACTTTGGAAGCGCGACTTTCCAAGACGAATACCACAGCTCCGTCGTCTCTACGCGACACTATCGTGCACCTGAGATCATTCTTGGCATGGGCTGGTCATTCCCCTGCGACATGTGGTCGATCGGCTGTATCCTGGTCGAGTTTTTCACCGGTGAGGCGCTCTTCCAGACACACGATAATGTCGAGCATCTTGCAATGATGGAAGTCGTCGTTGGATCTCCATTCGAGCGGTCGTTTTCCCGACTCGCCGGAGCCCAGGCCCAGAGCTACTTCACGCGCTCAGGCAAGCTGGACTATCCGACTCCGCAGACATCTAAAAGCAGCAAGAAGTACGTGCGGATGATGAAGTCTCTCGACAAGCTTGTCCCGCCTACGGATTCGTTCCATGAGCAGTTCTTGGATCTGTTGGAGCGGATCTTTGTTTATAATCCTACGCAGCGGATCACTGCTCGAGAGGCTTTGAATCATCCATGGTTTAACGAAACTAGTTATGACGAGGGATTTAGCACTAGTGCGATTTAACAATCAATGTTCTGCAGTGCTGCAGTTTACTTAGATGACGTCCAGACGTCTTTCAAGCTGGACTAGATGTTCTCCTTTAGGAAGATACCGAGAACTTAACGCTCTCCTCTCCTCTCTCCATGCTGCTCACCTGATTTTAATGTGCTAGTGCTTTCCTTTCTCTTCCACGTTCATGGAAGACTTGGGTAGTAGTACCTCCTGTTGTCTTGCAACAAACTCTTTCTTTCGATAAAGAAAAAAAAACAAATATGGGCTCTCGGTCGGTTATGGTTTTGCTTTTTTTGTTGTTGTCGTTGTTGTTTTCTTATATCGCGTTTGTGAAACACACTCTCTCTCTTTCTCTCCTCTCTTTTCTCTTTTTACATATTTTACGTCTGTGGCTGCGATCAGGATTATGGTTTTTTTTTTTTTGGAAAATACGTACTTTGACTCTCTTATTACTATTACTATCACTATTACTATATCTCCAACGGTTCTGCTTTATGCTTATGCTATGCTCTTGCTTATTTCGTCAGATGGCAAATCAATCACGTTTCTCCTCCGGTACATTTTTTATCTTCTTATTAGTTTGTTAACTACTCTCGGCTTTCGTTTGTGCTCTTTTGTTTTTGTTTTCGTGCGTGTGTGTGTGTTTGTTTTTCGGAAATACTTTTCTCTACGGTTTACTATCTATTTATCTATCGTTTTCTCTTTTCCGCGGAATATATGCGTGTGTTGGTCGTTTTTCTTTTGATCTCCATCTTAAGTGTTCTTTTTTGGCTCGTGCAGAGAGTGTAGACCGTAACAGGTTCTTAGATGTTTGAGTGTTTTGATGCGTTTAGTTGAAGATCAACAATTCTCGAGATTGGAAATGCGCGGGAGAGCTTGCCCACGCACGGTAAGGGTCTGATTGATCTCTCTACAACTTCAGCTTTATTTCTCTACACAAATCTACTTCCAAAAACAAGCTCTATTATTCCTTACACTAGATTACTTTCAACTTACCAACAAACAAAAAGGAAAGTGCATCGTGATTAAAACTCCTTGAATGCCTAATTTACACACACACACACACACACACACACGCTCATCTCAACAAAAACGCCTCCAAAAATAGTGAGAACAGAAAAAAGATAGACAAGCACGAATGAGTGACATTAAAATACGTAGACGTAAGCGACTGAATGAATGAATGAATGATGAATGAATGAACGATGCTTATCTTTTCATATTAGTTCGGGACTGCTCACTGCTCCTCGTCCTCGAGCTCAGGCGACGCGATCCTCGACCGCTTACTCTCCTCCGCCCACGAGAAAAACCCATTAATCCGCAGCGGCTGACTCCAGATCGTGAACGAAGTCGTCACTTTATAAAAAAACGCCGCCATCTTCGCCGTCCAGCCGGGCCCGCCGCCGCCGGCGGCGTGCACGCCCGCGATCTGGATCGAGAGCTGCGTGAGTTGCCGCTGGTGCATGCTGTAGCGCGAGCCGGTGGAGGTTCTGTGGCGCCGCGCTAGAGAGGCTGGGGTTCTGTCGACTGCGACTCTTGAGATTGCTTGGTGATCTGGAGCAGCATCAGCAGACGCCCCAGCGACGTTGTAATGCTGGCCAAACTCTTTCAGGCGGCAATAGTCTCGCTTCTTGGGACCAGCGCAGCACTTCATGCATCGCTGGCAAAGCTCCTTGATGCGCTGTTGTCGGTTCGGATCAGGAGTCTGGATCCGTTTGCCGGTCGCCTTGTCAACTCGCGGGAACTGGAACGAGAAGACTAAAGGACCGAAGCACTCCTTGCACAGCACTGTCTGACAGCACTCGCACAGCTCGAGCACCGTGCCTGAAAACTTGCCGTTGCAACTCTGACATCGCTGACTGGTTTCCAAAGGCGAGAGCACATCAACCGTCTCCTGCGTGACCGAAAACCCAACCGGCGGTTCTATATAATCCTCCACGAACGCGAGACTATACGCGACGTGCTCAGAGTCAAGCTCGTCGATTTCCTCCTCGCTCGGCGAGCCGACGCTGGGCGAAGCGGTGCCGGGCAGGATCTCGGAAAATGACGTGAGGCAGCTGTGGTCGAGGAATTCGATCGGCAGCGGTCGCGACTTTGAGACTTGCCGGCGGAACGAGGAGCTGATTGATGACGAGATGTGGGGGATGTTTTTGAACCATGATTCTTTCCGGTCGGTTTGCGGGATGTCGAGTCTAGATATGAGTTAGTTTCTGCTGTGTAAACAAAATAGAGAGAGAGAAAGAGAGAACATACCTCAAGGACCTCCGACGAATGCTGCCGTTCCTCCGCTCACTCGCTCTGATTTTCCGAACAAAAAGCGGCGGCTCATCAGCATTCTCATGCTCACTCGCAGCAGCAGCAGCAGCAGCCTGCCCCACCCTCGGCGTCGACAACGGTGCCTCTGCAATAACCTGTGGCCGACTCACTTTCGGCGCAGCGGCAGGTTTCCTCGCGGCGGCCGATTTTGCTGCCGCACCACTGCTCGCGAATGTCTTTGTATTCGTAGACGACGCCGAGGACGATCGCGAGATGCTCGTCGCGGGAGAGACGTTGCTGCTCATCGGCGTGAACGGGTCCCTGTTCTTTGCGATCTTTCGCACCGATCCTTTTCCTGAACCTTTGCGCAAGAGCTGAGTTGAGGCTGCCGGCTTGCTCGTCGCGGTGGTGTACCATTGTGTAGTCGTAGTAGTGGTGTTCTGAAAGGAAGCATGTTGACCGTCTTTGGCGTAGTTCATATATGTGATTTGAGACATGAGATCAGGCGGCGGGTGGGCGGCACAGATGCAAAGCAGGCGATCTGAGATGAAAACGACAAAGGTATAGAGACCGGCAAAGGCGGAGGAGGAGGAGGTAGAGGGAAGGTTGTGTACAGCCTTCTGGATTCGTGTAAATGATCAGCGATATATTTAGTCTTTCGGGGCCGTTCTATATTAAGCGAAGGTGGTCGAGGGTTGGCGTGGAAATATATAACGGTATATGAATCGAATGTCTGTAAGTCAACGTCAGTCAGGATTGATGAAACAGATATGAAAAGAAGGCTTGGTTGGTGTATACCTTCTATTCTATCGAGCCAAACAACCCAAAAAAACACATCAAATGCAGGAAAGAAAGAAACAGAGGCAGGAAGGACGATATAAGTGCACGGCAGAGAATTAAACTCTTGTTTACAGACACGCCTGCCGCAAGCACGAAGTCACACCCAGCAGCGGTGACGTCGCGTCGGGGCGGAGGAGGTTGTTTACGTAAAGAGCTCGCGTCCGCATATTTTGGGCGTTGTCAGGACAACAGCGGCCCCCTTTTGAGCTGCTGCCAAACAAACACAAAGGAGGTCGAGGGTTTGGTGGTTGCTGAGCCGCGCTGGAGAAGCCACCGAGACACGTAAAGAGGAAGAGAAGAGTAAGAAGCGCGTAGGTCGTGGAGAATAGCAGTGAACAAGCGATCCCCGCTGCTGACGGTCAACAAACAATAAGCGGGGAAATTACTGTTTGTTTGTTTGTTCTGCTTGCTGGATTTATGAGCTTCCGGAGCAGGCAAGGTTGAAAAGAGGTTCGTCACTACCCTGCATGCACGCTGCCTGTGAAGAGGTGAGGAATGCGAGGCAACACCGCGACTAACCAATGGTTCTATCTAGATACATATTTTGCTGCTGCTGTGGGAGATTACTTGTCTGCAGCTGAATACCTTTTGTGCCGGAAGCGGGAATCGGCTAGAATCGCTCGGCGGTCTGATTTGGAGTGTTGTGTTTTGATCGCGGACAGCACAGGCACAGGCGCTCTGAAGCTCTTATTTGGGAAGCAAAGTATAAAGGATGTACGGGGGTATTTCGGCACAAGAAGAGCATATTGCTGTACTGGAGCAGCAGCTCTCACGTTTGAAAGACGAGGTGTCGAGTCTCGAGCGAGATAGAAACATTGGGATTCAAGAAAACGAGAGGCTATACAACCAGATCGAATCGCTCGAGAAGGACAACGAGCAGCGGGGCAAGGACGCCGACCGATGGAGGTACAGGTTCGTGACGGAGAAGCAGGAGACCGAGACCGCGAAGCAGCAGATCGAGTCGCTGCAGCATGCGGTCAAGAACAGGGATCAGAGCAATCGCGAGCTGGCAAGCTCCAAGATCCAGCTGCTGTCTGAGGTCGAGGCTCTCAAAAGTCGACTGAAGGAACTAGGGGAGGAGACGAGGGCGCTTTCACAGAATAATTCGGAGCTGCTGGAGCAGCTTCAGGGGTACGAAGATTACACAAATGAGCTGCTGGATGAGATCAAGGCACTACAGAACCAGCAATCGAGTCACGACAGTGATCGTGATGCGAGCTCGGAGGACGGCGATCGGCAAGTACAGCTTGCGGACTCGATTCCAGCACGACGGCTGTCTGACAGTGCGCCTAACCGGCGACTGTCTGACGAATTAAGCGCAGAGCTCGTAGACCAAGACAGCCAGGGCGATATCAACGACGAGGACGACCGGAGCGGGCAGACGCTGATCAATGATATGGACGATGTCTTGTTTGGATTCGAGCTCGACGGCGCGTCGCCGGGCCACAGCGATATCCGGAGCGCGTTCGAGAAGCTGAAGAAGTCGAGCGGGTACGAGAGTATTCGGCAGTGGTCTACGCCCGAGGAGCTCAACCAGGTTCTGACGGAGTTTAAGACCGTGGTGGCGAGTGTGAATATGCAGCTGCCGAATGGGAAGGTGGCCAGTCTCGACGGCGAGGTTCTTACAGAGAAGCTGGGGAGTTTACAGACGGCGGTGGCGGCGCTGGCGAAGCAGCAGTTTTTGATCCGACAGCTGCTGGATGACGGTGATAAAGTTAGCCAGAGTGTTGTGGTGAGTGAGAATGCGATGGCGAGTGAGAATGTGAAGGAGATGGACGTCAAAAAGGCCGAGGCAAAAGAGTCGTCGAGTGTGGTTAGCAGCGGGTTTTTAAGCGAGAGCGAGCTGGAGCGGGTAAGCAGGATACCGGGGTTCAAGCTGGCGGTGTATCTGGTGCCGGCGCCGATGCTCGAGTCTTTCAAGAGCGAAAGTCGAGAGATGCGAGTGCTTATTCAGCTGTATTTCTACGTGGTGGCAGTCTTGGGATTGGCGTTGGCGGTTGGAATGGTGGTGGGGTATGGGGTGAGCCGGGTGTTGACGTCGGGTGGAGAGTGTTGCTATTCGTCGGGACCGTGGTGGGTGGGAAGCCGGACACCGTTTGTGGAGAAGGCGATGTATAGGTTGGAGGAATGGTATCTTGATAGGTATGGTCGGTAGTGAGGGAGGTGTTTTGTTGTTGTTGTTGTTGTTGTTGTTGTTTACTATTTTGCGGTGGATGGTTGCTAGGGGACCTACGAGCCTTATCAGACGGGGATGATAGCGAGTATGTAAGATATAAATAAACCGCGGGACTGATAAGCCGAGCAGAGCAGAGTAGAGTAGAGAGAGTTAGTGGGATCCGGGGAGAGTCTTTTTTTTTTCTTTTGTTGTTTATTTAAGTCTGTGGATCTGTGCATCTGTGACGGCGGGCTGGAGTCGAGTAGAGCCGGCCGAGGAGGAGTCGACAGAAGCAGTCGCAGGGTCGGAAATGAGATTGATTCATCTCGGATTAGTGTTTGTTGTTTGTTTACAGAGGATAGGGTGTCAGATCCATTGCAGTCCCCTATTACCTGTATTATCCAGATCTGTAGAGATTGAAGCAGTCTCGGTCTTGGACTCTGCAGCAGCAGCAGCAGCAGACACCCTGCAGTAGAAGCAGAGCAGAAGCAGAGCAGAGCCCAGATCTGCAGGCACGTGTCGGGTCTGGTTTTTGTGGTTGAGTTTCAGCGGTGTTCAGGGGACCGGGAACAAGTTGATGGAGCGGGTCAGAGGGAGTAGGGTTTGGTCTTGTGAAGAGATGACGATGATGACAATGCAAGGGAGATATAGAGAAAGAAAGAAGAGATGGAGAAGAGGTAGAGATAAAGAAGAAGAAGAAGTAGAGAATAAGATAAAATATGATCATAAATAAAAAAACATCCACAACACACACAACAAACAACAACAACAACAACAACAACAACAACAACAACTCAGGATTCTCGAAGAATCGCCGGATCGGGAAGAAACAGATTGGCTGGAGCGCGGCGCTAGGGGCCACACGGCAGATGATCGCTATCACGACGCAATAAAACAAAACAGTCCAAACATCAACACGATCATGCACCCGCTGCAGTCTGCATCTGTACTGCCGGATTGGTGGGTAGATCTGATGAAGCCGGATGGGTAGATGTAGATGGTGTTTAATTGTATGTGCTGCTTCTGTATAATACGCAGTCTTCTCTCTCCTACGCAGCAGGACTCTGTTGTGCCGTTCGTTGCTGTGACGACGAGCAATGACCTCATAGCCCAAACGGGTACGACGGCCGCGTGTGGGCTCAGGGTACCAACCCGGCCTCGCTCTGGCCGCTGTATATATTTCCGCCGTCCCGTCTTCCATCGAACTTCTGTTTCCTCTCTTCACCACACCTGTGTTTGTCTGCTCGCTCTTCTATCTCTACCTCTACTTCTTCTATTACACTACATCACAATGGGCGCTCTCTTCATCTCCTTCGCCACTCTCCGTGTGCTCGTCATCTTCTTCATGACCGTCACCATGGGCCTCATCGGCTCCTTGATGGCCCACCAGAGCTACGGCACTCCCCAGATCAACTTCATGATCTTCGCCTCCATCTGGGGCCTCCTCTTCTCCGGCCTCTTCGGCGTCTTCTGCCTCTTCGTCTCCATCCTGGCCTTCCCCATCGTCCTCCTCATCCTCGACTTCCTCACCCTCGTCTTCTCCTTCGCCGGTGCCACCGCCCTCGCCGTCCTCATCCGCGTCCACTCCTGCACCGACGAGTCCTTCCTCAAGTCCAACCGCGTTATGGAGGGCTCCACCGACAGATGCCGCAAGGCCCAGGCCTCGGATGTCTTCATGTACTTCACCTTCATCTGCTCGCTCGTCCTCGTCATCCTCCACGTCTCGTCCGGCTTCCGCAACGGCTGGGGTGGTGCCACTAAGTCCGTCCCCGCTCCTGCCCGTCCTACCATGGCCCAGGTCTAAGCGGTGTGTCGGTGTGAGATCTCGTGTAATATTTGTGCTATGATGTTGTACTTTCTTCTTCTATAATCTAATTATGATACCTTTTTCTTTAATTCTCTTTTTCCAAGTGTTTGTAAGTGTCGTAGTGCCTACGTAATTGTGCTTATCTCATGCCCATTGTAGGGCTCCATCCTCGGTGTACCGCCTTCTAAAGCCGAGTACGATGAGCATGGACGGCGCTGCACCGCTGCACCGCTGCACCTAGTCCCCTAAAGTCCCCTAAAGTGCATTGTATTGTCCACCGTATTGTCCAGCTGATCATCTTCTTCTTCTTTCATATTCTACAATAATCCTCAAAGTTCTATCAATAAGAAGTTATTAGGAGTCACAATAGGTATCGTGACACTAATCCAATGTTCTCGATTGTTCGCCAACCCGAAGATCTTTTTCGCTTTTTCGCCTTTCGTCTTTTCGTTTCACTTCTTCTTCCGTTATCATCCAAACCTTAATCTGCTCCTGACGTCATCCTGAACCCGGATCAGCACCGCTCCTCCTATTCACCATATTCACCACTCACTCTAATATAGTGTAAACAATGCCATAGTAGTTATCGAGAATGCATGTATATATATTATATGTATATATGTTACAAAGAATACAACGTAAAAAAAATATCACATGTTACACACTTGCTCTCGCTCTACGCCGCCTGGCTGTTCACCGCCAACTCCATAATCAGCCGCGTAGCCATATGCAAAAACGGATACGTCGAAAGCGTCTCGTCTTCCTTGTCCTTGTCCTTCTTCTCCTGCGCTGCCTGATCGGCTGTCTTCGCACTTGAACTCGCTCCCCCCGTCTTCTTGCCCTCCTCGCTGCCTGCCCCCGCCTCCTCCTGCGGCCGCGGCTTCGCCTTCGCCATCGACGTCAAATTCGTCAGCGTATTTATATCCTTGATATTCGAGCTGTTGATCGTCACCACGCTGCTGCTCCGCGCCATATTCGTACTACTCCGCCGCCGCCGCAGAAGCTGCTTCTCCTTCGCCATCGTGTGCTCGTCCCCTTCCGTCCACCACCCGTCAAACTTAAAGTCAACAAGATAGTTGTTCTGCTCCAGCTGATACAGCTGGATCTGCATCTTCATCAGCTTCCCTTGCTCCCCTTGCAACTCCGCCCCGTCCGCTAACGGCTCCCGCGGCATGTACCGCCATCGCACCAGAATCGTCCACGGGTCCTCCTCCGTAGGCTTCGCCCACTCCGCCCCGAGTCCCTTCAGCGCCCTGTAGATCTCCGACATCACATCGATCGGGTACGACCGACTCCTGATCCCAAAATGCCACCGCGTCTTGGACTTGCGCGACGCTGACGACGCCGCGTGCGCAAGCTTCTCCAGATGCGCAGACATACCCGGGTACATCGCCATCATATTCGCCTTGTGGTACGTCGGCAGCGACGACGGCAGCACCGCGATCGTCGTGTTCGGCGTCGAGATGTCCGTCGCGTTCAGCGCGTTCGTCAGATGCGGATTGTCAAACGTCAGCGTCTGCTCGTTCCGTTTCCGCGAGATCGAGCCCGGATTCGACCGCAGCCCTTCGCTCGACCAGGAGGGCGGACTGGACGACAGCCCGTCCTTGCCCGCGTCGTTCTCCATCAGCTTGTTCTCCTTCATCAGCTCGTACGCGTCTCTGATCTCGCTATTCGTAGCTCCGCCGCCTTCCTTCGAGCTCTTCAGCGCGTCGTACACCTCTTCCTTGTCGTAGCCCATAGTCCGCCCAAGCGCTCCAACAACCGTCTCGTCAATCTCACTCAAGTCGTCCGTCTTGTTCTTCTCCTCTGGAGGAAGCAGATACGCAGGGAGATTAACCTTGAACCACTTGTCCTGCATAATCTCCCGCACCGTAATCCGGTTCATCGGGTTCACGACAAGCATCCGCTGCAGCAAATGCTTCGCCCCAGGTGACAGATACGACGGCAGCGAGTACACACCCCCGTTGATCTTCTTAAACAGCGTCGGGATGAACTCGTCGTCAAACGGTAGTCGTCCACAGAGCATCACGTACAGGATAACTCCGCAGCTCCACACGTCAACCTCCGGACCCGCATAGAGCTTGCCAGAGATAACCTCCGGCGCGGCATAGTTTGGCGATCCGCAGCTCGTCTTGAGGAAATTCCCGTCCGTCATGATATTTGACAGTCCGAAATCCGCAATCTTCACATTCAGATTGTCGTCCAGCAGCAGATTCTCCGGCTTCAAATCGCGATGCACAATCTTGTGTCGATGACAGTACTCGACCGCACCAATGATCTGCTGAAAAAACCGCCGCGCTTCGTCCTCCGGCATCTTGCCCCGCTGCACAATGTAATCAAAAAGCTCTTTGCCGGCGAATTCAATCACCATGATGACCTCGTCCTTGGATTTTATGACATCGTACAGCTTAATGATGTGCGGATGGCGCAATAAACGCAGGTACGAAATCTCACGCTCGATCCGTCCTTGCATATCCGATTTCGCGAGCGTCTTGCGGTTGATGATCTTCAGCGCGACTCGCTGGCGAGTTCCCAGATGGTACGCCACTGTTTATGAGCGCACAAAACGCAGCGTCAGCAATACACCTTCACCTAAAACCACGCAACAATCAATCAAATACATACACTTCACTTTTCCAAACGATCCTTCTCCAAGCGTCTTGATGATCTGGTACCGACCAATCCGCCCGCCGCTGCCCGAAGATGACGGGTCCCGCGACGGCTCTCGGCCGCTGCGCTCTGTCGTGCGGTCCTGCTGCGACGGCATCTTCCCTTCCTTATTATATATATAGAATCAGAAGCTCACTGCTCACTGCTCACTGCTCACTGTAGATGTCTGAATTAAGCAGCGCGGAACAGCGAATAAACCGGCGCCAGGAACTCGCAAAAGGTGATATGACGACGATATGACGGCGATGCGGAGTTGTCCACACAGACTCACTCCTCGCTGTCTCAATGCGCCGTGTGATCGAGTCACATATTGTGTCACGTGAGGAGTCACTTTTGCTTTGCCTCACTCCATCTCATTACATATTCTCGCAAGAGCCGCTTGCTTCGCCATGTGCCCTGCGCTTCTTGAAAAGAATCCCTTATTGCCAGCATCCCGAACACGTTCTCTATCTTCCTTCTGAATTACATAGAAGCAACGACTGCACCATGGCCGACGCAAACGCCGCCGTTTACAACCGATCTCTGACCGCTATTCACACTGTAAGTCGCTCGCTTCCTTGACGTCACAGTCGTGATTCGTTTCCGATTTCAAATATATAAAACCGCTTCCCTCCGTCCACCTTTTCTAACCCACAACTCGCTGAATAGGAACTCGATTTTTTGAAGAACGCAGGTGTTATCGCTCCTAATCTCTACTCTCATCTCAGCCAAGTCCTGCCGCGCACATACACCGCTGGCATGCCCCCATTGGACCTGCACAGTGCCGCCTCTACTCCAAGCACCGAAAAGTCCCAGTTCGCCGCGCCCGTCGCCGCCCCCGCTGCTCCTCCCCAGTACTCGTCCGCCGCGCAGATGCAGCCCGAATTCGCCGAGGCAATGTACGACTACCGTCCGTCGGACGAGTCCGACTTGCCGCTCTACCGCGGCGCCCAGATCGTCGTGATTGAGAAAGTCAACCCGGACTGGTGGCGAGGCCGTGATAAGTCTTCCGGCAGAGAGGGAATTTTCCCGTCCAGCTACGTTCGCGTTCTAGACGGCTCTGCCAGTCACCTTGCACCCTCGCCGGCTCCGTACCGCGAGTCCTACAACGTCTCGCCTCAGCCGTACCAGGCGCCTACCCCTCAGCCGTACTTCCCCCCTGCTGCTTCGCCTCAACCGCAGCAGCAGCCTGTCGTCGTCCAGCAGCAGCAGCCCCAGCAGCAGCAGCAGCAGCAACACCAGCAGCAGCAGCAGCAACACCAGCACAGCGGGCTCGAGAAGGCCGGAAAGAAGTTTGGCAAGAAGCTTGGAAACGCTGCCATTTTCGGTGAGACCTTGTCCTCCTTTGTGCATAACCGACAGTCGTTCGATAGACCGCTAACTTGTTCATGATAGGCGCCGGTGCCACTATTGGATCCAACATTGTCAACTCCATCTTTTAAGTCGTTTCGGGTTCTGGGATATTGTTTTAGTTTAGTACTTTGGGCTTCTTTTATATCAATCTCGGCGGCCTTATGTGATTTATATCTCTGCAAGGGTGCCAGTCACCAAGACCGGAGAGAGCTCTCTTGAAAGCCCTACAAACCTACTGTTTTCTCGGTGTTTTAGGTGGCTCGAATTTTGTTATTATTATCAGTCTTGCCGTGATTGCTCGCTCTCGTTGGTTCAGCTTCTTGGAGTTTTTACAGTTTCGAACCATTTGTGTTTTTTTCTCTCTTACTATTGAAAATTGATTGACATGGGATTGGCTATATATCTGCTGTGCTTTTTTTTTGTGTTTTGTGTTTTGTATTAGTTTTAGTTCAGTTTTAACAATGGATTGCGATGACTTTGAGCAGTTGCTGATGGTGTGGAACAACCTGCTGCCTTGTGTTTTTCGTAGCTTCAAATGTGAAAAATCACAAACTAAAAAAACAAGAGAACAATAAGCCTTGGCTGTAATTTATACTGTCTTCTAGAAACCGGTTGATAGTGGATGAGCAGTAGCTGTTGCTTTTCTTGTCCAGGGTGCATGTGCAAAACGAATAGAATAGGGCTCACTTCACTTGCCTTTGATCCGACGACGGGCGGAACTTTGATACTCCACAACTTTCTCTTTGCAGACCTCGTTCGCTCACCACCACCGCTGCATACAACACAATAGATCCGTCCTATTCCGTCGTGAAAAAAATAAACAGAACTTTTAGAGAGCTTCGCAGACTCGGTCAAGCAACAATCAGCACACACACCGAGCGACAAGATGCAGATAAGAAGTTCTTCGCCAATCAGGACACTATACCTGAAATGGCGCGCTCTTCGCAACGTGCCGTTCCGGAAGAAATTCCTTGTTGGTGAGCAAGAAATTCAGTGGATTGTATGAGGTTTTTTTGGTATGCCGGACAGAAGCTAACGGTTTGGAAACGCGGGCAGGTATGGATTTGGAGGAAAATACGTTCTGGGAGTTTGTGAATCTGAATAATCCCGGGAGAACGCGGCGGATGGTGGAATTGCTTGGATCGAAGAAGGATTATATCGACTACAAACTACCACGTATGTATTTCGTCCAATCTGTCTGTACATATACGGAGAGAGGGTATTTGCTAACCCCACCCCAGCGCAATGGAGCCAATGGCTCCGCCACGTCCGCAAAGATCCGCCGTCGATAGAAGAGCTCGAATCCGAGCAAGTGCGGCTGGCGACCATGAAAGCGCGCGTCGCGGCCGCGCAGCAGAAATGGGCCGCCATCCCGCTTAAAGAGGAGGCGGTCGCGCAGGGTTCGGTGTCGCCGCAGGGCATGCCAGGTACGAACTCGACGATCGATCCGAGTCGGTTCGCCGGGGTTGCGGGGACGAAGCAGGCGGCTGCGCCGAAGGCGAAGGAGAGTAGACGGCCGAAGAAGGCGGAGGCGGAGAAGGAGAGTGAGAGCGAGACAAAGACAGGTATGGAGAGATGTTGATTGTTGAATGGTGCATGCGAGACTCTGACTGACGGTTTACGTATAGATGATGCATTTCAGCCTAGTGCATGGCATAGCAAGCCTGTCAGCAGAAGATAACTCTGAGTGGATAACAAGCAGCATTTTGATCCTATAGAAGCCGCTACATGGCTTGGACACCGTGCATTTCTGCCATCAACCAAGGTAGAGCAAACAGACGATACCTGCATGCAGACACGACTATAACCAAACAAGACTGGCAGTGGATATACTGTCTACATCACGTTTATTCCAATCTACTAAAGCGGACACCTATGTACATACAATCAATTTTTCTCTGATAAATTTCTAATATGAATGGATGCCGTAAGAGGGAGTTTATGGCATGGCAATTGCAGGGGGTTACCTCCGACTCCCATAAGAGCATCCGGGTAGTCTGAGTAGGCTATTTGAAAGAAAACAAACCACCGAAAGAATTTACCGTAGATTTACAAGTCTCATATGAAAGAAAAGCTATGCTATTGCCGTCTACAGTCTGATTACATAACAACATAAACATCATGACATAACGCACCACCAGCTTAAATTTACTTCATACTTTTTTGGGCGGTCTTGCCTCAAGTCGACCCATCTGCCCAAATTCATCCTTTCACTTCTGCAATAGGAAACCGAGAGATCAGAATACCAATTACCTCTCCCGTCGCCTCTCTTCCCGACCACGAATTGCTACCACAAGACCAGAAAAGAAACCATGGCCGAAACCCCTTCGCTTGAGACCCTCAAGATATCCGACCCGCCAGCTACTACTGTCGAGCAAAACGTCACGCCCTGGGAGGTCGAGGGCGCTGTCGTCGATGGAAAAGCACAGGAGATTGACTATGATCGCTTGATTGAGCAGTTTGGAACCAAGAAGGTCACGCCTGAGGTTCTGGAGCGATTCGAAAGAGTCACAGGACATAAGCCCCATAGGCTTATGAGACGTGGGATGTTTTTCAGCGAGAGGTGGGTCGTGGTTCGATGTCACTGTTTGGTGGAGAAGCTGATGTGCTAACCTGTTATTTGTATGCAGAGATTTGGACGTGATCTTGACGAGATACGAGCAAGGAAAACCGTTCTTTTTGTACACCGGCCGAGGGCCTTCCAGCGACAGTATGCACCTTGGACATATGATTCCGTTCATGTTTACAAAGTGAGTTGAAGTCTGACAGTGATTGATTTCCCGACTACGAGGCGAGGAGTTGATAAGCGCTTTTTTGAATGGGTAGACTGACTCTCTTTGATAGGTGGCTACAAGATGTGTTTGATGTGCCTTTGGTTATTGAGATGACTGGTACGCAGTGCCTCTAGAATATTGAAGTTTACAAACTAGATCTAACATGTATCCAGATGACGAGAAGTTCCTCTTCAAGAGCAGTCTCAAGATCGAAGACGTCAAGAAATTCGCGTTCGAGAACGCAAAGGACATCATCGCCGTCGGCTTCGACCCCAAAAAGACCTTCATCTTCTCAGACCTAAAGTACATGGGCGGCGCCTACTACGAGAACGTCGTGCGCGTGTCGCGGCAAATCACAATGTCGACCGCCAAATCGGTCTTTGGCTTTGGCGACTCCGACAACATCGGCAAGATCCACTTTGCCTCCATCCAGATCACGGCCGCGTTCTCAAACTCGTTCCCGCACATCTTTGGCGAGCGCAAGGATATCCCCTGCCTCATCCCCTGCGCGATCGACCAGGACCCGTATTTTAGAGTCTGCCGCGACGTCGCGTTCAAATTGCGCTATCCCAAGCCCTCTCTTATCCACGCTCGCTTTTTCCCCGCGCTTCAGGTACGCACAAACATTTTCTTCCTAAAGAGGGCACAGCTAACCAAATATACTCCCACAGGGCTCGCAAAGCAAAATGTCCGCATCCGTCGACACCTCTGCGATTTTCATGACCGACACCGCCAAACAGATCGACAAGAAGATCAAGCGCTACGCCTTCTCCGGCGGCCGCGACACTCTCGAAGAGCAGCGCCAGTTCGGCGGCAACCCGGACGTCGACGTCTCGTTCCAGTACCTCTCGTTCTTCCTCGAGGACGACGCCGAGCTCGAGAAAGTGCGCGAGGATTACAAGTCCGGTAAGCTGCTCACGGGCGAGCTCAAGGTTATGTGCATCAAGGTGCTGCAGGAGTACGTCACTGAGTTTCAGCAGCGACGGGCGGCGGTCACGAAGGAGGTCGTTGAGGAGTTTATGTCGGCTAGAGCTCTGGAGTGGGGAAAGCAGGAGCGCCGTGTGCCGATCGTGAAGGTCGAGAAGGAAGAGAAGAAGTAAGGCGCTTTTGTCTATTCTTTTGTGTAAATCAATTGAGCGGGCTTTGCAGCGCTTGTTTACAAGTTTTTTGTAACGAAATAGTTAGAACAATGTGTTTAATAATATAATAATATACTCTTACAACAGCGATTACAAGAGAAACTAGTCGACTGTGGCAGGACGCCCTCCTTTATCCTCATACAGATCGCAAGCGAGTACATTCGTATGATGCCCGTTCGGAAATGGTATATAACGAGAGGTATTGAACCTCCGCGAGCTGACGATTTGGACTTGCTGAGTGTTTACTTTTAAAAATGACCAACTCGATGAAACAATGACAAGCCCAACTTACGCTCAGAAACCACCAAAACACGCCGTCTACGTGTCAAATAAAAGACCCAAAACCAGAACCAACTCTCAATCAAGCAGAAACAAAAAAAATACTTGAATCAACATATAGAAACAAAAAAAAAATTCGAATCTCCGGAGCGTGACTCGAACACGCGATTTTCAGATAATCGATAAACCATTACAGTCTGACGCCTTACCAGCTTGGCCATCCGGAGTTTAACGGTTAAAACTGGTCGCCCGGTTCACTATAAACCTGGAGAAGTATGGCCCTAACCCTCTGAAAATTACCGGATTTGGTAAGGGGTTCTGGATTTGGAAGGTAGGTGAGGAGGTTGAGGTTTGGTTGCTTGGTGCGGTTTTGGCTTGGATATGAACTGTGATTTGTGGAGATCTGTTGAATTGGCTTTGTAATGTGCTAAAGAAGTATGTGGATGTGTGTAGACAGTTTGGTTGAAGAATTGAGCGCTCTGATGTTTGGTGAAATGTATCTATAGACAGCATAAAGGCTCGATGGACTGCTGGAAACGAACAGGTGATGCTTCTGAAATCTTGGAACATTATTCAAATAAATATAATACATATAACTGAACAAAGAATGAAAAAAAAAACAAGCAAACGCCAAACCATAGATCTATATACAGATATGCAGAATAATATACAATCGAACACAAACCAATGCCGCTCAACTCTTGCGAAAGCCCTCATACTCCAGCTCCGCAAACCCAGGCTGCCCTCTTCGTTTAAGCACAAACTTTGAATCGATATATTCCATCAACTGTTCCCAATTCCGGGCCATGCGCAACTGCTGTCTCTCCTGCTTTGTGAGCAAGCCGACCGTCATATCGACAATCGCCAGCTGCAAATGCTGGAACTTGCCTTTCAAGCCGTAGAGCTCGGCGTAGGCGCAATACAGCTCGAGTGCTTTCCACGGCGTCTGCTTGCCTGAAAACGGCTCGAGAAACAAAGCCGGGTTCTCGAGCAGGCCGCGCGCGGCCATGACGCCGTCGACGCCGGTTTCGCTTGCGATCCGCCTCGCGTCGGCGAGCGAGAAGCAGTCGCCGTTGGCGACGACGTAGACGTGTTTTGGCAGCGCATCGCGGACGCGCTTGATGGCCTCGAGATTGACGGGCACGGCGCCGCTGCGGTCTTTCGTCCTGCGGCCGTGGACGGTGACGATGTTTGCGCCGGCGGCAGCGACGCGGCGCGCAAAGTCGAGCGTCTCGGAGATGTCTGGGTGGATGCGGATCTTGACGTCGATGACGAGCGAGTCTTCAAACTCGGCGCGCAGGGCGCGCACCATGTCCTCGACCAGGTCGATCTTGCGCATCAGGGCCGCGCCGATGCCGGAGCTGATCTGGTCCTTGATCGGGCATCCGCAGTTCAGGCCGACGCCTGCGACGTACGGCAGGATGATGCGCGTGGCGGCGACGAGGTCGGCGGGGCTGTTTGCGCCAAACTGCGCGAGCGTGACAGCCGCGTCCGAGGCGGTGGTGGAGAAGTCTGCGATGCGCGCGTGCGGCGAGTTTTTGAACTCGCGCGCGAGCATCATCGGCGTGTAGACTACGTCCAGACCGAGGTTCCGCAGGAGAAGACGGTAGGGAAGTTTGCTGTAGCGCACCATTGGAGCAGCGATGAAGAGCGGGCGCGAGGCCGCGCGGGCAGACTCGAAGAGATCGAGGATCGAGGGCTGCGAGGCCGAGCGGGGCGGAGGAGGCGAGAGACTGTCATCGACCGTCATGATGGGCTCGGGAGACGAGAGCAGGTCTGGCGGCGGAGTATAGACAGGAACAGCTGGGATGTGGTGTGAGACGGTCATGCTGGAACACGCGCCGGCGGCCCAGCGGGGAAGAGAGAGAGAAAGCGCACGGGCGGAGGCAGATTGAGCTGCCGCTGCCAATTGGGATACGTAGGACAACAGAGCTAAGAGACGTTCAGGCGAGCTAGCGGGAGAAATAAACGAATACTTCCACTGCTGCTCTTTTCTTTTTTTCGTTTTTTCGTTTTTTCGTTTTCTTGTTTTCTTGTCCTTGTTCGGGCTAAGAGCCGGTCGCCTGAGGTTTATAAATCTAGATTTGCCCAGCAGTGCTTGGTGATTCCAAGTCTGGACGGGCAAAAAAAATTTCACGAGCTGGGAGATGAGCCGCGCGTGTTGCGGCGGGCGGCAGAGCGGGCGATTGTGGATAAGAGTTGGTTGGGAGGAGAGTCAAGTCAGCAAGCAGAGTCATGGAACACACGGAGAAGGGCGATCTAAAACAGCAGGTCGCTACCATGGCTGGCTGGGCTGCCGGCTGGTGGGACCGAGGACCAAGACTGGGAGCAGGGAGTGGAACTAGTACGAGTAGAGCAAATGAAAGCAGAGGCAATAGCGTTTAGAGATGCGGGTTGTGATCTGAAGAAATTTTTCGTGCTAATTTTCGGAGATACTGGCAGGCAAGGACGAGGACTACGGGGGGTTTCGGGCGGGTGGCTAGTACTTGAATCAGCCAGTAGACGCAATTGACCACGAGCCAGACAATTGAGCTGCAATTGATATTCCGCTGCAGAATAGAAGAGCGCGGTGGGAGGAGCGGAGCGGTGGGAGGAGAGCGAAGAGCGTTGGGAGAAACCAGAGCGAGTGGCGGCCAGTCGCGGACCAGGCAAATAAGCACAGGCAGAAACACACCAGAATTGAGTTACGCACCGAAAGCCCCAACGCGGTAAGCATAAATCGATTTGTCTGCGAGAGATCTAAAATTTTTCACCTGCGCTCGCCACTGGCATCTGGTCCGGAAAGAGCGGTTCTGCACATCTCTGCCCGGCTCTGCTGGAGTATGAACCGCGTCGGGAGGACTCTTCAGAAATAGCACGCGGGCAGCAGACGAGCCCGCGCCAAACGGTCTCAGATAGGAAATAATAACACGACTGCCCGGAAAGGAAAAAAGAGAAGAGAACGGGCAGCGAAGGGTGGCGAGTGACTAAACTAATTGCAGCGATGGGCATCGGCGGCGCCACCACGGCCACAGCCGCCACAGAGCTAGTTTGGTGTCCATGCGCTGACGTCACGTTACCGGCCTCGCTCTCTGTGTGCACTTCGTCGCTGTGTTTGTACTCGTGCGCTGATAAAGGCTGCTTCCTGAACCGCCCTCTCTCGCTCCCAGCTGCCTGCCTCTATCAGATATTACAATCTGCAATTCTCTGCGTGCAGGCCTTTTACCTCTCCACATCCTCCCTCCATCTCCTCCGCTCTGTGCAAGACGGATGTGGGTTGTGACTCAGCCGCATGCCGTGCGCACGTCACGCGCTGGTACCTGGTACAAAGCCTAAACTCAATTGTTCTTGCTCCCAAACCTCGTATTAAAACTGACTGCTCTTCCTTCGCTCCCTGTTTTCTCCTCCTCTTTTCTTCTCCCCAAGTCCTCTCTCTTCCTTCTTCCTCGATCCTCCCTCGCAATGGCTTCCGCTCACACAATGGCCACTCCACTACCGACGCCTGTAATGGCTGCCTCTGAAATCAAGCTCCAATCGCCAACTCCCGCCAGCAAGCCCTCCGCGCCATCCATCAGTCTCCTCTCGCCACCACCCTCGCCTTTTGCCGAGTCTGACGACAGCTCCGTCCCCAAGGCCGCTGATCTGCCCCTCTTCGCCGCCGACTCTGACCTCCGCCATGCTCCGCTCTTCAGACCGCTCGTCGACGTCGTCCGCGCGAACAATGCCGTTGCCGCCGCCGCCGCCGCCGCCACTTCTTCTTACTCCGCAGCCGGGCCCTCGTCTTCTTCGGCTAGCAAGCTCTCGGCTCCTGCTGACTCGGCCTGCTTCCGGACCACCGTCTTTGAGCAGTACTCCAAGGCCCCGCGCCGCTGGCTGCAGATCCAGCGCAAGTTCCTCCGTAACTACCGCCCCCAGTACTCCACCGTCATCACTGTCTCGAGCCCCGCGCCAGCGCCCACACGGACAACCCCGCGGGCATCACGCGTGACCAAGGCCAGATCATCACCCGTTTCGTCGCCCACAATGACTACGCGGAACTCGATGCCCTCGTCGCCGCGACAGGCTAGCAAGAAGCGCTCGTCGCCGACCGAGTTCACTGCTCCTCTCCCGCGCTCGTCGCCCGCGGCGTCGCCTGTCCGCCGGGCTCAATCGACCTCGCCCGACTCGTCCCCGCGCACGTCGACCGTGCACGATATCGACTTTGACGATATCCCCGATTTCTGCCCGCCTGTGTCGTCTCTTGACGGCACCAAGGGTCTGCGCACAGACTGGAAGGGCAACGCCATGGATCTCTCTGCTGATCCGGACCGGCACTTGCTGCACCCGCACGAGATCCAGCTCGCGTCGGTGCTGCGACTCCCGTGCGCAGTCTATCTTGACTCGAAGAAGCGGATCTTTGCCGAGCGCGTCTTCCGCGCGCGCCGGGGTCTGCAGTTCCGACGCACCGACAGCCAGAAGGCGTGCCGGATCGATGTCAACAAGGCGACGCGTCTGTTTGTTGCGTTTGAGCGCGTCGGCTGGTTCGACGACAAGTGGATCGCGCCATACCTCAACAATTGATTCTGTGGTTCGTTTTTTCTTTTGTATTTGATTTATTGTGTTTAATGGGTGTTTTTGTGTCTTTACATTTTTCTTCATTTCTCTTTTGCATTGCTAGTTTGAGCAACTGGTTGGGCTGGTATCAGGATTATTGGACAACACCGTGGGTTTTCTTTTTTCTAATATTTCTTCTTTCTTCTTCTCTTCATTAATTCTCTCTTCTCTCTTCATTCAAAATTGGGGCTTCTGTTTCTTCATGGGCGTCTTCTTCTTTTCTTTTCTTATTACATAGAAGGGGTTTCTTTCTACTTAATTTTGCATCAATTCGGGTACACGGGATGTTTATTATTTTCTCTTTTCTCTTTTCTTCATAAATTTGTCTTCTTTTCTGGCGATCGGTTCTATTTTGCATATTTACAGTGATTGGGTTGGGCTCTTCCCTTTTCCTCTTTTTTTCTCTCTCTTCTCTCTTATTATCTTTGAATCACAGGTTTCTGTTTTGGGTTGATATGGTATGGGAATCCGACAACTGGGGGTGTTTGCAATTGTAAATTGTACTGAGTTGTGGTGTTTGTTTGTAATTGAACATATATTTAATACCGTACACAAAGAGTGTAGAGTGTTGGGTGAGCTGGTTATCGATAACAGCAATCGTGATCTGGCGATGATCTGCGTACACGACCGTAGATAGATTAGTATAGAGTTCTATAACGTCACAGGGCCTCCTTGCCTGCGTTGGGCAGGGCTGGGCAGCGGGTTTGTGAGGAGCAGGCAGCGAGTGCGTTGGAAATGTGACCTGCGGCGATCGATCAAGGGTACCTCTACCTGCAGGATTTCACCTGCCGCGAGCCAGATCAGGAGGAGGAGGCAGCTAAGAATAAACGGCGAGAGATTGAGCTGGTTGATTGTGAAGAAGTCACGGATAGCGAGAACAGAGAACAGGCTGTGGCTGGTGCTCATCGCATGGACGAGCACCGGAACCTTCTTCACGGTGTCCCCGGCATAGTTGGGAGAAGACCGCCTCTGCTCTGCTCTTCTCGTTTCTTCTCTGCTTTTCTGTTGTCGCGGATGCTTCTACGGGCTACTGTCATGCGCGCAAGAGCAACGAGCAAGACCGCAGGCTTTGCCAGCACAGGTCGAAACCGGGAGGTCATGCACTGCACCAGCCCCTTGGCTCCACCGCGTCCATCCACCTCTGCAGACGGGATTCCCCCTTCGCTCACCTCACCTGGTTGCCATACGCGGAGTATCCGGCCTGTTGGACTTCTGCTCTGCTCTGCCTGCACCGCGACAGAACGAGAGAAAGCACCAGCACAAAGAGGAAGCTCAATTAGTTTTCCTTGACCGGCCACCATGTGAAGGACGTGGTTCAAGCACACTTTGTGCGCGCTTGGCCGGTTACGGCAAGTCTGCCTGCTCTCACCCTCCCTCCCTCCCTCGCAAGCAGCCTGTGAGGAGGAGACTGCGTGGTGCTGGACGAGTGCGCTGCTGCGTAGTCAGATCACACTGTTTGCTCAGATGCAGCCTCGCTGACCAACACCACCATCTACACCTTCCGATTCCGGGGCATTCAAAAGAGCGGAATTACAGTTGCCCTCCTGACTCTGATCATCCGCCGCCCCATGCAAGGTAGCAAGCAGCCCCGTCGATCGCCCGGTCCGAACCGAGGATTAACCCTAGAAACGCGAAAGCCACAGGAGAGACAGCACGCAATAAGTAAGAAAACTTGAAATGAAGAGTATGAAGATCTACATGCTGCATTGCAGCCAAGTGGCCGACGCCGACGCCGACGCCGATGATCGTAGAGACTATTCAGAGATAATCACAATTAAGATCATCAAAACAGGCAGCGAGCCATCAACACCGCTTTCCTCTCTCGCCCGAATTGACTTTTCGACGCAAGGGGCTCTGATATCAACACCGCCGCCGATGAGCTTCGCCCCGCGATCAAGTAGTCCCACTGAGCTTGTATTGCTGCATCGTACCAGGAACCACAAAATAACGAAAAGTAATCAGGTGGATCGGATCGGTGTTGTCTCAGTCACGGCAAAGGCTCTCTGTATCCGCTGCAGCTAGCACGCTCTTGCATTGGTCTCCGATATACTCTTTCCTCTCTCTCTCCCCCTCCCTCTCTCTCTTTCTACGATAGAGATTATTCCTATGCCTTGGACCAGACCCACATCGCCCGTATCCTCTATCTTTCTCGCAGCGCGCGCGGGGCCGGTGGTTAGTGGCGAAGGGGACAAAGCCGCGCTAGCCCTCGAAACGCGTAACCCGCACGCTCCCACCCACCGGCGCGTGTCGCGTAAACAAAACGTCCTCACTCACCGTCCGCTCTCTCTCTTGCTTTTTCTCTCGTCCACGGCCATCGCTGCCCGTCGTAGCATTTAGTTTCCCGTCAGAGTTCCGTAGTCTCCATTCCAAACAACAATCAGCCACACACACAAGCACGCGTCCGATGATCATCGATGCCCCGCCATCGGCTAGAACCTGCTCGCTCTTCCCTGCGCCGAACGACGCGTCTGGGCAGATTACATTCTGGCAGGCTCGTGCCAATTTCCCGTCGCTGATCGGAACCGGTACCACCGAATCAAACAGAAAACATTCCAGTCGTCAGGTTTTATAGACTTCAACGGACGACGGTATATCTACATCCCTCCCAGTCACTCATCTCTTTCGGTCACAGAGCTAATCTTTCCCTGTTCATCTTTTGTGTATTTCGTGGCATGCGCGCGTGGTAGTTTATCTGTTTATCTCCTCGTTCTTGATTAACTTTCCGCGTGGGTTTAGCAATCTATCTATACAGCTGGGTGTATATACCACAACAGATACTATATCATCTCTATATAAAAATAAACACGCTTATATTCGAAAACGCAGACTATAAAAACCGCCACACACACACGATAAACAAAAGAACTATATATAGAAAATAAACAAAGAAAAACACCAACAATCAGATGACAAGACAACTCTTGTCGTCTGCGTAACGCCGGCCACTGCACCCCACACACCACCCAACTTCCACAAGAGATGCTTTGCTTTTTGTGAATGACAAGCATCGGTGAGCACGTCAAAAGCATATTCAAGAGAAGAAATATGAGAAAAGAGAAAAAGGAACACGGGCGTAATTCGTTGAAAGATAACATCTGGATTTCACAGAGAGAAAGAGGAATTGAAAAAGAAATGTGTACTTTCGTTATAAAGAAAAGAAGAGAAAAGAAAAAGATTTAAACGCCGCTTATAACAAAAGACTCGATTGTTTGAAAACATAAACTGTCGATTATAACAGTTTCGAAAACACGGAAGCAAGATCAGAAAGCACTCAAACAATCATAGAGCCACTCTTTCTAACTTTATAATTCCAAGACCATCATGACAGAAGCAATTAAAATCAGATGAGAAAAAGGGAATCGCCTTAGAATCCGTAGCGCTCGCCGTGGCAGAATCTGTAGGCTTTGATGATTCCGATGAGATGCGAGACAGCAGCCGCGACGACGAAGAAGTGGAAAATCTGGTGCGAGGAGCCGATCAGGTCGAATTCTATAAACACTTGTTAGATGTCAATTCTATTTTATAAAGAGTAGAAAGACTTACTGCCGGGTCTGAAGCGCTCAGGTATCCGCGCCGCGTAGATAGCCGCGCCGGAGATGTAAAGCGCACCCTCGGCAAGCATATACGGCAGCTGCACGCGACTCTTGAGCTCCGCATAGCCAAGCTCGTAGGCGCAGTACGCCATCGGAATCACGCCGCTGACGCCAAAGACGACAAACATGCTCGCGCGGAACGTGCGCCAGGACGGATCGGCGAACTCGGGCCGGAGCGTGAGGATCGTGCAGACGGTACCCAGCACGGCGACGATGGCGAAGAAAATCGGCATGGTGCGCGCGAGCGAGTGCAGGCCGTAGTAGATTGCGGGCACGAACGAGCCGACGATGAGGAAGATGATGCCGATGTAGTCCAGACGATTGCCAAACTTGGCGACCGATTCAGAGTGGCAGTTCATGCAGTGGTAGGTCGATGACATGCCGAGACAAAGCACCGCGCCGACAAAGAAGATGATAAAGACCGCGAAATCCTTGGTCGAGGTAGACGGGTAGCGCGGCAGCAGAGCGTCGAGCGTGACGCCGAGGAAGATGAGGAAGAAGAGCGAGCCGACGAGGTGCGAGTAGATATTGACCGATTCGTTGTGCAGATAGGTCAGCGACTCGAAACAGCCCTTCCAAGAAAACGACTCGTGTCTATAACCCGAGCGGATGAATTGGTTATCCTGTCGCCAGGCAGGCAGATCGTCCCAGAACAGCACACGCAGCTTGTACGCGCCCTGGGAGGACGAGTTTGCGACCGCGCGGCGGAACTCGGCGGCACCGGAGGAGACCTTCTTGAGCAGCTGGTCGGACTCGGACGAGGCCGAGTCGCTTGGAGACAGGTCCTGGCACGAGAAATGGGAGTGGCCGCCCTTGGGTTCGGTGGTGGCGGAGGGTGACGAGACGAGGGTGAAGGAGGAGGTCGACGAGAAGCTCGAGCGGCGGACGGTCGAGGTGGCGCCACTGGTCGACGAGCTGGTTTGGGCGGAGGACATTTCGGAGGTAGTGGTAGAAGATTCAGAGAGCGAGGGGGATGCCGCGATGGTGGTGGCGGACTCGAAGAGAAAGGCGGACTCCGCGGAGGGGTGCATGTACGTAAGTGAATTCAGAGAGGGGTGACGAGTCGCCTTAGCCGAAGATGGAGTTAACGGATAAGACTTGTAGAGCGTCTAGCGAGGGCAAGAGGAGAGGGAAGAAAGAGAGAAGCCGCTGGGGAGTGAGAAGGAAAGGAAGGAGTACCGAGAGCAGCTCAGGTGGATTGACAGTGGGAAGAGGAAGATAAAGAGCTGAGGAAGAGGAAGGGCGGCGGTGGTGATGTTTAAACCAGAAAAACAGCCGCGTCGCCCCAGGCGCAAATGACCAGATTGACTGCCGACCAGCCCAGCACCGGCCGAGGTGTGTCTGCCGCAGAGCCGGCGGTAGTTCCGGCTGGTTTATGATGCGCGACTACGTGATTTACAGCTAATTGCCTCTACTAAGTCATATCGCCCGCATATCCCTCTGCTTTCCTCCCGCCAGCACCTCGGCATACGGAAGCCGGAAGTTGGGATTGCCTGCTGCTCAATTTGTTAGAGCCGCAGATCAAACTGTCTTCGGGCTCGCCTCAACAGCGCACATGTCAGCGGCCTCTTCTGGTGCCCGATAACCGGGTTTATTTACTACTCACCGTCGCTCGACTTTATCGACAATCCCGCGTCCACAGCAACCCCCGCCATGGCCCGCTCTCGCCCGCAGGCTCTGCCCTCCGCAGACGACCTCGTCGACGACTTTGGCCTCATCTCGCGCGGGAACGACGACCGGCTCCTGCGCAACCCGGCTCTCCAGGCGCGCTATTTCACTAAACTGCAGCGCAAGCACCTCGCGGCCTGCGCCAGTGCCCCAGGCGTAGCCTCCCTGCGACGCACTCTGCAGAACCTCACTATCGACAGATCCTCTTCTGATCTCGCTAATACTGCTGCTGCTACTACTCCCGACTACGACGAGGAAGACGTAAAAGACGAGGCCGCGCGGCGCATGGCTCTAGATCAGGTCGTTCTCGGCCTTCGCAAGCTGAGAGAGGCGGTTCTGGCCTCTGGCCCCCCAACACCGTTCGCAAAGTCGGTCTTTCTGTTCACCGTCAGAGTCACTGTTCCTATTGGACACTATGAATCATACCTCCCCGCCATCAAGTACCTGCTCGACATCATCTCGCAGACCGTCCCGCTCACTCTCTCCGAGCGCCACGAGATCGGCGGACTCTACCTCCTCCACCTCGCGCATTTCTCCAACGACGTGCCCGAGGCGTTCGAAGCAATGCAGAAATACAATCTCTCCAGCGACCTCGGGCTCAGACAGATCCTGCGCGCCTGGTGCGATCGCGACTACATCCTCTGGCGCCGACGGTACGAGGCCGAGATCGATCCCGCCCGTCGCAAGTTGATGGAGTTTGGAGAGCGCACGATGGTTCTCGAGACGCTCAAGCGGATCGGAGCAGCGTATTTCTTTATGCAGATGAATCAGATCGAGGAACTCACGGGATGGCCGTGGGAGCGGCTCGTCAGCGAGTTGGGATGTGGATGGAGACTGGAAGATGGGGGGGTAGTCGTCATCCGAGAGCGCAGGAAGAAGACTACAGCTACCCCTGCGGCATCCCAGGTCACCACTGCATCTGCTTAGAGTTACTTTCTTCCCTTCCTCTCTTTTTATTGTATTATTGGCATGGAGTTCGGAGCATTTCCAGGTGTTTTAAATATCCACTTTTCGTTCGTATTTGTATTCCGTTTCGTCACATATTGAGTATTCCACAATTACATTCCCCTTGTCTATTCTAATCAAATACAAAGGCATAAGAGATGATCTGTAATGAGATACCCACAGATCGTCGTAACTATTTATTTCTTGCCGGACCTATTCATCACTGTTAGTATCACAATCGTAAACAAGATAGCATGTGTTGGATGCAGAAGACACAAGACTAGGATACACACTTCTTGATTCCGCCGGTAGCGAGGGGACCGCCCTTGGCGGCCTTCGCAGCCAACTCCTTGCGAGCAGCAGCCTCGGCCTTCTTTCGCTCCTGGAAGGCCTTGTCCTCGTCGTCGAGCTCCTTCTTCTCCTTCTTGGGTGCCTTTAAAGCTGTTGAGAAAGAATGGTGTTAGCCTGCTGATTTAAAAGAGCTTATCATTAAGTAGTAGTGCTTACGCTTTGCTTTTCCTCCTTGTCGTCCGGACATTGTGTAGATGTGTAGATGATGTAGAAGATGGATAGTTTTTGATTTGAAAAATAGATGGAATTATAGCTGGTTGGGAGTGAAAAGTAGAGTGTTTATGGCATATCTGCACCATAATCTGAGCGCGGATGGGAGCCGGAGGCGAACAAGTTACCGACATCCAGTCTAAGCACCCAGCTCGCTTCATACAGCAACCACCAGTCCTATCTAGCACCTCTCCGCCTGCTCGATCCTCGTCTGAACACCGCTGCGAAGCGGGTCTTGGTTGTTTCTTACTCCTTGATAAGTAAACCGGCTTTTACACTCCACTCGGCTTGGAACGGCGGTAGTAACCAGTACTAGAACAAGAGACCATCTTCACGTCCCCCGCCGGTGCCAGATCTGTCCAGCTTGGTTTCAGAGCACCAGCTTCATCAGACTCGAGAAGGAAATACAAAACAAAGGGAAGAAGCTACAGAAAGAAGAGACTGAACAGAAGCAAGGCAAAAACAAGACATATATCAATAGTCTACAGACTCCGCCTTGCTTTCGTTCTCTCACGCCTTTTCTGCTTTACTTTGACCGTCACCTTTTTTTGATGACGTATTTCTTATATATTCCCTGGTGTTAACTTTACTTTTTTTTATTTGCCCACCCAGTTCACCATCTACTCGTCCCCGAGTGTCGTGTGCGTGCTTCCACATGGCCTCAGTAGACCGCCACTCCACAATGCCAGCGTCTTCATCCTCCTCCGCGCAGCCGCGACGCTCGCCCTCGCCTTCCAGGTCAAAAGACCGACATCGTGATGATTCAAGCAGACATGACCACCACCGCAGCCGCTCGCCTGCGCGTCATAGCACCCATCGCGAGCGTGACAGAGATTACAGAGACAGACGCTCAGATCGACCTCACGAGCCCGAGCGCGAGCGCGAGCGCGACCGCTCTCGCAGCGGGGTCTACGACGCAGACAGATATGAGCGCCGCGAAAGAGCGCGAGATAGAGAAGACTATGATTCGTATTCCCGCCGACGCCATCACGATGATCTAGATCGTCACGGCAGCAGGCACCGGCATTCCTCTTCTTCGCGCTCGGATAGACCGCAGCAGCGCGATCATTCTCGCGAGTCTTATGGTCATCGCGATGCGCGCAGTGGTGCTCACAGCAGTGCTCACAGCAGTGCCCACAGCATTGCTCACAGCAGACGGGAACGCACGCCACCATCTAGAGCTCAGTCTGCTCGCCGACCGCATGAAGCTGAAGAGAGATCTTCAACTCAATCTGATGCGGCCGTGAAGTCGTCGGATGTCAAATCAGATGCCAAAACCTCTCCAAGTGTCACCAAACGGTCACTGGTAGGTGATGATGATGAAGATATAGATGGAGATGATAACGACAGAAGCAATCTGGTAGTCACCGATACTACAAACAAAAAGCCACGGCTAGCTCCTGCTTCAAAGATTGTATTCAAGCCTCTGCAAAAGATCAACATCAGCAACGAGTTGCCGCCTTCAGAACCACTTGTCCCAGCACGCGCAGAAAATGGCTCTCCAGTGAAGAAGATACAGAAGGGGTTTGCAGTTATAGCAAAGCGGACTGTGGGTGGAGAGAGCAGAGATGAGGTGGAAAGGATGAGTGAGACTCTGTCGCCCAAGGAACGCGAGGCCACGCCAGAAGTCGTCGCTGACTCTCCGAAACCTGGTTCTCAAGCTGCTTCACCAGAGGTCGTGCCAGCGAATATGCAATCCGACTCTGAAATCACCCAGAATGAAAACGAAAAAGCAGAGGAGAAGGAAGCAGAGAGAAAACAAACTCGCAGCCCAGAGCCACCTGAGGCTCCAACGGAACCGCAGCAGGCTCCAGCGCAGGAACCGCTCATCTCAGACCCTGCTGATATCGCCGAAGACGACGAAGATGACGACGACGACATGTTTGCCGAGGCAGGCGATAATCAGAACATTGGGAAATCAACCAAACGTTCGATCCCCGTACTTGTGCACGCGGGAAAAGAAGGCGAGGCCACGTTACAGTCAAACTGGGACGACGACGAAGGCTACTACCGAATCATCATTGGCGAGATCTTTGAAGGTCGGTATCATATTCAATCGAATCTGGGGAAGGGGATGTTTTCTTCTGTCGTCAAAGCGTTTGATAAGGTTGAGAATCGATCGGTTGCGATCAAGATTATCAGAAATAACGACATCATGTGAGTTGATATTTGACTGAATATTATATATATATATATGCTGACATGCTGTGATACAGGTTCAAGGCAGGTCAAAAGGAGTCAGGTATTCTCACCAAAGTGAATCAATCAGACCCAGATGATAAAATGCACATAATTAGACTCATTCGCAAATTTCAGTACCGGGGACATTTATGCTTAGTCTTTGAGGGCATGAGGTGAGTAACTCTCTAGTTTATGAGAGACTGATGCATTGTACTGACTATTGATTTTATAGCTCTGACATGCGTGAGCTTGTCAAAAAAGTAGGTCGAGAATCGAGCGTGAACATTGGACAGATTCAATCATACGCCAAGCAGATATTCCTCGGTCTCGAGCATCTACGAAGCAACAACATCCTGCACGCGGACATCAAGCCCGACAACATTCTCGTAAGTGCCGACCGGAAGACAGTGAAGATTGCAGACTTGGGCTCGGCGTCGGACGCGTCCGAGAACGAGATCACGCCGTACCTTGCCTCGAGATTCTACCGCGCGCCAGAGCTGATTGTCGGGCTGCAATACGACTTTGCGATCGATACGTGGTCGGCCGGGTGTACTCTGTTTGAGCTTTACACGGGCAAGATCTTGTTTGCGGGAAACAACAACAACAACATGCTGAAAGTGATTATGGAAACGCGGGGCAAGCTCTCGCACAAGATGCTCCGCAAGGGCTTGTTCACATCCACGCATTTCGACGAGCACCTCAATTTCCTCTCGCGGGAGATCGACAGGCTGACGGGCAAGCCGACGGTGAAGGTGATGCCGTTTGCGGGCAGCAAGCCGGTGCATGACATCCGCGCGCGCGTGCTCGAAGTGAAGAACACGAGCGGCAGCACGGCAGAGTCGCAGAGACTGGTTGCGCTGTTTGTAGATTTTCTGGACAAGTGCTTGAATCTGACGCCCGAGAAGCGGATGACGCCGGCGGAGGCGTTGAAGCATCCGTTCCTGAGCAGCGCGTGAGAAGAGAAAGCTTGGCTGTATTATATGGATAAACTGTTGCTTATTGCTCTGCTATTAGCTTGTACGTAGTTAGTGAACCGACACAAATAATTAATGCATATTTAAGGTTTCCCTGTACGCCTAGAAGTCAGCCGCATGCTCAGCCCGGTTCGCGCCAACTATAAAGCCAAGGGCGGGGCCTGCGAATACCTCTGCAAATACAAGCCAAGAGCTGCACCGATCTGCTGATTAACTACTCAATTAGCCAGCAAAGCGAGAGTACTTTCTTGATCTACTGACAGAGATATAAAAAAAGAGAACAATGGGTCTTGCGTCAAAGTTGGCAGCCGCGCAGGCAGCGTCGGGTGCGCTCCAGGGTATGATGGGATCGACGGGCGGGATGGGCGGGATGGGCGGGATGGGCGGGGCGATGGCGAATATGAATACGAAGCCTACAGGGTATGGTGGTGCGTCGCAGCAGCAGTATGGGCAGCAACAGTATGGGCAGCAACAGCAGTATGGTCAGCAGCAACAGTACGGTCAGGGTCAGCAGGGACAGTATGGACAACAGGGACAATACGGTCAACAAGGCCAAGGTCAATACGGCCAGCAAGGCCAAGGCCAGTACGGTCACCCGGCGCAACAGCAGCAGCCATATGGACAGCAGGGCCAGCAGGGCCAGCAGCCGCCATATGGCCAGCAGCAGGGCCAGTACAACCAACCCAATCAATACGGCCAGGCCGCAGCCGGTGCCGCGATGGGAGCAGCAGTCGGCGGCGCTGCTGCCTATGGCGCGCAACAGTACGGCGCCCAACCCGGCGCCGGCGCGTACGGCCAGCAGCCTGGCGGCAATGCCTACGGCCAGCAGCAGCAGCAGGGTGGATTCGGCGGTCCGGCTGGCGGCATGGGTGGCGGCATGGGAGCGAACTACGTGCAGATTCTGCAGCGCGCGGTGCAGGAGAACCAGCTGCAGGCCTTTTACCCGCCAGGCTCGGTCGAGCAGATTGCGCAGCGCGTCGGGCCTGCGATCACGACGATCTCGCAGCAGTGGAGTCTGCCGATGGAGATCGCGGTCGATCTCGCCCGGCTGGCGCTGTATGACGTTATCCTCTACGTCGACGACTCGGGCTCGATGGCGTTTGAGGAGAAGGGCGAGCGGATTGCGGATCTCAAGCTTATCCTGAGCCGCGTGTCGTTCGCGGTCTCGCTCTTGGACTCGGACGGGATCGAGGTGCGGTTCATGAACAACAGCCTGCAAGGAAACGGAATCCGCAACGAGCAGCAAGCCACGCAACTTGTCTCGCAAATCAAGTTCCAGGGAATGACCCCCCTCGGCACCGGCCTCGACAAGAAAATCATCGCGCCCATCGTCGTCAACGGCGCGCGCTCGGGCAGTCTGCGCAAGCCCGTGCTCGTGATTACAATCACCGACGGCCAACCCGCGGGCGAATCCTCAAAGACCGTCTTTGGCGTGATCCAGAACGCGAAGCGGTCGGTCGCGCAATCGCGCTTCGGACCGGGCGCGGTCGCGTTTCAGTTCGCGCAGGTCGGGAATGATCTGGGCGCACGCAACTTCTTGGCCTCGCTGGATTCGGACCCTGAGGTCGGGAGTATGGTGGATTGTACTAGTAACTTTGAGGTCGAGCAGGATGAGATGGCGAGGATTGGCGTTGATTTGTCGCCTGATACTTGGATTGTCAAGTTGCTGTTGGTGAGTCTTCAGTCTCTTCTATTTCTCTATAGGTTTTTCTGCGCTGCTAACTTCACGAATAGGGAGCAATCGATCGATCCTACGATTCAAACGACGAACAACCTAGACGTTAGGTTGTTCTCCGACCTTAAATTATCTGAAAATTTATCATTGGTTACATACATCTCACCATACCCATTGCCCAAAAAAAAGAAGGAATGGTGGAGAAAGGAAAAATTGACTGACAATTTGAATTGTAAACAAAAAAAAGATAAAGGATGACGACCCGACTTGCAACACAACCGAATGCAGTATTATTTAGACGAAAAGAGTAAATAATAAATCAAGCTAATCGAAACAAAGCTGAAAAAGACCACAAAACACCATATGTAATTTTATTTAAAAACTTATATAACTTCGTACTTCCAGCCGATGCGCTTACAGCAGCAAGAGTCCGACGACAGTGACAGCAGAAGCACCGAGGACGGCGACACCGGTCTGCACGACGGCCTTGTTGGTGAGCTGGGAGGCGGTGTCCCAGATCAGATGGCGGATGCCGTTGAAGGCGTGGAAGGAGAAGGGCGTAGCGGCGAGCAACTTTGCGGCGAACTTTGCGGCGACAGGGAGGCCGCCAAAAGCAGCGGCGATGGCGGTCGAGGAGACAGAGTAGCCGAGCATGGGCGCGAAGACGTAGCTGAGGCCGAGACCGTAGAGAGAGGCGGAGAGAGCGACGCCGGTGATACGGTGCATGGAGGAGAGGGCCATTGTGATTTGGACCTTGTAGATGGCGAGATGGGGCGAGGTCGGTCGGTTGGAGCGCTGCTTGACGAGGAGCTCCTGGGCCTCAGCGGGGGTCATGGACTGGATCGAGGCGGCGCTGGAGAGGATGAGGATGTTAGTCGGGGGTGATGGTGAGGGAGAGGTGGTAAGTGGGGTTTACGTACCGGCGAGCGACGACGGGGAGCATGCGGGAGGCAGGAGCCATTGACGAGGCCGAGAGGGCTACATGATGAAGTCAGCTGTGATCCAGATACAAGAAATAGTGCAGAAGGTCGAGGTGAAGTGGAGAGAACCTCTCGTGAAGGTGATTCACGAAATCCGGAGAAGCCAGACAACCTCCACACGAGACACATCTTCCCCCCCTCCTCCACCTCCCCACAAAATCAAAAACAGAGCCACATACCCGCCATCGACGACCGCAGAGCAGGACGGAAAGTGAGTCTGGCAGACATGTTGTATGTGTGTTTGGCTGTGCGTTGTGGTTGCGGAAGTGCGGGAAACGACGAGAGGGAAGCGCAAAGACAAAGACGAAGACGAGCTTCCGACACCGCGCCGGGCTCTCCGCAGTTTACCCGGCTGCGGGTCGGCCAATCACATGCGTCTTGAACATAAGCCTTGAGTCGTCTTAGTAGCTCATTAGATAAGCGGATTTGAGCAGGGTAACGTGCGTCCGATATAAGAAATTGGTCGCAGAAAATTTCTCTTCTCTTTCTCTTTTGGAATAACAGCTCGCTGAGACAGCAACGGGTTCGGGACATGAGCATAGGCGGCTCGTGGCTGCTCAGGGATTTAAATATTCCGAGCTCACTTGCTGCTTTTCGTGGACTCCGGACTCACTTTTCTTTATGTATGCTCCATAGGAATTACAGCTGTCTCTGGGCGAAAGAGTAATCAGAAAGCCCGATTAATCACGCTACTATTGTTTATATAAAATGTACTTTTCAGCGTTTCATGCCCGGGTTACAAATTTGTTTTGTTTTGCTACTGAGTTAAGATAGAAATATATATGTATAGAGATAAATCTAAATGGTCACTATTCCAACATATCATTTGTAAACCCGCCATGCACGAACAAGGTCTTGCCAAATCTGCTGTGTAAATACAACAACGACATCAACATCCACAACAACAAAAGAGTGTATCAAATCAAAAGATCATGAGAAAACATAAACAAAGATACAGACGGCGAAAGAATAGGAATGAAGAAAACATACAAAAACTCTGAAAAACCCAAAATTAGATAGGAACACATTGAGTCATAGAAACAAGCACTCCGACATGCAAGTCGACACCAATCTCTTTTTTTTCTTCTTCAGCTGCTTCCTTCCCGGGGTACATGATCTGGAACATGCTACAAAAAATACATAAAACGAGAGAGAAAAGAGGAACGAACCGAGCAAATCAACATATAAAAACAACAACACCGGTCCTATTTACTTCTCACCATCTTTCTTCTTATAGCTCACCAAGTGCGCGCTTTCCGCCGGCACGAGCGTGTGATCGTGGCTCGGGCTCTTGACAAACTTGCCTTCCTCGTCGATCGTACACATCTCGATCGTCTTCACAAACGGATCGTCAAAGATCTCGCTCAGCGTCGCGCGCTTGCTCGGGTCCAACTCGAGCATGCGGCCCACAATCTGTCGCGTCTCGTGCGGGAGTAATCGCAGCAGACGCCAGGGACCGCGGATCACCGGCTGCGGCGCGGTGCCGTCCGGGTTCGTGCCAGGAGGCTTCACCGCCTGCTCAGGGTGCTCGGGGTCCAGCGGTTCTGAGCTGAAGAGCCGGAACGAGTTGTCGGACTTGCGCGGCGCTTTCCATGGGAACCGGCGGAGCAGCATGCAGCAAAAGATAATCGCCACAGACCACACGTCGGCCGGTTGCGGGTCGTACTTGAGCTCAGAGCAGACTTCGGGCGCGAGGTACGGATCCGAGCCGACGATTCCGTGCGCCTGTACGATTTCCGACTCGAACGGGTAGCGGAAGACCGACGCAGAGCCAAAGTCGATGATCTTCACGATTCCCTGCTCAGACACCACACAGTTATCAAGCTTCAGATCGCGATGGGCGAGACCCATCTCGTGCAGATACGCAACTCCAGACAGGATCTGCTTAAACACGCAGAAAATCTCCGGCCGCGACATCTTGCCAGACATGACGATCGCAAACAGATCGTAAGGACAGTACTCCATCACCTCGTAGAACTTGCCGTTCTCATGCATGATATCCAGCGTCTCGATGATGTTTGGATGGTGCAGCGTCGACCCGATACAAAACTCGGCCGTGACTTTCTTTGAGTACTCGCGCTCGCTCTCGTACGAATGCCGCGCGCGGAATTCCTTCACCGCAAACGTCGTCCCGTCCGACGCACGCTTCATCAACCGCACCGATCCACCGGCTCCGGATCCGAGCATCTTTCCAAACCGGCCGTATTTCTTGTTCAGACTCGGCCCGTCTTCGCCAAACGGCACATTCTTCAAACTCGAAGACGATCCGGAACGGCTGAAGCCTCCGATACTAGTCGACGCCGACGACGCCGCGTGGACGGAAGGCGCAGACGACATGAAACTATTGACCGACGCCGACGAGCCAGAGGACGGCACAGAGCTCTTATCCTTGTGCTTATGGCCCTTGGGTTTGAAAAACCGCTTGAGCTCCATCATCGATCCATGCGCCGACTTTAGTTTCCGACCGCTGCCGGAGGTCTTGTCGCCGGATTCTGATCCGGAGCCGGAGTTGTCGTTGTGGTGGTTCTTGCCGAATGCCGAGACTAACGAGACTGCCGAAGACGCCGCCGCCGCGGCCGGGCGCGCGTATATTGTCGAAGAAGACCGGTCATTCGCTGCCGCTGCTGATGATGATGATGACGACGGCAGGCCTTTGGAAGAAGGTGTAGAGGGAGAAGTCGGAGACGTCGCAGCGGATCCGGATGATGAGTGCGCGCCGGCGGCCGCGGTCGGCGAGAGAAGGGACGGTGACGAAGTGGCAGCGGCCGAACGGGATTCGCGGTCGGCGGACGCAGAGCGGTGCCGGCGGTGCAGTTTCTTTTTAAACACAAACCGAGGCGCGATGTCCTCGCCCGCGCGCGGTTGCGGTGGGCGGTTCTTTCGCGCATAGGGATCCTCGCCAGGCACGGTTGATGATGAGGTGGGAATCGTCGATGGCGGCGTGCCGAGCGAGGAGTCGCCCGCGGAGGACTCGCGGGAGACGGGGGCGGAGGCGTCGATGAAGAAACGGGCTGCGCGCGGCGAGGCAGAAGGTGAAGGAGTAGAGACGGCATGGGCGCCGTCGTCGGCGTCGGTATCGTCCGCGTCTGCGTCTGCGTCCTCTATGTAGGAGTCGCGCTCGGAGGCCTGATCGGCCGTGGGGGATGACGGGCTGGAGGTGGACGGGGATTCGTTCTAGATTAATAGAAACAGTCAGTAAACATCTTGAGAAGCAGCAAGAGACCTCGAATCAAGGAAAAAAGAGAGTCGGCATACGGCGGATGCAGGCAGGGAGAATTGCTCATAGGCATGAGTGTCGTCGCCCAGCAGACGGTTTTTCTTGAGGTTGATTGTCGCGAGCTTGTCCGAGAGCAATGCGACGGGAGACGACCGCGGCTGCTGCGGTTGTTGCGACATTGCGGAGAAGAGACGGCGGTGGGGAGGATGCGGGTTGGGCTGTTGCTCTGGTCCGGAGCAGTTATAAGTCGGCTTATCACGATCGCGGCTCTCCCGAGTAAGCCGACCGCCGGCGTACAAATGCCTCGATGATGTCAGCACTCAGACGCGTCGCGTCAGGGTTGGTTATAAACAGCTACGGTTTGGTGTTGGATACTGTTTGCTGTGTAGGGGATCCGGGAATACCGCTCAGAGGATAGAATCAGTGATGACGTCTGCTGTTGCTGCTGCACATCCGGTGTCTGCTTCTGCTCAGGATCCAGAGCTCGAGGAACCTGCACACGCCGACATACTGCTGTTCGTACACCCCCTTCCATCTCATATCGACCTCTTGATCTGCTAACACCTCCTCACCACAATCCAGAAGCGACTCTGAAAGCGACTCTGAAAATCCTTTAAAGTGCGTACTTGCTTTTTTCTATTTGCCTGTGTAAGTACTAACTCCCCGCCTCTACAGACGCGTCTTCTCCATCGCTTTCGACCAGGAACCGCGTCGGTCTCTGCGGCCTCGGTCATCCCCTCCTACCTCTCTCCCCAGCTCGCAAACCTCTGTGTCCGCAGATAATACTGCTCTTAAAGATGAATCTCTGTCTGCAGACAATACCGCTCTTAAAGACGAAGCCGAGACTGTGCTTGACTCTGGTGTCTCAGAGACAGAGGAGGTGGAAGGAGATATAGATGACTTTGACATGGACTCAGACTTCGAGCCGGAAGCCAACGACGACGACATCGACAGCAAGCCCTCGCCGTCTAAACAGCAGAGAAGCGTCAGCAGCACTCCAACACCCGACGACACGCTGCTCCCGACCGTATCCTCCGCCGCGCGCGAGAAGCTCGAGCAGCTGATCGTGCGACCAGACCAGAGTCTCGGCGAGAAAGACAAGCTGCCGGCGCCGCCTGGGCTGAGTGTCGAGCTGCTGCCGCACCAGGTGCTGGGATACTCTTGGATGTGCAAGATGGAGAGGAGCAAGTTACGGGGAGGGATTCTGGCTGATGATATGGGTCTGGGAAAGACGATTCAGTCAATGTATGAACTTCTCTACAGATCTTATGTTTAGAAAGACTCTAACTCGTTCAGATCTCTAATCATAGGCAGACCATGGACAAACAAAGCCCGCCGGCCAACACTGATTATCGTGCCCAACGCAGTCATCCACCAATGGCGCGCCGAGTTCAAGGCAAAAGTCCGCCGCGCATACCAACCCTCGGTCCTGATCCACCACGGCAACTCAAAAGTATCCTCGTTCGACAAGCTGCTAGAGTACGACGTCGTGCTGACTACCTTCCACACGATCGCGCACGAGTACAAAGCGATGATGGCCGCGGACGCGGGGGGTGAGGGGAGATCGCAGTACGTGTTTTTCGGACCGAAGAGTAAGTTCCATCGCTTGATTCTCGACGAAGCTCAGACGGCCAAGAATCGGGATACGTTGCTCACGCGGGGCGCATGCGAGATCGACGCGACGTATCGCTGGTGTCTGAGCGGGACGCCGATGCAGAATAACCCGGGCGAGCTACAGAGTCTGCTGAAGTTTCTTCGCGTGGAACCGTACAATGATCGGAAGCGATTCATGAAGGATATCGGACAGGCGCTCAAAGACGGTGATCCGGACCCGGTCGCGATCAGAAAGTTGCAGGAGCTTCTAAACACGGTGCTGCTGCGGCGGACGAAGGATACGGTGATGGATACGAAGCCGATATTTGTGTTGCCCGGGAAAAAGACTGAGATTGTCAAAATCCCGCTCTCGAAAGCTGATCGGACGGTTTACGACGTGCTCGAGCAAAAGGCGAGGACGGAGGCGAAGGATATGATACGTAATCGCGATTTCAGCTGCTTGCTCGAGATGATAATCAGATTGAAGCAAGCGTGTCTTCATAGCTTGTAGGTTGAGTTTATTATAATCTTGATTGAGAATGATATCTGACTTTGACTAGAATGGTTCCGCGAGTCAAAGATCCGACGGTATCGGAAGCTAGAATGCGAAGGAGGCTGATGCGGTCGCTGGAAAAGAGATTTATTGGATCAACGAAAATCGCAAAGCTGGTTGAGATATTGCGCAACATTAGAAAGTGAGTTTCATTGCTTGCTTGATAGCTTGTTTACAATCAAGAATGACTGACGCGTTCATAGAAACTACCCTGGCGAGAAAGTCCTCATCTTCTCGGAATACACTCAGTTTCTCGAAATAATCTCGCTTCCGCTTCGCATGGAAGGCATCAGCTATGTACAGTACAACGGCAGCATGACGAGCAGCGCCCGTTCGGCCGCGGTGCAGTCGTTCAAGAACGACGACAGGGTTATGATCATGCTGACCTCGATGCGCGCCGGCAGTGTCGGGCTGAACCTGACGTGCGCGTCGCACTGCATATTCATGGATCCGTCGTGGAACCCGTCGATTGAGCGGCAGGCGGTGGACCGCGCGTACAGATATGGGCAGACGAGGGTGGTGCATGTGTATAAGCTGATTGTGGAGAATACGATCGAGGAGCGGATCTTGGCGATGCAGCAGGTCAAGCAGGACATGACTGACGCGGCATTGAACGAGCATACGTTAGGGGAAGTGGCCAAGTTGGGATCACAGGAAAAGTTGAACCTGCTGTTTGGAACCGCCACAGCAGCAGCAGCATCATAAGGATAATAGACATAGACTTAATTGAGCACCTCGAGGACTTTTTCGTATACTCTCGTAACATCGTTTTCGTGCCCGCGAAAGCCCGTCATGCACTCTGCGACATCGACTCGTGTGCGCTCGGCGATGCTTTCCAGTCGTGCCTTTTCCGTGTTGCTCATGCGAGCCCGGGACGGAATGTGGCCCTCGATCAGCTCGAAGAAGATGAGATCTAGCTTTTTGAGAAGGATAAACACCTTGTCTGGCTCTGTCACAGGGAGGTGGGGAATGTAGTCGTTGAAGTCGTCCGCGATTCTTAGTAGGTATTGCGTCTGGATGAATGGTACAGGGGTAGACGGTACTGAATACCATACGAGATCGATCAGTTTGTCGAGGTCGTCTATCAGAGGCTCGATCGTTGAGTATACATTATGATCGGCCGGGTGATCAACTGTCTGCATCTCCTCGTCTTCGTCTTCGTCATCAGACGGCGCGGATTTGCGCACAAACCGGCGGGAGACCAGTAGCAATTGCTCATCGAGATAGTTGATCAGCTTACTCTGCTGCGCCGACGACAGCCTATGCGTACCCGCGGGCGCGGAATGAAGCGCCGGCGTCGAGACGTGCGCTGACGGGTTAAATTCTCCGTCGAGCAGTTCATAGTCTGGCGAGAACACGGAGGATAGGACTGCGCTGGTGGACGAGCGGGGGATTTGTGCTTGAGGCGATTCGGGACTGTGGAGCAGGAAGCCGCCGCCGGTGGAGTCGTCGTCGCGGTTGTTTGTGATTGTGTCGTTTTCGGAGGAAGCAGAGGGGGAAGAGGGCACGTCTGAGGACGAGGTGGTGGATGGGGTGGTCATGGTTGATGGCCTGAATCAGTGCCTGGTTGGTGGTGAGGGTGGTTGGAGGTCGGAGAGAAGTCGATGACGTCGGTGAAAGCACGGATCCGAGTTGCCCCACTATGACATTTGGATGCTGATATTTGTGACTTTACTATTGTCTACGCATGTGTACTGAGATTTAAGAGCATTGTTGTTTCTACTAATTGCGAAAGGAAATGGATGATTGTAGTGAAATATAGAAAGGACAGGGCGACGAGCAAGTATCTGATTGTGAATGAGCTGTAGCGAATGATAGGGTGTATTATTAATACAAGATAGAGTCTAATAACTGCAACAACCAACTCCAAGCGGTGCAAATGAACTGAGAACACGAATAGGAAGGTTACATAGTAGTCGTAAGATATGTACATATATAGTAGTTGAAAAGAGTGGGGTGGGGAGTGTAGTAGATGTGCAGAGATGCGGGGTGGTGGGGTATGCTGGGAAGAGAGGGGAGAGGAATGAGAGATTAAGGAGAAGGAGGAGGAGGAGGAGGAGGTTACTCGGCCTTGGTGGTGAGTCGGACGCCGTGCCATTGCTTGAGGTCTTCGGCGAGGACTTCGTTGACCATGCGGTGCTGTTTGATCATGGGCTTGCCTTTGAAGGATTTCGAGACGATGTCGATAGCGAACATGGAACCGCAGCCGCCTGGGTGGTGTTAATATGAAGACATAAATAAAGAGAGTATAGCAAAAGAGAAGGTATAGAAGGGACAGAGCACATACCAGAGATATCTTCAACGGAGAGTTGAGATGGCTCGAAGGCATCGTGGAGTTTAGAGGCGATGAGCTTTTCGTAGTCGTTCTGGGGTTGCTGTTCAGGCTGGGAGGAGGAGGAGTAGGGTCGGAGGGGAAATGAAGAAGGACGAGAGAGTGTGCGGAGGGTAGAGCGCAGTGCTGTTCGGGCGAGCATGGTATAATGAATAGAGATGTAGATATGGATATAGAAGATATCTTGATATCAGATGCAGATGAAGTAGAGCAGAACCAACCCCTGATCCCCGTCAGCACAGCCAAACTCACCGAGCGCAAATTTTTGCAGCCGCTGTCTACTTTTATCCTCTCCCAATAAGCCCGGGCTAAACTCAGTGAGGCTGCGCCGCGGCTTCCTCTCTTTCCGAGACCAGATCACTCCGTCTCCGTCCTACCCGCATCCTTCTCTCTTCCTCATCCCTCCTTCCCCCGTCCCAATCCCCGCCGCTTTTTGTTTTTCTGTTTTTTTTTCTCTTTTTTCGTTTGTCGGTTTCTGCAATTGCCTTTGTTTTGGTCGTTTCCGTCGCGTCTTCGATCGATTCATCTTCTGTCTTGCCCTGCTCCTCTTACTCCTCCTCCTCCTCTCAGTCGCGTTCTCCTGTGCTCGACTTCTCCCACCCGACCAGTTACTGTGCTTTTGTCTTTGTTCAGTATTTGTTGGTATGTTTCTCATTTGTCTTTCCTTCCTTGCCTTGATCCGTCTATGTCGAGCAATCCCCCGATTCTACTCGCGCGTCTTCCACCTATATGGCCTCTATCTCCTCCTGTCCTGGCCCCTTCCCTCCGTCCACTCTTCTTCTCCCCTCCTAACCTCTACTACACTCCTCAATCTCAATCTTATTCTCCTCGGCGCGCGTTATACAACTCAGTACCTCTCCTACATCACCCCAAACTAACACCTCCCTCTCCTCTAGTTCTGCACATCCAAAAATTTTATTTTCTCGTCGATTCCGATAATTTCTTGAAAATCAACCCTGTCGTTACCTCTCCCCTGACCAATGTCTTACGCATACGATTACTCTCAGCAGCAGGACAGCGCCTCCCCCCAGGCCTCTGCCGGCGCTGTCCCCGCTACCACTGATCCCGCCGCCGCCGGCGCCTTCCCTTCTTCCACTCCTACCCCTGCCGGCGCCGTTGCTTCAAATGACTCAAAGACCACCCTTTGGTATGCTTCCTCTTTGCTCTCTTGTCATTACGCTTCAATTGCATTCTTGCTGATACTGTTATTAGGATGGGTGAGCTCGAGCCCTGGATAGATGAGAACTTCATCCGCCAGGTCTGGTCCAACTACGGCGAAGCCGTCAACGTCAAGATGATCCGCGACAAGTTCTCTGGGTATGCTGATCAGTCTTTTGCTATTTTACTCTCTAGCTTGCCTCTCTGCTGACATTTCTCTATTTTAGCACCAACGCCGGATACTGCTTCGTCGACTTCTCGAGCCCCGCTGCCGCCGCCAAGGCCCTCACTTTGAACGGTACCCCCATTCCCAACACCCAAAGAGCTTTCAAGCTTAACTGGGCCTCCGGCGGTGGTTTCTCGGAGAGAAGGTAAGTCACATCACTTATTAACATATATGAGCAAATACTAATCTACGACAGTGACCGCACCCCCGAATACTCCATCTTCGTCGGCGATCTCGGCCCGGAGACCAGTGAATATGTTCTTCTTAACCTCTTCCAGAGCCGCTACCCCTCGTGCAAGTCCGCCAAGATCATGACCGACCCCGTCTCTGGCATGTCCCGAGGCTACGGTTTCGTTCGTTTCACTGACGAGTCTGAAATGCAGCGTGCTCTCACCGAAATGCAGGGATTCTTCTGCGGCAACCGGCCAATGCGGATCTCGACCGCGACCCCCAAGAACAAGGGCGCCGCCGTCCCCGCTGGTATGATGCAGCAGCAGGGACCCGGTCAGCTTGGCATGTACCAGATGGGTATGCCCCCCATGGGTTACTACGGTGCTCCCCAACCCATGAACCAGTTCACCGATCCCAACAACACCACTGTCTTCGTCGGCGGCTTGTCTGGCTACGTGACTGAGGATGAGCTTCGAAGCTTTTTTGCTGGATTTGGAGAGATTACATATGTTAAGATTCCTCCTGGAAAGGGATGTGGATTTGTTCAGTTTGTGCAGCGTCATGCCGCTGAGATGGCGATCAACCAGATGCAGGGATACCCGATTGGCAACTCTCGCGTGAGACTGTCCTGGGGTCGTTCGCAGAACAACTCGGGGCCTGTTAATGCTCCCTACAGGTAGATTTACCTCTTTGTTTTTCTTTCTTTCTCTGTTCTTTTTGTTTTTCTCTTCTTTTTCGCTCTTTGCTGCGCATGTATATAAAGTTCTAAAAAGTTATCTTGCAATGTCAAATCTTTGTTATATCTTTTTATTTGTACTTTTTATCACCCTTTTTTATCTTATCTTTTACTGAGTCTTGGTTGTTCTCCATAGGCCTACTCCCCCTCCTCCAGTATATCCCTCTATGGGTCTGCCTCCTCAGAGCCACTATAGTCCATATGCTCCAATTAAGTAAGCCTCCTGCTTTCATTGTTTTCTGTCCTTTTCATTGTTCTTTTGAATATGTGTTTTTGACGGTTGATGATGAAATGCTAACAACTCTTTCTTTTCTGCCTTGTCTAGCCCGCAAGCTGCCCACCTACACCCCGGCGCCCAACCGCAAGGACAGGTCCCGGTCGGTCCTCCTGGTGCTGTAGTTCAAGGCCAGGACCCGAGCGAGCCGATCCCCGTCGCCCGACTTAACGAGCTCTATCTCGCTGCTCGTGATGGGCGGTTAGACAGGGTCGAGGCCGATGGCAGAGGATACCATGGCGTCTATGCGCAATAGATTGTTTGTTAACTGATATCTCTCGATTCTTTCTTTTTATTATTATTCTTCTTCTTATCCATTATTATGCCATCTTTCTCTTTTATATTTCCATTTACCCCTGTGGCTTTCTGTTGGGTTGAATTAGCAATGTCGAAATTATAATTTCGTGGTCATGGTCTTCATTTTCTCTTTCTATCTTTCTCGTTTTGATTTGATCATTTTTATTTCTCTTTAATTATTATTATACTCATGGCCCATTCGTATCAGGCAAAGTCTTTGTGTCAGTCATGTCAGTCAAGCTGGGGCGTTTAGAAAAAGTTCACTATTTCGATATTCATCATTTTCTTTTCTTAGTTGCCTTTGTGTCATTCCTACTTATATGCGCTCTGATAGTTATCTCGATTTGACTTTTCCTTACTCTCTGGTTGCTTTTCTTATTCTCCTTTTGATTGAGCTATTCTTCTACCTGCAGTTGCGTGCGTGTCTTTATTCTTTTTATCTTTCTGCGTTCTAGCTACGAATGTTGCGATTTACATTTCATATACAGCGTTATCTTATCTTCTTTCTTTATCTATATTATTACATCTCCATATACGTCTCTTTTACCTCAAAATGTTGTCGACGGCTTTTACATGAGTTTCATACACTTAATTTCTTCTCTTCTCTTTTCTCAAAAGAATGACGGAACGATATTGCTTGTGGTTTATAGTTATTTATACATCTATCTCTGGTCTATCTCTCGTGTTCGGATACATAAAACTCTTCTGCAATCAAAAGGTCATTGAGCGGATTGGAGCGTAATGTTGTTTGCTTCAACTCGTTGTTGTCGCTTCGCTTCGATTGGGGGTAGTGTGCTAATGCTGCTCTCGTGTACTCGGTTGAAATATATTGAGATCAAGATACAAAGTACAGAGTAGTAGATGTCCTTTTACGTTCTGATCATGGCAGGTCGTGATCGTTATGAGCCAGTAGTAGTTGCCAGCAGTATTTCCTGATTAGTCGTATCGCAGGTTTGACGCCACAATCAAAGTCTATAACCACCTGCTCTATTCTAAAACGGACAAAGTGCGCTACAGAACTATTCAGTATACGGCACAGGCAGATTTAATTTGTATGCAGACAAGTAAATTAACATACACAAGATAAAGCAAAATAACACCATCCTATTTGGAAAAAAGAAATTCAGGGAAAAACAAAAGGAGTCTCCTTCCCTCTCTCTCTCTCTCTATCTTTTTTTCTTCTTTTTCGTTTTTTTTCTCTTTCATGATTACATATATGCTCTTTATACTTTGTGAAAACTTCGATATCGGTAGTCCTGGTTTTCGGAGTCCTTTTGTTTCAGTTATCCTCCTATGCGACTTGAGTTGATCTTCAAGAATGAACAGAATTCATTCTCGGATACTCCTTATCCTCCCCTTCTCTCCACCCATCCCGAGACCAAGCTCATTTGTAGTACTTTGCGGTATCAACGCCATGGTACGGGTGGTTGACGATGTTGAAGATCGGGAAGACGCCCAGCATCGAGTACGCGTAGCGCGAGTATCTCGCGCTGATCTTTTGCAGGTCCGGGTTCAGCTGCGAGGTTCCGTAGAGCGGAAGGCCCTTCATTGCGCGTGTCCGCAGCTCGACCAGGTCTTTCTTGCGCTCGCGCTCGTTCTCGGTCGCGCCTAGGAAACGGCCTGTTGTTTCGTTAGCAGGTGCGCTGTTATGATTGTGTCTTGTATCGCTCCATCTTTTCTATTTTCTCTTTCTTCTTCTGCTGTTTACCAGGCACGATTTGAAATCACGGGAAACTTACCGCAGCTCCGAGCATAAGCCATCATGAATCCACCAAAGATACCAATCGCAACATACGGCTTGACTCCGAACTTTGAATGTCCCTGCTTCATCGCCTGCGCGACTCCGATGAGCGTATCCTTCACCGAGGTGCTGAACCGGGTGTAGATAGTATGCTCGTAGAATCCGATAAAGATCGGGGCGGCGGCCGCGACACCGGCCCAGACGGCGTAGTCTGAGGGCCGCATGTATCTGACGACACGGAAGAAATGGGGGTCGGCGTCGATGAGCTGCGCGTGGAAAAGAATCACATATTAGAATCGTGCGTTCGGGGTATTCAGCTGCTTTGTAGAATCAAACGACGACAACGGATTGCTCGCCGCGGGGTGCAGAAGCAGTTTTGTCTTCTTTTCACTTACCGGATACGGGCCCTGGTAGATAGGCATTCCGTGCTCATCCTCCTTCATCGAGGCAGACATTGTGATTTCCTTGTGATATTAACTTGTCCTTCTAAACAATAAACCTCTGAATAATTCCAGAAACACTCGGCGTGGCAGAGTATTCGTCTCAGGTCTTTGGTAGCTAAAGGCGGGATGCTCAAAGTCGTCAAAGGGCAGAGAGTGGAAATCATGTCTTTCTTCATTGGCTGGAGGGTTGCTCGGGGTTGCTGAACCTGAACCTGAACCTGAACCATCCAGTTCTGGAACCATTCAAAGTTACCCGGAAAACGCGCTATTCACTACACCACATTACTTCAACAGCAAGCACAGTCTGTTCATATCTCATACACACCTCCGCAGACGGCAAGACAAACAAGTCATGGACGACCTATTTGCGCCAGAATACGACGATCAATTTGAAGAAATTGAAGCCGAGCGCCGCGCTCGTGCTCTTGCAAACCACCGCTCCCCGTCCGTGGAGAAAGATGACTACAACCGCCCGCTCGCTGCTGCCGCGAGCTCTCGAGCGCGCGAGTACGACGACGACGAGGGTTTCACAGCTGTCAGATTTGCATCTGAGGGTGCTGCTGGTGGTAGTGGTGCGGTGGGAGGGAGTAGTGCAGCTGGGGGCGGACCGGAGGAGGTTGTTGCTGATTTGGGAATTGATCAAGAAGTTCAAGTTAAGCAGGCGCGACGGCCGCAGGCGAAGCTGGACGCGAACAGGTGAGTTTATTGCAAGACGTGCTTGTGCTGTCTTGAGGACTGTGTCTAACACTATGAGTTAGGTTGCTTTCTGCGGAGGGATTGCTTGAGATCAGGCGCCGAGCTCCGAGGATTAAATTGAAGGGGAAAGGACATGAGGTACGTTTCTCTCAACGCATTTTCTCACGGCCGTTTCGTTAGATCTATTGCTAACCTTGCCACAAAAGTACGGAGACCTAGGACGAATAATAGAATGCTACAGAGTATGGGCGCACCAACTCTTCCCCAAAGCCAAATTCGAAGACTTCCTCGTCCTGACCGAAAAAGTCGGCCGCGAGAACCAAGTCAAAGCCGCGCGCAACGCGTGGATGGACGAGTGGAAACCCAGCGTGCCGGAGCCGGCTGAGGAACAGTCAGACGATCTAAGCGAGGACAGCGAGGCGGAGTTGAACGGGCCGCAGAGGTATGATGACGGATCTGGGTTTGTGGTTGATGAGCAGGCTGTTGATGATGAGGATGGGTTTGCGGCGGGGGTGCGCGGGAGTGGGAAGCGGAAGAGGACGAATACGCAGGGGTCTCAGAATATGTTTTTGAGCGGGGGAGAGTCTGAGGATGAGGATTTCGGGGCTATAAGTAAACGGATCAATGACAATACGCGCGAAAGAGCAGAGGAGGATGGCGCTGTTGAAGGTCATGCAGAGGCAGTAGCGCCAGCAGAGGCAGAGACCGCGGAGGAGGCTCAGGATCAGCCGGTGTTTGTCTTGGAAGAAGGAGACAAAGAAGACGATGAAGAGCAGCTTGCTGGTGCTGCGTCGCAAGAAGAGTCAGAGGGACAGATTCAGATGCCGTTCACGCTGGAACCAGAAGACGATTCAGAGATGCCCGATGATTCCACACAACCCGCTCAGCCTGCACAGATAACAGAAGACCCTGGCTATGGAGATGATGATGATGACTTGTATGACTAGTTTTTCGCTTGAAAATAAACAGAAATATTCGCTGCATTGTAATTCATCGTCGCTCTTCCCTTGAATATTGATTGATGCCGTATATGGGTTAGGTGCGTTTAAGGTTTAAAGACTCTTGCTACAAATTTCTCTTTCATCGCAGAGATTTTATTATATTTCTATAATCTCTTAAAGACTGTCTCTACGAATTTCTAATCGAGGATATTTCGTTGGGAAAACTGATATATAGTTTGAAACAGTCGAGATACGGAAAAAGACAAGTTTGCAAAGTATTCTGCTAAAGCTCGGGGCTCACAATGTCGACGATCGTGGAAAAGGTATGACCACACTCATCATCTAAACAGCAAAGGAGATGAAGATGCTAACGAGAAATGCTTTATTCAAATCTAGATCAAAGAGGTATTTTATCACTTTCATAAACTGATATACAGTACAAGTATATGCTAGAATGGTAGCTCACCGTGAATTTGCGTGCAGATCGAGCTCGAAATGAGCCGTACTCAGAAAAACAAGGCGACTAGTTTCCATTTGGGACAACTGAAAGCCAAGCTAGGTATGCTCCATATTGTACAAAGACTGATATATATTCTGTATTTTGTCGTACTGACTGTTGACTCTGTTTAGCAAAGTTGAAGCGCGAGCTGCTCACTCCTACTAGCGGCGGCGGTGGAGGCGGAGGTAAGTCCAGCTTATCCTATTCTTTCGTTTTAGATGTTGCCGATGACTGATGATTATGCAGTTGGATTCGACGTTGCTAGAACTGGTGTTGCATCCGTGGGATTCATTGGATTTCCTAGTGTGGGTAAAAGGTAAACACATCTCGACCTCAACAACGATGCCTTGGAATGTTTGTTAACCTGAAACCACGACAGTACGCTGATGAGTAAGCTCACCGGCACGCACTCGGAAGCAGCAGCATACGAGTTCACGACGCTGACGACCGTTCCCGGCGTCATCATGTACCGCGGCGCTAAGATCCAGATTTTGGACTTGCCGGGTATCATTGAAGGTGCCAAGGACGGCAAAGGTCGAGGTCGCCAGGTTATCGCGGTCGCGCGCACTTGCAACTTGATTTTTATCGTGCTTGATGTTATGAAGCCGCTTACGCACAAGAAGATTATTGAGTCGGAGTTGGAGGGATTTGGTATCCGGATAAACAAATCTGTATGTATATCTTTTACGTATGCCTTGGTGTATATATCTCTGCGACATGCTAACGATTTACCTCACATTCCAAAGCCGCCCAACATTATCATCAAGAAAAAGGACAAAGGAGGACTGAATATCACAAACACGGTACCTCTGACGCATCTCGACCATGGAGAAATCAAGGCCGTAATGTCAGAGTACCGGATTTCGTCTGCTGATGTGTCGATCCGATGCGACGCCACTGTGGACGACCTCATTGATGTACTTGAGGCCCAGAATCGTCGGTATATACCTGTGATTTATGCGCTCAATAAGATTGATTCCATCTCTATCGAGGAGCTGGACTTGTTGTACAGAATTCCAAACGCCGTACCGATTTCGTCTGAGCATGTAAGTACATTTACCTGGAGATACTCTGACGTTGCTTGGTATGATTGGCTAACATCTGCATGTTTTCTGCAAAAAGGGTTGGAATGTTGACGAGCTGCTGGAGATGATGTGGGACAAGCTCAACCTAGTCCGCGTATACACAAAGCCCAAGGGCCAAGCGCCCGACTACGAGCAGCCAATTGTTTTGCGACAGGGACACTGCACTATCGAGAATTTCTGCAATGCGATCCACAAGAGTCTTGTCGAGCAATTTCGGACGGCGGTTGTTTACGGATCAAGCGTGAAGCATCAACCGCAGTTTGTGGGTCTTGCCCATGTTCTCAATGACGAGGACGTCGTTACGAGTAAGAAATCACCAAATATCCCTATTTTGATTCGCGTTTATTTCCATATTCAGCGGAGTCGGGTGCTAATTTTTCTTCTTATCTTTACGTTTTTAGTCTTGAAAAAATAGAAAGCATCCCGAGAGTTTTGCTTTGTTGTCTCTTATCACCGGATCGGGCGGGATGGGATATACATGCCGCCTGTCTTGTGGGAGAGGGGACCGGTTTTGGAAGGTGTCGAAGGAGCTATCATCGTTTTTTGTTTTTCGTTCTCTACCGTTTCGTTCAGCCGTCGACGACGTCGACTACGGCGATGTCGTGGGTGTTGTTGTCTCGCGCGGGACGGATATGGGTAGGGTCGACAGTAATGTCGAAAGCAATGGTTTGTATGTTTAGGGAATATGACATATACGCGAAAGGAATCAATACACAGAGATATAACAACAGAATATCAAACACGGGACTCATTGCATCGACATAGCGGAAGGAATGTCGAATCGATCAGGGCATCAGGGCTGGTCGCTGCCGTATCCGGAGCGTGTCAGGCACAGACGAGTACTCGACTGTACGTACCGCCTACTGGAGGCTGAGTACCTGTCCTTTGGCGCGCGCGGATTTTCTTTTTGGGCAGTATTCGGATAGCTCTCGGGGGTAAAGATAGAAGCCGGCTGTCTGTTTGCGGAGCGGGCGATCCGTTTCGGTGGTCTCGATATGCGTGCGTGGTGCGCACTGTGCACTGTTGACAGACCAGGCCGAGCAGGGATGATCGCAAGCAGAGTATGCGACCAGCTTTATTAATAGCCTGAAAAATTGATTTGAGACAAGCAAATTTACTTTCGAGAAGCACGTTCCTCGTCCCTGTTTTTTTCCTTTCGCCTGCTCATTCGAAAAAGAAAAGTGCAATGTGCCATCTCTGCGGTTTGGCATTTCGTCTATCACTAGCGACGCGCGACCCTTCCCGCACCGAATCAGCGGGTATCGGACTCCGTTCGATAAATGATTTGCACGTCACCATCGCAAAGCGTATGCATGATGCCAGTCGGTCGAGAGTCCACGTAGTCTACGTCGCACAACCCCCTTCTCTGTCGTCTACTCTTAGCCCCGGTTAGGATCCGAAAGTGCATGCCGTCCCCGGTAGATGATCCAACATCCGCTGATAATGAAAACGCCCCACTTGCGTAGTCCCTTTTTACCTCCCGCGCCGTACGCTAACGATGATGATGAGGATGAAAGCGAAATCAAGCGAAAGGGCCGTGGGTCGTTTCTACTGCAAGGAACGCGCGAGGTGGCTCCTTTTCCCGCCCGCCGCGTTGACCTGATCCGCGTGCCGTTGCTTTCGCTTGTGTAAAACGGTGGGATGAGAAACGTTTACGAAATGAAATTGTATTGCTCCTACGAGAGGTGAAAGGTGTCGACGACAGAGAAGCAGAGTACTATACTAGATTGTCTGCTTGCTTGAATTGGCATATGTTTGTAGGAACTGTGGAATGTAAAGCTGTGGTTTGGAATGAGATTAATGAATGGTAGTTGATTAGTTGACAGACGACCATCACATCCAGCATCAGGGAAAGCACACCATGTGTTCTGACATCTGCTGCTCCTTGCTTCTGCTGCTGCTGCAGTGCGGGAAGAAGGGGAAGAAAGATGATGAGGACGATGAATGAATTGGAAAAGGTAAAGGTAAAAGGGTAAATAGCATGTGTCGAGCCCAGCGGACGAAAAAGAAAAGAGTCGCGATGCCGAGCCCGGGTTCCAGTCCACCGGAGCCCGAGAGCCAGACAAGCGCGAGGGCCGCGTGCGCGAGGCGACGCGGGCCTGTCTCGCTATGCAAAGTTTGGGTCGCTTAGTACGCTAGTGAGTTTAATTCAGTTTATTTACCAGAGAAGAGCGAGCTAACTAGGCTGCTTTCCTACTAATGCGCAATAACCAACCAAGAAAACGCAGCTAAAGCAGCTAAAGCAACTAAAGCGAGGCTTTAGGCGAATGCTTTTTTTCTTCTGTTTCATGCTAATGCGCCGCGGTCTTTCTTTTTCTTCTCGTTCTCTTTCACCCGTTTTCTCTCTCTTTCACATTTTATTCTGGAAACCTTTTGCTTTTTCCCTTCGTGTAGAGAGCCTCTTGTTTTACGGTTTGGCCTCGGACGAGAACACGAGGCAGCATGTGCACACCCCGCGTCTGCTTTTACCTCACTAACGCAACCTCTATCGTCCCTCTTTCTCGATACCAAGTAGCTACGCCCGCGCTCTTGTTCCTGTCTGTCGTTGCTACCGACTTGGCCTGTCATCCACCCCAAATGAACTGCACTGTGCCAGCTTGCATCATTCCTCCTCTCCAGTTACTAACGCACACAGCCTGCATCGTAAGATAGATAGTAGTGAGAGATCAGAGGTCATCTATGTGCGCGAGAGAGCGTGAATTCATTCCCAGCCGTTATCTTTCACGCGAACAGCTCGATGTCTCGACCGCTCTCTCTCTCATGTGCCGATTTTTCCTCGGCCTTTGTCGCTTGTCGCTGTCGTCTGTCGTCGGAGTTCCCTTTCACGTTGTCACCCACCGCTCTGGATCAATCAACTATCTTGTCAAAAATCCATCCGCTCGCTCGCCTGTCCTGTCCTGTCCCGCAGAGAAAATAAAAATAAATGCTCAACAGCAGAATATGAATATCAAACAAATCGTCGGTATTTCCAGGGCTCTCGCGAAGTCTTTTCCGATTATCGGTGCCGCGCATCTGCGTACCACTTCTTCGTAGCGCCATTAGCACGATAACACAAAAAAAGGTCATTAACTAACCCAAACGGAATAGTAATAGAGCCCCTCAGGACAGCAAGCAGCAGGCTAGGGCCTCGCTCCTATTTTAGTGTGTTTAATACAAATTTAATTCGAGCTCAGGTCTCTTCTCTATCCCAACGGCGATGGTTAGAAGGACGCGCGCTGGGCTTTGGTGTTTTTAGACTTTCACATACTAGTCTTAGTGTCCTGCACTTGACACGAGCTTCCGTGGCGGCGACGGCGACCGACCGACTGACCGACCGATAATCAGACAGGCGGACAAGACTAGACAGACAGACAGGTGGTGTAGGGAATAGTACTGCTTACCGACGTTCACGTTCGCCCTAGTATGTGCCCGCTCGCTCCTGATCCGAATCGTCTCTGATTACATCGCCATCCGCGATATCGTCGACCGAGCACGACTTTTTTATTTTAGACTTGGCCCTGGTTGTTAGCCTCCCCCACTCCAAAGAGAGACAGAATCTCACGATCAGCAGCGCAAGCATCAGCATAATCCCATCTATCGATGATTCTGTGCGCTGCGCCGTGCGCAAGACAATGCGTCGAATCAGTCACCGCCGCCGCCCCATCGCCAGTATTTTACTTGTCGTCTCTTGATCGCGTGGCACGGACCGGCGAAGACACAATTGTGCGTATGTGGGGCCGCGCAGCGACACGATAGAGGGCGCCCGCTGTTTTTGCTAGAAATCCACAAACACATAAATCCAAAATACGCTCGGCCGGGCGGGGGTGTGTCGCAGGGCGATCGTATTATTAGATGCGTCATGCAGTTTTGGCGGTAGTCGTAGTTTTTGGGCCCAGGGCTGTACTGTGCATGTGGGAAACTCTCTAGATTGCGACAGAGCCGAGTAGCAGCAGCAGCAGGGGTCTGGAGAATTTGCTGGTCTGTCGCAAGGTATGGGGGGGGGGGAAGAGAAAGCCAGCTATCACTCCGCACGCTGCACTCGTAGTGGTAGTGGGGTCCCCCGTACATGTCGCTCGCTGCATGATCAGGGTTATTTTCTTATTTTGCCACTGCATGAAGGAGCAAGTGACTGTTTGCATGCAAAGCGCTTTATTCAAGCGATCGTATGAACAAAGGTCAGATTATGGATATAGCTAGAGAGAGGGGAGATATAAATTGCTGAAAAAACAAGACGATCGAAAGAAGAGTGTCTCGTCTGGTCTTTTCGCTGCCCCTGGACCAAACTTCGCAACTGAAAGAGAAACCAAAGAACGACACCGGCCCGTCATCCTAAGCAAAATGCGAGCGCGCGACGGGCGGGACGAGAGACTTGCATATGCTTAAAGGAATATCGTATGGATTGTCTTACCATTAGCTTAGCCGACCGGCACCAGCACATGCTCTCCATGCTGTGTATGTGGCCGGCCACGCCAGCTGTGAAACAATCGCGGGACGAACCTCGGTACGCTATATCGCGGCCGCACATCCTCTTGAGTGCCTCCCGTGTTTCCCCGCTCTCCGACTTTAAACGATCCCACTATCGCTTTGCAATCTAGACTTGGGTCTGATGCGAGCAGGAAAGGGGGCAAGTAAGGGCAGAATGAATTGTCAATGAAACCTTGCAGATAGATTAGATATTAGTCTATCGCAATCCTGGCTGATTAAACCAAAGCCCATGTCGGGGAAGTGTGTCGTCGGCGACGAGGGGGATAGGGGAAGGGAGTGGGAGTCGCTTAGGTGTCGGTCGAAAACCTTAGTGGCTGCGGTCGATGATGCATCAGTAGTGATGAGGATGAGCACTGATGAGGGATGAGCAATCATCATGACGACGACGACGCACGGGGATGATGATTGTTAGTGATCGACGCAGAGTCTAGCGGGATAAAAAAGCACGGCTTCGGCAAGCAAGAAGCAAGGGGGAAGGAGGCGGGCGCAGCGTAATAGGGAAAAAAGCAATAGAGAAGAGACACCGAAGACGAGCAGAGACGGCGAGAGAGTAAGAGCGCATGAGACTTGCATGCGTGCGTCGAAGTATGCGCAGCCCGACCCTCGATTGTCTCTCGCCCGCTCTCGTCTTCGTACAGGACTAGGACAAGCAGAGAGAAGAGGTGCAGTGCAGCCCGGCCCGTCGCTTAGCTAGCGAGCGAGCGAAAAGACTCGCCTGGGACCCGAGAAGCTATCTACCAGTCCCGCTCAGGAGACGAGCCGAGGAGACTGCCAAGAACCCAGACAGGGACGGAGGACGATAAATGAAAAGAGAAAAGTCGGGACTGCTCATGTGGTTGGTGGCTGAGGACGGCTAGGGCCAGAGCCAGGCGAGCGAGGGCAAGGAACAAGAGTCCCAGCGCAGAGCCCAGCCCCCCTCGGCCGCAGCGGACACCGAATGGGATGAGATGCATAAGAGCGGCAGCGGCTTGCCGCACTAGCGAGCGTATAGAGGTTTCTCTTGTTTCGCGTACGAGGAGAGTGCATGCGTCTACGGCGTGGA